GTCATTTGTTTGCTTCATTTACAAACACCTACCTAGCTTGGGAATTAGGCTCTGAAACTATGACACGTAAAGATAATATTATGCCTGCTCATAGTTTTAAGAAGGAATTTTTGCATGATAATAAGTAAATATTTTTCTAATAATTTTAATAAAAATTTCAAAAAATTTTTATTTGATTTTCAATTTTTAGAATGATTAAATGGACAGATTTTACATTCACAAAATCTGTTGCCCATTTTAAACGTGCTTCATTAACAAAAGTTGAATTTGCTTTGTTAATAGTAGAGTTGTACCCCGACCCCGTACCCCGAACCCCGACCCCGTTCCCGAACGATTTTTTCACGATTCTCCCCGACCCGAACCCCGCCCCGAAAAAAAGTGAAAACCCCGTTCCCCGGCCCGAAAAATTTCGGGGTTATCGGGGTTTTATACCCCTAAAAAATGCCATTTTTCGGAGAAAATAATGAAAAAAATTGAAAAAATTTCCACCCATTTTACTTTGCTATTATTATTTGTGAAAGAAAAATGAATGAAATATCACAAAATTCTTTCCTTCTTTATTAAGAGACTTGTGGTTGAGTGGCTTAGTCGTTGGTTTTAGCCGATATTTCATTATTATAGGATTGGGTTCGGATCCATATAAGCAGGACTCTGTTGTTTTCATATTTTTTTACAAAAACAAATTATTAACGAGTTAAATTTTAATTTGAAAATATTAATTTTATTTTTAACTGATATCCCTTGAACTTTAACTGATATCCCTTGTCCAAATACCCTTATCCGCAATACCTTCAAACCCACTGTATCACCAGTTCTCAACCATAACAGTTGGAAAACTATCTAGGCCCTGTTAAGGGAATCAGAGATATAAAGGGATTTGTAGGATATCGAAGAATTAGGGAGTTATAAAGGGATTTAAAGGGATATAAGGTTTAGATTAAAATGGATTTGAAAGGATTACGTGAATTTAACGGAATTAACAAGGATTTCGTGGGAGATTTAAGGATTAATCGAAGAATCTCCTGATATCCGTCCAAATACCCTTATCCGCAATACATCAATATCCTTATAAATCACTAATATCCCTTGAACCACAAAAATCACTCCAGATCACCATGTATCCCTAGATATACCATTTAATCCCTAAAAATCCCGCTTAATCCCTCCAGATCCACTTATATCCCAAGTTATACACTTTAATCCCTTCAAATCCCCTCTAATTTCTTCAAATCCTACTTAATTTTTGAATAAATCAACGAAAATATATCGATTTCTAATTATTTTTGAGCATTTTTTTCTCTAAAAATTTTTCCACTAAACCCCCGTACCCCGACCCGAACCCCGGCCATATTTTGCTCCCCCGACCCGAACCCCGCCCCGAAACATTTGGAAAACCCCGAACCCCGACATACCCGCCCCCGAACGTTCGGGGTACAACCCTAGTTAATAGCCATTATTTTTTCGAAATCAGGTAAACACTTTAATTTAAATTATGGTGTTGTGGTTTTCTAATGAATAGTGATTAGTAGGGATCGGATTAAAAGTTATAACCTATTTTGTCTGCGAAATAGACCTGATAAATTGAGCTCAAATCCGTTGGTATTTCTTAAAAATTTTTTGTTTACAGGGAGTTATTATTAGGGTCCGGATTTTTATTGAAATAAAATCGCAATATATGGCCATAAAATATTGAAAAAAATAGACAAAATATTGTCAAAAAAGGTCAAAAAATTGTGAAATATTAAATAAATTATTGTTTATTTAGTAGCAAAACTCAAAAAAAAAGTTAAAATTTAATAAAAAAAATTTAATAAATAAAAAACCTAAAAATCCGTTCCCTAGTGATTAGAAATTCAGAACTGCATGATACATTCTTTGTACGCATCAGGGATGTCTCGGGTTACCCGAAACCCGGACTTTTTTCGACCCAAACCCCGATCCGAAGAAAATTTTGGAAACCCGACCCGAAACCCGACCCGACTTTTTTCTCAACCCGAGACATCCCTGGTACTAGTGATGTTCGAGACTCTCGGTCTCGACTCTCGAGTCGGGAAATTTCTCGGGTTTTTGAGCTCTCGGTCTCGATCTCGGTGTTTTGGTCTCGGAAAACGAGACTAAATTTACACCCCTAATAACGGAAATTTTTTAATTTAGAGGGAGTATGAGAATATCGTGTTTTGAAATTCAAGGAATTTCGGGATATGAGGGATATCAAGAGATCTTTGTGGATTAGGATGACATCAAGTGATAACCATCTTAATCTCTCGACTCTCGGTCTCGAGTCGAGTCTCGGTCTCGGGTTGATTCTCGGTCTCGACTCTCGAGTCTCGGCTTTTTTAACTCTCGAACATCACTACCTGGTACGCATACGTACCTCGTATTATTTACCTGGTACTTTTACTTTCTCGTATACCTCATCTTTTCCGTATTTAGAAAAAAAGCAAAAAATCTCAAGATTTTTCTGCTGCACAACAAATTTTTTGATTTAATACGCCAAGATATAAGATATTTTACTTCCGACAATTTATTTAACTTTCTAATATTAAAAAACATTAATAAACATTAATAAAATTCTTTTTGGATTTTTAAACGATAAGAGGCTAGTTTCCCTCCTTTTTAGCGCCGTAGCGAAAATTTTAAAATTTTATTCGATTATTTTTAAATTTCAGATTAAATAATCCTTAATTTTTTTCATATAAAGATGCTGAAGGCTTGTCCCCCGAAGGAAAAGATTTACTTTATGACGAATCTGTTAAATATACAAATATTTTACTTCGATATAATCAACGAAGATTAGGTTTAATTGAAGGGGCTCTGAGATTGGATGAATGTTGCCGTTTAATTAATCGAAGTATTGAAAATGAATATACTTTGAAGTTAATGCTTTCTCACCAACAAAAATATTATTCAATGAGTATGAATTACTTTAAATGTTCAAATTTTATGAAAAAATTTTTGGAAAGAAGTGATTAAAATCGAGGCCGAGGTCCTCACCCATTTTTCATCCTTTTCCGATTATATTTTTTAACCTTCTATTAATGCCTTCAACTTTCATTACTAAAAATATAAATAATTTAAATAAAGGAATAAATATTTTATAGACATATCTTTATTTATTTATTTATATAAAAAAACATCCAACAAAGGGGGAATCCTCTTACATGTTGGGAACAGATAAAAAAAGTCAACAAGAATAAATAAAAAAAAATGTCAACAAAATATATTTAAATTAAATTTGTTAAATTATATAAATATTTCAAATTGTAATTTCAAATCAATTTGTTTTATATCTGATTTAATAAAAATAAGTTAAGAGTTCTGTAATACCCATTGAATAATTTTTTGCTTAAACTTAATAGGGGTATAGTTGGTTGCAGAAGGGTGTGGTCAATTTTATTCCATAATGTAGCAGTTCTATTAGTAAAGGAGTTTGCAGTTTTATTGTTTTTGTGTTTAGCTAATATTCTATAATTAACCCGAGTGGAAATTTTAAATAAAGGGGACCTGCAAAATGCCCGATGATGGCAAATAACCATTTTTAGCTTAATGATAATAAAAATTAATTTTTCTTTTTCATTTAAATTTTTATGTGTTTAATTAGCTGTTTTGGATTAATTTAAGTTTTTTAAATAAAATTTTATTTAAGAAATAAAATATTCATTCAAAGAAAGATGAGAGAGAAGCTTCAAAGTTAACTAAATTGATTAAATCCAATCATTCAAGTTAAGTTTAATACATATTACTTAACTTTCTTCTATTCAATTTTTGTTTAGAAAATTTATTTGTTAATTCAACTGATAATTTTTACGTACTAAAACGATTATTAAATACGTTCGAATACACCTAAATTATTATCATGATTTTTAAATTTTAGCATTCTAACAATTTTGCCAAAAAATTTTATTTAATGAAATATAAATAATTACTATAATATTTAATATTTATTATTCTGAACCTGCTTCAAGATTTCCGAATCTTAAAAATTTAGTATTAAACGATTCCTCTCAACGAGCTAAAGAGATTGATACCAAAATTGATAAGGATCAGAAATTTTCAAGGTAGTTATGGCTTTGCGCCTACATGGCCGCGCGCCTACTTGGGCGTTTCCATAATGTATTTACACCGATTTTGATAAAAATTTTTTGGTCATTTGTTAAAAATATTTTTTTCAAACTAGTGGGATTAGATACTGTCGGATTAGATACTGATGGTACTACACTGTAATGCCTAACACTGGTCAAAAGGCATATAGTTATAAAGGAGCATTCGCTTTTAAATTAGTTATTTAATCAAGTGAACGGATCAAAGCTTTATTAAACTTTAAAAAATTTTCGTTTTACTTGTGTCTATTTTTAAATTTCTTTTTGGCAAGTATCTTCTTTTTTTGATTGTGCTATAAAACATTTTTATTTATAAATATTTGCTTTATGTTTATTCTTAACCCGAATGATTTTTTATTATAATTTTGTCTCGCGGGTTGTTCGATACTTAAAAATATTTATTAGTAAATATATTACCTACATAATGTATTCATGTCAGGGCTCTCATCTGAGAAATGTTTAGTTAAAATACAAAAAGTTTATACCATAATGGAACTCTACAAAGGTACAATCTAAAAAATTTTATTCTCGCTCATGCTGAAATTTATGGATCTCTCAAAATTAATTTGTTGTTTAATTCTAATTACATTATTTATATTAATTTCAATTTATTATTTAAACCAACAAAATCAATTTTATATAATTAAATCGTCTAGAGTGGTATATTTTATATTAGGGTAGCACCTCGATCCTTAGAGGGCGGGATCGCGGGGATCGGGGTTTGCCGAGGTAGAGCCTTTGGGTCAGGGTTTTTGCCAAAAAATGTGTGGGTTTCGGAGGCCGGGTCGTGGTTTTGCGCACGGGGATAGGGGTCGGTGATCTGGGTTTGTTGGGGTAGCCTTCGGGGTTCGGGTCGGGGTTTATGCTTAGAAATTCGTCGGGGATCGGGGTTTGCCGAGGTAGAATCTTCGGGTCGGGGTTTTTGCCAAAAAAAAATGTGTGGGTTTCGGGGGTCAGGTCGGTTTTTTGCTCGCACGGGGTGGGCGTCGGGGATTGGGGTTTGTTAGGGTAACCTTTGGGGTTCCGGTCGGGGTTTATGCCAAAAATATCGGAGTCGGGGTAGGCGTCGGTGATCGGGGTTTGTTGGGGTGATCGGGGTTTGTTGTTTCGGGGGTCGTGTCGGGGTTTATGCCTAGAAATTCGTTGGGATATGGGGTTTCGGGGGACTTGGTGCTACCCTATTTTATACGTATAAACTTGTTATAGTTTAAAAAATTAAGATAAAAATTAAAAATCAGAAAATGCCCCCAATTTTGATTTGGAATAGATGTAAACATGCAAGAGGAATCGGTTATCCAGACTATCCTTTGATTGAATCAAATACTAAATGTCCCTTCGATTGCACTTTTACTTATGATAGAAAATTGTAAGATTTTAATTGTAATTCAGAATTTCAGCTGGTTATTTTATTTTTCCATTAGTGAAGAATATGAGCTAGGCCAAAAAATAGAGCACACTCTAATCTATCTAAAAATATTCATAATTTTTAAGTGAATTTGGATTAAAAAAAATTTTTTTAATACGGGTAAGATTTTAACCCTCATCGAATGAGGGTACACATTTTACCCGCAGCTACAGGTCTTATTACCCAGGTAACTAACTTATAGCTCTGAGTTACCCATACCTGCATCTTGTACTTTATAAGGGTTCTGGGTTAACCTACCCGCAGCTGAAAGTTGGTTGAAAGGTCCGATATAATATTTTTATATCTTTTAGCGAGGCAAACGCATCGACAACACTTTTTTTCCTTCATTTATTTTGTAATGAGACTGATTGGCCAAAAAATCGTAGAGAAGATCAAAATTATATGATGTATACAGTTGAATCCCCTATACAAACCATTTTTAAATTTTATGACAGAAAATTATTGACAGACAAATTTTTTAATAGTTCAGCAACTTATCGTTTAGATAGTTCTGTTTTTATGCCCTATGACGCTTTAACAAGAATTACTCCATATACTCCAAAAGAATATATTTGGGATCAGAAAGAGGTCAATTTATTTTAGAATAGTAATTCAGGCTGACCTCACTATAAGTTAGAAATTTTGTGCTGAAAAAATCGTATCCTTTAATGAGGGTTAGGGTTGCCGTTTTCTGGTCGGGCCGACGTCGAGGCATTTTTCGGGATTGTTTTTATCGAGTCGAGCCGTACAAGTCTTTTTTGGGCCAAATATCTTAGGTCCAACTGGATCTTTCAGACTGAGTTGGTCCACACTGGCGCCCCTAATGAGGATATTCGAGAGTGGTTATATATCTCACTCTATTTAACGGAACTTTAAGAGTCACTTCGAGCTAGTTATACAGAGCTTGAATGAATAAATTATAGCAAGTTAGTCTATAGAGCAGGGGTGGACACAATTGCGGACTTGACTTGCGGATTGTGCCTTGCGGATTGTGCCTTTGGATTTAAAATTTTTTCAGTTGTGTCCCCTGCTATAGAGACTTAAAATTTAAGGTTATGGAAAGAGTTAAAAAGAAAACAAAATTTGTATTCCAAGCGGTATCTCATTGTGATAGCGAATCTGGACGAGATCCCATTTCAAAAAGACTAAAAAACATAACAGGATTTGATATTGTTGGTGGTTGTTTTGGTGGATGGTGTAGTTATGACTGTTATGACCGTAATATGGGTGAATATAAAATTAGAGTTCGACATTTTCAATTTGCCGGGCCCGGTATCCGGGTTTTTCTCTTTCAACCAGACCCGGGCCGGGTTTTCCGGACTAAACCCCGAAAAACCGGATTTTATCAAAATACCCGGGTTCCGGGCATCCCCCCGATCCCGGGCCCGGTCCGGTGTCGAACTCTATATAAAATTTACTTAAATTCAGAATAAATTTTTAGAAGACCACAAGTTTTATTTGGCATTTGAAAGTAATATTTGCCTCAATTATGTCACAGAAAAATTTTGGAGAGCGTTGAGATCACTTACCATACCTGTGGTTTTTACTAGATCTGTTTTTGAAGGAATGGATGTTCCTTCTAGTGCATTTATTGCTTTGGAAGATTTTAAATCAGTAAATGAATTCGTTGCACATTTAAAGGCTTTGCAGAATGATACAGAAAGATATATGAAGTAAGTTTTAAAAAATTAAGTTTCGATATGAGTAGAGTTATGCGTTCAGCCCATCGCTGTCTAGCCACAGACCTTCCCTGTCACCTGCCTATCGGCGATTAATAAGAAGAGGTTTGGTGATTGAGCTTAGAGCATGTAAGGGAATTCCTACTTCATTAAATCAAGAATGGACTTATTAAAATATTTATATCCTATCCTAAATATAAATTAGTATCCATCCAAATCCTCTGATATCTTCCTTAATAATATAAATCCACTTATACATATTCCCATTTAATGATTAAGAAGGTTCTCTGTGGATTTGGAAAATTCGATCAAAGCTCTAAAATTATTTGACAAAGAATCTCTAGATTTCTCCTCATAGCGGAGACTAAAAAATTGCGCGTTTCGCCTTTCGCTAGCTTTAGGCTGTTTGGACTTTAGCGTTTTCGTTTCGCATTTCGCTTTTTAAAATCTGTTTCGGCACACGACTGGTACAGTGATATTAACGGGATATTGACTTCTACTGGGACTGGAAGAACACATCAGATTTATATTATCCTTTGGTGTTCATCTCTGGGCAAATAGTTAGATTACAAAGATTAATTAAACAGAAGGGAGACTTTTTGGAGAGACTATAATATTTTTGTCATTTTAAGAGTGCCATTTTAAGAGATTTTAAAAAAGTTCCGATATATTTTAGGCATTTTGAATGGACAAAAACATATACAAATAGGAAATTTGGTTATGATTATTCCCCGATATGCCAGATATGTGAATATGCCACAAGACAATTTGAACAAGATCTGAAAAATATACTTGATTTGGATAAATTTTGGAATGTAAAGGATTGTAATTATTTTGATGTTGAGAAATTTTTGAAGGATTAATTTTAAAAAATAAATTAAATAAAGCCTCGCTATTCTGAATTTTCCCCAAATAATTTATAAGAATTTCCCGCTTAATTTATAAAAAATTTTAAATTATAGTCGTGTTTTTTTTCTATTTTAAATAAATTAATTTTGATATCTGAAAGAATTAGGGGTGTATTTAGTTACGGTTTAGCTCTGTGAGCGTTGAACTTGTGAGTGTTATAGACATTTGTGAGACTTTTGGTTTTGAAAACCAGGGTTTTTCGGTCTTTTCGGTCTTAGAGCATCTATGTCTCAAGTTTTGAGTGGGATCCATTCCCAAATTTTTTGATGCCCACATGAACAAAAAAAATATTCATATTGATCAAAATGTTGCTTTATATTCGTGATAGTAGAAAAAATTTTATTTTTTATTAATGTCTCAATATGACACAGGGAAATAGAGAAGGAATTGAGGAAGGAACTTTGACCATTTTATACATCTAAGGAAACTTGAAGACTAAAACCAGGAGACGGCATATCTCTAAAATACCTAATATCTCAATTAAGGGTGGCGGATCCGGATCCGAAAGAAGGCCGGATATCCTGGAATTTTCAATTCGGATATCGGATCTGAATATCCGAAGATTTCCAACTATCGCCCAACCTTAGTCTCAATTACAAAAAAATTTTTTCGACAAAATTAAATATTAATTACAGCTAATAAAATATTATTTAAATAAATTGATCATTAAAAAATTCAAAAAAAGGCTAAAAAACAATTTTTCTTTTATTTTTTTCCAATTTTTATTTTGTCTGTTCCTCTCTTAAAAAGATGATGATTATTGTCTTTTTAAAAAAAGTCTTCTTTCTTCTTTTGTCCAACAAACAAGAAAATCTCTCCTTTTATTATTTACGCCTATTAAGTTTAAAAGCTTTTCGTCCCACTTATTTTTACTATTTATGGGACATCAATTGCTTTGATGCTACAAATAAATTTTTATTTTGTTTAGACAAGGATATAAACAAAATAAAAATTATTTTTAATTGAGTGACCATAATTTAAAGGATAATATTAGGCCCTCTCAATGCGCTATTCTCACCAGGCTTAGTAATGGATACGGATGTGGATACAGATAAGTTCAAAATGCCTGCGGATATCCATGTCCATTACCAAGTCTGATTCTCAATGTTTTCACTCTATATAAATTTTAACTAAATCCCACTATAAGATGAAACTTCTTTATAAATTGTATCTTTATTATTGCAACAGCGTACTTGGCAACAAAGTTATTGCCTAGACGGCTTCCTCCACATCATAGTTGGGTCGGTATTCCGATTTCACACGTTTTTTTTCTTCCGATTTCCGAAAAAATTTTGATTTCCGATTTCCGATTCCGACTTTTGATCCACTTCCGATTTCCTCCTCTTCCGAGTTCCGACACCTCTGACTGTTCCGACCTACCTCTGCTTCACTTAATGGCCAACCAACCTTTTAAGAACGTACTTTAACAAGTTTAATCCAATTTTGGGGGTATCTTATAGTGAAGTTCAACACAGTATAACCATAATTTCCTGTTAATATTTATTAACAGGAAATTATTTTTCCCAATAATTTCCAATTTTTTGCAAAAATATATTGGTTCCTCTCCAATTCACCCCCTTTTAAAAATACATATTATTTATTTAAGTACACACTTTACTCATTTAATATTTTTATTTATTTTCTCATCACTTCACCCTTCCTATCGCGCCTTTCCCTTTTTTCTTTTTGGAAATTATAAAATGAAAAAAATTTTTTTTGTTGAAAGATAAAGAGATTTGCTTATTTTAATCGGAATTATTATTTATTAGAATCATCGCCACTGGCAAGGTCTGAGCGGAAATAAAAATATAATTAAAGAAACTTTTCATTTTAAAAATAATTTTTTAATTTTCTTTTTTTTTGTCATCCAAAATAAAAAGTTTTGGCTCTTGTCCAGTTTATGCGTCCCATGAAAGTATATGCGTCCCATCAACAAAAAATTGGATATTTCTTGGTGTTGCAAAGTAGGGGTATGGTTCCAAAGCATTTCTTCATGTTCGGGATCTACGTCCACTGGGTCTGGGACCGTTCCTTACCCTATCCTTCGAAATTTCTGAAAGTTATAGCCAATTTTTAAAAATTTCAGGAAAACGATTTTAACTTTCAGAAATTTCGAGTTATAGGGTAAGGAACGGTCCCAGACCCAGTGGACGTAGATCCCGAACATGAAGAAATGCTTTGGAACCATACCCCTACTTTGCAACACCAAGAAATATTCAATTTTTTGTTGATGGGACGCATATACTTTCATGGGACGCATAAACTGGACAAGAGCCAAAGTTTTTTCATAAACCCTCTATTTAACGTACGCCCATTTTTATTGACTCGCTCAAATTAAATAGAGGTCTACACAATTTAACCTCGATGTAACAAACCTTTCTAAATAACTACCCTTTTCTAAAAGCCCTCTTTTAAAACCCCTCTATTTAACGTATGCCCTCGGCCCTTCGAGTCGCTTATAACGAGAGTCTTTAATAATTATTTTTTTAATATCTAAACTCTCTCTACATTAATCAGATAGAGTATTCCTTAAATAAAATATTTTTTTAAATTCGTACGTTAAATAGAGGTTTTTAAATTTCTAAAAAATCCTTTTTTAATTAAAAAGCTCAAAATTAAATTTAAAAAATGTCTTTAATCTTCCAAAAATATTTTCTTTCAATTTTTATTATTTTATTTCAACAATTCAATAAAATTTGTTTAAAAGGAATAGTAGAAACTTTGTCTACAACAAATCCTTTAATAGATAAACGTCCTCCAAATTTGTATAAATGGATTGAAGAAAATGCTCATATTTGTTTGTTTCTATTGAAAAATTTTGGGGGATTTTAGTATAGGAGGAATTGGGAATTTTGGAAGATTTTTAGACAATCTTGGGGTTGGTTGTTGGGTTTGAAATGATACTCCGAACAGAGGAATTAATTTCGGTTCCGAGTAGCTTAAATTATTTTTGAGATACATTTTAACCTTGAATTAGTTCAGATTACATTGCCAGGCTCTTTCCAAGTTACCGAGAATTTAGAATATTGTTTGGAATTTTAAAAATTAATTTATCCCTATTAAGATTTTTGAAATCAGAAAAACCTAGAAGGTCGAAATTATGGACCTAAACATCAGAGTGAAATTAGGACTCTTAATCTCACTCAACTCTGATCAGCGCCATTTAATTTGGGTTGTCGATTTTTAGAGCCGAACCGAGAGACCTTCCGGAGCCGAACCGAGAGATCCACTGTTCTTGGGATAATGCTGTATCAGCCATCCTTTAAAAATTCGGAATTTTTACCACACCTAGTCAATACATATTTTGCGAAAGAAAGTCAAAAATAATTTTAAAGGCACAATAGTCCCAGTTAATGGTGAAAGCCTTGTCAGTTTCTTATCTGAAGAGGAAGGGAAAAAGTGTTCCATATGTCCAGATTTGGGTATCAATGAAGTTCCTACAATGGCCTGTGCTGTTGAAGTTACTCCAAATGATATTGAAAATTTGGATATTGGATGCCATAAATGTTTGTTTAATTTGTTGAGTTTAAAGAATTTAACACCCTCTATAAGATATACAACGCGGATAGGGATTACAGACCCCCTATACCCGAAATCCGGACTCTGATACGAAGCCTGACCCGAAGAAATTTTAGAAAAGCCGACCCGACTTCTTTCTCACCATAATCCGGATATACTCCTCTAGGGCAGGAAAAAGTGTACCTTATAATGAGCATTATCCTAAATAGAGGCCAACCGAAATCCTAAATTTAGGGAAGTACATATGTATGTTAGATTGGAGGTATCTAGTATTGAGAGTATCTTATAGTGTGATTTTACATACGAGAACTTATAGTTCTGATTTTTTCCATAAAAAATTTCAAAAAAAAATTTTTTAAGTGCCAGACCTTTGCGTTATTGAATTAAAAAATCGTTACGCAGAGTTTTACATGAACATATCCCTCGATAAAGAAGAGATTCATTCTTCTAAACCTCCAAAACCTTTTGGAGACAAATCAACATCTTCAGATTTTAAACGCTCAGAAGAAGAAAAAATTTTCCAGGCAACAGATTCCCTATTTTCTACAAAATCTTTAAATTTGTTTTCTTCAAAAGAAAAAAATGAAATTGAAAAGGATGAGGAAGAAGAACAAAAAGTGGAATTTGAGGGGACTCATGAGGAGGAACTTGGGAAGGTTTTTGAAGGATTGAAGAGTGAAGGAGGATTACATGTTGTTACTACCAGTATTAGACCTACAACAATAAAAACAGCAAGCCCAAATTTTAAGGTAAAAATGTTTAACGGCTAAACACCCCCCCCCGTGACTAACTAAAATCTAAAAATTTATGGTCCAGGAAGAGGAACAGATGAGGAATCTTGAAAAAGAAGCGTCATCGTCCTCAACTTAAGTGGATGGGGTACATCCCCCTCCCCTCCTTTAATATTCACCAAAAACTTCATAGTTCCGGTTCTGGTGGAATAACAAGGGTACAAAAGACCCCATATCTGAACATTAACATCTTTCACATCCATGGATCAAGTGTTCCGGGTATTAAATAGAGGAATTAAAAGGAAGATAGCTGGAAACTCTCATTTAATGCTGGTATACCTCTAAATCCGTCTCAAGCCGAAACCGGAGCTAAGATTTTGAAATGTTGGAGCCAGGGCCACAAAACGCCCAATACCTAGCACTGTTTCATGTTAATTAATCAAAGGAATTTTAATTTTTTAGTTAGGTCAATCAACCACTATACGTGCAAATATTTTTGCTCAAATGGATGGACAAGAAGGCAACTAAAAAATTTTAATCATTAAAAATCCTCTTTTTTAAAGGCATTCCTCTAAATATAAAAATGACTCCAATGTCAACAGGTCGTCGAATCCTTTCAGAAGGGGAAAAAGAACAAATAATATTTCCGCCTTCCCAAAACAATGAAAATAAAATTATTGAAAAAATACAAAAAAGGGTTAAAAATAAAGAAAATTTAATAGAAGAGGAAGAAATTGAAGAAGAAAAGGAAGAAAAATCTTTTTGTAAGGATACCCATGAACTTTGTTGTTTTTGGGCGGTAGCTGGTGAATGTAATAATAATCCCTTTTGGATGAGGGTAAAATGCCCTATGACATGTGGAACGTGTGGGTGTAAAGGTAGTGAGGATAAAAATTTCTTTGATTTTCTGTAAGAGAGAAGGATTCTGGATACTTGTAGAAACATCCCTTTAATATGAACACCCCTGGAACCAAGAAACTTTACCTTATAATGGGTGTATTTTAAATTGGAGGTATTGCTTAAACATCTCTCCTATCCGGTAGCTAGCCTAATTTAAAAAAATGTACCGTGTAAAGCCCCACTCTTAATTAGTGCCCCACTCCTCATACAGCCCCAATCTGGAGGATAGTTGAAAAATAGAGCCATTCTCAATTAGAGCCCCACTCTCCAGTCTGGAGGATGGTTAAAAAATATATCCCGTGGGGCTGTATTTGGAAAAATACGGTATATTAAATAGATGTATACTTAACATTGAGGATCTACCTAGTATTGGGGATATCTTATGATGAGATTTGACTATAGGGAGATCATCAAGCACATTTTGATACTTTTGAAAACTTTCAGTCAAAAATGCCAATAAATGTAAATCAACTGGTGTCAGATGTATTTTGCCTACCACAACAACCACCACAACAGAACCAACCACTTCCACAACCTCAGCAATTACATCAAGAAGTACCCCAATTTCAACAAGTACACCAACTCCCCCTCCCTCAACTTCAACTACACCTTCGAATAGAAGAAGACCACGTCCAACAGCTCCCCCAAAAATGCCTGGGCATCGTCCACAAAGGCCGAAGCAATCCAAATCCACAGTTACAACCACAAAACGCCCAAAAATTGTTAGTCAAGAGAAAGAATATCCACCCCTTATAGCCCCCTTTATTTCTTCGTTTGGTGATGGTGGTGGTGATGGTGATAGTGATAAAAATGATAATTTTGATAATTTATTTAATCGTGATTATTCCGAGGAAGTAGAAGAACCCCGAATTGAAACAACTTTAATTCCTTTTAAAAAACATTCAATTACTTTTACTCGTTCAACTCAGATTTATGAGGAAGAGGATTTTAATAGAAATGAAAAGAAGCTTAAAGAGGGCGAAAAGAAGAAGAAAATTAATTTGAAGGATAAGGTTTTTAAAAATTAATTTTTTTGTTTTTTTTTGTTTCTTGGCGTTTTGTTTTTTTGGTGTTTTTTTGGTTTTTTGAATTTTTAAAAAGGGTTGTGGGCTGGAAACGACTGTGTTCTTTAATTTTGTAAATCAGTTCAATGAGCACCTAAAATTCTGAAATTTTCTACAGACATCCTTAACATCGTTGACTACGAATATTCAAAATTTCAGAATTTTTGGACCATTATTTGTAAAGTTATGGTCAATAAGACGTCTATATATTAGTGAAAACACGATTTTTTGAAGATTTTTAACCATAACTTTTGAAATACTCAACTAAAAATTCTTAAATTTTCAGAATTTTTTAGTAACATTTATAGGAATGTCTGGACAAAATTTTAATATTTTAGGTGTTTGCTTAATTATTTTATTAACATGTTTCTTCATGATGACCTCTCCAGGCCCTTACAGCTAATAATTTAATTTTTAAATATTTTTTGTTTTGAAGAATTTTTGGATTAATTAGAGGGAAAGGGATTATTTTCATAAATAAAAAAATTACAAAAAATTACAAAAAATTTTTAAAAATTTTCAAAAAAAATTTTTTTAACAATAAAATGTAGACCACTCCCCTCACTCCCATAACATCACCAACAGAAACATCAAAAACATTGACAACCATAAAAACATCAATAAACACAACAATAATAACAACAACCAAACAAACATGTTTTAATTACCACAAATTGTGTGAATTTTGGGCAGAGATGGGAGAATGTTTGGCAAGTGTTTTTAAATGTTTTTTGCTACCAAAACATTTGTTTTTCAAACAAAACATTTAATTTTCCAAACAAGACATTTTTAGAGCAACCCCTTTTGGATGCGTCCACATTGCCAAAAATCGTGTTCGTCATGTGGGGAAACATTGGGTGATATTTCTACTCCAACACCTAGAAGAGGTTAGAGAAAGGAGAAAAACAATGTTTTTCTCTCTAACAAAACATTTAAAAAAGGAGAAAAACATGTTTTAGATCAAGTTGTTTTTATCATTGTTTTCACTAATGAAAACAGGAACAAACATAATTAGAATCGTTTCCTAGAGAAACATGTTTGTTGTTTCGAACATATTATATAAATTGCCTCACGGAAGAGGTTAATCCCTCTAACTCCCTCGTTATCTCTGTTAATCCCTCCAAATCCCCTTATATCTTCCTATATCTCTTAAAATCCACGGATATCCCTTCAAATCCACTTATATCCCCTTTAATCCACTTATATTCATTTTAATCACTCCAAATCCCACCATATCCCAATTTAAGGCAACATGTACTTTTTTGACCGATAAGGCAATTTAACTTAGGGAAGGTGTGTGGAAATGGTTGGTTTCCTACTCAAAACACAAAATCATACTAATTCAGGTTGTACCAATGTACACATTCTTTGTCCATTTTGGGGATTTATTGGAGAATGTGAAAGAAATCCAAGATGGATGGGGATGCATTGTAGAGCTAGTTGCCAACTTTGTTAAATAGTTATGATATAAATTTATGTAATAGAATATATCTTAGAAATATATCAAATATCCTTGCCACTTATTTTTAAAATTTATTTTGTATTTTTAGTGAATTTTTTGATTAAATTTAAATAATGTATGACTTTGGTAAGAAATTTTCTTTCGGAATAGGGTTGGCGCGTCCTTAGCGCCCGCCGTTTTCGGTTATTCGGACATTTTCGAATCCTGACTTCTCCGATCTGGACCTGTCAACCCTATTTTTAACTCAGGCGAGCCATTTAAGCAAGAGGAACTTGGAGGGAGAACCTTCCTCCAATTTTTAATAGAATCTCCTCTTTCTCTTGAAAGAGGATTTAGACTATAATTTTGATTTTTTAAGCATTCATAATATATTTTTATTGTTAAAAATGTGAACGAAAAAACAAGGTACACCTTTTTTGCCCTTTTTTGGACAGAAAACGGATTGAACGACTAATCCTTCAACTCATGGCCTATTGAATACTTGAAGAATATTCTAATTTTTATTTTGAGAGAATATAACATATAAATTTAAAAATCAGTCCTTATTTACTCGTATTTATTCAAAAATTAATAATAATCCCTTTAATAAGAAATAAGATGCGCGCTTTTCGTTCCCGCGCATCTACCTTTCCCCGCTACCTCATCTTTGTCTTTCTTCAAAAAATTCTTTTTCTGTTTGTTTTAAGTCGGCTTCTTCTTTTTTTTACAAAACATACACTTACATTTATCTATATTAATTTTTAAAATAACTCTAAAAACATTTCTGTATCGGCCTAGCCTTTGTTTGTATCCCCCTCAAATATTGCCTGTACAATTCCCCTCAACATTCTCCCTAGTTTCCCCCTCCCCTCCCCGCAAACTTTTCTTCCCTCTTTTTTCTCAAAAAATTTTTTTTCACTCGAGAACATCGAATAGTTACAGTAATTTAATATTTGCCAGAAATGAGGCAATTCTTGGGGGAATGAAAAGTAAAAAAGAAGGGGAAGGAGGACAATTCGCGCATCTCTAAAATAACTTGAGCCAATACATATTTGTTTTATTAGCAATTTGATCATTTTGGAAACTTTTAAAAATATTTTTTATTAGAAAAAATTGAAGAATTTTAGTTAAATTTTTGGGATTTTTAATAAAATTTCAGGAAAAAAAATGAAAAAATTTTTGAAATTTTTTGAAATTTTCAAAAAAATTTCAAAATTTTTTGAAATTTTCAAAAAAAAATTTGAAAATTTTTTGAAATTTTCAAAAAAAAATTTGTGAAAAATTTTTTGAAATTTTCAAAAAAAAAATTTTTTGAAAAATTTTTTGAAAAATTTCTCCGTGAAAATTTTTTTTGTTTTTAATAGGCCTATTTTCATATTTAATAAATATGAAAAATCTTCTTCGAAAAAATAATAAAACTAACTCTCTCGACTCCCTTTTTTGACCATCTTTAAGGGAACCCCTCAACTCTTGACCCTTCCCTATTGACTTTACTAGGTCCTCTCAATTGCCTTCTAAATAATAATGAAAAAAAAACAATTTTTTCTTCTCAAGACTACTTAAAAATAAATTTATTTTTTAAAAATCTTCTTCAAAAAAATTATATTTTTTCAAGAATTTTAGTAAAATTTCCCTTCCAAAAACACTCAAAAACTCTCTCAAGTGACGTTGAAAAAAAATTTCCCCTAAACAAAAACAACAATAATCACTTAAAAACCCTTTGGCCTTCACTTTAAAAATGTTCAACAACAACAATAATATATTCAATACAGACCCCCCTCCCTCTTCAACTTTTTTCAATTCTTGTGGCACATCCACTAAAGGAGGAAATATTCTTTTGAGTGGAATTACAAGTACTTCTACTTCTAATAGTTGTTGTAATTCTTCTTCGTCTTATTTCCCTTCTTCTTCATTTCCTTCTTCATTTACTAATTTAAAAACCCAAAATAAACGTCAAAATTTGTTAAATGATGAAAGCGAGATTGAAAGGTGAATTCTATATTAAAATGCCTTTTTTCCCTATTCATGGCCAGTGCTTGGAAAGTCCGGTGGCTTGATACCTCGTTCCTCATTGCATTACCTCATATCTCGTTTCTAATCCTCCTTCCTACGACTACTAATTTTAAAATCACTGTTCATGGCCGGTATTTCCTTAAATATTCCTTTTGATAATAATGGGTACACATTATTATGTACTATACATACCTATCAGGGATGTCACGGGTTGAGAAAAATGTCGGGTCGGGTTTCGGGTCGGGTTTCCAAAATTTTTCTCGGATCGGGTTTCGGGTTTCGGGTTGAGCAAAAAGTCGGGTCGGGTTTCGGATCGGGTTTTCAAAATTTTCTTCGGATCGGGTTTCGGGTTTCGGGTCGAAAAAAACCAAAATTTTGAGAATTTTGGAAGGCCAAAAAGCCAAAAATCTTCCCTTCTCAGCGCCGCAGGCGAAAATTTTGAGAATTCTTGAAGGTCCGAAGCCAGATTTCTTCCTTTTTCAGCGCCGCAGGCGAAAATTTTCAGAATCTTGGAAGATAATTAAGCTAAAAATCTTCCCTTTTTCTGCGACGCGGGCGAAAATTTTGAGAAAACTCGGGTCGGGTTTCGGGTCGGGTTTTGAAAAATAAAAATTCTCGGGTCGGGTTTCGGGTCGGGTTTTAGAAAATTTCTCGGATCGGGTTTCGGGTATCGGGTCGAAAAAAAGGCCGGGTTTCGGGTTTCGGGTATCGGGTTTCGGGTAACCCGTGACATCCCTGATACCTATACACGCAATCAAATTTCATCAAGAATTTAGTATTGCTGAGGTTTGAAAGGTTAAAAAGGAAATAGATTTTCTTCTTATCCTTCTTGAAGAAAGAAAAAAGTTTTCCTGATCAAAATAATGTCGCTTTTTTCCTTCTACAAGAAGGCATATCGAGTAAAGAAGTATCGAGTAAAGCACATCTGTAATCTACTCAAGACTGGGCATCTGAAACATTATTGTTCACTACATAGATTAAAACGTTTTAAATCCTGTCAATGAATCATCCTTAACTCGATCAAGTCTATCATAACTTTTTAAATTTTAGAAAGCCTATTAACAATGCAGAAACAACATCTATTAAATTGGAATCAACATCGACCCCTTTACCTATCAACAATACTTATAACACTTCAGTTGCTTCTTTTGCTGCTGCAGCATCTTCCCTCTACCAACAACAACAAACAATCGCGGCATATCAACAACAACCCTATTTATTGGCAAATAATTTTATGTTGCCAAATTCTTCCAGTTGGTGTTCATCTATTGAACAACAACAAATGGCTAATTTTGGTGATTTAAAAAGAATTTTTTGAATACTTATTTAATTGTTAGGCTATGTATTACTAAAAGGCGGAACAGATTAATACATAACTAGCCTTCTAATACTTTCGGGCTTCATTACCCAATACTAAAATTGCCTCGCCACTGGGTAGGTGAGGTGCTAAGGTAATGTACATTTTAGCCAGGGGTGAGCGCAAGAGGCAATCGTGAAAAACGCAATGCGCTCAGCTCTGATTCTAGCCACGAATCTATCCTGCAATGGCATCTGACTGTAAAATGGTCAATCGTAAAAAAGCTATTTGGGGCACTCCTAAGAAAGCCCCTCTCTTCAATTGTCGCTGACACTCACTGATACTCTAATCTCAAAATAAAATTACGTTACTGACTTAGAGATTAACTCCCGATAATCACTAATTAATTTTTTTATTTCAGGCACTTCCCCAACACAACTTCCACCACATGATCCAAATATTCTAAATACTAATTATAATTCTTCAAGTATAATGAATGTAAATAATGCGTATTGCTCCCCAAATAATTATTTTTATCAACCAACATTTCCACAGCTTTATTCAGCTTCAATGATGCCTCGATACGGATTTTTCCCTTCCTTAAGTGGAGGATTTTCTGGTAGGGTAAAAAGAAAACTTTTCAGAATAATCAGATATTTTATAATAAAGAATCGAACCCCGAAGTGAGGGGTGAAAGTTGAGAGCTTAATAAAATAATTTTTTAACTCCGAGAAGATTCTCTTAACTCCAAGGATAGAATTAAGGGTAGATAGAGATTCATGATCGAGATATATGGAAAAATCGAAATTTTTCTATCAAAATCCTCGAATAAAATCTTGTCTTGTTCCGACTAACCTGCCTTAATTTAATCAAACCTCACTAATATCGATAAAGGTAAAGGATAAAGGGACAAGGATTCAAGACAGGAGCAGGCCAATGTACCGCCGAGCTATAACTTTGTTCAAAATTATCGAATCCGGGACGCCCTGGTATGGTTCGTTGTGTCTTGACGAGCTGAATCGAACCATACAAGGGCGCCCCGGATTCGATGATTTTAAACAAAGTTATAGCTCGGCGGTACAATGGGCTCGCGGTACGCCTTAAGTCAAGGTCTTACACCGGTATAATTTTTTATTTCCTGAATAAACACAATCTAATCTCAAAATTTAAGAAGTAGAACAACAACAACAACAATCCTTCACTTCCCCTCAATTTTTAAATTCTATTAAAAAAGAAAAGGAACAACCAGAAAAGCAAAAGAATAAGGTAGAACTACCAGTCCCTAAAATTAATTTTAAAAAATTTTTCTTTCATTTACAGACAAAATTAGGAAAGAAAACTCGTTTAAATAATCAAGCAACAACCTCAAACATTAAAAATAATTTTGCTTCAGAAAAAATTGGGGAGGAAAGAGTAGTGGGACAAAATGTGATCTTACCCGAGGGGGTAGAAAAAAAGAAAAAAAGAAAGAGGAGAGTGCTGTTGTGAGTTTTTTTGTTTAAAAAATTTCAAAAATTCTCTTCAGTTCAAAAGCCCAAACTTTAATTTTGGAGTCTCGCTTTGCAATAAAAAAATACTTGACTGCCCAAGAACGAGAACAACTTGCTAGAGAAATACAGTTACAACCTACACAAGTTAAAATATGGTAAGTTTTTTGGAGAAGGGTAGGTTCTGATTGAAAAGATCTTCCCGTTTTTTAACAACCCCTACGACTGGCGAGAGTTTTTTGGGACCTGTAAATCTGCCAATGGGCGCAAAAAAATTATATCTCCATTGGAGAGGAGTTGGCTAACAAAGGAGAGACTGTAGGATGTCCGTGGTACTTCGGGATGAGATTTGGTAGATCACCTGTCTACCTACCTGTCTACCAAATTTCATCCCGAAGTCCCACGGACGCCCAAAAGCCACTCTTTTGTGAGTGAAATCTCAGCCGGAGAGAAGCTCCATTTCGACCCTTCCCCTACACCGGTAACTAGAGGGTTTCTATTTTTAATATCGAGATGGACTTCTCTGTTAATAATTAAGAGCCATCTTAGGTTGATCTCATATATCTTCCTTAAATCCACACTTATACTGAAAAGTTGGTCTCTCTCTTTTAAAGGTTTTTTACAATATTTCCTTCCCTTTAAATAAATTTTCCGTTTTTCACCAATCTTTTAACCCTAATTAAAAAAAATTTTCAAGGTTTCAAAATCATCGTTACAAAACCAAAAAAGGTCCAGAAGAAGGGGAAAACAAATTAAATATGATGAATATTTTAAATATCCAACAACAACAAACAAATATTCCAACAGACCCCATAGATCCAATAAATGCAAATTCTTCCACATATCAATTAAGAAGATATGGAAATTATTCAGAAAATGAGGAAAGAATTGAAAGAAATAATGAAGAAATTTTAAATATTGGAATGAATTTTAATAATTATTTTAATGAATGGGGAAACGATGGAAATTAGAAAATTAAATAAAAATTATTAAAGAAATTTTTAAATTTAAATCCTTCCGCTTCCATCTATTTTATTGTTTTTGGCGTTGTGTAAATAGGAAAAATCGTCTTTGCGCGATCCAGCAGACGGGAGTATCTCAAAAAAGCTTGCGGGACAGCCCGCAAAATCCCGCAAATCGAAAAGAATGCGGGAGCTGTATCCCGCAAAATCCCGCGCGGGATCCCGGCCCTCACTAATACACATACCGTATAACCTGTATTAATTGCCCTCCCTCAAATAATTACCCCACTTTCATTAATTACCCCATCCAGCGATGGATTGAAACAATAATCACCCCCCAACAAATGCCCTAAAACACGTTCAAATTTAAAACCTCATATAATTACCCTCTCTCTATTAATTACTCCCTCCAGCGGAAGGTCGAAACAATAATTACCAAGGGTAATTATTAAAGGATATACGATAACCAACTCAATTGGAGGGATTGAAAAATAGAACACCGGTGGTTCTATTTGAATAAATGCGGAAAAAAATTATTTTTCTAATTGTAAGGCAGATAGCTATTTAATTCCTAAGGTTATGCAGTAGACGGCGTGCTGGAACTTCTTGATAATTTCAACGCCGCAGAAGAAAAATCTGGAGAATTTTGGAAGGCGAAGAACCATCAAATGGATTACAAAATATCATTATTTTTGTAGATTGGGAAAGATTCCTGAAATTCTCCCCAATTTTTCAAAAAATTTTATTAAAAAATATAAATTTTTTATAAAAATTTTTTAATAAAATTAAATATTAATTTTTTAATCAATTAAAAAATTTAAAGTCATGAGGGAAGGGAAATAAAAAAAATGCCAAACAATAGACGCCGGAAGCAAATAGGGATTTTTAAAGACAATAGGAAAAAAATTAAAGATTAGACAGGAAGTGTAATTTAGTATATTATTGATTATTGAATTTGGAAATAAATTTTGGCTAAGGAAAAATTTTTCAAAAAATTTAATAGGGCAGACAGTCACACTGAAAAATTTTTTTTAATAAAATTTTATACATGACAATGGGTAATAGAGGAAGAGAGGAAGAGAAGGCAAGGAATTTTTTTAAAGAAGGAAATTAGCCTTCAAACTACAAAAATCGTTTGTCAACGCCTACTCGAAGATTAAAGATTATTAAATTCTGTTGAATTCTTTTACTATAAAAGCCCATCTAAATTAGCACTTAGCAAAATTCAAAACATTCCAAATATTCATTTTGCCAAAGAAAAACTTTTAAAAATGTCAAAATTCTTTTTTGTCCTTGTAATAGTCGCTATTGTTTTTATTCATTGCTGTGATGCTAATAGAGAGGGGGAGAAGAAGAAGGGACGTAGAACATTAAACAAACTAAATTCAATACCTCGTTCGAGTTACCCCGGTCATGCTAATGGTTTCTAAATTAAATTCTTTAACAAATTAAGATTTTATAAACGTTAAAACGTTCAAAACCCGTTTAACATAATAATCAGAGAGAGAGAGTTTTTTAGGTTTTTACTAGAGATCGGAAATTTTGAAAAGCCTGGACCTGTTCCTGCGCTCTGGGTTTGATTTATTGACCTGGGCCGGGTCATGGGCCTGTAGTCCAGGAAAAACCCCAGGAAGGTCAAAAAAATGCCTGGGCCTGGACTCTGGGTGCAGGAAAAACCCAGGCCTTGGTCCAGACCCAGGCCGATCTCTAGTTTTTACCTATTTTTTGCGAACTATTCGAAACAATGTAAAAAAATATTTTTAAAAAATATTTTTTAAAAATATTCTTAAAAAAATATTTCCCCTATTTAAAATAGGGGAAAAAACTTTAAAACTAAAAATCTATTTCGGCCTTTATAAACCTCAAAAACTCTTTAATAATAACTGTAAATTTTTTGTTTGATTGTTAAATTCTTATGATCAAAGGACCCCTATAAATTTAAAATGTATGTATATTTCTAAAAATAATTTAAAAAAAATTTAAGTTGAAGAGCCTATAAAACCTGATAGCGATGATGAGGTATTTTTTAAATTAAATAATTTAAGTTTCTAAATAAAATTTTAAATTTAGGACATTTATGCAGATCCGCCAGGTCAAAGAACCCGTATGTTTTTAATAAATTATAGAAAAGAATAATATTTCTAAAAATTTTCTTAACAAATAATTTAATTTTTGAACAGGTAAAATGGAAGATTTAGTAAAGAATGCGCCAAAAAGAAAGATTTGAGGAAAGGAATTGAGTAACGAAAAATTTTTTTGATTTTTGAAGAAAATCCGATACATTCAGTCATATTTTTATTCTAAAATTTTTCTTTTCTAACATGACTAAAAATTTGCATTTTTCTATAAATTGACTTGAAAACACTGATTTATTAGGTTATAAATAGGGATTTGAATCCATTCAAATTTGTTTCTCCATAAATTTGAAGTCCCTCCAACTTTAGTCCTCCCATCTTTATCCTCATTGCTCCCCCAAGGATTCCCTCCAAATCCATCGATGTTTCCTTTGATCGAATTATTCATTTTTGATAATAACTCAATCAAAACTTTGCAACTTTTGAAAAAACTTTTCGGCATCCCCATGTCAAGTCACTATATTGCGGCATCGAATCCGAGTCTCACGTTAATTCTGTTTGGATAAAATTTTCTTTTTATAAATTTCCGCTTCTATTTTATTGTTTTTGGCGTTGTGTAATTATTACTGTATCGAATTACTATAAAAGCTTTTTTAAAATTCCAGATCCTGCAAAAACGATTTTTTGACTTGATTTTTTTGTTTGTTTGGATGTTTTTCTTGTTTATGGGTGATATTTCTTTTTGTTTCGTCTAGTAGCCTGCCGGGACCTGATCCCGCTCCCGGCTGGTACTTATTTACTTGCCCACTCCCGTCAATCTTTTTGGTAAATATGTAAAAAGTCCAGTCAATCTTAGGTTATAAAACTCGTTGAGCTGTCTTGAATGACACCAAAATCCCCCCCCCCCCCCGTCTTAACTTTGGACTGGGATACACACATTTAGGATAAATCCTGCATATGCTGTAAAAACGATTTTACCGTTCTTTAGTTTTGTCTAATGTTTTGTTTAATTTTTTTGTCTAAACCTTTTGATAATTCATTTTTAAGTATTTTTGGCTTTCTTTCAATTAAATCTTATTTAATTCAATAATGAGTTCAATTGGTACTGGTTACGATTTGGATGCCTCTTCATTTTCACCTGATGGACGTGTTTTTCAAGTTGAATATGCAGCTAAAGCTGTTCAAGCAAGTGTGACTGTTATTGCTTTAAGTAGTAAAAAGGGAGTTGTTGTTGCTGTTGATCAACCAATTCTTTCAAAACTTGAGATTGAGGTTTTTTTAATTTTAAAACGTTAGAGAAATTTGCTTTTTGTGGGCATTTTTTTTCATAGTGTTCCTCTTACAAACCGATTTTTCGGGATATTAGTGTCATTGCAAATTTCAAAAGCTATAAAAAAAAGTCCGCAATAAAGGTACGCAAAGAGCATTTTTCCCTCATGTCAGATTTTTTAATATAGGTAGACTATTCTCGGAGGTATAATACACCCTTATTTACGTATACTCTATCAAGTGTTTAACCAGGGTAGGATTTTAAGGGTAAGTATTTGATAGGCCATAGGGTGATGAGATCTGCCTAAATGGACCTCTAACTTCCCCTCAGTTTGCGTATACTTTCGTCCACAAGGGTGCTCGTGGAATCGAGAGATTTGACTTGTCAACTAAATTTTATTTTTAAGGGAGCAAATAGTCGTATTATGCGAATTAATAATAAAATTGGATTTGTTGGATCTGGTCTTTTTCCTGACGTTTTTGCTATTTGTAATTGGGCTAGAGAAGAGGATAACAAGAACTACAAAGAAATTAATCAACATATTTCTGTTAAAAAGCTTGCTGACCTGGTTTATTTTTTGAGAAATAAAATTTTTCAATTTTTTTTAAATTTAAGGTTGCTCAGTATGTCCATGTCTATACACTTGCTACAGACCGTCCTTTTGGAGTTTCAGTTTTTATAACTTCTTGGGACCAAAAGGTGAAATTAAATGTTTTTTTGTTTTTTTTTCTAATTTGCTTTTAAGGAGGGCTCGTCAATTTATTGCATTGAGACATCTGGGCAATGCTATAAATATTTTGGATGGGTTATTGGGTTTGTTTTTTATTGACATTTCGGTCCTTATTTACTTTAATTACACACCCCATTTATTCGCAAGATTACAAACAAGACCACACTCACAGGGGAACATCGTTTACTGTCAGTGCGAATTTGTAAATAAAAATTATACCATCGTGTAAAGTGTAGTCGATAACCTAATGTGTTTCCGGCTTTTTTTTGGCTCTGACCCTCATTTCGAAAAGTTATAGGGTTCCAAAGTTTTCGACTTTTGGAGCGATCAGTCTCCCTCATTTTTCCTAATAGAAATTTTTCTCTTTCTAAAGAGAAAAATGAGACTCGCTTTCTTCTTTTTCCTAGGGACACGCCCAAGTAGGCGCGCGGCCATGTAGGCGCAAAGCCATAACTACCTGCAAAATTTCTGGACCTTAATAATTTTGTTACCATTCTCTTTAGCACGATGAGAGGAATCGTTTAACACTAAATTTGACAAGATTCGGGAATCTTGAAGCAAGTTATGGCATTGCGCCTACTTGGCCGCGCGCCTACTTGGGCTGTACCCTTTTTCCTATGTTATTGCGTAAAAAGCTGTTGTCTCTCGCCGACTTCAATAGGGTATTTGACTATTTTGAGCTTGCGAATAAATGGGGTTACTTTAAGAAATAGTTACCAACTTTTCAAAATTATTTCTCAAAACGTTAAAAAATTTTTTTTATTTTTTAAGAAAAAATGCAGTGTCAGCAAAATCAGAAATTGAAAAAATTAAAGGATTGGGGGAAGATTGCAAATTGGGCAAACAGGAATTAATTAAACATGCTATACATGTTTTGTTGACGACTAGAGATGAAGGATCGACTGGACATCGAATTGAAATGGGTTGGATTGGGGAAGATTCGAATAATGGTTTTGAGGTTTTTTTGAAATTTTAATTGAAAATTATTTAAAAAAATTTTTTAGCAAATTGACCAGTCAGAAGTTGTCAAATTAGAGAAGCAAGTTAGTAAGGAAATTGAAGAGGAGGACGATTAGAGAATTTGTTAGATGTTTTGTTGTTGTTCTGATTTTGTGCTAAAAATTTTTAATGAAAAATTTTAAAAAAATTATTCGATTATTTTTATAAGAATTTTTAATAAATTTTTTTATACTTTTTCACATTTTTTTATTAATCAAAGTATTTTTTTTGGATTTTATAGAAAAACAATTTTCCGTCTTTTTTACAAGCAAGAATGTTGTCAGAACCTTTGAAGGAAGCTGAAGGGCCCGAAGAAGGCCAAACTACTGCATATGAATATTACAAACGTATAGGTCTGTACTCTTATTAAATCTATAAAATTTTTGTAAAAATGTCCCGGACTCCGATTCGGGAGGCTAATATATTTTATTTGAAAGAACGGCTAGATGTGTCGAGTCAGGCCCGTAGCCAGGATTTTCGGGGGCCAGGGGGGCATTTTCTTACCCCCCTGGCTACGGGTCTGAGTCGAATGACTTAAAATTAATCTCGTTCAATAATTGGAACAAAGCTTAATTTTGTTGTCGTTCGACTCAACTCGTTGAGCTCTGCCGTATGACATTGTCTGTCCAAATAGGAGATATTAACTTTTTTAGTTAATGAACTTAACTTGTCTGGTGCTTTTTATCGTCAAAAGGATGTTTCTCAACCTGCAAAGGATTTTATTACTTCAACAAATAAGGACCCAGTCTCTTTACTGAATATTTATTCAACAATTAGTGGAGAAGTACCTTTTAAATTTTTTGAATATGAATTGGTTGGACGTCCTGACAAAAAGTTTTCTTTTCTCTTTTAGATTTTTTTTAATTTTTTCTAGTAAATTTCTGATTGTTTCTGAATTGGATGGCCAACCAATTTTTGGTTTTCCTTCGGCGTCCAAAAAAGATGCAAAAAAGACCTGTGCTGTTTGTATTCTTGAAAAGCTTTATTTGGAACAACGCGTTTGATTTTTCTTTATTTTTGCTTCATTAAAAAATCAATTTAAGCTCAATTGTCTGAGCAGCACTGGACGAAAACTCAAACATCCAAATCGCCATCCTCGTCCACTTCCATTTACTCCTGTTCCAAAACTGGATGAAGATTTGGGCAAAATTAGCGCTGAGTTTTACCAACAGCCTCTATCTGTCGATCCGCAGATGGCTTTGTTTGCTGAGGATGTTGATTTTGATGGTCCGATTGGTCCTAAACTTTTGGAAATGAAACAGGTTTTTTATATAATTTTTGGTTATATTCTTCAGTTGATACAGGCAAAAATTTTGGGGATTGTAGGTGAAGAAAATCTGGCTACGAGCTCGAATCAGCGAATTTTAGTATCCGGCCCGGCTCTATTTACGAATCCTTATTAGACTCCAGAAGAATTGATTATCCGAACACTAGTATTCAGACCCGTAACCAGAATTTTTTCGGGGGAGGGCCAAGGTGGGAAAATTTTCCTGCGCTTAATTTTTGGCGCCAAAAAAGGCCTTCTACCCCTTGGTTGTGGGCCTGCTAATAGTCATTAGTTGATGTCAGATTCCTCGGTTTTGCTTTTTTTTTAAATTACGTCTAGTTTGATTGGTTTATCTTTTGTGACAAGATTTTTTTCTATTAAGCAATAATGTCTGCAATTTTAGAAATTTTGTCCGCAAAATTTTGTATTTTAAAATTATTGCAGAACTTTGAAGAACAAAATCCAATGCCATTAGATTACAAAGACAAGGAGAAATATGAAGATGTTCGCAACAGAGCTTTTAAACTTTTTTGTGAAAATGCATTTTGGGCTGAGTTAAAATTGTGTGAAGCTACAATTGAAAAGCTTAATGCAGCTGGAATGTGGCATGAAAATTGGAATTCTGTTGCTTATGTTAGCCAATGTATTATGCGTTTAAATTCTTGGAGAATTAGAGAAATGAATGAAGAACAGAAACAACAGCAGGAAGAAACGACTGGAGGGTTTGAAATTAATTTTAAATTTACATATTTAGTATAACCTGAAGAAAATCGGGATATTGTCTGTGGGGCATTTACGGGTTTTTCCCATTTTTTTGTTTTTTTCCCGCTTTTTTGATTTGTTTTTGGCATCTATTTATTCATTAAAAGTCCACAAAACAAGAAAATAGGCAAAAATCATTAGATGGGAAAACCCCGAAAAAGTCTTTAAAGCTGCTAATTCTTTCAATAATTATATCTTTCTTTAACTTTCAACGAAATTTTGTTTCGAAAAATTTTCGGTGAATTTCTTTTTAAATTACTGGAGAACCTAGCCAAAATTATTTATTTTATACCAAGTTCCTTTTAATTATTATAAATTTTTTAGACAGGAGAAATCGGAACAAATGGAAATTAAAGAACCGAAGAAGGTGGAACTTCCAGAATATTTTGTCTTTACATTGCCATATCTTCCTCCGTAAGAATTTTTTGAAAAATTTTTCAAGTTTGAATTTTTTAGACGTTATGCTTGTGTTGCTTTATTCAATGAAGGATTTTTTCATGGTCAAATTTCTAACTCAAAATCAAAGGCAAAAGCTTGTTGTGCTGTAGTTATTGCACAACATTTGATTGAAAAGGGTTGGACTAATCTTGGTAAGAAGAAAGTTGAACGTCCAAAATCTGTTAAAAGTCGGCCTACTCAAAAGAAGCGAAAGAAGGAACCGTCGGAGGTTTTTTTATTAAAGAAAATTTTTTTATTAATGAGTGAAAACGATGAAAAATCTCTTAAAGTTAGGGAAAAAATAATGGCTCTTGTTTAAATTATGCGTCAAATCGACTTTTACACGTCCACTCAAATTTTTATGAGTACAATGAAAAGTTTATATGTCCAATCAGCTTTTTACGCGTCCAATCAATTGCGATAAGTAACCGGTTCTGCACTTTAGTATCATAAAATCGTAGAGCTCTACTCACCCAGAGTTTTGGTACACACCAGGGCTGGGCTAAATCTAGAAATAAAATGTGAAATTAGCCCAGCACTGGTACACACCAGCACTGGTACATACCGGACCTTATGTTCTAGCACGCAGAGCCTGGTACTTATCGCCATACATTAGACGTAGATTAGAAAAATATCTAAATTTGTTTGGACGTATAAACTTTTCATTGGACGTATAAAGGTGCGATTGGACACATAATCTGGACAATAGCCAAAATAATGTTAGTAAAATAATTTTTTATATTTTTAAAGGAAGATTTGGTATCTATTGAAACTAATTCATCTGGAATTCGTCCAATAGAATTTCAGCCATACCAATTCCTTTTGACATTACATCCAAATGAAAATCTTGATCCTCGTACACATTTTCTTCTTGCGACACATGCAAGTAAAAACGCAACGGTCCTTTTAACTGAAATTTGTGCAAAGTATCGATTGGGGGCGCTTAGCTATAATGAGATTAGTGAAGTTGGACCGAGGTTATTTTTTATTTTAATTATTAAAGTTTTTCCATTACCTCCGCCAGTTACGCTCTTGGATATGAGGAAAATAACACTAGAAAAGTTTTATGTATTAATATTGTCAAAAGTCAAAGGCCTGTTTTAGAGTTTTAATAGTTTTCCTTTTCCATTTAGAAAAAAAGAAAAAATTTAGGCTCTGGTCTGGTTTAGTAGTCCAATGAGGGTTTATGAGTCCGTTCAGAGTTTACGAGTCCTATGAAGCTTTATGAGTCCGAACGAAATCCTATGTGTTCACAAGGGCGTAGCCAGGGGGTCGACTTCGGGGGAAGGGGGGGGGGGTAGGATCCCCTTGGATTTTATGAGTTTTGCTTGTTTGAACTTTTGATGAGACTTATAAACTTTTAATTAACTAATAAACTTTCAGTGGACTACTAAACTAGAGCAGAGCCAATATTTATTTTTTAAGATTCATTGCTGATGCAATAATTTCGCCATATCCAATTCCTGGTGTTCCATTGGAAGTATTGGGTGGACCTCTATTTCAAGCGCGAGGTGTGCCAGAAAAGAATAAGAAAAATGCAAAGGCTTCAGCTTCGCGTGCTGCACTTGATATTTTGGTTCGCAAAGGGACAATTCAAATTAATGAGGTTAAATTCTTTTGGGTTTTCTTTAAAAATTTTAAATTTTCAGCAAAACTTTGATGAGTTCAAAACGTTTGTTAAGGCATTATTTTTTGAGGATATTCCGTCAATGGCCCAGGAAAATATTTATAATGAGAATGTTAATAGAGCTGAAGTTGTTGTCAGCACAAACTCGTAATTATTTTAAATTGATTAATGGTAACTTTAAAATGCCAATATTTGATGGTTAATTATATATTTTTTCTCTTTGTAAAATCTATTCAAATTTTTTGTAAAATTATCTTAAAATATTTGGATTTTATTTGGTAAAAATATTCTTGAAAATTATTTTAAATCTATTTTTAAAATATACAATATTTTTAAACTACAATAAAATCTGGTCAGGATTTTTTGAATATGAAAAGACAACTTTGGTGAATGTATTTTACTTAAAAATATGTCAGAAAAAAAGGAGGTTCATAATTTACTACTATTAGTGGAGAATCTTTTAAGATGGGAAATTTGGGTATATTTTAGAAAGCAATGCCAATACTGATAAAAAAAATAGAAAAAATCAAAAAATTCGAAACAGGGGTGCCAAGACTTCCTACTTTGACTTTAAAAAGCAAAATTCCTTTGACATTCCTGAATCGAATGGAAAACCTCAGGCCTTACTGTTAGAATTTTCTTGAGAAAAGAAAGGCCTCAAAAATTCACTAAGGCCTCAAAAATCAATTAATTGTCATCGAAAACCAATTTTCAATTTTTTCCATTCCTCTTTTGTCTGTTTCACACGTCAACTGATTCAACTTGATACGGGTTTCACACAAGGGGAATTTAACTTTAAGATTCCCAGAGTGCCAAATTGAGACATCTAAAGAAATTTCATTGACAGAAACTCCGTGTAGAATAACATCTTTTAGTGAATAACAAATCTGTTAAATTGAGGGGAAATTTTAGAAATAAATTTCAAAAAAACCTCTTGATTATATGTTGGATTTTGTGTATTTTTAACAACTCTTGTCTTTCTTTTCCAATAACGAGGGGCAAACAAAATACTGTCATCCTCCTCTCCCCAACGCAAATAAGTTTTTACATAACTGTCTGGGGATTGATCACGGCTAACTAAAGGTAGATTTCTTGCATGACCAACAAAGATGCGTAAATCTGCTTGATCTAGTAAAGTAATCCGAAGAAGTACTTGACAATGGAAATTTAAATCGGGCAAAATGTCTGGTATGCCTGTGAAAGAGAATATTTTTTAAAAATTATTTAAAAAGATTGTTTGGAGTAGACTGAAAATTTTTGAAAATTTAACAGAATTTTTTAGAAGTTGTCGGTCATTTTAAAACCAGAAAGACTGGAAATTCTAATATAAAAATGAAGATAGAACAAAATTGTTGTTACTTGTCTATTTAAAAAAGGATTTTGTCAAAACCTTCTAACATGACATTCTTCGAGAGAGGGGTCGTGTAAGGAGGATATAGCGCCAAAGAGCTTCGAATAGGGTTGGCAGTTCAATGAAGTATTCGAATACCTAGAGCTAATATCCGAAATGAAAATTTTGGATACCTATTTTCCGGTTTCGGATATGCGGAACTGACAACTCTAGCTTCGACTGGTTGCAACACCAACCCCCTCCTATTTTTGGATTAAAAAAATAAAAAATAAACCATTAATCTTCCGACTTTCAGGTTCAGTATCACGAAAGAGAGGATGCAAAAAAGTATAGACCAAATCACAATGTGCAACTTCATCAGAAAGTTTAAACAATTTTTGAAGAAAAACTTGAAGTTCAGGCTTAAAAACAAAAATTATATTTTATAAGAAAATTTCTAAATTTACCACACGTCGAATAGCCACTTCTCTAACATTTGTTCTTCCAAGAATCGTAACAGTTTGGGATAGGGAAGGAATGGCTCTAATAGAAAAACGATAGCAAAGTTTTAAGCGAAGTTCTTCAAATTCTTGATATGATCTTTAAAAAGTTTTTTTAGAAAAATTTTTGGGGAATCCAAAAAAATAGGAAAATTTTTGAAAAAAAAATTCAAAAAATTTTTAGGAAAATTTCTTCAAAAAAATTTTTAGAAAATTTTTGGAGAATCGAAAAAAATTCGAAAAATTTTCGAAAAAAACCCAAAAAATTTTTAGGGAAATTTCTTCAAAAAAAAAATTTTTTTTAGAAAATTTTTTAAAATTAAACCTGTAAATCTCTGTCGGGACATTTTCATTTACCCTTCTAACCAACAATTTATACATCTAAAAATTCAAAAAAAAATTTTTTTAATCCCAATCTCTCTTACATAAACTTTTTTGGAATTTTCTGACCATTTATCAAAAGAGCTAACCACAACAGAATCTATTCTTCCATCATTCTTTTCTCTTTAAAATTTTATTTAGAAAAAAAAATAAAAATTAAATTTACGTATATATTTCAGATATAAACGATAATCTATTCATATCATCAACCTTTGAAACTCCAAAAATTTGTAATGGATTTCCTTTAAATTGAGCAATTGTATGTGCCAAAAAGTTGAGACGAGGGAACCAGCCTTTGAAAAAAAGTTTTTAACTTTTTATTCGACTATTATAGTACATCTGTACCTCACTATAAGACACCCTCAGGGCTAGAAAATTAATCTTATGAAAAAGTATATATTAAATTGCAAGGTATTTTTACAGTGAGCTTATCTTATGTTAGATGAGGGATGCTAAATTGGGGTTATCTCTTAAAACATAAGCTCTTCCAACTCAATGGCCACCCAAATTAAAAAAGTATCTTAATTTGAAGTGTCTCTAATATAGAAGATATCTCTCCATGGTGAGTCCGACTTTTCTTTTAATAAAAGAGAAAAAAAAACATTACAGAATTAAAAATTTTTTCTCGCTTACTTTGTAACGATTCTTCAAGTTTTTGTGTAAAAAGAACTTTAGCTTGAACATCATTCATATCTAACATTAAATTATTTTCTACATAATCCTTTAAAAAATAAATTATTTTTTAATTAAAAAATCCAAGCAAACCACAGATTCCATACACATTCCAGGAATATCAGAACAAGAAAGAAACCTAATCATATTTAACAAAATTGGACGATTTTTGCGTAATAAATTAAAAGCTTCACAACATTCATCAACAAAACGTTGAAAATTTTCTGTTGTATTTTGACCACCATTAATAGCAAAAGCCATTTCCTTTGTAAAAACAAATGGGACTCTGTCACTAGAAAAATATTTTAAATTTTTTTTAATTTAAAAAGATTCCAAGTTTTACCGGCTAAATATTCCAGCCATTTGTTTATCACCCATATATTTTCCAAAATCTATATGAAACATATGCCCAGTTGTGGTCAACATAATGTTGTCATTGTGCCTAGAATAATTATAAAAATGATTTTAGTTTAACTATTTGTAATGATAAATAATAGGAAAAGAGAATTTTGAGGATTAAGGAGACATAGAAACTTGCGTATACTTGCGGATCTGTAATACTTGCGGATTTGTAAATTTCTAGCCTCAAATATAGATCGAGATGGTTGATCTATATTTGAACCAAAGCCTGGAATTCCCTGTAGGATCTGTTAATTTATAGTCTCAATGTCAAATATAGATCGAGATGGTTGGCATTGACCAAAGCCTGGGTTTTTCTGTAACTAGAGTTAAGAGGCCTTAACATTTTTGGAATTTCCTGTGTCTTTCCTGAACTGGATCCAGTCCCAGAGATCCCAGCTCTTTTTTTTAATTCGATCTCGAATCCGCAAGTTTTAAAGAATAAATTAAAGAAATAGTTCAGAGACGACAAACCTATCTCCAATTCCTAAAATATAAGTTGCTACACACCAACCAGCACAAGAACGTCGAAAGTTTTCTAGCGCCGCTTTATATTGAAATTCAGAAGAATTATTTTTTCTAAGCCAATTAAGGAGAACAATATCTTCATATACAGCTTTAACTCCCGTACCCATCTCTTCTTGAATTTCTTTTATAGTGCGACAATCTGGGACTAGTTCGATCTGAAAATTTTGATATTAGAAGAAAATCATTTAAATGTCGTGACCCGGCGATAAAAGGAAAGCTAAGAAAAAGGTGATAGAGAACGACCAAAAATAGTAACAACACCAGATTCACACCAGTCAATAAGTAGTTGAGTGACCCAGGTTTGTGTGTAAATCTCGAGGCAGTCTTGCCCAAAGTGTGAGCTTTTCTTGTATTCAGGGGCCAGGCCCAAATTTTTTTAGAGCTCCCTAGGTTCTTCTAAAAAAGAAGCCGGGCCCAAGTCAGTAATTAGAACCATTGATTTTCTAGAATTTTTTCAAGAAAATTCAAGAAAAAATTCAAAAAAGCAATTTTTCATTTAAATTTTCTAAAAAAACAAACCAATCCTTTATCCTTTCCTGTAGGCATACACCGAAAAGAAATAATTCTCAAATCGAGTTGTTCACTTAACCAGATATCATTCATAACACGCACTAATTGAGTAACAACAGCATCTTGTCTTAAATCATCTCCAGCCTTTAGAAAAAAATTATTTTGAAAATATTTATTTAAGAAAACCTTATAAATTATTCCAAAAGAATTACGTTTGCCTTTAAAAACTATTTTTATTGGTTTTGTTTTTGAACTGAAAATTGAACAGTCATCTATCTAAAAAAAGGAAAAAAATATTAAAAAAATATTTTTAAAAATTAGGATTCCAAGGAGCATCTAGCCGAAAGTTACGTAAATAAAAAAAATAAAATTAAAATATTCAGGAAGCTCAAGACTTGCGAAATAGTCTATTTTTAGAGCTTCCTAGGTTTTTCCTGGACTCAAGCCCGGCACAAACTAAAGGCTAGAATTAAGTATTGCAAGTTGTTATAACCCAACTAACAAGGGAACCTATCGAACTGTCACCAAAAATTTCGTAAATATTTTTGCACCATCGTGTAGGGCATGGTCGAAAACTTATTGTAATACCTCAATTTCGAAAAGTTATAGGCGTTCAAAGTTTTTGTAAACAATTTGTAGAAAAAAGAGAAGGACAATGAAAAAGAACAAAGAAACCCTTCAAAAGACTAGAAGATTCACAAAAACAAAAAACCCTATAAATTAAAAGCAAACTCTTACCGATAGCGATTTGCAACAAAAAGAAGTAGCAATTGGAATGCGTAGATTAGAAAAATCAAAAACATCCAAAAATTGAAAAAGTTTTTTTTTTAAAGTTTTAGTCTAAAAAAATATTTTCAAAAAATTTTATTTAAAATTTAAAAATACCGCTGAATCTCCACATTCCTTAACTATTAAAGAAATTTTATCAATTTTATCCAAAAATTGTTGTTGAAAAGCTATTTCATCTTCCAAGCTTGGTATGCCTAAATCTAAAAGCATTTTTTGGAGTAATTTGCAACGTGAAGCAAATGAAGGACTTTTAACATCTTGAATTCTTGTTTGAAGCTGCCTAAAAGTTAAAAAAAAAAATTTTAAAAAATTCAAAAAAATCTTCTAAAAAACCAAAAAAGTTCCAAAGCAAATCTTCTATCTTTAGTTGAATGCTCCAACAAAAACAAAGCCAAAGCAGAATCTTCAAAAGTTTCAAAGCGTAGAGCTTCCACAAATTGGGTAATTAAATTAAAAATAAATTCAGAAGAAGCCTGCTTAATTGATTTAATAGCATATTCACGGACATAACGATCTTGAAAACTGAAAAAAATGGCAAAATTTTAAAGTCAAAATATCCAAAAAAGACTCACTTCGGTAAAAGCAACTCCAAAGCAATTATTGGAGGCAATGGCGCCCATTTTTTAAGAAGAGCATAAATATTGCCCAAATTGTAAGTACCCCATGTAGCAGAGCTGAGAACGAGAGGTAAGGCACTTGGGAATTGATGAAGAAAGTGACGTTCAGACCAAAGAAGTTCGCGATCGTCTTTGGTCAATCTAAAAAAGGAATTTTTAAGAAAAATTAATTTTTGAAAGCTCACTTAAGGCTAACAGCACTATCTATAAGGCTTTGTAAAACTTCTTGTTTTTCAGGTTGTAAGGCACCAAAATCACGCCAATGCCTAAAAATTTTTAAAACTATTTAAAAATTTACTAAAAAATATTACACTTCACTAGGAGTTATATCCATCGGAAATCGAATTCTATAATCATATTCTAACGCTTTAACAAATAGAATGATTTCATCAGAATCGCTAATTAAAGGTCTAGGTCCCCAAGGGTGAACTGTATCATTATTCATTTGGCACATTGGAACAAGTAGAGGGCCTTGAAGAAGGAAGCTGAAAACAGTAAAACTAAGTTTAAAATTTAAAATTGAGTCTCTGACATAACCCACCTCTCGGAAAAATAAATCTAACGGGCAAGGGCGTATCCAGGGGGGGGCTGGGGGGGGGCTAGAGCCCCCCCCCGAAATGGGGGAAAGGGGGAAAAAATTAGGAGAAGGATGGTCGAAAAAGTGAAATTTTTTCGCCTACAACCCTCCAATTTTAAAAAATTTTCGCCTGCGGCGCAAAAAATGGAAGAAATCTGGCTGCTTGAGCTCCAAAATCCTCAAAATTTTCGCCTGCGGCGCTAAAAAGTGAACTTTTTTGGCCTACGGCCCTCCAAATTAAAAAATTTTCGCCTGCGGCGCTAAAAATGAAGAAATCTGGCTTCTTGGGCTCCAAATTCCAAAAAATTTTTGCCTGCGGCGCTGAAAAAGTGAAATTTTTTGGCCTACGGCCTTCGAATTTAAAAAAATTTTCGCCTGCGGCGCAAAAAACTGAATTTTTTTGGCCTACGGCCATCTAAAATTAAAAAAATTTTCGCCTGCGGCGCTGAAAATATAAAAAGTTATGTACAAAAAAAAATGCCGTAGGAACGCCAAGGTAAACGCCAAAAATTTTTGCGCCCACCCAGTGTTAGCCCCCCCCGAAACCGACCCCCTGGATACGCCCTTGCTAACGGGATAAGTAAGAGATTTGGATAAATAGAGAAGTGACCAACACTAGAAACAAGTCAGAGATGTGCCAAAAGATTTTAAAAAGCAAAAAACGAAAAGGTGGAAGTCAAGAAAAGAGCCGAAAAGACGAAACACAAAAAAGGTGAAATTTTGGCTCAGACTTATTTCAGGCACACCCTTGAAAGAAGTCTGCCTTAGCTTTGCTTAAGGCAATTAAAAAGTCAAACTCTCCGACTGAAACAAATTGTGAGGTAATATAAGTTAAAGAGACCCCAATATATGTAAAAAAATCATACCCATCAATATTAAATAAAGGTAAATTGGCAAAAGCAAGTCTTTTCTCATTGTTTGTATTGTTTGTTAAAGTTAAATGTTCATTGCTTAAATAATGTGGAGCAATTAAAGAACTGCTGCTGCTACTAAATAATTCATTATGTGTTGTTGTTGAACATTCATCTCCAACTACGGGGACACCACACAAAATAAAACATATTTGAACTTCACGAGGCAGATAAGGGATGTAAACATCAAAATCATTCTGCAAACAAAAAATATTTTTTTTAATTTTGTTAGGTCCAGAAAAATTTCCAAAAGGCAAAGAAAATGTTTTTTAAACACCCTAGTAATGTCTTCTTAAAACTTTTCATAAGAGCTTACTTCTCTCCATCTCAAACAAAAAACAACCCAAATCTTAATTTAGTTTCTAACAAGGGCGTAGCCAAGAAGGCTTCTGGGGCTAAGACCCCCCTCCTACCCACCCCCCGGTGTCCGGAAAATTGGGCTCTGGAAAATTGGGCTCTAAGATTTTTCGGAAATTTGGGCTCCAACTTTTCTGAAAATTGGGCTCCAGCGGTAATTTGGGCTCTGCGTGAAAAAATCGGAATATTGGGCTCTAAAATTTTGGGCTCCGGAGGAATTTTGGGCTCTGAGGAAAAATGTCAAATTATGCAAAAATTGGAGATGAGTCTTCGAAATCGGGAGATTTTGCGTGTACGCCCAACTGTTCTTGGAAGGAATAGGATTTCTTTATCAAATTCCACTGAATCGGACCGACCAATTTGAACCAATTTGAGTATACTTTAAAGAAATAGGGCCAAGTACTTACCCAGACCAACTGGCCGTAGGTTCCGAACCCAGAAATCGACTTCGCTCCGTAGGTTTGCATAATTTGACTTTTTTCCTCAGAGCCCAAAATTCCTCCGGAGCCCAAAATTTTAGAGCCCAATATTCATTTTTTCACGCAGAGCCCAAATTACCGCTGGAGCCCAATTTTCCGAAAAGTTGGAGCCCAAATTTCTGAAAAATCTTGGAGCCCAATTTTCCAGAGCCCAATTTTCCAGAGCCCAATTTTCCGGCACCCCCACCCCCCCCCCCGAAATGGGGGAAGGGGAAAAATTTAAGGAGGGGCTGGCTACGCCATTGGCTTCTGAATAAATTCTAAACTTATCCGTCCCCGAAAGTCAAGGAAATTTCATTACTTGGCTTTTATTCTGTCCTCTAAAATGTCCCCCTCCCTCTCCCTTCCAATAAAGAACAACCTTAATTTTAATTAAAAAAATTTTTTTTCCATACCCAAAGTTGAAAAGGCACAAATTTAAAGCCATGTTTATTCACAATTTGTTTCGCCAAACTTTTACAACGGCCAAAAGAATTTGGACCATACATTAAATGCATTTCAAGGTAAAAAGACTTGTAAAGAGATTTCCAAGAGTTTGGCAAATTGTGTGCAGATTCAACACTTATAAGCAATTTCTCATTGCAGAGAGCACTATCTCGAATTGAAGAGGATTCAATTAAACCCAAGGGGTCTGTATTTATTGAAAAATCTGCTAGAGAAGAACAACAATAAGCACGAAAAAGATGAATTAATGAAGTTATTATAAAATTGACTGCTTCGTGTAATAAATTTAAATTGTTGGCTGAATAAAGAAGATCAATAGCAGAAACAAGTTCTGATGTTTGGACGTTGTTTGTTCTGTTGGTTAATAATCTGGAAAAAATAAAAATGTTTGTTAGGTTAAAAATTTAAAAAATTTGTAAGTGATTCGCATATTAAATTTTATATTTTCGTTGTTGTGCCCCCCTCCTTCTTCTCCCCCTATATTTTCTCTCCAGTTCTGCTCTCTCCCACAATTTCATTTCTGACAACATTTAGCTAATAAATTTATTGTTAGGTTAGTTTCATTTTCCTTGAAAGTCGTCTCATGTCAAATGTATGTTTTTGGTATCATCCGATAGAGCATAGTCATTAACCTATTGCCAATCTTATTCGGATTTATGGCTCCGGAGTTATTATCCTATAGTTGACCTTCAAAGTCATAATTTTGACTTAAACTTCATCTAAAATTTCGGTTTTTTCTCCCAACCACTTTATTAGCTCATTTTTTAATTTAATTTCTTACTTAATAGATTGCAGAACAGGCTGACGTAATTTTTTATCCTCTGGATCAGCTAAACAATTAGTTAAATGTTTGGTCAAATTTTGGACTAAATTGGTAAACAATTCCTCATTCAACGTCTGATTTGTTGAAATTGTTCTTCAAAAAATAAATTTTAAAATTATTAAAAATTTTACCAAAAATAAAATTAAACCTTGAAATTAATCTATTATTAGTTTTTATTTTTGGCAATATTTTACGACCAACTTCCAAATCCACATCTTTTCCACCCGCTAAAAATTGTGCCACAAATAAATTTTTGCCTAAAAAAAATTTTCTTATTAGAAATCATTTTAAAAAAACCTATTGGTGCATCTGGAACTAAAAATTCATCAGTCCCAAACACTTTTAAAGCATAATCGTTAAGCGGGATTTGGCCTTCATTACGCTGAATTTCTTCTTGTGAAAGCAACCTTATCAATACTTCAAGAAGAATTTCATCGGTAGTTTTCTTAACAGCACAAGCTAACTCGAAAGATTGCAATTCTTCAGGTGTATCTCGGGGCCATCTAAAAATATTTTTAATAAATAAAATTAGATAATGAACAGGGAGGGGATATCTCTCTCTCCCGGCTCCCACTTTTAAAAATGATGAAAAGCCCGTCCTTGTTATTGAAATTTGAAAATGGTCAATAAGACGAAAATAAAGGGGGGGAATTTTGTGAACTATAGAATAAGCCAAAAAGACAGGAAAATTTTTTATTTTTACTTCGCCTCTTCGCAGAATTTTTTTTAATTTAGTAAAAAAACAATAAAAATTTAACAAACGTATCGTCTTGATGAATATGTAATTTAATTGTGTCAACTGGTGTTACAAAATAATCAAGTACTGGAGCAAGAAAGAAAACATTTTGCGAATTATTATTTGAGCAAGTTCGAATTCGAGGTGAACGTTCATAAAGTAATTGTTTCTTTAAAAAAATTTAATTTTAAAACAAACTAAATATTAAAACAAACCTCTTTGTAAAAATCACAAGACAATTCTTGACGTGTATTGAAGTCATCACAAGCGAGTAACCTTTAAAAGATAAAATATAATAATAACTCTATGAAATTTAAAAATTATTTGACATGGAAAATAAACTCTAAAAAATTCTAAAATAAATTTTTGGAAAATAAAAAAAAATTAAATTAGGTAATTTTAATTTATTGCAATTTAATACGAACCCTGGCCGGTCCGGAACAGGGTTCCCAAACACGGAAAGTTTTAGCAAAGAAAACACTGCCACAGTTTGAAAAAAATAATAACTAGGATACCGAGCCCGACAATGTGAAAATTTCGAACTCCAAAAATCAGTAACGAAAAACTCGAGTATCGGTCAGGATACAAATTTGAGTTAAAATTATCTTAATTGAATTTTAAAAATTACAGTTTGTTCCAAAATTATAGTTATTATCAATTTAAAAATTTATAAAATTTTATAAAATCCCTACAAAAACAGTACCTTTGTTGATGCAGTTGAGGTTGTATTTTATTAGAATTATTATCAGTTGTTGCTTCATCAACACATTTATTAATATTCTCTTCAAAATTATTTCTTATTTCTTCATTTGTATTCCTCTGTTGATTCTCTTCATTTTTTTCCATTTCACTTTTCTGCAATTTTTTGTAGAGAGGATCGAACTTTAAATGAAAATTTTTTTGTTAAAAAATTCACAAAAAAAACTAACCTCCTCAATAGTCAAAGAAGATGCTTTCATGGGTGACTGTAAATCGATCAAATCTCCATTTTGGAAAGGAATTTTGAGTGAAGAGGAGGAATTTGAAGAATTCTAGAAAAAAGTTTTTTAAGAGGAATTTAAAAAATATTATTTTAATTTTTAAAAAATTTCAAAAATTCCTGAAGCAAATTTTAATCAAAAATTCAAACCTTTTCTGGCGTTTTTACATCCGTCTGAACCGATAGAGGATTAATCAAGTTTGAGTTCATTAAAGCCAATGGAGTAGGTTGAATAAAATTAGTAGACCAAAAATCGGGAGAGTTTGGAACAGAGGCGGAAGTTGAGGGGAGAAATTGTTCTGAAAATTTAAAATAAATTTTTAAGGAAACTTGGCAATCCCGGAGAATAGGGGTTTCTTCGAAAAAAATTTTAGAAATAAAAAAAAGATTTTTCTAGGGTGAAATTTACGAATTTTACGAATCTGAGCTCAGATTTTGTCCTTTTTCTCATTTCTAAAATTTTTTTTTCGAAGAAAACCCTATTCTCCGGGATTGCCGAAAAATTGATTTTTTAATTTTTAAAAATTAAAAAAAAATAAAAATTAGCCACGTTCAAAATGTATTGCTGTTGAAGTAGACGGAAGTTGAAATTGTTGTTGATTACACAAGTTTGTTGTAAAAGGAAAAATCTGGCCGGTATATTGAGGTTGAATAAAGCATGGTGATTGGGGTAAATAATGTACAGGGGAAAGTGGGACATTTTGGTATGAATCAACTGGCCTAAAAAAAAGTTTAAGAAACCCCAAATGAATCAAAAAAAAACAACTCACTCTTTTTTAGCGCACAACATTTGTTTAATCTGTTTAATTTTACGATCCTGTTCGAGCACTTCAGGATTCTCTATAATTAATAAATCAACGTCTTCTCGACTTTTTTCTTCTTCTTTTTTTCTTTCTGCTAATTCTTTGAGGTATGTTTGTCTAAAAAATTTTTTTAAATAATAAAATGAAAAAAAATTTAAAACAAACCTACTATATTCTAGAACAAGTTCTAATTCGCGATCGCTCATTTTAATTTGCACTTTCTTACCTTGACAAAAAATGAGTCATTAATCCGCCTACTCGTAAAAGGACGTAAATATTTATTCTCTAACAAAGAGAAATCTTCAATTAACATATACTGAAAAGAAACAATTTTTGAAATTAAATAAAATTTAAAAAAAATTAATTGAGCAACAATTGATAAATCAAAAATTCTTGTTAAAATCTTTGGGACTCAAGTGTCCACTATTTTAACACTTCCGGCGGCCGTTTCAGTGCAAATTTGTTAAGAGTGCACTCGGACAATAAAACTTTTCGCACCAAAACGGACTGATACTTTATAAATAAAATTTTATTCTTTTCGACATTAGAGTCTTGCTTTGCCGATTTTCTTCGTGTTCTTTGATTTTTGTCCTTGAAATCTGAAAAATTTTATTTTTTGCTAACGGTTTGACATTTTTAATTTTTTTATTGCACATTCTAGTCGCTTTGAGATTACTCATTCAAAATAAATTTTCCCATTGTTTTTAAGCTAAAAAGAGAACATATGAACGCTGCTAGTTCATTCCTGAATCGTATGGTGGGAACGGCCGCTTCTTTAGTCAATTCTTCAACACAAAATATATTCACATATAATTTAAACCTTCCTTCTTCACAAACTTTAATGACGAGTCCAAATTGTCCTTTGAATTCTCAGGTTTGTTCTAAAATTTTTAAAAGTTTTTGGTACTTTTGTAGTTTACTGGTCCTTAGCAGGGATCCTGCCGACAAGAAACCAAAATTTCCGATTTCGGGAAATCAGAATCCTGACTCAAAAAACGTCGTGAATTTCCGATTTCGGGAAACGGGACGGCATGATCCCTTCTTCCTAGAAAATTAAATAGGAAGTGATCTTTTGATATTTTTTGGGCCTGCCGGTAGGTAATCGAGTGTACTGAGTCCGAATACTAGCTTAGAATTCAGGTCAGTTCTGGCGTAATTTGAAATGAACAAATTTTAGTTTAACATTCGGATTCATGTCGGCACACTTGATTACCTACTGTCAAACTTCAGAAAGAACACTTTCCTATCATTTTTTTAGGGTTCAGTAAACTAGAACATTACCCCAATTTTTAATTTTTCAGGATCGAAAATCAATAGAAAAATGTTATCATTTAATGGAAACTGTTATTCGATTGTGTCAACAGCCTCGAATGTTTCTCAAAAATTCGCCTCCATTCATTCTCGATATTTTGCCTGACATTTACAATCTTCTCAATATCATTTTGACAAATGATCCAAACATTTTACAAAGCAATCTTTATTTACGGTTATTTATATCTAATTTAACCAATACTTGTAAAAGAACTGTTCGGCTATTTCAAAATCAAAAAGAAAAAATTTTTGATGAGGCGACTACCGCAAGGAGGCAATTAACGATGAATTCGCTAATTTTTTCTCATATGTTTTCTGAGTTAAAAGCAGAATTTCCCGATGGAAAATTTATTGGAAGCCGGTTTAGAATTACTAAAAGACAGGCAGAAGATTTTTGGAATGATTCTTTTGGGGCTGACAGAACAATTGTTTCTTGGGAAGAATTTAGAAATGAACTAAATAAAGTACACAAATTTTGTGTTGGAAATGAGACTCATGCTTTGAAGAATACTATTGATCTCACTTGCAATGGTATAATTTTTAAAAATTATTTTTGAGTCCTCTAACTGTTTGGTAGAAGCCCTGTCCCTTCTCACCTGTGTCGTGGCCTTCCCAAATATTTTCCATGAGGCCCTCCTCGTCTGGAGGGTAAAAAAAGGCCAAAATGACTTACATATATCTATTCTAATTTTCCCTTAACTTAGTTTATGTCAGATTTTATTAGTTTCGCCTCTGATATTTAAAAAATATTTTTCTCCTAGATCACATCAGCAACTTTGAATTTGATGTTTTTACCAGGTACATTTTTAAATCTGTCTCCTAATTTTTCAAATTTTCAGACTTTTCCATCCATGGGATTCATTGCTCAAAAATTGGCAGTGGTTAGCTGTTACACATCCAGGTTGTCTCTTATTTTTTAAATTAAATTTTAATATTAATCTCCAGGTTACGTTGCTTTTATGACTTATGACGAGGTTAAACAACGGCTTCAGCAATATATCAACAAACCGGGAAGGTATTTTTACTTTTTATTTTTGCTTTTTATTCATCCATTTTAAGTTATGTCTTTCGATTGAGTTGCACACGTTTGGGTCAATGGGCAATTGGTTACGTGGCACCTGATAAAAAGATATATCAAACAATTCCGCAAAATAAATCGTTGATTCAGTCTTTGGTAATTTTGCTTTTTTTGTTACTAAGTTTCTTCCGGATGTGGAGAACACGCTTTAGGATTTTACTGTTTTTTGGGTCTGCTCCGATAGGATTTTCCGAAGAAATAAAAAATTTATTTCCCGATATCATCAGATAATCAGGTCGAGCGCGGAATTAAAAAAATTTTTGAATTCAAACAACAATTCGTCACTGATTTCTTTGCTCCCTTCATTGTTTTTATTTCTGATTATCAAAATAGCTAGAATGTCTTTATGTCAAAATAAATTAAAATTTAGTAAAATTTTTCATTTTAGGTTGACGGCAGTCGTGAGGGTTTTTATCTTTACCCCGATGGACGTCCTAAAAATATCGATCTTTCCTTTGCCATCCAATCAAATACTGAAGGCAAAGTGCATGTATCGCCTGAACAATACCAAATTTATTGCGAGATGGGTACAACTTTTGAAATGTGTAAAATTTGTGATGAACAGAATAAAAATGTTAAATTGGAACCTTGTGGACATTTATTATGTCGGCCTTGTTTGCATAAATGGCAGGTTTGCGAAAGAGAAATTTTCCTTGTCTTACTCATTATTCAAAAAATTTTTTAAAGGAAAAATCTGATGGTGAAAAGAATTGTCCGTTTTGTCGTTGTGAAATAAAAGGAACTGAAAACGTTTTAATTGAATCATACAATCCTGCAGACTTTAAAAAAGGTTTCTTTTTATTTTAATTTTGAGTAAAAATTTAATTTTTTTAGAAAATAATTCAATAAAATCCAAAACTTCAACAATTTCTCCCCCTCCTCGTCCAGAAAGGACTGTACAACAAATAATTAATAATCCATTGAATTCACCTTCATCGCCACCTCCAATACCTCCAAAGAGAGTTGGTCAAAGTGGACAAGTTAATGATAAAGAAGAAAATCGTTGGTCTAGAAAATCGTCAAAAATCGAGTTTGCTTTTTTAATTTTTTTTCCCAAAAAATTTTTTAGACAACAAGATTCAACAGAAGAAAGTGCTGGCCCTTCATTTTTAGAAGAACTTTCGAATGCTAGAGATCGTGTTGGACCTTTTGGTGATTTTATGTGTCTCTCTTGGAATAATAAAAATGAGAATGAAATTATTGGAGGAAATGATAGTACAAATAATGCTTCTAGTTCAACACAAGGTCATCAAAACAGAAATTGAAGTTGAATATTTTTATTTTTAATTTTTTGTTCTTTCATTTTCACACACACTTGTGAGGGGTTGAAACTGAACTACACCAGAAAAATTTTCTATCCGATTTTTTCCCGATCCTTGTCTAATTTATTTTTTTTTAAATTTTTTTTGGAACCAAGTTAAAGGGTCAACTAAAGTTGAACCTAAAATATTCTTTTTTTTATTTCTCTACTAGGGGATCGGGTCTACTATATTATTTAAAATTTATAAAGGTCTACTAGAGGATCGCGCAGTACAAATGCCGAAATACTAATTATAGACCCCCAAAAGCTCCCAAAGTATCAAACTGCAGAAATCTTTGCTCTAATTGAGGGCAAGATTTTTCCAATTGCTGAATTTATGGGGGTTGGTATTTCCGCATTTTGTTATTACCGACATCACACATCTGCTGGGGATGAACCCAAAATATTATTTTTCATTTTAAAATTCTTCAATAACTTTCAATATATAACTTTTATCCGAATGGACTCACAGAGGAGCCTCTTAAATCAGAAACAATTAATAATGAAGTCAATAAGTAAAAAACAAAATTTAAAAACCATGGGAATGTAATTGAATTTGTATTTGCTTCAGAAGCAGTTCTTTTATTTTTTGGTGTTTTGGAAGGAATAGGAACATTGACCATGGTTTTTGAATAAGAATTTAAGAAATAAATGTGATTCTTAAATAATAAATCTTAAATTAAAAAAATCAATTAAATTTGAAAATCAAAAATAATGTTTAGGAAACAAATTATATTGAAGTCAATGAAAAAATTGGAACTTTTAAAAACCATGGAAATGTAATAAATTAATATTCGCTTAAAAAGCAGTTCTTTTATCTTTAAGTGTTTTGAGAGTAATGGGAACATTTACCATGGTTTTTGAATAAGAATTTAAGAAATAAATGTGATTCTTAAATAATAAATCTTAAATTAAAAAAAAATCAATTAAAATTTAAAAGTAAAAAAAATAATGTATAGGAAACAAAATATATTGAAGTCAATAAAAAATGGAAATTTAAGAACCATGAACATGTAATAAATTAATATTAGGTAAGAAGCAGTTTTTTTTATTTTTGTGCTTTGAAAGTAATAGGCCCAATGTCCATGGTTCTTAAATAAAAATTTAAGAAATAGATTTGATTCTTAAAGAATAAATCTTAAAATGTAAAAAAAATTAATTAAAATTTGAAAAAAAAATGAAAAAACACTAAGGTCCCGACAACGAAAAAAAAATAAAATAAAAAGTAATTTATGAATATTGATTGGGACTTTTGAGTACTAAGTAAACAAAACGCCACAAAGCAATAAACAGCCGTTTTAAAGCCTTAAAAAGTATTATTATTTGAACTGGGTTATGGTTTGGGGAAATATTAATATCGATAGTAAAGACGATTATTATTGGTATATAAAAAAATCAAGTATATAAGCTAGATGGGAGAGAAGAGGGGGGAGAGGGTAGGTGGAGGGAGAGGGTAGGTGGAGGGAGTGGGTAGGTGGGGGGAGTGGGTAGGTGGGGGGAGTGGGTAGGTGGGGGTAAAGTAAGTTTTGATATATTAATATCAATAACGATAATAAAGAAGGCTATTATTGGTACTTTCTAGTTCGATAAGATAGGATCTTAGGGTGTTCCAAAATATCTTATAATTATCAATGTTGACAATCTCTATAGGTAGGGCATTCCAGAGATTAATGGATCTGTTAAAGATCCAGTGTTCAGTTTTGGAGGTTTTACGAGCTACTTTTATTTGATAATTATGTCTATTCCTATTAGGTCTATCAGATAACATAAAGAATTGTGAAGAAGTAAAGTGGGTGTGGTTTTTAATGATCTTAAAAATAGTTGATAAATCGAATAAAACTCTTCTGAGGGCCAGTGATTCGAGATTAAATAATTTTAATCTTTGGATATAATTTTTCTTGTTGATTTTACACTTAAAAAGAGCCACCCTTGTATACCATTTTTGCACCTTTTCTAATTTTTCTCTATGTTTTTTAGTTTTGGGATTCCATATAACTGAAGAATATTCCAAAATTGGCCTAATATATGTTTTAAATGCCGTACCCCAAATTTTGGGATTAGACGTGTGAAGATTATTAATGATTGAAATACCCCTAAAATAGGCATTTTTTACAATTTTTGTATAATAAGGTTCAAAAGATAAATTATCTGTATAATCAATTCCTAGATCTGAGATTGTAGAAACACATTTCAATGGTAAACCATTGAAATAGTAGTTATGTTTAGGATTATTAGTACCAATATGTAAAACTAGAGTTTTATTAAAAGAGATTTCTAGAGCATTTTCAGAACACCATTTAGAAATTTTATCTAAACTTGATTGAAGATTAGATGAATCATTTTTATTACGACATTGATAAATCTTAAGATCATCTGCAAAAAGTGAGCTGTTGATAGAGGTAGGAATAGAGCTTGATAAGTTTTTTTCATCCAAGTTTTTTTCATCATTTTTCATCCATGGGATTCATTACTTAAAAATTGGCAGTGGTTAGCTGTTACACATCCAGGTTATCCCTTATTTTTTAAATTAAATTTTAATATCGATCTCCAGGATACGTAGCTTTTATGACTTATGACGAGGTTAAACAACGGCTTCAGCAATATATTAACAAACCGGGAAGGTTTCTTTTCACTTTTTATTTTTGCCTTTCATTCAATTATTTTAAGTTATGTCTTTCGATTGAGTTGCACACGTTTGGGTCAATGGGCAATTGGTTACGTGGCACCAGATAAAAAGATATATCAAACAATTCCACAGAATAAGTCGTTGATTCAGTCATTGGTAAATTTTGCTTTTTATGTGTTATAAGATCGGCAATTGTTGTCCGCTATTCCTTCCGAATCCGGAACACGCTTTCGAATTTACATTTTGCCGGGCCTTTTCGGTTTGAATTATCCGAAGAAATGAAAATCCATTCAAATCCAATCCAAATCCCGGCACCGGTATGGCAACAAAAATTTTCTAATGACCAAGACGTTCATAATCCCATAATGGGACATAATGTCTGAACTCATTTATTAACAAGACTTATAATACAATTTAAAATTTTTAAAATTTTTCATTTCAGGTTGACGGCAGTCGTGAAGGTTTTTATCTTTATCCAGACGGTCGTCCCAAAAATATTGATCTTTCTTTTGCCATCCAATCAAATACTGAAGGCAAAGTGCATGTATCACCTGAACAATACCAAATTTATTGCGAGATGGGTACGACTTTTGAAATGTGTAAAATTTGTGATGAACAAAATAAAAATGTTAAATTGGAACCTTGCGGGCATTTGTTATGTCGGCCGTGTTTGCATAAATGGCAGGTTTGTGGAAAAGAAAATTTTTTCCTTGCTTACTCATTAGTCAAAAAAATTTTTTTAAAGGAAAAATCTGATGGTGAAAAGAACTGTCCTTTTTGTCGTTGTGAAATAAAAGGAACTGAAAACGTTCTAATTGAATCATACAATCCTGCTGACTTTAAAAAAGGTTATTTTTTCTGTAAATAAATTTATTTTTCCAATTTTTTAAGAAAATAATTCAATAAAATCCAAAACTTCAACAATTTCACCCCCTCCCCGTCCAGAAAGGACTGTACAACAAATAATTAATAATCCATTAAATTCACCTTCCTCTCCACCTCCAATACCTCCAAAGAGAGTTGGTCAAAGTGGTCAGGTTAATGATAAAGAAGAAAATCGTTGGTCAAGAAAATCGTCAAAAATCGAGTTTCTTTTTAAATTTTTTTTTCCCAAAAAATTTTTTAGACAACAAGATTCAACAGAGGAAAGTGCTGGCCCTTCATTTTTGGAAGAACTTTCGAATGCTAGAGATCGTGTTGGACCTTTTGGTGATTTTATGTGTCTCTCTTGGAATAATAAAAATGAGAATGAAATTATTGGAGGAAATGATAGTACAAATAATGCTTCTAGTTCAACACAAGGTCATCAAAACAGAAATTGAAGTTGAATATTTTTATTTTTAATTTTTTGTTCTTTCATTTTCACACACACTTGTGAGGGGTTGAAACTGAACTACACCAGAAAAATTTTCTATCCGATTTTTTCCCGATCCTTGTCTAATTTATTTTTTTTTAAATTTTTTTTGGAACCAAGTTAAAGGGTCAACTAAAGTTGAACCTAAAATATTCTTTTTTTTTATTTCTCTACTAGGGGATCGGGTCTACTATATTATTTAAAATTTATAAAGGTCTACTAGAGGATCGCGCAGTACAAATGCCGAAATACTAATTATAGACCCCCAAAAGCTCCCAAAGTATCAAACTGCAGAAATCTTTGCTCTAATTGCGGGCAAGATTTTTCCAATTGCTGAATTTATGGGGGTTGATATTTCCGCATTTTGTTATTACCGACATCACACATCTGCTGGGGATGAACCCAAAATATTATTTTTCATTTTAAAATTCTTCAATAACTTAATTTTGTCGATTGTTTCAGCCCTGTTTTTCTTACTCTGAGCATTTCAATAATTATATTTTCGCATATAAATAATCTCTCTATTGCAAAAATATATATTTATACTATTTAAATAATGCAAATATCAAACCAAAAAATATTTTTTTCTTCATATTGTTTTAATTTTATTTTAAATTTAAAAAAAAAGTTCAAAAATTTTTTTTTTGTTTTTTAAATGATTTTATTTTTCAATTTTTTATTTTTTTTTAAATTTTTTCGTTTAACTATTTTAATTTTAAAATTTATTTTTCAGTTTTTATATATATGACAGATTTTAAAAGATTATTTGCACATAGCTCCCTTAATAAATTTCGAATTAAATATATTTATTGTGCAATGATGAATGAGGTTTTTCTTTAAAAATATTTTCAGATAATTATCTTTGCTTTTAGGTGTTGCCTGGACTTTATGTTGGAGGTTTGAGGTTGTCATAATTAAGTTTAATTATTAACCGCCCATTTTGCATGGCCCATAAAAGGTGAGCGAGAATCGGCCAAACAAGTTCATTTGCCCAATCTCAACTCCGACCAAAAGTTGGCCGGTTCTCCCTCCCTTATATTTTGTCAAATATATTTGTTAAATAAAATCTTAAAAAGAAAGCTTTCCATTTAATCGGTGGTTCGGCGCGCCCCAAGAGTGGGTTTCCACTCTTGGGGCCCAACGTCGACTAGTTCTTGTCTATAGAACTAGGATATATAATAGAGGTATCTTTTGATTTTTAATTTGATATTTGGTTTTTTAAACTTCAAAACTGTTGGCACGCGGACATATCGGGACGGACATATCTGGATATTTCAATGTTACTGATTTCGGGACCTACGGCCACTGGGTCTTGGATAGTATAGTATATTGTCCTCTTGAGGAATAGAGTTTTTATGTTTTAGAACAAACGTAAACAATCAAGAAATTAATTTTCTCACCTCAATCCTGATATGTCTATCCCGATATGTCCGCACACCAAACTGCTGAATATTCTGAAGTTGTCCGCAAATTTATTTTTTTATTTTTTGCAATTACTATTTTATTTTGACTAGTCCCATTAAAATATTTTTTTGTTTTTTCCATTCTTATTTTCTTTAAGATCAGCCAATGACGAAAAGCAATTAACAGAAAATTCAATTAAAGCAATTGTTTCAATTCACAGCGGACCAGGCATTCACAATTTTTCTGATAAATATGCAGTTCTTCATTTAACTTTGGACGATTCGACTGAAGAAAATGTTACTAAACACTTTTCTACTGTTAATTCTTTTGTTCATGAATTTCGATTAAGAAAAGGTTTCTTTTTGTTTTACATTCAAATTGTCCGCATAAAATGTCCGCAAATTTTATTGAGCTTTAAACCTTAATTTAAAGTCGCTTTTTGAGATTTTATTGGCCACTGATGTGAGTAGGGGAAAGGGCTTTTAAACGGTACCCTCCTATTTAGAATAAGATAGATTATTCAGACACGTGGCCAGGAAAATTTTAAGGGGGAGGAGATTCTTGTAAATGTTCAGCTTTATTTTTTTGGCGCCGAAGGCGTAAATTTTGAGAATTTTAGTTGGAACATTCTCACTCTCTTTTTCTTAAAATTTTTCTTTCAGAAAATGTCCTAATTCACTGTCTAGTTGGTGTTAGCCGAAGTGTTTGTTTTTGTATTGCTTATTTAATGACTGTTACAAATTTAAATTATTCTAATGCAATGATGTTTATTAAAAAGAAGCGATTATGTGCAAATCCAAATTATGGGTTTAGAAAGCAATTGGGAAAATTTGGAGAAAAGGTTTTCTTTTTAAGTTTTTTTTTAATTTTTTTCTTAAATGTCAATCAAAATTAATGGTAATTTTTGAGACTCTAATTTAAATTTCCTTTTAAAAATTTTACCTCCCCCAATCTTCAGAAATTAAAAAAGAGTCGTGGGCAGTGCTTGGACGCTCGTACCAAAATTCTTACTCGTACTTGGTACTTGATACGAGGTACGAGCAAAAAATGGGGGTGGTGCGAGTACGAGAAAATTTAAAGTTTCCAAGCACTGGTCGTGGGAGGAAATCTTTTATGTACTTCTATAATCTAATTTAATTGTTTCTTTGGGTGTCAAATCTCCTCCCTCCCTATTACTAGAGAGTGCTAGCATGGTTAGCTCTTTTTTCTGGAATTTGAGTCCAATATTTTTAATCTTTGTTTTATAAAAATTGGACTCAATTTCTTCCAGAAAAAGTGTCCAAGTTCCATACAAAATAAGTGTCGCTAGCCACAGATTTTTTATTTTTTCTATAAACGTCACGGGTGCAAAATAGGGTTGTACCCCGAACGTTCGGGGGCGGGTATGTCGGGGTACGGGGTTTTCCAATTGTTTCGGGGCGGGGTTCGGGTCGGGGGAGCAAAATATGGCCGGGGTTCGGGTCGGGGTACGGGGGTTTAGTGGAAAAATTTTTAGAGAAAAAAATGCTCAAAAATAATTAGAAATCGATATATTTTCGTTGATTTATTCAAAAATTAAGTAGGATTTGGAGAAATTAGAGGGGATTTGAAGGGATTAAAGTGTATAACATGGGATATAAGTGGATCTGGAGGGATTAAGTGGGATCTTTAGGGATTAAATGGTATATCTAGGGATACAAGGTGATCTGGAGTGATTTTTGTTGGTTCAAGGGATATTAGTGATTTATAAGGATATTGATGTATTGCGGATAAGGGTATTTGCACGGATATCAGGAGATATCTTCGATAAATCATTAAATCTCCCACGAAATCCTTGTTAATTCCGTTATTCCTTTAACTCCCTTTAAAACTCCTTAATTCTTCGATATCCTACAAATCCCTTTATATCTCTGATTCCCGTTAACATGACCTCGATAGTTTACCAACTGTTATGGTTGAGAAGTGGTGATACAGAGGGTTTGAAGGATTAAGGGTGGTTCAAGGTATATCAGTTAAAAATAAAATTAATATTTTCAAATTAAAATTTAACTCGTTAATAATTTGTTTTTGTGAAAAAATATAAAAACAACGAAGTTATCCTTATATGGGTCCGAACCAGGGCTGATCGAAATAAAAATATTTTTTATTTCGAATCGAAACGAAATAAAAAAATTCCTATTTCGTTTCGGAGCGAAACGAAACGAAATGAGCTTGTTTCGGACGAAACGAAACGAAATAAACGAAATAAAATAAAAATTAAAAATTTTTTATTTTTCAGTTCATAAAGGCTTTTAATCGATATTAAAATCATAGATATGCACCCAAAGAGCTAGATGCGTGACAAAAGCATAACAGAAACTAGAGAGGACCCTACAAATCTGCCGATATCCACCTTAATCCCTTAAATCGACATAGATCCACTTTAATCCTCCGATATCCTATTAAAATCCCACGATACTATATTTAAATTCACTTTGGAGTATACCACTTTAGAATCGATCAAGAGAGATATTAAGTGGGATAAAAGAGATATCTTCTATATCCCCCTCCCAAAACTAACGATTCCAAAATCTTAAAATTTTCGCCTGCGGCGCTGAAAAAGGAAGAAATCTGGCTCCATTGATGTCTCCTTAATCCTGTTTGGCCTTACAAAATTCTCAAAATTTTAGTCTCAGGTACAGAAAAATGAAGAAAATACGAGGCTTTAGTGGAGGTAAATCCCTTTAAATTGACATATATCCGCCTTGATCCAATTTGGAGTACAACTCCAGCATATTCAAATCTGGGTTTCAAAATTTTTTTTAATTTTTAGATCACAAATATAAAGATTTAGGACTATGGTAGGTTGGGCGGCGGAAGGCTGGTCTGCTAAACCCGTAAAAGCTTTCTTCCTTTTTACCACCGCAGGAGAAAATTTTTTGAATTTTGGAGCTCAAAAAGCCAAAATTCTTCCATTTCAGCGCCGCAGGCGAAAATTTTTTAATTTTAGGCTGCTCATAAGACAGAAATCACTAAAAAATTAATGATTATTTACTTAAATTCCCGTCATTAGGGGTATATTTTCTCACTTTTTTTTTGTTTCGTTTCGTCCGGAATTTTGTCTATTTCGTTTCGAAACGAAACGAAATAAAATTTTTTTTGTTTCGTCACGAAACGAAACGAAATGAAAAAAAGGGCACGAAAGAGCGAAACGAAACGAAACGAAACGAAATTTCGATCAGCCCTGGTCCGAACCCAATCCTATATTAATGAAATATCGGCTAAAACCAACGACTAAGCCACTCAACCAAAAGTCTCTTAATAAAGAAGGAAAGAAAATTATGATATTTCATTCATTTTTCTTTCAAAAATAATAAAAGCCCAGTAAAATGGGTGGAAATTTTTTAAATTTTCTTCATTAATTTCTCCAAAAAATGACATTTTTTAGGGGATATAAACCCCGTAACCCCGAAACTTTTTGGGCCGGGGAACGGGGTTTTCACTTTTTTTCGGGGCGGGGTTCGGGTCGGGGAGAATCGTGAAAAAATCGTTCGGGAACGGGGTCGGGGTACGGGGTCGGGGTACAACTCTAGTGCAAAAATTCGAAAAAAATTTTTTCTATAATTTTTTAATTTACTTTTTTTTAAAAAAAGCTTATTTTGGAAGAAAAAAGACTATTTTTTGAAAATTTTGCCAAAACTCAGCTTGACAATTTAATTGAATTATATAACAAAGATTGCCTTTTTGCCAATTGTTTACCTTTAAATGATGAATCTAATATAATAACATTTTTGTCTATTTTGGGATATAAAAAAGAGGAGGTAAAGGAAAAAGAAGAAAAGGTTTGAAGAGGAAAATTCATTTTTTTAATTCTTAAAAAGGAGTAAAAAGGTAAGTATTTTTAAAAAGCCTGGGTCAACTACAATTTGCCGAAAATACAATTCGTCGACACCATTTTTCGCGTCACATTTTTCGCGATTTTCCTTGTATTATATTGACGGTCACCGGTATTCAGAACCGAAAAAATCCCGGATACTTGAAATTTTCGTTTTGGTTCCGATTACGGATACCTTAAGATTTCTCAAGAACCGCTCACCTTGTAGTTGATCCGGAACCGAAGAAACCCCGGATATTCTAGATTTTCTATTCGGTTCCGATTCTGGATACCAGTAGATTTCCCAGGAACCGCTCATTTTAATTATTAGTAGGTGAGCAGGTGACGCACGTGAAAATAAGAAAAATCGACGAATTGGTGTTCGGCTAATTGCGTGGACCCTCAAAAAATACTTTTTTATGTAAATATTTGTTTTGTAAAAATATATATTAGTAACCTTTTTTAGCCCAAAAAATTTAATCTTTAACCTTACCTCTTGGCACTACTTAAAGTGCTTCAATTTAATTTTATTCGTTTTAAATTTTTTTTCTTTAAAAAGCTTTTTTTATAATTCCATTTTTATACTGCCATTTTTTAAAATTACCTACTTTTTTTTTAATTTTTGCATTTGATATCTACTCTATATTTTAAAGAATTGTTTGTTAAAATACCTCTTTTTAGAAAAAATAAATAAAAAAAATTTCTTCAGTAAAACCTTTAAAATTTATTTTTTTGTAATTTCATATACCGGATTTGTCAACCTTTTTTATTAGAGGCCGGACTGGGAGTGTCGTAAGAATCGAGATCTCGATAACCTAGATTTTCGATCGAGATAACGTCTCGGTCCGGTCTCTACTCTCTATTAGACCGGATATCCGGATAGGTATTTTCATGGTCTGTATAGTCTCGGGGATTTCATAGGATCCGCCAACCCTATTCTCTATAACATCGTCCAATTCCCCTTTTACATACATCGGAAAAATTCTGCCTAATTTATAACGTAATGTACATAGAGCTCTTTTTATTTTGTGACTTCGGTAATATTTAAAAAATAAAATTTTTTTTGTAATTTTATGTAAAAAATATAAATTTATAATATGTATTATTAATTTTTACACATTGACCTTTTTGGAGTCCATGGGATAATATTTTTTATTAAATTAATTATTAATAAGAGTATTATTTTTTCTAATTTCATGTATTAATCTTCGTTTTATTTTTAACCTTTTTTAAAGTTAAATTCCATTTATTTTTTAAATTTTTGCAGAATTTTTTAAAAATACTTCTTCTTTAATTTATTTTACAAAAATTGAATTTTTTAGAAAATAGTTTTAACGTCTTTTTACCAAATATTCGTCATTTTTGTAACAAAATAAAAAATTTTTGTCTTCCTGTGTTTACTTAATATATTATTTTATATTTAAAAATAATTTTTTAATATTAAAAATTTTTGTTGCACTTTTCTCAAAAAATATAACGGAAAATATTAAAGAAAAAAGGCTTCTTACGCACTCCCCAAAGTTAAAAATCATAAAAATAAAAGTAAAAAGGGGTACTTAAGAACACAAACCGTCATAAAAAGAAGGAAAGTCAATATTTTCCATTTTAAAGGATTAAAAAAAAATTTTTTTTTCTCGTCACTTAAAAAATTAGTCATTTTCCATCTATTTGCGTGATTCCAAGTAAAAAATGAGGATAGATTTTAATCCCGGAACTTTTTTTGGAGTTAAAAAGAGAGGGAAACAAATGCCCCTTTAATTTTAACTTTAAAAACAGATTGGGAAGAGAGGGGATAGTTTAACCGGAAAGAAAGTTAAAACACAATAGAAACGGAAAGAAGGGTTTTCGTTGCATCCTCCCCTCTTTTTGAAGTTAAAAAATTTTTTTTAATTTTTAGTTTTAATAAAAGTCGCTTTTGGGATTTAGTTAAACTTCTTAGAAAAGAAACCTAATTAACCATAAATATTTTATATAAAATCTTTTTTAAGCTCAAAAAATAAAGGTCACAGTTAACCCACACTATTGAAGCCTTATATAGATCAAATATTTTAAGAAATTAATGCAATCTTTCTTGTTATAGTGTACGCCCCCTAGTTGGTAATAAACGTCTCTAAAAGGTTGTAAATTAAAATGGGGGAGATATCGCTTAGGCATCTCTCTCCTTCCCTAACCAGTAGCCATCTACGTTTGAAGAACGTACAATAGGGGTGTATTCATTAATAAGACCATTTCAAGCCCTTATAATTTTAGTGACCCAACTCGACGAGGTCTTTCGAATGACACATTTTTTCCATATTTAAGACATTTTTATTCATTTTTCGTGTACAGCCCCATAATGGGGAAGTACCCGAAGTTCGATTGTATTAGAATTTTGGGGATGTCTTCATAACTTTAGTATTTTTTAACTTTTTAGTTTTGGCGTTGTTGAACAATTTTATACAATTAATAAGTTAATAGCTATTGCAAAATAAAAAGATTTTTGCGCAAATGGATAGTCTTAGTTTAATTATCCCTTGAGAGATTGAACGGTTAAAAGCCCCTATTAAAGAAAAAATATTTTGAAAATTTTCAAAATTTTAATTCCTCTTCAAATCCTTTTAAAAATAAAAATTAAAAAATATTTTTTTAACTTCCTATTGCGTAACCTTTTTTCTTTAATTAAAAGTAGACGCGTTCTTCTTATTAAAGATTATCTCTTTAAATATTAATTTTTATTGGCGGAAGCCTCTATGAGGAAGCAAAAAATATTTTTATATTTAATTTTGTTCATTTTCCAATTTTATTTCTTCAGAAAAAATTTTTTTCTTCTTCCAAGACCTCAAAAAATGTTTATTTTATCCATTTTAATTATATTTTTATTGGCTTTAAATTGTTTTTTGATACCTTCAAAAGCTTCTTTTGTTCGTCGTTCCAATTCCGGATTGATGAAATTATGCCCCCCTGGGGGAGAATCCTTCACTGCAGCTTGGGAAATTACTTGCGGGATGAAAAGGAAGAAAAGGGATGTTAATAACCGGAAAGAAGACGGTAATTAATTTTATACGGTAAAATAAGGGGTATTTCACCCAAAGACAATTGTCGGTATTACTTAGAGTTCAGCGGGATCGGGATCCCGGTCGGGATCGGGCGGGATTATCCCGGGTTTTTCAAATCCCGATCCCGATTTTTCTGATCCCGCTCCCGAAATATATATCCCGATCCCGATCCCGGCCAATCTCAATCCCGAGCCGGGATCCGGGATCGGGATCGGGATGTGCATCAGATCCCGATGAAAATCCCGACTTTACAAATTGACTAGAAGTCTGCAAAATAAAGTTAACAGAAGAGGGGAGGCATGAAAGTAAGAAAAATTTTCGCCTGCGGCGCAGAAAATGGAAGAAATTTGGCATCTTGCCATCCAAAATTCTCAAAATTTTAGCCTGCGGCGCCGTAAAAATGAACAAAGCTTCATTACAACTTTAACGAAATATTGAGTGATTTGGTGTGATATCGGGGGATCAAGAAGGGTTGAGGGGAGTATCGGTGGATTTGGAGTATAGAGGGATATCGGTGAATTTAAAAGGATTAAGTTAGATTTGAAGAGAAATCGAAGGCTTAAGAAATATTACTACATGAATATTACTACATGAATTTCATCCTTATATTCCCATGATCCCTCCTCCTCCATGATCACAATATCATCGATATCCCACTTTATTTCCTCAACTCTCTTAATACATCTAAAAAATTATTGGGATATATTTTTCCTCCAATATTTTTAGGTGGAGCTGCATTATTTTGGAAGGCCCCCCTTGGCCTTCCAAAATCCCCTTGGCCTTCCAAAATTAAAAATATGGCATGCGGCGCTTAAAAGGGGGGAAATCTGGCACGTTGGCCTTCCAACTTTTTCAAAATTTTTGCCTACGGCGCTTAAAATAGAAGAAACCCAATCCCATTTATTCCCCCCATTACCTTATGACCCCTTAATCCCCTGAACCGTAAAGTAAATTATGCGTCTATGAGAAGAAAATAAAAATTTAAAAATTAAAAAATTTTTTTAGTAAATCCCGATCCCGATTTTCTAATCCCGGTCCCGATTCGGGATCGGGATCGGGATCTCCAGTCCAAATCCCGATCCCGATTTCGGCTAATCCCGATCCCGTGTCGGGATCCGGGATCGGGATCGGGATCACCATTCCTAAATCCCGATCCCGGGTTTTTCTCGAAATCCCGATACCGCTGAACTCTAGTATTACTAGATAGTAGGAAAACCGTCTGGGGTTTGGCTTAATTTTTGCTTTCAGTGGGCATTGGAATTCTTATTTTATTTTCTCTGATAAACTCATTGACCCGATTTTCGAATAAAACTTTTAAAAAAAATTTTTGAAAAAAATTTTTTAAATTTTTTTCAAAAAAATAAAATTTTCATTAAATGAGAATTCATCAAAAGGGACTAAAATTCAAAAAAAAATTTTTAATTTAAAGAATCATCCAATATTTTCACCAACTTCGCAAAAAAGAACAACAACCCTCCCCAAGAAATTGAAAGGTTATCAACAGCAGATAAATATAGAGCTCCCTCAATGACTGAAATGATGCTTGTAAGCTTCTTTTAAATTTCTAAAAAAATTAATTTTTTTCTCTTTCTAGTTATGCTGTAAATTTGGTTGTTCTTTTCGCGATATTGTTCCCACTTGTAATTTCTTTGGACAATGGGACAGTTAAAAATAAATTGAAAATATTTTTTAAAAAATGTTTTTTAGTAGTTTTAAAATTTTGTAAAAACCAATTTTTTGGTTTACTTTTTTTTTATTTAATAATTTTTTGAAAAAATTATATGAATTGTTTTCTACGACTTTTTTGAAAGGGAATAGGCCCGTAGCCAGGATTTTTTTCGAGGGGGGGGGGCAAGAAGGAAAATTTTTCTGTTGATTTTTAGCGCCTACTCCCCCCGACTTCGGGCCTGAAAGAGGACATCGTTCACTTTAAGCGTGAATTTTATATATTTTTTTATACCATTCGATAGAGGATCCTCAACTTCCTATTGCGAAGTGATTTCCGTTTTGTAGCAAGATGACTTTGGGACGAGTTATAGTCAGTCAAAGTTATCCCATCAATGGTACCAAAAATATAATAAATTTGCTGTTATATAGTAGACAATGTTCCTTGTGAATAGAAAAATTTTTCTTCAGTTTTTAATTTTTAAAAATTAATTTAAAAAAATTTTTTGAAATTTTTTCATCAAAATTTCAAAAAAAAATAAAAAAAAAATTCCAAAAAATTTTTTAAAATTAATTCAGAAAAAATCTCAATTTTTTTAGGTACTTCCCAATTTTATTTTAAAACACAATTTTTATAAACAATAATTGATTTTTTAAAGATCACGGATCGAGAATAAATAGCACAGGGGAAAATTTTAATTGATAAATAAATAAATTATACAGGCAAACTTAAAGTCGAACATCATTATAAAATAAATCCTTGGAGACAAAAAATTATTTTAAATTGTATTTTAAATTGGGACAGGGGCATTAGTAATTAGATGGATTCCTCCACCCTGGGGCCAAACGAAGTTTAAAAGTTTTAAAATATTTTTCAATTGGAAATGTTCCGGAAAAAATTTTTATTCAAAAAAAAATTAATAATATTAATTTGAATTTCCCCCCAAAAATAACTTTGTCTTGCTGAAAAAGGAAAAAATTCGTTTAATTTTGTTTGATTTTAAAAGGACTTTGACTGTATAAATTTATTTAAAAAAAAGGAAAAAAATTTTTTAAGTGAATTATTTAAACTGATATACCCTAAAAACCAAAAAAAAATTAAACCTTCCTTTCAAAAAAACTTTCTAAAAGTATCGTTGAGTAAACATGTAGACGTGAACAAAGAGAACGACAATTAACGTGTTGAAGCCCAAAAACTGAAAAAAAATTAAAATTTAATTTTTAAAAAATTCAATTTAAATTTTTATAAGGCTTTTAATCTTTTCCCCTTATTTTTCTCCTCCCTAATTTTTTTTTTGGTTTTCTCCCTTCCCCACCAATAAATGGTGGGGAAGGGAGAGAAAAAATTGGAGAAAGCGCCTTTTTCAGTTACAAATTGAAAAATTCAAAATTTTATGGGAACTTACTTAAATAAATTTAATGCCAAATATAACTGGAAATTAGCGAAAAACTCAAAAATGTCAAAAAATAGGCAGAAAAATCATCCAAATTTTCTAATTTTTGGTTTTTTTCGATTTCTAAGGGAAAATAACCCACCAAAGTTAAACCATGTCTATGCAGGCACCCGAAACCCCGAAAAAATATTTAAATTTAAAAATATACCCAAGTAGCAGTAACAACAGATTCACGGCTAAACAAACGGCTAAAAAATCCTCCTTGTTTAGTTTTGGTCTTCAAAGGACAACTAGTTGCACTCTCAATAAAATAATCTTTAGAAGTCGTTGGAAGAAATTGCCTAAATTTATAAAAAAAAATTTTTTTGTTAAATTATAAAGCCTTCCCCAGTAATTTTAGTAATTAGTCTTATTTAATTTATTTATTCAATATAAAAATGACAATGAAAGGGATGGACACTTACATCATTGTCTTAATAAAATATATATTTGGTCAATGGTAATAAATTAACTGAATATTCAACAAAAATAATCATAATGAAGGGATATTGATATACACAGATATACGACTAAGTTAATTGTCAAATTGCACTGGAGAGAAATGAACTGGGTTACGTTTCACACCAGGCATGCAAGTCTGAAAAAAACAGCAAAATAAATTATAGTAAATTTAATTTTAAGATTATCTAGCCTAGATGTATATCTGTGTATTAATTTAAATAAAACATATAATAAAAAAAAAAAATAAAAAAAAAACCTGAAAAAAACAGCAAAATAAATTATAGTAAATTTAATTTTAAGATTATTTCAGTCTAAAATAAAAAAATTTTTTTAATTAAAAATCCAAACAACTAAGAAATGCTAGAGTATAAAAAAGTACAAACAACAGCATAAGGAATAAATCGATTAGGCCACTTTGACGCCAAGCCCACTTAGGCGCAAAAAAAAAATAAATTAATTTGAATATTTAGGCGCGAAAATAAAAATAAATTAATTTGACCATTTAGACGCGAAAGTATAAAAATTAATTGACCATTTAGTCGCAAGGTAATTTAATTTGGCCACTTAGATGCAAAGCCCATTTAGCAAAAAAATACAGTTTTTAACTTTGGATTTTTTTAGATTTTTTTAGATAGCCTGGATGAGTTTAATTAATTTTTTTTTAAGAACACTCAGTTTATTTATACAATAAGTATTGACTTAAGCTTATTTTTAAAATCTAAGGGTGATTTACTTAAAATAGTATTTTTACCTAGTATATTCCACATTTTAGTTGTTCTATTTATAAATGATCTAGAACTTTTAGAATTTTGTTTTTTTGAAATAATTCTATGAGAAGAATGGCTAGATTTCTTAATAGGATGAGAAAAGAGTGTTTCAAGTCCCAGGTGAGAATAACCATTAACTATTTTATACATAAGCATTAAATCAAAAATTTTACGTCTATTCTCAAGTGTTTGAAGGTTTAGATATTCCAACCTATTCTCATAGGGTAGTTCGGGTAAATTACATTTTTTAAAAACTTTTTTAGTAAAAAATTTTTGGCATTTTTCAAGAGAATTAATTTCTGTTTTGTAAAGAGTGTTCCAAGATTCCGGTGCGTATTCAAGCATAGGCCTAATATAACTCTTATATATCAGTATCCAAGTTGATGTTTTTCTTGACTTTATTATTCTAAAAATTGTTTTCATCCTTAGATAGGCGTTGCGAATAATTATATTAATGTGTTCTTTAAACCTAAGCTTGTCGTCTATGATTATTCCAAGGTCGCGAATAGATTGAACTTCATTTATAGTATTATTAAAAATCTTATATTGATCCCTTGGGTTATCTTTACCTAAATGAAGTACGAATGTCTTATCAACTGATATATCTAAATTCCATTTTTTTGACCATTCCTCGACGTTTTTAAGGGCAACTGCTAGTTCTAATCTTTCATTTTTAGTCTTATAAACTTTATAGATTTTAACGTCATCAGCAAATAGTTTAATTTTGACTCCGTTTGGAATAACGTCGGATAAGTCATTTATATAGATTAGAAACATTAGTGGGCCAATAATGGATCCTTGGGGAACACCCGTGGTAATTCCATATGGGTTTGATAAAACATCATTAATTTTTACTTGATATGTTCTATTTGATAAAAATTCACTAATCCACCTATGTAGTTTTCCCCTAATTCCACAGGCATATAATTTGTCAAGAAGGAGTTTGTGAGGAACACTATCGAAAGCTTTACAAAAATCAATATAAATACAATCTATATTCTTTTTTTCAAATAAGGCTTCGTACCAATCCTCCAAGCTACTTACTAGCTGAAGAGTAGTGGATCTTCTTCGAATAAATCCAAATTGATCCGAACTAAAGAACTTTTTATTCTCTAAGAAATTTATTATATTTTTTACAAGTATTTTTTCCATGATTCTGCAACTACAGCAAGTAAGTGAAATTGGACGATAGTTTAATGGATTAGATTTTTCGCCTTTTTTGAAACTGGGAATAACTAATGATTTTTTCCATATGTCAGGTATAATGCCTTCATCCAATGAAGCTCTAAATAATTCAGATAAATAAGGTGCCAATATTATGCTTATATTTTTTAACATAAGATAATTTATGCCATCCGGGCTAGCGCTGTTTTTTGATGGTAGGGCTTTTAGGATTTCATAAACTTCAATACTTGTAACATCAATATCATTCAATATATAAGTAGTATCTGAATTAACGCTAGCAATAATATCATTGCGAGAAACATTAGAGTTAAAATTGTTAAAATTTTTGTGAAAAATTTCTGCAAAAAGTTCTGCTTTTTCAGAATTCTCTATATAGACTTTATCCTCATATAATATAACTGGTATATCTCTATTGTTTTTATAAACTTTGTTAACATATTTATAAACATTAAGTGGATTATTTGAAATGATTTTGTTTTGTTGTTTACTAATAAAATTTTTTATAGCGATTCTAATATATAGAGATATACTGTCATATTTTGATTTATATTCCTTATTAATTTTTTGTAACCTGTATAATCTCTTTTTCTCAGCTATAGAAGCTTTTAAGTGAGCGGGATATTTTATTCTTCGATCTTTTTTAGTTATAATTTGTTCAGGGATGAAAATGTCAAATGAATTTAATATTGACTTAGCAATTATATTATATTTGTCCCCAATTAGAAACCCAGTATAAATAGTATTTTTTAATAATAGGGACAAATATGGGTTTAAATTGCTTATTTTATTCTTATTATAAAATCTTTTTTTTATTCTATTCTCATTTTGTTTACTTATTGGACAATTAATATCAAATAATAATGTTTCATGATCTGAAGAAAAGATTCCTCCTTCAACTAAAACGTTTGATACTAAATTCTGGTTTGTAATTAATATCAAATCTAAGAATGAATTATTTCTAGAAGGCTCGTGTGTGACTGATGTTAAAGTGTTTCTATTAAAAAAATCGATAAAACATTCACCTAATTTAGATTTTGCATAAGGTGTAAAATTAAACCAGCTCAAATCTTTAAACCCAAAGTTGAGGTCACCGAGGATTATACAATTTTCGGTACAAAGAGTTTCGATGTATTTAAAAAGAGATTTTGTACTAGCGTAGCTAGTGTTAGGTGGACGGTAAAGTAATATTATATTTAATTTCTTAAAATTGTTTATTTGTAGACAAATAATTTCTGTGTTGAATTTGGATATTTTTACTTTTTCATAAAATGTAATATTTCTACTTAATAGTATCGCGCATCCCCCACCTAGTTTGGATTTCCTATTAATATAAACAATATTATAATATTCTGAAAATTTGAACTCAAATAAATTTATGTCCTCATCTTTTAACCATGTTTCAGTAATAAACAGCATTTCTAAACCTAGTGTTCTTAAACTAATTAAAAACTCATCCATTTTATTTCTAATTGATCTTATATTTATTAAACCACTTTTTATTTTATTTTTTGAAAAATTTTTATTTTTAGTCAACTGGTAGGTATCAAAGTGGCCATCCCTTACTCCTTATGCATTGTGGCAAACACATTTAAAATTATTGGGGTTTGATTTAAATAAAGGGATGTCCTTAGCGGACAGGACATGGTCAGCATAAATAACATGATCGGAGTTGGGATTTTGAGAATGCAAAGTTTTACAAATTTCAATAAGCCTAGACCGTTCGGCTCGCTGAGCCTTAGACAAAGATTTACGAACAAATAACTTATTAAATTTAGAATTTTTTAATTTTGATTTATTCAATAAAAATTTTCTTGCAAAAAACCTGGTTGGTAATTCCACCTTCAAAAGTCGCGGTCTTCCAGAAATTGTTCCCATTCTGTAAACTTGACTTGGTCTGCATTCCACATCGCATAAATCAAGAATTTCTTTGACTTGTTCAAAATCTTCTTCCACACGCTCCTTTGCATGTTCACAATTACTTTCAGGTAGATTGGTGATCACGATTGCTTTTTGTTGTTTTTCTTCTTCAATGAGATCCAGGAGAGTGTCACGCATTTGAAGTTTTTGAATAGTTTGTTGTTGTTCCATAATTAAATTTTGTTGTTGAGCCATTTGAGTCAATAATGTGGTGCAAAATTGAAACATTTGCTGCATTGTTGTCGTATTATCGGTTCCACTGTTGCTTTCCATTTGTTTACCAATTGCTGCTAATTGATTAGCAAGTTGGGTAAAGGTGTCAGAAGAAGACATTTTTTGCTTTTGGCTGTCAAATTGCACTGGAGAGAAATGAACTGCGTTACGTTTCACACCAGGCATTATTACGGATCTAAATCCCCGGACTTCTAGAAACCCTTAAAAATAGAAAAAATTCAAACGTCATATTCTGCTGTAAGAAAGCACCGTTTGCCTGACAATAACCTTCATACGGAATCAATTTGCGAAGCTAAAAAAAACATGTTTAACAAACACACACAAAAGACAAAATTTCCAAACCTTTTCAATTTCTCGATCTTTCAGTTCAATCTTGGATAGAAGCTGTTTAATCGTCTCCGCCTGTTTAGCCTCACGTTTGTCAGCATCACGTTTGTTTTCCGCAAAAGTAGCCATAACTTGATTATAATCTGTAGTGCAGTGCTCCACGTCTTCTTCCAAACTTTTTTTGTTCTTCAACAACTTTTTTAAAAGAAAATTCAAAGTCAAATTTAAGGTTGTCGTTTACAGCCATCCTTTTTTCATCCCAAAATTTTCCCTCATTTCTTCTTCCAAAAAAGAATAAACTTATGAGGGGTCAACTTGAAGACCTACACCCTGAAAACCTTTTGACCCTGAAAACCTTTTGAGAAGGAATATCGAGGGCTTTCAAGGGTTACCCATTTTTGCTCGCTTGCTGGCAAAATACAAAAACGCTAATTGGGCGAGAGGATAGGATGTACGACCATTTTATATTTAAGAAAAAAAACTTAGGGAGGAAAAACGGGGCCGTAAACAACAATTTTACTTCAAATTTAAATATTTTAAACCTCTTCGATTTCCTGACACTTTTCCTTAATCAATTCAGCACATTCCTTCCCATGAGACTTCTTCAAAGAATTTTGCAAGGTAATAATTTGCCTAAGATAATCCTGAACTGTACTTTCATATTCACGATTTTCTCTCTCAAGTTCACGAATTCTGTCCTCATTCTTTTTTGAATCGTCGTCAGTTAATGGATCTAAAAAAGTTTTTTTTCGACTTAATTTAAATTAAAAGGACATACCATCATCCACAGAAGTATTGTCTGAATATGGCCCAGATTTGCGATGCGACATTTTGCAACTTGAATGAATAGTTTGATGATTAGACAAGAAATTTTTTTGAAATTTTACTGAAAATTTAATTTTTAAAATAGAAAAAAAATTTAATTTTCGCATGAGATTATTCTTTTTATCAAAAGTAAAAAAGTGATGCTGAAAGACAGCGATTACCAAATTACGGGAACAATTTGTACAGCTTTTAAAAGAAGGAGGAAAAGTTTCCTTCACTTTGTTGATCGCACGCGTTGAGGGACTCAATTGGTCTATTTAGCGCTTTTTTGTATTTCAAATTTTGGCGTTATGAAATTTTAAATTTTTCTATAAAAGGGAGAAGTTTAATACAAAAGTGTTCATTAATCAAAATTTGTTATTTTTGTTTATCTATTCAAAATCTATTGATTTTTGTTCCTCCTTATTCTCCCTAATTATTACACTTTCTAGAACTTGGGCTTTTTCATTCTTAACTAGTCAACCTTTTTAGAATTTTTGTTTCCAATTATGTTAAGTTTGTTATTCCTTCATTCCCTTTCAAAGAACATTCATAGACCTTGCATTCTTAATGTATCCTCCCGCATTCCCGAATGTTTTTAAGGAGTTATTCTCGAATTATATTGATTGTACTATTCTTTGTTTAGGGGTGTGTACAAAATTATCAGTTATCGCGCTTCATTTAGTTATGTAGATTCTCATTTTTTCTAATTTAATCTTTTTTAGAAACGTAAAATCCTCTATAATTCTTGCTTTTTTGGCTATTCATCTCAATGGCTACTTTGGTCTGTTTACAGTTTTATATCTTAATTATAAAGTAGAAACGGTTATTTTTCTGTTTGATTCAAAAATATCAAAACGGGATTTCATAACAAATTTGCTATTTTGAACTGAAGCCGGCCGATCTGTTAGTGGGCAAACTAGGCGCCGGATAGTCCATTTTGCATTAGAGTCATAGCACAGTAATGGCTAACAAATAAGACTCTAACGTCGTGTCAATGGCTTTAGCCTTTATTTAACGGGCATATTTCCTTATTTTTGGCCTTAATCTTATGAGCTATGGTTTTTGGAATTCAATTGTGAAAAACTTTTCACAATGGATATTGAAAAGAAATTACCCTTAGAATTATTATTAGAAATACTTAAATTCTTCCCCCTTAATATTAAATGGAGTATTATTAGAGTATCAAAAGATTTTGACATTTTTGTTCTCAAACTTCAAGGAAATTGGATAGTCAATATTATATTTGTTTGTTTTTGATATTCAGTGGTCATTTTAAAATATTTAATTTTTTATTTTAAGACAAAGACAACCATTAAGGATAACTTCAACAAAGCTATGGGCTATTTGCAAAGCTTGGATGGTAAGGAAGACACATTGACTGAAACGCAATTAAAATTTTTCTGCAATGAATTTGATGGTTCATTTGTTTAAGTTAAAATTAAAAAATTTGTTTTTAAGATGTCTTTATGGGGTTCAAGTGGAATGCGAAGTTTTCTGAGGGAATTGCGCAGGTTTTGATGAATCATAAACTAAATTATCAGTTAATTATCTTTTAGGTCATTAAGGACGTTAAGTGGCAGTTCTTCGAGAAGGTTTGTTAAATTTATAGTAAAATATTTTAGCAATATTTAAACTTTGAGTCCGTAAGGTACAATTGATTGATCAGAACTCATTCTGACCTGAAAAATTAAGTCCTGATTCTGTTCTTTTTTTAACTTTATAATTTATAGATCAAAATTTGTTATCTTTGAATTTTTAGAACAAGCCTGCCTTTATCGTAAAGAAGGATCGACTTCATTCTTTGTTTCAGAATTCGATAACCGTTGCTTTGGTTGCCGATTCGGCTCTGGACGATTGGTTGCGTTTTTCCGAAGGTTTTTTATTCGGCTATTTAATGTATAAATTAATATTTTTTAGAAGTTGTGACCACGTTGCACCTCTTAATGAATCGATACGCTAAGAGCCGTGGCATGCTTTCTGCAAGGTAAAATGTTTTGTGTGCGAATTATTGACCTAGACCCTTTTTTTTTAAATTTTTTGAGTGTGGATTTATTTCTTATCACTCCCACGGTTTTGCCCACGATTTATGAGATAGGAATGATTAAAAATTTATCCTTGTTCTACTAACTAGGGAAGGTTGCGAGGTGTCCGAGCTAAAAACGGTCGAGACCGGGCTCATTCGATAGGGAATATGCCCTTTGTAGGTCTCGACCGTTTTTAGCTCGGACACCTCGCAACCTTCCCTAGTAAGTTTTAATTTTAAATCGTTCATTTCAGTGAGAGTGGCTGATGGTGACATTTAAGAACTTATGGGCAGAGGCTTAATTGGATTCTAAATAAAATTAAATTGGCTAAAAAATTAAGTTATTTGTTGTTGTTTTTTTCTCAAAAGTTGTTGAGAATTGTTGCCTCTAAAATATATTGCCCAGTAAATTTTTTAAAAATTTTTGTTTTTTATTTTTTGAAGAGTTTTTTTTCTAGAATTCTAAATTTATTTGATCACTCTAATTTCTTTTCTAAAAAATTGAATTCCTTTCCCTCATTCGAAAATATCTGCTTGATTTAATCTGGAATTTTTTTTCAATTTTGTTTTAGGATTAGAATTTATATTTTGATCATTTTGCCCTTTCCAAGAAGATGAATTCTTTTGTTCTAATTTTATTTTTGATGCTCCTAAACATTGAAATTTCACATTCTAAAGGTATTTTTAAAGAAATTTTAAAGAAAACTTTTTTTTATTTCAAAGTTTTAACACCTGAAAAGACTGACTTAAAACAAAAAGAAGAAAAATTGGAAATTGACCAAAAGGATTATGAAACAATTGACATTGATACAGAACCAATAACTGAAAATTTTGGTGTAATTGCTTATGAAGAATTTCCTTTTCCAACAGACAATCTCTTCATTTCTTTTAAAAATTTAAAAATTAATTACACAATTATATTGCCTACACCAAATGGAATATGCCCTTTAAAGACCAAAATGTTTGTTTTTGTTCCGAGCAGAGCTGATGGATTTTATACACGGCATATGATTAGAAGTTCTTGGGGAGCGAATTTGGTTTGGAAATTTTTTTTTGAATTTTTTGAAAAATTTATTTTTGTTTTTTAGGCAGAGAGGAGGTATTTTTAATTGAATTTTTATGGAGTTGATCCTTATTTTTAGTATTGTGTTGAAATTCATTGTTGGATGGCCGCAAGAACAAAAAGTTTTTGAATTAATGCAAGAGGAATTGATCAAATTTGACGATTTAGTTGTTTATGATATTGACGATTCTTACAGGAATTTGTATTTGAAGGTTTGCTTCTTTATTATTTTCTAGGCGGTGAGTAATTGAGCTAGGCATTATCGACTCTCCTCACATCAGTGAACCATTTATTGTGAAACTACCGTAAATGCTCTAATTAAAGCCTGGCTCTATTAGAAGCCCATATCTAATATGAGCTCACTCAAATTGACCCTTTGAAAAATGGATGCCCGGGGCTTTAATTAGAGCATTTACGACATTTATCGAGAAAAACCGAGAAAATGAAATCGAAGGAATTGTTTAGTAACCTTCCAGGCAGGCCGGATTTTTTGGGGTGGAGGAGGGCAAGGGGGAAAATTTTGTGAGATTTGGAGCTCAAGAAGCCAGGTTTCTTTCCTTTTCAGCACCCCCCCCCCTACTCCTGGCTACAGGCCAGCTTCTAGGTGGTGGTTTCGAAGTTCTTTAAGCATTTAAATTCAACTAAAAATTTATTTTAGGTTTATGTAGCTCTCCAATGGCAACAAATCTTCTGTTCAACTGCTCAATACATTCTAAAAACAGATGATGACACAATTGTTGACCTTGACAGACTTTTTTGGTGGATAGACAATGATTTTGGTTACAGAGTTGCTAAATATCCTGCTGCTGTTTTTGGTGGAATGATTAAAAGATCGTCTCCAATTCGTAATGAAAATCATAGATGGTATAATCTTTTTGTTGGGTTCTTTTAGAATTTCCTCAGTATTAGGCAATTTTTCCTTCATTAAAATCCAAAATTTGAGGAATTTTTGGCCCTACTACGGTTTATGAGTCCAATCAAAAAATAATTTGTTTTTTTTCTTGGTATTTCAAAGTAGAGGTATGGTTCTAAAACATTTCATGTTCGAGACCTACGCCCACTGGGTCTGGGACCGTTTCTTACCCTATCCTTCGAATTTTCTTAAAGGCGTAATGTTCAATTGGACTCATAAACTGTAGTAGAGCCAATTTTTATTTTAAGTCTTGGAGCCCTATTTCTCATGGTTTTTGGCCCCCATAAAATTCTGTCTTTTGAGGGAACTTTCCTTATGTTGTCTGTTAATTTTAATCTTTTTCTTCCCAGCCTTAAAATTTTTTTATTTTTTAAAGGTATGTCTCTCCCATAGACTTTCCCCATCCAATATTTCCACATTACACCAACGGCCCAACATATTTACTTACATCAAAAGCAGTTCAAGCAATAATGAATCTTACAGAGAATGTTCACGCTTTCCCAATTGAGGATGTTCTTTATACTGGAATTTTGGCCAATTTAGCTAATGTTAAAAAATTTAGTATTTGGGAACACTTTAGAATTGGAAAACATGTAAATAGGGTTTTTTAAAATTATTTTTAAATAAAAAGTGAGGAAATACGGCAGGGGGGAAGTCTGCGGCTTTTTCTTTTATTCGTCTAATTCTATTTTTGCACTCAACTAACTTATGAGAAAGACTAAAAATTTATTTTTTAAAGCTCAATCTTCATGAGAAATGCAAAGTAGAAAAGAAGACAGGCAAAAGAATTCCCTATGTTACTGCTATTAATGGAATTTCTGATGCAAGTGGAATTAAAATTGCCTATGAAAGACTTCACTCTGTTGAATGTACTCCTTGGTTTTCTTCCAAACAAACGAAAAGGTTTTGAAAATATTTTTGACTAAAATTTAATTTTTGTAACATTCCTTTAAATTCTCCCAGACTTTTTAGAAATTATATTTAATTATTTTCCCAAAATCCGCAAATTTTGTCCGCAATTTACTTTTTATTGCATAATTAATTTTGGGAGGGTTGTTTTGCATTTTTTGTAAAGTTTCATTTCCCGTTTCTCGTATTTTGACTGTTATTAACGATTTTGTATATGGAATGGGGTTTTTTATAAGGGAATAATTTTAATATAAACTTTGCGGATTTTAGGGAAGGAATTAATTCCAATTTTCTAAAGCTTTAACAAATTTTAAAAATCAAAAAATTTTGTTCTCAATTCATAAAAAGTACTTGGTTTAATTAAAATTTAATTTTAAAATAATTGTCAAATTGTCATTAAAATATTTTTCAAAGACCAAGTATTTTTTTTCGCCTAATTCATTTTTACTAAAAAAGACTGATCCTCAACTAATTTAAATTAATAAAATTTTAATTTATTTATATTTTTAATTTTTAAATAATTTTAAAACCAGAATAAAGTTAAATCTTTTATCTACAAATTTTTGAAAAATATTCAAAAAATATTTTCGTCAAAAAATTTTTTTATGTCGAAATGTCAACTCATTAAAATATCTAATTACTTAAAAGAACAAATTGGGTAATTTATTTTTTTTGGATTTTTTGGGTGTTTTTCTGTGGATTTGCTTTGCAGATTTTATTCAGGTTTATTTTTTCCTGCTTATTTTTGACACTAATTCAAGTTTTTTGTCTTAGTTTTTTAGATAAAAATGAAAAAAGCTGTCGCTTCTTTACCCAAAATTGGATTAAATGCTCGTCATCGAATAATTGCTGAAGGTGGCATTCCTCCTTTACAATATGATTATGAACGTGAAAAATGGGCAATGGGGGAACGTTTTGGGCAATATGGACTTAAAAGCGGTGTGGATATTCGACGTTTGTGGCCGTCTATTGAGGTTTATTTTTATTTAATCTTTAAAAAATTATTTTTTATTTTAAGGAAGTTGAAGACATTACATCTCTCAGGATGCATAGAAAAGCTAAAGAAGCCGCTGAATTGGCAAAAAATAATCAAATGTTTGAAGAATTGAGACGTGAAAATAGGTCAGCAATTTAATTTATTTTTAATTGTGTTCTTGTCGTATTTTTAATTGTACGCTTCGACATAGCTCACCGAGCTCTATCGACCTATTGACTTGGTGACCTGTCCCTTTGGCAATTTTTTCTGTTTGAGGGTACAAATTGGTCAGTAAGTCGATAGGTCGATAGAGCTCATTTAGCTGTGTGTGAATGGCAACGGGATCGGACCGTGCTAACATCTCTCACCTTGAGTTATAAGGGTGTTCAAAAATATTAAAAGTCGTAAGTTACAAAGGCTCAAAATGGTCAAACTTTTGTGGGAAAAAATTCGAATTTACAAATGATATTTTAGCTTTCTCTTAAATTTTTAAAAATTTATTTTTTAAATTTAAAGGCTTAAAAAAATCGAAGAAAACTGGAAAAAGCATGACGCAATGTTAGAAGAATATTACGAAGAAAGAGCTCAATCTATGGATCAGAAAAAAATGGAAGGGGAAGAATTGCAAAGAAAAGTTCGACAAGTCCAGGAATATTTTGGTTATTGGGTTGATCCAGAAGATCCTCGTTTTGAATTTATGTTGGCACAGAGAGACGATGAAGTTAAATTACAAGAAAAGTTGGCTAAACAAAAAGCGAAAAAGGGAAAGAAACGGCTGAAATTGACTGCACAAGAAGAAAATGAAGAGAAAAGTGAAACAAGTTAATATTATTTTTTGTTTATTTTTTTAAGTACAGCCTAACGTGTATCGTAAGGCCAACGTACTACAGAGCTAATATTTCGTTCAAAATGGTCGAATCCGGGACGCCCTGAAATGGTTCGATTCAGCTCGTAGAGATGCATTGAACCATACCAAGGTTCCCGGATTTAACTATTATATTTACCGAAGTTATAGCTCTGCGGTACGTTGGGCTCTCGGTACGTTGACCTACTACAATTTTTTGTTTTTTTTTTGAATTTTTGGTAATAGTTCGGTTCGTACCCCCCCTTTTTTTCCATCGTAAAATTATTAAAAAATGGTCAGTCAGTCAGAGTTTATAGAACTCGTCGAGCTGTGTCGAATGACACCAAAATCAACGAAATTGAAAAAGATTCGACAAAGTTATGACATAAAGTAATCCTATTGTAGTCGTGAGGCGCTTTTGCAAAACCCTTCTCTTTGCGCAGGGTTTTTGTCTGTATCTCGGCCCAAAGTTAAGAACTGGGGTTGATTTGGGTGTCATTCGACACAGCTCGACGAGTTCTATAACTTAAGACTGACTGACCATTTTTTAATACTTTTAGGAAGGAAAAAAAGGGGGGTACGAACCGAACTATTACCGAATTTTTTTTTAAATAAAATTAAATTTTGTTTGAGATTGCAAAAAATTATTAATTTTTTTAATATTAAATATATATTTTTTAATTCTTCAATTTTCTCTTAAAAATAAAAAATTTTTTAGTAAAATGTCTTCTAATGACTTGTCAATTGTTCGTTATGTTGGAATTAATGAATGTAACCATTGTGGATATTGCGAGTCTACAAAGAGGGCCAAGGCAAAAATTGGTATATTTTTTGTTAATGTTTAGTAATCCTGTTTTCTGCGGGATACCTGGGAAATATCTAAAGAAATCGGGCGACGTGAAGGTTTTTGGACACCGACATCTTAATTAGTACTTTAAATTAGGCTTTAATGGTTCGCGTATTTTTACCGGCTTCCTTAGAAATCTCTTAAGAGAACTAGAGATATCCAAATCTTTTGGAGGGTCCAAACTAGAATTTTGGAAAATTTTCTGCCCGTTTCTGGCATTCTGTATATCTCCACTAGCCTACTAATTTTAAACCTTTTATTAGAATATTTTTGTTTTTGAAGGTGAATCTTCAACAGAATCTCAAGAAGACGCGTCTATTAATCGATACAATTCTAACACTTTTGGTAAATTATTTTTATTGAATTCTTCATTTTTTAAAATTTAGGGTTATTCGCTTGTTTTTTAAGCCTAAATTCTTTCAATCTACTTTTGGATCTCGGTTGGAGTAGGTAAAAATATATTCCTTTCATTTTCTTAAAAATTGAAAAAAAGGCCGAACAATGAGCGATAAGACTCTTAAATTTTTTAAATTTTTTTGTTAAATATTTTTTTAATTTTGTAGGTCTATGGGCTTATCGTCTCACTGTTCGTGCCTATCAAAATTTGGTGGATAGAGGATGGAGGAGGTTTTTTATTAAAAATTTTTTTAAATAAATACTTTTATTTTTTTGTTTAGATCTGGTAAATATTTGTACAAACCTATAATGAACAAAACTTGTTGTCCTCAATATACTATAAGGTTTTTTAAAATTTATTTTTTTAATTTTCTCATTTATTGACATAAGGCCCTTTTACTGATATTTTTATCAATTTTTTTTTCTTTCTTTTTATTACACCATTGGTGTTTAAGATATTATTGTTAAGTTCTACTAAAGGCGTACCTTTGGGGTTGAGCTGGAACTGATTTAAAAAAATGAAAGTCGAAAATAGGCAAAAGAGAATCTCGCACACCTATGATATCTTGTCTTTATTTTTCCTTTTTTAAATGGCAATAGGAATTTTCTAATTTATTGACATGAGGTCTTTTTTACTATAGAATAGAAATTGAGTGGGGAATGAGAATCAAAAATTTTCTGCTTTTTACCTTCCCTATTCTTTTTTTAATTTTTTTTTGACTGACATTAGTTCGACCAAATATTTTTTAATTTTTTAATCTTCGAAAATTCCCTAATTTTTTTAAAATTATTATATTTCAGATTAGATGTTAACAAATTTCGTCTTTCCCGAACACAAAAAAGAGTGCTTTCTGCAATGAAAAATTACCTTAAAAATGATATAAAGCCTAAAGAAAAAGCTGTTGTTAATATGGAAAGTTATGGTTCTTTAAATAAAAAGGGGAGTCAAACAAATGGAGAAAAAATTGCAAAAAATGAAGAAAAACATAAAAAGTATATTTTTTTGAAAATTATTTTTAAAATTTAAATTTTTAGAAAAGAATTTTCTACAACTGAACGTTTACCAAAAAAGAAATTTTTGAGACGTTTAAAGGCTGAAGAACGCTTAAAAGCTAGGGGGGCTGATTTAGAAAAGGTTTTCTTATTAAAAAATTTTTTATAGAAATTGTTTTTTAAGTATAAAAAAGAACGTGCAGAAAAAGAAGCTGCTCGAGTCAGAACTTTACAAAGTTATTTTGATTATTTAAAAGATGAAAAAATTGGACAGGAATGGAAACATCGATTAGAGGTTTTCTTTTGTTTTATTTTTAGGACTCGATTAAAAGTCCATGAATATTTTCCTGAATATTGGTCCTCTATAAACAGCTATTGTTTTTTGAAATTATTTTCTACGAAATGGGTGTGTTATTGAAAAACTTTTCTAAAATTAGATAAAAAATATTTTTTAATTTAAAAATTCGGAGTTTCCTTAAAATTTTTAATTGCCACTTTTTGAAATTCAAATAATTCTTTTTTTAGATAAAACTTGTTGGACAGCCCTCTCCAGAATTAGAAGCAGATTTTGATGAAGAATTTGAACTTTTTAAACGTTATCAAGTCGAAATACATAAAGACGATCCTGATGAATTATCTACAAGTTCTTTTACTCGTTTTTTGGCTTCGTCTCCTTTAATTGCTGAAGAAGAGGTTTTTTAATTTTTATTGGGGTTTTTGGAATTAAAATGAAATCCTTGGAAAACTATTCTAGGTCCTATGAATATTGTCGATTTTAAAAAATGTGTCTGTTAAATTTGATATTGACTAAATTTAACAGCAATTTTACTAAATTCCACACAACTTGTATTTTCTGAGTCTGTCGAATTTATTACTCGAAATTATCGGAGCGGGTGCCGTAATGCCAAATTGTTTTGAAATGGCAAACCCCAGAAAGCCACTGAAATGCCAAATTGAGGAAAAATTGACAGCTTGGGTTGTCCCCTGACGGAGGGGGTGGGGGAGTTCAAAAAATCTCTCAAATTTCCCGACTTTCGGGGACAGGAACAACCCTATTGACAACCTTTTGGGTCTGATCTCTGAATTAGTACATTTTTCCTTTTTTAACTAAATTACTTTTTTATTAGTCAAAACAAACAACATTCACTTTTCTGATATACCAGAATCCTTCCTTTTAATTTCAAAAAATTTTTTTTTCATTTTTCAGAATCAAAAATCAAGTGAATTTACTTCACTTGGTTCTTATCATCAACAATATCGTTTAGATGGCCGTATAATAGCTGTTGGAGTAATAGATATTTTACCAAACTGTTTTTCTTCAAAATATCTTTTTTATGATCCAAATTATTCTTTTCTTTCTTTGGGTGTTTATTCTGCATTGTGGGAAATTAATTTTACAAAATTTTTGGCAAAACAGAGACCAAATTTGCATTATTATTATATGGGCTTTTACTTGTATGATTGTCCAAAAATGCGTTATAAAGGATGTTTTAGACCTTCGGATTTACTTTGTGATTATTGCTTTGATTGGGTAAAATTTTTTTAATTTTTTAGAGATTAAAATGGAATAATTTTATAAATTGCTGTAAATGTCCTAATAAAATATTGATGGATTTCAAGTTAATTTTAAGAGACTGAGGGATAAAGAAGATATTGAGGGATTATCTTTCATTGTTTGAACGAGAGGATATTAAAAAATAAAGGCCCATGTCCCCAATAAAGAAATTACCCGTTGAAAAATTAAAGCCCTGGATCTCCACATTAGGGCATTTACGCTAGTTTTTGGTGTTAAAAAAATTCAATTTTAGTAATTTTTTAAACAATAGGCTTAAAAGGGTCCTTGAATTTATAAACATTATTAAATGGGAGAAAGCGGTACTAATTTCTATAAAATATTAACCCCCCCCCTCCTCTGTTCAAGATGATACCCAATTTCCATTTTAAAGTCGAACCTAAATTTTAAATACCTCCAAAATGATGTACTCCGCAACATATGAACGTTATTTAGATGATACTCCCGCCCCTCCATTTAATTTACCCCTCATTATAAGGTACGATTTTTCAGCCAAGGGGTATCAAAAAATTAGGTCCGGCTATATTAATAATTACGAAATAACAACCTTTCTTTGATTCCCTAATTTATTTAGGTACCTCTATCAGAATGTGACAAACTTTTAAAAGAAAAAGGTGGTCGTTTTACAACATTTCACCCAAATTTGGAAACTTCTAAAAAACCAGAACCTAATGAATCCCAATTATCTCAAGTTGTGTGTTTAACAGAAAATAAAAGGCTTTACTATGGTGCTTTAAAAGCAATTTTAGAGCAATATGGAGATGCTAAAGATGTTGAAGATTTGAATGAAAAAGTTGTAAATTTTGTAAATTATGCGGGTCCGGCATCTTCTCAAATTGTTTTGATGTTGTAGGAAAAATATATGAGAGAGAGAGAGGAAAGATATTTTTATATATTTTTATAATGTAAAATAAAATTTATGTAGCCCCTATTACAACTCCCTAAATAACATCCTCATTTTCCCTAATCCCATTCATATGTTGGCTCAATTCGGTCCTGACGTGTAATGAAATCCCATTATTTGTAAAATTTTAAAAAAAAATAAAGATTTATTTGGGTAAATTTTAAGATTTGAATACGAAAAAATAGAAACTCCATCTATCGTAAATGGAGGATGTGTCGGAAATCTAAATTTCGGTCGACCTCTGTTCAACATTAAAGAGAATCTAAAATTGAAGTCCAACAGTTGTATATTTTTAATTCTCTTTCATTCTTCTCCCCTATTCTTGTTTTTTTCTACAAAAAAATTTGTGTAATTGTTTATTTGCCAACAAACATTAAAAAAAGTTTTTTATGTAAAAACCGCGTTAGCTTTATGAGGGGAGAAAGAAGGGTGTTAAATATTTTTTGTACAATATAAAATTATCGTTTAAAAAGAGGGTGATAATATATACACACAATAGGGAAAAAATATTTTTTAATGATTTGAGAGAATAATGTAAAATAGGTTATTAGGTGGACAACAATAACAGTCAGTGTCCTTTGAAGGGAAATTTATTTTTTTTTCTTCATTTTTTTCAACTTCCACAATTTTTCTCCAAAAAAAATTTAAAAATGTCCATTTACATTTTATTCCCCCTTCTATTAATCTTTCATTGTATTAATGCTGAGATAACAATGAATGAATGGCCTGGAGCTGGGAAGAAAATGGCTCGTGGTGGTTTAGTCGAATCTGAGGGGGTAAAGGCAAGATTTGTTATAAATGAAGGGTTTAGCCCAAAAGATCAAAACGTCTATAGATAAATGAACATTCTGTCCAGTAATTCTAATTAAGCCCCTTCCTCCATACAATTTTTTCCTTAAGTGTATAAAATGGTCAGACTTCCTCAATTCCACTATATTTCCAGTGGAATATTCTAATGAAAGCCATTAATATCGAAAAGATTATAATTTTTTATCCTGCATAACATTTTCTTTAGTTCCTTTACTAAACCTTATGTTTGCTTATGGAAACTACATAAGTATATTTTTTAACCAAGGGATTAATTTCTTGTATTATCAATTAGAACTAGAACTTTTTTGAAAGCAATACATCCTCATTTATCGTTAAAAATATGGAATAACTGAAAAATTTTCATTCAAATCTTCGCATCTTTGTTAAAAACAACATTTAAACGATACATGGCCCGATTCTATCCCTTAAATTCCCCAAAATTATTTTTAATTTTATTTTTAATTTTATTTTAATATTTAACAAAGTTTTGATCTTTTGGGTATAACCCGCATTAGAATTGCCCTTAATTTTTCTCTTTTTTTAATCGCGCAGATACTCGACCACCTCGATTATTTTGAAACTCGGCAAGAAGCTAGTACAGGGTTGAAAATGCCTCAGACAAATGCTAGACGCTGCCTATTTCCTTGGAATTGTTAAGAAAATATAAACACTTTCTTAACTGATTTTAGACTTGATTTTCTTTTTTTTACAAAAAATAAAAGAAATTATGGTTATAGTGTCGTTTACTGCCCCTTTTTTTCCTCCCCAATTTTTTCCTTTATATGTACAGAATGGTCAGATTTTTTCCTCCTCACAATTTTCCTTTCTATATTTTACCAAATCAAAACTATCTCTGTGAAATTAATCCCTTTTGATCGTTTTAGGCAAAAATAAAAAAAATTCAAGGAAATTCCCCCGTCCCTAAAGGAAAACTGGAAAGAAAAAAGGGGCGGTAAACGACATTATTACAGAAACTCAAAGACCAATTCTTACACGAAAAATTTTTCTAGGCAAAGTGAAATCACCCAGAATTCTTTTCCCGTTGTAAGAAAAATTAAGAAAAAAAAAGAAAATTAATGACATTTTTCTAACAAAAAATTAAAAATTTTATGTAAAAATCGTGGTGTATTAAATAAAAAATGCTACGTTTTGCCGCTAATTGATTGATTGTTTTTAACACCATTTTATATAGGAGAAACATTAAATTTCCTCTCATTTTGAATTTTTATTTTAGGTCACATTTTCTCTCTTTATTTGATGTTTAAAATTCTCTCCCCATTTTTAGTCTAAAAATTTGTCTTTAATGCTGCTGTCTCTTCTAAATTTTCTAATAAATTAAAAAGAATTTCTCTTTTTCGCCATGAGTGGCGAAGAATGCGTCACCTTATACAAGCAAAAATTTGGCTTTAATCCTGAATGGCTTATAAGATGTCCTGGCAGAGTGAACTTAATTGGCGAACATATCGACTACTCTAATTATCCAGTATTGCCTATGGCTATAGAAGACAGTACATGGGTGAGGGAAAAAAAGAAAAAAACAGATAATCCACATATTGTCAATACCACATTTCGCCAATAACGCTAAAATCCACGTTTTGCCAACAAATTTATTGACAAAACGAGGTTTTTACCCTTATTGGCAAAATGTGGTATTGGCAAAATAGTGAAGATAATTTGTCATTTAAAAATCAAAACGCCAAAATTAAAAAAAATTTTTTTATTTTTTAAAATTTAAAAATAATCAAAAAAGGTTGCTGCCGGCATCGCAACAACAAATAAAAATGAAACAAAAGAAATTAAATTAGAGAATGCCAATTCAAGATACAAGTAAAAATTGAATAAATTTACAGAGAATTATTTCTATTAAAGCCCATTTACTCTTGAAATTGGCAATTCCTTCTCAAATTCTTCCGCCAATGGGAAAAGCCCTCAGTGGTATCACTACTTTTTTGCTGGTTGGAGAGGTGCTCTAGAAAGGCTTTATGGGAATGAAAATGAAAATAAAGTTTTGGAACAAGCAAAGGGGATGTTTATTTTGGTTGGAAGCAAAATTCCGCCGAGTGCTGGGTTAAGGTAAATTAAAACAAGGGGGGAGGCTTTTGCCTTTATTAAAAAATGTTTTTTAGTAGTTCGTCAGCTTTGGTATGTGCAGCTGCTCTTGCTACTCTTTGTGTTCAAACTGGACAAGCTTTTGGGAATATTTCAAAGGCAAATAATAAATCTTCAAAAATTTTAATGAAAAAAGCCTTCTTTTGCAGAAAGATCTAGCTGAATTCTCAACAAAAGCAGAAAGATTTGTGGGAATGGAGGGAGGAGGAATGGACCAAGCATGCGAATGTTGGTTTTGTTTTTTTCTATTTGCCTAATTACCCCGATAGAATTTTGTGGTGACAAAAGGGAAACCCATTAAAGTGGTCAGGCAGAAGGGATGAACCCACAACTCAAAAAATGGACAACCAGAAAAGGTTCAAATGATCAAGTCCTAATTGATTCAGAAAACTCAATCACTCAATATTTATATACAAAACATTCAACATATTAACAACAACATCAATACAAATTATATACAGAATGAGTATGTCCAAGAAAATTGTGACAAATCGAAAACAATGTCTTCCATTCACTTTTCTTCGTTCATCTTTCGTCTTATGCTGCATTTTACTTCATGTAGACGCTGTTATCCCCGACTCTGCCAGCGCCCATATAGACCGAATTGTCACCTTTAAAATTTAAAAAGGATTTAAGGAAGGATTTGAGGGGGGAATGCTTTTTTTTCTCACCTCGACCAGCAGAAGGACCACCAGACGCTCCACCAAATCCTCCACCTATTGCAGTAAGTGTCTCGCGCAAAGTGACGTCGATGGTACTTGGAAGTCTCTTGAGAAGAGGGAAGTCCTCTCTTGCTGTGATGGTATTAGCTTCATTGTTTTGAGGCACCTGTTGATCCGAGGAGTTGTTGTTGTCGCCATTTGAGGCTGCTTGATCGCCTTCAGATGCTTGGTCTTCGCCTGCAGACTGTGCCATTGACGTTTGAGAAGAAGTTGTCGTCGTCTGCTGTAGGATGAGTTTTGGCCGTGTTATAAAGTGATGGAATCTTGTCCTTTTATACTAAACTAGAATTTATTGCCTGCGGGTGTCAGTCCTTTGAACGGCAGCCCCTTTTCTTGGGGGTCTCTTGGGCTTCATTTCTGTTCAGACTAAAACCTAAAGACATTTTTTTCTATCCAAGGTCTTGCCGAACGCGGATCTGCTCTTCTGATTGACTTTGCTCCTCTTAGATTTCGTCCAGTCACTTTACCGTCTAATGCATTGTTTGCAGTGATTCATTCCGGGAAAGAATGGTAGGTTCCCCAAAGTTTTCTTATATCCTCAAAACATTTTTTAATTCATTTCAGCAATAAAGGGGCCGATTCTCAATACAATCAACGCGTTGTTGAATGCCGTCTGGCTGCTCAAATGATAGCTAAAAGCGCTGGACTTGATAAATTCGAGGAGTTTCGTGAGAAATTCCGTTCGATATTTTCGATTCGAACGCTTAGAGATATTGCAGAATTGTTTGATCGTATTGAAAGGCCCGGAGAAATGACGGAACTTGTCCAGCATTTGAAGTCTAAAAATCCTGAAGGAATTTTTACGAGAAAAGAGATTTGTGAATCTTTGGGGTGTTCAGATGAAGATTTGGCAAAATATTCGTTAAACTCAAACACTCAAGATATGCAAACCTTTAGTCTTGGAAAACGGGCAGAACACGTTTATTCCGAAGCGGCACGTGTTTTGGAGTTTGAAAGGATTTGTAAAAGTCAAGACAAGGATACACTGGGAAAGTTGGCCGGTGAGTAAATATTTTGACTTTTTTATAGGGCCGTTTGGGCATTCTGTCCCAATGAACCCGGTTGGACATTTTGTCCCAATTCAGACTTTTGGGCATTTTGTCCCAATAAACCTTGTGGATATCTTGTCCCAATGAAGTCCTGCGGACATTTTGTCTCAAATTTTCATTCTAAATTTTAGAATTAATGAATGCCAGTCACAAATCTTGTGCCACTTTATTTGATTGTAGCTGCCCAGAATTAGACACCACCGTCAAAAAATGTCTAGATTCTGGCTGTTTAGCAGCAAGATTAACAGGCGCAGGTTGGGGCGGTTGTGTAGTGGCTCTAGTTGATAAAGCAAATAAAAAGGCTGTTGAGGAATCGGGCTTAAATGTTATATTTTGGAGTGAACCTTGTGAGGGAATTGAAGCCTTTTCTTTTGAGGAATTTAAAAAAAAATGAAAATTTTTAGTTAATTTATTAGAAAAAAAGAGAAGTTTTAGGCAACAATTTTTGGATAATAATTATTAGGATTGTCAAAAAAGTAGAGACCGAACTGGGAGTGATCTCGAAAAATTCTCGATCTCGATAACAGAGATTTTCGATCGAGATCCTCGTCTCGGCCTCTTCTAAAAAGTAACTAACAAAAATAGAATTTTCCAAAAATTGATAAACCTCTTCTTTTCCTAATTTAATTATTAATTTTATCTAATTTTTATCTAATTTTCTTAATTTTTAATATTTCCAAATATTTTTTTCTTTCTTATTTTCCCAAAAATTTTTAATTTTTCAAAACAGATAAAATTGTTAACCCTTTCTTTTACTTTTTTTTTATTTTAAAGAAAATTTTTTTCTGACAAAAAATATTTAAAAAATGAATTATTAAAATAAGGTATTTTTTCAATAAAAAAGTGATATTAAAAAAATGTTTTTCGTTTTCCCATTCTTCCAAAAAATTGTGAGTTTAAATCACTCTTATTTTTCATTATTGGCAATTTCTTAAGATTAAAAATTTAGATTGTTTTTTAGACGGAATTCCAAAGTCTTTCGATTTTTATATTATTTAGTTTGTCAAGGTAAGCTTAGTCGAATGACACCAAAATTAGCTGATATCTGTCTAATTGAGTTTTTGATCCAAAAAATAAGCTGGCCACTTCCCAATATGGGGTTCGATTTCAGGGACATATATCTCAGCCCGCAGGCGTTTTCGATATTGAAGTGGCATCTTTCGGGTTCGCCACCGAGACAAAGCGAATGGCGTATAAATCCAAAGACTTTGAAACCCACTACCCAAAAAATTTTCAAAAATTAAAAACAAACCATTCAAAATAACAGCTTCCTTTTCTCGTTGAAATTCTGCTTCAGAAAGAAAAGGTGCTTCAGTACCATCACCAAACCTCAAAACCATTTTAATTAAATCAATGCTGCATTTGTGTCTCAGTAAAGTATTTAGTCCAAATCTTTAAGAAAAAATTTTTAATTAAAAAAAATTTCAAAAAAAATACAAAATATCAATATCCCGATCAGCCATAACTTCAAATGGACAGGAAAAGAAGTGTTCATTTACTTGTACTTGGCAGGAATGAATTCTTGAAAAAAAAATAAGAAAAATTTTTTAAGAAATTTTTTATTTATATATGATAAAGATTTTTGTTGACTGCATCCGAACCCATAAAATTCAACACTTTTCAACTAAACAAGAGATTGTGTTGTGTGGACTTGGAGGGGAAATTGGAAGAATTTATTGGAAATGTTGAAACTTGTGCGAATTGAAACAGAAAAGAAGAGAGACTCAAAATGGGGGGGGGGGGAGGGTATATCCATAAAGTACCGAAAATTGGAATTCCAATTTTGATTGTTTGGTATTCTGATGTTTTTGGTATTACGGCATCATACCCTTTTCCCAATTCTAATTTAGAAAAAGACAACTTTAAAAATTAAAATTAAAAATAAATTAAACAAACCTTCCTAACATTTTCTGATTTCCACCAATACCCACCGCCTGAACTCGAATTCGTTTGTCTACCATTCGAAGGACATTGCATCTTTTAGCACAGGATTCAGATAAAATTGAAGTTTGTGCACCTCCATAATTTTTAAAATGAATTTTGGACTCAACCCAGAAGGTAAAAAGGAGGCCTATTTCCCCAAATCCCAACAAAAATATCTTAATCCACCCAAATCCATCAATATCCCCTTAAGCTCACAAATCTTTCTTAATATCCACAAACCTTTCTTTATCCCTTAAATATTTGGATTTGACCTTCTAGGTTGATCTCAACAAAATTTAATCCAAAAACTAACCAGAATCAATGAAAGCAATGACCGGACAATTATTTATCTTCATCCGAATAAAAAGCATATGAACAGGAATGAAAGCCTCCGGCATATGTTCCATAGCAAAATTGTGCATAAAATCAATATTTTGACGCTCAATTAATTCGGCAACATATCTTTGACCTTCTTCACTTGTTTCGTCCATCATTAAACGCTCTTTACGTGCCAAATCTTTTTTCGATTGGAAAAAGGCAGCGACGAAAGCTTCTGAAAAATTAACAGACAGAAAAATAAAAATTATTTTTAAATTTTAATAATGAGATTCCGAACAAGTTTTGAAGAAAGCTTGTAAAATTATTAGAAGCTGGAAAGGGCTTGATTCTACCCTCAAAAAATCGGAAAAAATGACTGACGCGAAGGCTAGTACATTTCAGCCTTCAAGTCCTCAATTACGAGCCTCATAAAACATGTAAAAGAAAATTTTTGAAAGCTGTTGAAAAACGACTTGGGGTCCTTGGGAATGTCCTTGAAATACTCTAAACTTCCTAAGACTAAAACTAGAAAGAAAATTAAAAAAGGAAAAACCTTTATCAGTCGGATTAGCCTCGTAAGCTTCTGCCAATTCAGGATAGTTTGCCTTTAAAAAATCCAATCTAACAGGTTCAGAAAGCGAATCGAAAATTCTTTCTGCCATCATTCTGTCTTGTGAATCTTCAGAAGGCCGTTTGGTAGGCACTTTGATACTTTTAACCAAATTGGAAATAATTGAAGAAAGTCCAGTAGAAGTCGATGATGCTTGAGAGGAATTTATAGGCTGTTTAGGTGGCTGTTGGACTTTTCCAATATGAATAGCATCTCCATCATTAATGTCAAAATCCTTTGAAAAGAATTTTTTGAAAGAAAAAAATAATTTTAAAAAAACTTTGAGCTGTTTTTTCAACAAATCTGGAGAATTCAAAGCAATTTTTTGCCCATTCACAATTAATTGTAATTGTTCCAAAGGAATATCAGCAATAGAAGCAATCTCAATTTTACAAAGCGACACCAAAATTTCAAGTTCAATGTCTTCTCCAACTTGTAAGCTTGAAATATCGTCACCAGCAATTATTGTTAACTGCATTTCTAGCTTGGAATGAATTTAGGTAAATTCTGAAAAAAAATAAAAATTTGATGACAAAAAATTAAACTGCTAAAATAAGCATCAGAAAAAATTATTTTAAAAATAGCACGAGAAAAGTTGCAAAATGGTCAAATAAAAAAAGAATAAGTAGGCGACTCTTAACGCCCAAAAAAAGCTTTTTTTGTTAAATTATTTTGTCAAATTTATGTCAAAATTATTTTAAAAACAAATAAATTAAAAAAAAACAACAATTAAATCTTTTGTATACATGAGGCATTCTTTATCGTTAAAATTCAATATAGTATAAGTTATAGATAACTCGTACAAGTTAGTTTAAAAACCACCATCCATTGCTGTCTTAAAATAATTTAAAAAAATAAATATGAAACGTTTTTAAGTTTCAATTAAATTTTCATAAAAACTCGAAAAAGTTTGGAATATCCCATTGACTTTTAATGAATTTTCAAGCTTATACATAACCTAAATATACAAAAACTCATTTTTAAAAATTTAACTCTCCCAATTTTAATTTTAAAAATAAAAAATAAACTCGCCAGATAATTTAGCCAAAATAACCAAAGTAGTACTCGAAGCTACATTTACGTCCAGTTTGACAAGGCCTTCTATTTTGGGCTGCATTAACTTTTAACAATTCGGCAGTCTCTGCCTGTTGCTCTCTTATAAGTTTTTGTAAGGCTTTGATTTCTCTGTTTTCTCGTTTTAGTCGAATATTTTCTCGTCTTAGTCGAATGTTTTCTCGTTTTAATCGAACATTTTCTCGTTTTAGTTGGACTAGTATTCTCTTTAAATAAATCCTAAAAAATTAGTTGTTAAACTTAATATTAAAGTTTTGCCATCTAAAAATCAAAACAAATTTTAAAGATCCAGCTGGTATTTAAAAATGTTCACAAGGGAGGGGGGGGGTTTAAGAGGTGAAAAGAGCCGCCGATAGCTTGGTAGATTTGTACGTGGTGGTCAAAATAGCCTAACAATAACTGCCAGGCTGTCACAGGATCGCTACCTATCTAGAGCTAAACTTTTACCTCTCTTATAATAAATTATTAAAATAAAAATTTTTACAAACATTTGGAGAAGATACACATCATAAGAGGTAAAGAAAATGTGTCGGTTGAAGTCCACATTGTTGATTTTCGAGAATATAATACAAAAAATATTCCTGCGATTAATATGTCCACCTCCACAATTTCCATTAGTCAAAAGATGAGCGAATTTGATCTGAGAAAATAGAGTTAAATAATAGGGTCCCCAAAGGCCGTATTCAGGGGGGGTTAGAGCCTCCCAAGGCCGTATCCGGGGGGGGGAGGTGAGAGCCCGAAATGGGGGAAAAGGGGAAAATAATTAAAAAACAAACCTCAACATTAAAGCGAACAGTAGGCGCAATATCCCTTAAAGCCTTAACTAAAACCAATAAAGACTGGCGGTCAATATGATTAACTCGGATTCGTTTGTCAACCATTCGAAGGACATTGAATCTTTTAGCACAAGATTCAGACAAAATTAAAGTTTGTGCACCTTCAAAAATTTAATTTTTTAGATAAAATTTGGACCTACCCCAGAAGGTCAAATCAAAATATTTGAGCGGATACAGGGGAACTATTTCCTTAAATCCCAACAAAAACATCTTAATCCGCCCAAATCCATCGATATCCCCTCAAACCCACAAATCCTTAATCTGCACAACCCTTATTTATCCCTCAAATATTCGGAGTTGACCTTCTAGGTTGATCCCAACAAAATTTAATTTAACAACTAACCAGAATCAATAAAAGCAATGAAAGGACAATTATTTATCTTCATCCGAATAAAAAGCATATGAACAGGAATGAAAGCCTCAGGCATATGTTCCATAGCAAAATTGTGCATAAAATCAATATTTTGACGCTCAATTAATTCAGCAACATATCCTTGACCTTCTTTAATATCCTTATTAACTTCCAGACTTGGAATATCATCCCCATCGATTGGTATTATTTTCATATTTTTATTTAGAGTTTAAATCTAAAATGAAAAATAAAATTAAAAAAATGCAATTAAATAATGAGAATAATATTCTACGAGTACCGCTCCCCTTTTAGAAATTCAAAAAAAAACCAAAAGAAATTAAGAAAAAAAAATTTAAAGAACATAATAATCTCATCGATAAGATTTAGTGCAGGGACCGCTTCCCTTTGATAATTCACATGCCATAATTCTTACTCGTACGAGCAAAAAATAGAAAACGTTATTAAGCAGGGTTTCGATATCTGCGGATTTTTCCTCATTTTGTGGTTTTTTGGTAGGGCGATGAGGATTATTTTTTAAAATGCGGATTTGCGGATTTTTGTGGTCTTTTGAAGAATATGGGAATTTTTATATTTTCTTGTGGTTTTAGCATAAAATGTCATTATTTTTCTGCTAAGACCTTCTAAAATCCTCAAAATTTTCGCCTGCGGCGCAAAAAAGGAAGGAATATGTGTCTTTGATCTTCCAAAATCCTCAAAATTTTTTGCCTGGCCTGAAAATGTATGATTTTTGGCTTAAGGATTTTCCAAAATGAAAAAATTTTCGCCTGCGGCGCCGAAAATGGAAGAAATAAAAATTTACGCCATCTTTCACGACAAAAATGCAACTGTAATTTTTCAGATAATTGTCGGATTTTCATAAGATGATCATTAGTAATAAAAAAATTGCTTAATTCAATTGTAGAAGACGAAAAATATAATTCATAAAGTGATTTTGATTCAATTTTTGTGTTTGATAATTTTTTGCGGATTTTTGATATAAAATGCGGATTTTTTCGATCAAATTTGCGGATTTTTAAAAATTCGAGATCGAAACCCTGTTATTAAGTACGAGTACGAGGCCATAAATAGAAGGTGAAACGAGGTTTTTTATCTAACATAAAATTCCAAAGCAATGGCAGGGCTTGAGCAATTTTTTAGAGGAATTAGTTTAAATAAATTAAAAAATCCAATTAATTTATTTTGGCGTTATGTATTTTTCAGACAAAAAATCCAACATTCCAAAAATCTATTTAAGCGTGACTCGTTTTCTTCTTGTTCCTTTTAGTTTGTTCGAGGGAGGTTTGTTAAAAGTTTGTCAATTAAAGTTGTTGAATGTTTTAGGGCTTTAAGGAAATTGATTTTTCTTTTTCAAATTTAAGGAGTTTGAAATTTTTAAAAATTTGTTAAACATGACGATAATAATTTTTCTTGTTGATACGAGTGCTTCAATGTTGCAAAGAACATATTTGGGGACTACATACTTAGATTATGCAAGACTAGCAATAGAACAATTCCTTAAGGTTTTGATTAGGAACGAGAAAATTAGGGTTTCTTTTCTTAAATTTAAGCAAAGACAACGGGATCCAGCATCAAGCGGGGACAGATACATGTTGATGACGTTTGAAGATTATCCACAAAATATCAAGGTTAATTAGATTCGAAAGAAATTTTTTGTTGTAATAGTTTGGCTTAGATCCCCCGTTTTTCCGTGTTTTCTGACCATTTTGAGCTTTTTTGAAAACATTCGAATGAGCTCTTTAAGGGCTGCACAAAATTATGAAGTTGAATCCTCGCTGGAAAAGCTTGTCATCATAAGGGATTAAAAAACAGTCATACTTTTGTCGACGAAAAATCCCCAACCTCCATGTTTGTTAGGAAAGATGGGGGTCTCAACAAACTATTGCCTTTTCGTTTTCTACTCTTAAAAAAATTTTTTTTTCCTCTAGTCGGGATGGAAAGAAAGCCAACGGATATTCAACGAACAATTAAAAAATCTTAAAGCAAAAGGGTCGTTAAAATTTGAGTCTTGTCTCGACTCTGTCCTAAGGCTTTTACTTGTTAGTCGAATGCAGAGCGGTTCTGGCGCGTCAATCGAAGCCTTTGGGTTTGGGAGGTATCCAAGCTATGCAGAACATGTGGTTATCATTCCAGTGATTGATGGCTCTTCTTTGCCGTTGCCTGATTCTGAAGTCTGATTAGATTTTTTAAAAAATTTTTTTGAAAATCCTCTAAATTTAGGCGACAGTACCAAAACCTCGACTTTTAACAGGCAGCGATCTTTTTGTTGAAGGGTATCGGTGGGATCAACGTCTCTTCCCCATTGTTTTGAGGTTGCCAGGTCATCTACACCCTCTAATTAAACAGCAAGGTCTGGTACCTCCAGAAGATAATAGTATAGCACAAAATTTTGCGGAGGAGATGGGAGGTTAATTGAAGGAAAAATTTATTTAAAAAAATTTAAAAAAAATTTTTTTGAGGTCGTTCATTCTCAATAACTTCACATCGAGCGCTTACTCCTTGTATTGATCACATTATCCAAAAAATTCAAACCAATGGAATAATCATACGCTTTCAGAAACAAGGACCAGATCCGATTCTTCCCAATGGAATAAATGGTTTTTTAAAAATTATTTTGTAGTGAAATTTTTTTTGGGGACCCCGAAGGTTTTTTGAGGCTCTCCGAGGGGTTCTGAGGGGCTGAGCTTGTCTAAAAATTTTTTTTTCATTTTTGAAGAAAATGACCAATCCAAACGTGATGAAAATAATGAACAATGGAAGAATTCGTTAGTTTTAATAAAAAGCAAAGTTGGACAACAACACAGTCATTGGCCAATTCCAGAAGCTTATTGGCCTGATTCTGTCAAGTATTTTTTGCTTTATAGGCTTCAAGAAAAAAAATTTTTTCTAGGACTTCTTTGCCACCTCGAAATGCTCACCCAATAGTTGTTTTTCGTTGTGAACGTGTTGAGCCTTTATTCAATACTGACTTTCCTCTGGACAAGTACGAGTTGGATAGTGCTTCTCCTTTAGCTCAATTTATTCTTGACGTAAAAGAGTCTAATCTTTGTTGGCAGGTTCTCATAAAATTTCAACCTTTTCAAACTAAAATTCCCAAATTTTTGTCCGCAAAAGTTGTCCGCAAAGTTTGTCCGCATTTTTATAAGTTACTCTATACAGGAGGTTGTACCCTTTTAACATCTTTTTTGGAATATCTGTAGACTTCCTTTATGCGTAAAAAATTTTTTCTCCAAAATTTTCTTAAGAATTTGCGGATTTTTAAAAATTGCGGATTTTACTTGCGGACTGTTAATTTTTTTGTTTTTAGGTTTTTGTTGAAAATTCCTATCGTCAACCAGGACTTGGTTTTCCATTTGGATATATTAAAATTTCTACCTCGGCAACAGTTACTCTTTATGTTATGCCTTATAATTATCCTGAACTTCTTTCTCTTTTGGCAATGGGGAAAGATCCAAAAATTGGTAGCAGTCATCCACAATTTCAACACAAATTTGAGAAATACCTAAAAACAGTTCCAGCGTACTACTACTCTGTAAGGGGTTTTAAAATTAAATTTTGATTTAAAAAATAAGTTTCTTAGGTTCCGTAATGCTCAAAAGATGGGCAAAATTTTTTGAAAATTAAATTTTTTGCAAAAAATTTTCTCAAGATTTTTTCAAATTTTTATGGTTTTAATCTATCACGAAATTCCTGTATTGTATAAAAAATATTTTTAAAATCCAACTTCTCAAGAAAATTTTCTTAAAATTTCTAGCGCCTAAAAAACGCCCTAAGTCGTATAAAAGTAATGCCTCCTTGTTTGGAAGAAGCAAATACTAAACTTTATGGTTATTGCAATTTGGTTGCATTACAAACACGTATTAAACACCAAGGACAACAAGAATTTGTAAGAATATTTTAATTTAAATTAATTTTTTAAAAAATAATTTTTAAAGGAATCTGCTTGCACTGCTGTTCACAAAAATTTACAAGAAACTTCTTTACTTCCACCAAATTCTGCTTCTTTTGTAAGTCTAAAAAATGTTCTTATTTACTGATTTTTTGGCTTTTTTGTTAAGAAATTAAAATAGGAAGATACTCTCAAGAAAAAAATATTTTGGGCGCCGGACGGGTTCGAACCCCCATCTAAATAAGGGTATAGTCAAGAACGATACCACTAGACCAGACTTTACTCGAAGAATTTTTTTAAATTTGGGGCAGAATTCTTCGATTTTAAAAAAAAATTTTTTATATTTCCTGAAGGGTTTATTTAGACTAGAAATAAATTTAAAAATTGTAAAACAATGTCAAAATAGGTTTTAGACAAGAAATGTCCGCAAATACTAAAATTTGTCAGCAAAAATAAAAAAAAATTTTTGTCCGCAAAAATAAAATGTCCGCAAAATAAAAAAAAAATTTGTTTGTCCGCAAAAAACAATAAAACCACTCAAATTAAAAAATTTATTTTTTTAAAGGTAAAAGTTTCTCGTTCACGTAGTCAGCTTGGCAAAGGAGCTTTAACTTCTTGTACTTTTCGGCCAGCAGTTGCTCCATTCAAATCACTCATCCCAGCAGATGCATTTAAAGATACAAATATTTTATTATTAGAAACACCTTCACAAACATTAATTCCTTCACTTCAATTTAAAAATCCTTTTGATATTGCGAGAGAAAATTTATATTCTCAATTGGATAAAATGCGTTTAAATTTTGACCAGCAAGTTCAGACGAGTAATTTACATGTTTTGGAGGGTGGATTGCCTGGACAAAAAATTAAATTACAACATGCAGGTTTGCGAAATTTTTTTTGAAATTTTTTTTAAGCTTGCAAGAAATTTCTCCAGAAATTTTTTCAGAAAATTTTGTATTTTTTTCTCAATTTTTCAGAAGATTTGCACAACTTACCAATCGCAAAGATGGGTATTTACGAGGAATACATGAAGTCATTAAATGCAATAGGTCTAGGTCCTAAGCGTGAACTTGAACCACAAGTAGCTAGACCACATGCTTTTGGAAATCCTTTTAAATTGGATAAAAAGAATATGTCGATTGTTGATGAGGTTTTTCTTTGAGAATTTTTATTTGTTTCTCTTGTTTTTTACCTTTTCGGACAAAAATTCTAAAGTTTATTCCTTTTTCTAATTTTATATTGCATTGCTTCACGATAAAAAATAATTTTCCCTCACTGGGGTTCGAACCTTCATCCTCTCCCCTATATAAATCTAATATTTTCCCACTACACCAAAGATGTCATTTTCGTTTGTTGTGGAATATTCGGTTCGATTTAAGTCTCCTTGCGTTTCCTTTAATTTAAGTTTCCTTTTTAAGCTCTTCTTTATTAATATTTTTCTAAAGGTTGGAGAAATGAATGTAAATTCTGACGAGCCTTCTTCTTCCTCTTCCATAAGCAGTGCTGAAAGAAGAGAACAACGCAAAAGGGAACGTGAGAATCGTGCTTCGTCTGAAGGTCCGGGGAGTAGTGGACAAGTAATTGCTAGATTTAAAAGAAGGCCGGGTCCTTTGGATTTGAGTAGATTGTTTGCTTGGAAGTTTGATTTTTTCTTTGAAATTTTTTAAATTTTTAAAAATTTTGAAGAAATCGTCGAAGATCAATGCGAAATCAAAACAATTCAAATTCAATGGCTACTGACATTTTGGAGATCCAATCAGCCCCTCCAGATGCCCAAGACTTTGAAGAACGCAATAAATTGGAAGAAGAGGATTTGGAAGACCAAATAAATGAAGAAGAAGAAATGGAAGAGAAGGGGTTTGAAGATGATATTCAATATATTGAATTGGATAAGTCTCAACAACAACAACAAAAAGCTAATTTTTGGGGTAATAATAAAGGAAATTCTTTAGGTATATTTTTGATCATGGAACTCTTAAATTTTTGGGGAGGGATTTTGCGGTCTAGAAAATCCTTTTATAGGGCGTGTTAAATAATTATTTTTATGTCCAAAATTAACAGCTACCGGCTGCAAATAACCAATAAAACCAAAATTATTTCGATTTCCAAATTTTTATCTTTTTTTGTCCGCAACTTTTTTTGCGGACAAAAAAATGTGCGGATTTTTTGTCCGTAACTTTTCGATCCGCAAACTTTCCTTTAAAATTTTGTTTTACCTTATACTTTTCAAGAAACAACATTGCAAGAGGCCGATGATTTTCAACAACCTTCTTCCTCTTCAATGCCTTCACTTGAAGAAGAAGAAAAACAAAGAATTTCTCAAAATAATCAAAGAAAACCTTTCAAAAGGCCAAGATTGGATAATGGAGAAACTGAAATACCTTCTTTCACTCCAGTCATTCCAACAATTTCATATAAAGAATTTCTTCAAAAACAACGCCAAATTCGTCAGCTTTGTAGACAAATAGGCCCCAGTTTGTTTAAAAAAAATTTTTATGGTTTTTAAATTATAATAGGGCTAGGGACAATTTAGAAAGAATTTAATAGAAATAGGTAACTATTTTGGAATATTACATATCTCTTCTGTTTAAAAAAAAGAAAGCGAGGTTTTTGAGGGGTTTTAGCATTCCTAAACTTTGGGTTCTTCTAATTTGTTTTTTATTTTAGCTATAATATATCTTTTCCTTAAATTCGCTAAAATATCCGCAAGTTTTTACGCAAGTTATACCTTTTATTTTATTAAAAAACAAATGTAAGGAATTATTTTGTGACGTAAAATCGCCATAATTTTTAAAAATATCTTTAAATATAACAACTACTTTGCGTGTTATGCTTCCTTTTTTCCAAAGAAGTTTGATAGGATAAACTTGCGGATAAAACTTGCGGACATTTAAAAAAGACAAATTTATTTTTTAATAAGATAAATTTATTTTTAGAAGGTATTGTACTACATAAACAATTAATGGAAATTGTTTCGGATAGAACACTTTCGAGGGATTGTAAACGTCAATTATTAGAATTGGGACTACGTGAAGCTCAAATGTTTAAAAGACAAACATTAATGGAATTAATTAACCAAGAATTACAAAATCCTCCATTTTTGTTGGCTGCTTCTTCTTCGTCTTCTTCTTCTTCTTCAATTTCTTCTTCATCAACTCAAAATTCTTCCTCACCTTTTTTAGTTAATAATATTAGACCACCTTTTATAAGGCAAAACGGGTATGGCGGAAGTGGTAGCAATTTTTAATGCTACTTCTCTTATGATAGTTTAGAAAATCTAAAGCTTTAAAAAAGCTAATGCTAGGTTTTAGCTACAAAAATGAAGCAAAAAACCTTGGAAAATTCCTTTGGTTGAGAGGAGGACACGCGTTAACGCTTAAGGGATAAATTAAAAATTATAAGTTGATAAATACTTGGTTAACCTAGATATCTGAAATTTTGTGTTTATATTTGCTTTAAAAATAGTTTTTTTCAAAAAAAAAACCCCGAAAGCGATCCAGAATTTTTGGAAATTTTAAAATTTAAGTAATTTCGAGTTTTTGGGACAAAATGTCTCTACCTAACTTTCTTCAACATTCACTTGAAGTTTAGTAAAAAAAGAATTTTTTTTAATTTACCTATATAGGAGTTAATGGGATCTGTGAAATTTTGGAATTTTTCTAGCCTTTGGATAATTTTAAAAAATTTTCTAAAACTCCTCTCCCTCCCTCTTACCTAAATTATCAAACAAAAAACAACTCAGAAAATTTTCTTTGTTTTTTACCGCCATTCCCTCCCTTATCTAAATAAATTCCAGTGAATTTTGAATACTCTACACACACAACAACTTTAAAAAAAACTCAAATTTTCTCTCAAAACACCTCACATTTTTTTTGTTTTTTACTATTTATCTAAGTAATTGTCCCCATTTCTGTGGCTTTGATTTAATTTTTTGGGTGTTTTTTTGTAATATAATTTTTTGTTTAAAAAATATATTTTATTTATTTTGAATTTTTTTTTAGAAAAAAAAATATTTTTGAAGTAAGGAGGTGAATAATTTTTTAATTAAATTTTTGATTTTATTTTGAGCGTGTCAAATTGCCTTTATTCTGGCAAGATCCCAAAAATATAATGTTTATTCAAGGCCTAATGGTTTCTTAAAATAAATAGGCTACCTAATATACGATCACATTTCTATTTTTTCGATTTCGCAGGTGAAAATTTTGTGAATTTTGGAAGGTCAAGAAGCAAAATTTCTTCCTTTGTAAGAAAAGTTCAAAAGGTGCAAATGTAGAACAGGGGAAAAAGGGGCGAGAAAGTCAAAAAGGGGGCAAATGCCTCCCAAATAAGGTAAAAGGCCACACTGGGTTGATCCTAAACAAAAATCTGGATTATCAAGAGTGGAGATTTTATTTGAGATATCGATGATATCTATTCTCGTATAACCTTTCTCCAATTCGGTCGCCAATCACATTTATCACTGTATTATCTTGGGGGGATGTTTAGAAGGTATTTTATTGAAAGAGTTAGATGCCCTCTCGTAATTAATTTAAAATTTTAAACAAATTTTCTCTTTAAATTTTTGAATAAATCATTTTTTCTTCGCTAAATTTACTAAAATTTTATAAAATGTTTTGCTCTTAAAAAGATTATATTTTTTAAATAAAATTAATTTCTCTTCTAGTTTTATTGGGCAAAGAATTAATTTTAAAAACCTGATTTTAAAAATTAATTAAAAATTAATTTTTCTTTCACTCTTTCTCTTAATAAATTCAATTTCTTTTCCCTTTCCCCTTCAAATTTATTTCTAAAAAATTCCAAAAAATGATTTTTCCAAAAATTTATTTTTCTTTTCTCTTTTTATTTTGTTTAATTTATTTAATTAAATCTCAAGAATCAATCCCTCAAAAATTTTTTGGGGCCTTCCAATATGAAAATAGTGATAATTGGGAGGCTTATTTGGCTGCTAAAGGTGTTATTTTTTTATTTTTTAAAAATGAGGATTGAATCAATCCTATTTATTAGATCAAGTATTTACATCAATACCTAATGGAAAAATGTAATCTATATAAAAAAGTGATCTGGGTACGAGAGGATTTCTGGGAGAAAATTTTTAATAATATAGACCTCATTAAAAGATACACCCAATAAAAAATTATTTTTTAGAAAATATTTTTTAAAGTTGTGGTTGCCTAATGCCTCATTTCCCATTATCTTTTCTGCCGCAAGACGCGCGCGTTTTTTATGTAATCGTAGCATAAGCTCCTTCAATTAATAGGGAGCCTTCAATTAATAAGAGGTTCATCTGTAATCCCATCTATCAATGGGATCACAATAGGAATTGAAATGGGATTTTAAAGAATAACTGATCGACAGCTCCCTCAACCCCCAATAATGAATGTACTCAATTTAAGATTAAAAAATGTTCAATCGCAAGGGTGTACCTTCTAGAATTACTCCGACTAACTAATTAAAAAAATTTTTTTAAAGGTTACAATGAGGAAATGAGAAGGACTGTAAAACCCCCAAAATTGACCCGCGTCTTATTTCCGACTGGTCCCGGTTATCGAATGATGATTGGACAGGGATTACAAGGAAGTAAATGGCTTCCTGGGGCAAAGAAAAATGCTGATTGGACGTTCCAACTTGGAAAGGAATTTAGAGCAAAATATTGGGATGGAAGAGAACATTTGGTTTTTGGAAAAAATTGTTTAAAAATTAAATTTTAATTTTACAGATTCTTTTTACCTATAATCCTTCGAATGATAGACTGATTGAGAGGCAAGGAATTTTTCATTATTTCTTTAAGACCAGAAGCTAGAATTTCACAAGTACAAAGGTGCAAAATAATTAAATCTTACGAGCTCGTATTTTGGTTAAGTGGGTTAGGTGCTACTTCTAAAATCAGCCAGATAGATTGGGGACCATGGTTCGAGTCCTCCTAGAGGAAAAATATTTTTATTAATTTTTTAGGTAATAAAATTAATAACTAAATTTCTAGACATGTAGTCTTAGGAGCACAAGTACCCCCAGAAGACTTTTTGTATGAAATCAATCAACAAGGAAACATGGATCTGGTAATTTAAAATGCGTAACTTCAAATCCTTTTATTTTAGCATGTCCTGTTTCAAAATGTTCATTTGATTCATCATTACATTCGGACAGATTAATTAAGAGATTTTTATTTTTTATAGTTTTGTCAGAAGTTTCCGGTGTTTCTATTTTCGAAAAAAACAATTTCCGCGTAATTTGGCAAAGTGTTTAAATGACATTTCATTCTCGATAGAGATTAGAGAAAATAAAAACAAAATAGTGTACTTATTTGAGAAACTAAGAAAAAAACAGAGCGGCTTGTTGAGTGTAGGGGTGTGCCGAAAGTGATTTTAAAAGGCGAAAGTAAAAAAAAGTGGAAATCGGGGCCAGGGGTGAGGAAATGCGGAGACAGGGAGAAAAAAAACGCCAAGTTCATCATTCTCATGGGACTGGGTCCATACTTGATTTCATTAACAAATTTTGCCAATACATTATTTTTAGCCATGGTTAATTTTTATTTTTACACTTCTTTTAACTTAGAACATTAAAAAATTCTACATAAATTAACGAAATAAAGGTTTTTTAAAAAATGAATAAAGTTTTTGTAAATTTTGATTTTTATGTTTTTGTTGATTATTTGTTTGTTGTTCCCCAGTATTTCTGTTATTTTCGTTTTCCTCATTATTCGATGATTGTTGTTGTCCGTGCGAGCGAAGGAATTCAACTGCTTCATTTTCTGCGTTTTTAGCGTCCTCCAAAGTCTAAAAAAGAGAAAAAAAAATTTAAATCTTCAGTCTTTCACCCTTACTTTTCTCACACAATCTTCAAGATTAGGATATAAACTTTGTTGATCCAAACTGCTTATACTACTAGTGCTGTTCTCATTCTTCTTAGATGCTGTTATTTGTGCTATTGTCTTTTTTAAAAAGAAATTAATTTTACAAAAATAAATTTGAAAAAAACCTCATTTATAACCGAAGAATTTATCGAAGAACAATCCTGATTTGAACCAGAAGATTTTAAATTATTATTCGGAGCAGAATTATTGTGAAGATTGGAAGTAGAAGAAGGCAATCGTTTACCTATTTGAAGTGAATGTTCCGCCTTAAAAAATAAATAAAAATGAAGGAAAAAAATAAATGAAAGAGAATAACTTCAAAAAAAAATTTTCTCCTAATTTTTAAAGAAAAAAGTAACAAAAATAAACCCTCTTTCTTCACTTGGATTCGAACCCTCATCGAAAATGCCTAAAACCCAAGAGCACTACCAATACACTATAGGTAACTTACAAGGCAAATTTTAAAAAAATCTTATGATTGATCAATTTTGTTAAAAAAATATAAATTATCGAACCTCATTCAATAATTTTAGAGCCTCGTTTTCATAACATTCATCATCAACATTTGTTTGACCTTCATCTTGATTTACTACAAGCTGAAATATAAAAAAAGTAAAATCGTATTAATTTATTTTTCGCTACACTTTGAGTATGCCGGGAAAGTCTGCAATTTTTACCCGCAAATTACAAGGTTTCCTAAATAGCGATACAGAACACAAAAATATGTTGATTGAATTTCTTTATCGATTTAAACGTCCTATTTATTTTTTCGCAAGTTTCATTATAGAGGGAAAGTTCAAAACGTTGAGGAGTCGAACGAGATCTGACTTTTGCAGAATAAAAGTTGCGGACTTTGCCGGCAAAATAAAAGTTTAAAAAATACCTCAATATTGGGAAAATATTTTAAAAATTAAAAAAAAAACAAACCAATCCCGGCCTTCTAATAATATCAACATCCACTCCCCGCAAAGCAGCCAATCTTTCTTCTAATTGTCCAATTCCTTGAATTTTCTTTTTTTCTTCTTTAACAGATTCAATAGGTTCATTCAATCTTTCCAGCCTTTCTTCCAATTCTTTCCACTCATTTTTGTTTGATTTTAAATGTTGTTTTAAAGTTTTGTTGGAAGAAAATAGAGGTCTTAATGAAGGAGGGGGTAAATCTTCTCCATCCCAGCAATTTATGTTTGAAGGCATTTCGCGATTTTTGTCTTTTGATAATTCAAAATTTTGTTGTTGTTGATTCTATAGAGAATTTGAAAAAAAAATTAAAGAAGAAAGATTTGGGTTTTATTTTTTTCCTAGGCAAAGACCCGAAATTCTCAAAATTTATTTGTCCCATAGTAAGGGCGTATCTGAGAGGCTGGAGGGAAGGGAGTGAGGTATCCGGGGACTAGGAGCGAGGTATAACCCCCTGAAAGATGAATTTGTTGTGATATCCAGCCATTAGTTCATGAAAAAAAATTTTTTCATTCGAAATTAACGAAAAAAATGCAAAAATATTTTTCTTATTCAATGAAAAAACCCCAAAACCTCCTTCAGAATTTAAATATCAAAAATAAACCAATAAAGAATAACAATTTGAACAAACAGGAACAGGTTGTGCCGAAATTGAAGGTATCACCACATCATAAGGAAGACATTTACGACAAAAACTGAATTTACATTTCGCACACCCAAACTTAGAAAAAAATTAATTTTAATAAATTAAAATTTAAAAAAACCTCTTTTTTACTTCTAGAGTAGTCAACCATACAACTTGTACAAGGCATTCTTTCAAAAAAATTTGAAAAATTACTTAAAAATTTTTTTTAAGATACAAATAGTCAAAAAAACTATTTTTAAAAAATTTAAAAATTCCAAAAAAAAAATGAAAAATTTTATCCAAAATTTAAAAAAAATGTTGCTACATACTTATATAATCCATTCAAAACACAATTTTTAAATGAAAGCAAAATTTAAGGAGATTGGACCAGAAAGAAAATTTTTTAATAATTATTTAAATTAAAAATAAATGTGTCCAATCTCCATCCCAAAAATAATTTAAAAGAAAATTTTTTCTTAAAGTTTAAATTAAATTAAAATTTTTAAAGTCAATTTTTCAAAAAAAAAGTTAATCAAAAAAAATCAAAATTAATTTTTTCCAAATCAAAAAACCTTTCTCTCTCTCCAATTATTCCAATCAAAAAAATCCAACCAGAAATTCTATTCCTCCTCCAAACAAAATTTAACTCAATTCCAAAATATTTGTAGAATCATCAGAAACTGGAGGATTAGCACGCAAAACAAGTCGAGGATCGATACGTGGAGAATTTAAGTGGCGTTGTCTTGGTTTACGTTTTTGTTGACGCTGATTTCTATCCGAATTGTAGGCAAAAGTATTGCTTAAATATTAAAATGAAAATGAGAAAATTGTATCATGGGATGAAATGTCATCAAAAATTTTAAGGTGAAGTTCTCCCTTAATCCTAAATTCCCTCAATTACTCAATTAAATCCAAAATAACAAAACAACTTAAATTATATAAAAAAACATACGAAAGCATAAATGGAGTCAACATATTTGTAGAAGTTGAAGGTCCAGCGTCATCAATAAAGAAAGACCGAGCACCTAAAGCGAAAAAAAGGCTGAAAAAGAATAAAAAAAATACGTTTTTGATGATCAAAATCGGGAGCAGAATTGATTGAATTGAAATAACGATTTGCACTTTTTGCAATTTTCTCAAGTTCAGAATAAGTCTAAAAAAGACAAAAATTATCAAAATTTAATTTTAAAAATTTTATACCATTGAAAAACGGTCACCCAATTGTTTAGCTTTACGCACTTTCTCTTCCAATTCTTCTTTTAAATGGTGGGACTCACTGTCGTAACATTCAAGATGAAAGGCTTCAAAAGGTTCAAGATTGTTTTGCAATTTCTAAAAATAAAAAGGTAGTTGAAGTTTCAGAGAGAGAATAGAGTATTTCCTGTTTAGGACCGCAACAAGAATAAACCGGGTTGAGAAAAAAAATCAGTTTTAAGGCTGTGAGTTCAGTATTTTTTTCAAACTCAATCTTAGGCAACCCGCCTAATCCCTTGTCCACAATTTTTAAATTCCTATCAGTAAAGCCAATCACCGGCCCTCGAACAACCCCAAAAAACCTGTTTAATAGAGTCAAATCCACGATTAAACTGTTCATGAATTCCATTAATTTTTTCAACGTGAGAGCGAGCTCTGTAAGCAGCATCAGCTATAAGATTAGCAGCCTCTTCACGGTCCTTGTGCGAAGCAAAATCTGAGCACATTATAACATCGTGATCCTTGTGCATTTTTAAAACACAGAGAGAACAAATAAACTTAAATTGAAAATATTTTAATTAATTTTGAAAGAGAAAACGGCAAGGGTGTAGCCAGGGGAGGAGGGCTTCTAGGGCTATAGCCTCTCTGAAATGGGGAAAGTGAAAAAATTTAAGAAAGAAAATGATTTTGGAATAGAACACACGCCATTGTGTAGAATGAGGTCGGTTTACTATTGCAAATTCTTTCCTTTTTTGGCTCTAACCCCAAAAGTTGTATGGCTCCAAGGCTATAAACTTTTGGATGGACTTGGAGTCCATCAAAACCAACTCTCCAATTACTACGAAAATTCAAAACCTTCTTATTCGTAACAGAAGCACACCCTTTGCAAAAAAACAATTCATTTGTAGGTGTTGGACGAGAACATCCAGAACATGTATTCTTCTCCCCAGAATCAGCCGATGAGTCATTCCCATTGAATCCACTGTTGGTAAACGAAATGAAACGAAATTTCTCAACCATTTCTAAAAAAATAAAAGTTGAAAAGATAGGAATTAAAAAACAAAACCTTTAACAACATAATTAGTATTCAATCCATTCTCTGGAATAAGAGACATCTTGCGGCAGTTTGGACACATAATGGAATATCCTAAAGTAAAAATTTTATTAAAAAATTTGAAAGATTTAAGTGACAAAGGAGGGACATTAAATGTATTCTGCGCCCCAAGTATTCGAGAAAAAGGTAAGAACTGAAAATTATTTGCTTGGGTGATAGATCAGCAACCACAAGGACAGGACGTAAACCAAGTCTTTTGGATAAACAAAAAAATCGGACACCAGGATTTCTAAACCTAGTAGAGAAAATAACCAAAATCCCAAGGAAAAAGACACGATTCATTTCAAAAGAAATTATAGACTCTTACTTTGACCCTCATTCAAGCGTTGATTTATACAGCGACGTGCTTCAGCAGAACGAGCTGAAAAATGAATTTAGCAACAAAAATCAAATCAAAACCTGTACTATAAATTGTATGCAAAAATCCAAATTCCGAGTCATTTCCAAATGACGAAATAACTTTTTCCAATCCATCAATACATCCCTGACAGAAAGTATGTCCACAAAGAAGCTGTTTAGGCTCAGAAAAGAAGTCCTTACAGATTGGGCATTCTAACGATTCACGAACTATTTCTTGGTCAATATTTGCAGAAGCCATTTTTCTTGTAAAAATAAATAAAAGAAATCTGAAAATCAATTTAAAAAATCAGAAAAATAACAAAAAAAGAAAAAATAAAAATAGCGCGACAAAACGCCACATTTGTAAAATGGTCAATTGAAAAAAATGTAAAAATGGTCAAAATAAATTTTTTTCTCTAAAATTTTTATGTAGCCAGCAACATCTTAATAAGAAATAGACAATCTTTAATTTTTGGTGTCCTCTCATCATCATTCGAAAATAATATTTGTTGTCGTTCAGTTGTCCTCTCTTCCTCAGATTCTACATTAATTGTAAATAAATATACTCGTCCAAGTCTGGATTGTAAAGACAAATATTTTTTAACTTCATTATCGTCATCTTCCCCATTTAAATTTACAACAGGTTTTGTAGATTCAAATGATATTTCGACATATTCATTTACAATTTTTACAATCTCGTCCAAAGGTTCAACAAGTGTGTTAGTGATGAAAAACTAAAAATTTTTTTAAAGTTAGAAAAATTTTTATTGTGGGTCGAAATAGAGATCGAGGTTTTTAAATTAGAATTTCAAAAAATTCTGGAGTTTGTTTTCTATACCTGGACTGGATCCTGGGCCTGTGGTCCACGAAAATCCCAGGCCCAGGAAAAACCCAGGAAGACCAAAAAATGCCTGGACCTGGACTCTGGGTACAGGAAAAACCCAGGACTTGGTCCAGCTCGATTCTTGTTCGAAATTTCAGAAAAATTTTTTAATTAGAATTTCGAAATTATAAGAAAATAAATTTTAAAAAATTAGGTTATTTTCCGGAAATTGCTTAGTTCAGGTACACACCTCCATTTTATCCGAAAGCTCAAAACGGTCAAAGTAAACCTATTGAAGTCGGGGAACTTATATGGTTTGGGTACTCTTTTTTTAGCCACGCCCCTTTTTTCCTTTTCCTCATTATTCTTAACTCATTTTCTTACTCATCCATCAATCAATTCAGCTGAGGTCAATTTTTTTTAAGATTAGGGCTGGGGTTTTCGAGTCGGGCCGACGTTCGAGTCATTTTTCGGGCCACATTTTTATCGGGCCGGCCCGATCGAGTTTTTTTTTTGGGCTTCATTTTACGTGGCTAAATATCTCTGACAATGAGCTGAGTTACAAAGGTCCAAAAATGTCTAAAAAGTGGTGAAATGGTCAATATTTCGAGAATTATATGATTTTAAAAACGCAAGAGTACCGGACCATTCGTTCTTAAACACAAACCCAGGTACTTATTGACATTTAAATAACTGAAATAGATGAAAATAAGAATATTGATTCAAATGTTAATTCTTATTTGGGTGACATTGGAAAGAAAAACTAATCATTTCTTTGTTTATGTCACTCATTAAACATGCCACAGGTAAAATTGAGTGAAATCGAGGAAGAAAGAAAGGCTGACCATTCTGTCCATGTTAAGGTTGATTGGTGAGGGAAAAGGAAAAGAGGGCGTGGCTAAAAAAAGAGTACCCAAACCATATAAGTTCCGAAGTCGGCATTAGTTTACGAACAATTTGAGGAAGGTATACCCAAAAGTTCCAATTTTCCTCCAAAATTTAAATATTTAAACTAACATAAAGTGATTCAAGACATTCATTCCATTCTTTGGCAATTTCAATTAATTTTTGAAGTAATGGATTTGAAGATTCTATTTGATCAACCAATTTTTTAATATAATAATCATTTATTGAGGTTAACTGAAAAAATTTTCGGGTAAAATTCCGTCATATCTTCTATATTCCGATTCGAACAAACAGGATGTCGTTCGAAAAAAGCTCAACGAGCTGAATCGAACGACACCAAAATTAGCTTCGGGATTCATTCATGTGCTGAGATAAAGTTCCTGGAAATCGAAAACCCATATAGGGTCCAAGCTTATTTTTAGTGGTCAAAAATCTGAATATCCAAATCAGACCCAACATACATATGAGTCTAGAAGCTAATTTTGGTGTTCATTCTATTTCGAATGACATTTTGCTTGTTCGAAACGGAGTATGAAGGTTATGCCGGAATTTTTCCAATTTTTAATAATAAAAAATTTCAAAAAAAAGAAAAATAAGAAACCTGTCCCAAAATTGCTTGAATAACAATTTGAAGAAAATGAATAATTTTTAAATTTAATCTTTTTTGAATTTGATTTTTTAAATTATTAAAAGAATAAATTAAAACATTTCTTCTTCTTTTTGTTCTTCTAAGATTTATTTTTAAATTATTTGAATAATTCATTAAGGTATGCCAAGCAAGAATAATTTTATAAAGACGAAGAAATATATAATCTAGAGATTTGTAAATATTTGGAGTTAGGAAAACAGAAATGGACCAGTGTTGCTGAAAAGTAAAAAAAATATTTTTTAATTTTATGGCATTTTAGTTAGGCAATAGCAGCATTAGTTCAGTCCCAGTCCTATAACTCATGAAGGGATGGTCACTTTTTCATGATCTTGGTACCATTGGATAGAGAATTGAAAAGATCTACAACATGCCAAAAAATCAGAATTTTCAACTGATTGATAAAAAAGTTATAATCTAAAAACTAACTTTTTCTCAAAAAAAATGTGATTTTTCGACAATTTATGGGTCACAACTTTCTTAACAATCAATGAAAATTCTGATTTTTTGGTAGCATGTAAAATATTTAATCCTCTATCAAATGGTAACAAAAAATAGTAAAAATTATCCGCCTCCTTTCAAGTTATTGGTGCCGTGACAGAACCCTGGCAATAGCTGATAGAATTGATTACAAAAACACCCCGAAACTCGAAGAAAAAAATTTAAAAAAACCTCACATTTTTATAGAAAATATTAGCATAATCCTCGTTTGTATTACCAACACATCCAAGCCGTCTTTTCACTTCTTCCTCAACAATAACCCAACTGGTTGATTTGAAAGTTGAATTTTTAGAGAAATTTTCAAAGGGAGGAACACAATTCGAATTTTTGAATAAATTGGCCAAAGCATGAGTATTTAGGGAATAAAATTGCTGAAAAGAAATACTTTTACACAACATTAAATTTAAAATTTAGGTCAACCCCGTAAACCATTGACCCTGAAGGCCTACAAATTCTGAAAGGGAATTCCGAGGGATTTAGAGGATTTAAGGGGGTCTTCAGAGTCAATAGGTCTTCAGGGGTAAACTCTAAAAAATTACAAAAAAAACCTTGATATGTTGTAAATGAGAGAATAAAATTTTTTGTGACGATTCAAGCTCTGCAAGAACTATAGAATTAACTTTTGTTGAAAATTTATCCAAGGATTGGCGGATAAGAATTGATAAAAATGTTGAAGTATAACGAATACTTGAAAAAATTTAAATTATTTTGGGATAAAAAATTTTTTTTAATTTAAATTCCTAAAAGTCTTTTACCATTTCTTCGTCTTTGCATTTTCCCAAAATTCAATAAAAATTTCATCAAATAAAGGAAGTGAATCGCTCATAGTTTTTGGCATTAAAATAAGGCATCGATGCAAAAATGAGAGCATATTGGGTAAATATTGATCCGCCTCAACCAAAAATGAAAGAAAATTAACTTCTGGAGTTGAACTAAAATTTTGAGAAAATTTTTAGATTTTTGAAAAAAAATTTTTCAGCGAATCATAAAACCGTGAAAATTAAAAGTTCATAAATGAACCAAAAAAAATTTTTGGAGTTAAACTAAAAATTCTAAAAAAAAAATTTTTGAATTTTTGAAAAAAATTTTTCGAAAATCAGAGACCCAAGAAAATTTAAAATTCATAAATGAGCCGAAAAATTTTTCTGGAGTTGAACTAAAAATTCTAAGAATTTTTTTGAATTTTTAAGAAAATTGAAAAATCATAAACCCAGTAAATTTACCAAAAAATTCATTTTATTAAATTAAAAAAAAACCTGAGTTCTTCCAAAATACATTTTCCAATTAAATACACAAATCCTTCAAAAAGTTCTTCTTGCCATTTTAACTAAAATTTAAATTAAAATAAAAAAATAAACACAAACCAATTTATTATTATAATCCCACAAATTAATTTTTTCTTGCAGAAAACATTTCCAAAAATTCAAAATATCATTTATAGTGAGAATACTCATTGAAGAAAGCAAACTTTGGAATGTTAAGAAAATTGGATCAATTTGTTTTGCAAAGAGGTTGAGAAAGTTGAAAAGTTCCCAAGGATCTATTTAAAAAAATTTTTTTATTCATTTAAATATTTCAATTTAAGGAGGAAATATTGTCTGATGAACCTAGAACGATCTAAAACTGCAACAAAATTTGAAGGAAAATATTTTCTTATTAAATCATAGTACTTGTGTAGTTTACCCCCCATAACCCACGCCACTTTTTCCTCTCTTCCTTTTCTTTAGAAAATGGCCAAAATAAAAATGAAAATATTGACCCAAATGGTCATTTTATAGGATGATCATTTTCTAATGAAAAAGGAAAAGAGAGAAAAGGGGAGGGGCTTATGGGGGGTAAACTACACAAGCACCAAAAAATTATTTCAAGGAGGAAAAGACTTTCAAATTCACTCTTAAAATTCCAAAAACTTTTAGTTACCCCAAAAATATCTCTAAAAAACCTTTAAAAACACTTCTCTTCCTCTGCACAGATTCAGTAATTTCTTCCATAAAATTTTGAAGAACATCTCGTATCGGTTTAACACATTTGTGTTGAAAAAAATAATTTCTATCAGAATTTTGTTGTAAAAAATTTGAAATCAAAACCATTTTCTTTCTAATTACAGAAGCCAAAGATAAACATCTTTCCAAAGTAATCCAATCCTGCTCATCAAATTCTTCACTTTTGTATTCTTCACGGGTAAGAAGAATATCACCCAAACTTCCAACACGTAAAGGCTCCAAATTTGAATAGGTATGAGGTAATATTGAACTAAAAAATTTGATTTAAAAAGATGGGCCAATTTTTTCTTTTCAGCCCCTCTATATTTTTGTCCAAAAATCCAAAATATTCCTGCACAAGACAGGGAATAGAGGGGAAAGGAACTAAAGAATTCAAAAGAAATAAAGTACAAATAAATATCGGAATGGTATCGAAACGGACATATCGGGATTGCTGTAAGAAAAATAACCTCTTGGGTGTTTACGTTGGGAGCAGGCCAAGGTACCGTGAGCCCAAGGTACCGCCGAGCTATAACTTTCTTCAAAATTGTCGAATCCGGGACGCCCTGATATGATTCGATTCAGCTCGTCGAGGCGCATCGAACCATACTAAGGCGTCCCGGATTCGACAATTTTGAATAAACTTATAGCTTGGCGGTACCTTGGGGTGTACCCGTTTACGTTGGTTCTCACAATAAACTATAAAAAATCTTTTCAGCAATGGGCAAGGTAAACCCTAGTGGCAGTAGATCCCGGAATCAGTAGGTTAACTAGTCGTCCATTGAGATATCCTGATATGTCCGACCCGATATATCTAGTTCCCGGTGGAATATTCATTAAATTTAAAAACAAAAAAATCTTTAAAAAAACAAACTTGCAAATTATAATGTACAACTGATCTTTATTTTTAATTGTTGGATGTGAAGATAATGGACGTTGTTGTGAAATTGGAAAATATGTTTGATGATCATCGAGATTTTCATTGAAGAAATTATGAGATCCCATTTTAAGGAATTAAAAATCTTAAAAAATTTTCTTAAAAATTTAATATGTAAAAAACATCTAAATATATTTTAAGTTTCGAAAACTAATTAAAAATCAGTACTAGAACATAAATACTAAAAAAATATTTATTAAAGGATCGGAGCATCAGAAATTGAAAGCAAAACGTTTTCTTATGAGAAAAAATTCGCACAATTCACCAGGCTCGGTAATAAATATAAATTTCTCTAAATTTTTTTTCAAAATAAAAAATAAAAATCTTTTTCATCCTCTAAAAATAAATAAACGTCCTTTTTTTGTCAAAATTTATTCTTCAAATCCCTCAATTTTTGCATTGTAGCTATTGGGTCATTCAGAGTACCCAACTTTTCTTGAATTCCAACATTACTTAAAAAAATTCTTTTTAATAAAAAATAAATTTTTTAACCTTACTTGACACGCATAAAAGGATTAAATGTCTTTTCTTCCCCAATTGTTGATGGAACAGTAAATCCATTTTGTTTTCTTAAATTTTTGGCCCACTCCAATTTTGATAAAATATTTGGATTGTTTGGTTCTACACTCGATGCAAATTCAAGATTTTTAATTGTGTATTCATGTCCACAATAAACTTTCTAAAAAAAAATAAAATTATAAAAATTCAAAAGAACTGAGAAAAATGTCAACTTTTGTTTCAATGCCTGCGCCAAATTTTAGATAAAGCATTCTTTAATCGCATTTCTTATTTTAAGCTGACGATTATTTTTAAATTTATTTTGAGGTCACTATATTATTTTCAAATAAATTCTATTTTTTTTTAATATGAAAAAGAATTAACTCAAAGACTTATGCAAATTTTCCTATTGTGTATTCAATAACTGTCAACTCAAATTTAAAAATACAATAAATTTTTTCCATCTACATATTCAATAATTTTTCAGTTTTTTGTTGGATTTAACAAGAGAAATAAAAAATGAGAACAAAAAAGTTCCAAATTTTCCAACAGAAAAAGACTTATTGTTAAATATTAAAATATTCTAGCTCATCCGCTTATCAAAATAGCAAGCATTTTTTGAAAAGAAAAAGAATTTTTGGAAATGTCAAGCCCTCAAAAATAAGTTTTAAAAATTTAACCGTGTCATCAGGCAATTTTCCAAGTTTTTCATTCAAAGCATAATTCATTTCCTCTGCCGTCCCTTCAAAAAATCTTCCACATCCACCAATAAATAAAGTATCACCAGTAAAAACGCATTTTTGACTTTCAGCCTCATCAGTAATGTAATAACAAATCTGAAAGAAAAAAATTTTTCTTTCAAATTAAAAAAAAATTTTTTTTCAAAGTAAATTAGTCTTTCTCCGAATTTTTTCTGTTCTCTTTAAAGAGCAGCCTTAGTAGTCAAGTGGTATACGTTTATTTTTCAGTGGAAAATAGGTTGAGGGTTCGAACCCCATTGGTGGACAATAATTATTTTATCAAAGTTTTTGACTAAAAAGATAAAATACACAAATAAAAATAAGGCTCTTGTCCAGTTTGTGCGTCCCATGAAAGTATATGCGTCCCATCAACAAAAAATTGCATATTTCTTGTGTTGCAAAGTAGGGGTATGGTTCCAAAGCATTTCTTCATGTTTGTGATCTACGTCCACTGGGTCTGGGACCGTTCCTTACCCTATACCTCGAAATTTCTGAAAGTTATAGCCAATTTTTAAAAATTTCAGAAAAACGATTTTAACTTTCAGAAATTTCGAGGTATAGGGTAAGGAACGGTCCCAGACCCAGTGGACGTAGATCCCGAACATGAAGAAATGCTTTGGAACCATACCCCTAATTTGCAACACCAAGAAATATTCAATTTTTTGTTGATGGGACGCATATATTTTCATGGGACGCATAAACTGGACAAGAGCCAAAAATAATTTTTTCTTAAATAAAAAATTTTTTTAATTTAAAAAATTTTAAAAAAGTAAAAAAAAACATGTGTCGATGTGTGACAAGGTGTTTTCAAAGCACGTATCTTTAAAGAAAAAAATTTAAAATTATTTTGAAAAACTTTATTAACCTTTAAATTTCCAAATTCAATTTCTTCATTGTCTTCCACAACATAATCGATAGATTTAATTCTTTTTGCATCACCCCCATAAATTTTAACATCCGACTTTTTTGATTTTAATTCTTCTGTACCCCCAGCATGGTCCTCAAAAAAAATTTTTTTTAATTTTTTTGAAAATTAAGCTAAACTCAACAAAAAATTGTTCTTTTAATCCAAATCTTATATCAAAAAAAATTTAAAAAAATTAAAAAAATACCCAATGGTGATGCGTTACTAGTGCCATAAACAAATCTGCATTTTCCTTTTTAATGACATTGAAGAACTATAAAAAAACTATTTGAATGATTAAAGAATATTTATAAATCCCATCTACCCTTCTATCAAAATCGTAAAACAAAATATTGAAAATTAAGTTTTTTAAGGGGCTCAACGTAATACTACTTAAAACGCCAAAATACCAAACCCTGAAAAGCCTTCGAAATACCAAACTATTAGAAATGCTGATTTGGTGACCGTTCCCTCTTATAGAGCAATATTCCCCCATATTTAGACATAATTTCAGGTTGGTATTTCGGAGGTTTGGTACCATTCTCCTAAAAAAAACTTTGAAAAAATATTACCAAGTTTTTCTTACAAAAAATAAAATTAAATAAAAAAACCAACTCCATTAACATCAACAGGATCAACAATTGCCCCTTTATTACTTTTTGAATCAACAATTAAATATTGGTAATTATCAGCATTTGCAGGTATTGGAATTACACGCATTTTTTGTTTTAAAGATGTTGAAAATTTTCTTATTAAAAATGGATATCTTTGTAAAAACATTGAAAATAAAAAAAATAAATATAAGAAATGAGCAAATAAGGTATAAAAATATTAAAAATATTTCATAAAAATTATTTAAAAAAAATTATTTTTTAAAAACCGAAGAAAATTATTTTAGAAAATTTTTTAATTTAAAATATATTAAAAATAGAAAAGTTGATTAAAATAATATTTTTATGTCTTATTTTCTTCAATATTTTGATTAGAGCATGATCCTAAAAATTGAAAAAAAAAATTTTTTTTTGGAGTCCATTAAAATAACACTCCTTTACACCCCACCCCTCTTGTAGCCCTGAGTTTGCTCTATCAGATTAACATCATTTCAGTTCTCTAAAAAACATCTTACGAGACGGCCACTTGACTGAAGATACCGAGGTCGAACTGCGGTGGGGTAGACAGTGCTTCAGAAATGGGGTCAGATTTTTTTAAAAGGGGTATCCACAAACTTTTTTCTGTTTTAAGAATGTTTTTAAGACTCGGGCAATTATTTAGTACAGTTAGATTTTTTTATCTGTTTGAGCTTGTTTGAGATTTATCGATTTTTCTCGGAAAATTTATTTTTGAAAAAAATTTTTGTATGAAACAAACTAGTAAATGAAAATAGAAAAATCGCACGGAATATAGGCAAATTTTACTCATAATTTATACCTGAATTTTGTTCAGTAGGAGTAGGAACATCTGACAATTCTTGGTGTGCACTCTCAGCTTCTATTTTTTTTTATTTGTTAAAATTTAAAATTAAATAAAAAATACCATTAGTAGTAGCTTCGGATTTAACCGAATCCTCTGATTTTGGTGTATCAGAAACAATACTTTCAATTATAGAAATTATATTTTGTTTTGCCTCGTCTCGCGCTTTGCGTCTTTTATTCTGAAAAAAGTTTTTTTTTTAATTTTAACTAAATTTTTGGCTAATTGAAAAAATGGACAAAGGACCGGTTTTCTTTTGGGGAGTAATTTCAATATGTTTTGACTTTTCAAAAATTTTGGGAAAAAAATAATTCAGACAAAACCCTCAAAAATCAAAAAATTTTCACAAGAATTCTAACAATCCAAATTTTGCCCTTTCCTAAAAATTCCCTCTCCCTATAAATCCCATAAAAATTAAGGTCAATAAATTCAAACAACAATACCCACAACTATTCAAAAAAATATTCCCTAAAAAATTCCAAAATCCCTCAAAATCCAAAATTTGCCCTTTTCCCCCTTTCCTAAAATTTAACAAAAATAAATTAAAAACTCACATCCCTTCCACCACCACCACCACCACTTCTTCTACTACTATTAACATTACCATTATTACAACTTCCACCTTGTTCCCCTCCACCATTTTCCTTTTTTGAAGGCATTTTTCTTTTCCTCGTCGCTCCTCCATTAGTATTATTAACCATTTCTGTTTCAGCATTATTAATTGTCTTAACCGTAAAATTAAAACATCCAAAATTATTTAAAATATAATTCACATCTCCTCCATATCCTTTATTATCCTTCAATGATACACTAGACTCATTATCCGGTATTTCCAAATTTGAATCAATTATTACAGCACGGTGCATTAACAGACGCTCACACAGGACCCTTTGAAAAAGTTAAAAAAAATTATTAAAAATTTATAAATATATGAAAGTATCAGGGATCTAACAGATAAAGATAAACGAAAAAAGTCGGAAAAAGTCCTTACGAAAAAAGTCGGGAATTCCAAATTTTTGGAAATCGGAACTAGTGAATTTACTCCAGTGTAAGCAGGGGTGGGCTGAGCAGTCAGAGGTGTCGGAAATCAGAACTGGCTCAAAAGTCGGAACTCGGAAGTCAAATTTTTTCGGAAATCGGAATTCCGACCCACCTCTGATTGTAAGTATTTACAATCTTAAAATACCCCCTCACGTGTTTTAACCCTAATTTTTACCATTTTACTCTCACAATCAGATTTAAATACATTAAAATTGTTCAAATTATTTCCGGAAGTTTTAGAACCATGAGTGCATTATTCTTTAAATTTCACTCAAACAAAAACTATTGAGATTTAAAGAATAACGCACTCGTATCAGAAATTTAAGACTTCCAAACTTTTGTCGAAGGAACTTTCTTTTCTACAAAAATTTTGGAAACTTCATCTCAGAATTTTCCTAATTTTCAACTTATTCAAAACCCATATTTAAATTAACCCAAGATAAAAAATCCAAACCTCTTCAGCTGCTTCAAGTGATTAATTTCCTTCCTGACATGATACAAACGATGCTTTAGACGATTATTCATCTATTTTTTGAAAATTTTAATTTCAAAAATTTTTTAGAAAAACCTGCTCCATATGGCAATAATATTCAAGCAAATTGTTATATTTTGTCTCATAGAGGTCAGTTTCTTTTGGATTCATTAGCATTCTAAATTCAAAAATCTGTCCAAAACGCAATTTTTAAAAATTGAAAAAAATATTTTTTTCTTTCGATATTTTACAAATAATTTTCAAAAAAAAATTTTTTGTCAATTAAATTTAACACATAAATAAAAAAGAAGCTTTAGTATATAAACAAAATAGGAAAAGGATAGATGAATGTGTAAAAATAGGAAAAAATAGAGGTCAATTTTTAGGAAATTTTTCAGTGAAAATAAAGAATTTTTTCAATTTTTTAGGCTATCCAAAAAAAATTTTTTTGAAATTTTTTCAAGCAAATTTATTTTTATTGGGTAGCCTAAATAAAATTAAAATATAGAAAGAAATGTTTCTTTTAAATAAAAGCACACATTTTCGGTGACAAAAAGGCCTATAAGAGATAAATATTTGGCAAAGATTATGTCTCAAGAACCTTTTTCTCATAATAAATAAAGGACCTTAAAAACCTTTAAAAAAGTTATGCGTAGTAAAAAATTGAAAAAAACTCTTCTTAACCACTTCCTTCTAATTTTGATTTGTTTGCATTGCAGCCAAATCTCCAATAAAGCTTTCCACAGTTTCGTCAAGTGTTGAATTTTGGTCATCATTAAATTCTTCTTTCATATCATGAAGTCTAAGTCTGAAAAAAATTTTTTCGAAAAATTAGAAACGAAAATCTTCTCTACTAACAAGGTGACTATATCTGCATGACATTTTTCAACCGCAATATCAAGAGGAATTTTTCCTTCATCATTTTTTATTGTCTTTTCAGCATTCCGTTTTAATAGTTGATAAACTATTCTGAAAAATAAAAAAAATTTTTTTTTAATTTTTGCGGACAAAATTTGCGGACAAAATTTGCGGACAAAAAATTTTTGCGGACTTTTTTAAAATTTAAATACATTGTATATCCTTTCATTGATGCGAGATGAAGTGCTGTATTTCCTTTCCAATCACAAATATTTATTTTAGCACCATTTAAAAGCAAAAATTCTACAATTGTTGCTTGTCTCTTTAAATTTTTCGAAATTAAAAATTAAAAAAAGGTCCACTTTCCGCAATATATTTTAGCTAATAAAAATAGCTAATATTTTGAACTTTTTTTGTTTTTAGTCGAAAAAATAATTAGAACCTGCAGAATATTGTGAAAAAAATAAAAAAATTTCTTTGGAAAAAATTTCTGCAAAATAAAATGCGGACAACTTTTGCGGACAAAAACAAGAAAAAATTAAAAAACGAAAAAAATTAAAAAAAAAACTCACACTTTTCACAGCAACATGTAAACAAGTCATAAACTCATCACTAACAGGACCGTCCAAATCAAAATCTCTTTGTACAATCCATTTAAAAAGTTCCGCAATATTTCCAGTTTTTATTGAATTAACCAAAGTTTTAGTGAATTCTTTGTCTGTCTCAGAAATTGATTCTTTTGCAGATTGCACCAAATTAGAATCTGATCCAGACAAATTTCTTGTCAAAGAATTGTTTTCTGAAAATTAAAAAAAAATTGATGTGTTTTCAAAAAAAAATTTTAGACCAAAATTTGCAGACACACATCAGACTTTACTGTTATCATAAGAATGTCAAAAAAAATTTTTAGCTGTTTATTATAAGTTTTCACATTTACAGGATCCTATATCAGGATTGGGTTTTAAAATTTCGTACAGGACCGGATCCTGCAGGATTAAGCCTGAAAATCCTGAAAACTGAAAAAAGGAGGATTTCGAATAGGATCCTGAAAAATCCTGTGCAAGATCCTGTCCTGCACCGACCTTTAGTTTTAACCCCTTTCAAACCCATGACAGAAATACCTTCCAAAAATTACTACTTGACCAGAGCTCCACCAAAATTTCGATTATTTTTCAATGATATTTTCAGAGCTCTATCAGTAACATCATATGTAAATGTCCCAGGTTACCCAAAAAGTCGTGGTACTTAACCTCCCTAAAACCCGTAGTGACCCCACTTTCCCCTCAGCCCATAACATCCTTAATCTGACGCAAGTCCGCAAACTTTATTATGTTAAAAAATACTTTGTTGACTATTTTCTTCCTGTTTTTCATCATCTACCTTTTTGTCTTCAATTAATTTTTGACTAGAAATTTCATCTTTACGTTTTAAAATGGAAAGAGATGTTTGTGAACGTGAATGAGCTAAAAATTAAGAAAATAAAGATTACTTTAAAAAATTTAAAAAATACATTGCGGACGAAAATATGAACGAGCAAACATTTTGTGAACATATTTGTTGGTTATCCAAGTTTCTCGTTTTTCTCTTTAAAAATTTTTTTTGAAATTTTGGAAAATTTTTTTAATTTTATTAAAAAACCTGTCAGAATCCTTATCAATTCCAAAAGCAGAAGATTGTCCAGATTTTGGAAGATTAACAAGAAATATTGAATTTACGATATTATTTCCTAATTTTAGAAGAATATTACGTTGTTCAAATTCTAATGTATCCATAGTTAGTGAACTTTAAAAATTAAAAAATAAATTTTAAAAATAATGCCATAATTAAAAAATTATTTAAACGCCCAATTTTTAGCCCCTCAAAAAAAGACAAGCCCGCCAAATTATTCATTCGTTCAATCTCCGGTTTTGATTCCAGACAAAAGGTGATCAGGTTCTATCTCCCCCATATTTTAATAAATACATTTTTCAAATATATACCCAAAAGAAAAAACTTTCTTTTAATAAGTGGGATCCATCATGGGGAAGTGGGTACCTCTCTTTGGGCAAAAGCCGACTAGCCCCATTGAACTAGTATAAAAAGACCCACGAAAAAAAAGGATCTCCCGAGAAAAAGTAGACAAGATATTATAACTTAATTTTTAATAAAACTAACCGAACTTTAGAAAAATGAACACCCAAACCTCTATGAACACCACTACATTCAATACAAATAATAATCTTTGAAAAAAACAAATTTTTCTAAAAAAACATTTCACTCACCCCCAAATTTAAACTTGTCCATTTTGCATCTCTCGATCCACAATCTGCACATTTTTCATTTCCAGAAATAGAAAGTAATTCTTTTAAAAATATTTTCATATTTTGTTTTTCATTATCAGAATGTCTTGAAGGTGTTGTGATTCCAAGATTTGATTTTCTAAAAAATAAAAAAAAAATTTTAAATCAAAAATTAAAACTAAAAAAACCTTTCTTGTAAACTACAAGATTCAGAAGAATGTTCTCCTCCTACATCACTTTTAGCAGATGAAGTTGATGCTGTGTCTAAAAAAATAAAAAAAAATTTAAAGTTTTTTAAAGATTGTTACATAAATTTAAAATTATTAATTTGTAACATTCATTTTTCTCCTCTATAAAAGAGATGGAGGACTGGGTAAGGCTTCAGTTAAAATTAAACCCACCAAAAACTTTCCCCGGTGCTCCCCATCCCTCCCTACAATTTAATTTATTTATATTCATCATTTTGAGACGCTAGTTTGGTTAATTAGAAGGGGAACGCCTTTTGCGCCCAGAGAATGTGCTTTCGATCATTCTCGAAGTTCTACAAAAGAGAAAAATACATAAAAAAATTAACCAAGTTTGCAATGAACAGATTGTGGTGTTTTTGATTCAAAATTCTCTACAAATGATCTTCTTGAATGTGTATACGTTCCTTGATCATCTTCATGTAAATGTTGTATAGTCCGTTGAATAGCTCTAATCCAAGCATTACAAAGAGATTCAGAATCTGCTTGCAATAAATGATTTCTAGAGAAAAAAATATTTAAAATAAAATTTCCAAAAAAAAATTCAAACTTTGAAGGTGTAACCAATTCAAAACAACAAGCACGTTCTATTGATGCTGGAGCTGGTCGAACTAAACAAAGCTTTAAATTTTCTTCCATTACTGTTGGGACTTCTGGTTCCCCATCCACTGTTTTGTGTGAATAAAGCTATAAAATTGAAAAGATATAAATTAGAAAAATTAAAAAATTCAAACCAATTTACTGTCTTTAATCATAAACCATCTTCTATTCCAAGTTTTAAAAGCATTTGTTGCTCTTTTGAAAAGATAACTTTAAGAAATAATAAAAATTTAGTAAATAGAAACTGAAAAAATACCCTTCCATAATACATTGAGGATCAGTAGGTATTCCAGATGGATATTGAAAAATTTCCTAAAAAATAATTTTAGATAGAACACCAAATTGAAAATACTACAAGAACTAAGCTTATATTTAACTCCTTAAATAAAAATGGGATGTAACACAACTAGAAAAACAACTCAATAGACAAAGTTTGAAGCATCCACCAGTGCTGGAGAGTGGGCATTTGTTGGCTCCGGCTTTTAAAATCTTAGCTCCGCCAGAGCCGGCTCCGGAGCCATACCCATATATTAAAGCTTAAATAACCTCAAAATAACTCATAAAACCCCTACTTTAGGTACAAAAGTATGTCTATCCTGCATTCGCCTTTCAATTTGTTTGTAAGAAGTTCTGAGCGCTGCCAATTCATCTCTAACAGTAAATTCTTGTTGTTCTGCAAAAAAGTGAGCTCCTTTAGTAAAAAAATTTCCATGTTCTTTAATAAACGCCCAAAGAGTTTCCAAAATTATTGGGCATTTGAGTGCATTAACAATGTTGATTTGGGCAACATAATCGAGTCCAGTATGAGAGAAACATGTTCCAATGGCTGTTAAAGAATTTTCTGCATCGTGCATTTCCTTAAGAAAATTATTTAAAAATTTATATATTTTAAGGTGTGCGCCAAAAAATTTTTTGAGGGGAATAACGCCAAAACAGAAATATTGGCGTTTTCACACCCCCAAAAAATTTTTCTGGCGCGCAACAAAATTTTATTAAAAATAAAAAAACCTGAAATTTATTTTTATTTATCGCAGCCTTCTTCAATAACGCTTCAGACAGCGAAGACGACAAATTATTAAAATGGCTTTTAACTTCATTCAGTTTTCCCAATTCACGTCTCATAAAAGATTCAAATCCCGTCTTCAAAGAAGGATAAGCCAAGTCAACAAGCGATTTATTTAAATAAACAATTTGTGAAAGAGAATCTGACATTTGTTTGTAGGTATCCAAAGCCATTTTGTTTTTATTTTCATCAATTTGCATATCCAACCAAAGACGGTTTAAAGCCACGGTTAAATCACTTAAATACTTTTAAAACTTGCCAAAATCTAAAATTTAAAGGATTACTATAACGACGCTACAAAACGTTGTCCATTTCCAATTACAATGTCGACAATATTGACCATCTGAAAATTGTTAAAAAAAATTTTTTTTAATGAAACCCTTTTTTGATATTTTTTCATCGCTAGAGTTACAAAGAACTAGTTCAGAAATTTTCTAGTTCAGAAAACTAGTTCAGAAATTTCTAGTTCAGAAAACTAGTTCAGAAATTTTCTTTTTTCTTCAAGAATTAAAAGGGGAAAGGAATCAAAATTTCTAGAAACAATCAAAAAGGAAGCAATCATTCGTTTTTCTTTTCAACATTTGAAGAAAAAGAAAATTCTGAAAGCTATCCTAAAATCGAAAAAGTTCAACTGTGTGACAGATAATAAATCTCATTTTAGAAACCAAGGATCAGGAATAACTCAAACTATATTAAGTATCAAAAACTCAACAAAAAGCAATCAAATTTCTAGAAAAAAAATCCAAAAACAAATTAGGCCATCTCTTAACGTTTAGAAAAAGTTTAAATTGTGTGACAGATAGTAATTAAAACTTGTTATTCCTGATCCTTGGTTTCTAAAATGTCCCACAGTACGCCCAAACTATTTTAAACAAAAAAAACTAACATCTTCCATTCTTTTGTGAAGACGGTCAAAATAGCGTTCACTTTGTCCAAGTTCATACCTAGAAATTAGCCAAAACAATTTTTCAAAAAAAAATTTGAAAAAACCTAAAGTTTGGCGAATCCTTCATCGCCTCATGAAACGTAAAATTTGTATTTTGCATTCTAAAAGTTAAAAATTAAAAAAAAATTTCAATTGAAAAATATTCAAGATATTAACAAGAATAAAAATCATCGATCAATTTAAAATTAAAAATAAGAAAAAAAAATTTATTAAATATTAAAAAAATTGTAGAAAAAATTTTTTAGAAAAAAAATTTTTTTTGTTAATGAATAGTAATGAGATCCTCCCTTTCAATATTTTCAGAATATAAATTAAATTGACCATCATCAATTACTACTTCCTCCTCATCGCTAAGTTCGATTGGAACAGCATAAGATTGCTGACTTTGTTCTCTACTTAACTAAAAATAAAGAATTTAAGCTATAATCTTTTAAGTAATTCAAAATATTTTGGGTATGAAGAAAATCCAGAAAACTCGTAGGACAGCTTCACTGGAAAACAGTTGGATTTTCGATTTCAACTAGAAACAAAAATTCTCTGATTTACAGTTCAGTTTATCCTTTCGGTAAAAGAATTTGTTGAAACCGACAGCCGTAGTCAATTATTAATGAAACCTTCATAAGAACAGGCAATACCTGTGCCTGTTCTTACCTGTGCCGATCCTCACACGAATAGAGATCGGCCGGAGGGGCCAGTCGGTACTTTTTCGATAAAAAAACCGAACGATCCTATCTCTCCTCGCGAATAACATTCCAAACAATTTTTTAAAGAAAGTTCAGCCATCTACCCCCAACCCTTACCCCTTAAACTATCTCAAAATTAAACTAAAAATTATACTATTCCATGCGAAATATCTCCAAGTTTCGATCTCTGTCTCGGTTGAGTATGAACAAATTGAATAGGAAAGTGTAAAAAATCCCAAAGTTGAGAAGGTGCAGATCTACAAAATAACACAAAATTAAACACAAAATAAAAACTAAAAAATACTTTTCTTCCTCCGAGCTTAAATGTAAATAATCATTTTCAGTAGGCGGCGGTGTTAAACTTCGAAAACCTTCAGAATCCCCCATATTAACAGGAATAACTTGTGCTGCGCCAGAATAACTTTTTAATTTCATTTCATAGCGAACATCATCCAAAGAAATCTAAAAAACAAGAAAAAATATAATTTAAAATAATCAAAAAAACATTATTTTGTCCAAGTGTATTAATTTCTACAGAGGTTCTAGGAGGTGCTTGTATAACCATCTCTTTTGTATTGTTAGAAAATACTTGTAAAAAATCTTCTTGTGTGTTATATCCAAGTTTGAAATTGTCTTTATCTTCACATATATTTCTTATACTCTAAAAAATAAAAGAGAGGCTTAATTAAAAAATAAAAATTATTTTTGGTTTAAAAATGAATAGTTAATTTAATTAAAAATTCTCATAAAAAGTAATGAAAAAAATAAATGATGTCATTCATATTACACACCCCATATACATATTCTTTATATTTTAATAAAATAGTATATTATTATCGTCCGTTAGAAATTTAAAAAATATCATTTTAGAATTCATACGGACTATTAATTAAAAAATTTTTTCCTGTGTAACCACAACCTACCGCAAGGTTCATGAAAGGTTAGACTACAAAAAATTGTTATGATTTTGCTAAGGTACAAAAAAATTAAGGGGGTACAAAAAATTGTTATGATTTTGAGGTAGGACTGGACTCGTAATAAGCTCCTATCGCCCTTCTACATAAAAATTAGACACAGAAATTCCCTTTTAAAAAAAATTATCGTTAAAAATTTTACCTGTCTCATCCACCGCAAATGTGTATCAATTAAGCGTTCTTCTCTTTCCAAATCGGTCAGTTCTGACTTTAATTTATACATTTTACTTTCTTCCCCAGGCAATAATTCGACTGAACCTCCAGGTTTTCGAAACTTTCCACCTCTGAAAAAAAATTTTTCTCTTTAAATTGAAAATTTATCGTAAAAATATACTTCCAATAAATAACGTTTTTCGAACGTTTTTCAATCAATCCAATCCCTTCCAATACATTTGTAATGTCATAAATTCGACGTTTTTGTGTCACATTTAATTTATCGGCCGCCTGTAACTAAAATAATTTAATGACTAAAAAATAGCTAAAAAAAATAGAGATCGATTGCTTCATATCCCTCCGTTTCCTCCTCTGTTCCTAATACTCATAAATCCCTAAAATCAGAATGTTTGACTGGCCATAACTAGGCCTAAAGTAATCTTGCAAGAAAACGATGATAACCTCGCAATAGAAAGCCGAGTGTCCCCTTTCGAATGGCAAGGGCATAAGCAGAGGTTCGTTTTCAAAGGCCTAAAACCTCACTATCCCTACCCCTAGTCGAATAGTACCAAAAAATAAATTAAATTCTCAGTTAAAGTAAACAGATTCCCTTGTAGAAAAAGAAAACAAAACCCATACATTATTTAAATCAACCAAACCAGCAGGGGTAGTATGCAAAAATCCAATAAAACGTTGTGTAAGTTGAACTAAAAATTTAAAAGAAAAATAAAAAATATTTTAAAAACTAAAAAACCTAAAGATTTAGATGCACGTCCCTCAGGTTTGTGCCCATTTTCACTTGACTCTTCTTCCCCTTCTTCCTCATAGAATCCATCACCTTCATGTTCTGTATATTCTTCCGATTCTTCGGTTGGACCACGTACAGCACCATCAACAATTACCTAAAAATTTTATTTTTCAAGTCAAAAATCAATTTTTGCCTTAAAATACTCTAAACATGGCAGTGGAAAATTCAGTTTTAAATGTTAACAGATTAACCAATAATTTCCTAGATATTTACAAAGTTCGTTCATGTGCAGATCGGATCTTCAAAAAACTTCTCTGCTCTGTTACCCCAACTCATCCCTCAACTACCCGCAGAAACGCTTCCCAAAACATTCACTTTTTAAATTAAAATAACCTCTTCCCTAATAATTTCTTAGATATTTACAAAGTACCTTCATGGGTGGATCGGATCTTCAAAAAAACTTCTCTGGTCTGTTACCCCAACTCATCCCTCAACTACACCCAGAGAAGCCTCCGAAAACTTTCACATAAACAACCTCATCCTCCTCCCCAGTATGTTGCTCATCATCTTCTTTTTTCTCTTCTTCCATAGGCTCATCCTTCTTTTCTTCTTCTTCTTCCCCTTCAATTTTCACATTTCTCAATTTTTCTTCATTTTCTTTAATTGGCGAAGTCATTTCTAAACTTTCTAAAAAAATTTTAGACAAAATTTTAAAAAATAAAATAAAAATATTTAAAAGAATTGAAACAAATAAATCGATTAAAAAATATGAGAAAAATCAATTTTTTCAAAAATCAATGAATAAAAAAAGAGATCAATAAAAATATATCAACCATTAAGTGAAGGAAAAAATTAATATGTTTAAGAGAAAGCCAAAAAATGAAATAATGAGATTAAAATAAAAAAAAATAAAATGTATAATATGATCAACCATAGACAAATAAGTTAAAAAAAAGAGGGAAAAGCCTTCAAAAATATTAAGAAAAAAAAGAATTTTAAAAAAAGGTCAAAGTTAACCCCTTGAGAAAATAAAAAACTAAATTATCCCAAAAAATAACTAGGGGATAGCATGGGATTGTGAGAATTAAAAAGAATGTTAAAGAAAATTGCCCCTGCCTCGACATCAAGACTTTTTTCTTTTTTCTTCTAAAATTCACGAAAAATATTTTTATCAAAGGCTTTCCCTTGTATACATAAAATAATAAAAAAATAATTAAAAACCTTCCCAAAAATTTTTTAAAAAATTGTTAATTAAATAGCCTTCTTTGTTAAATTATCCATTTGCCTCAAACAAAATTCTGCTTCACTCAAAGGAAATCCAAGTTTAATTCGGCAATGGAGTTTAATATTTTTTGAAGAGATTACAACAAATTGGAAACTTTAAAAAATTAAAAAAAATTCAAAATAAAGAAAAAAACAAACGTAGCCATTTCCTGAATGTGATAAAATGCTGCTTCTAAAGGTAAAGGCATTAAATGTTCAGAAGTACACAACTTTTTATATCTCATAAAAACAAAAGAAAAATCGACATCATCTAAAGCTGTTGCAACCAATTCATTAATTAATGCTTTAAAAATTAAATATTCGTGCTTTGAAAGTGAATAGAAAAATTGCATTCGAATTGAGGCGATTGATTCTTTTATTGCTTCAAGTACCTAAAAAAATAGGTTAAAAATTAAAAGAGAGAAGGCATAGGAAAAAAGCATCTTTAAAATTTAATGTTCGGGGTAAGGAAAAGAATTAATAGTAATATCACTCACATGCACCCTTATATCAAAAACAGGGAGGATGAGAGTTAACCAAAACCGGTTCTTATATCGAAACGAAATCCAAAACCGATTCAAGGATTTTCGAACTCGAGCCAACCCCGACCAAAATTTCTTTCAAAACCCGTCTCATCACAGAGTCCAACCATTATCCTAACGATAAGAAAAAAGTGAATAAATCACAAGGGTTTCAACTAAATATCAACCAAGTACTTGATGTCAAAAGTTGAGAATAAATTTTTCTATTAAAATTTTGTAAAATTTACATGAGTAGTCAAAAGTTCTGCTTCACTTTTACTTTTATTTTGTCTTTCACATTCTTCCAATGCCAAATCAATTGCACGTCGAACCAAATCAAAAGCTTTCCTCAAGTCACCAGAAACGGAGGCTACCTAAAACCATTCTTTAAATCAAAAATCTTTTCAAACCTTTTTAGAAGCCAATGGAATCGTTCCAGGACCTATAGCTTTACATTCCCCAAGTCTGTGTTTTAATATTTCTTCAATATCTTTAAATTCATATGGCTGGAATGCAAGACGATTGCTCCCCTTAAACAAAAAAAATTTTAAAAATTCAAAAAAGTTTCGAACCATTCGACTGACGATTCTTTGTGAAAATTGTCTTTCTGCAAGGTCAAGAGTATTTGAAATTGCAATCACACAAAATCTTGATTGTTTTTCGGCTGCCCAATTGAATATTGCATAAATTACGTCTTCACGTTTTGTATGCAGCATGTCTACCTTTTAAAGTAAAATTTTTTTTCGATTTTTAAAAAATTTACAAGGAGAGGTTGCGAGGTGTCCGACCTAAAAACGGTCGAGACCAGACTAATTAGATAGATAATATGCCCTTTCTAGCAAGGATTTTGAGCCGTTTTTGTTTGTTTTTTGATCTGGCCAAGATATGGACCTCCAAAGGGCCATATCCGAAAGTCGGATTTTTTGATCGATGGTATGTTGTGAACAGTTGCCCGGGAAGATATCAACCAGTCCAGAATTCTATCCCATTTTTCCTAGTTTAACGTTCAAACGTGGCAATAGACTCGCATTCCTCAATTGCCTCTCTTGAAGGTAAAAGGAGGAAATACAGCGAGGATTACCGTTTTACTACTTCTGCTCTTACAGCCGTGCTTCAATACTAATTTTTAAAGTTAACCACCCAGTGGATTTCAAAATAATAAATAAAAACCTCATCAATAAGAACAACAATTGCTTTCCTTCTTTTGGTTTCATTACCAGTAAAATAATCATTTAAAAGATTTTGAGCTTCTCTAAATTAGAAAATCTCGTATATTAGAAGAAATAAAAAACAAACCGAGGAGTAATTTTCTTTCTTGCTCCAGTTATTCCAGACATTACAACACGATATAGCTGAACAAAAAGTTCTTTTGGGTCAGACAATTCCAAACCATTAATGTTTTTGAAATCAAATTTTTGAGTCTTTCTAAGGGATTCAACAACCTAAAGTGAGAAAATTAGCAAAATAATTAGAAAAATAATCAGAAGGATTATCGAGTCTGCCCCTACGCTTACCCTAAAAATCAAAAAAAAGTTTAGAACCTTGGAAGTTTAGAAAATATGGTAAGAGTGAAAAATAGAGAGGTTAAAAATGGGCAAAATCCGTATATAGGGCAAGCTGATTGCAGCACATTCGGCTGTCTTATAAGCACAAAAGTCGGTCAAACTGCTACAGACATTTTTCTGAAACAAGTCAAGATACCAGACGAAACCCAAAAATATTAAAAAAGAAAAAATGATTTACCCATAGAACCGATGCTGTTTTGCCAGTCCCAGGTACTCCACTAATACACAAAACACGAGAAAACACATTTGAATTTGTCTTAATTCCATCTCTAATAAATTTTCTGATTGCAGCACATTCATTTTCTCTTTTTAAGATGACATCTGGTACCTAAAAATAATTTAAATAGAGCTTCTTTAAGACAAAATAACGTGAAATGTGTGTAGCAATTCTCTAGATTCTTCCAAAGAAGATTTGTGAGCAACTTCTTTTCGACTATTACTGCGTTGTGGACGTTTAGTGGATCTAAAATTAATTTAGAAAATTAATAGAAAATAAAAATTAGACCTTTTAGTTGACATTAAAGAATATAGAAATGATTTTTTTCTTCAGTTTACCTTAAAAACTAAAAAATCAAAGGAAAATATCTTAAAAGTTTAGAAATTGATTAAAAATAGAGGAAAAAGTAAACGTGACAATAAGGCATAATTTGTGTGAATTACCTTTTTGAAATTATATATAGTGAAATTTTATCTCGTAAACAAATTTTTTGCATGAAAGCTGTGGGGACACGCCCGAAACGGCGCGGGCCAAAACGGCGCGACCGAAACGGCGCGACCGAAACGACGCAGGCCGAAACGGCGCAAGGCCAAAACGGCGCACGGCCCAAAACGGCGCAAAAATTTCCCATAAGCTACATATTGTTACGTGAGGTTTAGCTCGAATGGTGATCGTATCTTTTGGTGATGTGGACAAAAAATAGCAGGTGTAAAGGTCCACAACATCTTGTGATAACAGAGTGATAACAAAAATTAAGAGTGATAACAAAACTATTTAGATCGTATACTTACTAGTAAGTATAACTGCGGGATTCAGATAGTTCCAATATAACTATATTACTAGTTAGTTTCCCCTATAACTACATATATTACTAGTTAGTTCCCCCTAGAACTATATAGTTATCCCCATATTACTACTGTAACCATCTAGACTTTAGTTATTTTTATTCTGGTCGTTGATGTCGGAACAGCCTTCACCGTTGTTGTAACAACTTTTCTCAACGTCTGAACGATCTTCCACATTGTTGGAACAATTTTTCCGTAGTGCGCAAAACCTTATTGCAGATTTTAAATAATTCGAAGTCAGTGTACGCAATGGTGGATAATGATCGATCACTAAGGTCAGATCGATAACAAATAGGTTGATCATAGAGATCAATTAATCAATCTCACAGTTGATCACATGATGATAACACGATTAATCACTATCACTGTGGAGTTTAGGGTTTGCGCCGTTTTGGGCCGTGCGCCGTTTTGGCCTTGCGCCGTTTCGGCCTGCGTCGTTTCGGTCGCGCCGTTTTGGTCGCGCCGTTTTGGCCCGCGCCGTAATGGGCTGTACCCAAGCTGTGCGCCATGACGGTTTGGCGTTGCGTTTTTGGTCAATTTTGGCGTTCTGACGTTTGGCGTGTTTTAAGATTTAAAAAAATTGGCGTTTGCGTTTGGCGCGCCACGCGAGAATTTTGGCGCACAGCCCAGACTACTACCAGACATAACTTATGGTACTATAAAAGCTGTCCACAAAATGTTGCTACAAACAATCAACTCAACTCCTTCGCACTCCACTGCTTCTTCAACTTCATTGGCGCTCGTCGTTTTGATATATTTCGGTTGGCATGTTAAGGTAAAACTTTTTTATTTTCCCCATTCTTCAAATATTTTCTTTTTAAGTTTGATCGACTTTGGACCATTCTTGGCTCTCTTCTTTGTTGCTGTCTCGCTTTCTGGATCCGTGTCCTTGCTCTTCTGCTGCAAATCAAAAAAGAAGTCAGCAACAAAAAGTCAGATCCAAAAACAAGCATTGGTGGATAGCAGAAAGGTGAGAGAAAGGAGGGTGACTTTGCCGACCAAAATAATTTTTATTTTTATTAACAGAGCAAAGACAATATTCCGCTAAAGGAGGGACCAGCACCAGGAGAAAAACCACCAGCAGCAGCAAAAGGAAGGCAGCAGAAACAGCTAAAAACACCACCACCTCAACCAGCAAAAGGAGCAGCGATTGGCGGCGGAGGCACTGCTGGGATAAGAACTGCTGCTTTGTTCACACCACCTCCTAAAGCACCTGCTGTAGCTGATCCAACGAAGACTGCAGCAACAAAGCAACCAGCAACACCGCCAAAGCCTGCTGCACCAAAACCTTCGGATAAGTCAAAGAAAGACGTGCGCGCTGGTGTTGCTGTTCCCGACGACGACACTGTTCCTGACACTAAACGAATGGAGGTTTCTGATTCGTGGCGTCAAGTTAAAAGTGAGTCATTTTCAAAGTCATTTTCATTCCCAAATTTTATTTTTTTTAGAGCAAGCTTATAAAATGCCCGAGGAAATGACACGACGCCGATTGGACGATCCAGACTACCAGACCTGGAGGGGATTGGGGAACATCTTTGATGCATCCAAAAGAACGACAGGAGATATGGGAGATGGTAGTTTGGCGAAAGACCCTCGTTCGGACTCCAAATCGAGGCTGGATACTAAATCGAATTTGTCGTCAAAGTCATCGAATGCGGCCAACTCAAAGATGGATGAGGTCAGGGAAAGATTTTTTTTCTCCTTTAAAAAAATTTTTTTATTTTTTAAAGGAAAAGCAGGCAAAGAGTGAAGGCGACAATAAAAAGGCAACAACATCGCAAAGCAAATCTTCATCAAAGGATAACGTGAACAACAGTAGCCAAAGCACTGTGAGGGTAACAATGACAAGTGAGACTAGTGTAAATGAAGAAAATCAACAGGACAACACAAAAAGTGAGCACGATGACAACACGAAAAGTGAGAACTGAATAAATAAAAATAAATATAAATTTGTGTGTTGATTTGTATGTAAATAATGTTGTATTTTTGTGTTCACTATTGTAATTTTTTAAAAATAAAATTTTCTTTGCTTCAAGTTTTGTTTGTAGGGTATTCCTTTCTGAACCCTCTTAATTCCTTTAAATCTCCTTATATCCCTCTAAATCTCCTTCTAAATCCCTCCAAGTACACCGATATCCGCTTTATCCTTAGTTATCCCTCCAAGTCCACTAATATCCCTGCAGATCCCTCGGTGTCACGCACAAGTCCCTTGAATTCACTTTATCCCTTCGAATCCACCAATATCACTCTTAATCCCCAAAATCCCTTATCCCCCGATTAAATAATTACCAACTCAACATGGTTGGCGAATTGTGTACTTTTAGCCTATTGGACATTTTGAGTGGCTCGAACTTGTGGAGGGAACAAGTGGAGAGAGAGGGTGCCCTCGAACTGGCGGTGTGCCAAAATTATATGGAGACTGCAAGTATAGTACCAAACTAACCTCAAAAATTTTTTGTTGTAGGGTATTCAAAGTTTTTAAAAATTTATTTTCTTTACTTTAAAATAAAATTCTACATATTTAAAAATCTACAACAAAAAAAAAATATAAAAATCTAGATTTTTTCAATCAAAGAGAATAGGGAATATCACCAAAATTTCTATTACAACTATTTATTCTTTTTTCTTCTTCCCTTTCATCGTCATATTTATTTTTTAATTCATTTTTTGCCACTTTTATCTCAATACAAGTTATCCAAGCAAATAAAGCTATTGCTATATGGATTATTGTTGTTAAACCAAAACATTCTAAAATTGGCTTAGATGGCAAATTTGAAGGCAAAAGGAGTAAAACAAGTGTGAAAACGAGTGTTGAAAAACTGAAAAAATATAATATATATAGTAAATTGTGTTGATTGAAAGGGGCCATTCGAGGGATTACTATTAGAGAGTACCGTTTATTAGAGTGCCGTCTTATTAGAGAGTGCCGTCTTACTGGAGAGCTTCTTTATTCGAGACGGCCTTACTATTAGAGAGTGTCGTTCTATTAGAGATAGCCTTCTTATTGGAGAGCCTTTTAATTGGAGCGTGCCGTTCTATTAGAGAGTGCCTTCTTATTGGAGAGCCTCTTTATTCGAGAGGGCCTTACTATTAGAGTACGCCTTTCTATTGGAGAGTGCCATAAATGTGCCATTTAATTAGAGTGCCGTCTTATTGGAGAGTGCCTTTTAATTAGAGTCTCTATTGTTTAAAAACTCACCCAAAAATTATTGCCAAAACAACAGAAACAACATCAACACAAATCGAAGTAATCGCCAAACATTTAAATTTTAAATACAAAGCAAGCAAAAATAGGGCAGAACAAAAACATTCAAGTAAACACCAAAAATCTTTAATTAAAAAAATTTTTTTAATAAAAAAAAATTTAAAAATAAATAAATTCACCAAAAATAATTCTAACATAACATTTAGACAACCCCAAAAATGTTTCCAATTGTTCAGGGAAACTTAAGGCAGAATATATGGGGGAAGATTGTTGTGTTGAAGAGGATTTTGTTGTTTCTTCATCTGAAAAAAAGGAAATTTTTTAATTAGGTATTCTTTAAATTTATCGAGTCCGCAAATGAGAGAAAAAAGTCCGCAACTTTAACACACAAATATAGAGAACTAGGTCCGCAAAAGTTATCCGCAAAAAATTGCGGACGTCCGCAACTTTTTTGCGGACTTTGCGGACCTTTCTTCTCTATTTCTAGTAGTGATGGTCGGGAGTTAAAAAAAGCCGAGAGTCGGGAACCGAGACCGAGACCGGGAATCAACCCCGAGACCGAGTCCCGGGTCGAGACCGAGAGTCGAGACCGAGAGTCGAGACCAAGAGATTAGGAGGGATATCACTTGATATACCCCTATATATTCTTCAAAATACTATACCACTATATATCCTTCATAATCTCCCAAATTCCTTGAATTCTTGTATTTTTTAAGGTTTTAAGCCATAAATCCTCCAATTTCATTCATTTTCTGCGCCGCAGGCAAAAATTTTGAGAATTTTGGAGCTCGTGAAGCCAGATTTCTCCTATTTTCTGCGCCGCAAGTGAGGATTTAGGCGCCTCATGCGAAAATTTTGGAAAATTTGATAAAATTAAAATTTTTAATGTCTTTTTAAGTTTAAAATATTAAAAAAAAAATTTTAAATCAAAATCAAAGTTAAAAGACATTTATTTTTGGAAAGAAAAATTTTTCAGCCTCGATTCTGCCCCTGGATTCGAACCCAGACTTAACAAAATATCTAAGTGATTGAAGTCAGTCACACTAACCACTCAACCAAAGAACAACAAAAGAAAAAATGGAGAAAATATAAATATTTCTTTCACTTTTCCTTAAAAAATTTAATGTCGAAGTACGCGAGGTACGAGTAAAATTCAAAAAAGTCCGTCATTAGGGGTGTAAATTTAGTCTCGTTTTCCGAGACTAAAACACCGAGACCGAGACCGAGAGCTCAAAAAACCCGGGAAATTTCCCGACTCGGGAACCGAGACCGGGAATCCCGACCATCACTAATTTCTAGGCTTAGAAATTTGTCCGCAAATTTTTTGCGGACAATTTTTGCGGATTTTCTTCTCTATTTTTAAATTAATTTTTTAATTTAAATTTATACTTTTCTTCAAATTATTTAACAAATTTGGTGTTCTTCTTCTAGCCATTCTCCGTTGTTGTTTTAATTTATTTTCTTCTTCCTCCTCTTCTTCTTTATTCTCCACTTCTTCAATTCTTTTTAACACAACTCTTGCAGTTTTTGTTTTTATTGGATTTATTTTTTTATTATTTAAATTAATTAAATTTTCATCTTCTTCCTCATTTTCTTCATTATCAGGCAACTTTTTTAAGGGAACTATTTTCCAAATTACTCGGCGAACAGCCATTGTGGAACTTGGGTTATTCCCTCTTTTTTGTTTTGAATTGTTTTTAGTTGTATTATTGTCTTCTGAAAATTGAGAGAAAAATAAATTTTAAAATTAAAAAAAATTTTTTTAACTTGAAAAATTTTTTAAAAATTTTTTGTCCGCAAAAATTAAATTTGTCCGCAAAAATTGTCCGCAAATTTTTTGCGGACAAATTTTTGCGGACTTTTGTTTTTTAGCTTATAAATTGATAATTTTAGATTTTCAGAATTAAAAAAAATTTTCAGAAGAAAATTTAAAATTAAAAAATTTCTTCCTCTACCTATACTTTTGCTAACAATAGAAGAACTCCTTCTATCCCCCCTTCTTAACAATCTTCTACGCAAAATTACTTTTCTTCTTCTTTTTACTCCTTGTTTTGGTTGTTCCATTTTTGAATTATCAGAATTAATTGGAATTGTTTGTAAATTATCTGTTGATTTTAACAAATTATTTTCCAATTTATTTTCCAAAATTATATTTTCTTCATTTTTGACTGCTAGACATTGACCCTCATCAAAACCAGAAGCTATTTCTGAAATTAAAAAGGGTTGTTAATTTAATAAACAGAATAATAAAAATGTTTAGGCGCAAACATGTTTGGACGCGTTTTTATATTTAAAAAATCAGAATTTCTTCAAAACATGACCGCATAGGCGCAAACATGTTTGGGCGTATTTTTATATTTAAAATCAGTATTTCCTCAAAACATGGCTGTTTAGGCGCAGACATGTTTGGACGCATTTTTATATTTAAAAAATCAGAATTTCCTCAAAACATGACTGTTTAGGCGCGAACATGTTTGGACGTATTTTTATATTTAAAATCAGAATTTCCTCAAAACATGACTGTTTAGGCGCAAACATGTTTGGGCGTATTTTTATATTTAAAATCAGTATTTCCTCAAAACATGGCTGTTTAGGCGCAGACATGTTTGGACGCGTTTTTACATTTAAAATCAGAATTTCCTCAAAACATGACTGTTTAGGCGCAAACATGTTTGGACGCATTTTTATATTTAAAAAATCAGAATTTCCTCAAAACATGACTGTTTAGGCGCGAACATGTTTGGACGAATTTTTATATTTAAAAATCAGAATTTTTCAACAAAACTTACCATGTACAAGCCAACAACAAAACAACAACATTTTCATACAAACAATTATAACGGCAAGTTTCTTAGCCTTTGAGGGGAATAAATATTCGACTAAATTTTTATTATTTTTATTAAAATTAATTTCTTCTTTTTCTTCTTCATTTTTTCTATATTCTATAATTGTTCTTTGTTGATATATTCGAGGTGATTTTTTTGTTGAAATTTTTGTATATAATCTTTTTTCTGTTGTAGGGGAATAATTATTTAAACATTGCTTGTTGTTATTATTTTCTTTTTTTAAAAATCGTTGAAATTGTTCGTGTTCAAAAGACATTTTTTTAGAATTTTTATTTTCTAAAATTAAAAAAAGTTGAAACAAAAATAAAAATTAAAAAAATTTTATCCGCAAAAATATAAATTTTGTCCGCAAATTTTTTGCGGATAACTCTTGCGGACTTTTAATTTAAAATTTTTAAAATTAATTTAAATAAATTTGAGTTGAATAAAAAATAATTTTCTTAATTTAGAAAAAATTGAAAAAAATTTTTCTTTAAAAGAAAACTTCCCCTCCCCCACTTAAGTTTTTGTAGTTTAAGTTTCAGGCAAAATTGTAGTATAAATTTGTATGAAAGGAGGAAGGATTTTTAGAAAATATTTTTTAATTCTCCTAATAAATTAATAAATACAAAAACAAGAAAAAAAATTATTTTTGGTTAAATCCATTTTTGTCTAGTTTTTGGAGAAATGGGGGATTAGTAAGAATTTTTGTATTTTTTATTTTTACTAAAAATTTTTATAAAAATTTTTATTAATGAATAAAAAGAATTTTTATGTTTCAAATTAAAGTTGCAAGGAATTAAATATGAGGATTATTAATATTTCTGTTATTAGCATTTTTGTAAACGTAAGCAAGTTGGTAATAAAGCCAAAACACATTAAACATTTCTTTTTGCATTTTATTAGTGTTTTAGCAAACAGAAATACTAAAAAAACACATTTATCAATGTGTTTTAGAAACAAAAACAGAATTTATTTTTTTCAATTAATTCTGAAAAATGTATTTTTCCGGAAAGTGTTTTATCTGTGTTTTGGTGTTGTTCGGAAAAACACAAATGTTCGTTTTCTATTCTGATTTAATAAATGTTTTTATGAGGAAAAACACAAATGTTTTTAGTTAAAACCAGAATGTTCGTAATAAAATAAACTTGACAAGTTTGAATTTTATTCTGGTTTGTTTCTCGGAAGTAAAAACATTCCAAGTAAAACAAACAGAAACAAAGGACTAAAAAGGAAATATAAACGTCAGAAATTAGGAAATAAATATTTAAATAATTTTTATGCGTCACAAAATTAATTATTTTAAAGGGAAATATTTTTAAATAAATTATACTAAATTTAAAAAAATTTTAGTTTCTAAGAATGTTATTTATAAGGTTTGTCTTAGCTATTTTTAAAGGTTTCCGTTTAAGTAGTAAATATTTATTTTTATTTTTTTGACTTTTATTGACATTAAATAAAGGCTAAACTTAATTAAGAAAATAAAAAATATTTCTTTTTCCTATTTTTAGAATATTTTTAAATAAAAAAGTAAAAATGCTCTTGATGTTTACGGTAATTTAATTTGTCTTATTAAATGGGTATTTTATTAAAACCAGAATATTTAGTTCATAATTAAATCAAATAATTAAATTCTGATATTAAATTCTGATTTTGTTTAAATTAAATTCTGATTAAGTTTAAATTAAATTCTGGTCATGTTTAAATTAAATTCTGGTCAAGTTTAAATTAAATTATGATTTGTTTAAATTAAATTCTGATTAAGTTTAAATTAAATTCTGGTCATGTTTAAATTAAATTCTGGTCATGTTTAAATTAAATTCTGATTAAGTTTAAATTAAATTCTGGTCATGTTTAAATTAAATTCTGGTTTTGTTTAAATTAAATTCTGATCATGTTTAGATTAAATTCTGATATTGTTTAAATTTAATTCTGGTCAAATCTAAACTGTTTTTGTTGTTTTTGTGTTTTCTTTGTGTTTAAACATTTGTGTTCATGTTTATGTATTTTCTTATTTGTTTCTTTTGTTTTGTGTTTTTGTTTAGATGTTTGTCTGTATTTTTAAGTTGTGTTTTTCTTGTATTTGTTTAGTTTAAATGTTTATTTGTTTTAAATGTATTTTTGTTTTAAATGTTTTGCTGATTAAATATGTGGGTTTTTAATAAATAAAAATTATGATAAAGCCTACAAAAATTTAAAAACAACAAAAATTATAAAAAAATAACAAAAAAATTTCTAGACAAAATTTAAATGCCCAAAAAACCAAAAAAAGCTTTTAACAAAAAAGGTACATTTTATCCAACTGTGATATTTTTATATAAATTTTCCGGCAATTATTCCGCTACATGTAAGAAATGTTAAAAACTTGGGCATATTTAAAAATAAATGAGAAATTTTTATTATGAATACATACAAATTAATTTTAGAAAGATTAAAATGAAACACAAAAAAATTTTTAGGCATTAAAACATGTGTTTTTAATTATTTCTAATGTTTTTCTGATTTAGAATAAACCAGAATGATGTTTTGTAAAAATCCTGATATTTTAGAATTATTTTTTTCTTTTATATTAAAATTCTGGTTTGGAAATTCTGTTTTAAATTCTGCTTTTAAAAACTTTTTGTGTTTTATTATGTTTTTAAGTGTGTTTCTGTTTGTTTTATTTGTTTATTGTGTTTTTGTTGTGTTTTTATTTTCAATTTATTTGTTTATTCTGTTTTTGTTAATGTTTTTCTGATATGTTTTTCTGATATGTTTTAATGTTTTATTTGTACAGAATGTTTATCTTGTGTTTTAGTTTGTGTTTTATTTTGTGTTTTTGTGTATTTTTCTTTTTACTAAAAACACATTAAAGAAAATATAAATATTATAATATTTTTTGCAGAAATTGAAGGAGTGTAAATATTTATTCTAAAATAAATTTACATGTAAATATAAATGTGTACTTGTAAAAAAAATAAAATTAAAAAAATAAAACAATTATTTATTAATTTTTATTATTTTCTAAAGAGAAAAAATGCCCTTTAAGGCTTTATAAAAAGAAGAAAAAATTCTTTTTTTAATTACGCAAAAATCCAGACACCTTTAAATTTGCATATTCTTAAAGAAAATTAAAAATATTTATGCATGTTCTTTTATAAAGAAACCCTAAAAATGTTTTTTTGTTTTGCGCAGGTGTTTATGTGTTTTTTATGTGTTTTTCTTTAAATGTTTGTGTTTTTCTTTAAATGTTTGTGTTTTTCTTTAAATGTTTGTGTTTTTCTTTAAATGTTTGTGTTTTTCTTTAAATGTTTGTGTTTTTCTTTAAATGTTTGTGTTTTTCTTTAAATGTTTGTGTTTTTCTTTAAATGTTTGTGTTTTTCTTTAAATGTTTGTGTTTTTCTTTAAATGTTTGTGTTTTTCTTTAAATGTTTGTGTTTTTCTCTTATGTGTTTTTCTTTTATGTGTTTTTCGTTAAGCAACACCTCTTATATTTAATTCTGAAGTGTTTTATTATGTTTTGGAAGAAAACAGAATTCTGATTTTGAAAATTCTGATTTTTTTTATCAAAATTTTCGAAACTAAACAGAACTTTGTTTTATTCTGATTAAAATGTTGTGTTTTGGTAATTCTGATTTAAATTCTGATTTTTAAAATTAAAGATCAGAATTCTGATTTATCAACTAAAAAACCAGAATTCTGATCTCATAAAAAGTTATTAAAAAACCAGAAAAACAGAACAGAGTCCTTAAAATAATTAAAATGAAAAGGAACGATTTTCAACTAGTCAAGAGAAAGTAAAATTAATTTAAATAAAAGTGTGTCTGAGGAACACAAATCCTTAAGGATATTAAATCTAACATTTTATTGAAGATATTAAAAAGTCAAAAAAAATATTTTGAGAAGCCTCCGTTTCCGTGACGCCCATTTTTTCTTTTAAATGTTGCGCAAACATTCCTGAAGATGTTAAAGAAGAGAAATGTTTAAAAGAATGTTTTTTGAGAGAAAGGGGAAAAATTAAAATGTTTTTAAGAAATGTGGAGGATTTAAAAAATATTTTTAAGCTGGAGTGACTAATTGAAGGAGAGAGAAAAATATTTATTTTTGTTTTGTGAAATTTTAAGGATTTAAAGAATATTATTTAATGGCCCTAAGTTTTTATTTATTTTAAAAGCTTATTTTAGAATATATTAATCTTTTAAATTTTTGTTTTTAAAGGAGTTTAATATTAGAAAAATGTATTAATCGATCAGAATTCTGATTTTTAATTTTATTTTATAAACAAAATTCTGGTTTTTGTATTTTGTTTTAAATAGAGAAGGATAATTTAGAATATTCTGATTTTTATTTAAAAATCAGAATTTTGACTTTAAAATATTGAAAAACATATCAGAATTCTGATTTTAATTTTTTGTATTTTATAAACAAAATTCTGATTTGTGTTTTTAAATATAGTACTTCTGGTTTCTGTGTTTTTAAAACATAATTCTGGTTTCTGTGTTTCTTAAGAAATATAAACAAATCAGAATTTTTTAAAAACATTTCTTTGTATTTATTAAACAAAATTCTGGTTTTTTTATTTTCTTCAAAACATAGTTCTGGTTTCTGTATTTTCTTTAAAACAAAATTCTGGTTTTTGTATTTTCTTCAAAACATAGTTCTGGTTTCTGTATTTTCTTTAAAACAAAATTCTGGTTTCTGTATTTTCAAAATAATAACATCAAAATTCTGATTTTTTTATATTCTTTAAAAACACAGACGGAAATGACATGGAAAACATAAAACATCTTTAATTTAACATAAACACATTTTGTATTTTGCTAAAACACAATTAATTTAAATAAATTTAAATAAATTGTTATGAGGGCGGAAAACAATTAAATAGATGAATATTTTTTAAAATAAAAAAAAAATAAAAAAAACAAAAAAATTAAATAATAAATAATTTCCAATTTAATATATTTTATACACCTTCCGGTAAGGATTAATTTATTTTTTTTATTTTTAATTAAAATTAGAAGGGGATTATATAAAATATATATTTTTTAAATTAAAAAAGGGAAAAAATTTTTTTGGAAATTTTTTAAAAATTAATTTAAATAATTATTTAATTGACAAGAAAGAAGTCCTATAAAGTCTTTTAAATTAAAAAAAAATTTTTTCAGTTAAAAAAAATTTTTTTAATTCTCAAATCTTGCTCGATAATTAAAATAATTGTTGTGTAAGTACATAAAAATAATTTAAATAATTTAATATTTTAATTTCATTGTTCAAAGATTATTTAATGTGTACGTATTTTAATTTTAAAAGTAAGAAAAAAACATTAATTATTAATTTGCATTAATAATTAATTTTTTTAAAATTAAACTCCAAATGTGAAAAGTCAGAAAACAATTACTATTTTAAAAACAAACAATAAAAATAATTTTTTAAATTATTTTAAAATTATTTAAAAAAATTTTAGTGTCATAAAAATTAAATTTATAAAACACAAAAACCAGAATTTTATTAAAAAAACCAGAATTTGTTTTATAAAATACATTTTTGTATTTTCCTTTGTGTTTTATAAATTAAATAAAATTCTGGTTTTTGTGTTTTATAAATTAAATTCTTAAAAAAAATAAAAAATAATTTAAAATAATTAAAAAAAATTTTTTTGCTACTAATTACCCGAAAAATTAGCAACCTATTTTTAGAAAAAAAATTTAATTAGGAACACAAAGTAAATTTAAAAAAATTTTCCTTTTTTTCCTTTTTTAGACAAAATGCTTAATTGTAAAAAGAGTAAAGAACAGCTAAAATTATAAGTAAAATACAAAACTTTAATTTTGCAACTTTATTTTAAAAAATATAATTAAAGGGTAAGAAAAGGAAAATACAAAAATGTATTTTATAAAATACATTCCGATTTTTCTAAGTTCTGGCCATTGTATTTTACATACCAACAAATTCTGGTTTTTCTAAAATAAAATTCTGGTGTTTGTGTTTTATAAAACAAATTCTGATTTTAATGTTTCTTTAAAATTCTGATTTTTATGTTGTTAAGAGATTTTTTAAACAAAATTCTGATTTTACAAATCTTAAAATAAACACAAAAATTTCTGATTTATTTTTATTCTGATTTTTATAAACACATGAAAAAAGCACTTTAATAGTATATTATTTAAAAGGAACATTTATGTTAATTTCAATTGTCAAAGGAATTAAAAAATGGAAGTAAAATTTTTAAAGGATTTTATTTAATTTTTAAAAATATTTTAAAGTGTTATTTATTTAAAATTTTATATATTAATTAAAATAGAAAACCATAAAAAATTTTTTATCAAAAAAAATGTGTGCAAAAATTTAAAAAAATTAAATTTTTTATAAAAAAATTTTTTTAAAGTGCTTCAAACAAAAATAATTTTTTTCTAGCCATAAAAGTAAAATAATTAAAACCGTCATTTATCTACGTTAAAAAAATTTATGTACTATTGTTTTCAGGAATTAGGTATTTTAATAATAAAAATTTACAATTTTTTTTGTTTTTAAACAATAATAAAAATATTTTTGCGTAAAAAAATTATAAAAAAATAAATTTTTTCAATTTATTTTTCTAACATTTTTTTTTTCTAAATAAACAACAAAATTTGTAAAAATTAAAAAAATGCCAATTTAAAATTTTAAAAAAGTATGAATAAAAAAATTATTTTAAAAATACTTTCCCGCATTAAAAAAAAAGAGAGGCTTCAATTTAGATTTCAAAAAAATTTTTTTTCCTTTCTTTAAAATGAGAGTGCTTTAAATAAATTGCATAATTCGTTGACAAGTGATTCATGACGAAAAGAGACCCGAATATCAGGTACATTAGTTCTTTAAAAAATAGAAAATTTTATTGTTAGTTTAAAAAATTATTAAATTTATTAAAAAAAAATTTTTTTTTTTATTTTAAAATTAATTTTGATTTAAAATTTTAATTACATATGTCTGTTCCGTTTAAAAAAAAGTTAAATTTGTAAAAAAAATTTTTTAATTTAATTTAAAAAATTTTTTCTTCTTACCTAGCAACATCATTGCCCAAAACACCTTCTTCTCGATAATTTGGACCTAACCAATAAAGTTTTATACGATCCTAAAAAAAAATTAAAATTAAATAAATTTAAAAAATATTTAATTTAATTGTCATCTTTTAAATTAAAAAATCAAAAAAGGGTTGGGGAGCAGAAAATAAGAGGGCCTCATTTTTTAATTTCCCGTACTTAAAAATAATTTTCTCATTCATTTTTAATAAATTTGATAGAAAAAAGAATAAAATTATGAGTAACGAGCTTTTTGCGCCCTCGAATATTATGAGTGCGCAAAAAGCTCGTCATTCACAAAAATTATTATAATAAAAATTAATTAATTACCTCAAATCCTGATTGAAGAACACTGAAAAAAAATAAATTTAAGAAAAAAAAATTTGGAAAAATATTTAAAAATGAATCAAAATTAAAAAAAAAAGAATAAAAACCTATTCCTCGCAAGTTCACACATATCCGAAGAACTTAATTTCCAAACTTGTGCAGCAATAGAATATTCTTCCATTAAAGCTTCCTAAAAAATTAATTTTTTTATTAAAAAATAAATTTAAAAAAAAAACCTTTGTAATATGAAATTGTAAAGGGTCATCAGTCGATAAAGAAACATTTAAACCTTTCATAAGAAAATCGGGCATTGGATTACGATGATAAGTTAAGAAAAGGTGATTGTTTGATAAGGGGGACATTGCCTTAAAAAATGTAAAAAAATTTTTTTCAAAAAAATTTCAAAAAAAAAAATTTCAAAAAATTTTTTTCAAAAAAAACCCCATACCATGCCAATTTGTGCCAAATAAAACAAATATTGTAAAACTGGAACTTTTCGAAGTAAAAGACCATGTGCAATACTTTCAGAAGTTAAATAACTTTAAAAATAAATTCAAAAAAATAATAAAAGACAAAAACTAACGTTACACTTAAATGATTAACATGCCCAGCTTCACCACAATGAGGTCGTAATGCGAATGTATTTAATCCTCTCAATTGTCGAAAAGCGTTTAGTGATGCCAAATTCTGAAAAAAAAAATATTTTTTTTGGAGAAAAATTTTTAGAAAATTTTTTGAAAAAATTTCCTAAAAAATTTCCAAAAGCTAAAAAATTTCCAAAAAAATTTTACAAAGACCTTGTGCAATACTTTTTTGAAAAAAATTTTTTTTTCAAAAAAAAAATTAATAAAAAACAAAATCCCAACCATATACATGTAGAAAAGGTAGTAAGAATATGATGGGTTCTGAAAAAAAAAGATTAATTTTAAAAAACCATTAAAGAACAAAAATTAAAAAAAACTTAAAAATTGTCCCCTTAACATTGTTGTTTTCAAACAAAAACGAAAATGTTCGTCTCTGTTTCAGTTAATTAAAAAATTTGGTTAAATCCGTCTATAAAGCAAATTGACTTTGGTAGTATATCATTAAAGTCAAATATTCTTTTCTAACGGGGGAAGCTCAAAAAAACCCCAAGATGTTGCTTCAGCTATGAGAAAGAGGAATCCAAAAATTAAAAAAAATTTTTATCTTCCTCTATGAAGAAAAATAAAATAATAGTCAAAAATTTAAAAAAAAACCTCATCACTCGTATAATCCACAGGTTCAGGACAATCTTTAGTAAAAGGAACGTGTTCATGTTTAGATTCATCGTCTACAGAGTCCAATCCAGAAACATGCTTTAAACAAAAATTTTCTTCTTTTAAAAAAATTCCTTCAAAAAAAACCTGTAAAAATCTGTGTAATTCTGGATGTGTTTTAGGGTCATTTGTAACTTCAAAAAGTGGAGAAAATATATTTGAAAGAAATTCATCAAAATTTAAAAGTAAATTTTTTGAACGATAAACGTCGTATAAACGAGGAATTTGTATCATCCAACGAACATTTTGTGACCAAACCTAAAACTATTTTTTTGAGAAATTTTTTTGAAAAATTTTTAAAAATTTTCAAAAAATTTTCAAAAAATTTTTGAAAATTTTTTCAATTTTTTTGAAATTTTTAAAAATTTTTAAAAAATTCTGAAAAAAAAAACTTTTGAGAAATTTCTTATCAAAAATTTCCAAAAAAACAAACATCATGCGTAATTGCCCAATTAGCAAGTTTGTCCCATTCATCTTTATCGCGTCCATAAATTGATAAACGAGGCTCCATATTTTGGTATTTATTTTCCTTAAAAATAAAAAAAAATTTTTTTTTGAAAATTTTTTAAAAAATTTGAAAAAAAATTTTTTTGATTTTTAAAATTTTTTAAGTCAAAAGAATCCCCCCTCCGCATTCCCCAAAAACAAACCTCAACATCAATAAAAACTTCTTTAAGTACTTGAGCAAAATATCTTCCATTTACGTAATTGTCCGTTTTTATAAATATTTCTCTCAGATCGTTTTGACCAACTGAAAAAAATAATTAAAAAATAAAAAATTAATTTAATTAAACCTGGATTGTATTTTGCATTGAATTTATCAAAACGATGAAAACTGAAAAAAATATGGAAAATGTAACGTAAGAAGCAGGGGTGGCGCTAGTCTCACAAAATACGAGACACGAGACTAACGCCATGAATGGTAAACAGGGTTGCGTGCAATTGCAGATTGCGAGTTGCGGAATCTTTTTTTAGATTGCGTGCAGCTCTAATGGTAAGAAGGTTGAAGAGATTAAAAATAAAAAATGAACATTCCAAAAAATTCACATTTTGACAAAAAGATTTAAACGACTATTTGAAAAATGCTCATATTTAAATGACCTTTATGAGATCACACATAAATTTTAAAAAATTCACATGAAAATTCTAAATTAGCATCAAAAAATACCCTTCCTTACGTATTTCTATCAGCATGCACATCCAACATATCAACAGAAAGATCATATGGACTAACACCCATTTTCTCAAATACTTCCCTCATTGTAATAGGCCTTCCATTCTTTTAATTTAAATTTTTTTAAGAATTTTTTTTCAATATCTAACCTTTAACTGAACAACTTCATCCGCATCTGTTCTCATTCTTTTTTTAATAAATCGAAGCAAATGTCTAGAAAAAAATTTTTTTCGAATTGTATTTTTAGATTATAAAAAAGTCCGCAAGTTTAATCCGCATTATGTCTTCAAAATAATTTTCTTAATAAAAAATGCTGGTTTGAGTATTTTTCCTTCATACGAGGGATGGTTATCCGAAATCCGATACCCTCAAATTCTAAACACGATTCAAAAATCTGACCCAACATTTTTTCTAATCCGCCCATTCCTGATGCACAATACAAGGGAAAATCATAAATTATTTTATTTAAATATTATCAATTTGCGAACTTTTAAAACCATAAATGATAAATTAAATTTAAAAAAAAATCCCTCAAAACTAACTTGTGATTCATTGAGCTGGCAGCTTAAAAAACAATTTTTTTCAGTAAAGAATTCATCTAAAAAAAGCAAACCGTGTATGTGTGTATCAACCTTTCGAATATTATAAAAATCTCTATGTGGAACACTTCTCTGTTCTGCACTTTCTAATTGCTCATTTAAAAGTACGTGAAGTTGAAAATGTGTTTGCAAAAATGTTAGGCGACGATAACAAAAAGTTTTGAGAGGGCCTTCATTACATATACGGTTTAACCAATTAAAGTCTCTTTAAAAATTTTTTTTTAAATAATAAAAATCTAAGAGCATAAAAAAAAATCCGTAAATGTTCGATAAAATAAACCTCCCCAATGACTAGTGCCTTTTTAGTTCCGAAGAACTGCTTAAGAAACTGTTGAACAAGGGTGTCAGAGAGAGAAAAGTCGGGTCAATTTCGGGACGAAAAAAAAGACAGGAGTTTCGGGTACCCGTGACACCCCCTTTTATGAAAAGGGGCACAAAATTGAGACAAGGCACTTCAAATCAGGGCTGGACGCATTTTTCAAAAAAGAGAACTAAATTGTGTTGGTTTCCTTTACTTACGGACTACGGATTTTTAAAATTAAATGGCGACTGCAGAAAAAATTTTGGCTGTAGTGTAGTGTACCGGTGGTAAAAGTTCGGAACGTGACATATGTCATTCGATTCGTCTCGACGAGCTGAGTCGAACGGTACTACTCCCTACTTTAGGAAATGATTCTGGACCGAGTTATAGGTCCCGAAAAATTGAAAAACCAAAGGGGGGAGTAAGCTCGATTTTGGGGTGAAAAATTCGAATATGCAAATAATAGCTCATTCGAAAGAGCTCGGCGAGCTGAGTCGAATGACACCAAAATCAACGAAATCTGACTTGATTTGACAAAGTTATGACCGTTTGTTTTAGCTCCTTACCTATGGCGCCCGTGGAGGTTTTTGCTGCTACTTGAGCCCCAAATACATCAAGAGCAAGGGAGATGGGACTAGGTTTATGTTACTGACCCAGACCCAGCGCCCGTAGACTCCCCGCGAGGCGCGTGCCGCAAAACCCCGCGCGAAGCGCGGGGTTTTGCACAAGCGCCTCGCCGACGCCCCATAGGTTTATGTTGTTTGTTTTTCTATTGTAACTTTGTCCAAACTTTTACAATCAAGCTGATTTTGGTGTCATTCGACTCAGCTCGACGAGCTCTTTCGAATGAGCTATTATTTGCATATTCGAATTTTTCACCCCAAAAAGTGCTTGGTCCCCCCTATGGTTTTTCAATTTTTCGGGACCTATAACTCGGCCCAGAATCATTTCCTAAAATTAAGAGTGGTACCGTTCGACTCAGCTCGTTGAGACGAATCGAATGACATATGTCACGTCCAGAACTTTTACCACCGGTACACTACACTATATCCAAAATTTTTTTCCGAATTTTTAACCACAAAATTTCTTTCGGGTTGCGTCCAGCCTGACGGTTAATGCCTTCAATAAATACAAAAACTCCTTACTTCAAATATTTCTCACGAGTAATATAAAACTTTTTTAAAGGTTCAAAAATTTCTTTTGTTGATTTGTCTATAACAGCCACCTTAAAATTAATTTTTAATCAAAGAAAAATTTCCAAAAATTTAAATACCGTGCCTCGATGCCTTTCCAAGTCAAATAATTGTTCATAAATTGGCAAAGGTTGGTCTAATCCCCAATGATCTTTTGGAGGTTCTGGAGGGTTATATGACATACTGGCAGCTAAAAAATAAAAATGAAAAATGTGTGAAGAGGTGAAAGTGAATAGAGTGAGTGATTGTGATCGAAAAGTGTGTGTATTCGTGAAATTTCGAGACATTTTAAATAATTAAAAAAAGGGTTTAGATTAAAAAAGGAAAGAAATAAAAGAAAGTAACAATCAAACCTCATCCCTAGATACCCACAAAATTAGTAAATACTTAAGATTTGATTTAAAAAAATTTTTTTGATGACCATTAAGCCTATAGTATAAGAATATGGTTTACCAGTAGCTTTTTGGTTGCTACATAAACAATCATGATCCCAATACTAACATGGGAAGGTTGCGAGGTGTCCGAGCTAAAAACGGTCGAGACCGGGCTCATTCGATAGAGAATGTGCCCTTTCTAGCAAGAATTTTTTGCCGTTTTTGCCCGTTTTTTGATTTGGCCAAGATATGGCCCTCCAAAGTCCCAAAATTTGGCATAATTTTCCCCCCTCAAATATAAACATTAGATAATGGGTTAATTTTGTTGGCGTTGTGTTGTCCAATTTGTGATATTTGTTATAAGTTCCTCATTATAAAACTTTAAAAGAATATTTGAAAACGAGGTTGAAACATAAATAAAGCACAGACAATAAACTAAATGAGAGAGAATTGCGTGTTTTTAAAAACGTTTCAGATTAAACGACCTACAGAGATGATCTGCCAAATAAGAAGAGAGAGTTAATTAGTATTTTCCTTTCATTAAATTAAAAAAGAAGCAAAAACTTTTTTTCGTTAAATTTCCTCAAAACTCACAAGTTTCAGTATTTTTTCGTCTACATTTGGGAAGATTAGAAGGATATTTTCCAATCAAAAAATTTCTTGTAGTGCTAGGGAATACTCCACCAACTAATTCCATATATTCACTACGCAAACGTAAAGCTTCAACTAATTGACGAGCTGCACTACGCAAATCTTCCAAAGGAACCTGAAAAAAAAATTTTTTCAATCAAAAAAAAAATTTATTTTTTAATTACCCCTGAAAGTTCTTCACCGGTCAAACCCTAGAAAAAGGAAAAATATTTTTCTTAAAGAAATTTTTTCTCAAAAAAATTTTTCAAGGTACCATTCGTTGATAATTAACGTCTATAGCATCACGAAATGAATGCATTTCAACATGCTGTGGTAAACATAATTCTCGGTCAATGTCATCAAGCTATACAAGAGAAGAAGAAAATTTTTTTTAATTTTAAAAAATTTCTGTTAATTAGAGACTGGACTGGGAAAGACGCGCCAGAAGTGAGATCGATGCCCCGAAAAATCTCGGTTCTCTTAAAAAATCCCGAGCTCGATCTATTCGAGATTTCGTCTCGGTCCTGTCTCCCTACTTCAAATATTACTTTATCACTCCCCATAGCAAAAGCAAATGCAGAAGGAGAAATCGCTGAAAGCCTTCCACCCCCACTTGGCGATGTTGGAGATAACCCTATACTATTACTGCATTGGCTAAGCATTATTCTCTCCTCCGGGCTAACAGCGCCTGAAGTTCCAACTGCTTGTTGCTCTCGAATTGATTCAAGTCTTCCTCTAAAAATTTTTTTTTAGAAATTTTACAAACTTAGAATTCTTAAAATTATAAAAAAACATAAGAAAAATCAAAAAATAAAATTTCTATTCTGACTAGGATTCGAACCTAAGCCGTTTCTCTTCAGAAATCAAAGTCACTAACCCACTACACCAAGGATTCTTCACCTATAAAATACCTAAATCTCAAAGCGACCCCGATCTCTTTATTAATCCATAACTTAACAAGTAATAGACCGTTTAATAAAATTTTGGTACCATTCGATAGAGAATTAAATTTTCTACAAAATGAAACAAAAATCAAAATTTTAATTTATTTTACAAAAAAGTTATAGCCAAAAAATTAAATTTTTTGGGTATTTTTCGATGATTTTTTGACAATATTTCTCAAGTTTTGCAGAATTTTTTAAGATTTTTCTGTTGCATTTTGCAGCTAATTTAATTCTATATTTAAATGATATCAATATTTTAAAGAATGTGTAGGTTCTTAAGTAAAAAAAATTTTTTTAATTATGCAGATAGCAGACACTCTCCAACCCCCGCCCCTTATATCTTAAAAAGAAAAAAATAAAATTTAAAAAAAAAATGTGGAAAAATATGCAGAATTAAAACAATTAATAGTGTATTTATATTAAAAATAAAAAATAAATTTTTATTGTAATTTAACTACAGAAAATAAGGGGCGTTTTCTGTTTGTAAATATGTAGAGTTTGTTAGATAGATTTTTATAGATAGAGGTTTTTTGTGTAAAAAAGTTTGTTTAAAAGTTAGTTTTATATAAAAAACGTGCTTTTTAAAAACAAAAAACCTTTCCCAAGAAAAAAATTCGTGAAAAATACCCCCTCCTTCCTCTCTCAACCTCCACTCATAATCGGTGAATTAGTCATTTTTTCCCTCTTTAAAAAATACCAAAATATTTTTAATAAATTTAGGAAAACTGTTTAAAAGTTTTAAAAAAAAGGTGCTCTTTTAAAAACAACGAAAAACCTTTCCCAACAAAAAAATTCATGAAAAATACCCCTCCCCCCTTCCTCTCTCCCCCTCCACTCATAATTGTTGAGAATTAATCATTTTTTTATTTTTAAAAAATACCAAAATGTTTCTAACAACTTTTCGGAAAATAAAAAATTTTGAAATTTTTATAAAAATTAGGAAAAGAAAAATTTCAAAAAAAGGCAAAAGAGTAAAAGGAAAAAATCAAAACTCACTTATTATATGGTTGTTGTAAAGATAAGCGTCTATTTTGTAATCCACCTCCACCTGCAGAAAATGTAGCATTCCCAGAAATGTTGCTGCTATTTTCAAAGATTAAAGGTTGTTGTTGTTGTTGATGATGTCCAAGTGAAGAAGATGCTCTGTCTTTATTTATTCCTTGAATTAATGAACGGCTTGTAGAAATTGTTGTTTTATTTGAAGGAACAGAAGAAGCTTCTGACAGTCTTAGAGAAAGAATTTTTTCGTTTTTTTGTTAAAAAAGTGAAAGAATTTTTTTTAATTTTTGTTAGTTGTGAAAGAAAAAGATTAAATCGTTAAAGGAATTTTTTAAAGTGCTAAAAAAATTTTTTAATAAAAATTTTTTTATTCCATTCTAAAAAGTCCACAAAAAATAAAAATATCCCACTAAAACCCCATAAAATTTAATTTTTAGAAAAAGCCCCTCCAAGTGTTGATAATTTGGAAATAATTCAAATAATTACCCACCTGCTTGAAATTTGCTTTTGTAGAGCATTTTTACATTCCAAAATCTCGATTGGGTAGTGAGAAAGCTCATATGGAGAACTTATCACATGCCCGGAAGGTCCAAAGGAGAGATTCTGGTAGTCTCCTGAATCGGTAGATTCTCCTAAAATTTCAATTAAATTTTTGAATTTTAAGAAACGCATTTTTGAAGTGTGTGTGTGTATAATATGTAGGCTTAAGTATTTTTTAAATTTCGTGTTTAAAATTAATTCTGGTTTCGTTTATGTAATTTTATTCAGCCTTTGTTCTCTTATTAATTCTAGTTTTTTAAATTGATTCTGGCCTTGTTTGGAATTAATTCTGGTTTTGTTTTTCTATTTATTCTGGTTTTGTTTTTTTTATTTATTCTAGCTGTTTTTAACTAATTCTGGGTTTGTTTTTCTATTTATTCTGGTTTTGTTCGTTTAATTAATTCTGATTTTGTTTTAACAAAACACCAAACATCAAAACTAAGCCCCTCGTGTTTATTGATCTAAGCTTTGGTCATTTAAATAATCGACCAAATTTTAGAATTATTTGCACTATAATTAATTAAAAATCACCCACTTTTATTTCTCAATCTAGCATTTTCCCCCTCATCACCATCCTCATTTTCAGATTTAATATTATGTTTTTGCATATGTCTTGCTAACTCAATTTCAACCTTTTTTGCTTCCTCATCCATTATAGGGTCAGTTAAAGGATCTAATTTAAAAATAAAAAATATTAAATTTTTATTTATTTTTTAAAATTTCATTTTTCCAACCGTCATCAACGGAAGCAAAATCTGAATATGGACCCGCCTTTCTGTCCATTATACTACACAATTTTTGTGAATGAATGGTTTGATGATTGAAATGGGGTGTTTTATGTGTTCTATTTATTATTGCACTCTCCTCCCTAAAATAAAAAAAGAGGGGAATTACTAGAAAAAAAAAATTGAAAAACATGTTAAAGGATTGAGGGAAAAAAAAGAATAATTTATTTATTGCATGCAAAAGACGAGAATGAATCAAATGTGCATTTAGAGTAAACCCAGAATATCAGCAATGTTAATAAAAACATCTTGAAATTGATGTTTTTATGATGTTTTATTCTGATTTAAAAATTATGTTAAGATTTTGTTTTAATTAAATTCTGATTTCTCATGATTGTTTTATTTGTTTTTGTTGTAATTTAATTCTGGTTTTCATTTTAACGTGTTTGTTTTAGTTTAATTCTGGTTTTATTGTTCATTTGTTTTTATTAAATTCTGATTTTCTGCTCGTGTGTTTGTTTTAAATTCTGGTTTTATTAATTTGTTTTTATTAAATTCTGGTCTTATTTTTAATATGTTTGTTTCAGTTTATTCTGATTTTATTATTTGTTCCGATTAAAGTTTGATTTTCTTCTTGTTTTGATTTAATTCTGATTTTATTATTTGTTCCGATTTAATTCTGATTTTTCTGCTTGTTTTGATTTAATTCTGGTTTTATTATTTATTTGTTTTGATTAAATTCTGGTTTTCTTTTAATTTGTTTTTATTTAATTCTGATTTTATTTTAATTTGTTTTAATTTAATTCTGATTTTTCACAACATTTTTATTTCTCACTTTTCCCCTACTCTAAAAGTGTACTCTCTATCAAATTAATTTTTGTTCAGATTTTAATCTGATTGAAAGGTTTGTGTTGATATTCTGGGCAGAATTTATAAAAGCATTATTAAGCATAAAAGGAAGAAGAGCAAGCTGTCTTGTTGGAAAAAATCGTCGCTTGGGAACGCAAAGAAAAAAAGGAGACGAACAAGAAAAAAATTATTAAAAGGTGTGTGTGTTTAAGAAATATTTGTGTATTTGCTTAATTAAATAGCTAAAAAATGTATTTCTAAATTAGTCTATAAAATAATAATTTTATTTTACTTAACTGATAAGGCTTCCTTAGAAAAATAAAAAAAATTGTCCACAAAAAATTTATTTTTCTTTAAAGGTTTCCCTGCTAAAATAAATTTTTTTTTAAATTTAAGGACGTCTTCCAGGTAAAATAAATTTATTTCAAAATTAAGGGGAAAATTTTTTTAAAATAAATTTTTAAAAAATCGTTAAAGGATTTTTGAGATGTTGCAATAAATCCAAAAAATTTAAGAGAGAGAATTTGTGTCTCTTGAGAAAAAAAAGAATAAAAAAGACACATGGGAAAAGTGAATCATGAGAAAATATTTAGAAAAAAAAATAATTTTTTTTTCTAAAAAAATATTTTTTTTCTAACCACGTGAGAGGGGAAATTGAACTTTAAAAAAGAATATGTGATCCCTTCTGGGTAAAAAGGACAAAAAATGATATATTCCCTCCCCTACAAGCTAATTTTTAAGTAATACATATTTTTTAGCAATTGTTTTCCTATTTTTAAGTGTCCAAATAAACTAGTGTGTGTATAATTTTAAGATAATCGATTTAACTAAAAATTAAAAAAAAAAGAAAAGAGGATGAGAGATGCTTGTGCAAATAAAGCAACAAACAACCCAAAAAAATATTTTTTGAATGAAGATAGCTTCATTAAAAAAATATTTTAGGGAAAAAAGAATTTTCTACTTTTTAATCTTTAAACTTCACTAACCTCTTTTAATTTATTTCGAAATACACCAAAAAAAAAATAAAAATCACACACAATTTTGGTATTTTATTTGTTTTTTGTTTGTCAACCAAAAACACCACTAGGTAGTCAATAAAAATACCACTAAAAGCACAGAGTCAAGTAGCAAATTTAAAAATAATAAATTTATAAATGTAGTTGTTGTTTTATTTTTTTTGATAATTAATTTATGTTGTTGTTCAACGTCTTTCAATTTTTTAAAAATAATAAAAAAAATCTAAAAAAAATTTAACACAAAATTAAAAATAAAATCCTCAAAAAAAATTATTCAAATATTTAAAATTGTTTTTAAAAACAACAAAAAAATCGAAAAAATTTCAAAAAAATTTTTTTCATATTTTATTCCTTTCTCAAAAAAAAATTAAACGAGAAATATTAAAAAAGAAAACCTAAAAATCAAAAATACTTCTATTCTTTGTTCACTTATAAATTTAGCAATATAGTTAATGGATCCTCAACATATTGCTTAATTTTTCTCAAAAAGGTAACAGCCTCTCTTCCATCTATTAATCTATGATCATAAGTGAGGGCAACATACATCATTGGACGAATTTCAACCTGTGGAGATTTTTTATAAAAATTTTGGGTTTATGAAAAACATTTTTATTTTCAAGTGTACCCCCTCCCCCTAATTACAATTTCTATAAAAATTTTAATATCTCAAGGAAGCCAAGATTAGTTATACATGGAAAAATTAGTATTTAAATCGGCCTATAAGGACCCTCCTGAACTGTAAGTTTCTTATTTCCTAGTTTATTTTGGGTATCATTCGATAGAGCATACTCAATAAACTACTGCCGATTTCTGACTATGGAATCATCTTTAGATAGTTATGGTATTTTTGTAAAGCCAGAAAAATTATCTTTCAAAAAATTATTTCTCAAAAAAACCTTTCCATCAATAGCTACTGGACGATCAAAAATTCCATGCATTCCAAGAATCGCAGATTGAGGTGGATTTATTATAGGCGTGCCAAACATTGATCCAAAAACACCTCCATTGCTAATTGTAAAAGTACCACCTTCCATATCCTCTATTGCTAATTTATTTTCGCGAGCCTTAAAAATTGTATTAAAAATTGAGTTTAAAAATGGAAAAATTTTTTAACATACAAACCCAAAAGTTTACGCTTTAAATATTTTAGAAATAAGGAATCATTTAAAAGATAAATTAAGACAAAAATCCGGGAAATTAAAAAAGCCAACGCTAACTATGGTTGACGGCTCGAGCTGAAAGTCTCTGATATCCGAACCGAAGAATTTCAACATCGAAAAACAGAACCAAAAAGCCTCGAGCCGGTCCCGAGCTCGAGCCTGTCCCGAACCGACAACCATATTAAAATATAAAACAAAAAACCTTGTGTAAATTTTCAAAATTAAAAGAAAACCTTTATTCCCAATTCTCCCAAGCATTTTTCAATATCAGAATAACTCAAAGATTCCACATTTCTCAAAACTGGCACAACTAAACCTTTAGGTGTAGCAACAGCAATAGAAATATCAGCATAATTTCTATAAAGTATTTCCTCTCCATCAATTACTTTAAAAAATTAAAAAAATTTTTTGATCAAAATTTAGAAAAAAAACCAGCATTAACAACAGGTTGTTCTTGCAAAGCAATAGCTGATGCACGAACAAATGGAGACATTAAGCCAAGTTTAACACCATGTTTTTTGGTAAATGATTCTTGGTATTTCTTACGCATTTGCATAACATTGCTAAAATAAAAATAATTTGAAAATTTGCGGACAGAAATTGCGGACGAATTAGACAAGAAAATGTTAGCCCATTAATTTTTGGAACTTTCGGAGTACCAAACAAAATATTTATCGCAAAGTCAGCAAATATTTGTCGTCTAAATCAAAGTCGTCAGTTAATGTGGAAGTCTCAGAAAATGATATTCGAACCAAAAATTTAAGATATACGGCAGGGATCGAGCCGACAATACATCAAATTCTCGATTTTCGTGAATTCACGAGCCAAAAATCGTTGGGAATTAACGATTTTCGGGAAACGTGAATCGGGACGGCGCGATCCCTGATCAGCAGAAGTGTGCCGAAACGGATTATAAAAAGCGAAACGCGAAAAGCGAAACTGGCACGCCCGTGATATACAGTCTTTTTCCGGTTCTAAACATCCAAAATCACATAAAAAGGGATAATAAAAATTTAAGTTGGTAAATTCACCTGCCCTAACTTAAAAAATGAAGCCCCTAAATTTAAAAAACTTAAAAAAAACAAACAAAAGATCAATTTCATTAAAAGTAGTCAACATTGCATTAGTATTTTGTGCTTCTTTTAATCGCTCAGCTATACGTTGTCTCATTCTATTCATTTTTACACGAGTTTCTGAACGACTCCCTCCAATTATTCCTGTTGAGTCCCCTTCTTGAAAAAATAATTTTTTAATTAAAAAATTGAAAAAAACTTGGCTGAAATGCTTGTTGCTGTGAAATTGGCGGCACAACTTTAGGTTTAATTTCAGAAACGTGTTTAGACTCCATTGGCTCTTTAGGCAATTCTGGAACAGGTGGAGGCTTTTTTGGAGCATCAAAAGGTTCTGAAAAAAAGAAAAATTGTTTCAAATTAAAAAATTATTCTTTAAAATTTTTTAAAAATGCAGACGGCGCTGAAAATCAAATTTTCCCCCTTGTCCCCCCTCTCGAAAAAATCTGGTTACGAGCCTGATTTCAGCGGTTATTGAGGTGTTGACATTTTAATGTTTGCATTATAACGGCGAATTTTAAAATATACTTTGCTCTGCCTGTTTTTCTTCCGGCTCTTTCTTTACTTCTGGCTTTTCTTTTGGAGATTCAGCAGCTGCCCCACCTTCAGCACCCTTTTCCATTTTATAAATTTTTTGTTTAGCGATCACTTTTGCACCATCTTCAACCAAAAATTCAACAATTTTTCCAGCAAAAGGAGCGGGAACTTCGACAGATGTCTTTAAATAATTATAAATTTGAGAGAAAAATAATTTGGAAAAAATTCAGAGAAAGGTTTTCCTCTAGGGTCATTAAACTTTTAAGTGAAGTTGGGTCCCCACGGGATTGCGTAATATTGCATGATTTTTTGTCTTTCGGACTACGGAAAATTTTTTTGTCAAATGCGTCCAGCCATGGTCCCCCAAGTCGGGAGAGGCCAAGAAAACCCATTGACTTAAATTCTAAGAAAAGATAATTTGGTAGAAAAAAACAGGTCTACTGGGAATCACTAAAAGTCGGAGACCTAGAAAAATAATAAGCTAACAAAACCTAGGTAAATAACTGTTCAAAAACCCTCTAAAATATAAATAAGCATAACAAACCTTATCTGTCTCTATCTCCGCCACAAGCTCATCTGCCTTAACAAAATCTCCAATTTCTTAAAATCAAAAATATCTTTCAAAAAACTTGAAAAAATCCAAACTTTTTTGCCAACGAATGTCCCCCTCCGATATCGATTCAGCAAATGCTGGGCCAGAAACTTCAACAACTTCTCCCCCTAAAAATTTGAAAAATATAAAAAAAATTTTTAAAAAAACCCAAAATTGAAGTAAATCGATAATTTCTAAAATTTATTTTCATCACAGAATTTCTTCCAAAAGGAAGAACAGCAGGCAACGCATTTGAAGACAATGCACTAAAACAAGGTGTTGAGACATGCTTAAAAATAAAATGTCCTTTTAATTAGTTAAAAAACTTTTAAAAAATACCAAACGGGATAATAACGAAAAACGACGAACAATGTTGCGATAAATAACCATCTTTTTTTCTTTTCTAAAAAATAAAGTGAAAAAAAAAATTAATTTTACTAGAGGTCGGTAAAATTACATTTGCAGGATCCCGTATCTTGGTTTCAAAATTTTGGTTTTAAAATTTCGACCAGGACAGGATCCCTCAGGATTAATCCTGAAAATCCTGGAATCCTGAAAACTGAAAAAAGGCAGTATTTCGGACAGGATCCTGAAAAATCCTGTGCAGGATTCTGTCCTTCGCCGACCTCTAAAATTTTAAACAAAATTTAATAAAAAAGTCAAATTTCCAAAAGAAATTACACCGGAAGCCCAGACTCTAATGTACAATTTAGCAGACTTAAAAATTTGGTCATTAGAGTCCAACGAAAAAAATAAAAAAATAAAACGGGAAAGAAAAAAATAAAAAAATAATTTGTTTAGTTTTTAAAAAAACTTTGATAAAAAATTATTAAAAAGATAAAAATTATTTTAATTAAAAAATTTTTTTAATTATTAAAAAATTAAAAAATATTAATTTTAGTGTTCTTTTTTATGTTTTAATATTTGCACATTATCTTCAAACCAAAATTTCTTTTGACATTTTTCACAAAAATATTCTTTCCCTTTAATTTTCTTTTCATCAATTAAATTTAATTCATTTTCTAATGCTATTTCCTCCTTAAAAATTTAATTTTTTTTCAAATTTTTTTTCTTCTTTAAAATTACCTCAACAGAACCAAATTTAAACTCATTAAATAATGGCTCATTTCCTTCCAAAAATTTATTTTTAATATATTCTTCACCATTAGCAGTAAAAATTCCATAACGCAAATGTTTTGGAGGGTCTATTCTTCTTCTTAAACTGTAAATAAAGGAAAAAATTTTTTTTATTAAAAAATATTTTAGGTATAGAAAATTCCTCATTAATCACTATTTATCCCCCCCCCCCTCCCCCCCCTCCCTTTAGAAATTTATTAGAAAAGTTTTACATAAAAGTTTTAGTAAAAAAATTTTTTTTCGACCTTCGAATAATTCAAAAAAAAAATACGGAAATTGGAGTATAGGGGAAAATTCAAAATCAGATATAAATTATCAGTAATATTTCTCTAAATTTTTTGCCTAAATTATGGACAAAATGTCTATACAAATATTATGGTCTAAAATCTGCTATAATGAATCAAGCTTTACAAGGGAAATTGGACCATAGAAATTTTAGATAAGGCTGGAAATTAGATCTTAAATTTTCTTTTAATTGTAAAAATTTAAAGTCTCTAGAGTCAACAAACGTTGATTTTTTAGAAATATAGTTTAAAAATTTTTCACAAACCTAAACGAATTTTGCATTCTCGAAAATTTAACAATATTTTTACAAACATCTTTAAAATCAGCATATTCATCATTATTTAATTTTAATTCAACAGATTTAAGTAATAAATGCCTCAATTCTATAGCTTTATTTAATACTTGTAATAAATCTTCCTCTTCAACAAAATTAAATTCAATAAAACCATCACAACAAAGAATGTTTGGTTTGACTAGAGTTATCTTTTTAAAAATAAAAATTATTTTTTAAACCAGAAAATGTTGGTCTTAGAAAATAAGCCAAAGCTATTAAACCACCCCTCCCACACAGCTATGGTAGTCAAAAAAATAATTTAATCGTTAATCAAGGAGCAGGATAGGGGGAATTGAGGGGGAAAAATCAAGGATGGAAAGCACGAAATTTGTGCTGTTCTTGCTACCAAATATTTTTTAATTTTTGTTTTATAGGCTTATCAGTTTCCTTGTATTTTTTTGAGTTCAAACCCAACTGGATTTTTTATAGACAAAATTTTTTCTTAAAATAGACGAATTATCCCATATTATTAAAAACCTCTTTACATTTCTAGCAATTATTAACAAAAAAGTTGCTGGTATTCTACATGTATTGCATAAATAAGGCTTTGTTGTCTCCAATAAAAGTCCATAAAAAATAAATTGGTGTTGAGAAGAACGTCCATCCAAATCAATTTCTATTCGAAGAGCTTCTGGTCTTTGACCTAAAGAACTATTTGGGTGGATAACTACAAATGGTTTTGATGGCGTGTGTGCAAATTGGTCATGCCCTTCCTGTAAAATTTTGAGGAATTTTTTTTCTTAAATGATAGAAAAAAATTTTTTTAAAGAGGGAATACAACCGAAAACCTCACTTACCCTTGGAATTGGGAAATTTTATTTTAAAATGAGAGGTAATTTAAATTGGGGGACATCGCTTAGAAAGCTCTCTCCCTCTCTCCTCTATCAGTGGGCTACCAATTCTTAAAAAACATTTTTAAATTGGGTTGGGGTCATTTTTTCAGACCGGCCCGACCGAGTCTTTTTCGAGCCTAAATTCGATGCCCGACTCGATCTTTCGGACATGACCCCCAACCCTAATTTTAAATCGGGATTTATCTTAAAATAAGAGGCCAATAGTATAAAACTCAAATCCAATTTTTTATAAAAAATTTTGTCTCCTTACACGAAAATTATTTGCTGGATCAACAACCGCATATTGAGGATAAATTCCCATAGCAAGAATTAATTTTAATTGTATAGCCAAAATATCGTCAAATTTATGAGTTGCTAATTCACGTTCTAAAGCCTTTCCAGAAGATAAAAGTGAAAATTCCAAATGTTGAATTTGATCTTGGGTGTTCTCCAACATTTGAGGGCCTTGAAAAAAAATTTTTTGTTCAGTTTGTGACATCTTTTCCGAGTACGTTTTGAGACCCCCCCCCCCCCCCACCCACGAGGCCATTCAGTCCCAGAGCTACATAAGTTTGTTTAAAATTTTCTAATCTCTGATCCAATTTTGTGATTCAATTTTTAGGTTGAAATAACGATAGGTGTCCCAGATTTAAAAATATAAAACAAAGTTATGTATAGCCTTGCGACGGAAAGGGAATAACCGGAGGACCAGTTTGCTCCCTCCTTCCAGAAAAAAAACAAACACCCCAACCAGGAACGGGAGACACTGAGAAAAAGGTCCAGGTGGGGGCTAAATTTTATTCTGATCGTGCTCAGGCCGAAAAAAGTCCTCCGAGTTTCTGACAACCCCCAAACCACCCATTCCCCCAAAAACTAACCTCTTCTTTCCTTTTCTTCCTCCTCTTCCAATCCTCTCCCACTTTTTTCCAAAATTGTATCAAAATGTTGTCCTTCTCTCAAAATTTTAGTTTTCTTTCCTTCATAACCAGCTTTCTTTTTCAAATCAAAAAGTTTTCGTTTCTCTCCAACAAGCATTCTTCTTTCTTTCGAACTTAATTCTTCCCATTCTTTAGCTTCTTGTTTTGGAATTAATTCTGCTTGTTCTAATATTTCTTTAAATTGTCTTCTTAATTTTGTTATTTCAAAAAGTCGAGTTTCTTCAATTCCTAATTGACGCGCCCAACGTCGCGTGTCTTGCCCTCCATCCATTCTCAATTTTAGCCATTCTCTGTAAACACGTAAAAGTGTAAAAGGATCTCCAATATCTGACAAAAGATGTTGTCGACTATTTACACAATCAGAATCACGAAAAGAACGGTTGGTGAAAGGTGATTGTACTGAAAGACCTGCAGCTATAGTTAATGCAATTTCTAATTTATTTAGAACACAGGCATAGATTAACATCTAAATAGAAGAAAAATTAAAAAATGGAAAGTTTTAAATAATAAGAATAAAAAAGGGGGTCCCATAAGTCCAATAGAAATTTCAAAACAAAAAAAATTCTAGAACAGTTTAATTTCAATTTGAAAGGACACCGCTTTACAAAAATATATTCTTTACTAACAGGAGCGTGTTATAATGTCAACACATTGAAATGCCGTTCCCCAAAAAGCATCTGAAATGCCCAAAACCACGGGGGTCGATATTTCAACAACATAGTTTACAATAGATGTCCTTCAAATCAAGCTCAAGCTTTCCAATCCTTCTTTTCAATTCTTAACCGATTTACTATAATAGGAAAAATGAAACTTTTTCCTTCCCTTTCCCCTTCCTACATAAAATTTTTAAAAGAAAAAAACCTTGCTAATCGGAATATCAACAGGCAATCTCGCCAAAATAATTCCAAGTGGAGTTAACATTTTCTCATTTAAAGCATTCACTACACCTTGACTTTTTAGTGATTCTAACGTTTGATTTAAAGGGCCAATTTCTGGGCTTTCAAGAAAAGGAAAATCGCGGACATCAACTAACATAACAAAAAAAATTTTTCCTTCCCCCTCAAAAATTTTAAAAAAACTTTGCATATTCATATCCAAAATTTGTAAAATTAAAGTATCCAAAGAAACTCTTTTAATTTCTGGTAAAGTAAAATCTTCCATTTTAGAAAATTCTTCTTCAGAATAGAGACGAAAACAAACACCTGGACCTGTCCTTCCAGCTCTTCCTGAAAATTAGAAACAAAAGTAATGAAATGTTGATTTTAGAGCCAGTACATTAAAGGGTGTAAAAGGGATTTAGTACGCAACACGTGATAAAGTCAAAACTAATAACAAACCCTGAAAGAGGTTTAATATTATTAGAGTATGGAAATGAGTAATACCAAATAAATAACAAATTGCCAACAACCGCCCTAATGTTGGATCCGATTTGGAAAAAAATAACATTAGGAAAGAAGTCGATTTAACAAAAATGGGTCAATCTAAATAAAAAAAGAATGAGGCATTCTATATAAAGTAGAGGTCGGCAAAATCGCATTTGCGGGATCCCGCGGGATAAAATTTTTTTAAAAACTTTGCGGGACGGGATCCCGCGAGATAAATCCCGCACTCCCGCAAATCGAAAAAAGTGCGGGATTGCGGGACGGGATCACGCAAAATCCCGCGCGGGATCCCGTCCCGCGCCGACCTCTAATATAAAGTCCCAAATTAAAACGTCTAATTTAAAGGGCCCCTTTGTCTAATCTTCAACCTTTGTTTAATCAAATAAAAATTGAAAAAAACCTTTTCTTTGATTAGCGCTAGCTTTAGAAATCCATGTTTCTGCTAGTTTGTGTGTTCGAATTGACGGATCATAAATCATCAAATTTTCTTTACCAGAATCAATTACAAAACGAACTTCATCAATTGTTACAGACGTTTCTGCTATATTTGTTGAAAGGATACATTTACGGATACCTACTGGTGCAAGGTCAAAAACCTGAAAATTTTTGGAATATTTAAAAAAATAATAAAGACAATTCACCGACAGACAGACAATTCACTGGAAAGACAGACAATTGACAATTGATCGACAAGCAGGCAATTCACAAACAGACAGACAATTCACCGAAACACAGAAAATTCACCAAAGGACGGACAATCCATAATTCACTGAAAGACAACCCACCGAAAGGCAGACAATTCACCGAAAAGACGGACAATTCCCCGAAAGACAGAAAATTCACCAAAGGACAATAATCACTGAAAGGCAGACAATGCAACAATTAACAAACAACAAAAAAATCATTCAAACCTTTTGTTGTTCTTCAACAGAAAGAGTACTATGCAAAATTAAAATAATCCATTTCTTTGTAAATTCAGCATATTCTTTACAGGCCTCAGCAATTATTGAAATTTCAGAAATTCCATTTAAAAATATTAAAACATCTCCTCTTTCACTACTTTTGTATTTTTTGTCAATTAATTGTAAAATATTTACATATGGACCAGCATCTATTTTTGCTGATTTTTTACGAGAAATGTCAACTTCTCTTATTAATGGAGGCATATATCTGTTGAAAAAAGGCTCTTAAAAATTCAAAAAAAATTAAAAAAAACCTCAATTCAATAGGAAAAAGACGTCCTGGAACAGATATTTCTGGCGCTCCTGGAAAGTAAGAACGAAAAAGTTCAATATTTATAGTGGCTGACATTAAAATTAATTTGAGGTCTTCTCTTCGTTGGCAAGCACTTTTGAGTAAAGCAACTAATAAATCACCAGATATATTACGTTCGTGGACCTAAAAATATAAAAAATTTTTTAATGAGAAAGAGTTAAAATTTTCTAATAAAGGGAACCTCCCAAAGAGAAGGCAAAACTTTTTATTTTTCTGATACCAATTGATAAAGCATCAACAATTTACACTAGAAAATTTTTTTCCATTTTTGGATAGGAATAAGGAACTAAAAAAGTTATGGGGCTTCAAAGTTTGCGAAAATTAGGGGAAAAAAAGGAACGCAAGAGCAAGGGTATAGTGAGAAAGGGTTATGAGAAAGGGTTAACAAAAATTAAAACATCTCCTCTTTCAGTCAATTTTTTGGGTAAATGGTCGAATCCGAAACGCCCGGTACGTTGGCCTGCTTATTTGGCCAATTATTTGCCGATATTATATTATATTACTTATTTGCCCAATCCGGGCCTGCTCCCCAATTTTTGTATTTGACATCTCACGAAATTTCCCCGTCGTCTAAAATTTAAATAGCGGAAACACCCCAAAATTTAAAAATTAAATAACCTCATCCAAAATAACTACATTATAACGTTGTAGACCAGGATCATCAACAAGTTGGCGTAAAAGAACCCCTTCTGTTAGAAAAAGCATTCGAGTCGAACTTGTTTTTGTTTTATCAAACCTTGAAATTTTCATACTTTTTTAACCCAAAAAAGGGCAAAACCTTGTTTGGTAAGCAATTTCAGAATCAAATTGTTTAAGCATTTCAAGCGCTACTCTTTGGGAGAGGGCTTTTAAATAACTAGAAAAATAATTATTTATTCAAAAACCTGTGCAAGCAATTCTCCTAGGCTGTGTGCATGCAATTTTGGTGTAGCCAGCATTAAGTAAATATTGGGGTAACTAAAACAAAATATTTTAAGGAGAAGAAATTACAATGTTTAATAGAATCTGGGGACATAGGGAACCACGTATTACGGCTGCGAAATTTTGATTGGGATACGCAAAACTTAACAGAAATTAGGAGAAAAAATACATATTACAAACAAATTAAAAACCTTGATAACTAAATTTAAAAAAATCCACGAATTTTGATACCCTGATCCTATTAACTAAACTAGAATAATTTGAAAAAATTCAAGTTTCCATCCAAACAAATTTAATGACCAAAATTAAATCTCAAACTACACATTCACTATTAGAAAAAATAATAAATTTTTAAATTAACCTGTGTACTTTTCCCACAACCAGTATCACCAGCAATTAACAATATTTGATTCTGCAAAAAATAAAATTTTTAATAATTTTAAAAATCAAACATTTTCCAATTTTTCAAGCAATTCATCTTTGCTTTGATATATAGGCAAGTTTATTTGTCCACTTCTCAATTTTTTTAGTTTTTTGAAATTTCTTGAATTTTTGAATTTGTAAAAGAGGGAAATGATAAATTCGAATTGTTTAATTATTAAAGGGGGGATCTGAAAAAAATTTTTTTCCTCAAAAATCACAAAAATCCCCTTACATTCCTCAAAGCCAATTTATCTGCCACATTTTCACAAATAACAACATTTGTTGAAAAAAATTTATTAAATTCGGTTTGGGGCACTCCATGGGAATTACAAGGAATGTCTTCATCAATTTCTAAAAGGTTGGTGTTGGCAGACCTTTTTGAAGTGCTAAAAAATGAATTTTTAAAAAATTTCAAGATAAAAATTCTTTATTTTCCCCCACACACCGAAGATAACTAAAAATGTCATAACTGATTTTGCTAATTCGAGAAAACGAACACTTTGTTCAATGCAGATCGTCAGCAATAGACAAGGAGTCTTTTATGACCTTACGGAGCTGACCAATTGCTAGGTTTTAGATTGGCTGGCTTGTAAAAAACTAAATGGTTTTCTTTTTCTCCCCATTACCTTGAGCTTATCCAAAGGACCATGCTCAAGTTTTCATGACTACATGAGCGGGTTCCTATTAGAAACGTCCGAGACCGAAAATTTTCCACGGCTAAAGATCGAAAAAACCCCAAGAAGTCATGGAATCAAGATCAAGAGTCTCGGATATTAAAAAAATATATCAAAAAATACCAACCTATTAGCAAGTTTTGTTTCATAACGAGAAAGAAACGACACAAATTCCTTGTAAAATGCAGAATCTTTGTTTGCCACTCCACCACTTGAAGAAAAATAGGCTTTTAATAGTTGACTTTTATATTCAATCCATTCAGACATTTTTAAAATTTAAAAAAATTAATTTTTCCTTTAAAAACAGAAAAATAACTAAAATGTCCCAATAAACATTTAAAAAATAAATTTAAAAAAAATTTAATTTAAACACATTTATTTTTTTTAATATTTTTGAATAAAAAAATTAAAAAGAAAAAAACACAATTTATCCAATCATGTCGTCATCTTCTTCATCAGCTGCAGCTTCAAGTGCCTTAATAAGAAAGAAATTCTAATTAAATTAAAATTATTTTAATGTTAGTAGAAAATTGGCCTCATTAAAACGAAATTTTTTTAAACATTTTGGTAAAAAAATTGTCGGAGATTTCTAAAATAATTCGACATTTGATAGGATAGGGTACAGCCCGACTTGCCGCGGGCCGACTTGTCGCGGCCGACTTGTCGCGACCGACTTGCCGCCGGCCGACTTGCCGCGAGGCCGACTTGTCGCCGGCCGACTTGCCGCCAAGCTTTTTAATTAAATATTCTGATTTATAATCAATTAAAATGGTCCCAACGACCATCAAATGGGACCATGCTGAATTATAAAACAAAAATTTTACAAAAAAACTTTCCAAAGTTAAAAAACCCCTAACTACAGTTTCCGTACCAGACTCAAAATTGGACAATTTTATATGTCAATCGAAAGAGCTCGTCGAGCTGAGTCGAATGACACCAAAATCAGCTCGATTGGATGATTCTGAACAAAGTTATGACCAACAGAATCTTCGCTGGAAAAACTGTTTTTGTGCTGCTACGAAGGGTAGGCCGGGCATGGTCTTCGCTACACGATGGCCGTGCTTCGCTGCGGTCGTGCTCACTTCGCTCGCGGCGACCGTAGCGAAGCGGCGGCCGTCGTTCCGCTCGACATGCCCGGCTTCCTCCGCAGCGGCAAAAACTTTTTTCCGCGTAGACCTTGTGGAAGGGGAGTGTTAATTAAAAAGCTTAGCGGCAAGTCGGCCGGCGACAAGTCGGCCTCGCGACAAGTCGGCCGGCGGCAAGTCGGTCGCGACAAGTCGGCCGCGACAAGTCGGCCCGCGGCAAGTCGGGCGTGTCCCGATAGGATATGTGGGAATAATAAAATTCGAAAATTGGACATTTCATCCCAAGGAGATTATAGAACAAATTATTTGTCAAGTCTAGATTATTGAAGCAAATAAAAGGAAAGAGAACCCAGGCCAGACCAAACAATTCATTGTCAGTTAAAATTTAATCAAATCGGGCAGGTTCTCTTTCCAGCCATTTCATTTGGTTATTAAATAAACTTTTAAAGAAAGGTTTTTTGTTGTCTTGTCCAGGCCCGTAGCCAGGATTTTTTTTTGGGGGGGGGGGGGGGAATTCCCCCCCCCCCCTGGCTACGGGCCTGGTCTGGTCGATCTCCGCAGCTGGGGTCGCCCAACCCATAAGTCCAAAGACTTTGGCTCAAAGGGACTATAGTTTTCTTCATAGTCAACCCTATCTCAACAAAAATAAATTTTTTTACAAACCTCTTGCTCTCGTTTACGTTGTTCCTCAATAGTTTCAACCTCTGGATTAGCATTATCCGGATAACGCAAAGCCTTAACTGCATGACTATGTAAATCCAACAATTCCTTGATTCTCTTGTCAAATTCTATTTGTGGCTCAGTTCCTCTATATTGATCATCCGCCTCCCCAAATTTAACATATGGCTGATTTTTAAATTCTGGATCGTTTGTGACAACCATACCACGAAGAATTCCTTCTTTAAAAACTTTCATAACTGTATCATGAGCATCCTCAACTGTTGGAGACTTTAAGAAAATTGAAAAGGATTAAAGAAAAATAAAGAGAGTACCATTTAATTTTTGAATTTTATAAGTAAAATCGCATTTTTTCCAATGGAGTTAATCTACTTATAAGGAAACATCATCTACTAGAGATCGGCCTGACAATGAGTCTAAACCCAGGCCTGAGTTTTCCTGCAACTATAGTCCAGGTCCAGGCATTTTTTGACCTTACTAATAAGTTTTTCCTGTGCTTAGGTTTTTTCCTAAACTACAGGCCTAGGATCCAGTCCAGGGCAATAAATCAACCCCAGAGTTCAGGAATAGGTCCAGGCTTTTCAAAATTTCCGATCTCTATCATCATCAAATGATAATTTAATGGTACCATCCGGTAGAAAAACCTCAACTTCATATTGCAAAGCTCAAACGCTTCCAAAGCCGATAATTCGACTGGACATAACTCGCCCCGCTCCCTATTAAAAATATTCCAAAAATAACCTGTAATTTAGCAGCCATATCAGAAATAAAAATACGAGAATAAGTCAAAGCAATCTGCCTAATTGCTGTTCGAATAACACTTTGATGAATACGTCCAACTAAAGTCATCGTTTTATGTTCAGTAAATTCAATATCGAATTCTTCTTTTACTTTTTTGTAGCCTTCAACATCTCCCAATTTTACGACTTGAAAAAAAATTAGAAAATTTTTAATGAGAAAAAAACCTTTAGTCAAGCGCATATAAGGAAGCAAAACTTTTTCAAATTCTTTCGCACGAAAAAGACTTCTTTCGGGTATTTCACCAATTAGAAGCATTACAAGAACCATCCACTGGAAAATTTAAAAAAAAGTTTTTAGAAAAAAGAGAATTTTTTGAAAAATAAAATTCAAAAAGACAGGAACGACCAAGTGAGAGTGTATTTTCAAAATTAGAATAAAAATAAACAAAAAATAGGAAGGATAACTTTAGGAAAAAAATTATCCGTTCCCAGCTTATCAAACAAAAAGAATTGTCGAAAGAACTAGAATGGAATCTCGGAAAAATTAAATAAAGGAGGGGCACAAACGCACGTTACCTACGGCCCACCATTCGAACCGATCTGAAACCTTAACCAATTCACTTTAAAATTTTCTCCTCAAAACGAGAACGTTTAAAACGAACTTAAACAGGCCTAAAAATATCTAAAAAATTTGCTAGAAACAACAGCCCTATTTATAAAAACCTCAAAAATAAAAAAAAAACAAAAATAAACACCAACCTTATTAACTTCCTGTTTAAATCCAATAGCCCCATTTGTCGGCGCCTTTCTCAAAGCAATTTCAAAATATTTTTTAGCCGTTTTGTAATTATTTAAATTAATTCCCTTCATTGCCTCAATCAATCCCAAATAATAAAACCACCGAGCCCAGTCATTATTTGTCGCACTTTCAGGCAATTTGACCGAAGAAACAAAACGTTCAGCAGCTTCATAATCATTAGAAATTATAAAAGATCTCAAAATTTTTATTGCTGCTGCAGCTTTCCCTTTCAAATCTTTTTTGGTTTTTGATTTGATTAATTCTTCATTTATTTCCCTTGAGAAAAAATTTTTTTAAAAATTCTACAAAATTAAACAAACCCAATATCCGCCAAACAAACATTTGCAGCAATTTGGCCATTTACCGGTATTTTACTTGAATCAACTTCCATTTATAAAAAATTTCTTCTAAAAATTAAATTTATTTTTTAGATTAAAAAGCTAACAAAAATAAGGGAAAAGGACGGATTTCTCATCAAAAAATCCTTCATTTCTCTAACCGTCTCTCTTTTTTATACACTATTTTCTTTTTATTTAATAATTGGGATAAAATGTCATTTTTATTTAATTTAAATTTTAAGCAAAAATTTTAAATTTGAATATGCAAAAATTTTCATATTTCAGTTATCTTAAAATTTTAACAATTTTGAAAGTTATTGTTAAAAAATTTTTTCATTTAACTACATATGTGATTTACCGAAAATCTTTTCATACGTTTTACGGACAGTTGTTTTCTGCTTAAAAATGGAAATTTTCCGTTAAAAATTTTTTGTTTTCGGCCCATATTTGATCCATATTTTACAGTTCATATTTTAAGATTTTTATTCCATATTATAGTCCATATTTTTCGATTAATAGTCCATATAAAACCCTTCCTACATATAAAACCCTACCTTTACACAATTTTAAATTTTATCGTTTATGAATGAAAATTTATATAAAACGAGTTAAATGTTCAATGTTGCGATTAGAGATAGGTAAATGGTCTTGGAATCCGTAATGGATTTGACTTTTGAATTATCGAGAGGGTCAGAATCCCATGAAATAAATCAGATAATATGCTGAAAATCCGGCTACTTTTTGGATCAGACCCGGGAAATCCCCTGACGGATTCCAACATGTACCTATCTATATTTGTGATATGCTGAGGTATATTTTAGAAAAATAAAACATTTAAAATAAATGGTGGTGTTTTAATTAGAGACCGGCAAAATAGCACTTCCGGAATCCCATGTCGGTATTTTTTCTTAACCGATGCTGGAACGGGATCCCGAGGGATAAATCCCGAATCCCGAAAGATTCCGAAAATAAAAAAAATCCGAGATTTCGGGATCCCGGAAAATCACGTCGGGATCCCGTCCCGCGCCGGTCTCTAGTTTTAATCAGGATAAACTTTTAGTGTTAGAATATATGATAGAGTACTTACATAAATACTTGCTTTTTAAATTGAAAATTCAGTAAAAAATGTGGTAAAGTGATTTTAAAAAATGATTGAATAAATACATGGTATTTGGTAATTTTTATGGATTTGCAAGGATAAACAAGAGTGGATTGAGTTTAAAATAATGGGGATTGAGTTTAAAATAATGAGGATTGTTTTTAAAATAGAGTGGATGTGTTTAAAAAATAAAAAGGAGAAAACTTTTAGAAAAAATACATGGTATTTGGTATCTTTGAGGGACATTGGGATAAATAGAAGGGATAAATAATGGGGGATTGTGTTAAAATAAAGGGGATTATGGTTAAAAAATATAAAGGAGAAAACTTTAGAAAAATACATATTTTAGAGACGTTGGGATAAATAGAGGGATAAATAAGAGTGATTTTAAAAAATGATAGAAAAAATACATTGTATTTGGTATCTTTTAGTGATTTGGAGGGATAAATATGAATGGTATAAGAAAATGGAGTTGTGTTTAAAAAATAAAAAGGACTTTTATACATCTTTTTAATACCCATCTTCTTCCTCATCTTTTCATTCTTAAATAATTCCATACATCTCGTCAATCAAATCTTCAGTTTTTTCTGGAATTTTAGAAACAGGAGTGCAATTCATTCCTTCTTTTTCACAAATATTTTCCTTGAATTCTGGAACAATCTTTCTTTCATCTAATTTAATAATTGCCGAAAACACATGATTAAACCAAGCAAAATTGTTTTTTGCTTCTTCTTGAACATCCAAAAGTTTAAGTTGTCCAACGGTTTCCTCGTCATCAGTTCCAGCGTTTTTAAATTTCCAATCATTCCATTTTTCAACTTCTTTTTCTAAAGAATAAATTAAAAATTTTTTTATAAATTTTAGAGGGCGATTTTTGCTTAGAGATTGAATTTTACATGAAAATCTAATATCAAAGATTCTAATATGTTCTAATAGAGCTGTTTCGAAATTTCGATTTTCAAGGTTTTTTTGGATTTTCGATATCTTTGAGGTTTTTTTCGAAATTTTCTTCCGATTCCTCGGGAAAACTCATATAATTATTTTGGCAAATGTCCAGTTGGCTGTCTACCTGTCCGCGAAAAGAATCCGCTCTTTTCTTTCCTTTTCTTACATTTTTTGCGTTGGGAGAAGTGCCCCTCTCATTTTCCGTTTCCAGCATTTTTCCTTCTCAATACAGTATGTTTTCCTTTTCCTACTTGCAAAATAAATTTTAAAAATTTTAAAAGATAATTTAAATATGACACTTTGATATTTTATAATTTGGATCTATTTTTATAATTTTAATCTATTTTCAAATAATTCCTCAGTAGAAAAATTCTGGATCCCATTGTTCTACGATCAAACTCTTGATCAAAAACTTGATCAAAGAAAAAATCCCTATTACTAGTTATCGAATATCTACATGGTTTCTAATTTTGGTATTTGAGAATGTTATCCAAAATTTATTATTGTAAAATATATTTTTAAATCATCTTTTAAAATTTATAAATTTATTTTGCAAGTAGGAAAAGGAAAACATACAGTACTGCACAAAAGTATAAGAACACTTTTAAAAAGCTTATAACTTGGGACATACTTGACCAAATTTTAGCAAATTTTGTGTAAATATGTGGATTATAAAGAGAAATACGATTAAATAATTAAAATTTTAAATTTTTTAAAACATCTCTCCAAAACTTAAAATTATTAAAATTTCTCGATTTTTTTTACTGCACAAAAGTATAAGAACACTTTACAAAAAAGATATTTCCAAGAGTAGGAAAAATCTACAAAACTTCTAGCAAAGATACATAATGATATTATGAAAAAATAAAAAAGAACTAGAATTATATCTTTACCCGGAGCTGAGATACTGAGATCTCAAAAATCAACGTAAAACGGGGGTAAGGCTCTTTAAAAAAATTTTTCGACCCCTTACGAAGTATTTTCAATTTTGATTTTGGGTTCATTCGAAAGCCTTTCAAATTTGCTACAAGATAGCATCGATCTTATTTTTCAGAAAAAATTTTAGAGAGAGGTACATGCATTCAAACTTCGGAAGCGACTTTAAGGGGAATTTTATGGGGCATTAAGGCATTTTTTTCTGCATCAGAAGTTTAATGCCTGCTTCTCTCTCTAAAATTTTTTCTTAAAAATAAAATTGGTGCTTTCTTGTAGCAAATTTCAAGGGCTTTCGAATGAGCCAAAAATCAAAATTTACAGTAATCCATAAGGGTCGAAAATATTTTTTAAAGTTGAAAAACCCTGTTTTACGTTGTTTTTTGAGATCTCAGTATCTCAGCTCCGGGTAAAGATATGGTTCTAGTTCTTTTTTATTTTTTCATAGTATGCATATATATGTCTGATGAATTTTTTTCGGATTTTTCCTATTGTTAGAACTACGAAAAACCAAAGTGTTCTTATACTTTTGTGCAGTAAAAAAAATCGAGAAATTTTAATAATTTTAAGTTTTGGAGAGATGTTTTAAAAAATTTAAAATTTTAATTATTTAATCGTATTTCTCTTTATAATCCACATATTTACACAAAATTTGCTAAAATTTGGTCAAGTATGTCCCAAGCTATAAGCTTTTTAAAAGTGTTCTTATACTTTTGTGCAGTACGGTATTGTATTGAGAAGGAAAAATGCTGAAAACGGAGAATGAGGGGGTGCACTTCTCCCAACGCAAAAAATGCAAGAAAAGGAAAGAAAAGAGCGGATTCTCTTTGCGGACAGGTAGACAGGACATTTGCCAATTATTTTAGAATTACCATGTTGTATCTTGAGTTTAGCTTCCTTTTTCTTTTCTTTATTTGATAGTTTCTTCGGGTTACTGCTCGAAACCTTTGACAGGTCACTCATCGATTGGCTTGACCGGAAACTTGTAAAACTTGCAGGAGAACCAAATTTTAATTCTTTGTCAGATCCAACAGAAGATTTTGAGGAGGGTGATGTGAATGTTCCAAACTTTGGGAGCTCACTCATCGATAGGCTTGTACTTGCAGGGGAACCAAATTTCAATTCTTTGTCAGATCCAACAGAAGATTTTGAGGAGGGTGATGTGAAGAATGATTCATTCGGTGATGTCACTTCATCCACAGATGGCAATTCATCCACCGACGATAATTGATCCACCGACTCAGTCAATTCATCCAAATCAAGCATTGATGTTGATGAACTTAATTCTGACATTGTATCCGAAAATTCTGGCACTTCTTGACCCAAATAACCCCAATCTACTTTTTCATAAATTCTGTTAACAGTCACAGGATCTTGAAAGTCCAATTTCGTACGATATCCACCAATAACCCCTTTCAATAATTGCCGGCCAATTTCAAATTCTTTGGCTATCTTTCCACCTTTATTGTAGTTTACAACATCTTTGATCGTACTTCCTGAAGCTAAAATTAAATTTCCTGTTCTTTTAAAAAGCTCCAAAACAGCTTTATTCATTCCAGAATGTAAACGAATTTGTCTGTAAATTCTTGCCAAGTCTTCAATTCTTATCTAAAATTGAGTAGTAATTTATAAAATAATGAATAAAAAACGACAAGTTTTGCCCCCCCCCCCCAACTGTTCGACTCCCTTCACTTTGATATTTACACGGGTCCACCCAGAAGGTCAGACCCTGGAGATCAAATTACCCAGAAGGTCAAATACAAATATTTGGGTGGATAAAGGTTTATCAGTATCAAGAATACGTTTGCTTCCTTTCTTTTGCATTATTCGACAGTTGCACAAGAGTATTTCCGTCTCCTTAATCCCCCTTAATCCTAACAAATCCGTATTAATAAGCATAAATCCTTATTCCGCCAAAAATTTGTACTTGATATTTTGGGTAATTTGACCTCCTGGGTCCGTCTTAATAAAATCTGGGTTATGTCCTTCTGGGTTGATCCCATTTACACTTAAGCACTTAAGATAAACATATTTCTTGATGGATTTGTAAGTCTCACAAGAAAAAATTTTTTACAAAATTGTCTGCACAAAAATTACTATAATAATAATTATCCTTACCATAGCACCATCAATAAAATTTTTCATCACAATCTCAGATTTATTTAAATGTTCCTCAAGGCTTTCTAAATTCGCTGCCATTTCACCATTTATACTTTTTAATTTCTTCATCATTTTCTTTTTTTCATTTGTCTTTTCACCCTCTTGATCTGCAGCTTCTTTAATACTTGCATTTAGACTTTCTAGAATTCGAATTCTTTCCTTATCTTTAACTATTTTCGTCAATGTTAATTTTTCTAACCAGACAAAACGATCGACCAAGTTGAATCTATATTGAATTGAATATACATTAGAAACATTCAAGACTGAAATTTTTCCAAAAACAAGACTTAGGTAACCTTCGAGATTAACAAAAAAGCTAACAAGTCGCAAAACTGAGAGTTTCGGACTTTTCTAATATTATATGACAAAGATGCAATGTATTGATATTTTTGCGGACAGGTAAGTTTGCAGATATTTCCACAAAAAAAATGTACGCTAAAAATTTTCAGAGAAAAATGTCCGCAAAAAATTTTTCCGCAAAAAAATGTCCTCAAAAATTTTTCCGCAAAAAAATGTCCGCAAAAATTTTTCCGCTAAAAAAGTCCGCAAAAATTTGCGGAAATAATAACTAACCTATACGCTTCCACTTTCTTTGTAAATTCATGATTTTTTTCTTTACTTTCTGGCATTTCCCATTTTTTACATTTCTTGATTTCATTATTATCTCCTGGTTCCTTCATAATATTACTTTGTATATGTCCAACTTTTTGATGCATAGTCATCAATAATTCTTCATCAATCAAGTTTTCTTTAGTTACAATATCCCCCTCAACTCCCAAATTTTTTTTCATTTCTTCCAATGTTTCTAAACTTATTTTTTTTGATAAAATCTCATGCATCCTCTCCAAATGTTCAAATAATTTTTCTTCACTCTCTTTCTCCATAAAACTTTGTTTGGTTAATCCCAACTCGTTAAACAAATTTATTCGTGTTATAAATTTTGTTAAATAATTTATAGTTATTTCCAACTTGTTTAGAACATGTTCATAAGGCTTTCCCTCCTCCAACATTTCCTTTGTTTTGTTGATTGAATTCACAACAAACTTATCATAATCCTTATTTTTCTTAAACTTGTTTGTTACCTCTCTAAACATTTTTAAAACTTTGTTTTTCTCTACTTTCTCTTCTAAAACTTGTTTTATATTTTCCAGCTTGTTTAACACCTCTGTTTGACCTTTCAAGTTTAATAAACTTGTTTTTGCTATTTTCAACTCGTTTAAAACTTGTTCAAAACTTTTCTTTGTCTTGTTTTTAAAACATTCAATAAACTTTGGAATTCTGTTTAGTAACTCTTGTTTCATTTCATCGGCATAAAATGTTGTTTTAGTTGATTCCAACATTTTTAAAGAAGTTTTAAACTTTTCAATTCTTGCATCTTTCTGTATTGTTTTCAACTTTTTTATTATTGTACTTTGTTCATTTTTTTTAAAGTTTCCTTCTTGCTTTTTTGCCAAACTTGTTTTAATTTTCTCTAATTCTTTCAAAACATTTGTTTTAATCGTTTCTAAGTTTTCCTCAACACGTTTGTTTTCTGGATCTTCCCAAACATTTGTTGGAATTGTTTCCAAGTTTTCCCAAACATGTTTGTTTTCTTCTTTGTGTTCCAAACTTGTTTGGATTGTTTCTATGTCTTCCCCAACATTTGTTTTACTTGTTTCTATGTTTTCCCCAACATGTTTGTTTTCTTTTTTGTTTTCCAAACTTGTTTGAATTGCTTCCAACTTGTTTATAAAATCAACTTTTGTATGCACTTTCGAAAACTCTTTTAATGCTTCCAATTCTCTTTCCAACAATTTCCCCTCTATTAAAACTTGTTCGATTATTTCCACCTTATTTATTATTGTTTTAACTATTGGGGGCATTTCATTAATTGTTTCTTTTCTCATTTCTTCAAGTTTATTTTCTGCCAACTTTTCTTCTTCTTTTATTTTTAACAACTTTTCTTCTTCCTTTCTTTTTCTTTTTAACAACTTTTTTACTCTTTCCAACTTATTTAAAAACTTTACAGGGTTTCTTTTATCAAGCAAGTAATGCTTCATATATTCCAATTCTCCTTGTTTATCAAACCATTCACTCCTTTCTTTAATTATTTTTTGGCATTTTATAAATTTTTTTCTTTTCCCTTTTTTTCCTTCTATACTTTTAATTATTCCTTCTTTTAAATTATCAAATTCTTTTTTAATTAAATAATATTTTCCATCTCCAATCTTAACCAATTCTTTAAATTTTTTATTTGTTTCTTCTAAATTTTCTCCAAAATTAAAATAATTTGTTGGATAACCCTTCTTTAGCAATACAATTTTAATTAAAATTGAATCGGTTTCTTTTCGAAATTTGGACAATCGTTCAATTGCCTGCAAACTATAGTCTCTAGAAACTATATAAACATAATTGTTTATATGTTCATTTTCTTTCATGATTGTTTTTATTTCTCTAGCTTTGTTCTTTAATTCCTCCAACTTTTCTTTCCCACAAACAAGCTTATTTATATAGTCAATAAACACATCCATGTTTTGTTTGCTTTTTCTTTTCAACTTGTTTATTGTTTGTTCATCCCATGTTTTTATACTCAAATCAACAGCTTGTTTTCCAACTTGTTCGTCCGTTTTTCCAACTTTTTCTCCAACTTGTTTTCCAACTTGTTTTTCTCTGACTTCTTTTTCTCCAACATTTTCTTCTTCATCTTTAGGTAATTCTTTTAATATAAATAAAAGTTGGGTTAAAATTTCTTTTTCAACGTTATCTTCTTTTTTATTTTCCTCATAATACCCTCTAAATTCTCTTATAGATCCAACCATCCTTTCAAATTCATTACTTCTTACCATATTTTTAAACTTTTCAATTAAACTCTCTACCGTCTCAATTTCTCCCTTTTCGCCTTCATTCGCCTTGTTTTCCTCTCCAATTGTTTTCCTCTCCAATAGCAATAATGCTATCAAAATTAAAATAAATTTTTGAATTTTCATAAAATTTTTTTTAATTTTATAAAAATTTTTTGAATATTTTTTTATCTAAAATTTATTTTAAAATATTTATTTTTTTTAAATTTTTTAATTTTCTCGCTTAATTACTCCTTTTAAATAACTACCCTTATAGGGGGTTAAAAATAAATACCCTAGCTAATCGACAAAATAAATACCCCTCAATTTAAATTAAATTTGTTTTTCTAACAAGAAAAAATTTTTTAAATTAAAATTTCTGTCAAAACAAAACAGAAATAACTCCAATAAACTAACTAAAACGCCGTTTTATTTAACAAAAAGGGCAAAAAAAATTTTTTTTTAATTTTTACTTTAATTTAAATTTTATTATAGAAAGGACAGAATATAAAAAAAAATTTTTTTTAATGCCAATAAAGTAAATAAAATTCTTTATTAAATTCTCTTTTCACTTTCATTGTTGTCTTTAAAATAGAGGGGTATTGACGTCAATTCATTTAGAGGGAATAAAAAAAATTTTTAATTGATTTTTTTGAGGGGAGAGGTAAAATTTTAAGTCGTTGCTAGAGGGATGATGGGAAGAGAAAATGAGAAAAATCAATTTAAATTAAAACTTGTTTTCCAACTTGTTCGTCTGTTTTTCCAACTTGTTTTCCAACTTGTTCGTCTGTTTCCCCAACTTGTTTTCCAACTTATTCGTCTGTTTCCCCAACTTGTTTTCCAACTTGTTCGTCTGTTTCCACAACTTGTTTTTCTCTGACTTCTTTTTCCCCAACTTTCTCTTCTTCATCTTTAGCTAATTCTTTTAATAAATTAAAACAAAATTTTTTACAACAAATAAGAAAAACAGAATGTTTTTGATAGGTGTAGGCTTACAACTTTATAATTAAATTTTAAGCCGCCAAAGTTTTTCCCCTAACGACCAGCCCTAGGCGAAACTTCAATAAAGTCCCCGGCCTTGTATATTTAAATTGAACTCTCTCAATTAAATGAGGAAACCATTACTAACAAGTTCAACTATTTATTTATTAAAAGACAAGTTCAAAATAAGGCCAAGAATTAGAAATATGAAAAGCTATTTATATAAATGATAAAGGTCGGGAAGTAATGAAAGGGTGAATATTTACAAGTTTGAAATATATAGGTTGATAAGAAACTATAAAGGGAAATAAATTCAAATAATGTGTTGGGGAAATGTTGTAAAATGATATGAAGCAAAGAAACATTTGAAATGTTTTGGGGGAATAGTTTAAATAAAAAGGGAAAAACATTAAATTAAAAATAACATTTTAAAAATTAATAATAAATTATCTTAAAATGTGGATCCAACAACTCCAAATTTTTTTTCAGACTAACGAAACATTTTAATTTTAAAAAATTTCCAAAAAAACTTGCATATTTTCTCAATTATTCAATTTTAAACTCCGTAAACGAGCAAATTCTCAAGTAAAAATAACTGTTTTATTTCCAGTGTAGGGCTATTTCTTCGATCATGCCAACTATATTTTGCAACTGTAAAAACACGTTCGCACTTGTGGACTCATTTTAATAGGCGATGCAGCAAGTAAAACATGATTAGGTTACGCCAAGTAGCCAAAGGTCTCGTCCTCAAAAGTTTCGCGTCCTCAAAACGTTTTTGATAGACGTTACTTCGAGCACAAATTTCGGTCTACTTGAGTTCCAGGAATGGGGTAACGGTCCCAGACCCAGTGGGCGTAGGTCCCGAACATGAAGAAATGTTTTGGTACCGGACCCCTAGTTTGCAACACCAAGAAAAATCCAATTATTTTTGATTGGATTCATAAAGTCAAGTAGAACACATAATTCCTACATCAACTACAAACACTAACTCAATAAATAAAAATTAGAATAATGGATCTCTAACAAAAACTTGAATTAAAAAAAGTTTATATCCACATAATCAAAATTTGTTTAAGGATAAATTTAATAGAAGCATTTTAAATATACGTCGTTAGTTAAATAAAATATGGAATTGAAAAATTACAAAGTTAAAATTCGAAAGATGACGTTTAAAAAATAAATATGTTTACATTTAAAAATAAATAAAATTGAGGGGGAATTGGAACTTTTTTAAATTTATAGGTTGAAATTAGGATTGTTCACGGCCGGTTAATTTTCGCGTGTGGCAACTCATGAGGAATATTAAAGACATTTGAGGAGCTGCACAGGCGAAAACTAAACGGTTGTAAACAACCCCCGTTGAATCACAATTTTTCTCGATTGATAAAAAGTTTCTGAAGAAGAGAGCATTCATTTCTGCTAACATTGTTGCGGACTTTAAAAAAATTTTTTGGACGTTAAAAAATAAAATAAATTAGAAAGTGTAGATTTAAAAGCTTTTATATGTTCACAGAAAAGTCGTCAAAAACGTCCACAGAAACGTCCGCAAAGTAGTTGTGCAAAAATGGGGCTCTCCCCTTCAGTAATAATATATACAATGTGTCCGGGAGTGATATATACATGTATATCCACTTGCACTTTTCAACTTCAAGTTTTAGAAAATTTCAAATCGCTAATCAAATTTTTATCATCTTCTGGCAATTTTTTCACTGGAATACATTCTCTTTCACATACTTTTATTTCTTCCTTTGCCTCAACCAATTCAACAGAATCTACAATTTCCTTGAATACGCCATAAATCCATTTAACTTTTTCCCCCACTTGTTTTTGATTATCCTTAACTTCATTTTCCCACTCTTTCCAATCTCCATATTCTTTTTTTATTTGTTCTTTAAAAAAATTTTTTAATTAAACAACTTCTGAGGTTTCCCCTTGTTTAGAACAAACTCAACTGGGGCCTATTTCACAACTTTTAATTCTTGGAATTGTGAGGATGTTCTTCCCAATATTTCCCAATTCCAATTCCCTATTCTAATTTTCTATTTAACAGTTCAAGAAGATGCAGGTTTGCTCCTGATAGCTCTCAACCAGTGATGGAAAGGTTACCGTGCGGTTCCGGAAGTGGAACCGGCAAAGGTTTGTAACCGGTTTGAAACCGGAACCGTGGAACCGGTAAAGGTCCGGGGCCGGTTTGGAACTAATTTTCTATCTGATATATAGAATTTCTCTAATTTCTAAGAAATTGCCGATTTGCTCCTGATAGCTCAAATGCAATGTTGTTAACTGATCTACCCCCTCCATATACCATCCTTTTTTTGCTAGGATGGAAAACACAGGACTTAAACAAGTGGAAAACGTAAAAAAGTAGGCCCTTGAGCACCATATAGGCGATGATTCCCTAGTAGCGGCGGGATGTTTTTTTCGAAACCCTTAGAAATAAATTTTAAATTTTACCAATCTTTTTTTGCTTCATCTTTTCTTCTTCCATATTCTGCTGTCTTAATTTTCTGGAACTACTATTCGACTTCATTTTAGAGTTAAAAAGAACAATGTCTGATAGTACTGTAAATGAAGTGGTCGAATCTAGCTCAAAGTTGGGTACAGAAACTGATTTCTTTATAACTTCATGCTTTGGCATTCTGTTTATTTCTGGCAGAGAAGCTGAATGTTTGACAACAGAGACGGGGGACCTTTTATAGCTTCCACTTGTCGAAGAACCAAATGAGTCGTTGTGCGAATGTATTGCAGATCCTGAAGTTTCCGATTCTGTTTCACTTGTCGCTGATGCAAAAGATTCATGCGAGTCTGGTAAATCTTCACTAAAAGACTGTTTTGACTTTGAATGGTTAATTGAAAATTCTGTCATTTCCGAAGGCATTGGAGATTCCTCCTTCCTCACATGTTGTTTTTCTTCCTTCTCCACCTTTTCCCATTTTTCAAAATAACCCAAAAGATATTCTTCCCCAATCAATTTCTTGGCTTTTAAAAATTCTTCTTTTACCAATTCGGATTGTCTTGACATTTTTGTATCATTAACTGCAAGTTGAATTGTTTTGTTTGAGGCCAAAGTTAAATTTTTTGTTGATTTTTGGAGATAAATTGCTACTTTGTTCATTTCAGAAAATAAACGCAGTTTTTTGTAAATTTGCATCAGATTATCAAATTTTGCCTGAAATTTAAAAGAAGTCAAGAATAGAGGTTGGATCGATCTTGGTAAAAAAATTTTTGATTATACAAGACCAAGATTCTTCGAGATCGAGATTCTCGATAGAGCAGAAAGTCTAGTCTCTAGTTAAAGAAAGTCTATTTTCGGTGTCTTTAGCGCAGCTTTGTTCCAGCTCTAAAAATTGAACAGATATTCAATTTCGGTTCTGGTCAATTCCAGGAATTTGTTAATTGATTGTGAATTTGTGTGAATTCTTGTAATTTCTGTGAATCGTCCCTGTGTGTCGAAACCCAATGAAGCGTCTGGACCGTAAAAATTTTTTAAAAACGTGAAACTTATAGGTGTCAGAACTTTTTAAACGGGTGGTTTCTTACAGCAACCCTATTTCCCAATAAAATAAAATATAAACTCTTACAATTGTTTCTTTAATAAATTTATCCGTTTCCTCTTCAGCTTTATTTAACAAATTTTCAAAATTTTTAATTGTCTCTAACCAGACATTTTTCCTTTTTGACCAGCCAGTTTTCATTTCGATATCAATTATTTCTTTTATATATTCCAACATTTCTGTGTTAGACTCGTGTTTTTTAAAACTTTCTTGATCAATAATTTTTTCTTTGAATTGTAAATTTTTTAGGACTTCATATCGGTCAAATAATTTGAAGCTTAAAGAAATTTTTTTAAATTTTGTATTACGGTAGAATGCCCGCCTCTGCTTTTAATTAGGGTAGGACAAGTCGAGATCGATATATCGGTCTGAATATCGGTCTTTTTCCAATATCGATATCGGTTTCACCCGATATCGATCTCGAAATCGATACCGATATATCGGCCCAAATATCGACCGATATCGATATTAAATATACACCCCTAAGGATTTTTTTCTAAAAAAATAGAAGAAATCTGGCCACATGCCCTTCCAAAATTCTAAAAATTTTCGCCCGCGGCGCTGAAAAAGAAAGAAATATAGCTACTTGAGCATCAAAAATTCAAAAAAATTTTCGAAAATGGGATGAAAAAATGAGATGAAATCTAGTCTCTTGGATATTTTCATAGAGGTGGGGTTGGATCAGTGCTGAGTATTCTCTTTTTTAGAAGAGGGGTCCTCCAGAAGACTCTTTGGCTTAAATATCTTCCAAATTTTCAAAATTTTCGTCTGCGGTGCAAAAAATGAAAGAAAATCTGACTTAAGGACCTTCAAAATTCTCAAAATTTTCGTTTGCGGCGCAGGAAAGGGTAAAAATTTTATAATAAATATTTTTTAAAAAATACGGTAAATATCGAATATCGATCTCGGATCAAATCTTGCATATCGATATCGATCTCGGTCATGTCAATATCGACCAATCTCGATATCGAATTTTTCCTAAAATATCGATATCGTCCCACTCTACTTTTAATTGACTACTTTTCGTAAACAAAGGGTCTATAATGTTTATTCCCGATATAAAGACTATGGAGCTCAGAAATTGTTAGAAAAGGAAGGAGAGTGCTCCCTGTCGTCTCTTCTTTTTCCTGACTATTTAAACAAACCTATATTCACTCAATTCTTTTAATTTTTCCAAATCAGTTTCTAATCCTTTTTTCTCAAACTTTTTAATATTTTTAATATCAAATTCTGCGGGTAATTTAGCAAATTTATTTCTACAGGTTTTATATAACCCTTTATCAAAACCTTCAATCTCTTTTTTCTTCTTTTCTCTTTCCTTTTTCCCCGCATTTTCATTAAACCCAACACTTTTAAATATTTGATAACACTTCAAAATTATCCCAAACTCGTCTCCAAATTTTTTTATCAGCCCATTTTTAAAAATTTCAAAATCATTTTCTACGGCATAGTATTTATTTGCCCCCCTTTCTGCCAATTTTTCAAAATTTTCTTTTAAGGACTCAAAATCCTTCGCAGAATTAAAAGAATAATTTTTTAATAACAAAACAATTTCTATCAAAATTTTATCAGCGTTTTCTCTAAATTTCAATAAACCCTCTATTGCTGCATTACTTGACATTGTAAAATCTTCTTGTGCCCGTTCAGTTCCAATTGTAATGAATTTCGGTTTATCATCTCCTTTTGCTAATATTAGTCCTCCAAAACGTTCCTTTTTATCTTTTAATTCTGCCAACATTGTTTCCCCACAGATATGTTGATTTAAATAAACGATAAAATCATCAAGTTTGTCGAGTTTGGATGGACCTTTTGAACTTAGATTTTTTGAGTCTGGACCTTCCGCAGATGAAACGTCATCGAATAGCTCTTCCATCTTTTCTATTGTTTCTTTTCCCCACAAATTCTTCTTCCATGTATTATCATCATCCACCTCCCATTTACTCACTTGATCATTTTCTTTTATAACTCGATCACTATGTATAGGCATAAAATCAAACAAACTAGTTAAATGATCTCCCACAGTTTTAATCCAAGCATCGTAAACATTGTCATTTAGAGAATAAATGTTTTTTACTTTTTTAACACTTAAAAATTGCTGTTGGAATTCACCAAAATGATTAACTGCTTTTTGAAAATCTTCATCCTTTTCCACTTTTCCTTCTTTTAATTTTCCATTTAACGAGATTCCTAATTCCTCCCATTTTTTCCTAAGTTCGGCAGCTTGCTTTTCCGCCTCCCTTTTCTCTTTTTTTTCCACGTTTATCAAATCTCCAAATTTTTCAATAAGCCCTTCTATGGTGCTTTTATTTTTTTCAAAATTTTTCAATTCTTTATTTCCTTTTTCAATTTTTATCTTTTCCACTTTGCTTGTAGAAACAGTTGAATTATCAAAGGATATAAACAATATCCAAAGGAAAATAAATATTTTTATTTTCATTTGGAAATTTTTTATAAGCGACTCTTCTCTTTTCTCTTTAGTAGTAAGAATTCAAAAATAATTTTTTAATGAATGAGGGAAAATGAATGGAAGGAGGGAGAGGATTTTTCATTTTTAAATCCTTCCCTCAAAAAAAATTTTTTTTCAGACGCCCTTACAACCTCCCTTCACCACTCTTCTCCTCTCTCTTCTTTTCTTTATCTTACAACCTCCCCTCCCCCAAATTTTTAAATTCTTCCCTCTATAAAAAAATTTTTTCAGACGCCCTTACAACCTCCATTCACCACTCTTCCTCTCTCTTCTTTTCTTTATCTTACAACCTCCCTACCCCCCCAAATTTTTAAATCCTCCCCTCAATAAAAAAATTCTTTCGACGTCCTTACAACACCTCCCTTCACCAATCTTCTCCTCTCTCTTCTTTTTTTTTGCCTTACAACCTCCCCTCTCCCACGTTTTTAAATCCTTCACTCAATAAAAATTTTTTTCAGATGCCCTTACCCCCCCCCCCTCTTCTTTTTTTATCTTACATCCCCTCTCTCACGTTTTTAAATCCTTCCCTCAATAAAAATTTTTTTCAGATGCCCTTACCCCCCCCCCTCTTCTTTTTTTATCTTACATCCCCTCTCTCACGTTTTTAAATCCTTCCCTCAATAAAAATTTTTTTCAGACGCCCTTACGTCTCCCCTCTTCTCCTCCCTCACCACTCTTCCTTCACCACTCTTCTCCTATCTCTTCTTTTCTTTATCTTACAACATCCCCTCCCTCCCTCTCCTCTCTAAATTTCTAACAAAGAATCTCCCCTCTTTATTTTCTAACAAAGGAAAAATTTTACACGTCTTCACATATGACTTGAATAAATTTAAAAAGTCAATTAAATCAATAAAAAATTAAAAAAAAATTTTTTATCGCTGAAAATTTAAATTATATTAATTAAAAAATAGAAAATCAAAGAAAAACTTAGCCTTTGTTTGAAATATATGTTTAATGTTTTTTGGGAGCCCTTTGTCTTTTTCCTAAAATCACCCCTTAAGGTCCTCCTTCAAAAAAGTTTCTAATAATACGGATCTATCCCACATTTTTATAGAGTTAAATCTTTTTTGATTTAAAATAAAAAGTTTTCCCTTAAAAGTAAAACGAGCTCCAGCCTAGCAAATAAAACAAAGACTGAAGCGATCAGTCGGCAGTGGAAGAAAGAGCCGGCTAACAAACTTTGTTTTTCTCAGATTCCTCTCAAAAAATTGCAGGGGTAATCCACAACCTACATTGGTCGTCACAAATAACCTATCGGCCAATCGAGTTTTTTTTTAATTTAATTGGACTTGATATTCTATATTTTTCTTCAGAAAACTCTAAAAGGATTTTAGCCGGTGTCCGGTTCGAAAGCCCTTCGAAATGTATACCATTTAATTCGTCTCGGTAAGCTGAGTCGAACGGTACCACTCTCCTTCACCGGAAATGACATTGGACCAAGATACAAGCACTTGAAAATTCAAAACCCATAGGGGTTTTTTTAAATTTAATTGGACTTAATATTCTCTTCAGACTTAATATTCTCTTATCTCTTCAGAAAACTCTAAAAGGAAACAAATACTTTCCAATCTTTTTCTAACAAATAAGGGGGATTTGGCCGCTTTACTTTTTTTATTTTTCAAATTAGTCCCGAAAAAAGAATTTAAAAAAAAAATTAAGATTAAAAAATTTAAAACTTTTTTTTTGTATTCTTAATAAAAATTGAACGAAAAAAAATTGAAATAAAATCAAAAATAGAATCAAAAAATCATCAAAAAAATCAAAAAAATTTAAAAAATAAAGGCAAGATGTGTTTTTAATGAGCATTGAAAAATCAAATTTAAATAGAAAAATTGTAGTTTTTAAAAAAAATGTGAGAGAGAAAAGGAGATCAAATAAACCGAAAAAAGAAAAAATTGTTAAAATGTTGTTGTTGAGTATTTTAAGAGTAAAATATTTTTTAAAAAATTTTTTAAATTTTTTTTCTTCAATAATAAAAATAACCTCGACACTTTTTTGAGTTGCAACTGAAAGAAAAAAAAAATTTTTTTAATTTTATTTAATTTAAAAAATTTTTTTTTTAATTTCTAACAATAAGAAGCCTTCTAAAAATCAAAAATAACCCAAAAAGGATTTATAAAATATTGAAAAAAAATTAAAAAGCCAGGTCCAAAATTTAACCGAAAAATTATTCTTAAAGTCAAAACTCGTCCATTTAATCAAAAAAAAATTTTTTTTAATTTCCAAAAAGAAATAAACTTTTAAAAAATCATAATAACCTCCAAAATGTATTAAAATAATTTTAAAAAATTTTTAGGTTAAAAAAATTTTAAATAAACTAACTTGCACTGTTTCTGTCGCCGTCCTTTTGCGAATTGATCAATAGCACAATAATCTATTTAATAATAAATTAAATATTTAATAGAAAACTTCTATACCTATAGTCAATTCGTCTCCTAAAATTATTTTAAAAAATTAGAAAAAAAAAATTTTTTTTTGAAAGTCAAATAATTTAACAAAAAAAATTCAGGACCCTAAAGAAGAAACCCGGAAAAAATAATTTTTGGGAATAACTTTTATCTTGGTTATGGATTGATATGGGTCGGGTGTATATGAGAAAAATCGGGTGGGGTTTTTCAAAATATTCTTTGGATCTAGTTTTGGGTCGAAAAAAAGTCTCCGCGGTTCCGAGTAACCCTACTCATCCCCTCACGTATCTCTATGGATGTTTAAGACATCCTAACTGGAAATGCTACTTACCTAGGACCAATCCAAACCGAAAAAACTCAAAAAGTGACTTGGTTCCAAGACTAATAAATTAAGAGTTACTCAAGTTTTTATCGGAGTTTCCCCATTTTTAGAAAATTTAAAAAAAACCTCGTTTAATATCCCTTTTTGCAAAAAAAGCAATTCTATGATAACGTTCATCCAACCTATCAGCAAATACAGGATACACAGCCAAATTTGGACCACAAGAATGATTTACAAATCTAGCCTCCTTTGAGGAAAAAATTAAATTTAAAAAAATTTTTAAAAAATAAACACATTTCCATGAATTGCAGCATCAACAATAAAAAAATATTTTGGACCACATCCATCCATTTGGAATTGATATGTACTTGGCTTTTTGGATTCGAGAGATTCCTCATCTGTTAAAACCTGTTTAAAAATAAATTTTTAATTTTCTAGTTAAAGAAATTCTCTAGAAAATTTTTTGAAGGCCTATCAAAAATTACTAAACTATTAGGAGCAGAAAATTAGGGAGGGGATTGGGCAAATAAATTAAATTTTTTGGCCTATAGCCTTCGAAATTTCTCAAAATTTTCGTCTGCGGCACTAAAAATCAAAATTTTATTTCTCCCCTTGGCCCCCGAAAAAAAATCCTGTTTACGTGCCTGATTGGGAATTAAAAGATTGTTTTTTTATCAATTGGAATTTGAAACTAGGTGGTGTTCAAAGCCGGTTAACAGCCCGGTTAATTACTCACTGTGGCGGGTCTTTTTTTCTTTTCCTGTCTCTCTTCTCCTTTTGCCCCGCCACAGGGAAAAATTAACCGGGCGGTTAATCGGTTATGAACAACCCCATTTGAAATCCCGGAAAAAAATTTATTCCGAAACAAACCTAGAAACCTATTTTGGTTTTGAAATTAAAAAAATTGTTTTACCCAGCCACATTAAAAACATTGAAAATACATCGATACTCTAGTGTACCCCAAAAAATATTTTTTAAATTGAATTTTTCAAGTAAAAAATTTTAATTAAAAAATCAAAAAAAAATAAAAAAAAACCTCTCCAACATATTCACAAACAAAAGACTTCTTTTTTATATCAACACAAGTTCTCACTGCCCAACCTCTATCTAATGTTCGGAAGATGACTATAGGTATTTGACGTCCTCTTTGAACAACTCGTGTTGGACAAGTAAGGCCACATTTACTTGAGAAAAAAATTTTTATAAAAAAAGAGAAGATAAAGGAAAATTAAAACAGAAAAAAAGGGGACAGTCCTCCACTATTATTTCAAAAATCGTCAGAAAACAAATGAGAAATTTTACGGAATGGGAATTTTGCGGACTGAAAATTTTGCGGATAAAATTTTGCGGACCGGAGATTTTGTTGATATTTTCGGACTGGAATTTGCGGATAAAATTTTGCGGATTTGAATTTGCGGACTTTTCGATTTTTAAGAAAAAGAATTTTTAAAGTGTTTTTAAAAATAGGTAATTTCACGAACCACGCATCGGTACATTCAACAATCCAATATTTATTCATAGATGTTTGTTTAGAATCAATTCTTCCATCTTCCAAATAACAATAATTTTGATTGAAATTCTGCAAAAATTTTCTTTAATTTTAAAAATAAATAAAATAAACATAAGGACAGCAATCATGTTTAGCTCCACATTTTTCTTCTTCATTTCCACACTTGCAGTGTTCAATATTTGGGATTCCTTGCAATGCTTTTTCTACCTCCTTTGAAAAACGATTCTCCAAAATAAACTGAAAAAATATTTTAATTCAATTGAAGAAAATAGAGAAAATAAAAAAAGATCCTTGAATAGGTTGAAGTAAATATCAGGGCTGCACGCAATTGAAAAAATTCCGCAAACGCAATCCGCAATTGCAAAAACCCCCGCAATTTACGCAATCAATCTGCACGCAATCCACGTGCAGCCCTGTTAAAGATATCTCAGGAATGAGGAAATTCAAAAATAACTGTAAGTTTTTAGACAAGTTTTCAACCATGTTGTAGAGTGTCTTGGTTATTTTCAGCTTGATATCTTATTTGGCTTTTGGGAGTTTGGCATTTCAATGCTTTGCGATTAAGTACAAAACGACCCTAACGACAGTAGAAGAAAAAAATTTCTGTATCGCTTTGTTCGCCAATTCTGTAATGTCTTATGGAAAATAGACCCCCAAATAATCTCTTTCAGAAAAATTCCTACCCCCCTACCTCCTTAAACTTTAATTTTAAAAAACCTCGAATTTCTTTGGTTTAGCCTCTTCATCAACCCAATTTTCAACATAAATCGGAGCTTGTCTTGGAGTTCTACTTTTAATTAAATTATTCATTTCGTCTTCCCATTGATGACAATTAACGAGTGAACCAAGCATATAACTATTATAGAAATAAAGTCTTTCATTCGCCGGGATTCTACGACAAATTGCTTGTCGCCAGACTTCACGATCTTGGAATTCTGTGATCTAAAAATAAATTCTTTAACCTTTTTTCAAGACCATTTTTGGAACATTTTTGAAATCCAAAAATTGTATTTTTTTGTTCTTAGTCTTGCGGACTATTTTTGCGGACAAAAATTTTTTGTTCAAAAAATTTTGAAAAAATCATACCAAATCCTCAATATTATTTTCTTTACAATGAATTTCCCAAGTTGAATGTTTATAATCCCATCCTTTCCATTTTAAAAAATACTGGACTGATCTTGTTTTGGGAAGGTCCACGACCACACGACGAGCAAGAACTTTTTCAACTATCCATTGATTGTCCTAAAAAAATTTTTTGAAAAATTTTTTTTAGAGCAAGAGAAGATAATAAATGGGGATTAGACTAGAAAATTTCTTTCGGAAAATTCCAAAAAAATTTTTTAATGAACATTTACGGTTAACAAGTACTTCAAAACGCTCATTATTTATAATAAATTTAAGAAAACCTCAGTTTGAGCATTAAAAAAATCGCAGTCAACGCTTTCATCATCAGAAGAAATTAAACAAGACCGAGCACGTTTTCTTGAAGAAGACTTGCCAACACAATCAGAATATTCATCGCCTAAAATTAAAAAAAACCCTGTTAATCCAGTTATAAAAAATGAAGTCAAACCTCCAAAAGTACGCATCATATGAGTTTCTCCATCAATCGAAAATGCAACCTCGTCAGCTTCAAGTTGTTGAACAGTCAATTGGTTTGGCTCTCTCCAAGAAGGTAAGCAGACAGCAGCATTGGAATAAAAGCCCTGAAAAATAAAATTAATTTTTGCGAAGTTTTGCGGACAAACTGAAACTATTGAACTTTAAGCCAAAAAATGTTGTGTGGGTATTGATTTACAATTTGGACATCAAAGTAAAAAATGATTTGTGATAGGAGTTAAAAATTTATTTGGACATTTGATCCCAAGGAACCCAAAAAATTTTTTATTAAAAAAAGAAAATAAAGTTTTTGCGGACAAACAGAAACTATTGAAACTTTAAGCAAAAAATTTTGAGTAGAAGGGTATCGATTTACTTTTTAGACATCAAAATAAAAAATAATTTGTGATAGGAGTTAAAAGAAATTTTCTGGACATTTCATCCCAAGGACCAAAAAATTTTTTATGAAACCCCCCCCCCCCTAAAAATTTTTTGGACAGTTCATCCCAAGGACCCCTAAAAATTGTTTTATTAAAAATCCCCCACTCCCCTCTTCAAAATTTTTGGACATTTGATCCCAAGGACCCCAAAAATTTTTTTATTGGAAAATCCCCCCCCCTCCCCTTCAAAAAAACAAACAAACGTGTGCTTCCATAACTGAACGTTCTTTCCTTTCCAAAGTTAATCCTTTAGCCAATTCATTAATCACTTCCAATTCAGAATCCTCATCATCCTCCTTACTAATATCACAATAACTAATTGTATTTAATCTCGAAACTAATCTTCCAATTTTTTGTTGTTTATAAATTTTTGGGGAAGAATTTTCTTTATTTTCAATTTCTGAAGAAAGTTGTTTTGATGCAGATTTGGAAAAACGGACAATTCTTCTTTCATTTTCTTTGTTTGGTTTATCCGGGTTAGTTGATAATTTTGTCAAAAAAGTGAATAAATTCATTTGCTTCATTTTCACAAAAATATAAAATCCTGAAAGAACTTCCAAAATAAATTTTAATAAAGAATAAAGCACCAATAAAACAACAAAAAAACAATAGGAAGCAAAGAAAAATCATCAAACAACAATAAAAAATTCAAACAACAAAATACCGCCTAAATAAAAAGAAAAAAGGACGTTTTGTCGCGAAGAGTTCAGTGTCTGAAGGTGGTACATCTGGGCGCGCGGCCATAACGGCGCAAAGCCATAACTTGCTGAAAAATTTCCGAATCTTACCAAATTTAGTATCAAACGATTTCTCTCGTCGAGATAGAGAGATTGGTACCAAAATTGTTAAGGTACTGAAATTTTCCAGTTAGTTATGGCTTTGCGCCGTTATGGCCGCGCGCCGTTTTGGGCTGTACCCTTGAATTATTTTTTAAGCAAACCTACATATTTTTAATAAAATTTTTCTAATATTATTTTTATTTTTTGTTAGATCTAATTGTTTTTATTTTATAGAAGTATTTTTAATTAAAAATTGCTCAATCCTTATTTTGAGTGATCTGGCCCTTCATAATGGATCAAAATATTTTGGTGGATTTACAGAGGTTTGCGAGAGGTTATCTACTTCGGAAACGTTTTCAGGATTCTGTTAGGTTTGTTTTTTATTTTTTTCAATCAAACCAGAATTTTGCGGATAGTTTTAGCGGATATTTTCGCTTTTTTGAATATGTCCGCAATAGATTTTGCTGACGCTTGAATATGTCCGCAAAAAATTTGCGGACATTTAAATTTGTCCGCAAAAAATTTGCGGACTTTTAACTCTGTCCGCAAAAATTTTGCGGACATTAAAATTTGTCCGCAAAAAATTTGCGGACTTTTAACTCTGTCCGCAAAAATTTTGCGGACATTAAAATTTGTCCGCAAAAAATTTGCGGGCATTTCTTTTCTTAAAAATGTCCGCAAATGTTGTCCGCAAAATTATTTTTCAATTAAAAACTAAAGTTTTCTTTAAGAAATGAATTGATTTGTATTCACAACAAAATTAGTAACAACAATTTGCCCGACAATATAAAATTACTCAAAATTGGTTGTATATTAAACAACAAAAATTATTTTTGTGTTGATTCTAACGAAATTTATTTATTTTGCGATATTTTATTTTCTTCAATGAAGTCTTCTTCAATTCAAAAATCGTTTGCTTCTTTATATCTTTCAAGTAAACATATGGATTCTGCATGTAAAGCAACTTTTAGACTTTTTCAAAAATTAATTGATGAGTTTGGAAAATGCGAGGTTTAAGAGATTTTATTTTTATATTTCTTAAATCAATCCTACTAGGGTTGTTGGTTACCGAACCGAAGAACCGATTATTTTTCGGTTTGGATATCGGTTCGGTTCCGGATATCCGAAGATTTTCTAAGAACTGACAACCATACTCTAGACAACTATTTAGTTATTATTGTTATATTTGTTTAATTGCTAATTGTAAGGCACAAGTATTCTTCTTCGAGAAAGGTCTTAAGAAATTAAGTTGCTTGCTAGTTTTCCAACATAAATTGTCTGCAATTTGAGTCGGCAACTTTTTTGCGTATACAGAAATTTTGTTTAGCGTTCTTATCCACAAATTTAAATTAAATTGGGGTACAAAAAACAAAATTTGAATCTGCAAAAATTTTGCAGACACAAGTTGCGGACAATTCCTTTTATTCTTAATAAAATTTTTAATTTTTTAAAGGTCTCAAAGATTTCCGATTCTCGCAGAATAGCTTCTCAAGCACCTCTAATTTATATTTTTTGTAATTGTTCAGAAGAAACTTGGCCAATTTTAAAAGGAAAAGAATCAATTATTCCAATAATAAATTCTCTCTGTGCAAAACTACTTTACCCTTTAGCAACAATAAATTCTTTAAATGTTTTTAAGGTTTGGATTTTTTAAAAATTTTCAAAGAAAAAAATTTTTTTCAGAAAATTATTTTTGATGCCCTAAAAGGAGATAGAATGTTGCTTGATGAAAAAACAATTGACCAATTATTTTTTATCTCTATCAGGTTTTTTGAACATTTAATTACGGGGGGTTTGAATCATCCTTAACGGTGTCCAACTTTGAGGGCCATAACTCGTTCAGAGTCATTTTGCAAGAAAATGGATATCACTTTACAATAGAAAGTCGGAGGTTCTCTATCGAATCATACTGAAAATTTATATCGTTTTCATGGTAACAGTAAACGATGTTTCCTTGTTTAGAACTAGTGACAAAATATTTTTTTCTTCTATCAAGATTTTTATTTGTTCCCATTTTCCTTCCTTTTCCTACTTTCTAAAATTCCCAGGCTCAAATTTTTATCGTTATTTTTATTAATTTTGCCATAAATATATTTTTTTCCCTTCTAAAAATGTTTGGGCACCAAAAGGATTCGAACCCCTGACTTATCCCAGCTGAATCGAAAATTATCCCACTACACCAAACTATCCAAATTTTTTAATTTTTTATTAATTTTTTTTTCAGATTTATTCAAATTTTTTCGCTCGAAAACGACTTAAATTTACAAATATTTATTGAATTTATAAGTTTTCCTGCAATTGCTCAAATGCTTTCTAAACAGGTTTGAGATATTTTCTTTTAATTTTTAATTAATCCTTTTTAGACCCTAAATTTAATTGAAAAAACAAATATTTTTGAAAATTCAATTAAATGGATTGCCTCAAAAGAAAATGAAAAAATATCAAAATTATCTACAAATGAGGCTCTAAATTTAATTGGAAATATAATTTTCTTTGGGAATTTGTTTAAAAATTGTTTATCCGTTTGTTTGTTGGATTGGGCCTATTTAGTTAATAGAATATTGAAATATTGTGCTTTTATTGTTACTGATAATAAGAAAAGTAATTGTTGGCATCACCCTTTGCTTGGATGGACTTCTGAAAGAATTGACGGAGGGTTAGTTTTTTGAAAATTATTTTTGCAAAAATTTTGTCCGCAGAAAATTGCGGACAAAAATTTTTGTCCGCAAATGTTGTCCGCAAAAACAAATTTTTATTTTTTAGTCAGTCAACGTTTACTCAATTTTTTATTTTGTCAGGGGAAAATTTTTGCTTGGCAAAATAAAAAATTTTTGTCTATAGAAAATTGCAGTCCGCAAATATTTGCGGACAAAATTTTTGTCCGCAAAAATTCATTTGCGGACAAGAAATCAAAATTTTATTTTCCAGTTATCAATGGGCATTTACCCGAATGATTAAACAAATATCTTTACTTTGGAGTAAAGAAATGGTTGAATTTCTTGCTATAAAATTTTTTACAAATTTTGATGAAGCAAAATTGGCACAGCAACAAAATATGAATAAAAGAAAAGATTCAAAATCTTTTGCAGAAATTCCAACATTTCCAACAATAGACAACAAATTAACTTCAGATTTTTTGCAAAGTTTGGTTTATTTTTTAAATATTTTTTCTATATTTTATTTAAAAATTTTAAAGAATTTATTGGCAAATTTGGTTCAAAAAAACACCAAGAAACTGTTGGAAGTATACAAGCTGTTGCTCTACCTCCTTTTACTTCACCAATAATTTTTTGTCAACTTTATCAAAATGCTTTGTTGGCTTTTTATAATTCGAGGATTGAAATACTTTCAAGTTTGGAAATTTTTTTTTAATTTTTTGTCCGCAAAAATTTTGCGGACAAAAAATTTTTTGAAAAATTTTTTTCTGAAAAAATTTTTCCAATTCCAGGTTTATCTCGCAACGATTCTCTCGTTTTGGCCAAATTATGGCATTATATAAACCCCGATGTTAGCAATACAGAAGGCTTTAAAACATGTTTGGGCTATTTGGTAACTGACCCAAGTGTAACCTCTCCCCATTTTGCTCCACTTCAACTTTTTGGGGAAATTGCTTATTCTTTAATTTCGTTTGTTTTTTTTATTTTATTTTTTAAAAATTATTTTTTTAGAATTTTAGACGAAAAGGAAATGTATGAAACTGAGAAGCCTTTTACTAGAATACAACTTTGCCAAATTGCAACTTTTGCCAATCGGTTTTGTTTTCATGCAATTTGGGATTCGCTTATAGGTTTTTAAATTTTTTTAAAGGTTTTTTACTTTTAGACCATGATATTAGGTTTCGTGTTTGAAATGTTAGTTTCTAATTTATTTTTCAAATGTCCGCAAGTTTCGTCCGCAAATTTTTAAAATTTTTTAAAATGTCGCATTAAATGCCAAAACGTGAAAACGCCCAAATTTCAAAATTCCCAAAACCCAAAATCTCCGTATTTTTTCGTTTATTTTTAGACTTTGAAAATCGAAGGTCTTCATTACTTTTCACCAGTATGTATAATCTACTAAATATCCTTTTTAATCGTGATTGTAGAAGACAATTTACTCCATCAAAAAATTTTTGGACAATTCCAGAAATTAGTTTCAAAGCATTTGTGACTGAATTTGAAAGGAATGAAATTTCTAAAAGAGCACAACTTTTAATGGAAAAAATGCCTCATATAATTCCGGTTAATTTTTTTTAATTTTTCAAATGTCCGCAAGTTTTGTCCGCAAATTTTTTATTTAATTAAAAAATCTTTAAAAATCTTATTTAAAAATTTTTATTTTTTTTTTCAGCTTCGCGACAGAATTTTTCTTTTTCGAAAATTTATACAACAAGATAAAGAATCATTTTCTAACTCTAATACAATTATTACTGTTGAAAGGTCGAGGATAATTGAAGATGGTTCGGAAAAAGATTTTTTTTGAAAAATTTTTTAATTTTTTTTTGGTAAAAAAAATGGCTCTTGTCCAGTTTATGCGTCCCATGAAAGTATATGCGTCCCATCAACAAAAAATTGGATATTTCTTGGTGTTGCAAAGTAGGGGTATGGTTCCAAAGCATTTCTTCATGTTCGGGATTTACGTCCACTGGGTCTGGGACCGTTCCTTACCCTATCCCTCAAAATTTCTGAAAGTTATAGCCAATTTTTAAAAATTTCAGAAAAACGATTTTAACTTTCAGAAATTTCGAGGGATAGGGTAAGGAACGGTCCCAGACCCAGTGGACGTAGATCCCGAACATGAAGAAATGCTTTGGAACCATACCCCTACTTTGCAACACCAAGAAATATCCAATTTTTTGTTGATGGGACGCATATACTTTCATGGGACGCATAAACTGGACAAGAGCCAAAAAATTACTTTTTTTTTAAATTTAAAAAATTTTGGTAAAAATTTTTTTGGAAAAAAAAATTTTGAAAAAATTTTCTCAACAATGAAAAATAAATTTTCTAAAGGTTATCGCCAACTCGGAGGAATTAACCCACACATATTAAAAGGAATAATTCGTGTTAAATTTATTAATCAACAAGGATTAGATGAGGCAGGAATTGATCAGGATGGGGTTTTTTTTAATTTTATTTAAAATAATTTTCTAAATTTTTGTTTAGGTTTTTAAAGAATTTCTTGAACAAATTTTGAAAAAAGTATTTATTCCAGAGCTTAATTTATTCAAGGTTTTTTAATTTTTATTTAAATTTTCTGATGTCCGCAAGTTTTATCCGCAAATTCTTTTTATTTTTAAAAATTAAAATTTTCAAAAAAAATTTTTATGCCCCCTCTTAACTTTAATCCATGAATAAATATAATGGCTCTGTTCTAGTTTAAGTGTCCCCAATGAAAGTTTAAGAGTCTTATACATATAGGTCAGTGATTTTTAGGAGTTAGCCAACTTAACGGATTAGACTTATTGAAGCCCCTTTAAAAATAAAAATGACAAGCAGTCTTTTTCACATGAATTGTCCGCAAATGAAATTAATTTGCCTGTAAAAATTCTTTAAATTTTTAAATTTCCGCAAGTTTTGTCCGCAAAAATTTTTTTTATTTTTCAAATGTCCGCAAGTTTTGTCCGCAAAAAAATTTTTTTTTAATTTTAAAAATTATTTTATTTTTCAGTATACTCATGATAAAATGTTATATCCTTCTCCAACCTCAAATATCCAAGAAAATCATTTGGAGCTATTTAAATTTGTTGGTTGTTTGCTAGGAAAGGCTATTTATGAAGGAATTTGTGTAGATGTTCAATTAGCTCCAGTTCTTTTAGCTTCAGTTTTAAATAAAAAATTATATCCATTTGATGAACTTGCAAGTTTGGACCCTTTACTTTACAAAAATTTGACTTATGTAAAACATTATAATGAAAGTGAAGATGTTGAGGATTTGGCGTTGACTTTTTCTTTTCAGGAGAAATTTCTGGGAAAGGTTTTCTTTTTTATTAAAAGATTTTTTCTAGGAGTTTTTGGGTTAGAAAATTTTTTAAATTTTTAAATGTCCGCAAGTTTTGTCCGCAAAAAATTTTTTTAATTTTTTGACAAGTATTTTTTTAAGTAATGATTTTTTCTAGGTTTTTGGGTTAGAAAAAAGTATTTTTGATTTGAAATTTTTTTTCTGATTTTTTAAGGATTCTTGTCAATTTTAAAGAAATTTTTATTTAAATTTTGTTTTTGCGGACGTCGATTTCAAGAAAATTAATGATTTATTTTTTATTAAAAAATCATAAATTTTAAACATAAAAGAAAATATTTGAGTAAATATTTGATTGATTTAAATTGAAAACAACAAAAAAAGGAAAAAGGGAAATAAAATTTGCAAAAATACACAATTATTTTCACAAGCATTTCTAACTAATTTTGTTTTTTTAGAAATTTTTTTCATTTTACAGATTTATACCCACGAGTTACTTCCTGGTGGACGTGAATTAAAAGTAAATAACGAAAATAGGTAAAAAAATTTCTTTAAAAATAAAAAAAAAAATTTTTAAATTTTCAGAATTTCCTATCTTCATCTTTATTCCCATTATCGAGTTATTAAGCAAGTTAAAAACCAAACAATTTATTTTGTTAACGGTTTTCGTTCTATTATTAAAGAAAAATGGTTGACTTTATTCAATACACATGAACTTCAATTTTTAATTTCTGGTCAATTAAGGTTTTTTTTTTAAAATTTTTTATTCTAGTAAAAGTCCGCAAAAGTTGTCCGCAAATTTTTTTAATTTTTAAAATTAAAAAAAAATTTTTAAAGTGATATTGATTTGGATGACCTCAAAAAACATGTTCAATATTATGGAGGATTTCATAGCAATCACAGACTTATTAGATGGTTTTGGTCTATTGTACAAAATGATTTTAGTTGCGAGGAAAGACATTTATTTTTAAAGGTTTTTTTAAATTTACTATAAATTAATTAAAAATATGAGTAAAAAAATTTTTTTATCTCTTTTTTTCTTTAACCTTTTCCTTTTAATACTTTCGTTACTTTTTACTTACTCTCCTAAAACGAGCTTTTTCGAATTTTTTTTTTGAATTTTTCTTTCAGTTTTGAACAAAACCGGGGATTTTCCTGTTCTGTTCCTCCGGTTAATCCCTTATATCCAAATAATTTTTAAAAATGACAAAAAACTGAAAGGAAAAATCCGCAAAGAGTGTCCGCAAAAATACCAATTTCCTTAAAAAAATTTTTTGTCCGTTCTCTTCTTTTAACCCCTATGACGTCTTTCGCATCATTTTCTATTAAAAAATTAATTTTTATTTAAAGTTTGTCACAAGTTGTTCTCGTCCACCACTTCTCGGATTTGCTTATTTAGAACCTCCCTTCTCCATTCGTTGTGTTGAAACTTCTGATGATTTAGACCATGGGGATACTTTGGGATCTGTAATTAGAGGATTTTTAGCAATAAATAAAAGGAAGCAACCGACAAATGAACGTCTCCCAACTGCCTCAACTTGTTTTAATTTGTTGAAGGTTTTTTTTATTATTTTTGGGGTCTATCCGGTTATCACGCTCCCTCTCTATTTTTTACTTTTCCTCTCTGTTTTTTTTTATTTTTCTGAAAAAAAATTAAAAATAGTCAAGGACTCATAATGGTCAATAAAAAATTTTTTTCAATTTTTTATGGTCGTTTGCGTTAGGAACGCCTGAGTAAACGCCAAATTTTTGGCGCACACCCAATTTTAGCCCCCTCTGAAATCGACCCCCTACCACGCCCTTACTGACCATTATGAGTCCTTAACAATTTCTAATATGTAGGAGAAAGACAGGAAAAGCGTAAAAATGTAGGAGGGAGATGACTGGGTGCTACCAGATTTTTTTGAAAAAAAATTATATTTTTTAGCTTCCAAATTATACTCGAAAACAAATTTTACTGGAAAAACTTAGATATGCTATCCATGCAGAAACTGGATTTGAATTAAGTTGAATAATATAAATAATATTTTTAAATTTAATTTATTGTAAAAAATGTAAAAATAAATTTGTGGTTACTTAAGTTTGTGGACCCCCTTTTTTGAAAAAAATTTTTCCTAATTTTCTGATCTTTTTAAAATTTATAATTTTTTGGGAGTTATTTAAGGTTAAGGAAGATAAAAAAATTATAATAGGTTCACAAACTTAAATATTTTCTACTTAAATTGCCAAAAAAATTTTTTTTTGAAAAACACCCCTGGTGATAAATTTAATTTAAAAAAATTTTCTTTAATTCTCCATTGACTATTTTTTATAGTAAAAATATTTTTGTTAATATTGAGCTTTTAATTTTGTTTTAAAAAAATAAAGAATAAATGGTTCCGACTGGTTGGCCTAGTGCAGAATGGTCGTTGGGATTTGGATGTAAAAATTAATTTTTAAATTTAAAATTTTTTTTCTAATTTTTAGCTTGGTTCAACAACTTTTTCTGTAGCGGCGCAGAAAATTATAAACCTAAAGATCTTGCTACAATCAAGTTTGAAAATTTTTAAAAAATTTATTTTAATAATTTTTTTAATTTTAGATGTCCGTACACTGAATATTTCATTTTTTCTTTCATCAAGAGTATGCAAATCTCTTCTTTTTTGGGTAAAGAAAATTTTTTCAAAATATTTCTAGGGTTCTATTTGATCAAAAACATTTAAAAATTGTTTTTATATCAATTTAAAAATCACATCCCTCAGTGGGACTCGAACCCCCGACCCCTAAAATGGAAAACTCATGACTAACCCACTACACCACAAAATAAATTTTTTATTTTCAGCATTCTTTATCCGCCCTGGTTATTCTCATTATTTGTACAGCAAAATAAAACCGAAAGATCGCACAAACAATACAGATAAAATAGTTACAGCAGCTCTTAGGCGTATGCAGGTTTTTTTCTTCAGATTTTTCTTTTAAAAAAATTTCAGGGACGGGTTTTAATTGGTGGAATGTTTGCATCACCTCTTTTATTTGCCACTTCAATTTATTTTAATAATTATACGAGAGAGAAACTTGTAGACAGGTTTTTAAATTTTTCTAGAATAAGAATATTCACATCCTCTAAAAAATAATCTACGGGGAAACCATGCGGACGAAAACAGATTTGCGGATATTTTATAAATTTGCGGACATATTTTAAAAAGTTGCGAAAAAACCTCAAAATTTTTTTAAATTCTGATAGAAATAACTTTATTAAATTAAAAAATCCCCTCATATCAGTGAGACCCGAAGGTATGATGTTATAATGCCAAAAGCTTGTAATGCCAAAGCTTGTAATGCCAAAAGCTTGTAATGCCAAAGCTTGTAATACAAAAAGCTTGTAATGCCAAACCCCCAAAAGCTGTTGAAATGCCAAACCGTGGAAAAAAGCTTGTAATGCCAAACCCCCAAAAGATGTTGAAATGCCAAACCCCCAAAAGATGTTGAAATGCCAAACCGTGGAAAAAAGCTTGTAATGCCAAATTAATACCAAAACATTATTTATCATTCAATTTTTTACTAAGACTGTAGAATTTTTTATTATTTATCTCCCGGCAGAATAACCTGTTGCTCTTAGCCGTTTCAGTGCCTGGCGACTTTTCTTTTTTTTTCTTTCTCGCTCTATTTTTTTGTACAATTTTGATAAATATATTCATATTTTTGATTTCCACCGAAATTAAATTTATCTTTTTTAAATAAATTACTTTTTTAAATTTATTTTGATTATTATTCCATTTATTTTAATTATTATTCAAATGGCGGCGAGAATTCAATCTAAATTATATCAATTGCTGAAAAGACGAAAAATTGATGAAAGAGAAAAAGAAGTGAATATTGAGGAAGTAGATATTGTGCCAACAGGGCAAAGAGAAGATGCTGAAGAGGAATCGGACGAGGAAGAACAAGAAAATATTGTTGAGTTAGCTGTAGGCTCAACACAAAAAGGAGGATTATCTTTGTGGTATAATTGTGAGTGTATTTACTTAACTTTTTAATTTTTAATAAATTTTAGCATATCGCTATGTAATGACGTCAAAAAATTGCAAAAACTGGCGCTGCCCTGATCGAAGATGTACAGCAAAAGTGAAAGTGCTTTCAATTGAAGGCGAGCGTGCTCGAGGTATTCTAATAGGCGAGCATGATCATATGGGGGATGCTATCGGATTTGAGGTTTATGTTTATGCAGCTATATTTATACATTTTCCCTAACCTTTTTAAGGTCGAAAAACGACGAAAGGTTTTCACCGAACGAATACAAGAAAATCCAACAATTAAAACTAAAAAATTAACTGATGAGTTACGCAAAGGAACAGCCGAAGATACGGAATTGTTAGTTAGGTAAGGCACAAGTAATATTGTTTAAATACTGTTTTCGTTAGATTTGGCACAGATAATGCGATTCAACAACGAGCGGGAAGAGTGCGCAAAAAAGCGATTGGATTTGTCACAGGAAGACCATTGGAAATGAACATTGCTCGGGATTTAATTGAAAAAGACGGTGTCAGCATTCTTTTGTTTGATAGCAGAAAAACCCGTGTAAATGACAATGAAGTAACACTGTTATTCGCTCATCCTCGGGTGCTGCTTTATTATAACTAACAATAGGAAATATCTAATTTTATAGGGGTTGGAAATTTTAAAGGAGGGAAAACTTTGGCAAGCGGATGCTACCTTCAAAGCTTGCCCAAAACAATGGAAACAAATTCTTGTTATTGGTGCTCAAATTGACAACAAGCTCATTATTTGTGCGCACGCTCTTATGAGTAGAAGATTACAAGAGTCTTATTTAGAAGTTTTCGAGGAACTTAAAAAAGCAATTTCACCAAATGCACCATCTAATGTCTTAACAGATTTTGAGAAGGGGTTGAGGAATGGAATTAAAGCAGCATTTCCCCAGATAAAAACAAATGGCTGTCTCTTCCATTTTGCGCAATCTCTGTATAGAAAATGGCAAGAAATGGGACTTTTACAATTAGTGAATCATGGTGGAGAAGTTGGAAAAAAAGCGAGAGAGTCTTTTCGGTCAGCTTTATTTATTAATTAGTTTGTATTAATTATTTTAGTTGTCTACTTGCTTTACCCTTAATACCAATTCAACACGTGCGACATGCTTTTTGTTTACTAATTGATGAAGCTCCTCTTGGACTTGAAGCTTATTTTGCATACTTCTGTAGCACCTACATTGGAATGACAGAATTTGAAAATCAGCTGGGTTCTAATGCTTTTAGACCAGGAGTTGAAATGGAACGGATCTCCCATATTGGTTATGGTTTAGCAACTTCTCCATCTCTTTCTGAATGTGAATATCTTATTTATTTTAAATGACAATTTTATTATAGGTCGTTTTGGCTCCTTTGCTTCAACTTCTTTGTCTACAAATTTTGAACCAGCCAATATAACCTTCGGTCAACCTGATTCTGAACCAAGCACTCCTACAATGCCAAGCAGCAGCGGAAGTGGTAGGCGGTTATCCAATACAACAACTCCTCGTTGGGATTTACCAATTGATCATCCTGCACAATTTTCTATGGACTTTTGGAACGTTAATGCCCAAGCAATGAATGCAGTCTCTCGCACTAACAACGCTCTTGAGAGTCATCATCGACATTTCGCTGTATTTTCTAATTTTGCAAGCTTAAAATTTACCCCCCTTTCAGGATCGTCTTCGACATCACCCAGGATTGGCTGAATATATTCTTGCCTTTAAGGAAGATATCGACACTCAAGTGAACAATTATCATGTATTAATTGATGAAATATTTAAATCTTATATACATATTTTAGGCTCATAAAAATCTATTGAGTCGAAAAAGAAACACAAAATATATCATTAAAGAAGCTGCTATTCGTGTAATTCTCAATGGAGCAACATATGAAACAGATGAAGAAATATTGGAGATAGTTCATTTGCTGGGATCACAAATGGAACAGTTGGCAAGAAGACTGGGCTGCAACAGAAGAAATACAGAACGTGATGTCGAAGATTCTTTTGAGCCGACTGAGGAGAATGAAGAAAATTTATAAAATAACTGGTCATTTAAAGAAAATCTAAAATTATAGTACTTTATTATTTTGATTTATTTTCTATTCATTTTCATTTTAGCTGGTCAAATTGTTTATTATTTATTGATTGTTTATTAGATTATATTATAATTTGAATTTTATAAAAATTTTCCATGGTTTGGTATTTTAACATCTTTTGGGTGTTTGTCATTACAAGCTTTTTTCCACGGTTTGGCATTTCAACAGCTTTTGGGGGTTTGGCATTACAAGCGTTTTTCCACGGTTTGGCATTTCAACATCTTTTGGGGGTTTGGCATTACAAGCTTTTTTCCACGCTTTGGCATTTCAACAGCTTTTGGGGGTTTGGCATTACAAGCTTTTGGCAATATAAAACGCTCCGGACCCGAATCATTAGAAAACTTGTGGAGAGATTTTAAAATTTGCGGACAAATCTTGCATTTATTAATCCACACCAGCGTTGTATTAAAATCCATTTTCATATACCAACCCAAAAAATTATTCTCTTTGCCATAAACTAATCTTTTTTTAAATAAAAATTTTTTAAAGATGTTATGAAATTCGTCGTGATGAGGATATTTTGTCTTATGTTAGTTTTTTTAATTTTTTAATCTTTAAAATTTTTAATTTCAGGATAGAACAACTCTTGCATTTGGAGCTATTGGTTGGTATTGGAAAAGAATCCAAGGAGGTAAAAATTATTTTTTAAATTCGTTTTAGAAGCGAAGAAAACTTGCGGACCCGAAAATAAATTTGCGGACAATCTGCAAATATTTGCGGACTTTTCAAAGATCTTTTAAAATTTTATTTTCAGCTGTCGATGGTATCAACCTGGCCTTGCTATACGCAGTTTTTCATCATCACATCTCCAAAAAATATTTAAACCCAATTACCCCTGATGTTTTGACATTACTTGGAAAAGAAAAATATGAGACAGTGGAAGATGCAGAATTTGGTAGTCAAAAGTTATTTCAATTTATTAAGAAAAAATTGGAGGAAAGAGCTGGTAAAAATCAAGAATTAGAAAATAAGGAAGAGTAGAGGTTAATTGTTTTGTTATTGTTTTTTTTTGTAGCTTTTTGACGAATAAATTTAGCGAATTTAACGAAAATGAACAGGAAATAAAGGAGTTTTCAAGATGGTGTCGAAATTAAGGTTTTCTACTATTTTTGTTATACCCTCTCAAAAAAATTTATCTTTTATCTACTCTTATTTACTATATTTTTCTCTAACACTGTTTATCTTGAAACTAGTTTTGCAGACACTTTTTTAAATTTGCGGACAGTCCGCAAATTAATTCTGCGGATAGACCTGTTTTTAAATTCGGATGAATAGGGATCTCAAAAAAGTCTAAAATAAATACCTTTTAATCTCTTTTACATTTCTTTTTCACAATCAAAATTAATTTTACATTTAATAAATATTGTAGACGAGTTTGAATCAAATTCACAATTTGTAGTTTCATCAATTTCAATTAGAAAAGGAAGGAAAAAGTCGGCAATTACGCTAGATGAGTCTAACAAAGCCACAACCCGATCATCGTTCATTTTTAAGGTGATTCTGAAAAAATTAATTTATTGGTTGACTTTAATAACCACAAATTTGAAAAACCAGACTCTAATGGTCAGAAACTTTTTGTTAGGCTCAGCTTGAAAAAAATGTTTTAAGGACTTAAACGGTCAAGAACAGACTTGGTAATGGACATGGATTCTGGTATCCGTATCTGATATTTACGGCTGATGCAGGCGGATATCCGCAGCCATTTGAAGTTATCTGCATCCATATCCATTACCAAGTCTGGTCAAGAATTAAATTTCACAAGCCTAGATTGACCTAAAGCTTAACACTTGAAATTTTGGTACTCAAATGTCCAAAATTTTTAGAAATTTCCCAAAAAAAATTTTTTCAAACCTTTCCTTTTCACGAACAAGTTGTCTATCATTATCCTTCACTTTAATTTTAATGTCCATAAATTCTCCATTTAAAATTTGTACTTTAAAATTTCTCGGTTTTTTGGGTCTAGTCTCTTCAATATCGTCAATATCAATTAATTCATTATTTGTTAAATTTTCTTCTTTTATTAAAATTTTATTTTTTGTTTTTGAATTATTGTCGTCTAATATTGAATTTAAAGGGCGTTTTTGTATTTGTCTAATATTTAATTCTCCAATATATTTTTTATTTCGTAAAATTATTTGGTTGGACAAGTTTATATTTATTGAATAATTTTGCTTAAAAATTATTTAAAAATATTTTGAGATGAAATAGTACAAGAATGGATCGGGAATACTCCCCAGTTTTTTTGACCAGAAACCCGTTACGAAGAAAATTTTAAAAACCCGATCCCCGACCCGATTTTTCCCAACCTGACCCATTCTTGGTGTAATAAAAAAAATTTTGCGGACGTCTGCAACTTTTTGCGGACAGAAAGTTATTAAACTAGACAGAGAATTTTAAATTAATTCCTGTCCGCAATAAGTTGCGGATTATCCGCAAAAACGACTTTTGGAGTTTTTTTGTTCTAAATTCATAAACATTATTAAAGGAACTGTCCGAGAAAAAATGACACTTGTTCCGGCTCATTCCCCTTTGCCTTTATAAAAAACTAGTTCGACAAACCTTAATTTTTTCGCAAATTGCAGCAAGAGTTATTTGCCTAAAAAATTCAGAGTTGTCAATACACTTTTCAAAAAATTCAGAATTAACAATTACATCAACCTTAAAATTATAAAAAAAAATTGCGGACAGTCCGCAAAAAATTTTAAAAAACCTTTGTAGAAATATTTCCATTATGATCCTCCACATTTTCCACTTCCCCAACACACATGGGGATTTTAAAAGAATTTTTATTATTTTCCATCATTTTGGCAATTATTTCTTCATCTTTCCATAATTCTTTTCGAGGTGAAGGTATTTCTATGCAATGAGCCAAATTTATAAAAAATTTATTTGAGGAAGTTGGATTTCCCATATCTTCATTTGTAATGAGAGAACGTTTAAGATTGGGTTCAGAGTCCTAAAAATAAATTTAGCAAAAATTTTACGAAAAAATGTCTTTTGCGGACAATCCGCAAATATTTCCGCAAAAAACTCTTTCGTAAATTTTTTTGCGGACAACATTTGCGGATCCGCATTAAATTGTAAATATACCATATGACATTGTCCTTCTCTATGAAGATAATTACGGGAGTCTTATGCATATAGAAAAATTTGCGGACAACATTCCGCAAAATTGAAAAAACGTAAAAATAAACCAAATTGCCCAATTTAAATAAATTCGCAAACCTTTTTAAATTTAACACAAATTCCTGGCGTTGGATGTACCGTCCAAGTTTCATCATCTTCCTTGCGTCTTTGTTTATCAATTATTTCCACAAGTTTTTTGCCTGACATTTTTCTATAAACTGATAAAAATAGTAAAAATTTTTCAAAAATATTTTTTCCATTTCAAAATGGTAAAAAACAAAAATTTTGACATTTAGTCACTGATACCAAAAGCTCAGCCATTTTTATTATGAAAACAAAAAATTTTTTTTAACAATTTGAACAAAAAGGCAAATTTAAACATTAAAAAAAATAAAAATTTATTTTTAAAAGAAATTCTTTTTTTCATCTAAAATATAGCAAGAAGAGCAAAAACAGAATAAAGTAAAACACAAGGATAGGCAACTAACAATCTTTGACCTTAAAAATTAATTTATTTTAATTAAAAAATTTATTTAGGAAATAATTGCAGAATAAATTAATTTTTGCGGACAAAAAATTTTTTGCGGACAATATTTGTGGATTGTCCGCAAAAATAAAAAAAACGTCCAAAAATTATTTTTAGATAAAATTTCGTTAAAATTAAAATATACCATTCATTGATAGAGCAATTGAAAATAATTTAGAAGAGGATGATCCACTCCATAATACAGCTAATGTAACAAATACAGGGTGCGGCAAATTAAGCGCGCGTTTGTTTTTTGCCATAACTTTCTTCAATTTTAATGAAAATTGATAATTCTTTTTTTGTTTTATTCCCAACACGTTAGGAAACTTGCTGATACCAAATATTAAAAATTTGGTTCACTATTGGCAAAGATAATCGAGTTCGAACGTCTGGAAAATTTAAAAACATTTTTTATGCCAAAGTTTAATTGATCATAACTTCGTTCAAAATCGTTCGATACCAAAGATTTTGGTACTAAACGACTCATCTCGTTCAGTAGCATCGAAATAGCTTATAATCTCATTTTTGAAAATTTTACACAAAAATTTTATTTTTAACAGATTTATTTTAATTTATCATTCAGAGGACCGTATCTCATTCGATTTTTGTCGTAGCCCCCTGATTTTTATGTCATTCGAATCAGAATGATGAGCTGATTCGAATGATATAACCATTTCCAGTATTAAAATCTCGGCCTTGAATCTAGGCCAATTTTTATCCAAAAAATTCTGCTCAAACTTTGAGGGAAGTTTACTCAGAGTAAACTTAAAATTAAAAAGCAATTTTGGTATCAGCAAGTTTCCTAAAGTTTTGGGAATAAAACAAAAAAAGAATTATCAATTTTCATTAAAATTGAAGAAAGTTATGGCAAAAAACAAACGCGCGCTTAATTTGCCGCACCCTGTATATAACCAATTAAACCCTTAAAGAATCAAATTTAAAAATTTTTTCCATAATCCTTATTAGATATAAGATACACCCTTAGAGTAGGGAAATCCAAGTAAGGGTGTGTTCAGTGGCCGAATTTAAAAGGGGATATAGTTTATTCGCCAAAATTTTGGCGTTCATATGTTGGAGTTGCGAACTCACTCTAGTACATAATTTTTATTTTTTAGGACCGCAGAGGGAATTTAAGGGAATTTTTCGATTTTGGATACGTTCTTGGTATCAAGTATTGAGTATCTTATAATTGAGAAAAAAACCTGTAAAGAAAGAACAGCAGCAATTAAAGACAACAAAGACATTGGCAGAAGACAATAACCCAAAACGCTTGCAGTATTTGTAAATGTTATAGACTTTCCTTCTTGTGCCATTAAATTTAAAAGGGCATACATTCCTGTACATCCAACTAATCCAATTCCGTAAATATGTCCAAAATGTAACTGAAATGATTTGAAAAGAGAAATGGAGGGAAAATAAAATTAAAAATTAATTTGGCAAATAATTGCGGACAATAATTGAGGACAAATTTAATTTTTGCGGATTGTCCGCAAAAAATTTGCGGACAATCCGCAAAAATTTAAAAGTGCAAATTTTTTATGGGATTTGCTTATATTTCCCCCCATTTCTCCATGCCAAAATTTTTATGAAACCTTTCCATGTAAAAGCAGAGAAGCGCCAAATAAAAGACAAAAAACGAGAGGACCGGCGAGATCCTGATCCTCAATAACCTTTAAAAAAATAATAAAATTTCCAAATAATTTCAAGTAAAACCTCTTCCTTCGCCGTCCCCAACGGATTCAACACAGCAAGTGTTTTCAGTCTAATATGTTCAAAATTAATTCCCAACTCTTCCAATAATGGGGGTTCATTTTCAAAATTATCCTCAATAAAAGATGCTTGTTCTGTTGGCATTGAAGGAACAAACATATTTGGAATTTGTTGGTTTTGATTTGGATAGGCTGGGTAAGGATAGACATTGGGTGGAGATGGAGTAGTTGAAGCTCTCCAGGACTCTGTGAAAAAAGAATATAAAATATAACAGATAAAATTGGCCAAAAAAATTTGAGGCTTTTGCGGACAAAATTTGCGGATAAAATTTTGTCCGCAAAAAACTTGCGGACAAAATTTGCGGATTAAATTTTTGTCCGCAAATTTTTGCAGACAGTATTTTACTTAAATGTATCAATTCAAAGAAAAACTTAAACTAATCTCTAGCCTATAATTTAAGAAAAAAACAAAAAAAAATTCAAACCATTTTGATTTTCCCACCCACCACCACCAACATTTACTGGTTGTCCAACATTTTGAGGAGATACTGGAGGTGGACTTGTATACCAATTACTATTTGTTGGTGAATTCTTTTCATTTTCATAAAAATAACCGTAAGGGTCTGTCATTATAAAATCTCGGAAAAAATTAATTAAAAATAAAAATTAAATTTATAAAGAAAAAATAAGTTAAGACTCTAAAGTGTGTTTATTCATAAATCGTTTTTCTCTATAACTTACTCCTTTTTCCTTCGATATTTCTTTTCTCTAACTCTTTTTCTTTAAATTTTCACAATATTTTTCTCTAATTTAACACGTCATTTTAATTAAAATTTTCAAATAATATTTTTCATAATATCTAATTTATAAATGGGTAACTCCTTCGAGTACAGTCCATTTAGGCGCGCGGCCATAACGGCGCAAAGCCATAACTTGCTTCAGGATTTCTGGATCTTACCAAATTTAGTATTTAACGATTCCTCTCCTCAAGCTAAAGAGATTGGTACCAAAATTGATAAGAGCCAGAAAATTTTCCAGCAAGTTATGGCTTTGCGCCGTTATGGCCGCGCGCCTAACTGGGTGTGTCCCATCTCCTTAGCATAAGCTTCAATTTTCTCCAATTTGTTTCCCTTTTTTCTTAATTTGCTTATTTTCAGCTTTAATTAAATTTAATTTTTTTTTACGTTGAGTGATGAGCTGTGACAATGATTCAAGTAATTCTTAAAGGGATTATTCAAAAAGAAATTTTTCTTTCCAGTTATCGAACATTTGGTTAATTCAGTCCTCGAGAGTGTTTTTGTAGGGGAAATCTTCCGAATTCATCGTGATTTGACAATAAATAAATTAATTGGATTTAAAGAATGGGGAGAAGAAGAAGATTGTGATTCTATTAATGAAGGTAAACAAACAACGAGAAAATCCTCAATTTCTGTTTCCCTTCGAAATCCTCGAAATATTGAATGTCGCTGTTTTGTTTGTAGCAGGTTTTTTCTTTTTAAACTTGTAATTATTGAAACAATTTAAGGATGATTGCGGCTGTAAGATTTGCTCCACATTTGGAAAAGTGTATTGGGATTGGGAGGAATACAAGGTTTTCTTTAAAAGTTGTCCGCAAAAATTTTTTAGTCCGCAAATCTTGTCCGCAAAATTTTTTCAGTCCGCAAGTTTTGTCCGCAAAATTTTTTCAGTCCGCAAGTTTTGTCCGCAAAAATTTTTAGTCCGCAATTTTTGTCCGCAAAAATTTTTAGTCCGCAAATTTCGTCCGGAGAAATTTTTTTGTCCGCAAATTTCGTCCGTAAAAATTTTTAGTCCGCAATTTTTGTCCGCAAAAATTTTTAGTCCGCAAATTTCGTCCGAAGAAATTTTTTAGTCCGCAAATTTTGTCCGCAAAATTTTTTTAGTTCGCAAATCTTGTCCGCAAAATTTTTGTCCGCAAATCCAAAAACCCAAAAATTAAACTTGATTTCTTAAAACTCGCTTCGGTTATTTTTAAAATATTCCTTAAAGGGTTAGACGTCGTGTCAACATTGCTCCCACCTATGAAGCTTCTACAAGCAGCAATGTTCCCTGCAGGACAACACGTTCTTCAACACTTCGTTCAGCCACAAAAACAACAAATAATCTTCATGAAAAGGTTATTAATACAAATTTTATTGAGGAAGAAAAAAGAGAAGAGGATGAAGATGTGGGGGAGGAAGAAGAAGAATATACTCTTCATTTAAGAGATAGACTTAGAAATAAAAATAGATGATTGTTGAGGTACTTTTTGAGGTTAATAAAATGATTTTTTTTTGAAAATTATTTTTGGTAATTGTCGGTTATCTCTACCTTAATTAAGAACAGAAAAGAAAACAGAAATTTTAAAAAAGTTAAAAACAGGAAAAATATTTTACAAATTACTTGGGAAAAATAGGTGTATTTCATTGAATAATTACTCTGGATAGACTCTCGATAGAGGGGAAATTAATCGAGGAAGGGGAAAATTGATAGAGGTTATAAAGTAGTGATGTTGGGGAGAAGAAAAAATCCGGCAAACGGGAGTCGGGTCGGGAGGCCAAAAACACGGGAAAATTTACCGACTCGGGAGTTGGCCGAACATCACTAGTTTATATAGTATTTATTCTTTAAAAATTATATTCATTTTTAATCCCTTCTTTCCAATATTTTTTCTAAAATGTTTGGACTTTTAAAGTAACTTGTATCCAGTGAGTAATGCTTAATTTGATGAGAAAGCATTAACTTGGCAGCATATGCATTTTCAATACTTCGATTAATTAAACGAGCACATTCAACCAATCTCTGAGCCCCTTCAATTAACCCTAATCTTCGTTGATTATATCGAAGTAAAATATTTGTGTATTTAGCTGATTCGTCATAAAGTAATTCTTTTCCTTCGGGAGACAGGCCCTCAGCATCTTTTTTTAGAAAAAAATTAAAGTTATTAAAATTAAAAAAATTGAAATGATAGAGGGACATGTCTAGCAGAGGTGGGTCAGACCTGGGTGAAACTCAAAATTTTTTTCGGGCGAAACGAAACGTTTCTCCCACGTCTGGTCTGAATCCCGATTTCCGACGTTTTTTTCCTTCCGATTTCCGAAAAAAAATTTTAATTTCCGATTTCCGACTTTTGAACCAGTTCCGATTTCCGGCTCTTCCAATTTCCGACACCTCTGACTGTTCCGACCACCCACCTCTGATGTCTAGGCGCTTTAGCCCTTAGGCGCGAGCGTATACCTTAGTCTAAGCTCCACCATAGCCATAAACCCCTATTTCAAATTAAAGTTTTTTTACCCGATTTTGTAAAAATAATAGCTATTAACAAAGCAAATTCAACGTGTGTTAATGCAGCACGTTTGAAGTGAACGACAGATTTTGTAAATGAATAATCTGCCCATTTAAGCATCCTAAAAATTAAAAAAAATATTTATATCTTTTCACTTAAAAATTTATTTACTTATCATCATGTAAATATTCACTATTATTCATAATGCCAAGAGCAGGCGTAACACAATCTTTACGTGTCCAAGTTTCAGAGCCTAATTCCCAGGCTAAGTAGGCGCTTGAAAATGAAACAAACATATGACAAATCTGCCTTAGATGTGCAATCTATTTTATTAAAGAAAAAAAAACTTTTTGGTACAAACCATCAAAAAATATACTTAAATAAAGAGTTTGGCTGTACTTTAGCCGGTGGCCCACTCAGAAACGGGACAAATTATATACCATTCGATTCGTCTCGACGAGCTGAGTTGAATGGTACCATTCTTTTTTTGCGGAAATGCTTACGAGCCGAGATATAGGTCCTTGAAAACCGAAAAACCATAGGGGGGAGTAAGCAAAATTTTGGGGTGAAAAATTCAAATATGCAAATGATAGTTCATTCGAAAGAGCTCCTCAAGCTGAGTCGAATGACACCAAAATCAGCAAATCCGACTTGATTTTACAAAGTTATGAGCATTAGTTTTAGCTCCTTACCTTTGGTCTACGGGCAGGTTTTTGTTGCTGGGGAGCAAGCCAGGCATGCCGACCGCAGCTAAAATAGGCATAGGTTTATGTTACGAGCCCAGACCCAGCACCCGTAGACTCCCCGCGAGGCGCACAAGCGCCTCGCCGTCGCCCCATAGGTTTATGTTGATTGTTTTTTGTGTTGTAACTTTGTCTAAACTTGTTCAATCACGGTGATTTTGGTGTCATTCGACTCAGCTCGTCGAGCTCTTTCGAATGAGCTATCATTTAAAAAATCGAATTTTTCACGCCAAAATTGTGCTTACTCCCCCCTATGGTTTTTCGGTTTTCAAGGACCTATATCTCGGCTCGTAGGCATTTCCGCAAAAAAAGAATGGTACCATTCGACTCAGCTCGCCGAGACGAATCGAATGCTATATAATTTGTCCCGTTTCTGAGTGGGCCACCGGCTAAAGTATATCCAAGAGTTTATCAAAAATTTAACTCCCGGGCAAGATTAGAACCTGCGACCTCCTCGTACTCTACCACTGAGCTACCGGGGCATCGACTAGTGCTTTCTCTTTTATCCTTCTAGATCGTTAACCCTCAACTAAGTGTTTTAAATGCTCAAGGTGAATCATCCTTACACTTATAGTTAAGAGCTCTCCGAATCAAATTAATAAAAAAAACAAGGAGGGATACTTTTCATTTTCTGTTTTTAACCAAGCTGAAGGCAGAGAGTCTGAATTCCGATTTCCGACAATTTTTTCCTTCCGATTTCCGAAAAAAATTTCAATTTCCGATTTCCGACTTTTAAGCCAGTTCCGAATTCCGACACCTCTGACTGTTCCGACTCACCACCTCTGGCTGAGAGAGGAATGTTAACCACAGATAGAAAATACATAAATTGCTCTTATTACCTGATCAGATAAAGTCAATTTTTCAAAAACAGGCATAGATTTAGCAACACCAAAACACAAAAGTCTGTCAACTAAAAAATATTTGTGCCAGCGTTTATTAAGCATTCCTTTATTTCTAAATGAAGATTTCCAACTATCTAATTCTTCAAAAGGTATTGGACCTGGATTTGGCTTTAAATAGGATTGGGTTTTTATTAAAAATTGGATTAAAATTTACCGAAAAAGTGCCAGTTAAACGAAAAATATTAAAATCAGATAAAATTATTTCTTCAAACAAAACTGGGCCTTTAAGGAATATATCATCCAAATCATTAAATGCATGCATAATACGTTTTTTAGCTTCAATAATTGGTAGAATTGAATTTATCTGTTGTCGATCTTTGACGGTTATGTCGGAAATTGGAGGATTTGAAAGCTTAAGAACAAAATGCGTGAAGGAATGTTGTGTATGCTGCCTAATCAAACAATTGCATATTCACAAGTATGCATCAGGGGGTGCCGAAACGGATTTTAAAACGCGAAAGGCGAAATTAAATTTAAAAAAGCGACACGCGAAACGCGAAAGTCCTCTCGTAAGGGTTGTTTAATTAGAGAGCGTGCTTCTACTAGAAAATTCACAGCATTTAATAATGTATTTTGGAATAAATTGACTTACGTCAATTTCGTTCCCTTCTTTCATTTCATCTTGACATTGATCTTGACGTATATATCCAATAACTAAAATCACTTTTTCTTATTAAAAATTATTTTTAAATATTTTAACTAAAGCTTGAACCCTATCCGAATGGGATATTAAAGCCGGGACACCTGATATTAAGATAAAATCAGGGTTTTCTGTGTTTTCGAGGTTTTCGCCTGAAAAACCCCCGGCCCGTGATTGAAAGAGCCCGGCAATTTGAAAGGTTTAAAAGAGCTCAAACTTTAACAAACCCAATTTTTTCATTCCAACAGAAAGACATTTTTCAAGTCTACATTTTTTACATCTTGCCAATTTTTTTTCCGATTCTCCGTCTTTATTCTCCTCATTTGACAATTGTTTTGACAAACATTTACATTTATATTTGCATTCTTTTTCCTTTTCAAGATAACGCCTTTAAAGGATTTTTAATTACAAAAAAATCTCTAATAGAATGTCCGGCCATTCTATTCTTCCTTTTCCTCCTCAAAGGGCCAGACTTGGATGGGGCCATTCTTTTAGAGATTGTACAGTACCCAATTTCTTCTATTTTTCAGACCTCTCGCAGTGTTGCTTTACATTTTAATCACTTTAAATATTTTAGGATGATTCATTTGCATTGCAGGATTTAAATCATTTGCAGGACTTAAATGCTTAGGCTGAGGTTAAAGTATCTAATAGAGATCGAGCTAGGCCTAAACCAAGGCCTGGGTTTTTCCTGTACCTAGAGTCCAGGCATTTTTGACCTTCATGGGGTTTTCCTGTACCCGTATCCAGGATCCGCCCAGGTCAATTAAATCAAACCCAGGAACAGGCCCAAGCTTTTCAAAAATCTCGATCACTAGTATCTAAGTAGTAGGATCTCTAATGGTATCTCTTCCATCTTTTGCTTTTAAAAATACGAAAGGGCCCATTTCTGGAGTTCTTTTAAGAAAAATAAAAAAAATGCCTGAAGAAAGCTCCACAAGCCCTACATGTACAAACTCCAAAATGATAATAAACATTTTCTTTTGCCCCACAAACTTTGCATGATTTAATATAGTTTCTTTGCATTTTTAAAATTAATTTATAAATTTTTCTAGAAAAATATATAAATTTATTATGTGACGACTTCTCGAATATATCAGCCTTTAAATTAAACGATTTTTTGTCCAAATAATTTTACCCGAACTTTAAGAAATTTAGAGAATATTTTTATAACAGAAATTTTTTTAGAGTATTGGGAATTAAATAAAAAAATAATTGTAAATTTTCATTGGCATTGAAGAAAGTTATGGCAAAAACAAAAGGGGCAGAAAATTTGTCGCACCCCAGACTTAAAAAATACAGTGGTGGTCATATGTTCATGGACAACAACGATTTATTAACAACTTCCCTCGTAACAAAAATAACAATCAATCACTAATTAAAAACGGCGGTTCGAATACTCAGTTCATTTGCTATAAAATACCCCCAGTTTCATTAAAATCCATCGTCATTAATCAAAAAATATCATTTAGTAAAAAAGTTTCCACACAGAAAAATAAATTTTATTTTATAATAAAGGGATAATAAATAAATTATTGCCATTTTCAAAAAATCATATCTCTGGACCGGAAGAAGATATTTCTAAGCGGTTTTGTGGAAATACTCAAAAAAATATGCTTTATCAAATGGGTTTGTTAAATTTTTTCAGAAAAATTTTTCAGAGATTATGGGATTTGGTATATCCGGCTTAATCCGGATATCTCGGCCAATTTTCAATTTCATGAAAAATGCAGAAACATGTCAACTGAGATACAAATAGAGCTTTCGATTGCTATATAGAACGTATTTTTTGAATAAAAAATTAAGAATTTAAATAAAATTTTCTAGTGTAAAGGGATAGATAAAATAATTTTTTTATATTTCATTAAATATAAAAAAATTGTTGGCAAAATTGTAGTTTAAAATTGTATGTGAATTCTCGGTACAGCAAAATTCGATTTTTCTTTTTAGTTTTTAAAAATTATTAGCTAAATAAACAAATTTTCTAAACAAAAATTAAAAAGAGAGAAGAGACGGAAATTTCGTACTGAGCCTTATTTCAATTGTCCGCAGATTCTACGTTCTGTGTTTTGTGCACAGAACTTTTTAATTTTGTTATGAGGGATTTTATTGATAAATTGATGTTGTCCATAAACATATGACCACCACTGTACTGAAGACCGAATCGTCCGATCTCTAAAAGGGATAATCTGCGATCCATTGAAATAGGGCTCTGAGCGGTATTCCGTACCGTATTACCGACTGTAATACCGATAAATACCATCTAAAAGAGATACTAGAAAATTAAAAGATATTAAACTTGACTTGACTACCAGGGATGTGCGTCATGGCGTTTTGCGTTGGCGTGTTTTAAAATTTTGAAAAATTGGCGTTTGGCGCGCCACGCGAAAATTTTGGCGCACATCACTGATGATTTAAAAAAAAAATATTGAATTTAATCAATTTTCTCTTACATATCTTTCTGGAAGTGATCTTATTTAAATTAAAAAAAGAAGAAAAGTTTAAATTTATTCAAAACAGCTAATTAAACAAAAAAAAATTAATTTTAATTATATTTAGTTTATAAATTGTTTGAAATACCAAAATTTCGTAATCGTACCTGTGTACCAGGGCTGGGTCGAAACAGATTTTAAGAGGCAAAAGCGAAAGTCCAAAAAAGGCGAAAATAAGGCGAAAGACGAAACGGCACATCCCTGTTGTGTACGAAGTACGAGTTCGACCAAAAAATTAGACAATTACGAGGACAAATAGGCTCGTCTACTTTGTCAATAAATTTTTGAGGAAAAAGTAAAAGAATTAATTTGAATCTTTTTCCAAGGTTAGGTGGTTAGCAGGGCGGGTAGGGTTGGGGTTTTCGAACCAGGCCGACGTTCGAGTCATTCTTTTCGGGCATCATTTTTATCGGGCCAGACCGGTCGAGTCTTTTTCGGGCCAAAATTCGAGGCCCGGTTCTATCTTTCGAACCGACCCGGGCCCCCAAGCCTAAGGGCTTGTTTCGCATTTCGCCTTTTATTTTTAGATTTCGTCCAGCCCTGAAAAATTGATTTTCTTGGTATTGCTAAAATTATTTTTCGCTGGTAAATTTTGCGGACTAAATTTTGCGGACATTTTTAAAGACAAAAGACCCTAACAAATGTCTAATATTCTAGTTCATTCGATATATTGACTGGTTGATACTTCTTGGGATGATGTACACTTATCCTGCAAAAATGGTTGTCCGCAAGTATTGTCCGCAAAAATTTTCAATTTTTAAAACAATTTTTTCATCAAAATGTTTAAGGTCCTCTAATTAAATTAAATTATGAAGGCAATAATTCAACGAGTTTGTAAAGCTAGTGTTGTTGTTGAACAAGAAACGGTTTGGATTTTGTTTATTTTTCATTAAAAAAATTTTTTTAGATTTCTTCAATTGGCAGAGGCATTTGTGTTTTGATTGGAATAAGTAGAGAAGATGGAGATGAGGATATTGAATATATGGTTAGGAAAATACTAAATTTGAGAATTTTTGAAAATCCAGAAAATGGGAAGAGGTGGGACAAATCTGTGGTAGATTTGGGGTTGGAAGTGCTTTCTGTTAGTCAGGTTTGGGAATTTTTTATATTGGGGGTGAGGAGTATTTTAAGTAGTTTTAAATATGGTTGCCGTTTTCGATCGGGCCAAATTTCTCCGTGTCATTTTTTCAGACCTCATTTTTATAGAGTCGGGTTGTACGAGTCTTTCGGGCCAAATATCTTATGCCCGGCTCGGTTCATTTTGGCAACCTTATTGTTAGTTGTAAACACCATAGAGGGACCTAGTTTTTCGAGGCGCGTTTACGAGCTTTTTGCTTATTAAAGTTTTTGGAAGCGGTAAATGTCCAGTTGATAAAAAAATTAATAAAAAAATTTTGTAAAATTTTGATAAAAAACCCCATTCTGTCCTCCACGTCAAATACAAAAAAAAATTTTTTTATAATTAAAAAATTTTTCAGTTCACTTTACACGCACTAATTAAAGGGAATAAATTAGACTTTCACCGTTCAATGAATCCAGAAGATGCTCCACAATTTTATTTGAAATATTTGGAAAAATTAAAATCAAAATATGTTCCAGAAAAAATAAAGGTTAGCCAAAATTTTTATTTTTTAATTTCTAAAAATCCAAAGGACGGGAAACCACATTTTAACCCCTTTTTAGCCTATTCGCGATTTTAACCCATTTTTACCCGATTCGAGATTTTAACCCTTTTTTAGCCTATTCCATATTTTAACGATTCGATATTTTGTCCGGACACGTGGAAATGTCGTCAATAAATAATCAATCAACATCCACAAAAAGAAATGCAAATAAGCCATTAAATTTATCTGGCACATCAGTTAACGACAAACGCTCACGACTAATTGAGCAAATCAATAATTTAAATTTTCAAGAAATTTTACAACAAATGAATAACGACACCACAACACCTCCGTGGGTAAAAATTCTAATGACCCAAATGCAGCAGATATTAACATTGACTTCTGAATTGATAGTGGAACAACAACAACAAACTGGGAATCAACAATCTAACCAACTTCAATATGGTGAATTTAGGCAAGAAATGGAAGAGAAGGAAAGACGCCACTGTCTCGTGCTTAATGGATTACCAGAAAGTGAACAAGCCGAATCAATGGAGAAGGCTAAGGATGATCAACAACGAGTTTTACAGGTTTTAAATGAATGTAAGGTTTCAAGTGCTTTGCCAAGTGGGATTTTTCGTATGGGGAAAATTAATCAAAATAAACCTCGCCCAATTAAAATTAAATTTCCTTGTTCATATGCTGTTCGGGAGGCACTCTCAGGCAAAAAATTTCTAAAAAATCAATACAAACATTTACATTTGCGAGAGTCCCTTTCCAAAACAGAACTTGCCAATCGATCCATTCTTATTAAAGAGTGTCATGAAAAACGTAAGGCGCATCCCGGTGCCGACTTCATTATATATGCAGGTATGGTAATTTTGCGGGAGGAGATCCCAATTTTTCGCACAACCATAAATACAAATCCACACTCAAAAAACTTAATCTCCTCCCACTAACTTGTCAGCCAATTTATAAAACAGCCCAAAAAACTCCGAATTGCGTACAAATAATCAATAAGAACTGTAAAAATAAAAAGAAAAATTTTAAAAAATCCAAAAATATAAAATGCATTTGCTTTAACGCTCGTAGTTTATTAAATAAAATGAATGAATTTCGGTCATTGCTAAGCACCCATATATACCAAATCATAGTCGTTAGCGAATCCTGGCTTCATAAAGAAATTTGTGATAGTTTTATTCTACATACATTAGATTATGAGATTTTAAGATCAGACAGACCATCCAAAAAAGGTGGCGGCGTTTGCGTTCTAATTCATAAGGCATTACCGTTCAAACAATCCAAAATTTTAAAAACAAATAGTTTCAACCTAATATCATTCGACTTGTTATTACCGCAACTCCAAACAATAAGAGTTATTGCTGTTTACAGGCCCCCTGGGTTTCAAAAATCACAAGATTTTTCTAATTTCTTGGAAAATATATTGTACTGCTGCACCACTGAAAATGCGTGTATAATGTTGGGAGATTTTAATTTTCCTGGAATAGAATGGGAACAATTCTTACCTGTTTCACACACCACTCAGATTGAAAACGAATTTTGTGAGTTTACTAATAGCCAACAGTTAATACAACTTGTCTCTCAAGGTACTAGGGGAAAAAATATATTAGATCTTGTTTTTACTAACACACACAACTTAATACACAAGTTAGAAATAGCACCCCCTTTCTCAACATCGGATCATACCAGTATAATTTTTGAACTAGAACAAATAATAACTTATGAACCAACAAAATATATCAAGGATTTTAAAAAAGCGGACTATAAAACAATTAACCAATACCTAGCTTCAATTGATTGGATAACCATATTTGGGCACTCCAATGATATAAACATCAACTATAAAAATTTTTCTGACATAATTAACGAAACTATAAACTTTTTTATACCTTGTCTAACTATAGAAAATAAACTAAAAGGATTACCGACTCATATTAAAAAATTATTAGACACTCAAGAGGGTTTATGGAAACGAAACATTCATAAAACGAATAGGCCAAACTATTTGAAGGTAACTCATCTAATAAGGAAACAGATGCTGAAATTTCGGAAAAATAAAGAAAAAAGAATAATACCCCACCCAAAAAAGAAATTCGCATATGTTGGCGCTTTTCTTAAATCAAAAAATTTGAAATACTCAACAATGGTAGACGATCACAATAACATAATATTCACAAATAAACAGAAAGTTAACATACTTGCATCTCATTTTAGTTCAGTCTTTAAAAACAGTGGGACTAACACACAAATTACAAACAAAACTTCCCCACTATTGAATACAATAGATTACATGGATTTTTCAGTTTACGATATATTTAATTATTTAACAAAATTAGATAATAAGAATAACACATCACCTGATAATATACCTAATATCTTTCTTAAAAACTGTGCACAAACATTGGCATATCCACTCTTTAGTTTATTCTCTCTATCATTAATGACAAAAAAGGTATCTGATCTCTGGAAAGAAAGTATAATCGTTCCAATTCAAAAGATTCCAAAAGCTAAAAAATCTAACGACTTTAGACCAATCTCTCTCCTCTGCTCAACTGCCAAAATTTTAGAAAAAATATTAGCCTCTAAATTAGTTGAACATGCCCGGAAAAACAGAATTTTTCCACAAGAGCAACATGGATACCATATGGGTAGATCCGTAACAACCCAACTTCTAGAAGTTATGGATGATCTTACAATGGCATTAGAAAATAAAAAATCCGTAGATATAATCTACTTCGATCTGTCAAAAGCATTTGACACCATATCCCACGAAAGATTATTAAGTAAATTAAAATTATTAAATATTCCAGATACTCTAACTAAATGGCTCAAACATTATTTAAGCAATAGAACTTTCTCTGTAAAAATCCATGAATCCTTTTCTGAAAAAATGCTCATAAAAAGCGGAGTACCACAAGGCTCCCTACTTGGTCCCATATTGTTTTTATATTATATACATGATTTAACTGAATTCTGTTATACAGAAAATGTAACTGTTAAACTATATGTAGATGACATTAAGGCGTATTACATTTTCAAAGACAATCCAGTCAATTCAAACCCTTTGCAAGAATTTATTGAAAAATTTTCCGAATACACAGAAATAAACGGATTGGATATAGCTATAAAGAAATGTAATATATTACATCTAGGCACTAAAAATCCTCGCACCATTTATACAATAGAAGATACACACATAACAGAAATTGGTAGAAATCAAACTGTAAGGGATTTAGGTATTTTCTTTGACCATGAGTTAAAATTCCATAATCATATCGACATTATTTGTAATAAAGCTAGGAGAATTAGTTATACAATTCTTAGGTCCTTAAAATCTAATGATGAAAGATTCTTAATTAATATGTTCACCACATATGTAAGAAGTATATTGGAATTTAGTTCTCCTGTCTGGAATCCTTACTATAAAAAATACATTAACAAAATAGAAAAGATTCAAAAAGATTTCGTAAGGATGGTATATAACCGCAAGCATAATATAAGACTTAATGAACGAATCCCTAACTACTCTGAACTCCTCAGATTATATCATATAGATTCTTTAGAGAATAGAAGAATTATAACAGATCTTAAAATCTTTCACAAGCATTGCATAGGATTAAGCCCAATAAATATAAATAACCCCTATTTCATCATTCCATCTAAAACAAGGGGGGACGAAAACAAAATATCACATAAAGCATGCACCTCAATTACTAGACATAATTCATTTTTTGTAAGGACTATAAGGTATTATAATAAACTACCAGCATACTTTAGAAAATTAGATTACAAAAATTTCGCAAAAAACATAACACATATTAATTTTTCCCGCAATTCGGAGGCTGAATTAAGTTAAATTTAAATTTATACTTATAATTTTTTTTTATATACTATTTATTTACATTCTTTTTGTTTTTTAATTTATTGACATGATTTTGTTTTTATATATATTTTTTTACTTGATTTCGTTTTTTATTGTTTTTTGACTTGACTCGCGCCATCAAGGCGTAAATAAATAAATAAATAAATAAAAATGATGGTCCGGTAACGATTAGTTTAGATAGTAAGGAAAGGGAATAAATTTTAAAAAATTATTTTTTATATTTTTGTTCGTTGTTGGTATATTTGTCTAAGCGAGTCAGTAATTGTTTCTTCCATTTTGTTCTGAAATTAAATTTTTTTTAATTTCTATTTTATAATTTTTTTTTCATATTTATGTCATAGACTTATTCCTTTTCTCTTTTTTTATTTAATTCCTTCCATTGTCAATTTAAAAATATCCTCCAATTATTAATCTCGAAATTATGGTTAGTCTTCAGTGGGGGGGACGGCCTTAGGATTTTTGAGGATGCAGAATTTTCATCGAGATGTATAAAAAGGGAATTTGCTTCCTCGATTTTCGTGGGACATTCTAACTAGACTTTTCATTCCGTTACTTGAATCTGAACTTGACTTTGAACATATTATTTGATTTTGGATTTTGGTTAATACTAGAGACCTATTCCTTTCCAAGCCCATTCTCTTACTTCAACCTCTCCCTTTCTTCATAATTCTTCATTAGGGTTGGGGTTTTCGAGTACGGCCGACGTTCGAGTCATTTTTTCGGGCCGGCCCGACCGGGTCTTTTTCTAGCCAAAATTCAATGCCCTACTCGATCTTTCGGATCGGGCCCCCAACTCTATTCTTCATATATTCACTCCCTCTCTCTCATTTCCCTCTTTTAATCTCTCTTAATTTACCTTCTATTCTGAAACCAAGTTTTAATTTGTGTTTCACTAAGCATTAAATCAACAGCTAATTGAACTCTTTTTTGTACTGACAAGTATTTATCTTCCTTTTAATTTTGTTTTTAATAAGAAATAATAAAAAGTTAACCATAAAAGCTTGTTCCAAAGTATTTAATTGTTGTTCTGTATATGCCTGAATTTATTTTTAAATTGAAATTTAGACCCTATTGAACAATAAGTGAGAGGTCCTCCTTTTTCTGATTTACCGGCCCCCTCCCCAGCATCACGGTGGTGTTAATAATCAGCTCACTACTTTTTGGGTGTGTTACTGATAGCCATGGAATTGTGAGCTGTCATGGAGAGGGGGTTGTCATGGATGTCCCCTTATGTCATGGATTGTCATACCTCTCCCTCACTAGTTTTCATAGTGAGGGAGAGGTAAAGGCTAAAAGGGTCCTTAAAAGCTCGTTTCTTTCAAGAGAGAACGTTCGGATCCTGGGCGGTATCCTGCGACTTCCTGGAATTTATTTCTAGAAGCATTCATTCACCACGTATAGATGATCTTCCGACTGAGTTATCGGAGTGCTTTTTTTCATTTTCCCCTTTTTAATATAGGACATAAACCCCCGCCTAGTAATAATCTCTCTTCTCCCTTACATACCTGTCTTGGCTTCCTCTCAACATTTCTTCTTCTAGAACGGCTATATTCGTGTTTTCGTACTTAAAAATTTTTTTTCAAAAGTTTCCAAGAATTTTCCAAACAAACCAACCATTTAACCCAAAAAATATTTGCAATTCAGCCAATGTAGGGGTAACTATTTGAGTTGTTTGGTTTGGTAAAGAAGGTTGTTGGGGTTGTAGAGGGTCAAGAATAAACGAATTTTGAAGGGAGGAAAAACAATTTTCTTTATTTTTAGTCAAAATAGATTTAATACTGAATTTTGGGGGAATTTCAAAAGACATTTTTTTTAGTTAATTTTATTTTTTTTTGAAATTTTTATGGGAGAGGAAGGCCAAAGGGGGGATATTAAAAGTTTACCTTTAATTTCCCTCCAAAAAATTTCATTTTTCCTCCAAAAAATACCCCAAAAAATTCCATCAAAAATACCCCAAAATATGTGTAATTCCACACCATTTTATTTCTATTTTTCCAACTTTTTAGAGTTAATTTTTCCAAAAAAAAATTTTTCCAAAATTTTTCTCTTGACTAATTGACTTTATATATTTTATGGGAAAATAACTGAGGGATTAAGGGTAATATTATTATTTGTGTTTACTTAATATATATTTTTTGTTTTAGAAAAACAGGGGAAAGTGTGGTCATTTTTAAAATAACTGGAAATTAAATAATATTGGTTGGGTTAAATAAAAACAATAAGAGATATCAGAATATTTCTGTATTTTAATTTAAAAATCAGAATTTGGTAGACAGACCTTACTTAAGTACTTAAGTGTATGAGTTAAATAAAATCAGAATAAGTTGTAATTTAAAGCAGAATTTAGTTTATAAAAAATCAGAATATTTCTTATTTTTTTAAATTTGAAATCAGAATTTTTTTTACAAAAATCAGAATATTTTTTTTATTTTCTTTAAAAATCAGAATTATTTTTAAATTTTTCCCAAAAACTTTAATAACTTTTAAAACTCTTTTGTGAAGTAATTAAATATAAATGGTTGTCATGGTAACAAAAAAATAAACGGAGAATTGAATAGAATGACCAAAAAATGTACCGCCTTTCTCTATTAAACCTAAAAAAGTTGTGGCCATTTAATGTTTAAATATAAAAGATTAATGGAAGACTTCCCCGAACCAACAAAAAATCAAACAACCCCAACAACTTCAAGAAAACATCATCATCCTCATAATCCGCATTGTGAGGACCATTTGGGGGAATTCCATAGCCAATTTTGTGAACAAGATTTTCAGAGGCAATTGGATGCTGTTGGGTGAGTGTATTTCTTAATAGAAAAAATCAGAACAGAAAAATCAGTAAAAAATCAGAACAGAAAAAATCGGAATAGAAAAACAGAATAGAAATCAAAGCAAAAATCAGAAGCAGAAAAATCAGAACAAGAAGAAAATCAGAATAAATCAGAATTTTCTGATTTCTAAAATCAGAATAAAAAAATCAGAATAAAAAATCAGAAACAACAAACAGAAAAATCAGAACAAAAATTAAAAAATCAGAACAGAATAAAAACTTCCAATTCCATTTCCTTTTTTTACAGTCCAAGAGTGACCGGCCCAGGTGGAGTTATTTTACCTACCAATGATGAAATAAATAAATTATTGGATTATGGGTCTGATTCAATTTCTGCAATGTGTTTTACTTGGAATATTGCTGGGAAGGTTTTCTTAATTATTTAGTTTTTAATAATTTTTATTTGAGGCAAGTCGTTCCCTTTCTCGTTTAAATCACTTATTTGCCAAAATGCCTCCTTTGGAAAGGCCGTCGTTGATTGCCTTGGCTTTACAGGAATTGCCTGCTTCTACTTTGTTGCTTATTTAAAAAATTTTTAATTGGACCTCCGTTATAAGACCCCTCTATTTAGGAAAAATCGTCTCTTATAATGAGGTGTCTCTTAAATAGAGAGTATTGCTTGGACGGTAGCATCCAGTGGACAACCTTTTTAAAAATAAATAGTCTACACGGTGGGGTGATTAAGCATTGCCCTCTATTTAAGAGACACCTCATTATACCCCCAATACTAGATAACCTCATTGAAGGATACGTTCCCTAAAATTTGTTTGCCACTGGGTGGGAAACTTTCTTAAGCGATACCCCCAATTTAAGAGACACCTCATTATAAGGCAGTTTTCCAGCCCTTTGGGGTGTCTTATAATGAGATTCCAACATTATGTATATTTTTAAACTTTTCCTTTTTTAACAGAAGATTTCACTCTTCAGTGCTTTCATCACTTGGAAAGTCACTATCTTCCACCCACCGCGTTTTTTGCTGGGTTCGTAAATGGTCGCAAATGTTGGTGCTTTTTATTAAACATCCTCTCAGTTTATTCACTTCACGTATCTCTTCATTATAATTTTTCTTTTAAATTTTTCTAAACTTCATTAGAACCAGAATATCGTTTTGTAGCAGGCATTAATTTAGCAAGCCCTTTTCGTACTAAAGGTGCAATTTCTATTCGTTTCCGGTTATTTCAATGCCAATGTATTTTTGTAGCTTGTCATTTGGCACGTAAGTTGATTCTTTTTGGTTATGTTCCCAGAATTCGCAAATTCCAAAAAAAATTCAAAATCCGCAATTTTTTGCGGATTGTCCGCAAATTTTGTCTGCAAATTATTTTGCGGACTTTTTTTTTTAAAAATATTTTTTGCGGATTTTGAGTACACAACATACCACTAAATAAAAATAATTTTTATCAAAAATTTAGACGGCAAATTAGAACGCAGAATCCTCGATTATAGACGAATCGCTGCCCAATTTGATTTTAATTCCTTACAAAAACAAAGTGGTAATGATAATTTTTTTATTTTCGTTAAAATATCAAAAAATTAAGGCAAAAATCTAGTTCACCTTTTTTGGTTCGGAGACCTAAATTTTCGCGTTTTGCGAAAGGAAGAATTGTCTGACGTCGCAGAAAACATGCAAAAACGGCTTTTTCGTAGACAGGCAGATTTTCAACGGATTTTGGCTCATGATGAGCTTAGCTTGGAAAGGGCGAATGGTTTTTATTTTAAAATTAAAAATATTTTTTAATAAGGAAATTAATTTTTAGGTTTGTTCAAAGGCTTTCGCGAAGCAATTATAAAATTCCCTCCAACTCATAAATTTCGTATTGACAGCAATTTTTATATGCCAAGCAGGATGCCTTCGTACACGGTTTTTTTATTGAATTTACTGCCCCTTTTCACTCATTATTGTTAGCAAGGATGGGCCGGATAAGGAAAAAAGTCGGGTTTCGGGTAGGATTTTAAGAAATTTTTGGATCGAATTTCGAGAGAAGCAGGAAACAGAAGGAGCAAACAAATCCTAGTTTTGGGTCGCAGCCCATCTTTACTCCTCAACCCAGTCTTTTTATACTGGATAAAATAAAAAATTTATTTCCTTAACAGGTATAGGCTTGGTTGAAGAAAAAGTCAGGTCGGATTTCGAGTAACCCGAAAAAAACCAATTCATTCCTTGTCCCTCGACCCAATTCATTTCTAATGGGGAAAGAAAAAACTTGAAAGACGATTTTTTCCATCTCTTTTTCTTTCTAAAAATCAGAGCATGCCCCCAAAAATTTCTTTCTTTAAAGGACCGAGTACTTTTTTGGACCAACCCAGAGCCTGACGGTTTAACTGCAATACGTTATGATTGTGTATGGGAAGTACATTGTAGCGACCATAAACCTGTTTATTGTATATTTAAAATGAAGGTAATGAAGAATTCTTTTAAAGAAACAATTAAAATTAATGGAAGTGCTTGAAAAGTTTTTTTGTAAAAAAATTTTAAAAAATTTAGGGCTTTTCCATTATCCTTCTACAGACTTTTGCGGACTTTTTTTGCGGACACATTTAATTTCTAAAAAAGAAAATTTATGGAAAACACTGGTATAAGGAGGGAAAGGAAAATAAGTCTATCCGCAAAAAAAAGTCCGCAAAAATCCGTAGGGATAATGGAAAAAGTATCAAAAAAAATTTTTTTGTGAGAAAAGGTTTTTTTAATTTTATTTTTATACACAAAATCATTCTACATAAAATAATATCAATTTTTAATTTAGATATATAAATTGTTAATTAGGTAATATTTTTAAATTTAGGTAGGCAGGAAGGAAAATTTTCTGGGTTTTAAAATAATCGTTAAGTTTTTTTCTTTCTTCAAATTAGTTCAAAAAATATTTAAATAAACAAAGAAAAAACTGAATTTTAAGTGCAAATTTTAAGGCATTCCCGGCGATCCCGTGACCTGACTTTTTTCCGACATAAAAACAAGAGGGATCCCGCGGGATTAATCCCATAAATCCCGTTTACAGCTTAAACCCTTCAGGATTTTGGGATGGGATCCTGTAAATTAGCTCATGGGATTCCTCAAATGCCGCACAACAAACTTAAATTTCCACATAAAAATATTTTAAAAAATAATTTCCTTTAAAATTCAGTTTTTTTTAAAAAATATATAAATCAAGAAGTGTTTAGAGAAGCACTGAAAATGAGGAAATTTAAAAAAATAGAAAAATGCGTGGGGGTTGGAAAAAATTTTATTTTTCTTCTTTTTTAAACAAATTAAAAAGCTCAAAAATAGTTACAAATTAGATAGGTATATTTGGGGTTACACAAAAAAAATAATTTTATATTCCCTATATTTTCTTTTTTTGGCATCTTTTAGTTCCAAAAATTTTTTTAGTTATTTTAGTATTCATATAAATTGAAAATTAGAGACCGGACTGAGAAAATAAAAAAATCTCTCGAACAAAAATTTAGGTTATCGAGTTTGATATTTTTCAAGATAACGACGATTTTCATACAACCCCCTTCCCATTCCGGTCTCTAATAAAAATTATTAAATATGAGGAAGAGGAAAACAAAAATAAATTGGAAAATGACCGAGATTTGATTAAATGATATTCCTAAATGGTTAACAGTTTTTTTTTCGATTAAAAAGAGAAATTTTTAGAGATTGTGATGATCCTTTTATTCTTTTTAATTTAGATAAAATTTGCGAAAAAAAATTTTTTTTGACAAAAACACAATCTCTCTTGAAATGACTACACCATTAAACCTAAATTTGCGATCAGACTTTAATCGAATCCGAAGGGAGTCAAAAAAAAAAAGAGGAGCACACATCACTTGGGCCTACCTCTTGTGTAGAGGCGTGAGGTGGAGTCACCATATAAATATCAAAAATTGATTTTTATTTTGGAGGTTTTTGTGAAATTTAGCATTGAAACGGAGGTGTCGTACTTTAATCAAGAGAAATTTTTAATTAAGAACGAGGGGTCAGGAACAGGAATATGACATTTTTGGCCCATATCTAAAATTTAAGTAAGAACCAGTCCCCTCCCCTAGATTCTTAAATTAAAGTCTGATCACCATTATTCTACATTCTATTAAGTTATATAATTAAATGCCAAAAATATATATTTAAATAAAAACCTTATTCAGTCGAAGTAGAAGTTGTCGTCTTCAAAGTATCTGTTATCGAATTCTCCACCACAATATTTCCCCCATTTCTTTCCTCTTTAACCACCTCTACCTGATTTTGACGTAAAATAGATTCAGCAATTTGTCCCATTAAATCAACACATTTAACATCAACATGTTGAAGTTCTCGACGACTTTGTTGGACTTGTCTCCAAATATTGTGCCGTTCGCTCTTTTTCCAGCTGTAGTAGAAACTAACAATTTCGCCCAATGTTCTCCTTTGTAACTTGAAGAAAAATTTTTTTTTAATTTTCAAAAAAATTTTTAAAAAGAAACCTGGTCTCGTTGAATCTTCAAAAAGTGTTTTCCATGCTCAGCCATTCCTTTCTCAAAATTTTCGCAATCCTCTTCTGTCCATGTTCTCAAAGTACCTTGTGGTTGTGTTAAGCGAGGTCCGTTAACTGAACAGAGGGCAGGCCATTCAAAGGGAGCTTTTGCTTTAGCTTTTTTCACGTTATAATTTGCCTTTAAAATTAGGAAAATAACTATAAAAATATTTATCCCAAATAGAAGCAAGAAACATTGTTAAAATGAAAATTTTGCCTAATGGGGAATTTGCGGACAAAACTTGCGGACAAAAATAATTAAAAATTCAAAAAACCCTTCCAACTAAAATAGTCTAAAATAATTCCAAAAATATACCAAATAAAGCGCAAAAAGAGCATTTTCATCGTCTGGAACAATTTCCTCTTCTCCCATTAAAGTCGAAGCAGTTTCTGAAGAAGAGCGTTTTTTACAAGTTTGAGACATTCCATTTTTTGGTTTTTCTCCAGCACGTATTTGTTCACATTCAATTAAATATTCGGTTACTACAGATTCAGGACAACAATCTGGAGAGGAAATCCAGAGAACTTCACAAGTTTCAACAGGTTTGTTTTTATTATTTGAGATTTGTATAACTTGGGGAATATTTGAGACCTAAAAATTAAAAAAAAATATTTTAATGGAGCAATAGAGACAAAGGTAATTGGAAACATGATTTTGGTTGAATGAAGAAAATACCATGCCGGTAATTCTAGAAAAACACCAGCATCTCAGAAAGGCCTAGGTTTAGGTACAAGAGAAATTCCAAAACCTAAACCCAACTCGGTCTCTAGAAAATATTTTTGACAGAAACTCCGAGAGCAAATGAGGAAGAGGAAAAAAGATATTTAGAAACTTGAATTGGTTGGATTCTTGCCCCAAATTCCAGAAAAACTCAAGGTAGCCAAAAAATGCCCTGGTTTTGGAGGCGGATAAAATCCAAAAGCACAGCCAAACTCTGACTCTAGAAAAATATATACAACAGGAACACCGGAAAGAGTCCAAAAATATTTTTCTAGCTATTAATCGAACAAGCCCAAAATCTTGGGTGGGGAGTATTTGAGACAGATTCAGAACAACGGGAACCCAGAAAATCACCAGGTAGGTTTTGGATAGGTTCAGACCAAAGAGAAACCTCAAAACTGAGACCCACTTATTCGACGGAGACGTCTTTAGGAATCACTATAAGAAACTCAAAAATATTTAAAATAAACCTGATAATCCGGCCCTATACGAATTTCCTTTTTCCAAAGTTCAGGAGGCAAATAATCCTCAGACTCGTCTTCTTCCAAATCCTCAGGTTTGAAGTAATTATTGACAGCAGCTTCACAAGTGCTCGCAATTGATGAAATAATTTTACCTCTTAAACTTCCAACTCGTTGTTGTGAACTAGAAAAGGACGAAGATTGAGCATTTTTGGCTTCTTTTTGGTCCACTTCAATTTCCTTTGAAGTTTTTGCCATCTCCCCAATTTCTTCACTTCCGTAATATTTTCTCCTCAATTCTTCAATTGAAAGTTCCCCGTCTTCTTGTAATTCTTTCAGTTCACTTCCATAATCCTCCTCATCATTTAAGCCTTCCTCCTCGTCCAGAGTAGCTAAAAAACGAGGAAAATTGACCCAAAATTCGTTTAAAAATAAACCTTCGTCTTCCTCATCTTCACAATCCAAAGTATGGTCGTCATCATTATCGCTATTATAATCAGTCATTTTTCAAGAATAATCAAAGTAAAATAAGAGAATCTTTAGGGCAAACCTAAAAATAAGAAATTAAAAATAAAAATTTAACGAGAAAGAAAATAGTGTGTAAAAAAGAGAGAGAAAGAGGGAAATATTCCAAAAAGGACAAAATGTCTATTAAATACAAAATGCCAGAATAATAAAATAAATAAAATTTTTAAAAATTTTTATTTTTAAATTTCTAGGGAGAATTGATGTTTAAAAAGGTGTTTATTTTTAAAAATAATTGGGATATCCTATCCCGCGGAGAGTTTGAAAAGATCGAACGGGAGGCGGGGATTAATCCCGATCCCGTTTGTCGCTTAAAGCTATGGATTTCAGGACGGGATCCCGTAAAATCCCAGGACGGGATCTCTCACATGCCATACACTAGTATGTATATCCTACCAAAAACATAAAATAATTTAAATTTTTTATTAATTCTCTCTTCAAAATGTATACACTGCGGTGCATATGTTTATGCACACTTGTTTTTTGTTCATAAGTTTATGCACACTTATTCAAAAAATAAGAAAAATATGCTCACTCACAAAAATATGCTTTATCAAATGGGTTTGTTAAATTTTTTCCGAAAAATTTTTCCGAGGATATAAGATTTGGTATATCCGGTAGATCCGGATTATCTCGGCCAATTTTCATTTTCATGGAAAATGCAGAAACATGTCAACTGAGATACAAATAGAGCTTTCAATTGCTATATAGAACGTATTTTTTGAATAAGTGTGCATAAACTTATGAACAAAAAACAAGTGTGCATAAACATATGCACCGCAGTGTAGATTAAGCAGTTAATTTTTTAGTTTCCGGAAAATTATTTTATTTAATTTTTTAATTATTAAATTTTTTTTAAATTTCATAAAATCACATTCCATTTTTTATTTCTTTTACTTTTTAACAAAATTTTACATTTTCGGGTTAAAATAAAAAAAATCTCAGTTTTGTCGCTTTTTTTGAGTTGACAACCTTTTTAAGCTGTCATATACTTTTAAACAGCCATTTCTTCTCACTTACTCCCTTCAATGACAAAATAACCCCCTAGGGAACAAATTTTCTGCTGATACTTTTTGATGCCAACACTCTGTCCCCTTCTGAAGTGAGAATGAATGGAAGAAGGAAAAGTGATATATTGTCGTCTATCTTCCCAAAATCTCAAGACTTGTCACCAAAATGACCGATGAAGAGAAGAAAAAGTAAAATTTAAGTGCGCGTATTTTTGATGTAATCTTTTTAAAAATTTTTAAATAAAATAAAAATTGGCAGGAAGGTTATTTAAAATTATTTTAAATTTATCTGTGAAGTATTTTATACGTATTTCCGGAAATTTATTTATTGTTTCCGGAAAAGTATTTAATATTTCCGTGAATTTATTTAATCATTCCGGAAATGTATTTATTTTTCCGGAATTTAAATTTCAGGAAATGTATATTTTTCCGGAAAGTATTCTATTTTCCGGAATCTATTTTGTATTTCTGAACTTTACGGAAATGCCATTTTTCCGGAAGAGTATTTAATTTTTCCGGAATCTATTTTATTTTTGCAGAAATTTATGTTTCCGGAAAATATTATACATATATTCTCTGAAATGTATAATTTTTCCGGAATATGTTATATTTCTAGAGAGTTAGTTAATTTTACGGAATATATTTTACATTTCCGGAAATATTTTTATTTTTTTCCGGAATATTCTATTTTTCCTATTATTCTATTTTTCCGGAAATATTCTATTTGTATTCTATTTTCCGGAAATGTATGTATTTTTTCCGAAATTTATTTAACCTTTCCGGAATCTATTCTATTATTTTTCCGGAAATTTATATTGGTTTTGGAATCTTTATTAAATTCAAGAAATGTATTTAATTTTCCGGAATTTATTCTACATTTCCGGAAATATATTTTAACAGTTACTGTTAATTTAACTATAAAAATCCCATTTTTGAGAATATATTTATTTCCTTTATTTCCCCAAAAAATAATTAAAAATATTTTCCATCTAATCCTTTTAACTCAAAAAATCTTTCTTAACGTGACCGTAATCCCTCTCATCAATTTTCCTCTTTTTTCCCATTTGGCGAAAGCTCAGGAAAAAAATAAAAAGTTTTTTTCTTCTCGACAGCCGCCAAGAGATTAAAAAATAAAAGGGAAAAATACTTTCATACAAATCCTCGCCTTTAGGGGCGAATAAAATGACAAATTTGTGTTGGCGCCCCTAAAAATATATTTATATTTTTCTCTTTTAGATAGCATCTTCTTAAATCTTTTTTGCATTAAAAACTCATTTTTTCATGCATATTTGGGTATTTTATTTATATTTTTATTGGGACAATAGTACTTTTAAATTGGCCAATTTTTGAAATTGTTTTTGATAAAAAAAATTTGCATTTTACTACTAAAAATATAGTAGGAAATATTAATTATAAAAGTATTTATATTTTTATAGCCATCTTTTCTTCATTTTATATTTCCGGAAAAGTATATTTAAAATTTCCGGAAATTTATTCTAATTTTCCGGAAAAGTATTTAATCCTTCCGGAAATGTATTTACTTTTCCGGAATTTGTTTTATAGCTTCTATATTTTTCCGGAAAACTATATTTAATATTTCCGGAAAAGTATATTTAATTTTTCCGGAAAAGTATGTATATTTAATATTTCCGGAAAAGTATATTTTATATTTCCGGAAAATTATATTTAATTTTTCCGGAAATTTATTCTAATTTTCCGGAAAGTATCTAATCCTTCCGGAAATGTATTTACTTTTCCGGAATTTGTTTTAGTTTCGAAATATATATTTTTCCGGAAAATTATTTTACTTTTCCGGAAATGTGTATTTATATTTCCGGAATTTTAAGAGGACGATCTCATTTTTAATACTATTCTCTCACACTGTCACTGTATTATTTTTAAAGGGTTTTTGAGTGAATTGGTGAATTGTCGCTTTTAATCCGCCTCTAGCGAAAATCTTTAAAAAATATAAGTTGATCAATTAAATCACACAATTCTTTCAATTTTTATGATTTTCGTCATCGTTAGGTCACGCAAAAAAGTTTTCATTGTGTCCGCCCATTTTATTATTTTATTATTACTTTTAAACTGATTGGTTATACCCTTTGGGAAAGGAAAAAGGTGATGAGGAAGGCGATGAAAAGTTAACTATAAAAAGAGAAGAGAAGAGGAAAAGAGAGAAGAGAAACCGGAAAAAAAATAATCTAGAAGGCAGACACTGCCTCTAGTAAAAATAGAAGAGTTGTGGGCGTGGTTTTTAGCACGTATTTCTCTCTCTTCGCGGTAAAGTGCTAAAAAGCTGTTGGTGTGGGAAACAGTAAAAACGATAGCACCTTTTATTATTTTATACCATTTTCCCAGTCATTTAGCGCTTTTAAAGGCAAGAAAATTTTTTTTAGTTTTTTAGAGAAGCCGTCAAAAGAAGAATTTTTTGTTTTTAACTAAAAAATGGATAATTTAAACAATAACTTGTCCTCTTTTGGAAGAAAAAGAATAAGACAAACACCTTCCCCTTTAAATTGTCCTGTAATTAAAAAGAAGGCGAGAGGATTTTGGATTGATCAATTACTTGAAGACAAACAACAACCAGTGGTTGTTGATAGAAATAATTATTTAAAATCTCCGGAGTCACCAGCAGGGCCAAGTTCAACATTATTGAGAAGGGGAAGAAAATCGGGAAAATCTGGTAAAATATTATTTTTTTTAAATTAAATTTTTGTTTAATTTGAGACTCTAATGTTCTCCTAAATAATTAAAAATTCCGGAAATAAACTTTTTCCGGAAAAAAATAATATTTACCTATTGACTATACTTTCCGGAAAAAATAAAATACATTCTGTTTTATGGTTATTTTTATTTCCGGAAATAAAATGTTCCGGAAAAAATTATAATTAACTATGAATATATTTTCCGGAAATAGATACCCTCTATTTTATAGTTATTTTTATAGTTTCCGGAAAATAATTTATATTTTTCCGGAATTTTGTATATATTTTTCTTTCTTTGTTTCTCTGATTGTAATATTTCCGGAATTTATATACCCACTTGCTAAGAAAATTTTTTAGAAAATTTTACTGAAAAGGAGAGAAAAATATCTCCAACAGAAAGAGAATCTCCACCTTTGAATGATCACAATTGGCTGCCAGCAAAACCAAAAAGCTCCTCTCTAAACTATTTAAAATGTGAATTGGAAAATAGAGAAATTTGGTAATTAAATTAAAAAAAAAGAAATATTTTTTAAAATTTTTTAGGGAACAGTTTGACCAGCTTGGCACTGAAATGGTAAAAAAAAATTATTTTTTAAATTTTTTCGATAATTTCTTAATTATTCTATTAGAGTCCGAAAGAGGTCTAATAGGGGATTTTTCTGGATCTCTCCAGAAAATCCCCTTTTTTTAAATTTCGAGTTTTACGTTATTCTTGGGATCAGTTCCGTGCCATCCAGCCCCTTTCAAACTTTTAAAATTCAAAATCATTAAAAGATTCCCGGATTACGCTTCTACGAAAAAAATTTTTTTTTAATTTTTCCTTTCGAAAAAAATTTTCGAAAAATTTTTTTTAAATATTTTTTTAATTTTTTTCTCCCCATTTTTCCATTTTTTAAACAAACCAAAAAATAATAATAAAAAATTGTCATAAAAATATTCTTCTTTTTAACCTAATTTTTTCGTTAATTTTCCCCAACTTTATTTTATTTTTACAGATAATCACCAAGTCGGGAAGGTAAGTGAAAGAAACAAAAAAAAATAATTAAAAAAAGAATTTTTTCCCTTTACCCAATCCAATTTCCAAATTGACAATGCCTTAAAAACATTTTTAGTTTTAAAAATATTTTAAAGAAAAAAGGGGGGAAATAACCAATTCGCTAAATGGGCGACAACCATAAACGCTGAGTGTATCTCTTAATTTCTTTAAAAAAATTTTTTTTCTTTTCTTTTTAAAATTCAATTGTCCGTCAAAACACACAAAATTAGTAAAAAGGCGGCAAAATGAAAATTTAGAGGAGAAAAAAAATTTTTTTAATTTTGTAAAGGAGTATTAAAAGCTATAAAAAGGGGAGAGAGATAAATTAGAAAAATAAAATAAATACAAAAAAAAATATTTGATGCGCGGAATAGGGAAAAAAAGATTAAATAAAATACTAGATTTGTGTAAATGTATTGTTGACGTTCGCGAATGAGCGAAAGAAAGAGGGAATATAAATAGGTATATGTTTACTGTAGTCGCGCAGGCAGAGAGTAAGAGAAAATAGTATGTGGAAAAATCAGAATTATTTATCAGAACTTCTTACCAGAATTATTTCCGGAATAGATTTACTACATATTTTCCGGAAAGAGTAATTTTCCGGAAATATTGAAAGTAATTTTCCGGAAACAAATTTACTACATATTTTCCGGAAATAATTTATTGAGCTAACTATAATTTTCCGGAAAGAATTATAACTTTAACTTTCCGGAAGCATCTTGTCTATATTTTTTAATTTCTCTATTTTTCTTTTTTTTTCATTTGTTCATGTTTTAAATAAAATTCTCCATGTGCCCCTATTCTTCTCTTTTAAAAAATAAAACAATTACTTTACTAAAATGCTAATCAAGGATCCGTTAGATTTATAATAGTATTTTTCCTTAAACATTTTTATTCAATTTTTTTGTCTTTTTTGGGGTTATTTCCCCCTAAAATTCTTTTCATTCAATTTCTAAACATAATCTATTCATTCCTTCAACATTTAGCCGCGATTGCCCTTTAGAGACATAAAAAATATTTTTTGTTATTACCCACACTAAAACAGCAAGGACAAAAATTAAAAAGTAATTTAGAGTCAATTTAATTTAACTGATTAGTTTAGGCTATATTTTTCTCTCCCTGTTAAGGGGTTTTGGTTCCGGAACGTTATATAATAGCTATATTTTCCTTCATAAAATAATTATTTCCGGAATGTATTCTAATACTCACTAAATAGTATTGTATTTTCCGGAAAAGTAAAAATAATTTATTTCCGGAAAATTATAGTTATTATACATAGTTATAGATTCCGGAAAATTATAGTTATATTCTTTCCGTAAAATAATTCCTTCCGGAATGTATTCTATAATTTTCTGAATATTATATTTTCCGGAAAAGTAAAAATAATTTATTTCCGGAAAGTTATAGTTCTCTACTATAGGTGTATATTCTTTCCGGAAAGTTATATTATTTCTTTCCGGAATTCTATTTTCTTTCCGGAATTTTATTTTCTTTCCGGAACAACTACTCTTTATAGAAAAATATTTCTTTTCCGGAATTTTTTTTGCATAACCAGACTCTAATATAAATTTATATTTAATCAACAAATGCAAGGCGGCAATTAGCGGAATTATTTTTATTATAGGTTTAAGGGTTTGCGTTTACTGCTTTACTTAACCACTTTGCCGTAAATCTATAAAATCTCGTTTTCTAAATATTGGTAATGAAATGAAGTAATTATTGCTGTTTTTAACTAGAAAGTGAGAATGGAAAGAAATATAAAAAAATTAATTTTTAGTCAAAATTTTGGAAAAATTTCAAAATCAAAAAAAAATTTTAAGGAGAATGTTTCCAGTTCTTCGTTGTCGACTTTTTGGCACACTTCCCGGTTTTCTTTACCTCGTCTATCTTGATCTAGTTCCAGTACGTTTCTAATTCTTTTAAATTTTTTTTGATTCCCTTACTTAGGGTTGGCGGGTTCTTATCCGGAAAAATTCGAATTTTCGGTTTTCGATATTTTTGGTAGATACTATCTAGGGTAATCGTGAAGAATTGGGGATACACTTTTAAAAACCTTAAAAATAATTATTTTTTTCTGAAAATCGTTTTATATAGGTAATCGACTATGCTGAACACGAATCCGATAAAAGATATTGTCAAATATGACATTTTATCTATGATTTCTTATCATGTACTTGATTTCCAGCTAAGATTCTGTTGTCATAACTTTGTTCAGAATCATTCAATCGAGCTCATTTGGTGCCATTCGACTCATCTCGACGAGCTCTTTCGAATGAGGGATCATTTGTATAATCGAATTTTTTGACCCCAAAAATTTCCAAATTTCGGGGTTCTGTAACTCGGCCGAATGTCGTCGAATTTTGTTGATTTTGGTGTCGTTCGACTCAGCTTGAGGAGCTCTTTCGAATGAGCTATAATATGTATAATCGGATAATTTACCCCTAAATCGACCTTACTTCCCCCTATGGGTTTTCGATTTTCGGGTGCCTATATCTCTGCGAGTTTTCGTCCCCAGCAAAAAATTCTTGCATATTTGAACTCAGCATAGTCGATTACCTATATAAAATGATTTTCAGAAAAAAATAATAATTTTTAAGGTTTTTAAAAGTGTATCCCCAATTCTTCACGATTACCCTATCTAGTTTTGAACATCCGAAAATCTTCTGGAATCCGCCAACCCTACTCATCCACTCCTAAAATTTTTTAGGTTGAAAAAGAACATCGTTTTCGTTATGCCTGTAAGTTTGGATGACATTTGATCCCAAAAACTTTTTAATTAAAAGATAATAAATCTCAATGGCAACGTGCTGGAAAAGCTGAGAGAGCGCAATTTGGACGTTTATTTCCACACCCTGACAATCCTATTGGGGGAGATCAAGTAAAATAAATAAATGTTAAAAATAATTATTAATATTCCCCCAAAATATAGTTGGCACAAAATGGACAAATTATTAGTTTTGACAAAGTTAAACTGACAAATAATGGTTGGAATATTTTAAATATATATTTTTTTTAATTTTCTAAAAATATTTTTCAGCAGAAAGTACAAGTTCAGATCAAGTAGGTCTTTAAAGTTAAGTAGGCAGACCTATTTTATAAGACACACCATTGGGTTTAAAAATGTTTTCCTTATGAATAATGAGGGGTAGCTTTCTATAGTTGGAGGGATGTTCGGGTTGTAGGTCTGTTCAAATTTTTCACAAACCCTCTGACATCCCTTGAAATCTGCTGGTATCCTCCTTGCTCCCGCCAATCTTTACGGGATTAAAGAGGATTAAAGAGAGATATATTAAAGAGGATAATCAAGTAGGGATTACAGAGTCGCTTTCCCCTCTACCCAACAGGCAATGACCCTAGGAGCTCATGGAGGGATTACGGAGAATATATCATAGGGGGTAGCTTTCCCTTAAGCAATGTAAATTTAAAAAAACGTCTGTTTATGAGGTCAGACTTTTAAAAATAAATTAAAAAATACTCTTTTTTAAAAGCTTCAATTAAATTCAATGCATAAATATCGTCCTCGAGTACACGTTTTTTGTATACCCAAAGGACATCCTTTAATTATCAAAAAAGGACAACAACAATTATTTAATAAAGAAATGAAGACTGTTGAGGGGTTGAAGAGGATTGCTAATGGGCCTTTTGATTATAAAACGTTTTTGTTTGAGGTAAAAATTCTGATTTAGTGGCTGGATTGAGATTAGGGAAGGTCCCCGTCCCCGAAAGTCGAGGAATTTGAAAGTAAAAAATTGTCCCCCCCCCCCCCCCCCGTGGCGCTGCCTCCCCGAAAATTGTTTTCATGCCCCCCCCCCCCCCCGCCGGGGACCAACTCTAATCGAATTGAGATCTCAATTAAAAATCTCAATAAGCGATAACCCAGTCCCTTCTCTACTTGGTATACGCCCTTGTCTACCGCAGGCCTTCTAAATGGGGGGGGGGTGTATAGTAGACCGACCTTCTCCCCCATTTAAATTTCAGAATAATTTTGGAACTAAACAATCTAATGGAATAACTAGGAGAAAGGGAAATTAGTCTTTAAAAGGGTTCTTGCTTCCCCAAAATAATTTGAGGGAGCCATCTTTCCATATAGCCTCTATATTTAATACCATATACATTTTAAGAGCACAACATTTGTCGCCGTCACTGCTTACCAAAACCAATTAGTAAGGATTGACGTTTTTAATTGTTTTGTGTATTTTCTCTTCTAGGTCACTCAAAAGAAAATTGAATTAAATCCTTTTGCTAAGGGTTTTAGAGATCAAAAGAATGAAGATTTGACAGATGAAAGGCTAGTTTGGTTAATTTTTGGAAAATTTAAAAAATAACGAATAAAACCCTTAAACCGCGCCCTAACACCGACCACATACCGTAAATATTCTAATAGACGCCTTTGACTTCTATTAGACGATCTGGGACTCGTTGAGTGAGTTTCTAATAGAGATTGGGCTTCTATTAGAATATGTACGGTATTTTCTTCCCTGTCCAGAAAGTAAGAAATTCCCGAACTCTAGTATCCTTCCCCGGCCTGCAACACTTCCCCGACCTCTAATAAAATTTAAATTCAAAAATTTTTTCTTCCTTAAATTTAAGATTAGCCTCCAACTGTCTATTTGAACCATCAGAAATAAATAAACAAAGTCCCTCCTCTTCCTCAACATGTTCAAAAACACCACAAAAACGTTTATTCCCAACAACACCGTATTCGCCTTCTCCTCCCTTCCGAGCTCCCCCATTTTCAATGCTTTCTTCAATTGGACTTAGATGGATTCCAAACTTGACCTCCAATACTCAAATAGCTCTACATCCATATTTTAGAGTATCAGAAGAAAGGAAACGGAACAACAACATTCTAGACTCTAATAGCCCTTTAATGGAAAGTAGAGTTTCTAAAGAATTTTCAGACGAATACTCTAATGGCCCTTCTTAAGACTCAAACAGAATGTTGATCTTTTGGGTAAAATCAAAATTAAAAACAATGGTCATTGGGGCTGTGCGCCAAAATTTTTGCGTTGTGCGAACGCCAATGGCAAAAGCAAAATGTTTGAAGCAGAAACAAAATGTTTAAATTCTGGTTTTTAAAGTTTATTTACGAAATTCTGATTTCCAAGTTTATTTTTTTTCAAAATTCTGCTTCAAGTTTATTCTGCTTCCAAGTTTATTTTTCTGTAATTCTGGTTTTAGATTTAATTTTTCAGAATTTTGTTTCAAGTTTATTTTTGATAGTTCTGATTCTAGGTTTATTTTTCCGAAATTCTGATTCCAAGTTTAGTTTCGAAATTATGTTTCAAGTTTTTCAAAATTCTGATTTAAAGTTTATTTTTTCTATGGCGCACAGCCCTGAACTTGAAGCTGTTAGCATATCCTTCTTTAAAAAAATCCCCTCATACGGTGCCATTAATTTTTAAAAAAAAATTTTCTGGTCAATAATTGTAATTTTTTATTGTTATTCAAAAAATTTTTTTATAATTTTTTTAATAAATTTTTATTTGAATAAAAAAAAAAGAATTTTTTATTTAATTTTGAGAAGCTACCGGGAATTTTATAAATTTTCTTTAAAATTGTCAAGCACTTTCTTCCTTAATTTCAATTTTTTGTAATGCTACATTCAACTGTTCTTCTTCCCCCAAGTTTATTGTTTTCCGCCTTTTATTTGTTTCTTTTGTGTAATAGTCTGTACTGACAACGTCTCTAGGCTTCTGAAAACCTCCTGTCTTTGATTGAGTTTGAAGCAAAAGCTAAATATTTAAATTCTGGTTTTTAAAGTTTATTTTTTTCAAAAAATTCTGATTTTCAAGTTTATTCTAACAAAAATTCTGATTCTAAGTTTATTTACGAAATTCTGGTTTTAAAGTTTATTTTCCAAGTTTATTTTAAGAGAAATTCTGATTCTAAGTTTATTTTTCCGAAGTTCTGATTCCAAGTTTAGTTTCGAAATTATGTTTCAAGTTTTTCAAAATTCTGGCTTATTTATTCTGATTTATTTATTCTGATTTCAAGTATATTTTCTAATCCTCTTAAACCTCAAAATAGTAATCAACTAACAAATAAGTTACCTGCCCACCTAACCACCCCAAACATTTATTAGACTCCAACTGATCCTTTTCTGTCCTATTCATTCCACAAATTTGTGTCGTAACTTGCCTAAGAGGTATATAACCAGTTGTCATTCCCTTTAAAAATTTTTAGAATTTTTAAAAAATTTTCTACATACTTTTGCGCCGTCTCTAGCTGCACTAGTTTCATCCACGCGACAAAAACGAGGCAACGCCTAAAAATTAAAATAAATAAACTTTTCACTAAAATTCTGATTTTAAAGTTTCTTTTCAAGGGCTGCTTCAAGTTTATTTTTTTAATTCTGATTCCAAGTTTATTTTTTAAAATTCTGTTTTCAAGTTTATTTTTCTGATTTTATTTAAAGTTTTACCTTAAATTTTTAGAAATTCTGATTTTGCTTCAAGTTTATTTTTTTAATTCTGATTCCAAGTTTATTTTTTAAAATTCTGTTTTCAAGTTTATTTTTCTGATTTTATTTAAAGTTTTACCTTAAATTTTTAGAAATTCTGATTTTGCTTCAAGTTTATTTTTTTAATTCTGATTTCAAGTTTATGTTCTGATTTTATTTAGGTAAATGTCCAGTTGACTCCCCACCTGTCCGCAAAGAGAATGCGCATTTTTCCTTCCTTTTCTTGCATTTTTTTCTGCAAAGAATGGCGCCAATTTTTCCCTTATGTATGGTATGCCCTTTGACTCATGAAAAGATGTGTAGAAAAAAATAATTAAATTTTTATTTAAATAAATAAATTTATTTTATAAAAGGTAATCAAATAAGGTACCTATCTTCACTTAAATAATTGGAACATCACGCGATTTGGAATGGTTCGGAATAGGGTTTTTTGAACACAACCGGTTATTAACTAGTACTCCCGGTTTTTGGCAAATTCAAATTTCAAAAACGCGGTTCTCGTTTTTGAGTTTTGGTTATATACCGGTTTATTCAGAGGCCGATCAATCTAGCATTTAATAGAAGCTGATTTGCCAAAATATCAGACGGTCTTCATCCTTTTTATAATCATATAAAATGATGTTGTCCCTTTGATCTTTTAGAAAAATAAATAAAATAACTAAATTTATTAATATATTTTTTCTACATATCTTTTTATGAGTCAAAGGGCATAAGGGAAAGGAAAAATGGGCGCCACTCATTACATCAAAAAATGCAAGAAAAGGAGTGAAAAGTGCGTTTTCTTTTTGCGGACAGGTGGGGAGTCAACTGGACATTTACCTTTATTTATTTTTAAGTTTTACCTTAAATTTTCTATAAATTCTGATTTTCAAGTTTCTTTTAAAATTCTGATAATAAGTTTATTTTTCTAAATTCTGATTTTATTTTTTAATTCTGATTCCAAGTTTATTTATAAAAATCCACCGCTTTGCTTTCAATTAATTCTTTTTTCGACCACTGTCTCCCTCCAATACTTTTGGCTATCACTTGACGTTTTTCCCCAAATTTTGGATTTCTATATTTAGCTTCCGGATTTGGTTGAGACCACAAAGTTAAAATTCTTTCAGTTTGCTTTGGATCTGTCAGGATTTCTTGGCAACGCTTCTTTGCTTCTCCTTCCTTTAATTTTTTAATTAAATAAAATTTCAAAAAATCTCTAAACATGTTCAACAACTCGGGTAACTTGTTCTCTAATTGCTCCAAACGGTGATTGTCCAGATTGAGTAACCGAAGAGGCTCTGCTTAGTCTGGGAATGATTGAAGGGTTGCTTCCGTGTAATTCTTTAGTCGAGTGGATTTTTATTGCTTAAGTTTTTGTTTCAAGTTTATTTTTTCAAAATTCTGATTTTTAAAGTTTATTATAATTCTGCTTCAAGTTTTAAGAAATTCTGATTTTTTCATTTTTTTCAGAATTTTAATCGTAATGCTTATTTTCTATAATTCTGATTTTCAAGTTTATTTATAAGTTTTGCTTCAAGTTTTTAAGTTTATTTTTTTAGAATTTTAATTAAATCAGAATTTTCTATAATTCTGATTTTCAGGTTTATTTTTTGTATTTTTTTCAGGTTTATTTTTAAATTCTGATTTATTTTTAGAAATTCTGATTTTTCCAGTTTATTTTCTTACTTGTATCTCTGCCTGCCTGGTTTAAAAATTTTTACTATAGTTTTTAAAAAATCCATATCTTGGCTAAAAATCGTCAGATCTTAATTTAAATCGTTGAGAAATTAGATAAGACTCTGATTAATAAGTATGGAAAAAATAGGGTTAATCGGCGCGATACAAAAATTTTTCTCACGACGTTAATTTTTAGATAATAAAAAAATGTTACAAGCAAATAAATCTAATTATTTTCGAGAATTAAACAGAAAAGGAGTTGAAAAGAGGCAGAAAAAAAAAGAAAAACAAAATGAAAAGACAAAGAATGCTTCTTTGGCGCGAAGAAAAAAAGGTCTTTTGTTTCATTTACATTACATTTTAGTCTTAATGTTAAATTTATTTTTAGTCGTTTCTGATGTTCCAACAGTTGCTAATGAATCTGATACAGAATGTAATGAAGGTGTTTCTTCAACAAATTTGTCTGACTCAACTGAGTAGGTTTATAAATTATGGAAATATTAATTACTCCGTGCTTTTAAAAATTTTATCTTTGAAAATTTTTTTAAATTCAAGTCTCGTCAAAAAAGCATTTTTCGCTCCATTATCAATGAGTGGAGCAGATAGAGACGATTCTCCCTGTATTCCTGTTCAAAACAAAACTCTTCCAGAAATTAAAGCTGAATTAATACGTCTATTTTTAAATGTAATATTTTTTGATTTTCCTTCTTAAAATATCTTTTTACTTTTCAGATTCAAGAACTTAGTCATTCCGTTGTCGGACAAAATGCATTTCAAGTGGAATATAAAAAGTTGGCTTATGTTGGAGCTTCAAGAACAGTTAAATTTCAAGGTTTTAAGCTTAAAGGTAATTTCATGTATAAATTTAATTATTTTAGTGGATATTCTAACACCTCCAAATCAACGAAGATACTCTCAAAACTCTATTACTTGTTCAGAAATAAATGATTATTATGTTGTTCAATTTACTTTGATTTCTGGTAGATTTCTTTAAATTTTATTTTAATTCTGTTCTAGGACCTCTTCGAAGATTTCGTCGATTATTTGAATATTTTTCTACTGTTCTCCAAAGTTCACAACGGGCTGTTTTCCCGCGTAAAATTTCTTCAACATTATCCTTTAACTCTGATGAAGCTCACTCGGTGGATATGCAAATGTCAGATCAATTAACTACACTTTCTTTTTCACCGTCCACCCGTATTAGATCTCGTAAAAGTGATAAATTTAATTATTTTAGTGGATTTTGATTGTATTTTTTTCAGCTTCTCTTCTTAAACCCGTTTCAACAAATCAAAAGAAGGCTTCCACTTCTTTTCAGAACTCCGTGGGCTATTGCATTTTTTGTTCATCTTCAAAAATTAGATACGGTAGAAGACATTTTTCCACGCAGTTGTGCAATTTTAACTCCTTTTACAACAATTTAACTTGCTGGTCAATTGTATTTGAACAAATTATAAATCGAACAATGAATATTGATACAAAAGAATTAACAAATTTTATCACAACACCAAAAGGAGAATCTATGGTACAATTTTAAGTAGAAATTAGAATGGAAGAAAAAATTTTCAGGTCTACATCGTCAGAAAAGGATTAGACTTTACCGATTTAGTCTACGTGGGCACGACAAAAGATTTCAATAAAAGAATTAGCCATCATCAAAAAGACAAAAGAAGAACCTTTAGGAGACAAATGGAGAAAAAAAATATCAACGCGGAAGCTTTACAACAAGCAGTTTTAATGCAAAATTTGACCCATGAAAATGCACTTTTTTTGGGTTACCTTTTCTTATATTTGTTTTTATTTATGATTTTTCAGAGGCGCTTTTAATTTTATCAGACAACCAATCCAACCTATTCAACAAAAACTCCGAACATAACAACATTCTTCGCATTTTTGAGTACAGAGTTAATCTACACGAAAAAGTATCTTTAATATTTTAATGTTTTTATTTGTACTTTTTTAACTCAGGTGCTCCATTATCACAAAATGGCAATTCAACTCCTGATAGAAAGATGGGACATGTTGACATGGATTTAAGATTTATTTAAATTATGTAATTTTAAGGATTTGGTTATTTTATAAAATGATAAAAGTTTTATTTATAAACTTGCTGTGCTCTGCCCAAAGGCACCCATTCCCTTTTGTGACTCGTATTTATTACTTCCATATTCCCAAGGTATACAAGGTTCACTCAAAATCATTTTCCGTCTTAAATGGGGTTCTCGAACACGTCTGAGTCGTTCCTAAATATTTCAAGTTTATTTTTCTGTATTTCTGATTTTTTAAATTTTGGTTTCATTTAAAAAATTCTGATTTTAAGTTTATTTTCGTAAATTCTGATTTTTAAAAATTCTGATTTTTAAGTTTTAAAAATTCTGCTTCAAGTTTAATTTATTCCTAAAAACCCCACCAACAAAGCAATCCTTTCCCGCCTTCTTTCCTCTTCATATTCCTCACTAATATAATAATTAATAACACCTTCATCTTCTTCATTTTTATTTTCTTCCTTTAATTTTAAATTATCTTCAATTTCTTCATTTTCACTGTCACTACTCATTTTTTAAATTTTTTAAAATTATTTTTTCACAAAAATAGGCCAAAAATTATTGAATTTTTGAAGAAAAATATACAAAAAATATTTTTATTTATTTAAAAAGAAAAATAAATAATAAATTTGGTGGATGAGCACCTCTTCTCTCTTTTCCCCCACTCCATTCACTACTCTTTTGTGTACATTCCCCCCAAAAAATAATTTGTGTATCCTCCACCTGCTTTTTGTTTTGCTGTTCCTCTTAAACGAGTTGTTTGTTATTTAGTGATTTTCTCTTACAAAACTTTTACCTGTCTCTCTTTTTTAGAGTTTGTTCTTTCCTCGAAAAAAGCAAAAAAAAAACAAGGGGAAGGGAATTTGCATTAAATAAATTCTGATTTTAAAAATTCTGATTTTCAAGTTTATTTATGAAATTCTGATTTTAAAGTTTATTTTACAAAATTCTGGTTTTCAAGTTCATTTTTACAAGAATTCTGATTTTAATTTATTCTAAGAAATTCTTATTTTTCAAGTTTATTTTTTTAATTCTGGTTTAAAGTTTATTTTCTGATTTTTAACTTTATTTTAATAATTCTGATTTCATATTTATTTTCCCCAAATTCTGATTTCAAGTTTTAAAAAATATTTTCTGATTTTAATTTATTTTTCAAAATTCTGATTTTATTTTTTTGCTTCAAGTTTATTTTAAATGGTTAATAAAAAGGAAGCAGACAAAGCTTAAAGAAATAATTGATTAAGAGCGCTGACACTTTCCCCCAACGAACACTTTCCCCCAACACTTTTCTACAATTAAAAATACATATTTTTATAAATGTTATTTAGTTCAATTTTTAAAAAATTTATAAAATTTATATAGTGTAGATAAACAATTTTTTGAGGCTCCTTTTTAACAAATGTATAAGTGAAGTGAGATGTTATAAAATAAATATAGGCATCTTTTGAGAGAGAAAAGGGATTTTAAAATTAACTTAAAATTAGGGTTGGCCCCCCTTCAAACGATAATTTTTAAGGTCATTTCCAAGCCCAGAACCTCAATTTCCCCGACACTTCCGTTCTTCGAAAAAAGTTTTCTCTGACGGGTCGGAGACCCATCCTAATTTGAATTAAACCTTCCGTTTTTGCCAAAAAAAAATTTTTTTTAATTCAAAATAAAATTTAAAAATCTCCTCTCCCCCAGAAAAAAATAAAAGTAAAAGGCAATTCAATATTCAATATAATATTAAAATTTAAAAATAACCGAAGTTCTCTACAACTTTCTAAAACAACAAAGAGATTTCTTGTCCAACAAATTTTTTAAACTTCTTTTATTAATCTTTCAATTCCATCGCCCTTTCGTAATAGTCAAAGAGAATCTTTAAAAAAAAATTTTTAAATTTTCAAAAATTAAAAAAAATACTTTAGGCGCCTCATTCTTCAAAGTTTCCGTAAGGACTGATTTGATTGACCCATCTTTCATAACAACATCAGCAACAAGATCCATTATCCCTTCAATTCCGCTCGGGTGGACACTCGTTATCAGAGAAATATTTGCGACATTTAATTTGTACTGCTTCTTTGTCAAAACTTGAAAAGCAAAAAAATTTTCAAAAAAATGTCAAAATTAAATAACCTCCTCCATTTTCATTGTTTTCTTTAGCATGCTTGCGTGTAACAACACCAGCCCCAGACTGGCCTTCCAATGAATCCGAACGCAAGGGGGTTGTGTCCTTGCTGAAGGAATTTGTGGAAGCAGTCGTTTTTCCTCCATTGCTGGAATTGCTTCCCTTAAAAAATAAAAAAAATAATTTGCGGACAAATTTAGCGGATTAAAATAAATTTGCGGACTAAAATAAAATTAAAAATTCCACAAACCTTTCTCTTTGTGAAGGATGTAGATCTTGCTCGTGTGCCCGGAAACTCTTCCAATTTTTGCTTCTTCGTCACTGGCTTCTTGTCAACCCCAACAGAACTAGCTCGCTTCTTCCCCTTCTTCCTTCCATTTTTCTTCCCGTTTTTGCCATTTGAAGAGACTTGTTTAGAAGCAAAAGAGGTTGTAGGCTTGGAATCTTCAATATTTTCCAATTTGGCCTCCTTTTGTTTTGAAGCTTTAGTCGGAACAAGACCCTGGGATCTCTCGTACTTCTCAATGGCTTCGTAGCAATGACGCTAAAAAATAAACAATATTTTGAAAATAAATGGAAATCTGAGGGGCCAGGGACTTGTTTTCCGGGGCTGGTAATTTTTCCAGTTTTTAACATGGACAAAAATTTCCCCTCTCATCCCCCCCGGAATCCCGCTTAAAGATTGAATAAACCAACAAAAAGCAAACCAAATTATCTTCCGGTTCCCACGAAGCATCCGAGATGGCATAACCCTTCCAGAAGACGCGGTACTCGATTTTCCCTTTATGAAGCTTGTCCGACCGTTTACCAAAAATGTAGTCAACCTTAAAAATAAATTTGGATAAAAAATACTTCAGATTATTCAAATTAACCTCATATTGAGGGACTTCCTTCTTAATATTCTTCCTTCCAACATTTCCACTTTTTGGCGCTTTTCGTTTCTTTGTCTGTTTCTCCAATTTATCCATAGTGAATATTTGCGGTTTTTTAATTGTCCTTCTGTTGAAATTAAAAAATAATTTTTTTAAATAAGCGTTGTTTGGAGAATTTGTGGTCACGAAGAAAAAGATAATAAAATGAAAATAATTTTCTAATAAAAAATCTGAAAATAGAACAAATTGTTGATGAGTAGGAATGGAAATTTAGAAAAACCTTGACATGGATTCACGATTTTGGTTGAGGAATTTGAATCAGATTCTTGACCTCGAGTCAAGGAAAAATCAGGGAACACTGAGAAATGTCTTGACTCTGAATTCAAAGAAAATCAAGGTCTGGATTCAAATCCAGACCGATCTCTATTGAGCTCCTTGGTTTCTCCTTAACTCCAATAAAAACAAAAAAACTTTTTTAAATGACCACACAATTCCAAACAAAATTTACAAATTTAAAAAACCTCGAAGTAACAGTCTCATTACTCTCAACATTCTCCACGTCAATAAAAACATTGTCCAAATTTATCTCATCCATTTGCTCTTCCATTTGCGGAACATAGTCGTGATCCGAAAAGGAAATATTTTCTTCTTTTACGTTGTGGGCCATTGTTTCTCAAAGAAAAATTTTGTTTTGAAGGTAAAATTCTGAATAAATAAACAAAAAAACAAGAGATTTTATTTAGAAAACATTAACTTAATTAAGAAGAAAAAACCAATAAAATCGATTAGAAGAACGACTAGAAAAGTTTATGGAGAATAAATCTTGGCGGAAAAAGTAGAAGAAAAAAACTTTGTTTTTATATTCGATATATTGATTTATTATTTACGATTTGGGATTTTGAAATATTTTGCCAAGCAGAATTTCAAATTGTCAACTAAAGAGAAATACATAATATCTAAATTTAAAAAGGGTAAGGAGTTGTTTTTATTTTTTATTTCCTTTTAGGGTTTTTAATTTTTTTTGAATTAACTAAAGTGTTAATTTTTTTTAGAAATTCTAAAGGGATTCGCGCCCTATTGAATATACAATAAGAATAAAAACTATGCAAACCAATTTTTTTCTAGATAACAATCTTTTGCTTTTTTAAACATTTAAATATTTTTTCAGTATTTATTGATTGCTAGGGAATACTGAATTGGGGGTAATATTAAATTTTCTCTTTTTTGCTAATCATTTACTGAAAAAAATTAAAATTCACACACATTTTTTCTCTTTTACTGGATTTTTTTTTGCAATTTTTTTCTCCAATTTTAGCCTTTATTTAAATTTTATTTTATTCGACCCCCGGGAACGGGGGGGAGGTCTTCCCGCAGAGCCTCCGTTCTCCGTCCCCGCACATAGAATTCCCCGCAACCCCCGTTCAATTGCCCTGAAAGGTCGCACCCTAATTTAAATTGGCTATTTGATTTTTAACTTGCAAATATGTTTTTAGTTTAAAATATAAATAGGTAATAGTGTCGTTTCCAGTCCCCCTTTTTCCTCCCCAAGCTTTTCCTATAAATTTGTACAAAATGGGAAGACTTTTCCTTCTTTGATCACAATTGCCTTACTATATTTTACCCACAAACAAACAAAAATGATTATTTTTTATCCAGTTTTTTAGAAAGGAAGAAAAGTAAGTGAAAGAAAAGTCTGTCCATTCTGTACAAATTATAGGAGAAAACTTGGGGAGGAAAAAAAGGGGGACTGGAAACGACACTATTACCTATAAATATATCCTCATTTTTCAGAGATTATATATCAAATTATATTTAAATTTAATTTATTTGCATTATTTTATTTATATATTTTATGTCGGACAGTTCAACAACAACAACAAATGACTCTCCTATAAAAATTCGTGATGCTTCTTTATCTTCATCGCGTGGTGGACACAAAGGGGGTTATAGACCTAAGAAGAATTTGCAGCAACAAATTGGGGTATTTTTTTTTATTTTTTTTTAATTTGCGGTTATTTTTTGCGGAGTTTTTTTTTAGTTTTTATGATTTTTATTCTTGTTTTAAGATAGCCAAATTTATTTTAATTTTTTTCGTGAGCGTGGGTGGTGTAGGTGGTAGTGGTGGCGTTTATGTAGATTTTCGATGAGGGTTCGATACCTCTTGGGGGTTTTTTTGTTATTTTTCTAGTTTATACACGTTTAATTTGCTTTTTTTAATTTTAAAAAATTTTTCGTCTTTTTTTAACCGTTAACGACTTTGTTTTTTTTTGTTTTTTTTTTAAATTATTTTGACTTGATTGTAAAATTAGGAGTATTTTTTCTTTCAATTTTTCTCTTTTTTTCTTTTCAAGACTCTTTTTCTTTTAAGGGAAAAAATTTTATCATTAGCTAAAAATTCCTAGCCTTTTTAAATTTTTATATCCAAAATCCGCAAATGTTGTCCGCAAAATTAAAAAAAATTTTTCTAGTTATTAGAAGGAGAAATAAATAAAGACAATGAAGTGGATCTCAAAGTTTCTGACATTAAAGAGGACAATAATGATGGGGCTATTTTGGCTGGAGAAATTGAGAAGGTGGAGATTGCTGATGACAATGTTGTTATGTACCAAAAAAGTGATGAAGATGATGAAAGTAGTGACAGCAGTGGAGTTGATTTGACTTTGGAGAGGGATCCGAAAAGTTTTTTTTCTTTTAATTTTTAAAAATAATTCTCTTTTAGGATGCGATTTTTGTGGAGATTTGACTCATAAAAGTCGTTATTGTTCTGTTTTGGGTCAACGGTCTGAAGTTGGTGGAAGTGGAGGAGGAGGGGGAAGTAATCCTCCTTCAATTGGTGGTGTTCGGACATGTTTTCATTGTTTCGAAGAGGGGCATATTCGAGTGGATTGTCCTAAACGAAAAGGTTTTTTTTTAATTTTTGAGGATTTTTAAAAATATTTTTTAAAGTAACAACCTGTTTTTACTGCAATAAACAAGGACATCTTAGAGCTGATTGCCCCAAAAGGGCTAATTTGGAGACTAAAAAGCGGGAAAGAGGTTTCTATTTTATTTTAATTTTTTTGTTAGTTAGAAAAAGGAAAAATATCTCTCATACTTCCGATTTGGATTGATAAGCATCTTCCAAATTTTAACCCTGAAGAATCCCTTTGGTTTTTGATTTTTCAATGTAGTGTAGAAAACCCACCCCCTCCTCTGGTTGCGGGCTTATCTCGGTCCTTAGTTGAATCCTTATATTAATTTTGGTGTCATTCAGCTAAGGGTGGGCTCTTTTAAATAACATATTGTCTGTCCGAATCGGATTAGAGAGCTAAATTTTATCAAAAAAAATTTTTTTATTTAAAGTTACCTACACTTTCCGCAAACCTTCCAGCAAAAAAGAAGAGAAAGACGACACATCTCCACCAATTAAGGATGTTTATGAAATTCCTTCTAGTGGTTGTGAAGACAATTCTGACATAAAAAGCATTAAAGGTGAAGAGAAATCTCAACATCACATTTTTGTGCCTCTCCCTGTTCCTGCGTCGCAAGTTAGAGCGCCGGTTATGCTTCGAAGTAAATTTATTATTTTTGTTAATTATTTTAAGGGAGTAATATCAAAATTTATTAGAAAGACCGTTAACACGCCGGGTGGTGTAGTTGGTAGTGGGTTAGGCTTACCAGTGAAAAATGGGTTGGGTTCGAATCCCTCTGTTGAAAAACATTTTTAATATCAACTTAATAATTTTTTTGGGAATAAAATTTTTATTTTTGAAGATTTAAAAATTTATTTTAGATTTTTAGAATCAAAATTAGTTTTAAAACAGTCTAACGATTATTTTTTTCTTGAAAGAGGTTAAGGTTCGAATCCTTTTGGTGAAATTTTTTGATTAAAATTTTTATAAGCCAACCAAGCTAGGTTGATGGATCTCTTTCTTGCTACATAAATATACTATTTTTAGTGGTATTTTAGGCGGGATAATCTATTTAAAAAAATTTTTTTTAATTAAAAAATTTTTGGGACACGCCCAAGTAGGCGCGCGGCCATGTAGGCGCAAAGCCATAACTAGCTGGAAAATTTCTTGCCATTATCAATTTTGGTACCAACCTCTTTAGCTCGATGAGAGGAATCGTTTAATACTAAATTTGGTAAGATTCGGAAAACCTGAAGCAAGTTATGGCTTTGCGCCTACATGGCCGCGCGCCTACTTGGCTGTACCCAAAATTTTTTTTAATTTTTTAAAGGTAAACTTTTATCTTCTGACAGTGAACCTTCAATTTCTCATAAAATTTTGCGTTCTGAAAGTTCTGAGGAGGAAGATGATATGGAATCTTGTCATGAAAGTGATGATAATGGTGAAAATGATGGAGAAGGAGGAACAAATATTTTGAATAAAGAAAATTCTTTGGAGGAAACAAAAAAGAAAGTTTTGGATATTCAAAGTAGAATTACTCTTCAACCAGCAATTGTTAATGACAAAAATGAAAATAATTTGGGTGAAGAAGATGAACTTCAAACTATTTCTGTTGAGGTTTAAAATTCTTTTAATTATTTAAATTTATTACTCCCCTCCCCCGAAATGGAGAAAAGGAAATTTTTTGCATGCTAAGAATGAATTGCAGCTAAAAATCTTCCCCCCTCCTTTCTGCCCGAAAAATCCTGCCCACAGTTCTGTATGTAACGATTAGTCATTGTTTTTTAAAAAGCACAGTCACGCACTACACTCTAGTTCGAATCTTTAACCTCTTAACTTAAAGTTACTCAGATTGTCCGTTCGAAGAGTTTTCTCAATAATTTTTAAATTATAAAAAAATTCTTCAAAAAATTTCCTTTTTTAGGTTGATGGATGTGTTGAATTTGACACAGATGATGATTCAAGTTATCATGACTGTTCTGAAGGCGAAGATAACGAGAACCGTTTAAAACGTATAATGGAAGAAGATGAATGTTATGGAGAAGATGGGGCTTTAATTGATGAAGGTTTAGATTCGAATAATTGTATTGAGGAGAAGAAAGAAGAAGACAAAGTGGAAGGGGGGAAAGGGAAAGTAACGGTTGAAGAGGAAGAAGAAATTGAGGATTCTTCAACAATGACAAGTGAAGTAATGACTGAAATTGAAAATGAAGATAAAGAGCAACAGAAGACTTTGACTTGAATAAATTGAGACAAAAAATTTTGTGGAGGGAAGAGAGGGGTAATGAAGAATTTTAAAGACAAATGTGCCTATATACAAGTTTATTTCTATTTAAAAAATATAAAAAATTTATTTTTATTTGTTATAGCCTTTAAATATGCGCCTTTAAAAAGATAGCGTTCAGTAATTTTATGCATTTTTAAGTTTAATTTTTTTGACTTCCAGAAATAGGTTAATAAAACGGGTCAAAACAACACTTCCAAGTTCGAAAAATGAAGTGGTTTCTAATTTGATTTTTGGAGGGTTAAGTTTGTTAGATTGTTCCGGTCCTTGGTTCAATATTTTTGCGACTAAATTTTTAAAAATCACTGAACGCTTCCACAGTATTATTGTTATATCTAGGGTTGCCAAAATGGACCGACTCGGACCGAAAGATCGAGTCATGCCTCGATGATTGGCCCGAAAAAGTCTCGTACCGGCCCGACTCGATAAATTTGGGCCCGAAAAAGACTCGTAACGGCCCGACTCGATAAAGTTAGGCCCGAAAGTGACTCGTACAGGCCCGACTCGATAAAAACAGGCCCGAAAAAAATTGTCTCGGAAAAAGTCGGCCCGACTCGAACGAGACTCGATAATATTTTTACCAGATTTGTGGACAAAAATGGATGAAATCTGGCTCCTTGGCCTTCCAAAATTCGAAAAATTTTCGCCTGCGGCGCTGAAAAAGGAAGAAGTTTGGTCCTTAGCCTTCCGAATATCTCAAAATTTTTGCCTGCGGCGCTGAAATGAAGGATTTTTAGCTCCATACTTTGCTTCACATCTCGAACTTACTGGCTTTAATTGACAAGCTGGATTACTGGGAGTTATGGTATATATTCCGCGGGATCCCTTCATAATTTGAACTTTTGTAACTCAATCGGTTTTGAGAGTCCACAATTTTCCGCAGTCCGATTTTTAACTTTAAAATACGCAGTCGCAATCTTCGGTCCACAAGTATTCCATTTATAGCGCCGCAGGCGAAAATGGTCGAAAAAAAACTTTTTCGACCATTCTTCTACTAATTTTTCCCACTTTCCCCTATTTCGGGGGGGGGGGGGGCTCTAGCAGCCCCACTGGACACGCCCTTGGATATCCCTTCAAACGCCCCTCCCCGATATCCCTTCAAATCTCCTCATTCCTTCTAAATCCCATTACAATATATCACCTTAATCATCTGATATACGATCCTGAACCCCTTAATCATCTGATCTCCTTTAATAAAACCAAATCTAGCAATATCTCACCCCAATCCTCCGATAATTTAAATCACCTTAATCCCTCAAATCCACTGATATCCATTTCAATTCCCTTCAGCCCTTCCTTTACCCTCCTGATCCATCGATATACCTTTTAATTCACAGATATCCCTCCAAATCCACTAATTATTTTTAAATAAATCTTTTAAAAAAAGACTCGAAAATGTCTCGGTGCCCGACTCGATAAAGTCAGGCCCGAAAGTGACTCGTACCGGCCCGACTCGATAAAAACAGGCCCGAAAAAGACTCGTATCGGCCCGACTCGATAAAGTCAGGCCCGAAAAAGACTCGTACCGGCCCGACTCGATAAAAACAGGCCCGAAAAAAAATGCCTCGACCGTCGGCCCGACTCGAAAACGGCAACCCTAGTTATATCCCAGCTTTAAGGCATTTACTTTAGACCTTGTTTTAAATGATTATTTCATTCCACATTATTTATTTGAAAAAATACTTAAATGCTTTTTAAAATTTTTTTGGGCCGAATTTTTTGCCGACAAAAACGTACCGAATTTTTATTTTATTAATTGCAGAATGGAAACAATTGAAATTAAGAAGCATTTAAAAGCAAATTATAGACACAATTTAAATTTAAAAAACAACAATAAAATACATTTAAGTGATAGTCTATCAAATAAAGAGAAAGATATGCAAAAAGGTCACCAGTGTTTTTATTTTATTTTTTGACTAGGCAAACTCATATAGCAACGAAATTGCAAATAAAGTATTTAAACGGACTTGTTCTTCAGGGTCTTTCATTAGCTGCATTAAACCTTTAAAAATTCAGATTAAAAAAAATTCAATTTTTAATCAAATTACCACTAAAAATAAGATCAGTAGACAATGTAGCTCTCAATTCTGGTGTTAATGCAGTTAACATAAATCCTTTTTAATTAAATTTTGTTAAAATAGATTTAATTAGGAAACTGTCGTTCACGTCACACCCCATTTATTCGCAAGACTACTTATTTGACTACGGACTGAATTCGATTGCCACCCCCATTTAATTGCAAGCTAAAAAATGGCACAAGTTACCCTATTGAAGTTCGAACGAGCTTTGCTCGGTCCTAAGTTCTGCATGCACAACATCGGCTGTTCCAATTGCGAATAAAACGGATAGACTAGACAAATTCTTTAAATCAAAAAAAAATTTTTACCCATAAGTAAAGCAGCATTTGAACGTATATGAAAAGATGCACTTCTAAAGAAATTATTGCAATCCAAAGCATAATTATTAAGTCGATCAGGAAATGAAATTGACTTTAAAAAATAATTAATTAAAAAAATTTCCTCTTAAAAATAACCAAAATAAGTCCAAATTGTCTAAGAAAATCAGAATAATTTGTTGGTAACCTTTCATTAATTAATTCATTTTCTACCAAAGTTGTGGCATGGTCAGAATTGAGTAGAGGAATACATGTTGAAAGAACTTTGGCACAACTCTGTTGAGAAAAAAAAATTTTTTTGAAAATAATTATGGATTAGTTTTCTTATGGAACCGATATAAACTGAGCCGTTCCCTATAATGACATCATTAAAAAAAATGCCGAATCGGGTTTTCAAAAAAAATTTTTTTCAGATAAGTTATCGGCTCTAAAAAAAGTCCCCCTACCTTACTTCTTAAAATTTTTTTTATAATTTTTTGCGCTTACCAATTTAACATTTTCTTCCTTGTCATTTAAATGTAACAAAATACTAATTATATTGCTATGTAAACTTTCTTTAAATATATCATAATTTCCAACAGAAGAGCCTAAACCAGCAAAAAGAGAAAAAGCGCTAGATCTAAGCAATTCATTTTCCTTTAAAAAAAATTTTTTTTTTTTTGAATTTTTTTCCTTTGAAATTTAAAAGAAAACCTTTTCAAAACACGGCCGAATTTTTAATAATAATTGAGGTAATACATTTAAAATTAATTTTGGTTGAGATATACCAACTAAAGAGTCTAATGAAGCTATTGATTCTGTTGCTAATTGGTCTTGTCTGTAAAATTTAAAAATTAAAAAAAATTTCTCGAGGAGGCAAGGATAGGTCGTCGAAAAGGAGAAAAAATTCTCGAAAATTTTTATAAGAGGGAAAACAAAAACTGTCATTGGAAAGATAAAGAAAATTTTTCAAATTTTCGTAAAAATTTTTTTGAAAAGAAAAAATGACCTCATTCCTTCCCATTTAAAAAATAAAAAAAAACCTGTCCCAATAATCATCTAAACCAGCTAAAGCAGCTTCCACTGAACGTGAAGAAAAACATAAAATTAATTCATCTGCATCAGGCCCTTTTAAATGACTAATTTGTCCAATTCCGTGTAATGCCATTTTTCGAACAGTCAAAAGTTGATCTTTTAAAGCTCCTTCCAACGTTCCAAAAACATCGCAAAACAAAGAAGAATCAAATTCGCCATTTTTGTGAGGACAACTTTAAACAAAAAAATTTTTAAGAAGAAAAGTACTGACGTATACGTCCCCCTCTTTTTTTCCTCCACAAAATTCTCCTATTCTTCAATTTCACTTTATTATTCCCCAATAAAAAATTAACAAAAAAAGGAATTTTTTTCTTCACACCATTTTCTTGCTGTATAGTGCCTAGTTTCCGTTTACCAAAAATGTCTGACCATTATGTACATTCTAAGAAAAAAATATGGGAATATGAGGAGGAAAAAGGAGTCCGTAAATGAACCGAAAAAATTTAAATTAAAAAAAAAACCTTGTAATTAAAGAAGATAGAATAGATACAGCAACAATTCTTTCAGCATCACAAACATTTTTTAAAACATTTTCTCCACCTCGTAAACATTCACATTCTAATCTCATCAAATCACCAATAAATTGTGGACGGAAATTGAAAAGGGCACAACAAAAACTTGATAACTAGAAAAAAAAGAGTATTTTTAATTTAAAAAAACTTTAAGAAAAAAATTTTTTTAATTTTTTAAAGTGCAAAAATATTTTTAAAATAAAAAAGAATGATAAAAACAGGACAAGGAAAATGATGGACAAAGGCAGGATTCGAACTCACATTGAAAAAAACACAAGACTAAACCACTACCCATTACACCACAACAATTACACACTTAATTTCCTTAAAATTATTTATATGCCATAAGATAAAATCCATTTAAAATACCCCCAAGTTCCCAAGGTAACTTCGGTTGTCGCCCCCCTTTTTTTATTTTCTATTTTTTTCAGTTCCTATGGAAATTTCTATGGATTTTTATATACATTCGAAAGAGCTCTTCGTGCTGAGTCGAGCGGTACTAAATTCATCAAAATCCGACTTAAATAAACATAGTTATGAGCATTTGTTTTAATCCCTTTCAACATCAAAAAAAGCATGTCCACAGAGGATTTAGCCTCATAATTTTGTTCAAAATCACCAAATCTAACCGATCTTAGTATCAATCTACCCAGCTCGGATAGCTCTTTCGAATGATATATAATAAATTATATGTCAAGCAAAAAAGCTCAAAATGGTCAGGGGAACATAAAAAAGAGGGGGGGCGACAACCAAAGAATTACCGTTCCCAACTAATAACCAACCAGTCTCTAAAAACTCCCTTACCAAATAATTTTCTCAAAAAATTCTAAAAAATTTACCGCATTAATATAATGTTGAGAACTAACAATATTAGACCAAACACGCTCAGAATTCATTTTTTCAATAACATTTTCAGCATTTATTCTAACAAGGAATGTTCTTATAGCTTCAGAAACCAATTTTGCTGGAGTTTCTACACTTCGAGTTAATTCTGATGTTACTATTGGAATTATTGGTTTGGTTTTTACTTCTAAAAAATTTATCAAAAAATTTTTAAGAAAAATTATTAAAAAATGATTTAAAGTCACAAAAGATTTTTCCCTAGACTCAAAAGACCCCCTAGCCTCTATAGTCAAGACTCTAATATCCCTCTTAATTTTCCCCCCAAACCTTTCTTTCCTCCAACGCCGGATTGTGAACTTGAAGTAGTTCCAGACAAATCAACATTAGAATTCTTCTGGACATTAGAGTATTGAGTGTCAATTAAAGAAACCAACAAAATTAAAAGAGCAGAAATTATTCTTGGAACACGTTTAATTAATTCTTCTTCTGGTTCTCCTTTCTTTAAAAAAAATTTATTTTTTAAATTAAAAATAAAATCAGAATTAAAAATCAGAATAAAATCAGAAATTTTCTAGAACAGTGTAAAACATTTTCTGATTTTATTAAATTCAGAAATGAAAGGAAATTTAAATGGGACGGTTTAGTCTCAAAAAATATTTTGATATATTCTGATTTTGAATTCTGATTTATTCTGGGTCTGAAAAAATTTTCTGATTTTAAAAATTCTGATTTTCTGAAATTCTGATTTCTTAAAATTCTGATTTCTCAGAATTCTGGTTTTCTAAAATTCTGATTTTTAAAAAAATTCTGGTTTTTAAAAAATTCTGATTTTTTTTCCAAAATTCTGATTTTTTAATTCTGATTTTTCCCAGAATTCTGATTTTTCAGAATTCTGATTTTCAAAAAAAAAATTCTGATTTCATTAAATAAAAATAAAATTCTGAAAAAACCTTAACAACTTCAGCAATAGCAGCAACTAACGCACAAGTATCATCAGAAACAATTTTAATTACACTTCCACCACCAATATTAATAATTTCAAAATGTGAAGAATTAAAAGGTGTTGTTATTAAATTAATTAATTTTCCACCTCCTTTCTCTTTTTCTTCAAAACTGTCCTCCTTATTTTCAACAATAACAATATTTTTTTCTTCTTGTTCAACAATTAAATCAGGAGTTTTACTGGAAGAAGAAGAAGAATTATCTATCCAAACACGTTCAAATAAAAAATCTATAATTGATGTAAAATGGGTTCTCGACATCATTTCCCAAACTTCAGAAAGTGTTCTTTAAAAAAATAAAAATTTTTTTAATTTTTTTTTGAACCAAGGGTGAGCACAAGAGGCACAATCGTGAAAAACGCAAAACGCAAGGCCAAAAATCAACGCAAAAGCGCAATGAGCTCACACCTGGTGGATACTTTTAACAAGCCCAGAATAGGGTACTTTTCCGTTCTGCCACACCCCCCTAAATTAATGTTCAAAATGTCACATAAAGGGTAAAAAAATGTGCTGAGTCCAACGGTACCATTCTTTTTTCCCGGAGATGCCTTTGGACCAAAATATTGTGCTCGAAATGGTCAAAAACCATAGGGGGAGTAAGCTCAATTTTGGGATAAAAAATTCAAATATGCAAATAATAACTCATTCGAAAAAGCTCATGGAGCTGAGTCGAAAGCCACCAAAATTACCGCGGTCTAACAAGTTTGGACCAAGTTAAGATACAAAAATGTGTGTGGTTCTTCAATTTTCAGGGACCTGTATCTCGGTCAAATCAAATCAGATTTCGTTAATTTTGGTGTCATTCGACTCAGCTCCATGAGCTCTTTCGAATGAGGTATTATTTGCATATTTGAATTTTTTATCCCAAAATTGAGCTTACTCCCCCCTATGGTTTTTGACCATTTCGAGCACAATATTTTGGTCCAAAGGCATCTCCGGGGAAAAAGAATGGTACCGTTGGACTCAGCACCTTTTTTTACCCTATATGTGACATTTTGAACATTAATTTAGGGGGGTGTGGCAGAACGGAAAAGTACCCAGAATAGTTATTTAGGTAGGCAGAAGGTAGAAATAGAAAAAATGGTACTTTGTTCATAACCCGCCCCCCACCCCTATTTGAGTCTCAGATTATTTTTCCTTCTTTGCTGTCAATCATTTATTTTCCTCCTTTTTTAATGCCAATCAATTTCTTCCCTCAAATATAAAAGGCAAGTTAAAACTTATGACATTTAAGGGTTACAGCCCAAAAGGGCGCATGGCAATAACGGCGCAAAGTCATAACTTGCTGGAATATTTTTAACCCTTATCATTTTTGTTATCAATCTCTTTAGCACGATGAGAGGAATCGTTTAATATTAATTTTGGTAAGGTTTGAGAATCTTAAAAGCAATTTATGGCTTTGCGCCGTTATGGACGCGCGCCCTTTTGAGCGTCTTATATTTGAGGGAAGAAAATGATTGGCATTAAAAAGGGAAGAAAATAAATGATTGACAGCAAAGAAGGAAAAATAATCTGAGACTCGAATAGGGGTGGGGGGCGGGATATGAACAAAGTACCGAAAAAATTTGAAATTCCCAATTCCCCAAAAAATATTTTTAAACCCCCTGAAAATATTTCAAAAATTTTTTTGAAATTCTTGTCCAAAAACATTTTAGAGAAAAATTCCCAAAAACCCACAGATTAATTTCAAAAATCAACTCAAAAAAAAATTTATAAAAAAAATAACAAACTGATTATATGGAAGTGTTTGCCTCAAAAGTACTTGAACAGCCAAATGTAAATGATGTCCAGAAAAAAGAACAAATCCATTAAGTAATTCTGTGTATGTTTGGATTTTTTCTTGTCGAGTTCTAGCCAAATGATCGAGCATATTTATTAGCAAAACTTCTGCCTGAAAAAAAAACTTTTTTTTTAGTCCGCAAATTTTAAAAATTTTGTCCGCAAAAATTATTTGCGGACAAAAAACTAAAAATAAAAAAAAACCTCTTTTTGTAATAAATTCGCTCTATAAGAGAGAATATTTGTTAATAATTGAGCAGCAGCACTGCTAACATTTCCTTGCTTGTCAGATAACATTTTGAATAACATATGAATATAATTTTGGACTTGAGATTGTGGTAGGCGACTTTCAACTTCCTTTAATTGAGGAATGAAAAAAATTTTTTCAAAAAATAATAGGTAATTTTTGGCTCTCCCTACTTTTCTAACACCTTCCAAAATATTTAAATGGTTAATTATGAATGGTCAAGGTTACATAATGGTCAAACTAATAAACATAAATAACGATTTCCATTCAAATTGTTAAATAAATTTAATTCTTTACCATTATGTAACATAGACCATTTATCTTTTTTAATTTTGGGTAAGAGAAAGGAACCCAGGGAAAATAAAATTGGGAAGAAGATACCCAAAAAAGTACCAAACAAAAAATAATAAATTTAAAAAAAACCTTGGAAATAGCCAAAATAGCTCCACTACATTTATTAGAATCTAAACGTCCTTCTTGTGTTCCACCAAAATATAATTCAATAAATTTGTCAATATTAAAAAGAGAAGAGTCAACCATTTCAACATCAGAAGGTGAATGTCCTCTATGTAATAAACTCAATTTAAAAGCAAACCAAATAGCTCTCAAAGATTGTAGACGAACAAAACTTAAAGAATCGCATAAACGAGGGCAAAAACGGGCAATAATCCAAGAAAGAGAAGAAAATTCTTTTGCTATTCCAAGTGTTATATCTGAAGCTTTTTCTGAATAAACTTGTAATACTAAAACAGTAAAATCGACAGCTCTAGCTCTTTCATGATCACGTTCACTACCATAATATTGATAAAATAACTTGAAAAAAATTTTATTTAATTATCGTAAATATTCTAATAGTAGCCCATCCCTAAAATAAGCCCATTAAAAAATAAACACCCAAGGCGTCTATTAGAATATTTACGTATATAATTAATATTCGTTAAAAGACTAACTTATTGTTAAAGGTACCACAAAGGTAAATATGTACTTATGGGTGTCAGTTCGGTTCTATAGGTCGGTTCCAAATATCCAAAGATTTCCCAAGAACCGACAAACCTCCTACAAATGCCTTTATTAAAATTGATTCATTCCCCATGTTTTAAATGGATTGATTTAATTTTTTAAATGGTTAACTCAAATATTTTTTCGAATATCAATGGGAAGACTTATTGTTAGAATAGAAGGACCCAAGTTAAAAAAATATCCCAAAAATATTTTTTACAAAAAATAAAAAAACCAAACCTTTAATAATTCCCCAACTGTAGGTCTAACACAAGGACGCATTTTAACCATATTTGCAATAGCATTTCTACATTGAATTATAGTTGCTTCCATAACTGTTGAACTATCATCTTCTCCTGTCTATAAAATAAAAAAATTTCTTTAATAATTTTTCAATAAAAATTTAAAAAAAAAAAATTAAAAAAAACAAAGGCCAAGAAGAAAAGAAAACAAAAGAAAAAAAGTTTCCCAAAAAATTAAAAAAAAAATACCAAGCCACATTTTGTGGCATCCTTTCCATCAGATTTTCCACCACCTTCTTTTTGCTGTTTAACAGAAGAACTGCTTTTTTGAACAGATCCTTTTGAAGAAGAAAATGGATAATAATAATAATATTTATTATTATCGTTATTAATATTTTGACTATTTTTGTAGAAAGTTTGTGAAAAAAGACATTGTTGGTTTAACTAAAAAATTTCTTAAATTATAAAAAAGAAAAGAAAAAATTAGAGCTGTCCAACACTTTTTAAAAAACCGAAAAAAAAGAAAAAAAATTTTAACTTCCACCACTGTAGTCAAAATAATACAATAAATGTTCTAATAGAAGCCCTGCACGTTTATTCATCAAGGGGTATCACCTACATCATAAATTCTAATAGGGCTCTATAGGGGCATATCCGTCTATTGTTCAATGGGTATCATTGAGTAGGCTTCTAATAGGGATTCTATTGGAGCCAGGCTTCTATGTGAACATTCATGTTAACTCAGAAAAACAGAAAAATTCTTTTCTTAATTTTATGTTAAACAGCTCTACCCAAAAAGAAAAAAACAAAAAAAAGTTTAGAAAGTCCAAACCAAACGAAAGAAAAGAAAATTTAAAAAGCAAAAAAACCCCTCCCAAAAAAATCCAAAAAAATATACCGCTTTTAATCCACCACGTTCTCTATTTATTGGAAATATATTTGGAATTAAAACATTAATTATATCAATAAATTCGTTTTCGCTAAGAGGAGGTTCCAATAATCTTTAATAAAAAATTCTATTAATTTAAAACTAAAAAATTTGATAAAAATACACAAGTGAAGCAGTTGCTTTACATGCACGAAGACGAATTAAAGTTGTTACTGTGTCAAAAGATTTTTCATCATTAACATATTCCTAATTAAGGGAAAAAATATTTTGAATAATCAAATTTTAAAAATAGAAAATTTAAAAACTGTCCGCAAAAAATTTGCGGATTTTCTGCAAAAATTTTTGCAGACTTATTGCCTTTTCCAATTTATTCCAGGTATTTTAACATTTTTGGCCCAAAGGAAAAAAGAAGCAAATAAAAACAAACGAAAGAAAAATCTGCAAAAATCCCCAAAAAGAAGTCCGCAAATTCCCAGAAAAATCTGCAAAAATCCCCAAAAAGAAGTCCGCAAATTCCCAGAAAAATCTGCAAAAATCCCCAAAAAGAAGTCCGCAAATTCCCAGAAAAATCTGCAAAAATCCCCAAAAAGAAGTCCGCAAATTCCCAGAAAAATCTGCAAAAATCCCCAAAAAGAAGTCCGCAAATTCCCAGAAAAAAATTTAAATAAACAAATAAAAAAAACCTTTATATAACTCAAACATTCATAGCGCGACTCAAAACGATAATCACGCAATCTATTTGGATGGACAGACAAAGCGATTAAATTTAGAGTTTCCAAGTGTGCTTCACGAAGAGAAGATTCCTTTAAAATTTTGTAAAAAAATTTTTAAAAATTTAAAATAAACCTTAGAATTTGCAGTATATTGACGTAAAAATGGCAAAACTGTATTTTGAAGTCTTAAAATTAATCCTTCAGTTGGACAGTAAAAACAAACATAGCCAAAACTGAGAACTATTGTGGCTCTCAAATTTAAAATTTCTGCATCAACAGATCTTCCATAAGGTAAAGAATCCTATAAAAAAGAAAAAAAATCTGATTTTATGCTTTATTTGAACTAGAATCATGTAGAAAAATAATCTATAAGGTATGTACCAGAGACCAAAAGATGAGCCGTCCAATTCCCGAAAATTGGTTAAGTACCAGGATTCCAACCGATCCGATTTCTAGAAAATCGGGGCCGGGTATATGTTCTTTCTTCTCTTTTTCTTGAGACCGGGAAGCTCGCGGAAGATTTTTAGACCTGGAAGCCCCAGTTTTTTATACCGTCTAGATCCCTGGGATGTATGCGAAAAAAATAAAATACCAATTTAAAAACCGATAGCTAAAAGAACATTTTTGGTTACACAACCCAATAAAAAAAACCTTAATAAAAGACAAAAATCCAACAGAAGAACCACCACTTTGCTTTTTTCCTTCCTTCATATGTTCCCATTTTGAAACATTTTCTAATTCAGTTAATACCAAATCTGCATGATCCAAAACTGAAGCACAGTGTCCTGTAGCTATTGCACAACCAATTCTTTCAATAATTGAGGAGTGTTGGGTATGTCGAAATAAAAAATATAAATGTTCTTTAATAAATGTTGGATCTTCAATTCTTGCAAGTGTACAGCCTAAACAACGCATTAAAAAAGCTTTATCTTGCGAAGATTGAAAAGAATCTGAAGCTGAAGTAAAAAGTGTACTTAATTGTTTTGCTTGGGCAGAAGCTAAATTTTGTCGCCAAGACTGGAGAAATAAAAAAAATAAATCTAAAGTCAGTATTAAACAATTTTTTGAAGGGAACGAGTAGAAGAAATAATTTTCCAGTCAAAAGAAAAAAAATTTCCACAGCTGGGTTCGAACCTCCGACCTATTCCCTAAGAACTTAAAATTCTTCCACTACACTAAAAATGTCATGGATTACAGATACTCAAAATTCAAAACCGAAACAATTTTCCGATCCGAAATCATATACCCAATTTGAGAAATTTTGAAAATCATTTCAGACACCCACCCTCCTTTTTTCCTTACCAGTGCCATCTTTAGATACCCTACCAAGTAACAAAAAATAATTTAAATAAAAAAACCTGATCATCAACAGCATTTATTAAAGAACATAATAAATCTAATATAACAGCTTGCCACCTCTCAACCCTCGAAAATAAAATTTCTTTTCCAAAATAATCATTTTTATCTTCATTTGATGGATAATTTGATGAAAATTCTTTAGGAAAAATTCTTAATAATTTTCCTCAAAATTTAAAAAAAACCTTTTTGTAAACTTTCCAATAAATGTCCAATAATTTTTGGAAATGGGGAATCTTGCTCACAAAATTTATTATTTAACCAACAAAACAATTCTCCAAATAAATTGATTGATTCTTTTGCTCGTGCATTTAATTGGGCATTTTGGGGTGCTCCATTCATAAATACAATTAATCGACAAATTAATTGGAAAGGTCCAGGAAGTTTTGCTGAAATTAGGAAAAAATTTTAATGAAAAAATCCCCTCAAGTCCGCAAAAAAGTCCGCAAAATTTTTCTCTAAAAATTTAAAAATCTCTTACAATTAGCTTCAAAATCATAAATATCCAATTTATTACAAGATTGTTTTATTCTTCCACACAGAACACGTAAGCATTTAAATATATCTGTAATTACTAGTGAATATTGTTCAACACAAACATATTCAAAAAGTTTTGGCCAAAGAAGCTGAAAATTGGGAAAATTAAAAACTGAAAGAAATTTGTTTAAGAAAAAAGTTCGCAAAAGAAAATCCACAAAAAAAGTCCCTGGAAAAATGCACAAAAAAAAGAAAATTCAAAAACTTTGAACCCTATAAATTTTCGAAATGGGGGTCAAAAGGAAAAAGCCGAAAATTGGCAATAGGTTATCGACCATGCTCTACACGATGGAGCAGAAAAAAAAACTAAAATTTTCACATATAGTTCAAAATGTTTCCTTGCTAGTCTTATATGATATTTAAAAATTAAAAATAATAACGGAAAGAAATTTAAAAGTCCGCAAAAGAACCCCGCGTAAAATTCCGCAAAGAAGGAAAGTCTACAAAAATCCCCCGTCTTATATCATATTAAAAAAATTTTAATTTTCCAAACCTCACAAGCAACTTTGCTAGTATTCGAAATTGTATATAATGCTTGAGCACATTGTGCACTCAATTGAGTAATTAGACTTGCATCACTAGACGCTTGTAATAATTGTTGTTGTTGGACTGAAGAGCGTTGCTTTACCTTTAAAAAATAAAAAAATATTTTCTTTTAAAAATTTTAAAAAAATTTAAGCAATTTTTTGAATTAAACAAAATAAGGTAATTGATCAAGCATTTAATTTTAAATTAAAAAATTATTCCAGAGAACTATACTTGATCAAGTACTTGCCCAAAATATTTGTCCGATCCATAAAATTAAAATAATAAAAAAGAGCATTTTATTATTATTAACATTCAAATCGCTGCGATTGACCACCAAATTTGCAAGTAAAAATTGTATGACATGTTCTCCCCCCTCGTCTGCTTGAACATATTCATTATCTGATAAAGCTATACATAATTGACATAAATTCATTTTTACACGAATTGATAATTGTTCATCATTTAAAAATGGTTTCATTCCCATTGTTATTAATGAACGATTTTCTTTCATTTGATCATCTAAAAATAAAAATAATAAAAAATTAATAAAAAATAGGGGGGATTTCCTCAAAGTTGTGGTAGAATCGGAGACATTTTTAAATCCCCCCCCCGTCCCTAGATCCCGTGGCGCTGCTTCCATAAAAGATTCTCCCAGAGGCCTTCCACTCGACGGGGAACAATCTTGTACTACCTCCTTGTACAACTCTAGTAGAATGAGAAGAGAAAAAATAAAAATACGGATTCAAAAAAATAAAGATTTACTATCAAGGGAAAATATTCGAAACAAGAGGAAAATTCGAAAAAATAGGGAAAATTCAGAAAAAGAGTCGGAAGAAAGCCTCAACCTCTTAAAAAATTTAAACAAAAATAAAATATTAACCAGCAGAATTGAGAAGATGTCTAAATAAATTTATAGCACCCAGTTTAACAATCTAAAAAATTATAAACAATTTGAAAATTAAATAAAAATCCGAAACCTCGCTTTGACTTTGCATTTTATGCAACAAAAAATAAATCTAGAAAAAAAATTAATCAAAATTATTTTTTTTAAATAATGAAAATAAAACCTCTTTATCAGCAGTCCTACAACTAGAAACTTGAAAACAACGAAAAACTTCATTTCGAAGTTTTATTTGTAATAAATTAGGCAAAGAGGGATCATCAACAACTTTAAAAAAATTTAATAAAAATTTTAAAAATCAGAAATATTAAAAAAAGAACTTTGATCAGCAGGAAGGCAAACATGTGGAAAAAGCATTTCAAACAAGTCATTAATGTAGTGTTCAATTGGAATGCTTTCTTCAATACAGGAAGCTTGCAGGAAATTAGAAATACCCTAAAAATTGGAAGAAATTTCCCCTTCAAATTAAAAATAAAACCATTGTAATAGCTAACTGCTCTTCAGGATTTAAAGCCTTTTTGTGTAATGAACGAAATATTGTGTCCAAACGTTTCAAATCTTTTAATATTCGTTCACGATCAATCATTAAACAAAGCTTTCCTATACATTCGGCAGCATCAGCACGACACTAAAAAAGTAAAAAATTTTATAATAAAAGGAAATAATTGGTTTAACAATAAGTTTCTTATAGTGTTGTTGGCGACCGGTTATTAACCGGTACCCCCGGTTTTCGGTTAATCTGAATTTTAGAAACCCGTTTTCGGTTTTGAGTTTTAGGCAAATACCGGTTTATTTTTGGGGGAATTTTAAATAAAATCACTTATTTTGACAAATTTCCGGTTTTCGGTTTTTAAAATTTTTTGAAAACGGTTAATTTTTGGCAAAAAATTTCAAAAACCCCGGTTTTAAAACCGGTCGCCAACAACCCTAGTTTCTTATTAAAAATTAGGAATTATTAAAGGAAAAGATGTGTTAGCCCCCCCCCCTCCCAAAATCGACACCCTAGCTACGCCCTTGCCCACTATACTTACAAGAAAAGGTTGCGAGGTGTCCGACCTAAAAACGGTCAAGACCGGGCTAACATTAACCTCCCACCATATTTTAGATTAAATATCCTAGTCAGATAAACAAACTTTATGGTCCTTTGAAGAAGTTGTCCAATTAATTATAACATCATAAGCCGTTTCAAACTGGTCAGCATAACTTTCACTAATTTCGCTTTCATCGACTGCCACACACTCGTCAGATTTAATTTCCATTTCATTATTTTGTCGTTTTTGTGTCCAAATAAATTCTTTCACTGAAAATAGTTAAAAAATTTTTTGTGAAAAACGCCCAAAACTAAAAATCAAATTTAATAAACAAAAAAATTTAAATTAGAAACCAGATTCCGCAAAAGAACAGAGAGCCTGACAAAAAGCACTTTTGATTTGGTCATTTTTTAAGTGAGGTAAAAGAGCATCTGTCCGTGCGAGAATGCTTTAAAATAAAATTTAAAAAATTATTTTAATTGGAAAAAAATATACTCGTGTAAAAACGGCAAAAAACCATCAGCTAAAAAAATAAAAAATAATCAAAAATTCCAAAAATTAGAAGAAAACAAACGATTTTTTTGTGCAATTTCTGATAATGTCAAAATAATAAATCTGTGAGGAGGTGAAGTTGAACCAGGTTGGAATTTGTGTAAAAGAGAGTCAACGACCTTTAAAAAAGTTGTAATTGATAAAATAAATTTCAAAAAATTATTTACGTGATTAACAAATTTGTCAGATTTTCCAACCAAAGAAACAAAAACGTCTTTTGCTGCATGTGCAAGTCCATTTTCAACATCCTAAAAATTTTTTTTAAAAAAACCCTTAACAAACACAAGCCATAAACCCCTCAAAAAACATAGAAATCGGTTTGGATATGAAGACAGACCTTGATTTATCTCGACCCAGAATAAAAATCAAGTCATCTTAGTGTTCCTTAATTGGTTTTTCATCGACTCAAGGTCAAGAATCTGAGCAAGATCCTCAACCGAAGTTTTTCTAAAAGTTACAATCACCAAAAAACATACCTTAGCCATACTCATTTCCTGTGTGCTAAGATTAGCAATTAATAAAATTTGTTGTTCATCACAAACATCAACAACGTCCACTTGATTAAAAACGTTTGTTAAACAACGGAAAGCAAAAGCTTTGTCTTTTTCATTCATCTAAATTGAATAAATCTAATCTTAAAAATACTAAAAAAAACCTTTTTTCCATTATCAAGCAAAAATGTATGTACAGCATTTATAAACATTTTAGGCTTTTTAACGCCTAGAGAAACGAGCGAACGTAAAGCAGCATCAGACAAAGTAGTGTTGGAATTGTTGGTTTCGGCAAAGTCAAAAAGGGCATAAATAAAGTCTGAAAAAAATCATTTTCTTGCGTTTTTCATTCAAAATTGCTTAATTACCTTGCATATTTTTTGCCATAAATAATTATCTAATAATTGAAATCAATTTAAAATTATAATATAATATCTAAAAATAAAAAATAATCTTTTTAAATCTTTTAAAGATCAAAAAAATGATTAAAAAAATAAAACAAGAAAATTTTAGATAAAATGTAAATTTGACATTTTGAAATTTAATATGCAGAAAAAATTAAAATGAAAAATTTCAAAATGTCGAAAATTAAAAATGGTCAGAATTTCCCCGAAGGAGTTCAATCTTCTCTCCTCCAAGGTGCCTATTCAAATAAAATGAGTTCAAATAACAAGAGATTAATAATTATCAGATATTTTTAACTGGAATAATATCACCTTCAGTCTTGTAAAAACGAATAAATACACAAAAAAAACAAAGATTTAACTTTAAATTTCTAAAATAAAACAAAAATAATTAAAAAATATTCATCATTTTGTCCTAACACAATAAACTAATTCCTCTTTCACATGATATAGTTTATCATCCGTTTTGTCTTTGACAAAAATATGATAGCCACGTAAAGCGTCTCCTTGTATTTGAGCGTAAAAAGGGTTTGGCAGCTTTAAAAATGAGAAAATTTTATTTCAGACTCAAACGTCCCTTTTTCGGTTTTCGGGACATTTGAGTCTTGCCTAGAAAAATAAATTTTTCGGAGCAGTTCAACTGAGTCCCGAGACCGCGAAAAATTAGGGTTTTTTCGGAAAATCAACATTTTTGGCCACAATTTCCGAAATTCTTGATCAAAAATTCTGAAATTTTTGGAGAACGTAGATAAAGGCATGAGAGTTATTATTGCAAAATTTTATCTTTTTTGATAATCAATTCACTGTTTTATAAGCTCGCGCCCTAATGGCCCCGCGCCCTAATGGCCCAGTCCCCTATCCAATGGTACCAAGAGTAACAAAAAGTAGTCATCCCTTCATAAGTATAGGGTCCGGGACTCAGTTGAGTCGGCACGAGGTTACCGTAAATTTTTATATCCACCTTAAAAAATTTTTCTTCATCAGTTCCGTCAGGAATGAAGGAAATACATCTTGTTTCTCTCCATATTTTAAAGAGTGGAGCAATTTCCGGCAGAAAATGTCTGGATCCTATATGATCTACAAAATTGTCATTGCTAAGCAAATGTGTATTTGGACCGAGATAGAGGGCACTATAAATAAAATTTCAAAAAAATTATAGCAAGTTTGGGCATATTCTAAAGCTCCAAAATATACACACTAGAAGGTCCACACTCTTTGGGGATGGAAAATACCCCGCCCGTATCTTATAATTTGGTATATCTTATAGAGGGGAGGTAACACGTTAAGCACCCCCTCACCTTACCCAGTGGCCTTAAATTTAGGTGTCTCATAGTAGGATTCCACTATATGGAGGTCAGACTATATACCAGAGGTTGCTGCTTCGCCCTTCACCGATTTTCGTTCTTTTTTGATTTTTTAAAATATGTCTCGGCACACTCCTGTGAATTTTGTTCTCAGACTCTAATTGCCCCCTTTCAGTTAAAAAAAAAATTTTAAAATTCCTCACCTATTTATTGCAAACAAGTCATCTTGAGTTGAATATTTTATATTAATTTCTGATTTGCTTAAAAAATAAAAATTAATTAGGGCTGAAATGAGTCAATCCCCCTCTCTTTCTCTTACCTTTTAAATTCTTTTTCAATTTCAAATAATTTAACATTTGGTAATTTTTGTAATTTATTTTGATAAAAATAGGTAAATGGAGTTTTTGAAATTATTAAAATTGGAAAAAATTTTTTTTCCATCATTTCAACAATTATTTTATTAAAATAAGGGAAACGTTCACGTCTATAAACGCCTCTTGCCAAATTTAATCCATCAACAATTAAAGGTTTGGAATTTTTTAAAGATTTTGTTTGTATTATTAAATTGTCAAGGGTTTTATAGAATCTTTGGTTTGCTGAAAAAAAGAAAGAATTTTCAGAATTATTATCAGAATTTTTAAAAAAACGTCTTAGTTCCCCATTTTCTTTAAAAAAAATTTTGCGGACAATTTTTTGCGAACAGTTTTTGCGGACAATTTTTTGCGAACAGTTTTTGCGGACAATTCTTGCGGACATTTTTTGCGGATATTTTTTGCGGACATATTTTTTGCAGGCAGTTTTTTCCGTCTTTTATTTCTTACAATTAGTCTACATTTTTTACTGATTATTTACGATTCTCCCACGTCTTAAAAAACAATTAAGTAATCAAAATTTTTGTCCGCAAAAAAATGTCCGCAAAATGTTCTCCCCCATCTGTCCTTAATTTTTCAGCTTTCCCTTTTTCGTTGTAATATTTTTAATACACCCCCCCCCCCCCCCATTTTATATTAAAAAAAACCCTTTGCCTGTATTTTCTCCAGAAATTCGATTTGACAATCCATCCTGCAAATGTTCTCTAAATGCGTCTCTAAGTTTTAAAAATTGTTCATTATCCAACGGCTTTTGTTCAGGTAATTTTTCTTTACAAATTGAACATTCTAATGTTTCTTTAGAAATTGTTGCTTCCTCAACCTTCCATTCTTTGTAATAACTAGAAAATTTTAAAATTAGGCTCTAATGTCCAGACTTAAGTGTCCACTTTAAATATAAGACATTTGAGTCCCGATTTTCCAACAAATTTCGATTTCCCAGAATTGTTCTGATTTTCAGAATAATTCTGATTTTCAGAATTATTCTGATTTTCAGAATTGTTCTGATTTTTTCAGAATTGTTCTGATTTTTTCAGAATTATTCTGATTTTCTCAGAATTATTCTGATTTTTTCAGAATTGTTCTGATTTTTTCAGAATTATTCTGATTTTCTCAGAATTATTCTGATTTTTTCAGAATTGTTCTGATTTTTTCAGAATTATTCTGATTTTCTCAGAATTATTCTGATTTTTTCAGAATTGTTCTGATTTTTTTCAGAATAATTCTGATTTTTTTCAGAATTGTTCTGATTTTTTTCAGAATTATTCTGATTTTTTTCAGAATTGTTCTGATTTTTTTTCAGAATTCTGATTCTATCAGAATTGTTCTGATTTTTCCGTTTTACAAAAATCGTTTAAAAAATTTTTTCCCAAACCTCATAGCAGTCTGAATACATTTAAATTCCTCACTATTAATTGTTTTTCCAATAGAAACAATTTGATCCATAAATAATTCTAATAATTCTTTACATTGTTTTGTGTTGTTAAATTCTTCCAAAAAATTTAAAAATGAATTCCACAAAATTGGATGTTGATAAAATTTTTGTTTTGGTTGGATAATTGAACATAATGAACTGAAAAACAAAGAAAAATTTAATAATTAAACAACCAAAGAATTATCCGCAAATTTTGTCCGCAAATTTTATATTTTATTTTTTAGATCGTGTAAATCTATATTCCCAAAGAAATTTTGTTTTTCTTTAAAAGTACAAAAAATTGAGATTTTCTACTCGACAACCTAAAAAACCATTTAAGTATGGTAAATGAAATTTAAAAAATCGGATCTCAAACACATACCAAAAAATCCGCAACAGAGGTGGGTCGGAACAGTCAGAGGTGTCGGAAATCGGAAATGGCTCAAAAGTCGGAACTTGGAAATCAAAATTTTTTTCGGAAATCGGATGGAAAAAAACGCCGGAAATCGGAATTTCGACCCACCTCTGGTCCGCAAATATAAAATATCCGCAGATCCAAAAATTCCCCACCTTGGAATACCCCCAAAACTCATTGTCAGAAAAATTAACAAAAAACAAACCTCAAAATATCGAATTCCCTCCTTTCAATTAAAATACTAGCCAAAATAGCAAAACATTCAACTTTATCAGGGATGTGTTCCAAAATATTTATTTTACTCCAATCTCCTTTACTCGCATCCAATAAAAGTTGAATTGTTAATCTTATTGAATTTTCACAATTTGGCAATTCTTTTTGTATTTTATTTAGAATTAAATTTAATTTGTTTGAATCTATTGAAGTAATTGCTGTTTTTGTTGTATGACACTTTAAAAATTTTTTTTTAATTTGTCAAAAATTGTGGGGGCACAAAACTTGCGGATAAATACAAAAAACAAAAATAATAAAATTTTAGAATTATCCGCAAGTTTAAAAATTTGTCCGCAAATCTAAAAATTATCCGCAAATTTAAAATCTGTCCGCAAGTTTAAAAATTGTGCGCAAATCTGAAGATTTTTCCGTAAATCTTAAAATTTGTCCGCAAGTCTGAAATTTTTACGCAAATCCTAAAAGTTATCCGCAAATCCTAAAAGTTATCCGCAAATCCTAAAAGTTATCCGCAAATCCTGAAAGTTTGTCCGCAAATTGGTCAAAATGTTAGGAAGTATTAAACAATTCCCAACTTTAATCAAAATACAACCCCCCTCCACCCACAAACATATATTCTAATTAAAAACCCCACAAACCATTGCAACAATTTTTGCAGCTAAAATTAAAGTTCTACTATTAATAACAAAATTAGTTGAGAAAATTGAATAACAATAATTTAGTGCTTCCAAAGGTAAATTATTTGAAAATAATTCTTCCAATAAACGAATAAAATGTTGATTTATTTTGTCATTTTTTATTTTTTCAAAATTTAGTTTTTGTGGAGTTTTTGGTGTTGTTGTTGGGGATGGTACTTGAATAGCATCAGTTTGATTGTTTGCCTTGAAAAAAAATTTTTTCTACCCAAAAAATTAAAATAAAATATAAAAATTAGTAGTTATGAACAGAAAGGATATGGACAGATTCTTTGAAATTTGTCCGCAACTTTCGAAATTTGTCCGGTTATCCAAAACTCACGCAAATCTAGAACTTGTCCGCAAATCTAAAAATTTGTCCGCAAGCTGGACACAATGCTAAGGAATTATAGAAATCTTCAAATTTTGTTTTACCGGACTGAATTAACCCTAAAAACACAACAGAAAAAATGTTTTTCACAAAAAAACATTTTTTTGCCATTTTTTGATGTCTTTATCAACCCTCAAAAATACAGCAAAATCTCACTAATAGCAAGATTCCCCTAAATCTCAAGACTCAAAAATTTTAATTGAAAAAATTTACCCCCCCCCCTTCCCACCTCCTCAAGAAAAAATTATTTATAATAAACACTAACCACTTGTAACATTAGCATCTGATTTTCCATCTTGTTTAGGTTCAACAGTCTTCTTGTATTTTTCAACACTCCGTTTGCGAATAAAATGCGACCTTTAAAATATAAAAATAAATTATTTTAAATTTATTAAAAAAACATACACCCAGGTAGATTGACAAACATCTGAAAATTTTTCAAATTCTCGATGACACCTATTTTTGTTTTCGTTGTTCTTTTCTAGACAATCAAAATATAAATCTCTAAAATAAAAAAAAAATTTTTTAAATTTTACTATGCACTCTTAAATAGGGTCTAACAGGGAGTTTGGTAGAGTGCGGAGAAATTTGCATTTACTAGATCTCGTAACGGAATTTTTTTTCAAAAGGTTGACCGGGATGGGAAAAATCGGACCTCGAATCCATAGTAAAACCTCAAATAAAAATTTCAGTTTATGAATATTTAGAAAATTTGTCCGCAAGTTTAAAGTCTGCAAATCTAAAAATATCCTCACTGGGGTAAGAACACGAGATTCCGAGACGAGATTGCGTAGAACCCTAAACACACCCAGATCAGTGCCTCACATTAAGTTTTGGGGAAATTGTGCCCAACCAAAAAAATAAAAAAATAAAATTTCTTAATTAAAAAAACCTGTAATGATAACAATCCTTTCGATTAATCAATAAACCTTTATTTGTTTCAGACATAAACCAATAAATATAGAACAAAAAATTGCACTTTAAAAATTCTTGTAATTAAATAAAATTTAGAAAAAAAATATTATATAAATTATCTAGGGATTTAACCACAAAAATTATTAAAAATAAATAAAAAATAAATAAAAATTTATTAAAAATAGGGTCCACTCCAGAAGGCCAAATCAGACGATAATACCCACAAATCATTAATACCCACAAATTCGTTTTAATATCCATATATCCTTCTTTACACTCTAAAAATTTGTATTTGACCTTTTGGGTCAAATACAGGACCCCTCCTGAGTCCTTCTTGGTCTTGACCTTCTGGGTTTTGACCCTCTGGGTTTTGACCCTCTGGGTTGATCCCAAAAATATTTTAAAAAATTAAATAAACCAAATTTTATAAAAAATTTAAACTTGTTTTTAAAAAATTCCTTCCTTTCTTGTCCTTTCTCAGTCAAAACAACAAGTTCAATTTAAATTAGCCATTCTTCCCTCTGCAAAATTATTATCGTCAATTTTTCTTCTTTTTGTTCCTTGCAAATCCTTTAAAAAATTATTTAAGATAAAAAATTAAAAAAAAAACCGATCCAAATTCATAATAATGTGGGGCTATTTGTTCAAGCCATTTTGGGTCAATTTCACTCAAATCTCTGAAATGATAAATTTTTTAAATTAAAAAAAAATTAAAAAACTTTATTGAACTTTGCATTACATCAGTAAATAGGACCCTAAAAAATTTTGAGAAAAAAATTTTTTTATCAAATTATCAAGTCTTATAAAAATCTTTTTTAATTTAGCCATTCTCCCCCATCTATTCTGGAAGACCATTTGCTTGTATATTTAACAGGAATTATTTTTTCTCTTGTTCCTATACTTTGTACACAAGTACAAGTATTTTTTGGTTTAAAACACTGGCCTTATTAACGGTTACAAGATCCATAAGGAATTTAATTAATCACTATTCCTTTCAAAAACTTATTTTCTTAAGCTTATCTTCCCTAATTTTATTGTCAATTTTGCACAGTTTATAAAAAAATTTCAAAATAGCCAAAAAAATTTGCGGATTGACATTTGCAGACCTCACAAATTGCGGACAAGAGGGAAAATTGTTAAAGGAAAGGAAATTTTCAAAAGAAATATTTTAATGCCCTTACCATTTAGGATATTCTTTTCTATACATCAACACAGATCCTTTATATATTTTAAATGCATGTTCACCTTTTAGTGTTACATATAAACCTCTATGATCGTAATAAGCAACCTAATTAAATTTTCAAGACTTAAATTTTAAAAAAATTTAAGTCTAAACCTGTGAGAAGAATCCACTCAAAAGTGCTCGACGGATTTTTGCTGTTTCTCCTTAAAAATAATAAAAAATTTTTCAAAATGTCAAGGACAAAATATCAGATCTCAAAATTTCAGCATTTTAAAATGCGCAAAATTCAAAAATAAAAATCTCGAAGCGAGTCATAATTAGAGATCAGAATTTAAAAAAACCGGGTCCAAGAACCGGGAAACGGGTTCTGAAGGTTAACCGGGAGGGACCCGGACCGGGAAAACTGGGAATTCGCGTTCCCGTTTTCATCCCGGTTGCTTCAAAAAAAGAGGGAAAAGTGATCCGGACCCGTTCCAATTCTAGTGATAATGACAAAACATTGAAATACCAAAACCCTTCCAAACAGCAACGTTTTGGCATTATAAAATCTTATAAAAAAATCTTACCTATCGTCCCTTTACAAGAATTTATTTTTAAATTAGCATTCTTTAAAAATCCAATAAATTGTTGTCTAATAAATTCAGCTCTACATAAAGCCTTGTAATTTAAAAAATTTTGTTGACACCAATTTTGGGAACGTCCATTCTTTAAATTAAAAAATTTTAAAGGAAAAAATTTTCAAAAAAACCTCAATAAACAACTCAAAAATATTTAGCAACGTCAAATGATCCCCTTCTTCAACAGAAAGTGAACGTTTATTTACTTCTGCCTTGTGTTTTGAACCTATTGGATGATTAAAAACGTCTCTAATTTGCATCATTGAAATCTTTAAAAAAATTTTTTTGTTAATTTTAAGTTAAAAAAGGTAACGTCTTATAATGCCCAAAAATCATCGAAATGCCAACCCCCAAAAGCCATTGAAATACCACCAAAATTAAAAAAAAACGACTAGGACTAGGAAAAACAGGCAAGCCTGGTATTTTGAATTCATTTCCTTTCCTTTTTTTCATGTTGTATGTTCTGGCATTTATTTTCCCTCTTATTCATTTTCCTCGTGTAGAAGGAAGAAAAGGGAGAGAAAATCAAAAAACCTGTTTTCTTAGCCCTAGAAACGACCTTAAAAGTTCGGTTTTCAATGACTTTTGAGTTTTATTTCGATGCATTTTGGCATTTCAAGACGCCCTTAAATAAAAATATTTACAATTGTAGCAATCTCTTTAGAACATTCAAATTCAGCTTTACAAAATTTTTCAAAAATAAAAAAAAATTTTTTTTAAACCTGATGAAATTAAAGCTTTTGCATGCATCGGAGATAAAGGTAATTCAGCCATTTGAAACCCTAAAGGATTTGTTAAAAGTCCATCATTATCAATTGCTTTTAAAGCGTTAAGCATTTGAAGGGACTGAACCATTACAGCAGAAGATGGGCGAGAAAGGTAATTAAATCTATAAAAATTAAGAAATATAAATGTTGAGAGGTTCAAAAAATTTATTTAAAATAATTAAAAGGAAAAGAAGACAAATTATTGCCAATTACGACCTAGATGTCCTTTCATAAAAGCACTCCTCGGAGCGGATTTTGTAGAATAAAGAAAATAACGTGGGAGGGAAAAAGGGGAGTCGAATCAGGCCAAAGAACATCCATCAGAACCAAAAGACTAAATTAGCCCCTCTGTAGAGCAGGTCCGAAAAGGAGTCTCAAATCAAAGAGCCGCAACAATCAACCTAATTCTCATAATAAAAAAAAAGAAAAAAACCTCAAAACATTCTGAACCCCCAAAGCTTTTAGCCTCAAAATAACCGAAGACAAATCTCCTCGTTGTATTTCTGGAATTGTTGAATTACTCAATTTTTTAAATTCAGATTCTGGGTAAAGACGATAACATTTTCCAGGTCTTAAACGTCCGGCACGTCCAGCTCTTTGTTCAGCTTTTTAAAAATTTTTTATTTTTAAATTAACAAAAAGAAAACCTGAAGATTTTGAACAGGGAATAACTACAAGAGACTCCATTCCTATTTTTGAATCTAAAAAATTTTTTTTTTAATTTAAAATTTCAGAGTCGTATTTTAATTACCCACAGATTCTGCATTCTGTGCCGAAGATTTTATGGAAAATTTGTTTTAATTTAATTTGGTCTGTCCAGGTTTTATAGTGCTCGCCAGGAATGTCTCGAGTTACCCAAAACCCAATAACCAGATTTTTTTTGACCAGAACTCGATTCGAGAGAACTCAAATTTTTTTTTATCAACCCTTGACACCCCCACGCTCACAGATTCTACAAAACTTGAAGATGTAGAATCTTTAGAAAATTAAAACAAAAATTACGCAGACTGCGGTCCACAGAATCTGTGGTAAATTAAAATAAGTCCCTTGAAGAAATTTACCAAAAACTCTAATTTTAACAAATCCACAATCAATAACTTAAAAAAATTAAAATTATAATTCTAAAAAATATTTACGAAAAAAACCATAAACAATTCCCGTTATTGTAACTGATGTTTCTGCAATATTTGTTGTAATAACTGCTTTTCTTGTTTGATATGGAGCTGATTCGAAAGCACGAAATTGTTCTTTTGGTGAAAGACCTAATTGTGTAAAATTTTGTTTTCAAAGAGAAAGGGATAGGAAAGAGACAGCAAACCTTAAAATAATCTTGGCACTTGAAAATAAAAGGGTAAAATTCCTAATGAATATACCTCAAACCAGATCCCCCGTTTCCCATTTAAAAAATGAATGTCTGTCTCAATAACTAACAATAAGACAAAGCCTTTCTATACGGGACGACTAGAATCACTAGAAAACTAGTTTTAAAAAGAAACTTTCAAATTCTGCAAGAAATGTTAAGGTTAATTATGGAATTCTTGCAAGGGAGTTCTCAAAGTAGAGAACTCTTCAAATTTAAACCTGCCCAACACCAAGTAAAGAATATATAAAAAAATGTCCAGACCTCCATAAAGTGGTAAAATCAACAATTTATCCAAATCTTTAGGTAAAGATTTAACACTTCCTTCCAACAATTTACATGCTTGTTCAACTTCATCTTGACCAGTTAGAAAGGCTAAAATATCACCAGAAGGTTCTTCTCTATGTAATCTTAGAATTGTATCAACTGTTGTTTGGACATAATCTGGGACTCCTCTAAAAATTAATTTTAAGGTTTAGATACCTGATCGGGCACGTGTTTTTCAGGCCCGATAACCTAGAAGACGGGTATTTTAATAGAATCCGGTTTTTCATGGTCCTAGCAGTTTTAGTCCAGAAAATACCGCCCCGGGTCAGCTTGAAAGAAAAGACCAGGATACTAGGCCCTTCAATGTGAAATGTCGAACTCTATTAATTTTTAAACAAAATTAAAAAAAACAAACACTTTAGTGTAGAATACATTAACAGGAAACATCCTTCCCTCTACAGAAATTATTGTAGCAGTATTTTTATCAGGATTTTTGTAATCTTCATTTAACTCGAAAAAGTCACGAAACAGCTAGAAATAAAAGAAAATTAATAAAAAAAATTTAAAACCTCTGCTTCAATAGTCGCCGAAGAAACAATAATTCGAAGATCATCTCTTATAGCAATTATTTTTCGAAGTAATCCAATAACTAAATCGGAGTTGACAGAACGTTCATGAGCCTCATCAATGATTACAACACTATATGCCTTAATAAATTAATTAGAAACAAATTTAAAAATCACATTTCACCAAATGGGATGAAATGTCATATTTTCTCTCTCTTAGGGAAACACCCAAAATATTTTTTTAAAAATTAACTAACCTCTAGCAATGGATCACTCATTAATTCTCTAAGCAAAAGACCATCCGTAACATACTTCAAAAAAATTTTTTTAATTTAAAAAAAATCCCAAAAAAAACCTTTATTTTTGTTTTATCAGAAATACATTCATCAAAACGAACAGCATAACCAACTTCAGAACCTAAAGAACACATCATTTCTTCTGCTACTCTATTAGCTAAAGTAACTGCTGCAACTCTTCTAGGCTGTGTTATACAAATTTTCTTTCCTTCTTGAGCCCATCCAAATTCTGCGAGATATTGGGGGAGTTGAGTGCTTTTGCCTGATCCTGTTTCTCCTATTAAAAAATTATAAAAAATTTTTGTTTGGGATTTTTTAAAAAAAGAAATCTTTCAAAATGGCTTACAAACTTGTTACAATTAAAATAAAAATCATCGTACGTCAAACGGATTCGAACCGACGACCTATTCCCCTTAAATTTAAAAATTATCCAACTACACCAAAGGATACAACAATGGTTTATCAAAAAAAAATAATTGACACATTCTGACACGACAAAATATCTCATTCTCACCAGTAGAACGAAATGTCCCTTACCATGCCTTCTCATCCAAAAATCTTTCAAATTAATTTAAAAAATAACCTACAACCACTAAAGTTTTGTATTTTTCAACCAAATAAAGTAACTGATTTCGGTATTTTGATATTGGCAAGCGTTGACGTTGTTGTTGGATAGAAAGGGCTAGGAAAGGATTGTGATAAATAATTGAAGATGTTTGGTCCGCTTCCAAATTTAATTTTCCTTCATCGACAATTGTTGCAGCAGCATCGTCATCTTAAAAAAAAATTTCAGAAAAAAATCTTTAAAAAAACCAATCGGTCTCAAAAAATGTGGACGTCCAACACCGCCGTGTCTTTTATTTCCATATCTATTGTGTTCCATTTTTTCTGTACTTTAAAAACAAAATTAGATTAATAATACAATCAAAAATAAATAATTTTCTATTCATTTTAAATAGAATTTTGAATAAACCAACAAAAATGATTTTAAAATATTTATTCCAGAAAAAAGCATTAGAACATGCTTAAAATTAACATTCTGTATTCTTTGGTGTAGTCGGATAACTTTTGAATTTAAGGTAAATAGGGGTGTGGGTTCGAAACCGCTTGCCTCCCAACAATTTTTATTTTCATTTTACTAATTGTATTTCCCTTTAAAAAATTCCAAAACAAAAAATGTAACAAAATTCTGTCTTTTTTGGTGTAGTTGGATACCTTTTAGATTCCCGGCAAAAAGGAGGCGTGAGTTCGAATCCGCTAGCCTCCCAATAATTTTTATTTTAAAAGTTAGAAATTTTATTTCCCCTTAAAAAATCCCAAAACAAAAAATAGTAGCAAAATTTTGTCTTTTTTGGTGTAGTTGGATAAATTTTAAATTTCAGGCAAAAAAGGGTGCGGGTTCGAACCCGCTTGCCGCCCAACAATTTTTATCTTAATTTTACAAATTTTTTAAGCTGCATTTTTTAAAACTCCACCATTTAAAAAATCCCAAATCATAAAAAATTTACTTATGAACCTCATAAAAATCAAATTTCTTTAACATCATCAAACGCCTTTCGAGCTCTTTTCAATTCTTCACTTAAAGATAAAAGCTCCTTGACTCTCCCAAATTTCTTTTGGTCTCTTCGTATTACTTAAAAGATAATTTTTATTAAATTTTATAAACTAAACCTTACAATAATGAATATCTTCCAAATTTATTCGATTTGGTTTGCCAACTTCCAAAGCTTTTCTACACACTTCTCTAATATAGTCCATCACTATCTGTTCCAAAACTTCCAATGTATTTTCTGCTGGTTGCTATAAAAATAAAACATAAATCTGATTGTTTGGATGAGGCAATTTTGACTCTAGCAACAATTCTCAGTTTTTAAAAATTTAACGAGAGACCTTTAGGAGTGTGAAACCTCTCGACACATGAATCCTTGAAAATTAATCTTTTTTAATAAAATTATACAGGATGTAGAATCTTATCGTGTAAAATACAACCTAATGCTTTAAAAAATATTTTAAAAATTTTTAGGCAATGCGTAGAGAGGTTCCCCTGTTAGACCATAAAATCCGCCTCCCCCAAAATCTATCAAAAATATTTTCTAAAAAAATCCACAAACCTTTTCATCACCAAATCCATACAGCATTGCTCTCAATTCTCTTCTAAATATAAATTTTCGCTCTTCAGGAGTTTTCTTTTTAGACTCGTCATCTTCTTCTTCTTCCGAATCGAACAGGCAGGAAGCATCAATCATTTTACTTTAAAAAATAATTTTTATAAAAAATCTAAAAACAGGAAACATATTTTTCTAGTCATTTTAACAACTTTTTAGCCACAAAAAAATTACAAAAAAATTATTTTATTAAAAAAAGAAAAATTTTTATTTTACAAAAAATTCTTTAGAAAGAGATCAAAGCATGTCACACATTTCACCAATACCACATTTCACCAACAAGGCTAAAATTTCTCATTTTGTCAACAAGCCTTTGTGACAAAATGTCGATTTTTAGCCTTATTGGCAAAATGTGTTATTGGTAAAATATGTTAAGGCCGATCTCAAAGACAATATTTTTTGTTCAAATTTTTAATAAAAGCATTACAAAAACTTTCTCTTCTAGCTTTAGCGTTAATTCTGAAAAGAGCTTCCATCATATAAGAATCACTTAATTTTGCACTTGTTCCAGATATTCTTACAATTTTTTGTCTTAAATGTATCCACAAATCCATACATTGATTTGTGTTGATATTTAAAATACTTCCATCCTCTAATTCAACAACTTTAGATGATCCAACATCCGGGTTTTCTTCAGAACGAATTAATACATGCCTGTGATAAAAAAGAAATACTTTTTAAGTATGTCGGCAAAATCCGCAAATTTTTTCAGGAAAGTCCGCAAATGTTGTCCGCAAAAGTCAAAATTATTTTTTTTTTTGCTTAAAATGAGATTTTTTGCGGACAAAAAATTTGCGGACTTTGTCAACATCATTTAAATCAAGGAGGGATCCTGACAATGGGGGATCGAAAAGTTGGAGGTCGGAGAGACTTTTGTAACTCCACTACACAACACCATGATTTGAGTCAAAGGATTGTGTGATTTAAAATTTATTCCCCAACCTACCCAAAATAAACACCAAAAAAGGAAGGAATCTCTACCCCATATTAATTCAAAAAAACGAAACTTACTTATATTGTGGTATTAATTTTTCCATTAATAAATAACTTGTGTAATCCTTTGAAATTATTAAAGTTCCAGGTTCAATCCATTTTTCGATCATTCTTAAAAGTGTGCTCATTTCCTTATCTTCAACACGTTCCATAATTGCTTGTCCTCCCTCTCCGTGTTCTATACAACCAAAATATCTTTGAAAAAAAATTTTTTTGAAGTTTTAATAAAAAGTAGAGTTGATCCTCGACCCTGATTCCTATCAAAATCCGAAGATGAATTCACCCGATAGCCAATTCCCACAGAATCCCCGTTCTCCAAAAAAAATTAGAATTTCCCCGGCAGGTTGGGGCCAACCCCAAAAAATTTTTTTCTTTAATTTTTATAAAATTGGGTTGATAAAAAATATTAGCCATGATTTCTAAACCTTCCCTGACCCCATTTCCCTGAAAGTCAATTCCCCCGACATCCTCTGTTCCCTAAAAAATTTTTTTCTTTAATTTTTATAAAAATTGGGCTAATAAAAAATGAGGGTCATCGACAATCAATTCCCCGTTAATCTCGGTCCTCTTAACAAAAAATATCGTCTAGTCCTCGTCCGACGATTTCTGTACTAGCCATGATTTCTAAACCTTTCCTGATCTCATTCCCCGAAAGTCAATTCCCCCTACATCCTCTGTTCCACAAAAAAATTTTTCCCGACTAATTGGGGACCAACCCTAATTTTAACAAAAAAAATTTTTTATACAATTCTTCTCTTGCTTCTCCATTAGTTCTTCTTTTTCTGTGTTCCTGATTTAACCAACAAGTTTCATCTATTACAATCATTTTATTTAAACCTCCAATTTTTTCTTTCAAATTAATACATTCATTTCGGCAATTATTGAACCAAGAAACGACTGTAGTTGACTCTATATTTAATTCTTCAACAACATTTTTGTTCTGAAAAAAATTTTTTTAATCAATCCAATTGTTTGAATCGTCTTTTCACCTTGGAGTTTCCCTAGATTTCAGAAAGGCAAAAAATTTTTTTTAGAAAGATTATGTCTCCTCTCGTATTACCCAGACAATTAAACAGAAAAAAAGTAACGGACAATACGGAAGGGTCGAGGTACCCAAAACCCGCTACTCTGACATTCTTCGATCCGAGACCCAACCTTTATTTTTCTCACTCAGCTCATTCCATCCTTGATTGTCAGAATAAGGAATTCTAAAAGGAATTCTTGTCAGAAAAAGGAAAAAAAGAATTCCATATTCTCGGAAATTTTTGACGAAAATGAAAGGAAAACAAAGCTGAGATTCAAAAAAAATTTCGAGGTTAGTCGAAAAAGACACGGTTTCGGGGAACCCAACTTCGAGTAACCCAACATTAATGCCAATTAATATTGAAAACAAAAATACTAAAGAGATATTAAACAAAAAATTAACCATAAATAAAAAAACCTGAAAATCTTTCAACCACATATAAATTAAAGGCACCAATTTAGACAGATTGAGCGAACTTCTAGAGAAAAAAGACCCATCTCTAACAGACTTTCTTTTCTCACATTTTTTGCATTTCCATTCAACCTCCTCTCTTCTTTTATTTAAACACATAAAATCTTCACAACCTGGACATTTCATTTTATTTTTAATTAAACCGTTAAATGCCAAGAATTTGAGCAAATTGTCATAATTTTGTCCAAAAATTCATTTTAAATTTATTACGTCAATAGTTGGCCAAATCTGAAGGGAAAACAATAAATTAAATTTAGAAAAAAATTCTAAATTTAAAAAATAAAACCTCTCCATCTTCTATAATTTCTGTTCTCTTTATTGGTGCCATTTACAAGTCAAAAATTAAGAAAATTAGTAAGTAGTCTCAAAAAAAGAATTTAAGAAAATTATTTAATAAGAAGGTAATTAGTCAATAACTTTGTTAAGAAAAGGCTCTAAAAAAGAATAAAAAAATTATAATTGGCTCTAGTCTAGTTTAGTAGTCCAATAAAAAAATTTTTTTATTAGTCCATTCAAAGCTTAAGAGTTTTTTATTTAATAAAAAATTTTTTTCAGACCCTTAAACCTTTATTGGTCCCATAAACTTTGACTAGACTAATAACCCTTCTTTGGACTACTAAACTAAACCAGAACCAAATAATTTTAATACCCACCTTATGGCAGGTGGAATTTAATAAAAATTAAAAAGTATATGTATAAAAACATTAGAAATTTTCAAAAAACTTTTTTTAATTTAAAAAATATTTATTTTATAAAATACATTTATTATATTTATTTAAAGTATAAAAATGGCAATTTCTAGCTAATAAATTAAAAACTTTAATTTTTTAAATTTTAAAAATCATCTGTAAAGTCAATGTCGAAAGTTTTCATTTTTTCAAATGCCGATTCCAAAAGATTTATAGTCGTATCCAAATGTTTCCCTTCGAAAATTAAAGCGGGACGGAATCTAAAGGAGGATAAAAAATTAAAAAAAAGATAATGACATTTTTTTTTCATTTCGAGTCTTGGACATTATGAGAAGTCTTTTTTACATTAGAGAAATTTTTTCGGATAGTATGAGCTTTGGACCCTCTACCCAACCCAGGGCTGGGCGCAATTGGAAAAAAATTTCCGCAGCCGCAATTTTAATCTTAAAATCCGCAAACGCAATCCGCAATTGCGCCCAGCCATGACCCAAACTCACAATTAAACATTTCGAGACTTGTGGATTTCGAGTTTTGGACATAATAAGAAAATATTTAAAATAACAAAAAAACTTCAACCTTATTGTAGCATCACCACAACCCCCAATATGCAATCCTAGATTAATTGCCGTGTTGAGAAATTTGTCTCGAATTGTCGGGTTAGGCATATCAAATGAACAAAGAGTTCCAAGTCCGCGAGAATTTTTAAGCTTTAAAAAAAAGAAAAAAATTTTTAAATTAAATTTAAAAATAAACCAAATGAGGATAACATTTTTCCAAATTTTTTAATTCAGCCAATAAATCATTTCCAACATTTTTTGCTTTGCTGACAAGTTGATCTCTTTTAATTACTTGAACAATTTTTTCTAAAAGTACCAATTTTGTTGGTTCACCCATCCATCTAAAAAATTAAAAAAAAATTTTTAAAAATTAAAAAAAATGATTTTATAGAGATGAATAGAGTTGTCGGTTCTTGGAAAAATCCTAGGATATCCGGAATCGAACCGAAGAAGAAATTTTTTTAAGTGTTGATTTTTAGGTTAATGTGTCATTTCTAAGGAACTGTCAGTTCGAAATCGAATCGAGGATTTTCGGTTCGGTTCTTCGGGTCATTTTCGAACACGAGTTTACTAGGGATGTGCCGAAAGAGATTTTGAAAAGCGACACGCGAAAAGTCCAAAAAAAGCGAAAATCCGCGAAAAGCGAAACTGGCACGCCCCTGGAGTTTACCCAAAAAAATTTAAAAAATAAATTTTTTTGATTAAATTTTTTCAAAAACAAATACCCGAATTATCCCTATTTTTTATTATTCTCATAAAATAAAAAAATCAAAAAACCAACGTATTGTAAATTCGATATGGCTAAAAATTCAAAATTAAATCTTTCAAAAAAAATAAAAAAACCTCATTAACTCTCAAAGAGTCTTTATAGTAATAACCACCAGTCAATAACTTTTTTGAGAATGTAACAAAATCGGGAGGTTCTAAAAAAATTTTTTTAGAAAATTTAAAACCCCAAAATTAAATTTACTTGGCAATCCCCACTGTTCATGTACCCAAAATGTCCCACAAATACCTCCACCTGTTTGTACTTCATCCACAATAAAATAAACACCCTTATTTTCACACACTTTTTGAAGACCGCGAAAGAATGCTGGCGATGCATGGTGATCACCTCCCTCGCCTAAAAAATATTTTTAAAGGAAAATGGGGTCGTAACAATTTCTATGGCGATAAGTAACCAGTTCTGCTTTTTAGAACTTTTAACGTCCGAAAACTTTGAAGCCCTATAACTTTTCGAAATAGGGGTCAGGGGAAGAAAAGCCAAAAAAGAAAAGCTATCGACCTCTACACGATCGTATAATTTTTATAAAAAAAATTTTTTGTCATATGTAGTTCAGAATGTTCCCTTGTGAGTGAGTAGAATTTTTCCCTAAATTTTTTTTCCAAAAATTAATCAAAAACAAAACTTCGAAAAAAATCACACCCAAAAAACCCCAAAAATAAAACAAAATAAAAAAATAACAAAAAACATTGTATTGGTTCAACAATCAAAGCCGCAACTTCATTTCCTTTTTGTTTACCTTCATCAATTAATTTAGCAACTTCTTCCAAACATTCTTTAAAATTAAAAAAATTTTTAATTAAAAATTAATTTAAAAAATACTTTTATCCTGTTCCTCATTATATTTTTTATTTTCATCCAAAGGGTATAAATAACGAGGAAAGTTAGCTACTGGCCATTTTAACGCCTAAAAATTAAAAAAAAATGGAAATAAAATTAGAAAAGTTGCACGACATTTGCGGACCAAATTCACAGCCAATATAAATTGGAACAAACGACGATAGGTTGTTTGTTTTTTTACAAACAACAGGGTACTTATTTAGTTTCCCACCCCCAGTCAGTTTTTCCGAAAATTATGTAAAAATGGTCAGTCTGAACAACAATTGTAGAACCCATCGAGCCATGTCGAATGACACCAAAATCAACAAAATCCGACTTGATTTGACCTAAATACAGACCCCTAAACCACAGGGGCACAAAATCATAAAGACGAAGATCTATACAAATGATAGCTCATTTGAAAGAGCTCGTCGAGCTGAGTTGAATGAGACCAAAATCAACAAAATCCTACTTGATTTGACAAAGATATGACATAAATCATCGACTACGGTAGGTCTAAATAATATCATAACTTTGTCAAATCTTGTCCGATTTCGTTGATTTTGGTGTCATTCGACTCAGCTCGACAAGCTGAGTCGAATGAGCTATCATTTGGGTAAACTTTTTTTATTTCAAAAAATCACCCCCATGGTTGTTCAATTTTCAGGGGTCTGTATTTCGGTCAAATCAAGTCCGATTTTGTTGATTTTGGTGTCATTCGACAGAGCTCGATGGGTTCTACAATTGTTGTTCAAACTGATCATTTTTACATAAATTTCGGAAAAACTGACTGGGGGTGGGAAACTAAATAAGTACCAACAACAGCAACGCAGTTAAGCATAGAGCACTATTGTGGTGAAACACTACATACAAGGGAAGGGCAGGTTTTGAACAAAATCAGTTTAAACTACTCCCAATACCGAAATTTTTCGACTCAAAACTCGTTCAGCGAAATTTCCTAAAACTCGGCACAACTTTCTCACCCGTACAAGGGATATAAAAAATTTGCAAATGTCGCCATACCAAATAATTTAAAAAACTACCGGGATATCAACTTTGTGAATGGCTTTGGAACTACAAAAAAATTTTCAAAAATATAAAAATTAAGAAAAACCGAGTTATGCTTAACATTCCAAGTGAACGACCATGAAAAGAGCCTCTAAAACCTAAAAATGAGCAAAAATAAATTTTTCAAAAAATTCTAAAAAATACCAAGCACACACAAATTTGGACTTCCAGGTATTTCATTATTCATACAACTTTCCATATCTTCTTTTGATGGAAGTTTTCCTCCTCTTTTACGTGTTTGGTAATGAATAAAAGCTGTTTTTATTGCATTTTCATTTGCAGAGGTTCCACAAAGCATTGCTTGGACATGCCCTAATCCTTTAGGGGCAACTTGACCCAAAGAATTTTTCAAAATTTGAACAAAGTCAGTTCTTGGGTATCCTCCCAATGCTGGTCTACTTACTGAACATGTCTTAAATAAAAAAAATTTTTTGGGTTTATGAAATTGAGCGTAGATAAAGAAAATTTAAGGAAAGCAGAGCATAGTGCAACGAAACGCCAAACAACCAAAAATTTTAAATATTTTTTAAATTTTTGTTCTCATATTTTTATTGGGAGAACTTGCTGGCCTCGACATACAAATTGTTTAGGCATCCGTAAAAAAGTATTAATATTTTCCCAGGCAATTTTTTGCAAATTTTCTGATTTTTTTCGTCTTTGTCATCCAATAAAAAAATAAAAAATCCGCAAAAATTGACAGAAAAAATACCGCCTCTCTTCAAAAGCGTAAAATTGTCAAACCTACCAAAAATCGATTCTCTCTTGCAGTTTCAATCAATTCTGGATGATTGTATCCAAGCGGGAGAGAAGATATTTGGGTATAAACATCCTACAAATTTCTCAAACAATTTATAAGAAAAATTCAAAAAATCATACCAACAAATTATTTCCATCTGCATCCACCAAATAATTTCCAAAAGATTTTTCATAATCCGCAAAAAATTTGACTGAAGTTGCTTGCTGAAATGGCAATTTTTTAAGGCTAAAAATATCAAAAAAATACATGTATTGTCTCCATTTCGTTTATAAGTTTTTTACTTTCAGGTCCAGGCACTTCGGTTCGCATAAGCGGGGCTTTAGGTTCTGATGTTGGAAGAGAACATATGTAACGACGAAGAGCTGAAAAAAATAAATTTTTTAAGGGAAAAGTTTTGTGGCCCCAATCCAGGAAAAATTATTCTGTGACCCCTACTCAAAATTGAAATGAAAAATCATTAAAAAATCATTTTAGTATGCAACTAATATACACCCACTTGAATATAAACAAATAAAGGTGATCCAAAAATTATATTACCAATTCGGTTCTTTTCCGTTATCCCACCAGAATTTTTTGCGGATTTTTTCCCTTTTTGCGGAATCATTTATCTTTCTTTCTATACTGCTTTTCTTCCTAAACAAGGTAAAAATGTGTCCGCAAAAAGAGAAAAAAGCCCGCAAAAAATTCTGTTAGGAATAACAGAAAAGTGCAAACACTTCAAAAAAATTATACTTAAAAAATTATATTTAAAAATTTAACTAACCTCCATTTAAACAAATTAATCCCCTTCTCGACAGCATAATAAAAATTAGTGTTCGGCAAATGACCTTTTCCGGTATTCGGTATCGGTATACCGAAAAAATACCGATACCGAAAAATACCGTTTTTTACAAAAATTGACCGGTACGGTATCGGTATCGGTATACCGAAAAAATACCGATACCGAAAAATACCGTTTTTTTCAAAATTTGACTGGTACGGTATCGGTATCGGTATACCGGAAAAAAATACCGCGGTATACCGGGAAAAATACCGCGGTATACCGTACCGTGCCGAACACTAATAAAAATATCTAAAAAAATTATTATTTTAAAAAATTTAACTCATAAAAAAGATAATAAAGGAAAAAACCGTTCAAAAAACGAAGAAAATAAAATTTAGAAATTATTTATTTAACAAAACAAATTCGAAAAAATAAATATAAAAAATATTTTTTTGAGCAATAAAAAATAACAACAAAATTCTTCTCTTAATATAATGCGTCCTTTCATTGATTACTCTTGCCTATAAAAAATTGTAAACAAATTATTTGTAAATAAAAAAAAGAAAAGAGTAAGGCAAAACTTGTTGTTGTGAGGGTTCTCCTTTTATTTTTTAAGTAGCCACCCCCCCCCTAATCAATCTCTCTCCTTTTCATTTTTATATTCAACTAGAAAATTTGATATTATTGTGCTTAACACCTAACCAAATTTCAAAGAATAATTCAAAAAAAAAATAAAAAAATAAACCCTCGAAAAGTACCAAAAGGATTACTCCAGAAGATTTTAAAAATCCGATCTCAAAATTGCCTCACTCTTTGTTAGAAAAAATACAAAAATATTTTTAAAAAATATCTTGATTGAATTTTTATTTTATTTTCAAGAAATTTTTTTCCCCAAAAATTTTTATTAAAAAATTCAATCAAGATTCAATTCATCGCAAAAATCACGTTTCAAATTCTTTCCATTTTCAACAAATTGTTGAGCAGATAAAATTATATCATCATGAGAAATATTTATATTATTGACCAATTGACTAGAAAATTATTTTTTTAATTACAAAAAAATTTTTAGAAAATTTTCAAAAAAATTTTCTAAAAATCATAATTTTCCCAAAAATTTTTAAAGATATCACTTACCCATCTGTTCTCTCAACTAAATTTTTAGCAACATCTCTATATTTTGCCAAACAAGCATGTCTTACAATTTCTTTCAAGTCAGAACCACTCATTCCATCTGTTGATGTTGCCACTTTTTTATAATCAAAATCATCCGTTACATTCTCATTTTTAAGTAATACTTTAAGAATTTCTTCACGTTTAATTACATCTTGAAATTAAAAAATAATAAACAAAAGTCCATTTACCATTTGGTAATACTGAGTTCCGTGCCCCCACCCCCTTTTTCTAATTTTCCATTTAAATGTACGTAATGGTCAGACTTCCTTTCTCACATCAACTTTACTCGTTTTCCTTGTGGTTTTTTAAAATGATTTTTGACATCAGGTTCTCCTCCTTGCATCTTTTCTTAAATTTGATTGACTGGGCACAAGAGAAATCGAGTTAAATTGAAAGTCTGACCATTATGCACAATCTAAGAAGAAAAGGGAAGGGCAAGAAACTCGTTATTACCAAAAATCCTCCCAAAAATTTTTAAAAAAACCTGGCTTTGGAACATTTAATCTAAAAGGTAAACGTCTCAAAACGGCAGAATCCAAATCTTCTGGCCGATTAGTTGCACCAATTATAATAACAGAATTAACAGATTGAGCAAATCCATCCCATAAGGCCATAAATTGTGTTTTCATAACCGCTGTAGCTTCGTGGTCATTTCTTGAACGGAAACGAAGAACAGAATCTTTAAAAAATAAAAAAATTGAAATTAATCCAAAAAATAAACAAAAAATACCAATCTCATCAATAAAAACAATGCAAGGCTGAATTTTTTGACACTGCAAAAATTTAAAAATAAAAAAGAAAATTAAAAATCGAAAAAAGAGGATTAATTTGTGAGCTAAAAAAGCACAGGACCTAGAGGGACTCAAACCCTCACCCAAAATTTCCTAAGTCAAGAACTTAAACACTGAACCAACCAATAACACAGTTAAAATTACAAATTTACTCGCTATATTCATTTTACAAAATATTCAAAAATCTAACCAAAGTGAATAGAGCCTTTGTAAGTTTTGACGTTTCACCATACCACATATCTAAAGTTAAAAATTTTTTTCTTAATTTTTAAAAATAATTTTAAAAAATTCTCTAACCATTTAAAATAGAAATGTCAAAATTGAGAAAATTAGCCTTTGCTTTTTTAGCAATTGCCCTAGCAATAAACGTCTTTCCACAACCAGGAGGTCCATGAAGTAAAATTCCTTTTAAAATTAAAAAAAAATAAAAAAGAAATTAACAAAGGAAAATTATAAAAACCTTTAGGAGGGCCATAATAAGCCGAAGGAATAGTTATATTAGAAGCTTGAATTAATAATGGAAATATAACATCATCTTCAATTTGTGCCAATAAATCTGCACAGCCACCAATATCTTCCATATCAACACCAGATTCTGGCAAAACTTTAAAAAAATAGAAAATTATAAAAGATCATTTCTGTTTTTTAATTCTAATTTTTAATGCAATAACTAAAAAACCTTAGTCTAATCATCATCATTGTTCACCGTCCAAAAGTCGAGGAATTCTCAGGCTTCCTCGGAACTATTTCCCCGAGCATAGTTGACGGGGAATTCACGAGCCTCCACAAAATTTTTCCCGAACTCCCCCTCCCCTCATTCCCAACGACGGGGAATAACCATAAAATACAATCAAAAAAAAACTAAGTCAAGCGTACCCCATAGATTCTCTTTTTTGATTGTATTTCATGGTTATACCCCTTGCCTTAAAAAACCCCCCAAAATTGCCAAAAAAAACCTATTTGAGTTGCCAAACGTAATTCATGTTCATTTAATTCTTCTCTAGGTTTAAGCTTCAAAAAAGACTTTAATTCTTCCATTCTCTTTTTTGCTTCCTTTTTTCTTTCATGATTAGGGTCAAGAAGTGTAACAACTTTTAAAGTAACATAGCAAGCAATTCCTGCAGACAATAATGTTGCTACAGATTTTATTATTGCAGATAATACTTTATCACTTGGTGGATCCATCTAAAAATAATTTTTGTAAATTAATTCTAATTTTAGAGGAACCAAAATTGGATCAGATTTTTAAAGTTTAGGCATGGTTTATTGGTCTGAGATTTGGAGGATTAAGAAGAATTTATGGAAACTGACCTAGAATCGATACCAAGCCTCTTTACCAAACTCCGAAACAAAGAAAATTCTGAAACCTTTACCCCACGACCCTTTTCTCACTCAATACCCGAGTCATGGTATAAAACTAAACCTAAGCCCTCAGGATAGTATGAGCCAAGTTACTCAAATTCCAATACCCGAAACCCATATTTTTTTGATCCGAACAAGATCCGATTGAAAACCCTGATCCGACTTTTTTTTTAAATCCGGTTGAAGAAAAAGATTTCAAAATTTATTCTAATAAAAGAATCTTTAACTTTATTTAAGACCCACCTCAATCCCTACAAAAAAAAACAATGGAGCGTGGTTAAACGGAAACTATTAATTAAAAACCCCAAAGAGAAAACTAAAAGTATTCTAAATTAAAATAAAATAATATTTTTCATCAAATAAAAATTAAATTAACATCATTTTTATTCCATTCAACAATTAATAACAATTTTTAATTTTTTTTCTGAACACACTCCACAAAAATTTTTTCAATTTAAAAAATATTTTCTTATTTAACGAGCAGAAACACGCCAAACACGGATAAGATTGTCTGTATACCCAACAAACAAAGTTTGACCATCCAAAGACCAAGCAAGTGATGTACATTGTGGAGGTGATGGTTGCTTCTTTCCTGTTGTAGCTGTTGCAATATCAAGCTTCAATTCATCCACAACAGTTTTGTCTTCAAGATCCCAAATTTTAACAACTGGGCCAACAGCAGCACAAAGCCAATAACGATTTGGAGAAAATGCCAAAGCATTTATTACATCATTTCCACCCAAAGTGTAAAGATGTTTGCCTTCATTAAGATCCCAAAGCATTGCTGAACCATCCTAAAAATTAGAAAAAATTGAATAAAGAACTGGTTGGTGTACAAAAGTAAAAATGGGATGAATGTATGCCCCTGGATTTAATTAGGAAAATAATTCTGTGCCAGACTTTTCTGTAAGGAAGACAAAAAAATCTCTTACAAGTTGACTGGAATGCTCCCAAATTAAAAAGAATTTTATTCCCATGCATGACAGAATTACTAGTCCTGCTAATTGTAAGTTACTTAATAGGTTGGCAGCTCTTTATTCCCAAATATCCTGACCGAAAATTTTCAAAAATCGAACTTTTCGAATCCCGATTTTTCAGATACCCCACTTACATATAAGCTCACAAAATCAATTTATTATAAGAAAAGCGGAACACAGCAAACTACAAAAACTGCTTTTCTCGTTAGATTTTTTAACAGACCAAAAATTAAAATTCACAAACCTTGCCTCCCGAAGCACAAAGCGACCCATCAGGCGAAACAGTAACAGAATTAATATAACCTCCATGCCCAATATGGTTCGTCTTCAACTGGCATGTTCCCAAATTCCAAACTTTAACAATTCTGTCCCAACCAGCAGAAACAATGACTGGATTGGTATTGGACGGAGAAAACCGAACAGTAGAAACCCAATCTGTATGGCACTCATTCTTAAAAAGAATTTTTAGAAAATTTTTAAAAATCCAAAAAATACCACAATCGTGTGTTTACACTGTGCAAGAGTATTCCACAATTTAATCTTTTTATCGCGCGATCCAGAAACTATTTGGCGATTGTCAGCAGAAAAAGCAACGGAAAGAACATCTTTTGTGTGAGAAACAAATTGACGAGTTGTCCGGCCACTGAAATACAAAATGATTTTATTTAGATACAATAGAGGCCAAGAATGATTGATTGACTAATCATGATTTTGATTCATCGGATGTTAAGCAAAGGAAACAGCAAACACCTTGAGAAACGTGTAAATTTTTATTTTTCCTAAAGCTTCTCATGGTGTTTGGAGTTTCCCATGTACAGGATCCAATGGATCAAAAGCACAAAATCTATCAATTAGGGTGCCCTTTTAGGCGAGGGCCAATTTTACAAGTCAACGGGAGTTGCGGGGAATTCGAACCATGGAGTGAACAGGCGACTTTATGGGGAGACCTTCCCCCGCTCCTCGGGAACTCCTTTCCCTGTGGACGGCAGTCGAACTCTACTGTCAATCCAAGATCGCTACGACCAATTGTCAAAATTAAACGCATAAACAAACGTGTTAAGGTCCCAAAGACGCAAAGTTTTGTCCCACGAGCCAGAAAGTGCATATTGCCCATCAGATGACATTACAACGTCAGAAACAAAATGTCCATGCCCATGAAGGGACTTTAACGGTTTGCCTGTCAAAACTGATCCAGACTCATCCAACTGCCACAAAATGATTGTTTTGTCTAAAATTTAGAGAAAGAATTTTTACAAAAATTTACTGAAAGAAACCTCTTGAAGAAGAAACTAACATATTTTTGTACACTGGACTAGCCGCAATTTGAGTGACCCATCCATTGTGTCCACGTAATTGACCTTCCAATTTCATTTGTTCTCCCATGATTACAAGCTAATTTTTAATTTTTCAGAACCTAACAAACTTGAAAAAAGAAAAGAATAAAATATGCCTTATTAGAGAGCAGGACTTTCAAAAAACCTTGACCTTGATTCCTGATTTTGGTTGGGTACCTTGACCAGATTCTTAACCTTGAGTTAGGGAAAAAACAAGTTCAAGGAAAAATCAAGGTCTGGATCCAGATCCAACTCGCTCTCTACGATTTATGAACGAAAAAAAATGTCAAAAATCCACTCTAAAGAAAATCTTTTTTTTCCTTCTCTAAAGTGAATTTTTTGTGCAGTCTATTTCAACAGGACAGTTGAGTCTAACATGAAAGAAGTAATTAAAAGACGAAATTCAATTACCGAAAAGCTCAATAAATTCCGAAAAATAATGACATTAATTATACTTCTTCAGAAATTCAGAAAACTTACCGTAATAAATATTTTTAGTACTGTAGAAATTTTTTAGCAGAACAGTCCATTTTGGTGCTAATTTATTTTCGCTTTTTATCTTTAGCGTTAAACTGGATTGTTCAATTCCTCTTGTTTTTGTCGGCTACCCTACAACTCATCCAATCCTTAACTCATCTAACACTTAACTCATCCACACGGCCAAAAACGCTCAACTCATCCAATCCTCAACTCATCTAATGCTTAACTCATCCACACGCCCAAAAACGCTCAACTCATCCAATCCTCAACTCATCTAATGCTTATCTCATCCACACCCCCAAAAACGCTCAACTCATCCAATCCTTGAAATATCGGCCGGTTGAGTCCCTAGCCGGTTGAGTCCCTGGTCAGTTGAGTCTCAACCGGCCCAAGACTCAACCGGCGGTAATCAACCACTCAAACGGCCGGGACTCAACTGACCAGGGACTTAACCGGCTAGAGACTCAACTGGTCATGGACTCAAACGGCCAGGGACTCAACTGGTCATGGACTCAAACGGCCAGGGACTCAACTTGTCATGGACTCAAACGGCCAGGGACTCAACTTGTCATGGACTCAAACGGCCAGGGACTCAACTGGTCATGGACTCAAACGGCCAGGGACTCAACTGGTCATGGACTCAAACGGCCAGGGACTCAACTTGTCATGGACTCAGACGGCCAGAGACTCAGACGGCCAGAGACTCAACTTGTCATGGACTCAGACGGCCAGAGACTCAGACGGCCAGAGACTCAACTGGTCATGGACTCAGACGGCCAGAGACTCAGACGGCCAGAGACTCAACTGGTCATGGACTCAGACGGCCAGAGACTCAGACGGCCAGAGACTCAAACGGCCAGGGACTCAAACGACTGGTACTCAATAGTCTCGTTCCAAAGGATTGGATGAGTTGAGCGTTTTTGGCCGTGTAGATGAGTTAAGCATTAGATGAGTTGAGGATTGGATGAGTTGAGCGTTTTTGGCCGTGTGGATGAGTTAAGCATTAGATGAGTTGAGGATTGGATGAGTTAAGCGTTTTTGGCCGTGTGGATGAGTTAAGGAATTTTAGCCGTTTAGATGAGTTGAGCGATTTTGGGCGTGTGGATGAGTTAAGTATTAGATGAGTTGAGCGGGCACGTTTTTGTCAAGTAATTAGAGAAATAAAAATTAGTAGAGAAATAATAGAGAAATTAGAAGAGAAGCAGAGAAAATGGCTCCGGTACAAAATATGGAATCGTTAAAATATGGAATGGTTAAAATCGCGAATAGGCTAAAAAGGGGTTAAAATACCGAATCGTTAAAATATGGAATCGTTAAAATATCGAATCGGGTAAAAAAGGGTTAAAATATGGAATCGTAAAAATATGGAATGGTAAAAATGTCGACACGGCCAAAATGGGTCAAAATGTCGAATTCTTTTAAAAACGGGTCAGATTTGTGCCATACGTTGATTGTTGATAATTTTATCAACATCAGTTTATTGATGATAAGTTGATTGATAAGTTTGGTAAGTCGTAGTCCGTCGTAATCTTTTCTGTCTGAGTTCACTGTACTTTACCGAGTAAAACCGGACCGGATAAATCAAGCATAATCGACCGGATCCGGTCCGGCATGATCGTACGGATCCGGAAAACATAACGCGATCCTGATATGGAAAAATTAGAGTGGTATGCATTAGTTTTTAGTTAAGACCTAAAGTTTGACCTTACCGTATACGGTACGGAATACCGAAAAATAACGGTCAGCTTTTAAATTTTATCGGTCGGCATTCCGTACCGTACAACCGACACGGAATACCGAAAAATACCGTCGGTATTACGGTAACGCCCGGATTCAAGGTTTTGGCGCATCTTTAAAAAAATTCGACATTTTGACCTATTTTGGCCGTGTCGACATTTTATCAATTCGATATTTTAACGATTCCATATTTTAACCCTTTTTTAGCCGATTCGATATTTTTACCATTCCATATTTTAACGATTCCACATTTTAACCCCTTTTTAGCCTATTCGCGATTTTAACCCATTTTTACCCGATTCGAGATTTTAACCCTTTTTTAGCCTATTCCATATTTTAACGATTCGATATTTTGTCCGGACACGGAGAAAATAGTTGAAAAATGGAATTTGAGTCTGACGGTTATTTCAGTATTTTTTTCTTCACTTTCGCAATATTAATTTTAATTTTTTTTAGATTTTATTCATTTTTCAATTAAACTTTAGTTAAATTATGGCAGACGTTAAACCAAATCATACTCTTTACATCAACAATTTGAACGAGAAAATTAAAAAAGAAGGTAAATTTTGGGGAATTTTTATCAAAATAAAATTTATTTTTAGAGCTTAAAAAGGCGTTGTATGCAATTTTTTCACAATTTGGACAAATTATTGACATCTTGGCTTTTGCCCATTTAAAAATGAGAGGACAGGCACACGTTATTTTTAAGGAAATTAATTCTGCCGCAACAGCGCTTCGTTCAATGCAAGGATTTCCTTTTTATGACAAACCTATGCGAATCCAATTTTCGCATATTGATTCTGATGTTATTGCTAAAGCTAAAGGGACTTATGTTGAAAGGTTTGTTTTTCTTTTTTTTTAATTTGGGGATTTGTAGATAAGTAATTTGGTTAGATTACGTTATGGTTTATACGGACTTTTTCCAAAATTGGTTCATTTAGGGATGTAAGGATATTTTATCTAAAGGAGGAGAATTCGTTCAGAACGCTTAGGTTGGGGTTAAGTGAATTCCTTCCGAAAAAAAAACATGTTTACGGGCCTGGTCAGCGTTTAATTATGATCTATAAATGATCTATAAAGCGAAGGGGAAAGCTATCGCTGGTAGCTCAGTGGTGAACACCGCACTGTCAGCGGCAGGTCCGTAGACTGGGGGTTAGGCCCCCCTTGGACCCCCTCCTGGAAAAAATCTGGTTGCGGGCCTGGTCAGCGTTGTCTCAGAAATATTCGAAAATTGGCCGTATTTTGATTGTCGATAAAGATATCAAATTTACCGCTAAGCCTTGCTTAAGCCTTATTAACCTCTATCCCTTTTCTATTTTTCACATTTTTTCTTTTTTGTTAGACCAAAAAAGAACATTGCTGTCCCAAAAAAGAAAAAGAAAGCTGTTGAAGTTGCCACAACTAAAAAGGGTAAAGCTCCAAAGGATGGACAGCGTTCTTCTGCTCCACCAAACAAAATTCTTTTTATTACAAATTTACCTCCAGAATGCACTAAGGAAATGTTAACTGTCGTTTTTCAACCGTAAGGAATCTGGTGCTTATTCGTTATCTCCCCGAATTTTCTCTTTTATTTCCCCTTCTCCTTCAAAGGCGTAGCTAGGGGGTTGATTTCAGGGGGGGTTCACTTTTTGCTCAATCCCTTCCTCAAATTTTTTTCTTTTCCCCATTTGGGGGGGGGGGGTTAGCTTTAGCCCCAGAAGCCCTCCTGGCTACGCCTTTGTTCTCTTTAGAAAAGGCAAATAATGCCATCATTTTACCATCTATGGCGGTAAGTACTCAGCTCTGAATTTTAGAACATATAATCCGGTACCTTTATTTCTGTCGTCTTACTCACATAAAATCTTTTTTTTGGAACAGGCAGAGGGGGAAAACGAAAAGAATTGGGGGGAGACAACGAATACGACCAATTTTTAAACCTAAAAAACAAAAAAATTCTTTTTAAGTTTTCCTGGACTTCGCGACATTCGTCAGATTACTGATCGTACCGACATTGCCTTTGTTGAATTTAGCAATGAAAATGAAGCTACAAATGTTAAGAAGGCTTTAAACAATTTTAAGATTACTCCAACACATGCTATGCGTGTTGAATATGCCAAGAAGTGAAGAACGGTTTGAATAATTTTTTGATGTGTGAGACATCTTTAATTGATTATTTTATGATTTTTTCTTGGGAATAATTTTGTTTGGCCTCAAAAATATATTTTAATATTGATTGTGAGTAGTAGTGTCGTTATGGGCCCCCTAACTTTATTTTTTTGATATCCGCTTTGGTTGGGGAAGAAAAATGGATAAAAACCAAAGGAAAATTGGGAGGAAGATGTGGATCCCTTATCGATGCTATTAACTCATTTATGGGATTTATGGGACTTTTTCCCTGTTATGCACTTGGGATAGGAGGAAGTAAAATGGGTAAAACAAGGAAAAAATAGGGAGAGAACAGAGCTCGATCGGAATTCCGAAAGTTCCGATTTCCGGCATTTTCGATATTTCCGATCGACCTCTGGTGAGAAGAAAGACCCGTCCCGAGCCCCTAAACGACGTCAAGGACATCTAAACGACGCTATTCTACCTTTTATATTTTTAGCTTTCTTTATTATGATCGAATCTTAAATCCGCCTCTATATGGTCATCCATTTATTCCCCAATCTCATTTATTAAACAATTCATTGGGCATGGAACTCGAATAACTCCCTAATTTTACTTGGGGAAAGGGAAAACTTTATTATTTTTATTACTGCTTTTATTTTTAAATAAATATTTGTCTTGATTTATTTTTTAAATTTATTTTTCTCGTTTAATCGATGCATATTTTAATTTAAAAAATTATTAATATTTTTTTAAATGATTTTAAGGATGCTTAAAGTGTTAAAAACTTTGCGGATTAATTCTTTGCGTCAATTGGTTTGATTTTTAATTTAATTGATTTAAAAACATTCTTTTTTAGAGCAAGTTTGCTTCTGCAAATGAAGCTCTGGAACAACGCGGGGATGTTTTAAATTTGTCTGAACTTTCTAATGGGCTTCGTGTTGCTTCAAGTTTGAACGGTCGACCGACTACTACGGTTAATTTTTATTTTTACAAAGGGCCACATTGTTTATTGTCATCCCGAATTTTTAGCACCTTCCGATCTACTTTTGAGAGTGATATTCGTTTTGTAAGATGACTGGTAAATGTTCCAGTCTTTTGGGAGTGTTTGGATATGAGGAAAGGATAGAGTTGATATTTCTCTCTTCCTTCCACCCTAACACTCCCAAAGGCTTTCCTGACTATGACTGGACCTAAAATCATTTTACAAGATATTTCTATTTTTTACAAGGGGTCGTTGTTTATTGTCATCCCAAATTTTTAGCACTTTCCAATAGATTTTTAATATCACTCTTCAATGCAAGTCGGTGGTCTTCTATCGGATGGTACCAAAAATCTATTAAGTCTGCAGTAAACCTTTTAGAATTTGCTAGGGGTTTTCTAAACTGAACTTTCTTATATCCTCTCCATTTTACTTATTTTTAATTTTTAAGATTGGTGTTTGGATCGCTGGCGGTTCCCAACTTGAAACCAACGAAAATAATGGTGTGGCTACTGTTTTTGAAAATATTGTTCACATGGTTTAAATTCGAACCAAAAACATTTTATTTTCCCCTAATTTTAGGGCTCAACAAAGCGTACTTCTATTGATCTTCAAAAAGATCTTTCAAAAATTGGAGCAAGTTTGTTTTCGTATACATCAAGAGAGCACTCCACATTTTTTGTTGAATGTTTCCCTAATGATGTTGAGAAAGGTTTTTATTTTTTAGAAAATTTTCAAAATTTATTTTTGGATATTCAAGGGTTTTTTAGGGTTAGAGTTTAAAACGAGACTTTTTGACCCACGTGGCAGGTCAAAAAGAGAAGAGAAAAGTCCGCACAGGGAAAAATAAACGAGGAATTAAACGGTCTTGTACAACCCTTGTTTAGACGTTAAAAAAGGAACTTAAAATCTTATAATTAGGGTCCACATTTTAATTCGTTTCCTTTTTCTCCTTTGTTGTTTTATCCCTTTTCTTTAACGATAGTTTAGGTTTTTAACGAAGTTTCATTCATTTTCCATGGAGAGGTATTGTAAAAATATAGGGAAGTTAAAAATCCCTTACTCTCCCCAACGGATCCTATTTAAAAAATAATTTTCTTTTAAAAGTTGTTGAAATCCTCTCTGATGTTTTGACAAATACAAATATTGACCAATCCAAATTAGAACAACAAAGAGCCGATGCTCTCAAACGTTTAGATTCTTATGAAGACGAAAATCGACAAGGAGTTGTTATGGATTAGTAAGAAAATAATTTTTCAAAAAATTAAAAAAATTTTTTAGTCTTCATATGACTGCTTTTCAAGGAACTACAATGGCTCATTCTCCTCTTGGAAACTCCAAAGCTTTAGAGTATTTAATGAAAAAAATTTTTTAAATTATTTTTTAGGTCATTAGATGTGAAGACTTTGGCTGATTTCAAGGCTGATCTTTGCAAACCTGTTCGTATGGTTTTGTCTTGTGCTGGTGGGGGATTTAATCATGATACTCTTCACAGAATTGCCGAAAAACATTTTGGGCATCTTAGCAATAGGTTCCTTTTATTTTTACAATATGTCCGCAAAATTTTTGCGGACAAAAATTTTTGCAGAAATTTTTTTCTAATTTAAATTAAAAACACAGTTATGACCGCAAAGTTCCTTCTGGATTTTTACCAACAAGCCGTTCTGGATTAGATTATATCCCAGCACCTCGCATTCGCTTTACCGGTTCAGAATTTCTTTATCGTGATGATAGTTATCCTTATATGTTTGGCGCTTTGGCTGTTGAAGGAGTATCTAGAGGACATATGGATTATTTACCTTTGGAGGTTTTTTTTAATTTTGTAAAACTCTAATTTTATCTAATTTAAAAAGGTTGCCAAAACTTTCTTTGGACAGTGGGACAAAACTTATGCGGCTTCGTTAAACGCCCCTTCATTACTTATCCAAAAAGCGGCAGCAGAAGAGGAAATGTTGGGATTTGAGGCTTTTAATATTTCTTACAATAATACTGGGTATTTTTTTATATTTTTTGTTGAAATTCAACCACAAAGGCTATTTAATGCACTTAACTGTGTAGGAAAAATGATTAACAATAAGGATTTTATAGGTAGACCCCCTTGCTGTCTTGGGAATTTAAAAGCAAATCTAGACCCGATTTACGCCTCCACACTTCTGGAGCGTTTCACCTATTTAACTGTTATATAGAAACCTAATTTTTCTGATTTTCAAACTCGAAATTTTTCTCAAAAAAAAAATTTTTTTTATTAAATCAGTTAATTTTTTAGACTTTTCGGCGTTTATTTTGTCTTTCATGGAGAATTAATTGAGCCTTGTTGTAATGCAATGAGTACATTGTTGCATCCTTTTAGATACATTTCAACAAGTATAACTGATGAAGAAACTGAAAGGGCGAAGAATGCGTTAAAAACAAATTTATTTTCAAATTTGGAGACAAACACCCAAATTGCTAATTATATTGCTACTGAGGTTTTTTATAAGTTTAAATTTTTAAAAAAATATTTTTGAACCAGGAAGGGTTCCTGGGCCTTCCCTTCAAAAAATGATTTTGGGAAGGTCCTCTTTATAAAATTTTTTGGACTAGGAAGGGACACGTAGGGGTGTTCCGCCTATTACTCTGAGGTTTTTTTTTTAATTTTAAATTTTTTGAAAAATTATTTTGGACCCAAATTTTTTCCCCAAATTCAAAAAAATTTGGGATGACCTCTTAAAAATTTTTTGGTTCGTAAGAGTTGTTGGGCTTTCCCTGAATTCAAAAAAAAAATTTCGGAAACGTCCACTTAAAAATAAATTTTGTTTTTTCCAGGTGTTGAGTACCGGAAAGATAACTCCTCTATCCGAACTTGAACGCAAAATTTCGTTTATTAGTGCGGATACTGTTCAAGCTGCAATGATGGACCATGTTTATGATCGAGAAATTGCATGCGCGGGAACTGGTATTTTTTCAAATATTTTTGAAAAAAAAATTATTTTTAAAGGCAAAGTAGAGGCATGGCCAATATATCAAGAAATGCGTGCTTCGATGAGTTGGTGGCGTTTATAGGAAGACAAAATAAAAAATTAGAGAAAATGATTGTTGTATAGGAATATTTTTTTGGATTATTATTATTTTAGGGATGTTTGGAAAAAAATTTGATAAAACTTGGACTTTTTATCCAATGTTTAAAAAAAGCTCTATACATATTTTACTAAATTCCTGATTGAAAAAAATTTTCCGTATTTTTTAAGAATAGGAAAATATAAGAAAATTTTTTGATTCTTATATTTTAGTAGAATTTGAGGGAGGAACTGATAAACTTTTTGTTTTTAATACAATCTTTAAAGAAACTTTAAATTTTCCAAAAATCTGATTGAAAAAATTCTGTATTTTTTAAAAGAAAATATATTATTCCTTCTTCACTTTTAAAAAGTGAAGGAGGAATAATAATTTACTACGTCTGCTTAAAGAAAAGTGGGCCTTTATTAAATTTTTATTTAAAGATAATGAAAATTATGCTTTGAATTTTAGAAAAATTAAGGCGAAAAAAATTTCAGTTAAAAAGTAATTGATTATAAAATTTTGAGCATTGAAGAATTCCTGTTCTACACATTTCTGTTGTTCTAACAACTGACATTCGATCTGCTCTTTCAAAATTGGATCTAACTAATTCATAATATTGCCCGTCACTTAATACAATTGAATGCAATTTTGGGCATTTCATTCGAAGAACATCGATGAATTTGCTTTAAATAAAGGAAATTCTGATTTTTATTGCATCAGAAATTCTGACTTTTAAAAATCAGAATTTCTGTTAAATCAGAATTCTGATTTTGCATCAGAAGTTTTTATTTTTACTAGACCGGAAATTCTGATTTCTAACAGAACAGAAATTCTGCTAAATCAGAATTCTGATTTATATGGATCGGAAATTCTGATTTTTATCAGAACAGAAATTTTGATAAAAGTTCTGATTTCTGTTTCCAGTTAGACCAAAATTCAGTTTTGACCATAATTTTAATAATTCTGATTTTTCAGAATTTTCAAGAATCAGAATCCTATCTTCAAAATTAAAAAATTTCCTCTACCTCGATTTATCAGAAAATCTTAAAGTTCCATCATCCCAACGAATTTCTAGGCGGGTTAGTGAAGGGCAGTTTTGAGCTATACAATCAATAAACTTAAAAAAAATTAATTTTAATAATTAAAAAAAATTTTTTTACCTGATCAATGTGTATTTTTGCTGTCACCTAAAAAATTAATTTTAAAATTCAAAAAAATTTTTTTCAAAAAAAATTTTTTTTTGAAAAAATTTCAAAAAATTTTTCTTGATCAGAATTTTAAATATTTCTGATTTTTTCAGAATTTTTTTCCGGAAAAAAAATTTCGAAATTTTTTTTTGTAAAATATTCTCAAATTTTTTTTTGACAATTTTTTTACTACCTTTGGACAACAATCTTCAGCTACCCCCATAACCAACACACAAACATTGTTTAATCGGGTAATTGAATTCATCCAAAAATATTCGAGTAATTTGCTTTAAAAAATAATTTGTTTTTAATTTTTCCCCCTTTTTAAATTTTACCCATGCCCTCCCAAATTTATAGCTTTTAATTGATGCCCAAAACGTGCAACTAAATCAGTCAAAGCAAATTCTGAAAGAGAATCACAAGTATCCATTGATAAATATTCAATATTGTTTATTGTGGTTGACTCCATAAATCTGTCGAGAACTTGGTCGGTAAAGTTTTCTAGCCAGCTAGCGTCTAACCCTTAAAATAATCAGAATTTATTTATTTTTAGAAAATCAGAATTTCGGTTTAAAAATCAGAACTAGTGTAATATCAGAATTTATTTTAAGTCAGAATTTTTTTTAAGAAACCAGAATTTATAAATCAGAATTCTGTTTTTAGAAAACCAGAATTTTGCTTGAAAAACCAGAATTTTGTTCTTAAAAGATCAGAATTTTAAATCAGAATTTTATTTCCAAAAAACCAGAATTTAGTTTTTAAAAAACCAGAACATTTTTTAGAAAATCAGAATTTTGTTTTAAAAAATAGAATCAGAATTTTTTAAAATCAGAACTCTATTCAAGAAAATAGAACTTAAAAAATCAGAATTTACTTTTCAGAATTTTACTTTAAAAAATCAGAACATTTTTGAGAAAATCAGAAATAATTTTAAAAAATCAGAAATAATTTTAAAAAATCAGAACTTAATTTTAGAAAATCAGAATTCTAATTTAAAAATCAGAATTTCTTACAACGTAAATGCGGTAGTCTAGTTAACAAAGAAATAAGCGTTTCTGCACTTAATTCAGTTGCTCTAATATCCAATTCTTCTATTCGCGTTTTTTCCCATTCTAATTGTTGGATTATACTGTCATCTAATGCTAAATTAAAATTAATTTTTTTTCCAAATTTTCAATAAAAACTTGTATAAGCCAAAAGGAGTGTTGTAAGCCTTTTACATCTTTGAAGGACTAAACGAAGGCAAGATCCTTAAAATTTTAAAATTTAATTTTATTCTAATAGAAAGGCAAAAGTGGTATTTATGGGTATTTGTGTAGTTTACACCCCATAAGCCCCGCCCCTTTGTCGTTTTTCCGCTCTTTAAAAAATGTTTATTAAAATATTGACCCAAACGGTCATTTTATAGGAGATGGATCGAAAGAAAAAATCTGAAAGAAAAATAGGCGGGGCTTATGGGGGGTAAACTACACAAGTACCCTATTTTATGTTTTATTCGTTCCCCCAAGTTTTAAAATTTTCTGGATGGGTGGAATAACTTTGAAGGGATGGGAAAGATGAAGAATTAGGTCAAAAAGGGGGTCAGAATTTTATTTTTAAACCACAAAAATTTACAAAAAGGAAAATTTACCAGTAACTTTAGTACAATAATTAATACATAAACACTGTAAACGGGCACAATTTGAAGATAGAGCGTCTACATGGTCATCGGTAATAAAAGGAACCTTTGAAAAAAAATAATAAATTTTTTTAAATTTTTTTAAAATTAAAAAATAAACACTTACTCCCCACAGATTGACCTGAAAAAAATTTTTTAATAAAAATAATTTCTTTGGTGTCCAAAATTAGGGCACTGGAAAGTTGAGATTCAACATTTTCAGAGTTTTGGGCTCAAGCGAAATTTTAGACTTCAAGTAAAACAACGAATGAGCTCTTAGATTTTTGATGGCGGATTTTGTGGGCTTTCCAGTGCCCAGAGATGGACCGGAACAGACCGAGGTGTCGGAAATAAGATTTTTCCAAAATTTCGTAAATTGGAAGGGAAAAACGTCGGAAATCAGAATTCCGACCCACCTCTGCCAGTGTCTAAATTTCCAAGACAAATTTTTAAAATAAACTAACCACTGTTAAATTTGGCAAATATTGCTTCAATTTGAATACATTAACCTTTAAATTTTTTTAAATTTATTTTCCATTCCATTTAATTTTTACCGTTTCATAAACTTCTTCTTCTTCATCCTCGACTTTTTCGTATGTTCCTTAAAATTTTTAAAATATTTTTAAAAATAAAAATTTAAAAAATAAACCAATAATATGCAAAATTTCAACACTCGAAATAAATGTGTAAACTTTCCGCAGAAAACCTTTAAAAAATAAATTAGTCAAACGAAGGTTGTTCCATCTCCAAAGTTACTTATTTACAATCCCAGTTTTGATTCTTTCCCCCTACCATTCAAGATCGAAAGAAAAAACCCCTCGAAAATCGAAATAGTCCCGCTTTGGGCCCAGGATCCAGTCCATTTAATTAAACCAAGCCCAGTGTTCATATCAATTAAATTCCCATCGCCTACGTCCAGTCCCTAACCCCCAAAAAATTTTTTTAAAAAAACCTTCAAGAAAAATATTTTCACTCAAACAAATGGTCAAAGAACGCAATCTACTGGGAAATGATTGGAGATCATTAAAATCGTGAAGTTGCATTGCTGTAGAAAAGTCGAGAGTTAAATATTGAAGTTTTGGACAACGATTGGAAAATTCGTGAAGAATCTTTTGAAAAATTAAAAAAATTTTTCAAAAAAATTCAAAACAAACATTTGGGGTAATTAAATCTGTTGCTAATTCACAAGAACGAAGCTCAGTGAAACGTATAGGTATTAATTGAGTAAAGTGTTCAAGATTGGTTACCTAAAAATTTTTTTTTGAAATTTTTTTTGAAATTTTTTGAAATTTTCTTTGAAAATTTTTTTTGAAAATTTAAAAAAAATTTTTGAAATTTTTAAATTTTTTTTTAAAATTAAAAAAAAAAATTTTTTTTTAAATTTTTTTACTTGAATTCCACCATGGGCAACTCTATAAAATGTTAAAAAATTATTATTTTTGATAATTTCTTCTTAAGGATTTACTACTTCCTTAACATTAAAAGTAGGGTTGCCGGACCGGCCCGATCCGGAAGGTCGAGTCGGCATCGAATTTTGGCTAAAAAAAGACTAGGTCGTCGGCCAGACTCGAAAACGGCAACCCTAACTAAAAGCCCAATTACAGACAACCAAAAATTTGATTTAAGAAGGAATGTCACAAAATTCATTCAATTCTCCCCACCTCTCCAAATTTTTTTATTTTTCAAAGGGACTCTCGCCCTTCAATTTTAATGGACCTTAAACTAAATTAGGACCTCTCCCTCCCTTAAAAATTAAAAAAAAACCTAAAAGATATATTTGTCCACAATCCAGGACTTTCAATAATTGCCTTCCATCGTCTACAAACTCTGCTTGCATTGAGCATTTGTTTTGTTGGCAAATATGAGAAGATTAAATGAAGAACTCGATCAGGCAATTTGTCGATGCACTAAAAAAACTTTTTTTTTTATTTTGAAATTATCCGAAAAAATTTTTAAATTTTGAGGCAGGACACGCAAACTATATCGCAAACAATCAAAATAAGGGATTCAGTTTCCATCACACCCAGGCAACATTATGAGATGAAATTACAAATTTCTGATTTATTACACAGTCCAAAACATCACAATCCCTAATCTATCCCACTGGACTATCAATAGAATGGATTATTGTAGTAAATATCCATCTTTCCGAGTAGGGTTGTCGGTTCTGTGTCGGTTCTGAACCTCGAACCGAACCGAAGAACCGAGGATTTTTCGGGTTGGCACTTCAGTTCGGTTTCGGATATCCGAATAATTTCCAGGGAACCGACAACCATCCTTCCGAATATCAATCTCTCAGTCATACCCTAGGATATCAAAATGTCTCGGTTATTCCACTCTCACACATCACAATCCTTCAGTTATCCCCCTTCCAAAATATCAAAATCTCTGTTCTCCCCTACGATATCCCAGAAACGTGAGATAACACAAAATTGCTCAAAAATTAAAATTAACTTCTTCAGGCATAATATCAACAGCCCCAGCCCTTATCCAACCACCACTAGCAACATAACCTCCTCCTCCTCCCTCATTTGTTGCTGTAGTTGTCCAATTCTCATTCTCTCCATTCTCCAAAATTACATTCCCTGCTCCTCCACCACCTCTTCCTCTCCTTTTTTGTATTCGACTACGAACTTCATCAGATTCCGCATTTGATAATCTAACAGTTAATCTTTTACTCATTTCAAATAAATCTTGTGTTGATATAGCCATTTTTCTTGGTCTTTTTATAGGAGCGTTTTTTTGGTAGAAGGCAAAAAAAAATTTTTTTTGGAGAAAAATGAATAGAAAAAAAAATTTAAAAACAAGGAAACAAAGATTTTTAAATGTTTTGAGTTAAAACAGAGTGATTGAATGCCACACAACTGTTGTTTAAAAGAATTGAGAATTTTTGAAAGGCGAAAGGGTAAGGATGAGAGGGGGAGAAATAATAAATTTCTATTTATTGTTAATCGATCGAGAATGAACGGAAATTTAGAAAATTTTAGAAGAGGAAAATGAAAATATAAAAAAGAAAACAAAATTTTGTTGAAAATAAGCAATTTTAAGTCGAAAATAAAATTAAAGACCCCAAGGCGTACTCGAACCTACAACCCCTATCCACAGCATGCAGAAACGCTAACCATTAGACCAACAAGAAGCTCGATTAAATATCTTATTTTCAACACTACATTTTAGCTCCTTTACCTCTCTTTTCCACTAGAAGCTTGAACCCTAACCTCCTCATAGTCTTCCCTAGGAAATTTCAACCCAAAAATTTTTTAATTAAAATACCAACTAATTGTTCATTTTTCTCCTTTTCATTGTCCAATGTAACCGTATTTTTTGATTTTATACTAGGCAATCGCGGCTTTTTAATTAAAGATTTTCGCGTTGTTGCACGTCTAAGGCAAATATTGTCTTGTTTGGTGGAATTGTGTTGAGGGACTTTTTCTTTTAATTTTTGATTTTTGTAGTCAGAAAGTGATAAAACGAACATTTTAACCATTTAAACACTACAACAAGATTAGATAGATTTATTGAGATCTCTGAGTTATCCTCCCCCTACTCCCCCCCTACATTCCCAAACCCTTAAAAGTTATCCCTTTTAGAGCTTAAATTGCTATGAGTATGGTTATCGTCTCAGAGCCGAACCGAAAATCTAAGGATTTTTCGGCTCGGTTCCGCATATCCAAAGATTTTTCAAGACCGAAAATCCTAACTGGAAGGATAACACAGAGATCTCGACAAGAGAATAAAAATAGAAAAGATGATAGATTTGCTAGTTTTGCAAATATTAGTAAACAATTGTAAGGTAATTGATGGTAAACAATAAATATCTATTTTTAAAACTTAAATACTTAAAAATAAAAATTAGAGAAAATACTCTCTCCTTTTTACACACTATTTCTCTTTTCTCTGATTCGCGCAAACTACAAGTGAACGATAGAAAGGCGTTCTTTTTGCTTTTGAACTCTCAAGGAGTTTAGAAAAAAATAACAAAAATAACTTTTAGGATGACTCCTACAAATTGTCCTGCCCCACAAAATTTTTCAGAAAAAATAAAAAACTTACCGGCATCCTAGAAAGCAAAAAGGCCAATTGGAACCTTCCCAACGCTCGAATTTTTGCAATAATCCGGCCCCTCTTTCGCCTCCATTCTCGACTCTCCCTAAAGTGGCGTTTTGTGACTGGTATGAAATTGAACTGAAAATTTGTTTAAATAAAATTTAAAACCGGTCCGTTAGGGCCACCGTTCTCTGAACATTATGAGACCAATTTTGGCACCGAATTTTAATTACCCCTCATTATATTGCCTCATAATGGTCAGAGAACGGCGACCATCATAAACGGTACGAGTGCCTAAAAACCTACATCCAATTCAGTCTTTGGTGTCTAAAAATAAAAAATATTTTTAAAAAATTTAGAAGAAAAAACCTTTCCTCCTAATCGACATCTCACAGCTTCAATCATCTTTTTTTATTCTTTAAATGAAACAGGAAATATATATAAACTTTCAATTGGATATTTTATATACTTGAATAAGTGACAAATTACGCAGATGTGTTTGATTGAAAAACTAAAAAAAGAGAAAGGAAAACTTTTCGGACACTATTAAAAACGGATACGCCAAGTAGGCGTGCGCCCAAGTAGGCGCGAGGTGCAAAGTGGGCGCAAAGTCATAACTTGCTTCAAAATTTCTGAATCTTATCAAATTTAGTATTAAACGATTCCTCTCATCGAGCTAAAGAGATTGGTACCAAAATTGTTAAGGTCCAAAAATTTTCCAGCTAGTTATTGCTGAAAATGTGCCTCCTTACTTATGTGCCTACTTGGGCGCGCGCCTACTAGGCGTGTCCACTTAAAAATAAATCAAAAAATGAATGGCCAGTAAAGAAAAATTTTTTTCTCGGTATCCAATAGAGTCCGAAAAATGAGGAAAAGTATGATATTTTTAAGATTATACAATCCTCGTCAAGGTATAATTTATAAAAGATCGCCCAAAGATGACAACTGACAAAAAATGAAGAGAAACGGACATTAGATTGAAATATTTGTCGAATATAAAATATCTGATAGATTAAACTTTAGTTTTTTTAAAAAGGAAAGAGGGAATGAAGAAAATTCTTGAACAAAATTCAATTTACAAAAAAAAATAAAAAAAATTTTTTGTTGACTAAATAAATCTTAAAAAAAGGTAGAAAAAAATATCCAAATATTTATTTAACAGTAAAAAAACAACCATAACCCAAAAAAAAATTTTTCATAATTGAAAAACTCCATTAGATTCAAACACTTAACAACGGTGTCGATTCGCATGGTTTTCAAAATATCGCATAGCACAGCTCATTATCCCCCCTGAACCTAAAATTTAAAAATATTAAAAAATTTAAATTTTTGTTCACTTTACATTTGCCAACAACTCTCCACATGCAGAGAACACCTGGATCATCAACAGATTCGACCGCCTCAAAACATGCTGTGAAAAGTTTTTGCAGAATTTCTCTCTTGTGTGTGTAATTATTTCTCGACTGAAAAAGTTGAAAAATATATTTTATCTGTAATCTCCAAAAAAAACTTCTTCAAGATCAATATTATTTGTCCAACCAGGTTCGTTAACTGGCCAAGCAGTTTCACTTAACTTCTAAATTCAATAACCAAATATATGGAAATGCCCAAGTAGGCGCGCGGCCAGGACGGCGCAAAGCCACAACTTGTGGGGAAAATTTCTGGCCCTTATCAATTTTGGTACCAGTCTCTTTAGCTTAATGTGAGGAATCGTTTAATGCTAAATTCGGTAAAATTTGGAAAGCTTGAAGCAAGTTATGGCTTTGCGCCGTTGTGGCCATGCGCCTACTTGGGCTGTACCCCCAAATCAAGTATCAAAGCTAGTAAAACCTACTTTTTTGAGTTTATCAGCACAGGGTTCATCGGAAGTGCCAACAAGACACCTCCTATACAACGCTGAAAGACAATTAGACTAATATTTGTCAAAATTTAAAAATCACTAACGTTCGAAACAATTGTCAATAAAGAATACTTCCGAAAGGACAAATTGCTTCTCATGCCCATCCATCGATTTTAAATTGTTGATTATACTCTTGTAATCAGCAAGAACTTCAGCTTTCGACTTTAATTTTAAAATAGTAATTCTTAGAAAAGGAAGGGACAGAATCCACTTAAGGAACCAAAAATGTTTGAATAGAGAGTCAAGTGTATTATAAAGAAAATACTCACACTGCTTAAATAAATGATACATTTCTGTTGGAATTTGATCATAAAAAGATCGAATAATTTAGATGTCCGGATATCTTTCCATTTTAAATTAAACGGGACAAAATGGATTACATCGGCTAACAACTCTTTAGGCAAGAATTTTTTGTTTTCCATTTAAGTATTTGCGCATTTAACTAAAAATAGTTGTCTAGTGGTCATTCCCACCATTGTTTCTAAGGAAAGCCAATTGAAGATAGGCAATGAAGAACGGGAAAATAAAATCTCCAACTGATGGGGTCTTACAAGCGTGAATTTTTATTAAAATCTCATTTTTTGATCTCAATTTTAAATGGTGATTTTTAGACTCAGCGGATTTTAAATCTTTGAAAAATGATTTTAGCTTGTTGAAGCGCTAATCTAGCCCATTATGCAATATTTTAAAAAATTCAAGAGTATGTAAAAATGGAGAAATTTCTTTTTTAAACGGATCGGAATAGACCTGTTCCAGGCTCTGATAAAAAAATATCAAAAAATTTTATAGAAATATGTAAGTCAACTACCATATAATTTTTTAAAAACGTTTAATTGTGTCAAATTTTGCTTTTCTTTAATTACAAAAATAACGATTTAATCGCACAAAAATTTATTGAATTTATCAACTTCCACTGGCCATTCTTTGAAGATGCCAGCCTTGATAATGAACATCGTTAGTTGTGTAAGGGCTCATTCTGCTTTCACCGTTCCATTTAAAGATTGTTCGTGTATACCTTTAATTAAGTCAGAATTAATTTTTAAAAATAAAATATCCACCATCCAGGCCAATCCTGTGGGGCAAAGCGTCCCAAAGTGCCGTGTATAATGCGAGTGCCACTATGAAAATTTTGGGCATATGGCCTCAATTCATCTGGATAATGAAATGTTTGTCGTTTACTCAAATGGCGAGAGAAGACTTGAGGAAAGGAGATGAGGAAGCAAAGAGTGACTTTAAGAAATAATTGAAAACAAATTTTATATTAAATACTCCAATAGAAGCCCAATCTCTAATAGAAGCCCAGTCTCTAAAAGAAGCCCAGTCTCTAAAAGAAGCCCAGTCTCTAATAGAAGCCCATCTCTAATAGAAGCCCCCTTCCCCTAATATAAGCCCACCCGCGGAGACCAATTAGAACTATATGGCCAGTCTCCAATAAGAGCCTATATTTAATATAAGCCCAGTCAAAGAAGCATGTTGAATAATAAAAGCCCAGAGCTTAGAGTATTCACGGTAATTTTCAAATCAACTTACAAAATATATAAAAAGATTTCTTCATTTTAAACAAAAATAAATAAAGATGATCGTTTAACAACGAGAGAAAATTTTGCGCAAAAAAAGGGAAAATGAGAACTATTTAGAAGATAAAGCAAGTATTTATTGTCTATTTGATTAAAAAGGGAAGAAAATTAGAGAAAATACAGCTGGTTTAGCTCAAATTGGATTGAACCCCAATTTATACTCTTTATATTCTTTTAAAGTAAATTGTGACAATAATTGATTAGTCGATCTAATAAAGGCTTCTCTCGAGTTAAAATTGGTTCGTTTTTGTTACTAATTGGCGAGAAATTATCGAAAAATGTTTAAAAATAATTTTTGTAATTATTTTGGCGTAAAAAATTAAATAGACAAAATGCCAAAAATAAATTAATTTAAAATTTCAAAATGTCAACAAGTGAAAATTTTTACAAAATGTCCAAATAAGCGGTTTCTGAAGAAATTTTTTTAATTTTTCTTTTCCTTTAACTTTTTGATTTTAAGAAAGATGTCAGGCAAATCGCTTACAACCTTTAACGAGTTGAATTGTTTAGAATATGGAACACTTAAGGTTATTTTTTGTTAAATTATTTTTAATTTTTTTAAAGATACCTTATGAATTATTAAACAAAAAATTTCGATGTACTCAACGAGTTATTGACCAATGCATATTCCATTTCCAAAAAGAATTTGAACTTTTAGAGCAAAAATTGAAAGGGCGAACACAACCAATTTGTTTGAATGAGGTTAAACATTTTAGAAAAGAAAATATTAGATACTCGATAGGGAAGGTGTTGGGTCTGAGTTAAGGCCCATATATTTTTAAGCTTATTGGGGTTTTTCTGGACATGGATTTTCTTTGGATTATATGCCCATACAGGTACGTACCCAGAAATAATTCCTGTGGGAAGGAAGGCTCATTTTTAAAAATGTCAGCGCCGATTTTTTGGCAACTAAAGCGCTTCATCTGGCCATAAACCTAGGCTCATTGATGTCCGGACCAGAACTTTTTATGAATCCCTATCTAGGCTTTTGTAGACTTTCTTAAATAAAAGACCAGTAATTTAAAAATAATCTTTCAAAGGTATCCAACAATATTAGCAAATTAAACAAGCTTATTACACAATTCAAAGACGACGTTAGTCAAAAATTGACTGAAGAAAATGAATCTGGGGAAGTTTTGAATAAACAAGTGGAAATGCTTACACAGGTTTTTTTTGTTTATTTTAATTTAAAAATAAAATTAAAGGCCGGCAGCAGTGACTCAACTGTCAGAAAATCTTTCTACGACCAACGACTTAACCGTTTTATTGTTGAACATCTTTTACGGACCGGGTATTTTGAAACTGCTCAACTGCTAGCAGATTATGTTGGATTGGACATTCAGGCGCAAAAGAGTGTTTATCTTGTGGCTAGACAGGTTTAAATTGGATTTTTTGAAAGTATTGTTGAAAATATTTTTCGAAAATATTGTTGAGTATTTTGACTTAAATGGACTTTTTTGGCTTATGTTAGTTCAGTATATTGGTCGTAAGGTTTTCGATAAGTCAATACCATTCGATTTTTCTTGATCGATTTGGTTGAGGGAGGTCTGTAGCTCATAAGTTTGTAACCTGGCCCTGCATGTCTGATCGACTTCGTCTCACTTTGTTCGACTCAGTTTCTTGAACTCTTTCGAATTCACTTTATTCGATCATATCTGTCCAGAAATATAAAAACATGGCCTTTAAGAACCTATAAGTCACAATACCTATTTTTTAGGTAGAAGAATCTCTTCGCAATAAAGATTTGACTCTTTGTCTAAACTGGGTTCGTGACAACAGATCCAGACTTCACCGAATCGGTAGCAGATTGGAAACAGAAGTTAGAATTCAACATTGTGTGGAACTTGTGAAAAGTGGAAGAACGGCTGACTCGCTTAAATATGTCCAATCATTTTTTGGGTTTATTTTTTAAATAAAAATTTTTTTAAAGTTTTTTTTCAATTTAGAAATAAATCTGATCTTCATGGAGTACATTGGATGGCTAATACAAATCTTTTACATGTAAGTGAATTAGTAGAAATTGAAGTTCTAAAAGTGACTAGGCATTGTTTTTGGGGTGTATGTTTTTTTGGACCAGAACATCCTTTTTGACTTTAAGTCTGGACTCTGGCTCACCTCGATCGAGTCCTTGGCTTGGATCCGGGAAAATCCCAGGAAATTAAAAAAAAGTCTGGCTGGGTGTACTTAAGCTTTAGGCCTTGACTTGGGGCTTGGTTTATTTACCTGGGACTAATCCTGCGTTTGAGTCCAAGTAAAATCAGGAATCTCAAAAAACGTCTTCCTGGGCTTATAAGCGTCAAGAAAATTTATTTAAAAAAAATTTTTTAGTTGATGGGTCTGATTGCTCTAGGCAAAGATTCGAGTCGTTCAGAACACCAACCACTTTTAAGCGATGAACGCTATTCTACATTAATTCAACTTTTTCGCCTTGAAAATGACCGAATTTATAAATTTTGTACTCAATCACCTTTTAGTGCTTGTCTTCAAGGTTTTTTTTTAATTTTTAGAAATTTTCTAAAATATTTTTTTAAAAAAGCTGGAATTGCTGTTCACAAAACGCCTCAATGCAAAAAAGACTCAAATTCTCGATGTATTGTTTGCAGCAGTGTTTTTGAACTTTCTGAAGGTCTTCCCTACACGCATTTGTCTAATTCAAGGCTTTTTTGTGCTATTAGTGGAGAACTTTTTGATGTATAAAATTTTAATTTTTTTTTAAACTTTTAATTGGGGACTAGCCGGATCCTTTCATAGAAACTTTTGTAAAAATCCGCAAATGTTGTCCGCAAAAATTTTTTGGAAATTACCGTTCGTTTAAGCAAAAAATATTTTTCCTATTTTTGTGCCTATTTATTAACAAGAACTCTGGGGGTTTTTTTTGGCTTATTTATAAATTTTCTCTCAACCACTTTTAAGCGATGAACGCTATTCCCCGACCCTTTGGGGTTAACTTCTTCAAAGAAACAAAGGGTCAGGGACCAACCATATTAAAAATTAAAACGATAGGCCGGATCCTGGTGGAAAACGATAGGCGGGATCCTAGGCCGGATTCTTGTTCGGAAGTTTAGATAAAACCCAGGAATCACAAAAAAATTTTTTCCTTAATATGAATTAATTAAAAAAAATTTTTTTTTAATTTTCAGTGTGAAGATAATCGACCAATGATGCTTCCTAACGGTTTTTTAAAAAAGATAATTTTTAATTTAACAAATTATTTAAAAGGACACGTTTATGGAGAAAAATCAATGCGTAAATTGGCAAAAAATAATGAATTTGTTTGTCCAAGAACTTTAACAGTTTATTCTTTAGATGATATTCAAAGGGTTTTTCTTTTTTAACTTTTGTCGGATATGAAAATTCTTTTTTGCTTTAAAATAATTCTACAATTTTTTTGTAGTGTTTAATATATTTTTTAATGAGAAAACCAATTTTAAGTTTTAATTAGAAAAAATTTTTTTCTAAATTTTAAATTGTTCAACACAAAAAAATATTTTTTTCTATTTTTTAAATCCATTTTAGAAGAAAATTTCTTTATATGAAAAGGCTAAATAATATTTTCCTCAACTTTTTTAATAAAATGTCAACAAAAAATTCGCCCAAATCTGCTTTTGAAAAATTGGGATTAAATAAAAATCCAAAAGAAGTAACAGAAGAGGAATGGAAAAAAGTATTGACTCCGGAACAATTTGAAATTACGAGGAAAGCTGGGACGTGAGAAAAATTTTAAATTTTTTTGAAAAATTTTTTTGAATTTTAAGGGAACTCGCATTCACTGGAAAATATGATAAACATTTTATTTCTGGTGGAAAGTATGTTTGTATTTGTTGTGGCGCTGATTTGTTTGTGTCAGAGAATAAATTTAATTCGGGTTGTGGGTATGAGGTTTTTTTTAGAAAATTTAATTTTAATTAAGGAGAATTTTTTTGGGAGGCTTAATACTTTTATGAAAAGTTTTTGAATGAAGTTTTGAAAAATTTTGAATTTTTTCGATTAAAAATTCCCTCCTTGTAAAATTAAAATTCCTCAATAAATTTTATTTAAAAAAATATTTTTTAGTTGGCCAGCATTTTCAAAATCAATAGAAGCTGATAAAAATATTACTCGATTGCCTGATCATTCTTTTGGACGAATTAGGACAGAAGTTCGATGGTAAGAAGCTTTTTTTTAATTTTTGCTTTTAAAAAAATCATAGTCCGCAAGAAATGTCCGCAAAAATTATTTTCCAAATTTTTCTAAATTTGTTTTTTTCAGTTCCGTCTGCAATGCACATTTGGGACACGTTTTTGGTTTATTTTGAATAATAAAATTAAAAAAAAATTTTTTTTATTAGATGATGGACCTCAAAAAGATGGCGGTGAACGTTATTGCATTAATAGTGAATCTATTGACTTTGTTGGATCTGATGATAAAAAGGAAGGGGAAAATTGAAAACAAAAGTTGAAAATGAAAGGTTTTTTATTTAAAATATTTTTTATTTAAATTCTGCCATTTTTGTGATACTTGTAGTGATAGGGGTTCAATTCTTGCGGACTTGCGCTTTTGCGGACATTTTTCTTGCGCATCTTTTTTCCCTCGTTTCTCTTGCACAATTGTTGTCTTATAAAAATTTTGGCCAATTTTCTTGTCAATTTTTTTAGTTGTTTTCGACAAATTAATTAAATCCCTAATGAAAAGATACGCGCTAGAAAAAAAAAAGTCCGCAAGAAATTCACCAGTGCTCACATATGTTTCCATTTTTCCAAAAATTGTTTACTCTATATAAAGTGAATAATAAATAAATTAATAATGCTTGGGAAAAGGTCAAAATATGTATATATTTTGGGGTGATGGAAAAGGTGATTTCCTTCTCAAGTCACCTCCGCCCACCTTTCAAAACTTCTTCCCCCCTTTAAATATATTTCCTCCAAACATTAATATAAAATCATTCTTATATTTTTCAATATTCTAAATAAAAATATGAAATTTTTCATATTTTTTATATTAACCATTCTTTCAGGTAAAAAAATTTTTTTTATAGGAAGAAAATTTTTTTCAAACTTTTCAGTTTATAGTTTTAGACTTCCAATACCTTTTGGTGAAATTAATTTTACCAAAACTCCAGATGGTGAAACTCAATTTGGAATTGGGTCAAATGTGAATATTGGTGGGAGTGGGGCTGAATCGAATCTTCAATTTAGCAAAAAGAAAAATGGAACTGCTCAAGTACAAAGTAAGGGGAAAAAATATATTTTGAGTCAAGACTTAAAAGGGACGGTTTTATGTACCGAAAAAATTTTTTCGAGTCGAGACTCAAAGTGTTAATTTTTAAAATCTACCACTGCTAAAAGACTAAAGGTCGGTAAAATCGCAATCCAGGGCAGACCTGGGCGAAACTCGAAAATTTTTTCAGACGAAACGAAACGAAACAAAATTTTTTAAAAATCGTTTCGTTAACGAAACGAGACGAAACAGTAAAAATTTAGCGAAACGAAACGAAACAAAACGAAACATTTTAATTTTCAAAAAATTTAATAAAAATGGTTTTATTTTCTTAATTATTCGATTTTAGACACGTTATTAGGCCAGTTATGGCCTATAATTGATCTAATAGCTTAGTGGGACCTTAAATTGTGGTCCCAGGCTCGAATTATGTGTTGAGTATATGTGTATATGTATATCAGGGACCTGCCGACCCGTTTCCTGATTCCCTAAAATAGGGAATTAACTTTGTCGGAAATTACTATCGCCTAAACCCGTTCCTGATTCCCGGCATTTTTTTAAATTTTTTAAACCCTCCAAATCCACCGATATCCGTTTACTCTCTCCAAATTTCCTATACCACCATTGCTCCCGCCAAATCCAATGATATTTCTCAACTCAGATTTTTTTACTGATAACAACGTTCATGATTAGGGTTGCCAAAATGGTCCGACTCGGACCAAAATATCGAGTCGAGCCTAAGATATTTGGCCCGAAAAGTCTCGTACTGGCCCGACTCGATAGAAACAGGCCCGAAAAAAGGCAACCATATTCATGATCATTGCCATCAGTTGCGTTTTCGTTTATTGAAACTAAACTTTATTGAAACTCTTGCGCCTGCCCTGATTGGCATTAAGAGGTACATCGATTCTATATGCCTAATCTAGCATAGAATTCGAGCTTTGCATATTAAAAAAATAAAATCAAACGAGAAATTCAAAAAAAATATAGTAAATTATGCGCCGTAGGCGCTTAAAATCCAGATTTCAGCGCCGCAGGCAAAAATTTTTTGAATTTTGATCACCAAAGGGGAAAATTTTACAGTTTTTGGGTAATATTTTGGTCTAAAAAATGGGTAATGTTTCGTTAACGAAACAGAGGTGTTTCGTTAACGAAACGAAACGAAACAAACTAAAAAGTGTTTCGTCACGAAACGAGACGAAACAGGAAAAAACATAACGAAACTAACGAAACAACGAAACGAAACGAAACGTTTCGCCCACGTCTGATCCAGGGATCCCGAAACGGGATTGAGTTTAAAAATTTTGAATGGGACGGGATCCCGCGGGATTAATCCCGTAAATTCCGGTAATCCCGTTTTTCGCAGAAAACCCGGGATTCCGGGACGGGATCCCGTAAAATCGCGTGCGGGGTCCCGTGCCGAGCTCTATAAAAGACAAAGTTTTGACGCTTTCAGTCTCGAAATCTTTAATTTTATTTTCAACGTTCAGACTCAAGTGGGTCTATTTTTAAATTTCAAGCTATTAAAAAATAAAAGTTGACACTTTAAGTCTCAACATTTTCAATAATTTTTCACAAATTTTTAGCTGGTGGAGGTGTTTTAGTCGACGGGAAAAAGTTTGGAACAAATTCAACATTTGGTGGAGGGAAAGAAGGATTGACTGCAGATACAGATATTCAAGCAGGGAAGCATACATTGCATGGAGGTGTTGGGAAAGAAAATGAATTTATTGGGGATTTGACAAATGCAATAAATGACGAAAAGAATAATACTAAAAAACCAAAAATTTGAATAAATTGAAGTTTTAATTAATTATTTTTGAAATGAGAAGAGTTTAAGGATTTGTTTGAGAATTAGTAGAAGGTGTTTGTTTTGTGTTGAATAGATAGCCTTTTAGATTTCTCACGAGAGAAGAGGGGGATGTGGAGAGTGTGGACATTGATATTTCTCAAGTTGCTATCTTTTAGTTGAAGCACTGAAGCTTCGATCGGTTCAAATACAAAATCAGAGCTCTCGATAGGTCTAGGAACAGTGCTTCGAAGCTCGTACCAAAATTCGTACTCGTACCTCGTACTCGTACTCGTACCTGGTACGAAGTACGAGTACGAGCAAAAAAATTGGGCAGGTACGAAGTACGAGTACGAGGCCAAAAAAAGTGAAAAGTACGAGGTACGAGGCCTAAGTACGAGCTCGTACTTCTCGTACTTGGTGTTACTAGGAAAATTAAAGAAATATATTTAATTCCTTTCATTCACCATTATGTGAGCGAGTGGTCGAGTGGTGAATGTGCGTGGCTGCACCAAAGTCTTTAATGATTTAATTTTGGGTTCGATTCCTATTCACTGGACAATTCATTTTAATATTTTTCATTTCATAAATAACCATTTTATAAGTTTAATTTTGTTTTAAAACAAAACTTTTTTGGCCCTCTAATTTTTTTTGGCCCTCTAAAATTATTTAAAATTTTCATTGTACCTCTAAAAAGTAAGTTTTTTTCGCCTTCGGCCTTCAGGAATTTTCAAAATTTTCGCCTGCGGCGCTGAAAAAATAAGAAAGTTGGATTAATGGCTTCCAAATTCTAAAATTTTCGCCTCCGGCGGTGAAAAATGGAAGAAATCTGGCTTCATGGCCTTCAAAATTTTTCAAAATTTTCGCCTGCGGCGCATAAAATAGAAGAAATTAACTTAAGGACATCCAAAATTCTCAAAATTTTTGAAAAAAGGGATTTGAGATTAAGAGAGATATCAGGAGATTAAAATTTGAAAAGTTCAATGGAAAAGATAAAAAGTTCCATGTAAGAAGATCGAAAATGTATAAAAAAAATGCCGAGTTTCGGGTAGCCCGACCCATCATGGAGGAAATATTTCTCCTTGCACTCCAAAAAACTCAAAAATTTCGCCTGCGGCGCAGAAAATGGATGAAATTGGAGGATTTATAGCTTCAAAGCCTTCCAAGATTCTTTAATTATCACATACAACGCTTAAAATTTAAAAACAGATGCATGGGCTTCAAAAAATCATAAAAATTTTCGATTTTTTGCTTTTTTCTTAAGTACGAGTAAGTACGAGGTACGAGTACGAGGTACGAGGCCAAAAATAGGGATGGTACGAGGTACGAGTACGAGTACGAGCAAAAAAATAAGGGTGGTACGAGGTACGAGTACGAGGCCAAAAAAAGAGGTGGTACGAAGTACGAGTACGAGTACGAGCAAATTTGAAATTTCGAAGCACTGTCTAGGAAAGGATTACTCGAAGAAATATGTCAACTGAAATGGGGACTAGAGGCGGCGCGGGACGGGAGACCGCGCGGAATTTTGCGGGATCCCGTCCCGCAATTCAGCACTTTTTTCGATTTGTCGGGTTTTGGTGATTATTCCCGCGGGATTACGTTCCACAAAGATTTAAAAAACTGATTTCGTCGAACTTTAATGGCGACTCAAGTGGCCAGACTAAAATGACCTTTTACCTGCCCGGACGTTTCAAAGTCTGGACAGTTTGTGGCTAAAAAATTCTCAAAAAATTTTGTTCAAAAATATTAATTTTGCAGGGATTTAATTACCGGACGTTGTTGTCTCTTTCTTTTTTGCCTTTCAAAAAAAATTTTTTTTCTTTCCAGAAAATCAATTTTGTGAGGGACAGACGCCTCCCCAAAAATCACTTTGTTTCCCCTCAATTTAGGGCTGAAACAAATGACACACTTAAGGGATTATTTCTATATACTTTTACTTTTTGCTTAAATTACTTGGATATATTTATTTTTATATTGATCTAAATCTTCCCCTCCTTTTTCTCCTAAAATCTATTTTTCTCTTCTCGAAGCCAAAAAAAAACTTTTTTCCCCTTTTTAACTCTTCCGGCCAAAACCTCTCTTTTTGTTGAGCACATATAATTGGGCAGCAACAAGTAGCAATTTTTTCTTTCTCTTTTTTTTGTTTTGTCTAATAAACTAATTTTTCTTCCTTCGCGATTAATTAAATTAAAAAATTTTTTTAAATTTTTTGAAAAATTTTGAAAATTTTTTAGGCAAAAATTCAAAATTTTTTAGAATCTCCTCCAAATTCCCTCCCATTTTGGAGAGAATAGGAATATTTATTTTTTATGAAAATTTGATGGCAATATTTTAAACAACGACAACAAAATTGAAAGAAAAAAAGAAATACTTGTTGGTTGGTGGACAATTTGGAAGAGGAGAATTTTAGACGACAATTTTTTTGAAAAAAAGTAGATGCCCCTCACTCAACAGCAAAATGAAGCAAGTCCGGAGAGGGGAATGCCCTTTGCAAATGAGGTTAGTTAAACTTTTTTCTTGAAAGATAAGAGAGAGTAACCCGTTGCGGGTCTTTTTAAATGATTTTTTGGATCGGAACATTTCGATTAGAGGGAGTGTATTTAAGCGCTTTGGAAGGGTGTGGGTTCGAGTCCGCTTGGTGAAATTATTTTTAAATTTTCTCTAAAAAACAAAAGTAACTAGGGGATACTCTAGTTAACTAGGGGATATTCTAGTTGATTCCTAGGTAAAATTATATTTATCTCGCAACTCGTTTGTTTTTTAAGTACGCCCTTTATTTTTCTTGCTCTTTTAGCGTTTCTGTTCGTTATAAATATTTTTGGGTCAAAAAAATTTTAAAATTTTTTAGATCGCGCTACAACATGGAATTCATTTTGAAGCAAAGGTTTTTTTAATTCTAAAAATAAAAAAAATTTTCTTTTAGTACATTGGCAGTATGGAAATGGGAAGTTCTCGACCTGGAGCTCGTTTTGAAATTCTTGCAGCAATGCGCAGAGTTCGTTACGAATTTAAAGCGAGGAACATCAAAAAGCGGCTTGTCGATATTGTGTTAGTTTAATTAATTTTTATTTAAATTTTGGGTTTCATTTTTAAAAGAATTTTTTTCTGTAAATTTCGGGCGGTCCATCGATTTATTTTTGGAAGGTTTTTGAGCCTATAAATTTTGAAAAAAAAATTTTGAAATTTTTGGGTTAATTATTTACTTGTACCAAGGTCAATGATGAATTTTAATAGGATTTTTGAAAATATTGTGAAGGCGTTTTCATGTTTTTTTCTCCTGCTAATGCATCCTTAAGATATTTAAGCAAATACAATATTTTTTGAAATTTTTAGGGAATTTTTTTTAGAAAATTTTTTGTCCGCAAGTTTATTGTGGATATAATTTGCGTTTTTTAGAAGCGTAAAAGTATTAATTTTTTAAAATTAATTAATTTTAAACCATTGATTTTAAACCATAATAAACCCATTAATTTTAAAAATTAATGTACGCCTTTTTCTAACATTTATTTTTTCTTACAGTGTTTCTGTTGATGGAGTGAAAGTTGTGCTGCAAAGAAAAAGGAAAAAACAAAAATATATGGATGAAAGTAAAATGTAAATTTTATGAAATTTTTGAGATTAAAAAAAATTTTTTTTTATTTTTTTAAAGGTTGGTAATGTCCCATCCAATGTACAGGTTTTTATTTAAATTTTATTTTTTTTAATTTTAAAAATAATTTAAAGGGTTTTCTATGTTGCCCACGACTCTTACGATCTCCAAATATTTTGTTATGTGGCGAGAGATGGCGCTTCAAATTCGTTCAAATGTAACGTCTTTAAATGTCCAGATAAAGTTAGTTTCGAATTTTTTAAATTTTTGGGGAATAATTTAAAAGCGAGTTTTCTGGGGTTTTGACAATTTTTAAATTTTGTGCTCCCAGAAGTCTCCGAGATTTTCTTTCTTTGCAAGTTTTTATCCGCATTTTTTGACTCCAAAAATAATACTCTTCCATTTTCTCTTCATTTTTTCTCTTTTTTGGCAAAATTTTTTAAATTTTTGATTTTTTAAAATTTTTTTTGACTTGCGGACTTTGTCGGAAAACTTGCAGATTTTAGAAACTTAAGAGTAAAAAAAAATTTTTTTTTCAAATTTGTCCTTAAACCACGGGGTTTTTACAAATTAATGACGCACCTTTTTAATTAAATGACCCAATTAAATTTTCAAATTTATTATTTTTCTTTTTTTAATTTGCGTCATTTATGTCTCTAGACAAATTAAACTTTAAAAAAAGTCCACAAAATTTACGTTTTATTTTTCATTAATGTTGTCGTCATTCTTTTTTCTTTTCTTGTCTGACGTTAGTGAAATAAGAAAAAGTTCACGTTTTCAAATTTAAAAGAACGAAAAATAAAAAAGAAAAGTGATATCCCCCCATTTTTTCTCAGACACAAAAGTCTATTCCAGATCATCCTCAAAAAAGGTTGTGTAAAACCCCTTTTGTTAGCTAGTGACGTAAGAATGAAAAAAGACAATTGGATCAATTTAAAAAGGCGTTAAGAAAATATTAGAGACTATTGCCAGACAATGTTTTGGTGTTAGACAATGTTTTGGAATATTAAAGTTTTGAGAAACACACAATGTTTGTAATAGATAATGTTTAGTTAATAGACAAGTAGACAATGTTTTGTTGTTTGAGAAAGAAGATGTTTTGTTTGGGTTTAGAGAAAGAAAATGTTTTGTTTGGTGTTGGAGAAAGGAAAATGTTTTGTTTCGTGTTTAAGAAAGAATGTTTTGTTTGGCGTTAGAGAGAGAATGTTTTTAATGTTTTGTTTAATGTTGAAGACAAAATGTTTTGTTCGTATGTCTTAAAAATACACAATGTTTCGATGCTAAACAATGTTTTTAACCATGTTTTTGTTTTAATGTTTTGTTTTGGTGTTTAGATGCAAACAATGAGTGAGAGATAATGTTTTTGTTATAGAGACAAATTTGTTTTTCTGGATTTTATCGTGTTAGACAATGTTTTAATAATAGATAACGTTGTGTTTTTTGTAGACACTCGGCTATAGAGTCCATTTAATGGCTGACGTCGTTGTTAATAATGCCCATGTCGATCTACGTCGGTTGTCTGCTTATTGAAGTTTGGGTGTGTTGATCGGCAATATCTCTTCTTTCTCTCTATTTTACCCCTTTTGTTTAATGAGCATTTGGAAGCAAATGTTCTTTTTTCAAATCTTTTTTAGATCTTCCTATATTTATTTCCAACCGTTTTAAAAGTAGAAGAAAAAAAAAGATTTGGACTTTTCTTTTATCTCTTTTTTAGCACAGCTGCAACAGAAAAAGAAAAGTCTTGCTTGAATCGATTCCCTCCCTTTTATATATTATTTTTATATCATCTACCTATATTTTTCTTCTGCCAACCTTTTTCTTTTGATTTTCTCTTTTTCTTCTCCTTTGTGCCGATCATTAAAAAAATTAAAACTGGCGACATCATGTCCAAACCTCCCAGCCGGGACCGGGAAATGTACTTACCCGGTAGCACGGCATCTTTACCAAAGAAGAAAACGGGTCAAAGTTCTTCATCTTCTACCCTTCCTTTGCCTCCTGGAGCTATTTCTCCAGAGCAACAATTTTATTATCTTCGTCTTATGGCCAAACCTGGGCAAAGACCTCCAGAACCTATAAAAATAAAATTTCCGCGTTGGCCAAATGTTGAGGGTAGTGGTCAACAACCTTCATCCTCCAGAATTGTTGAGGAGCATTTAGAGGTAGTTGATTGATTTTTTGGGTGGTTCTTGGGTGTTTCTTTGGGTGTTTTTAATGATTTTAAAATATTTTTCTATTTTCTTATTTTCTTCAGGATCAAGCGATGGCCGTTGTTCGAACAGTGGGACAAGCATTTGAGGTAGTTTTTAAATTTAATTTTTGTATAGTTAAGAGCAGAGGTGAGTCGGAACAGTCCGAGGTGTCGGAAATCGCAAGAGCCAGAAATCGTAACTGGCTCAAAAGTCGGAAATCGGAAGGAAAAAGCGTCGGAAATCGAATTCCGACCCACCTATGGTTAAGAGATCGGCCTGGATCTAGATCTAGACCTTGATTTTCCAGGATCCAGAGTCTTGATTTTTTAGTGTTCCTCGATTTTTCCTTGACTCAAGGTCATTAATCTAATCGAGGTCCTCAACCAAAATCGAGAGAATGTTTTTAAGAATTTCAATGTTTTTAAGATAATCACTGATAATATACTTTTAATAAAAATTTTTTTAGTTGTGCAACCGTCTAAGTCAAGAACAAAACAAAGAAAGGCAACTTTTGGAAGAAGAAAGGGCAATGGATTCAGCTTTTGCTGCTGCTAGTTCAAGCTCTCTAAGAAAAAAGAACAGTATTGGAACTGAAAGTGATGAACAACAACAACCTTTAGAAAGGAGAATGACCACAAAAGAATCTCCATCTCATAATTCTCCTAGAAGTGGACAACAAAAAAGGCAGTCGATTGTAAGCTTTCTTTGATTTCCTTAAAGAAAAATCGGAACGGGCCTGTTGAGACCGGCCGGTTGAGCCCCGCCAGTTGAGACCGGCCGGTTGAGACCGAGGACAGTTGAGCGTGGGCCGGTTGAGACCGGGCCAGTTGAGCGCGGCCGGTTGAGCGCCCCTTGTTAACTGGCTAGTTGAGCGCCAGTATATTTTTACACTGATAAACCTCTGACAAAATGTTTACTCATGTTTGGAACACCTTGACTCATGTTCGGAACATGAGTCAAAATGAAACAACACATTCCCCCGTTCGAGAAACGGGTGAAGTTGGTCCGAATATTGGGGAAGTTGTTCTCGCTTTAGTATAAGTCCACCGAGATCGGAACTCAAACTATATACTAGAGATGTGCGAGACTCTTGGTCTTGGTCTTGGAACCAAGACTTTTCTTGGTTTTTTTTTCGGTCTTGGTCTTGGGGTGTTTGTCTTGGTCTTGTCTTGGTTTTATTTTTTGGTCTTGGTTTTTTGGCCTTTTTGGACCTAGTGCTTGGCCATCCAAAATCCTCAAAATTTTCGCCTGCGGCGCAGAAAATGGAAGAAATCTGGCTTCTTGAGCTCTAAAATTCAAAAAATTTTCGCCTGCGGCGCTGAAAATGTGAATTTTTTGGCCTACGGCCTTCCAAAATTTTCAAAATTTTTGCCTGCGGCGCAGGAAAAGGAAGATTTTTGGCTTCTTTGCTTTCATAATTCCCAAAATTTTCGCCTGCGGCGCTAAATCCCACGGCTATCCCTTTTAATCTTTTGATATCACTAATATCCCGTTAATCCACCCAAACCCTCTGAATAATAACCTATTTTATTGATTTTCCACAGAACAAATTCCCCGAAATTCTTTGAATTTCGCATAAATTTTTCGTAATTATAGATAATTGTGCTGAAGTTGACTGTGATCGTATCAAAATAACAAAAAATAAACCAAAAATTTGACCTATGGGATTTAAAAATTTGGTCTTGATTTTTGGTCTTGAGTCTTGGAGTTTTGGTCTTGGTCTTGTGTCTTGGTCTTGGAAAAAATTTTGTCTTGGGTCTTGAGTCTTGAGTCTTGGAAAAATTTCGGTCTCGCACATCTCTACTATATACCATTCGATTCGTCTCGCCGAGCTGAGTTCAAATTTGTAAGAATTTTCTGCCGGAGACGAAAATTCGCAGAGATATAGGCCCCCAAAAATCGAAAAACCATAGGGGTGAGTAAGCTCGATTTTAAGGTAAAAAATTCGTATGCGCAAATAAAAGCTCATTCGAAAGAGCTCGTCGAGCTGAGTCGAATGACAAAAAACACCGCGATCTGACTTCATAGGGTCGAGATCTGACTTCATAGGGTCGAGCTATGTTGACAATAACAACATCCCCCGTTTTTGGAACAACATCCCCCGTCCTTGGAACAACATCCCCCGTTGTTCCCCCAACATCCCCCGTTGTTCCCCCGTCCCCGTTTCGCGCTCAACTGGCCAGTTAACAAGGGGCGCTCAACTGGCCGCGCTCAACTGGCCCGATCTCAACCGGCCCGCGCTCAACTGTCCTCGGTCTCAACCGCCCGGTCTCAACTGGCGGGGCTCAACCGGCCGCGCTCAACTGACCCCAACCGAAGAAAAATTTTTTCTTCTCACGACAGTTTGTCCCAAAACGAATGACTGTTGAAGAAGAAGACGAGGAGGATGATGGAAATGAAGAGGACGATGAAAGGGAAGGTTCTGAATCGACTACAGGTTTTGAGACTCTAATGGACATTTTTAACCAATTTACAATTTTTAAAGACAATTTGGACATCCCTGGACCTTCAACATCTTCATCAGCCCCGAGGCAGTCAATTATTTATGAAAGAAGTTCGCCTGTTAAAGCTGTTGTAGATTATAGTCAAGTGCCTCCCAATGTTATTCCTGCTAATGTTGCTGCTGTTATTAACAGTGGTGCAGCGAGGCATAGGTTTCTTCAAATTTTATTTTTAATTAAATATGAATTAGAGATTTTCATGCTAAACCGGATTTTAGACTTAGATTGTTTATACTGAGACTTTCCTCTTTTCTTTGTATATCCACGTTTATCAGGGATGGGCCCGGTTTAGAAAAAGTCGTGTCGAGTTTTTCTTTTGGTTTTCTAAGCCCGTCGGGTTTCGGACCGAAAAACGTATTGGCATCGGATAACCCGTCCCACTCCTCGTTCTCATTTTTCCAATTTACTTATCGGACCACCAAAAAAATTTTTAATTGTCGAGCCTTGTTAATTTTGGTATCATCCAGCGGGTTTAATCAAGTGTCGTCGAACCATACAATATTTAATATTGTTCTTATTTGACGCCTCCTTTCTAGTCAACTTTTTCAATTTGCATCTTTCACTGATTAAATTTTACCATTCTTAGCGGAGCCTCTTCATCTCCTTCATTGGCATTCCACGCGACTGCTATCCCTCAACAACAACAGCAACTTTCAAATTCAACTAATCCTCTTCAAACTGCTGCTACATCAACTTATCCTCTTCCTCAACAACTTCCTTCAAATTTGTGGAACATTCCAATGCAGCAATTAAATCCTGCCCTTTTTCAAAATCCAGCCACCAACATTCCTCTTCCTCAACAAACTTTTCAAACCGTCCCATCAACTTCAACACAATTTTTGGGAGGTCAACAACAACAACTTCCTTCTCTTTATTCAGTATTTTTTTTTATTTTTCGAATTTAAACATACTAAAGAGGGGATGTTATTTTTGCGGACTGTGTTTGCGGACTTTTACCCAATTTTCTCTGTTCGTGTTCGATATTTAATTAGCCATTAAGGACCAGTTTAGATTAAAAAAGTATAACATAAGTCAAAAGAAAAAATCCACACAAAAATGTCCGCAAAGAAAAGTCCGCAGAAAGTGTCCGCAAAATATGTCCACAGAAATATGTCTGCAAAAATAGTCCAAAGGAAAAGTCCGCAAAAACAGCATTCTCACTTTACAAACACAAAAAAAAAATTTTTACTTCTTTAAAATTTTTTATTAAAATAGATGATTTCCCCAACAACAGTATCTATTCATTCTCCTCTCCTTCTCAGTCCTTACGCAACTCTACAAATTCCTGCACCAGCAACAGCTTCTCTTCCAAGCACATCATCAGATGTTGCAGCTAATACAAACCTTTTAATTAATGACTTATCTTCACCAACTGAAGCTCAAAGACAATTAATTAGAGCCCAATTAGAACAAGCACAACAACAGGCACAAGTTGCTGCTTGTCAAGTTCAGTTACTTCGAGATCAGTTAAATTCTGAAACAACTGCTAGACTTGAAGCACAATCAAAAACACATCAATTATTAAATTCTAATAGAGAGGTTAATTTTTAAAATAAAAAAATTTTTTTTTGTGTTATGTCCGCAAAAAGTTGCGGACAAAAAATTTCGTCCGCAAAAATTTGCGGACATCATCAGAAAAATTTTTTATTTTATTTTTTAATTAATTTTTAAATTTTTTAACAGTTATTAGAGCAAGTTCAAAATTTGGTTAATCGTCTTCAACTTGTTGAAAATAGAATGACTGAAGGTTTAACGAGTAATCGATTGGCAAATGATGTAAGCTTTAATACAGAGGTTTTTATCAAATTTAATATTTATTTTCGATTTTAAAAAATCAGAAAATATTTTGGGGTTTTTTCGGTTAGGTTCGTCCTAATCCGCCCGGATATTTTTTTATTTAAAGCTTATTTTTTACGGACAAAAAATTCATGTCCGCAAAAAATTTTCGAACATAACCGATATTTATTTTATTCAAGGTTCGACATATCGAAAAAAGTGTTGCTGAACAACAGCAAAGTCCTCAACTTAGGCCTCCACAACTGCTTCAACCTGAATTGAGTGAAATACAATTAAAAGAACAACAACAAAATTTGACAGAATTAAAGCCTATCCAATTAAAAAAACTTTTACCTAGAAGAACAAATTCTGTTCATGGTGAAGAGCCTACAACAACAAGTTTAGCATTTCATGAAGATAATCCACCACAAAAAGAGGGAGGAAGGAGAAAACAACAACAGCAACATCGAACAACTTTTGTTAGTGGAACAACCTTGGATTCAGCGGAAACTGATTCTGATGAAGATGATTCTGCTATTGGTGTGGTAATTTTTTGAAAGAATAATTAGTTTTTGTTTTGTTTCCTTTTTTGTGTTAATCTTCCGACATGCAGTTTTTAACTATTAAAAATTTCTTTTTTTTTTGCGGACGATATTTGCGGACAAAACTTAGAGTCTAAATATTTAACTTTAACAAACGGTTATTGCTGCAACAGGGTATGGATTGAGAAGAAAAGTCGTGTTTCGAGTTTAAATTTTTTTCGGCAGTTTTCGAGTCGAAGAGTTTGGGTTCGGATATTGGGTTTCTATCTGGTATCTCTCCCTCTCTCTCACTTTCTTTTCTTCAAATGTCTTACATAATACAATCTAAAAAAAATTTTAAGATAAACATTCATCATCAAAAGAAGCGGTAGCCCCAACAACAACAACAAACCCTTCAACAACTTCCTCTTCTTCCCTTTTAAAACGTTTAGTTCCTTCAATGCCCGGTTCATCAGTATTAGCATTAGGAATGCCTCTATTAGGAATGCCGTTACAACAAATGGCAAAAAATTATTCTTCACAGCAACATTCTGGAAGTCCTCCATATCAACAACAACAAAAACAACAAAGAAAAAATAGTTATAGTCAACCACCGGGAGGAGGAGGCACAACAACAAATTTAAGGCCTATAACAATACCTAATGATGGTAAAAAGAATTTAAGACGGTTCTCTCTTCAAGCATCAGAATTTGATCCGAGTGAATTATTGCATCATAAACAACATAAAAAAGGGCCTGTTTCAAAAGGAATTTTTGATAAAAAAATGGAATTTAAAAGGTTTTGAATTTTTTGACAAGAAATTTTTTGCTAGGGTAGAAAATTTTTGAAAAATTTTCAAAATTTTTTGAAAGGGTGTAAAAATTTTGGGAAATTTTTTAGTATTTTAAGTACCCCTCAAAATTTAACATTTTAGTACCCCTCAAAAACATTCTTTCTAGTGTAAAAAAAGTGCTGAATTCGAATATCACAATAAAAATGCTCAAAACGGTCGGTAAGGGCATTTTTGAAGACTGAAAAATTAATTTTCCCACGCGAATTCGAACCTGCGACCCCAAATTTTCACGTTGGTTTTTTATTAAAATGATTAACTTATAAATCAGTGATTTTTTACATCAGGAAAACATGCTTTTAAACGATCGAATTCTAGCTATTTTTTTAATTTTCAAGAATTTTTTTTAATATCAAATAAAATTTTTTTATTTTGAATTTTTAAAATAGTAATATTACATTATTGCCTTTTTTACAGAATGTCTTTCAACACAAACCCAAACAAAAAATCTTCTGAAGATAAAAGTTTAATTAGTGTTCCTGACAAGGATTGTGAAAGCATCTGTGCTGACAGTAAAAAAAATTTTTTTTTTAATTAAAAAAATTTTTTCTTTTTAAAGCTACACTTTCTGATTTACTTCCTCCAAGTGAAAGGAGAAATTCTCGTTCTTCACCAGATAAAAAAACTGTTTCGCCTGGATCACAAAGGAGAAGAAGTTCGGCAAGTTTGCATAGTAATACAACTGCTACATTTGGGAAGAAATGATTGAAAGGAAAAATTTTTTCTTTTAAAATGCTCAAAAAATTATTTTTTGTTAAATTTTTGTGGTGATGATACTCTTCTCTTTTTCTCTCTCTCTCAAAAAAATATATATTTTTTTATTGCCTTAATTCTCATAATTTTTTCTTTGGTTTAAAAACACAAAATTAAAACTCACTTTTTTTGCTCAAAAAAAATTTTTTTATTTTTATATTTGTTGATTGTATTTTTGATAAATCATTTTATATATTTTGTGTTTACTTTGTTTTAATCGGTTTAAATTATCCTGTATATTTTTTTTCTATAATTTTTTAACAAATGAGGAGTGAGGTTTTAAGTATTTCTTTGTTAAATTTTGTTGAATTTAAGTACGAAGATTAGAAAATCTGCTTGTATATGTTTCATGGTTGAGTGGGTTACGTGTCAAATTAACAGCGTTAAAGGTTGAAGGTTCGAGTCCAGATGAGGTTGTCTTTTTTTATTTATTTTTAAATTTTTATTGTTTCATTTTTCTTGTGGGGGTAAAGGCTCCAGATTTTCAGATAATTTTTTTATCTAATCTCCTTTTTTGTCTAGAACGTTAAAAACGTTTAAAAAATCCCCTCTTCAGTTTAACTTTATTCCTTTTCAAACTATTTTCGATTTTCATTCCCAAAGGACCGGGTCATCTAAAAAAGACTTCTTTTTTAGCCCTTACCCCTAAACAAAAAGAATGAGAGCTTTTCTCATTTCCCAGCCGATATAGAGTTAAATTTATTTTTAACGTTAAAGAAGAAATAGTGTATAAAAATGAGAGAGAGGTTAGAGAAAAGTTGTGTGTTAGAGTAATGCTTTTACTATAAAAAGAATTGAAAGCAACAACAAAATAAATAAAAGAGGCACATACTCAGTCATTCATGCACTCGTGCCAGAGCTTCTGTGTGTGTGAAAAAGAAAATGTGAGGGGAATCTTCTCATATAAAAGTTAGGGAGGGTGAAAGGGCATTTTTTGTGTGTGTGACTGGAAGTCTTTATTGTCCATAAAATATTTTTTTTCGTTTTTTTGAATAGCTTCCGCTTCTTTTATACACACAAACATCGTGACAGCAGTTCAAAAACATTTTTATTACCAGCCAAGTATTTTATAGCCAATTAATTTTTAATTTAATAGAACCACTTGATTTTTTTTTTCTAATCAAAACAAACTTGAGAAAACAAAAGAAAAAAGGTTTTTTGCTTTTATTCTTAAGCATGTCTCTATTGCAGGGCTCCGATTCCTACTTTTTTAAAAGTATTCTACTTTTAAATCGTCCTCCATACTTACGAAATTGAATTTATACTTTTTTGAAAGTATATACTTTTTTTTGATTGAAAATGAAATTGAGGAAGGGATTGGGCAAAAAAGTGAATTTTCTGGATTAAGTGTCTTCAAAATTTCTCAAAATTTTCGCCTGCGGTGCAGAAAATGGATTTTTTGGCGCCTTCGGCGCCACAAAAAGTGCATTGAGATTGACAAAATGCTCAGTTGAAGCAAGAAATTATTAGAAAAGATTCATTTTGGAGAGAAATATGAAAGATTTGAGGACGAATAAATATTTTCTGATTTAATTTTGAGACTACTTTTTTTTTGCAAATTTTCTCCCTATATACTTTTAAATCGAGATTTTTATACTTTTTATTGGCATTTTGTCGATCGGAGCCCTGCTCTATTGTTATTTTTATTTTAGAATTTATTCAAAAATTTTTTAAAAATTTTTTGAGGACTTTTTAAATTTATTTTTTTTTGTCCGCAAAAAATTTTGGGGACATTTTTGAAATTTTTGTCCGCAAATTTGCGTATTTTTTTGTCCGCAGAAAACTTGCGGACACTTTTGAATTCTATTTTGTCCGCTAAAAATTTGCGGACACTTTTCGAATTTTTTGTCCGCAAAAAAAATTTGCGGATAGACTACTTATTAATCTGCTTATTTTTTTTTACAGATATGCCTTCATTATTTAATTATTTGTTAATAAAAATCAGAAGACAACAACAACAACATTCCTCATTATTTTTAATTTTTATTTATTTAATTATTTTTTGTTCTACCCCATTAAAATCTCAAAATATTACCTTCAACAACAATACTGGTTTAATTGAAAGTGAAGATGATTGTTTATCTCCTATAAAAATTGGTCTTCTTTTGCCTGAACAATACAGACAGAGAATTGACCCTTGGCTGTCACTTTCTTTAAAGCATTTACATCAGATTTTGAAAAAGTATGTTTTTAAAATTTTTGTCCGCAAGTTGTCCGCAAATCTTTTTGCGGATTTTTTCAAAAAAATTTTTTTTAATTTGTCCGCAAAACTTTTGCGGATTTTTCCAAGAAATGTTTTTCAAATAAAAAATGCGTACAAATTTTGTCCGCAAAATTTTGCAGACAAAACTTGCGGACTTTTTTCCAAACTCGAAAAAATTTTTTTAACAGTTCACCGTTGGCTTTGGCCTCTCATTGTTTACAATTGGTAATTTTAAATTGAAAAAATTTTTAAAAATTTATTTAAAGGCGCCAAAAGACACTGCTTGTAAAACTTCTTTGGGTATGAAAGCCCTTTTTGATTTAATGGGTCCACAAGAATCTGGAGGAAAAGTGGTTGCGCTATTTGGGGATATTTGCACGTTTGTTTATATTTTTTAAATTTAATTTTAATTTATTTTTTTAGTGATGTTAATGAACCTGTGGCAATGGCAGCAAAGTAAACATTAAAAAAGATAAATGATTAATTTTGCGGACAAAAATTTTTGTCCGCAAAAATTTTGCGGACAAAATTTGCGGATTTTTCAAAAAATATTTTTTGTACATTTTTGAAATTAAAATTAAAAAAATTTTTTAAAGGAGTTGGAATATTGTACATCTTTCATTTACTGAAACACATGCAAAATTTGGAACGGCTGATTCTAAAGAGGTTTTATGGGTCGAAAATTAAAAAATAATTTTTGTAGCTTTATCCAAGTTTTTTTCGCATTGCGCCTGGAGATTTGAATTTTAATAGAGCTAGAAAGGAATTAATTAAAGGTATTTTTTAATTTAATATAGATAAAAGATGGGAATGGGACCAGACCTTTTCTTGGCTTTTTTCTCCCTTTTTTGTCTCTTTTTCCCTTTGGTTCCGATTAGTGACCGGTAAAATCGATTTTTCCGGAACCGGTTCCGGATTTGCATCTAGAGCCGGACCGGATTTCTCCGGATTAATCCGGTCCGGTTTTAATCTGGAAATTGCGAAAAAATCCGGATTTGGGACCCGGACTCCGGAAAAATACGGCAGGATCCGATCCGGCCCGGTCACTAGTTCCGATCCATGTTTTGTTCCTGTTCCTCTTTCTCCGGTCTCTTGTCCCAGGTTTTTTTTAAAATTCCCATCCTTAGCCATTAGAGACTCTTAGTATTTTTTAAATTTAAAGCTTTTGGTTGGCGCCGTGTTGGAAGCATTAAACAAAGCGACCATTCCTCTCTAGCCTTAGCACATGAACGTTTAACTACAAAACTTGAACTTGGAGGTGTGCAGGTTGTGTATACTGCAAGTTTGAGTGGGGAGAGTAATGACCAGGCAATTGAAGCAGAATTGGATGAATTGAAGGTTTGTTTATTTTTTGGGGTTTATTCTGTTTCTGATTTTTTTATTCTGTTTTTCAGTTCTGATTTTTGTTCTGATTTTTCTGTTCTGGTTTTCTGATTTTATAATTCTGGTTTCTTATTTTGATTTTCTTGTTCTGATTCTTTATTCTGATTTTTTTCTCTGATTTTTTTGTTCTGTTTTTCTGTTCTGATTTTTAATTCTGATTTTTTTGTTCTGTTTTTCTGTTCTGATTTTTGTTCTGATTTTTAATTCTGATTTTTTTGTTCTGTTTTTCTGTTCTGATTTTTGTTCTGATTTTTAATTCTGATTTTTTTGTTCTGTTTTTCTGTTCTGATTTTTAATTCTGATTTTTTTGTTCTGTTTTTCTGTTCTGATTTTTGTTCTGATTTTTAATTCTGCTTTTTTTATTCTGTTTTTCAGTTCTGATTTTTGTTCTGATTTTTCTGTTCTGGTTTTCTGATTTTATAATTCTGGTTTCTTATTTTGATTTTCTTGTTCTGATTCTTTATTCTGATTTTTTTCTCTGATTTTTTTGTTCTGTTTTTCTGTTCTGATTTTTAATTCTGATTTTTTTGTTCTGTTTTTCTGTTCTGATTTTTGTTCTGATTTTTAATTCTGATTTTTTTGTTCTGTTTTTCTGTTCTGATTTTTGTTCTGATTTTTAATTCTGATTTTTTTGTTCTGTTTTTCTGTTCTGATTTTTGTTCTGATTTTTAATTCTGATTTTTTTATTCTGTTTTTCTGTTCTGATTTTTGTTCTGATTTTTAATTCTGCTTTTTTTTGTTCTGTTTTTCTGTTCTGATTTTTGTTCTGATTTTTTGTTCTGATTTTTATTCTGATTTTTTATTCTTATTTGTCCAACCAGAATTCTGATTTTCTAAAACCAGAAAAATTTTTCAGCACAGAGATGTTCACATATTTATTGCCGATCTCAGCCGTTCTCTAGCTCTCCGTGTATTTTGTGTTGCCTTCCGTTTAGGCCTCTATGGAAATAATTTTGCTTGGATTCTCCCAGGATTTAAAATTTCTCCAGACGGGACAATAAATAATTTTTGGTGGCAAAATAATTATTTAAATATTCAAACAAATTGTTCTTTGGAAGAAATTGAAGAAGTTTTAACTGGACATTTTGCTTTAGATCAAGCACTTATACGGCCTTATGAGAAAGGAAAAGAAGAAATTTTGGCTAGTGGGAAGGTTTGTTTTTTATATTTTTTTTGGTTTTTTTTTATGATGCATGGGTGTGGGTTGGGCTCGAAATTTCTATTTTTGTCTGTCGATTTCTGAAATTTTTTTTCCATTTTTTTAAAAATTTTCCAGAATTCACAATTTCCGGCATCTTGGACACTTCTAGAGTTTCTCAAAAATTAAACACTTTCTCCCCTTTTCGAATTTTTTTTTAAATTTGTGTTTATGCATGTCAGAGACAGGGTTTTCCCCTTTTCGGTTCATGACGTTTTTTCTTTCCTATTTCTGAAAAACTTTTCCAAAAATTTCCAATTCTCGACATCTCTGGGATGATTTCTCGGGTTTTTAAAGAAATGGACATTTTGTCCCCTTTTTAAATTAAAAAATATTTTTTTAAAGACTCCAACCCAAATTCTCGAAGAATTCCACCAAAATTGTTTACAAGAATATGGTTCAAATACAGAATGTCAAACAGATTCATTAGCACATTCATCTTACGCTTATGATGGAATTTTGGCTTTAGGCTTGGCTTTAAATAAAAGTTTGATTTTAAAAAAAGGAGAGGAAGAAGAAGAATTTGAAATTGACAAAAAACTTTTTGTTTCAAAAATGAGAAAAACAGATTTTGAAGGTTTAAGTGGAAGAGTTCGCTTTGATGATAAAGGGGAAAGGCTTGGATTGGTACAAATACAACAATTAATTAATGGTTCGTATTCAATTATTGGATTTCTGGATAATGCTGAAGGACGATTTCAGTTAAACAAGGATATAGGTTTGAGTTTGTTTTTAATTTTGTGGGGCAAAATTAGAAAAAGAATAACTGAAAAAAATCGCTTTGCGTCTTACGTTACAAAATAACATTCAAAAGGAGGTAAAATGTGCGTAGATGCTGCTTCTCTGTCCGCAAGTTTTATCCGCAAAAATTGTAAAAATTATTGCGGATAAATTTTGCGGATTTCGTTTATGAGCATTTTATGCCTTCAAAAAATTTAAAAATTTGCGGACAAAAAACTTGCGGATAAGACATCAAAACTTGCGGACATAAAAACTTGCGGACAAAAAAATTGCGGATAAAAACTTGCGGACAAAATTTTTGGAAAAAACTTGCGAACATAAAGTCTTGCGGACATTTGTGTTCATAACCTAATTAATTTTTCTAAAGATTGGATTCCACCAGCCGATTCAACACTTTTATTGCGTAGAAGAGAATATGTTTCTGCACTTTTATTAATAATAATGTGTTCATTAGCTTTTGCTGGTATTTGTTTGGCTTTGATTTTTTTGATTGTTAATATTAAATTTAGAAATCACAGGTTTTTTATTTCTTAATATTTTTAGAATAATTTTTTTTAATTAAAGATTTATAAAAATGTCCAGTCCGGTATGTTTTTTTTAATAAATATTTTCTAAAGTTGAACCTCTCCATTGTCACACTAAAAAATGGGTCTTATAAAATGATGAAAAATCCTTTTCATTCAAAACCCTTTTTATTTTTTTTGGAGCTTTTTGGGAGGGAAATGAAATATGTAGGGGAGGGATTGAGTTATTGAGAGGATGGTCCTTCCGCATTAAAAATTGGAGGACGAACGTAGAAGATAGCCCTCTCTGATATGTATTTGGGGGGGTGTATTCCTGCTAATTTTTTTTATTTTCCTCCAAACTTTTCCTCATAGATTCTTCCTCAGATCCAGCACGTAATTTTATCAAAAATTCAATTTTTTGTGTATTTTTTCGTTTCACTTTTGGGGCTGGGTAAGAGAAGAGGTTCAACTTTTTTTTAAATTTAAAATATGATTTTACACAAAAAATATTTTCTTTTATTTTTTCATTGTCTTCCTACAGAACATGAACAATTTGGTTTGCTTTTTTTTTATTTAAAAAAATTATTTTATTTTCTTTTAAAAAGATTATTTGTGGTTCTTTATGTGCCTATTTAACTATTTTTCTTCTTTCTGTGGATACTAGAATGGTTTTTAAATTTTTTTTAAATTAAAATAAAATTTTTTTTAAAGGTCAGCATACGACGTTTTGAACAGTTTTGCTATGTTTGTTTTTATTTTTCTTTTAAAAAATTTTTTGGGTAGGTCAAAGGGAATAATGGGTTTTATTTCTGTCTAATATAAGTGGATTTTAGGCGTACACTTTTTTTGAAATTCCAAGCAGGGCTGTAACATGTGGGCGCCAAAAATTCGTCGTACAAAAATTTTCCCCCCTTCCCCCCTCCGAAAAAATCCTGGTTACGGCCCTGACTACAAGGATGTTTTTATGGACTATTTACAAGCACAGATCCTTTAAGGAGGCTAAAGACATTAAACTTTTATTTCCTTTGGGATTTTACCGACATTTTTGGACTTTTCTTGCGGATTTTTTTTCTGAAATTTTTGCGGATTTTTTTAACGTACAGTTTTTCTGCGGACTTTGCTTGCAGAAATTTTTCTGATTTTTTGCCGACCTTTTTTTGCGGACTTTACTTGCAGACTTTTTTTTATTCACCACACTAAAAATAATTTTCTAATAAATAATTCCCCTCTAAAAATTTATTTTTTTTCTTATTTAAAGGCAAAAGTTTGGATTCTTTGTTTTGGTTTTACCCTCGCTTTTGGTTCAATGTTTAGTAAAACATGGCGTGTTCATTCAATTTTTACTGTAAACTTTTTTTTTAAATTAAAGAAAATTTTTTTTAATTTTTTAAAGAATATTAGACGTGACAAAAAAGCAATAAAAGATTCCAAACTTTATTTAATTGTTGCTTGTTTGTTGGCGATGGATGGGGCAGTTTTGCTTTTATGGGCGTTGATTTCACCCTTTAGATTGTCTTTAGCTGAACGAGGACAGTTTGTTAGTTTGTTTGATTTTTTGGGTAACTTTCATGATATAAATTTCTGTTTGAGTTAGGTACGTAGTCAGGGGGAAGGGAACAACTTGTGATTCTTCCGTCCCCAATTTTGATTCAGGTGTCCTCCGTGGCTCTAATGGCTCCTTATTTTGTTTTTTCCCTCTAGGTTACATATTCACTTATAAGCTCCATGGTTCCTAAATATTGACAGTTCATCTGAGTCTTATCAAGACTTGTGTCCCTGTGGCTCCCTTAACGGAATGTGTTGTATTACAAAAAGCTTGAAATACCAAACCATCCCCTTGTAACCCTGATCCCGGAACCCAAACCAGTTCAGTTCTAGACTCAATCCCAGACTCTAATTCCCATTCCTATCTTCCCATCTATAAATTAATAACTTTCTCTTCTTTGGACTTCGCCTCCGCACTTCCGCCTAATTCCGCTTTATTATTGTTTACAATTACAACTATTCCTTCCTAACCTTTCCATTATTCGTTCACGTGAATTCCTATTATTTCCACTTATTCCCAATCACTTCCCATTATCCTTTTACATTAATTCCTATTATTTCCGTTCATTTTCCATCACTTTCCCAACTTATCATATTTACAATCTCCACTAATCCAACTTGTTAACTATTGCCATTCCCACTTCTCACTCCCCTTTTTCCCAACTTATAAGTTTGCCTTTAACTCCAATAAACAGCTTATCCTCAGTCCAGTCCAATCTCAGCTTTATTCGGTCCAATCCAATCTCTGTTCCTTCATTTCAATGCATTGTCCAGTACCCTATTATTCCACACATATTCTATTTCAATTACCAGTTCCATTTCCATACTCTATAAGTCTAATGAAGTCCTTTCAATTCTATTTCTCATTCAATCCATCCTAATCCAATATCAATGTTAACTCCATTATATCAATTATCAATAAATATGTAGAGTATTTGGTGAATTGGCTTAATAACGGGTAGGACCTCTGGAAGCCCACACTCGCACATCCACTAATTAATATCCACACACACATCCACTCAAATCCCGAATCCATATCCTCACATTCCTTAACCCAATAACTAACATACTAACTCCCTAATTGATATATAAACCCCATGGTTCTTAGGTAATTATTGCCTAGGTTATCTGAATCATATCTACATTCGTTCAGGTTCAGGCTATCCATCTCCCTCCTACTTCTGAGAGATTTTTTTTTAAATCTTAAGTAGTTTTAGAAATTTTTTTTTAATTTTTAAATACAGAGAGAAGAAAATATGTTAATTATCCCAGAATTGGAACATTGTGAATCTTCGCATTCTGTTGTCTTTCAATTAGTTTTTGCTATAACTAAAGGATTATTAATGGTTTTTTCTTTATTTTAAATTTAAAAAATTTTTTTAAAAGTTGTTTGGTTGTTTTTTGGCTTGGGAAACTAGAGCAGTTAATGTGCCTGCTTTAAATGATAGTAAATATATTGGGATTGCTGTATATGCTATTGTGGTATTTTTTTAAAAATTTTTAACAAATTAATGGTCATTCTAATAAAAAAAGAATTATTTAAAAAAATATTTTCCACTGGATTTATAAAAAGGTTTAGGAGGGTAGTATTTTTAAAAGAAACCATCGTGGAAAAGAAACTTGCGGGCGGGCGAAAAATTTGCAAGCAAAAAAACTTGCGGACATAAAACTCGCGACCGAAAATTTTGCGGAAAAAACATTTTAATTCTTAATATCTTCCATATTAAAATTTTTCTTATTTTTTAAAGGTTATGTGTGCAGTTGGCTTAGCTTTAGCACTTATTTTACAGGTTTATTTTTATTTTTCGTTTAATAATTTTTTAAATTAAAAAAAGGATCATTTAAACGAAGCATTTGGTTTAATTAGTATTTTTATAATTTTTGGGACAACTTTAACTCTTTGTTTGGTTTTTGTTCCAAAAATTGTCGAATTATGGAAAACACCAAAAAATGCTTGTGAACAACAAAAACATCAAAGGAAAGGAATGATGAAAAGTGTTGTTGGTGGAAAGAATAATTCTTTAATTAATTCGAAACGTTCTGCTGGTGGAACAACAACAAAAAGAAATTCTACAACAACACAAGAAGGTTTACATAGACAATTATCTTTGTAAGTTTAATATAAAATATTTTGAATTTTTTGCTGACCTAAACCATCCCTCTTGAACTGAAGACCGGACCGAGAGTTTTTTGCAGATTGTTTTTTGCGGATTCCTAAACTAAAAACAATCCGCAGATTTTGCTTTAATTCTCTCCCCATTATTAAAAAATCATTTTTTTAGAATTTCCCCTGAAGAAATGTTGAGGAGAAGTGGCCTTTTAGAAGTAGAAAATTTGAGGTTACATCAAACACTTGTTGAGGTAAAAATTTTTAAAAATAATTAATAGACGATTTCCTTTTTAAGAAATCTAACCAACTCAAAGAATTACTTGAAAAAGTAAAAGAACTTGCTGAACAACTTGGAGGTTTCTCTAAAATTTTTTGAAAAAATTTTTTGTCCGCAAAAATAATTGCGGATAATTTTTTTGTCCGCAAAGATTTTTGCGGACAAAAAATTTTTTTAAGAAAATTAAAAAAGGAATTTTTTCATTAGAAATTGAAGACGAAAAAATTTTGATAGAAGAAAAACAACAACAAAAAAATGTTAAAAAATCTCCTATTCATTTGGGTATTCCACAAGAGGAAGAAGAAAACAATGAAAATACAAAAAGAAGATTATCAGCAAGAACTTTAACTGCAGTAGTTCAACAATTTAGGTTGAGGAGAACAAAAACAAGTAGTTGTTTAGAATAGAGTGAAAAGGGAAATTTAAAGATTTTTCAGTTTTAAAAGATCTCAAATTTTCTGATCTCATTTTTTTTCAAATTTTTATTGCCATAAGAGGGTCTCTTTCCCCTTACAAATTATTTATATTTGACTCTAGTCTAGAGGGTATCCTTTCTGTGAAAATGGGGGAGCATCATTTCCGTGATATGTTAGGCAGAATTAGTTTTTTTAAACTGTCCTTACCCGGGCCCCTAATCTCGACTTTTTCGACCCAAACCCCAATCCGAAGAAAATTAAATCCAGACCGGCTCCTAATATGACGCATGCTCCTTGATGTCAAAAAAGCAATAATTTTATTAAAAAATATTTTTTTTGGAAAATATGTTAAAATTGTTTTACATATTTTGTGTAAAATTGAGAACACAACTTAAAAATTAACCTTCTTTTTTTAGCCACAAATATCTAACAAAGCAGTTACAGCAGCTTCTTTAACACCTCCTTTAGCTTCCAAAACTTGTTTAATTACTTCTCTTTCAATAGTTGGAAACATTTCTGCCAATTCATTTAATTCCTCTTCAGTGAACAGAGGAGCATCTTTAAAAAGAGAAAATTTTTTTGAGAAAAATTTTTAAAAAAACAAACTAATAATAGCTCTTTCCTCCCCTTGATTTTGTGGACGTGGAACTTGTGAGAAAGACACAACCAAATTTATAACTCCTTCTTTGCCTTCTCCCTTAAAAAGTATTTTTAAAAGGTAAAGTTAAAGGGCCCCGATTCAGATATGGTCAATGGCCATTAAAGAGGTTGTCAAGCTGATTGTGAGTCGAATGACAAATCAAAATCAACATGAGGTCTCAAATATAGCCTGAGATACCCAAAAATTGAAAAAAAACCGGAGGGGACCCAGCATGTTTTCGGGGTCAATAATTCGATTATATAACTCACTTGAGGTCCAGAAAGTTGATACCATTCATCAATTACTTCACGATTAAAAATTCCTTGAGGGAGAATTATATGTGCCCATGCAACTAATTCGTCGTTGGTGAAAGCACGCTTGAAGATAACCTGTTTTTTAATTTTCTAAATAAAAAACCTCATCAAATATTTGCAAATAAACTGATTCAACTCCTTCAGGTAAATAAGCGTTAACTGTTCGATTCCAATGTGGAGCCTTCCCTCCATTAACGCAAGTTGGTGTTTCAAATAAAGTATGTCCTATAAAATACGAATATAATCGGATTTGCTACAAGTTATAGGTACCTTTGGGGGGTTTAATACCTTATAGGGAGTGCCTTAAGGTGGGGGCCTTATAATGGAGGGTAAATTAAATTTAGAAGTGTCTTATAATGAGGGGGTCTTAAATTGGGGATTACCTTATAATGAGGAGTACTTTAAATTGGAGGTATCGCTTATCAGTTCGTTGGGGAAGGGAATGGACAATGGGAGTGTTAAAAGATACCCTCTATTTAAAATACACCCCAATATAGGATCTAATTTCTGCTTCCCAGAGTTGTGTCTTATAGAGATTTGACTATCAATTAAAATCTAGAAAAGTATACCAATTCTCAATCGAATATACGGATCCATTCGAACACCTGGAAGTCCATAATTTTTGGTCAATTTTGCTTCCACAATTTTAATAGAAAGTCGGCCACGAGTATGTGGAGGAACAAAAGAGTAAAAATTCTCCTTAAAAATCAATAATTTTTAGTTGAAAAATTTTTTCTTTAAAAAACCGCAGGTCCAAAAGTTTGGTAGGGTACTTGTTGGGGAATTGAAGGTATATTTTGTTGTTGTTCTTGAACGTTTTGAGGAATGGTAGGATCTACTTCTGGCTTGGAAACGCGTAAAAAGTCATCAGGAAGTTGGCCAATCAAAACCTTTAGGTTTAAAAATATATTTTCTAAGAATTAAGAAAAATAAAAAATAACCCGACTACGAAGTTCTGACAAATTCAAAGAATTTTTTGATGGTAGAGGTCCAGCTTGTGCCATTAATAATCAATCTACAAAATAAAATTTAATTTATAAGCTTAAGTTTCTTAAAAATTGAAAAACGGGGCTGCGAACGCTTGACCATTTAAAAGTTACCATTTTGACATTTTCCAATCCAACATTTTCCTTTTCTACCTCCCATCTAATTTTTCCACTTTCTCTTCGATTTTTTCGGAATTTTCGGCTAGGTAATCTTCATTTTTTGGGCTGACTATTCTCGGAAAGATCGTTGTAAGCTCTTAATATTTTTGAGTCAATTTTTGACGAATTATCCTATTTTTACCAAGAAAATTGACAAAAATTGATTTTTGATTGATATTTCGTCGTTTGTCCCTTAATCGATTCTTGCTATTCTAATTTTCTCTACTGACTTGGTTTTTTTTTATATTTTTAGCCAATCAGCTCGAATCTTACTTCTAATTTCCTTTTTTCATAATTATAAGCATGGCCTGTTTACAAAAACTTCGAGAAGATATTGCCTTGCTTGAACGATTGTTTCCTAAAACACACGAACGCTTTCAGGTTTGATTTTTTTTTAGAAAACGTTCGTATGCTTTTTTAGATTGTTTCCGCTTCAATTGACGAACTCGAGGTTAAATTTGTTGGGACAGATGGGAAGTCTATTCAGATTTGTGCAAACATTCAGGTTTCGATTTTTCATTTTGGTCGAGGATATTGGCAAGATTCTTTGCCTTAAGTCACGGACACATTAGGGAACACTGAAAAATACTTTGATGTTGACTGGATCCAGGACAATTCAGATCCAGATCCTGGCCGATCTCTCATTAGCTCTGCTCTCAACTTGTATTCTTTTAGGAAAACTACCCACGAGAGCCTCCAATTTGGTTCAGCGAATCTGACGATGCTATAGTCACTGCTTTACTTGAACAACTCACTCAAAGTCAGGATGGCACAGGTATTCTGGCACAATTGCATATGCTGGTTCTCAGGCTTTGTACTGCCCACAATCTGACTGCGCCGACAGAACTTGAAGCGATTGCTCCGGTTTTTTAAATTTTTATTTTTTGTTTATTTTTATTTAAAGAGTCCACTGGATGACCGCGACGAAGGAAATGGGAGCGAATTGGAAAGCACCGTGGATGATGACGAAGAGGATGATTTGATGTGCGAAATGGAAGACGTTTCTGCTGCACGAGTTGAGCATTCTGAAGATGGATTGGTATGTTAATTTAAGAATTGTTGGCATTTGTCGACTATCTTCCCTTTCGCTCTTTTCCTTTTCTTCTTACCTTTTTTACGTATAAATAATGGCTCATACAAGATAAAGTTATTCTAAGAGGCTCTTGATGTAAAATTTTGAGTTTGACCCAAATGGGTTGGTCTGACTCTGGTCGATATCGCTGGCCTTTATAAATCCTCTTACTAACTCGAAATTTTTTTGTAAATGGATTTTATATTTTTTATACTTCAGGTTCCACCGGAAGGTTTAGCTGTTATTACTCGTGTTTCTCAAGTACAACGTCAGCAGCACCTTAAAGGTTGTTTTTTAATTTTAGGTTTATTTATTTTCAAATTTTATAGGCGCTCCAGCTGGTTCTGTAACAGCGTCAGATCGTCTTATGAAAGAGCTTAAACAGATATATAGCAGTGATAATTATAAAAACGGTATCAAAACGTTTACTTTTTTTGGTATTATTAGGTTTGGATATCCAAGGTTATTAACCGATACCTCCTGTCTTCGGTTTTCGATGGGTTTCAGTCCCTGGTTTTCAGTTCCGGTTCGGTTAACTGTTTGTGTCCAATCCTATTTTCTAAAATTAATTTTAGGCGTTTTCTCAATCGAATTGGAAAAGGATAATTTGTATGAGTGGAATGTCAAATTGAAGAAAGTTGATGAAGATAGCAATCTTGCATCAGATTTGAGACAATTGGCTAAACCTCCACATAACAAGGATGGACTGCTTTTTCAATTTATTTTTGGGACTTCATTTCCGTTAGTTTTTTTTTGAAGAAAATTTTTTTCTATTTTTTTCTAAAGGTTTGAGCCTCCATTTGTTCGTCTTGTTTCTCCTGTTGTTACAAACGGTTTTTTTTAATTTTTTAAAGAATTTTTTACTTAAATTTTTAAAGGGTTTGTTTTGAGTGGTGGTGCTCTTTGTATGGAACTTTTAACCAAACAAGGATGGACAGCTTCTTATAGCGTTGAATCATTAATTACTCAAATCTCTGCTACTTTGGTTAAAGGAAATGCTCGTATTGCATTTGAACCAAAAAATGGGAATACTTATAGTTTGGTTAAAGCTCAGCAATCTTTCAAGTCTCTTGTACATATTCATGCTAAATCAGGTTTGTTTCTTTTTTTATTTTTTTGGGGGCGAGGACAACTGGTATCGTGAATATACTCGTCAGGAATGTCACGGGTTTTCTAAAAAGCGGACTTTTTTGACACGATCTGAGAAATTTTGGAAAACCAGCTAGACCTTTCTATTTCTCTGACTCGTACCTTTATTCCTCTCTCATCTTCTTCCCTCTTCTTTTTTAGTTTCAAACAGGGTTGTACCCCGTCCACTTTTTTTAAAAATTCCCCCCCCCCCCCTTGGCGCTGCCTCCACGAAAATTTTCCCCGTTGCCCCCATTGAGGAACAATCCTAGTTTCCACCATTTCTCCTATCTATCCCTCCTCCTATCGCATCCCACCAAACCTTTATGATCCTTGAAGTCGTAAAATCAGTCCCGCTTTCGCCATTTGATCCACTTTTATTATAGACTCTTGAGTTTCCGCTAACCTCAATTACCCTTTTTATAAAAATAAAAAAATTTTGTTGACATTTTTTTAATATAAGGTTGGTATACACCACCAAAAAATGAAGGCTGAACGGATTAATATATAAGTAAGCAAAAATTGAAATTTTTTGATTGGAAGTAAGTTTAAAATATTTCTTGATAAAAAATTTAAAAAAATTGAAAAATGTAAGAAAAAATTTTTTGAGACTTCCATTTATCGATTATAATATCTCTTCTCTCTCGTGAATATATTTAAAAACATATACATATATTAGTCTATCATTTTTTTGCTGATTTACACTCTTATTCTCTACTATTTTAAATATTATGTAAATGATGGTTAGCAAATATATTTTTTGGGAAAATTTTTTTTGAAAATTCCTAGGACTTCAGAAGTTCGAGTTTAAAAATTCTATAGTTCTTTTTCAAAAATTTATTTGCTTTTCATTAAAAAAATTATTTTTTTTTGGAATATTTTACTTGCTTCTTTCCACTCATACATTCTTTTTTTTTCGTTTTTTGGATATGGACCTTATAATGTGTAATTATAATTTCTTCATTAAAAAATTTTTTTGTCGAGTGTAAATATAAAAAATTTATTTAATTTAAAAAATTTTAAAAATTGAATTTGAAATTTTTTTAAATTTCTAAAAGGGTAAAATTGGGTTAGTTTATAGGAGAGATTTAAATATAAGCAAGTTTTTGTTTAAAGTTTTAATTAGTTTAATACTCAAACTTACAACTTTTTTGTTGTAAGCAGCTTGGTGTAATGGTTAGCGAGTTTGCTTTGGATACTATTAACTAGCTAGGTTCGATACCACCTAAGGTTCTAGTGCATTGAAGTCTTTTTTAAATTTAAGGGACAAGCCGGCTTTGTGTTTTTTTAACTTTGCTTAAATCTAAAATTTTTTAGAAGCCTTTCAAATTAATTTTAAAATTTTTTAAGAGCTTCTAAATTCCCCCATTTGTCAAAGACCATAAACTTTTGAGGTAAAAAGTTATGTGGTAAAAGCCCATTTATTGTTTATTTGTCCACATTGAAAAAGGGGGGAAAATATTTAATGTGTGGACAACAGTTAAAGCGCAAAAAAGAGGAAACAGAAAGTAGAGTAGTTTTTGTGGTGGCTGGCAGTGTCACTCACACAAAAAGCTTTTTAAAAAAGGGAAAACCGATTTTTAAGGCCTAGGAGGAAGAAGAAGTGTGGACAATATATGTATAAGTTTAATAATTTATTTTTAGCTTTGAAGAATGGTTAATTAAATGATGGGGAAATATAAAAGATTTTGAAATAAATTGGAAAAGGCTGACCAGTTAAACATAAAGGAGGCTTTCTCTTTTGACCCTGCAAAAATCTTAACAGGTGGTTTGCTCTATCTCTTTTTTCTCGTTGTTTGTTGAACTTCTTTCAATCCTTCACAATCCAACCCTAGAAATACTGACCAAATCCAATAAAAAACTTTTAAAATCTGATCCTATGAAGGATTAAAACAGAATTACTCTTCACTAGGGTTGTCGGTTTCACCAAATTCTTAGGTTAACCGAACAGACAAACTGAACCGGAGAATTTCGGTTAACCGAAGCTGAACCGAAGATCTTAGAGTTTTTGATTCGGTTTGAAATCGACAACCCTACTTTTCACATACTATCTATATGCTCCTTATCCCCCTTTCTCCTTGTTATTTTTGTTCCATTCACATTCCAACAACTTAATTTATCTTTAAATCAGACCCTTCTTTTCAATCTCTTAGTTGTTATCTCTTTAAAGGTATTTATTTCCTTTAAATAAATATTTTCTGGGCAGACTTGCATATTTATTTTTCTGTCAGCTTTTTAGCATTATTCATTTGTTGAATCAACTAGTTTTGTGATTGATTAGATTGGAATAAAACGATTTAAATGTGAAGAAAAATAACGGCCTTAACCTAATTTTCAACCCTTCGTGTCCACCCATTTCTTTCCAATTTTTCTCTCCAAACGGGACAATAACAACAACAAACACACAATCCTTTTTATTTTTTTTCTTGCCATCTGCCTATTTTTTATTTATTTGCGCGTTCCGTTCCTTCGCCACATTTTATTTTTACACAAATCAAACAAAAAAAAAACAGCCGCCACATTTTAATGAAAATTTTTCTGTTTTAGTCTTAAAATGTGCCTTCTTATCTTAGGGAAGGAAAAAATTTTTGAAGTAAAAAAGCTTTTAAGCTTTGAAGAGTTAATTTATTTAATTGTGAGAAATTGTTGTGAGATTAATTCCGCTGGATTCCGTTTTGGAAAAAAAATTTTGGAAAAAATTCTGTATGAAGCTACAAACCAGTGATGGACCGGGTTACCCAAAACCTAGAGCCGAACCCCGGACCGGGGGTGAGCGCATTGCGTTTTTTGTGTTGATTTTTGGCCTTGCGTTTTGCGTTTTTCGCAATTGCCTTTTGCGATCACCCCTGCCCCGGACTGCTTCGACTCTAAATCCGAAACCTGATCCAAAGAAAACTACAACCCAACCTAACTTTTTTCTTAATTTTTTTCAACATCCAACTTTTTATAACACATCTTTCTGATTGGGGATAACAAAGAATGGGAGTTTGCCGATCACTACCCTTCTAAATACATATAGCAATTAACCAGTTTCTGGTCTATTTAAATATTTTTAAGGATCGAATTTCTTTTTTGGATGAATTTTTTTGAATTTTAAAAACTATTTTTGGATTTTTTGAAAAAAAAAGATATTAAAAATTTTTTTTACAATTTTTATGACGCACTGACCTTCACCCCTCTCTCTACCCCTTCAAAACTAAAATTATTATTACCCACAAAAACCCCCCATCTGTCCTTTCATTTCATTTTTCTTTCCTTAATCTAACCCTCCTTTCTCTCTCAAAATTTTTATTTATTTATTCATGACCGCCAATCTCTTCCATCCTCTTCTCTCATTTATTTCCTCTCTATCCAATTCCTCCTCATCGTACCACCCATTTCCTCCTCCCCTTTTTTTCCTCGATGCGGTTGAAAATAGGGCAAAATGCTGCTTAAATATTGTAAAAATAAAAAAATTTTTGTTGTGTCTGTCTGTACAAAGGAACATTAAAAAATAAATATTTAAAAGGGCAAAAAAGACAGTCATTGTTGGTGACCATAAAAATATTTATAGCTGTATTTTAAGGCTTTTTTTGCTTTATATACCTATTTAAATATTTTTTCATTTCCTATTTTTATTTTTAAGCATTCAGTACTTAAAAATTCGAGTTTTAGTTAAAATTTAAAAATTTAAATTTTCCAGACTCTAGTGTCCAAATCTGAATTTTTTTTTCTTAATTTCCTTGAATAATTTTGTTTGAATTTTCAATTCCCCCTTTGATTGACCGCAAAAATTAACCGCCAAAAAAAGCTAAAACTTAAAAATATAAAAAGCATAGGAAAAAAATTCATTGGGTACCGATTGCGACGCGTTGAATACAAATAAACCTAAAAATATGCAAGGTCACCACAAAGAATATTTTTTTCTAAAAATTGTGTTAAAATAAAAATACAAAATTGAATCGATAAAATTAAGATGTGTATTAGCAGGGATCCTGTAGAAATAAAAAAATAAATTCTCGATTTTCAGGAATCGGGAATTCCCGAGTTTTTTAAATTCCCGATCTCGGGAACTCGAGATCCCGACCCAAAAAAACTTCGGGAATTCTCAATATTCGGAAATCTCGGGAATAGGGACGACAGGATTCCTAATCTAGGATTGTCTAAATTTAATTTTTCCTAAAAATTACAGCTAGACTCTAATGTACTCTTTAATTTTAAATGTAATTTTTTGAAGATTTTTGCACTTAAAAATTTTAGAAATTTTTTTTTGAATTTTTTCTCCCTCTTAAACTTTCTTTTTTTTTTGTTTGCAAATTTGAGAAGGCTATTTAAAAAATATATATTTCTGCAAGATTGTAAAAAGATTGGCAGCTGAAAATCTTGAAATGCGAGAGCGCCATCTTTTCCCGCTTTTAAGAGAATGACAGTCACTGCCAGGCGCGACACAAGAGGAAGAAAATAATTTTTTAGTTAGTTTGTTGAGGTTGCCCCCGCCTCTATACTCTCTCTCTCCTCTCTACTTTTTCCTTCCTTTTCTCGTCATTCTCGACTTTATTTATTTTTACATTTACTATATTTTTGAATGTTCCCTTTTCCTTCATTTTTTCGGCCACTCATATTTGACCAATACCACATTTTGCCAATAAGGCTAAAAACTTACATTTTGTCAACAAGTTTGTTGACAAAATGCGAGATTTTAGCCTTATTGGCGAAATGTCGTTTTGGCAAAATATGGTGTCCGTTCCATTTTTCTCCTATATTTTTCCTCTTGTTTTTCCTCCTCTTTAAATATTTTTCCCAGGTTATTTTGTTGATTGTTGTTATTTTCTGATCTTTGCACCACCTCCCCCTTATAGAAAGCAAAAGCAAAAAATATTACTTGTGGTTATTGTTAGTCTATGGCCGTTATATTAAGGATTAGCCGAGACAAGTGGCTACTCCTTTTTTATTGTCTATATATAAAAGATTATTTTAGCAACATTTCTATTTTTTAATGTCAATTTTTTGCAAGTTTTTTGCTTGCAAAAATTTCTAAAAATTTTTGGAAATATTTTGAAGGGGTTTTCTTTCCTCTTTACTTTGAGACTCTAATGTACCTTTAATTTTTTTCTGAATTTTAAAATTAATTTGCCGACAAAAAAATTTTTTTGACAAATTTCCATACTTTAAATGCCTAAATTAATTTTTAGCTTTACAAAAAATTTTTGTTTTAATTTATTCGGCCATTTCTAAAATTAGTGGTAGAGAAAACTAACAAAAAACAACAATAATTAAATAGTAATTCGTCATAAAATTAGGAAAAAAATTTTTTTCTACAGCTAGAAAGGCTCTACAAATTTTTCGCTGTTTTTTACATTCCATTAACAAAGCACCAACTATTCGAAAAAAATTTTTTTTGAAATTTTTTGTCTTTCCGAAATTCGACATTTTGACATTTTCTTTGATTTGGACATTTTATCCCAACCAAAAAATGTCCCGAATTCTTCCTCTTCGAATTTCTTCCTCTCTTCAATCAAAATTTCGACAATTCCACAACCAAATACACCAACCAACTCTCTCATCAGAATTTGATCCAGAATTGTTGGTGTCATCAAGTGATAAAAAACCAAATTTGTGGAGGCTAATTACTGCAAAATTGAATTTTAATGAGAAATCGTTGCTTTGTTTTATGCAAAAACAGGTAGAGAATTTTTTGGGCAATCCCGGAGAGTTGGGGTCCCTGCGGAAAAAAATCTTAAAAATAAGAAAAAGGATTTTTCCAGGGTAAAAAAATATGCTGATTACGAATCCGAGCTCAGATTTTGAAAAAGTCGAATCCCGAACCCGAATTCGGACTTTTGCCTCCAAACAGGATTTTTGACCCCGAACATTGTCGGACATTGTACAAAATGACCAGTCTTTCAAAAAAATCTAGAACTCATCGAGCTGAGTCGAATGACACCAAAATCAATGAAATCCGACCGGATTGAACCGAGATACAGACCCCTGAATATTGAAAAACCGTAGGGACGCTATTTCGGAGTAAAAAAAAGTTTGTACAAATGATAGCTCGTTTGAAAGAGCTCGTCGAGCATTGTACAAAATGACCAGTCTTTCAAAAAAATCTAGAACTCATCGAGCTGAGCCGAATGACACCAAAATTACAGTGATTGATCAAGCTTAGACAAAGTTATGACATAAGTCGACGACTCTTACAGTACTCCCAGAGGTTTACTTTGTGTCACAACTTTGTCGATACAGGTCCGATCGCGATGATTTTGGTATCATTCGATGCAGCTCGACGAGCTCTTTCGAACGAGCTATCATTTGCATATTCGAAATTCGGGTTCTGGGTTCGAAATTTGGTTCGGGTTCGGGATTCGACTTTTTCAAAATCTGAGCTCGGATTCGTAATCAGCATATTTTTTTACCCTAGAAAAATCCTTTTTCTTATTTTTAAGATTTTTTTCCGCAGGGACCCCAATTCTCCGGGATTGCCATTTTTTGATTTATGAGTCAAATTTTTGGCGTTTTATTGCGTTATGAAAATTCTTTTACGCACATTTGCATTTTTAATTTTTTGTGTGCGCCAAAAAATTTTTATAGCGTAGATAAAACGCAAAAATTAATTTTGGCGTTTTGGCGCGTTATAAAAAAATTTTGGCGCACAGTTGGATTTTGAAAAATTTTTTCAAAAATTTTTTTTAATTTTAGTTATTCTTCGCCCAGTGCCTCAAGCTGTTGGTACTATTTTTTGTAGCTATAGCACAAATTTTGTATCTGCATCCATTTCTCGAATTATTTTCTCACTTGGAAGAGTATTCTGCAAAATTTGAATTTTTACAATCTTTTCAATCTAAACAAACAAAAATTTTAATTTTTGATTCTTTGCACGATTTAAATGAGGTTTTTATTTTAAATTTTTAATTACTTTTAAAATTTTAAAAAATTTTAAAAAAAATTTGCGGACAAAAATTTTTGTCCGCAAAAATTTTGCGGACAAAATTTTTGCGGACATTCAAAAAAATTTTAAAGCTAATTGGGGTCAGCGTCCTCGATGTTTTTTAATTTTTCAAATTTTTTTTTCAATTAAAAATTTCCTATTTTTTAAAGTATAAAAAGAATATTTGGATGACTGTAGCTGTTTTGTGTGCCTCTCTTTCGACGTGCTCCTTTTTTCTGTTCATTCTTCCGTCAAATTGTGCAATCAGACAGTGGCATATTTATTTGGTAAGGGAGGAATCTAGAAAAAAAATTAAAAGAAATTTGCGGATAAGAACTTCTTATCCGCAAAAAATTTGCGGATAAGAAATTTTTGTCCGCAAATTTTTTGCGGACAAAAAAATTTTTGCGGACATTTTTAATTTTTTTAAAATTTAGGTAGGTGTTCTCGATGCTTTCTCTTTTGCTTGTTTACCCTTTTTATTCTCTACCCGTGCTTGTATTATTCAAAGAGTAAAAATGAATTTTGGACAAGCTTTGGTAGAAGCACACAGAATTGGTTCTGCTGAGAAATTGATGAATAAAGTTTGTTTGTTTAATTTTAAATTTTAACTTAAAATATTCAAAAAATTTGCGGACAAAACTTTACAAAATATTCAAAATTTATATTATTTATTTAAATACGTCCGCAAAAATTTTGCTGAAAAAAATTTTTTTGCGGACAGAAAATTTTTTTGAAAATTAAAAAAAATTTTTTAAGGCTCAATGCAGCATTTTACCACGAGAAAAGGTTTCTTTTTTTATTTTATAAATTAATTTAAAAAAAATTATTTTTCAAGTTACCGCTCTGTTCTGATTTAATTTTGCGTTCAATATTTCCTATAGATTTGCTCAAATTTTTATTAATTTTGTGTGCAATGACACTTGCCTATTTGTTTGTTGCTTATTTAATTTACTGGTGTATAAGGCATTGGGTGCCTCATTCTGATATAACACAGAGGTAAAAAGGAGGGAATTAAAAAATTAAAAGAAATTTGCGGAAAGAAATTTTTTGTCCGCAAATTTTTTGCGGACAAAAAAATTTTTTAACAATCAGAATTATTCAAACTTCTGAAAAAAATTTTTCAGAATTTTTCCTCAGAATTTTCAGAATTTTCGGTACTCTTCGGTTATCTTCCCCAAATGTCCGCAAGTGTTTGTCCGCATATTTTTTTCTGATGCGGACAAACATTTGCGGACATGTGGGGGAGAAACCGAGGAATACCGAATTTTCTTTAAATCAGAATTTTTTGCAGAATTCTGATTTCCAAATTTCCTTTCAAAATAAAAATCAGAATTAATTTTAAATCAGAATTTAAATTTTCAGTTCTTCTCCCCTTTGTCAATGTTATTTCCACACAAGTCTAACAACAACAACATTACCCCTTTTACTAGGTAATTATAAATGTAATTTAGAACAACAAAATCCTCCTTCAACAAATATTTATACTTCATTTCAATCCCAACCTTTATTAAATAAAAATAAAAAATTAATTGAGGAACAAATTCCAAATGAGCCAATCCCTTCAAATTTGCAATAATTTTCTGGTAATTTTTCTCTCTAAATTTTGATTTTTTTGTGTCTTTCTTTTTAAAAAAACTCGCCGTTCTATTCACATAAAAAATTTTTTTTTGTTTGTTAATTATACCAAAAAAATTTCATTGTAATTTTAATCGAATCTGTTTGAGTCTCGGCTGTTGAATAATTCTGATTTCTGTTCTGATTTTTTTCGGAATAAATTCCGATTTTAACGAGTAAATTCTGGTTTCAGAACATTTTCTGATTTTTTTCTGATATTTTTTAGAACAAATTCAGATTTTTGTTCTGATATTTTTCCAGAATAAATTCTGATTTGGAAAAAGTTCTGATTTTTATTTAATTATAGCCTAGACTCAAATATCCCAAATATCCCTTTTATTTTAATTTAGTAAAATCTCTTTGTAATTTAATTTATTCACAATGCTTTTATTTATTTCAACGATGGCCAATTCGTGCAAAGTGTACAAATTTTAAAGAAAAGAGAAGTAGAATACTCCTGGCAAAGGAGTAATGTCGCAAAATTTATACAAAAAATATTTATTTTTTACTTAAAAATTTTTTTTCGAAGCCTAGAAGATACACAGAAAGTCTAATGGACTCTAGTGGATTTATTAACACGGGGCTCTATTTTTGAGCATAACTTTTTTTATTCTTGGCCGATTTGAATAATTTTTGCATCAATTGAAAGCTCTGGATGTAAGGAGTATTTTATCTATCAGAATCGATCTGATCAGAAAATTTCTTAAAAAGTTGTGGACAGCTAAATGCGCGCAGTCGTGATTTTCTGTCTTTAATCAGCTCTAACTTTTTATTTAATAATCTGATTGGAAAGATCCTTTTAGATAAAATAATCCGCGTTTTAAGAGCTTTCGATTGATACAAAAATTATTCGGATAAGTCGAGAATTGAGAAAGTTATGTCCTAAAATGATGACGTGTCCCATGTAGATAATTTTCCCTAGTGAGGTACATTAGAGTCTGAAAATTTCTTTGATCTTCTAGGCTGCTTTTATTTAATTTATTTTAGAGCAAGTCAAACAAGAAAAACAAGAGAATTCGTTTAAAATTCTGTTGTTTTAATTTTGTCTCTCAGATTTTTCTTGTTAATGTCTTGCTATGTTTTTTTTAAATTTATTGTTGATCTTTCTTGTTTTTGCATTCATTCCCAATTGATGTTTTTCATGTTATTCTTAATTAAAATTGATAAATATGTAAATTACAAATATTGATGAATGATAAAAATTTGATAAGAAAAGTTAAAACTTTGAAATATATTTTTTCCTTTTCAGACTCTAATGTCCTTAACAGGTTCTTCCTTGGTAGCGTTTGTGACGGAATGAATATATTTACTCTGTTGGACATTTTCTAATGTGCCGAATTGCCGATTTTATTCAGTGTGCCGTTTTGTCGTGTCATTCCGTTTGATTTTAAAATTTTTCTAAGAATTGGCATTTTGTCTATTTTTTTATTTTGTAAATGTCATTTTGGTAAAGTAAAGTGGTAAAAACGAGATAGTGTTGTATCTCTGTCGTCTAACTTTTAATCAATTTACTTTTCTCGTTTAACTTTTTATCATTGTTTTTCAGTTAATTAAAGCTTCATTTTAAAGTTTTGTTTATTAAAAAATGGGAGCGTACAAGTATATGCAAGAAATTTGGCGTAAGAAGCAGTCTGATGTTATGCGCTACCTTCTACGTATTCGTTGTTGGCAATACCGGCAATTGACTGCAATCCACCGTGTTCCTCGTCCAACACGTCCGGAGAAGGCTCGTCGACTTGGATACAAAGCTAAACAAGGTTTAATAATCGATGTATAGTTCGGGCTCTCCCTCCCTTTTAATCCGGGTTTGTGAAAAGCTTTTCCTGTCCTATGATCTATGCCTGGATTCGTTTGCGGTCATTTTCTCTGCGAGGCATGTTCTCAGGGTTAAGTCTGAAATCCCTAACGTTCAGTATGGCTAGAACATATCGACTAGTTGACTTATTTGGTTCCCCAATAATTCTTTTTTCTTAATATGTGCATAATGGGCAGACTTTCTCTTTTCCACAATTTCACTCCAATTTTGACTTAGTTCTAGCTTTGCGACAAAGTTTCATCGGAGTCTGTGGGTGTTAGTCAAGTACAGGTTCATACCCCTTTCTCCCATAGTTAAAGACCTGGTCAGATATCCCACCTCTCTCTCCTTATCCATTCAACACGTATCTTTCTATTTTTGTAGGATATGTCATTTACCGTGTTCGTGTCCGTAGAGGAGGTCGTAAGCGTCAAGTCACTAAAGGACAAACATACGGAAAGCCGAAAACCCACGGAGTCAATAAATTGAAGAATGCTAGAAGCCACCAAGCAATTGCTGAGGTTTTCCTTTACAAAAGTTTCTTTTTAATGTTTATATTTTTTAGGCGCGTGTTGGACGTCGTTGTGGTTCTCTCCGCGTATTAAACTCTTATTGGGTTGGCCAGGATTCAACATACAAATTTTATGAAGTCATTCTGATAGATCCGTCACACAAGGTTTGTTTTAGATTTCTTTTGGTAATTTTATGTGTATATAACTTGAAAAATAACAGCTTTGTTGTTCTTCACTTTGGTGTAGTCGGATAGGTTTAGGTTTCATGCTTTAATGGCTAGAGGTTCGAATCCTACGGGTCCAATTATTTTTTATTTTAATCAAAGCAATTCTTAAGGTGAATGGGACTAACTTTTACACTCCCCCTAACGTTTTTAAATTTTTCTTTTGTTTTTTCCTTCTCTTATATTTTTCATTTAATTAAAGGTCATTCGCCGCAATCCTGACACCCAATGGATTACAAAACCGGTGCACAAACATCGTGAACAACGTGGACTTACATCTGCTGGGCGTAAGAGTCGTGGTCTTGGAAAGGGCAAGAATTATAATAAGACAATCGGCGGATCTCGTCGCAAATGCTGGAAGCGTAGAAACACGATTGAATTCCATCGAAAACGTTAAAAAGAAGTTGGAATTTATAATATTTTACTGTTGTGTTGTTATACCGATTGATAAAAAGTTAAAATGATAAATATTTGGTAAAATGTCCTATCATAATGGGATTTAGATTTTGAGATGTTCCACATAGTCTTCATATCGGTTACAAAGTCGGGTGTCAATTAATTTCTATCTCCCGTTTCTTGAAAATAATTTTCAAAAAATCGATATATCGATTGGTATTGATTTTATCGATTAGTATCGATTTTTTGAATAGGTTATGAAATTTAATTCTATTTTCTCAAGAAATCCTTATTTTTATGAAATACATTTAAACTAAACACATTTTTGGTAGTTTATCGAGGTCTTGAAAAAATAAATTTTTTATGGGATGAGAGGCCTTGAGTAGAACAAATACAATAAAACTATTTAGACGAAATAATGCCCAACTCCTAATTTTCAATGTTTTTTTTGTCAAAAAGGAGTTGGGCTTCAAATAGATTATGCTAGAAATATTAAAAGGGGGAATATTACAGTCATAATGAGTAAAGGGGAAAATAATACCGAATATCGCAAAAAATAGAAGATGAAGAGAAGAGAGGAATGGAGTATAGCAGTATCAAAAAAATATTTTTAATAAAAAGGCACGGTCCTCTGACGCGAAAAAATATTTTTTCGATTTTTTAAAAAATTTTTAGAAAGACATTTGATCCCAAAAATTAATTTTTCCCCCAATTTTAAAATAATTTTTTAATTTTTTAAGGACCGCCCCCTTAAATTTAAAAATTTTTTCGTTGTTTTAATCAAAAAGAAATAAGATCTTCTTCTTCAACTTCTCTTGAATACCTTGCATCAATTACAATAAAATAATCCCTTCCACCATTTAAATGAACAATTAAAATTGAATTTAATTGGGTATTATTTGTTTGAATATTACAAGCATTTTCATCATACACTAATATTTGAAGGGTTACTTCTACTGTTACACTTAAATGTAAAAAAATTTTTAATTAAAACATTTGATCCCCTAAAAATACGAAAAATAATTTTGGGACCAAATGTCTTCTGAAATGTCTTCTAAAAAATTTTTCAAAAAAAATTTCCAAAAAATTTTAATTTACAAAAAAACGACATTTGATCCCAAAATTATTTTTAATTTTACTAAAAAAATTTTTATTTCCAAACTAACCCAACATCCAAAAACGAAGATTGTGGAGTTATTGTAAGCCATTTCTCGTGTTCTTCATTTTCCATTTTTGCAGATTTAAAAATAAAATGTGTTGGTGCTTGTCCAGTATTTTTAATTGTTAATTCAGCAACTACAGGACGATCAAAATAAATTGTACCAAAATTAAACTTTAAAAATTTTAATTAAAAAATTTTGATAATTAAAAGAAACCTCAGTTTGTGATAACGATATTTGTGGCAACAATTCATTTTGTTTCTTGTCAACTTCACGAAGCAACTTTGAAAAAAAATTTTTAAGTCAAAACAAATTTCAAGGGTCCGGGTGATTTTGAGAAAACCCTTGACTGAAGAAAAAGTCCTAGGCAGCGAGCTCAGAAAATTCTTCTGACTCTGATAATAGGAAAAAACCAGGGCCATATCAGGGTAAAATTCCGTCTATACAAAACTTCTCCGATCAAAATACCTTTCAAAGAAATAAATCTGTTCCAATTACAGGGAAGGGTACTCCAGCAATGTTATTGTTGGAATTAGGGTGGGACGAGACCGTTTAATAACCTCGATTATTGTTCCCTGTGGCGGTCAAAAAGAGAAGAGAGAAGGAAAAAGTCAGCCACAGGGAAAAATAAACCTCGAATTAAACGGTCTCGTCCTACCCTAGTTGGAATGTTCCCCGTAGTCTGGTTAGGAGTTTTGATAAAATAGAGATTTGCTAATCACCCAGCCTTATTGTTAGCCCTAGAGAGAAGCTTAAAAGAAATTTAAAAACCTGTTCGTATACAGCATTTCTCTTGTCTTGATCAATCTTCTTTACATGCAAATTGAAAAGGCTTAGAACTGGCTTGTGATCGCTGAATACAACTATAAAAAACAAAATTTAAATTTTAATTCAAGACTTTAAAAAAACCCTTCTCCGCAGATGAATATGTTAATTGCTCTAAACGAACATTTTTATCTCTTATCCAATAAAGTATTCGATCACACCAAGCAGGTATTCGCTTCTTCTCACTTAAAAAAAGAAAAGAAAACCCTCATAAAACTTTTACTACAAAAGAAAACCTTGTGTCCCAATTGTGTGTGCCAGGATCAAACTTGTATGTTGGTCTGAAAGACGGTTGTTGTTCAAAAAATCCATTGAAAGCCACCCTAAGCCGTTGCTGTTCTTTGAGCTAAAAATGCGAGAATAAAAAAATAAGAGAATTAAAAAAATAAACCTGATCAAAATAAAAAAGTTGAGCAAATTTATGATCTTGTAATCGTCTAATAACTTCTTCATAACTTAGAGGGGTGTCAAGACGATAATTCAAATCACCCAACCTAATATAAACTAAAAAATAAATTTAAATAATTGAAACAAACCAAATAACTGCATCGTGGTCAAAAATACCAAACCCGTTATTGAAACGCATTTGTGAAATTAGTCGAAAGTCCTTAAAAATAAATAAAATTAATTTTTTTGTTAATTTACTTAAAAAATAATCAAAAATAAAAATATTGCCACACACGAGGCGTCAAACCTATAACACAATGGGGGCAGACACAGAATCCTAACCAATACACCACCGATTCAACAAAACTTTTTCTCATTTAATTAATTAACAACACACCCAATAAATAACCTTACATCGTTAAATAAAAAACAAACCTGGTTGCGCTTGTTCAGTTCATTACCCGCAGGTAGATGCGAATTAATAAGACAAATGGAAGTATCATTCAATCTAATACTAATTCCAACACCTCCTTTATTACCCAAATTGAGAAAACCAGTTGGGATGGAAGAAATAAATGAATCGGAGACGGAAATCTTCAAACCTCTTTTACAAAAAATTGCCATAAAAATTCCGATTAGGCGGCTGGACTCGACCTTTAATTAAAATTTTTTAGAATTTAAAAAAGAAATAAAACCATTCGATAAGTGTGAGGCAAATTCCGTTGTAGAGTAAATAACCATTCATTCTCCTTCACATTATTGTCAACAACATAACTACCCAAAGCGAGGTCCATTTCTTGTAGACTTTAAAAAAATTTTTAATAAAAAAAATATTTTAAGAAACCCAATAACAATCAGTTCAGGAGGCGAATTCAAGTCAAAAGAAAGCCAATCACTCAAGTTAGTTGGAGGTCGTCGACCATTCACTGTTAAAAAAATTAAAAAATAATAAATTTTTAAACAAATGGAAGGGTGAAAAAATGGAAATGTGTGAAGAAGGGCGAAGGAAAGGAAAGCCTTAAGAAAGGGAAGGACTCCCTCATCATTGAGAAGCGGAGAAGTCCCTCTCTTAAAATCCTTAAGGAAGGGAGGGAAAATGGATTAACCTATTTTGGACTGGAAATATTCCCAAGGAATCCTCAAAAGTTAACAAGGAAGAAAAAATTTATTAGAAAAAGATTTTTGGAGTTACTATAATAATGGAAGACAAGCCTAAGAAATATACAAAAACCCAAGGGCAGAACATGTATCAAAATTAAAAAATCACAAACCATTGAATGTCGTCACAAGAATCTTCAGCGGTGTGTAAGTACAAAAACTTTATGAAAAAAATTTTAATTTAAAAAATAAAATTCAAAAAAGAAAACCTCTCTTCTCTAGTATAAAGCAAATCATCAGCAAACAGCTCATCTCTACTAGACAAATTTGAAATTATTGAATGTCTAGGTTGTTGCTGTTTTACTCCATTCCTGAGGGGAGTTGAGCCGTTCATGTGAATAGAAAAATGTTTTGTTGAGTCAGTTGGTTTGCTATTCTGGTAAAATGTCATTAGAGGGGGACCTTATAGAAAATTTAAAGAAAACACAAAAAAATTTAAAAATAAAAAGAAAAAAATTTTTTCAATGGAAAAAAGACTTCCATTTATTTTTTAAAAATAATTTGAGAGTAAAAATTATTTATTTAATTTAAAAAAAAATAATTTAAAAAATCACACAGAAATATTAATATAATTGGGTATTCTTTTGGATATCCAGCTCCCCTCTCCCTCAGTTTAGTTATCCAATTATTCTTTTTTTTCCAAATTTTTGGTTATATTTGGTCAAGCAATAATAACATTTTTCCTTTACGAGTGCTCAAAAGGTTGGCTGATTCTGGGAAATCCACGAATATCCGGAGCAGATATCCGAACCGAAAATTTTCGGATATCCTTTACTTTTTTGGATCCGAAAACCTTAGACTGTACATAGAGGAAAATAAATGATAGGCAAAAGGAAGGAAGGAAAGCACCGAAAAAGACAGAATATCCGAAAATTTCCTGTTCGGATATCGGATGCGGATATCCATGTACTTCCCAGAAAGAATAGCATAATACTCAAACTAGGGGTGAGGGGAAAGGACGAGGGATATCCAAAAAAAGTAAAAACCTAATAATTATTCAAAAAAAGTTTTGCGGATTTGTAATCATGACGTAATTGTATAAAACTATTCATTAAATGACGATCTACATTTTTCTTAAAAAAATTTTTTTTTAATTAAAATTTATTTTTCAAACCAATAATTGAGAATTACAAGCTTCTGGTAAATTTTCTGGAACAACAACCAAAAGGTTAGCTAAAGCATGTAAACTGTTAAACTTCTTTTCGAGTTCAGGAACACCCCAAGAACTAATACAACGTCTAAAAAATTAAAAATTAAGGAGAAAAATTAACTAAATCAAAAAAAATTTTCTTGATTTTTCGCGACACTTCAAAAATAAATCAGAATATTTATTTTTAAGGAGAGAGTCTACCCGACAATTACAATTTCATTTTCAGTATAATTAAATCGTGGACGACCCAAAATAGGTTTCGGAACACCTTGACGAGCCGAAAGTGAACACGCGGCCTTAAGGATCTTGGGGGTAATTTTGAACGTAGGCACTGCTTCGAACCTAAAAGGATGTTCAAGATTTAAAACCAGGGTCTTCGAGACAATCTTAAAGTAGATTAGCAAATGTTAAGTACGTTAAGTACGTTCCTCCCTATCCCTCAATCCCAAAGATACAATAAAAATCTATACTTATATCCATTAATATCACAAAGTAAAAGCATCGCCCCAGGCAAATTGTAGCCAAACGAGAGTATATGCGTTAACATTGTATTGTATAAATGTTCGCCTAATTCAGAAAGTACAACTTGTAAATTGCCTCCATCAACACAATCCTTAATTCCACATTTTTCAGAATTTTGGACAACTTTGTTAAGATATTTAATTACTAGAGAACAGGCCTAAAAAATTTTTTGCAAGAAAAAAAATTAAAAAAAAATACATTAGAACATATAGTGCTAATTTCATTAGAATCCTCTTCTGGTTTAAAATCAGATTTCTTTTGTGTTGTATTAAAAACAAAACGAACATAGGCAACTATAGCATTTAATTGCCGTCTAACACCAATATTTATTCTTTCTTCAACGTTACGAAGGGTTTGGTCACGCTTCTTTAAAACCGAATCTTCTATTTGTGTATCCCTATTTTTGAATTATGTATAAAAATTTGGAGGATTATTGGGAAAATGGGGGAGAACGGGTATTTGAAACGAGAACTAAATGATGGGTGACGGTGGGTGGGATTCCTTCAAACAAAAATTTTTCTGGATTTAAAATTAAAAAATTTTTTTGGGAGAAAGTTTTTCTAATCTACAGTGACATAAAATCCAAACCCAGACACACAAAACCTATTTTTACAAAAAATAAAAAAGAAACCTAATTTCTGGATGTATACTATCATCAAACAATTTTGCAAATAAATGTGTAATTGCCGAACTTTGTTGGATTATTTTGAAAAAATTTCCAGAAGGTTCTGTTTTAGGTTCTGACAAGGGAATACATGCCAAACCCAAATCAATTGCATATTCTACATGTTCAGAATATAAAAATTTGAGTAACATATCATAAAAAGCTGTTATTAACTCCAAAGATTCGCTCTTTTTACAGAGCTTTGGAAAAGAAAAAAAAAATTTTTTAAATAAAAAAGACTCAAAACTGTGGTGCAACGAATAAAAGCATTCTTAAATTCTTGGAGTATGTTAATTGCAATAATTTCTGAAAGAAAGGTTTCGCCACCAAAATCTTCTGCATTAAGAAGACGAGTTTTGAGGTCTTGAAGACTAAAATGTAAAATTAATAAAAAAAATTATTTTCTTTAGAACAAGCCCGAAGATTATCCCCATACCAGGCCCGTAGCCAGGGGGGGGGGGTGAGGGGGGGAATTCCCCCCCCCCCCCCCCCCCCGAAATGGGAAAAAGGAAAAAATTTGGGGAAGGGCTGGGGCAAAAAAAGTGAATTTTTTTGGCCTACGGCCTCTGAAATTTAAAAAATTTTCGCCTGCGGCGCTAAAAAAGGAAGAAATCTGGCTTTTTAAGGTCCAAAATCCAAAAAATTTTCGCCTGCGGCGCTGAAAATCAAAATTTCGGCGCCTGCGGCGCCGAAAGAGTGAATTTTTTTGGCCTACGGCCTCTGAAATTTAAAAAATTTTCGCCTGCGGCGCTAAAAAAGGAAGAAATCTGGCTTTTTAAGGTCCAAAATCCAAAAAATTTTCGCCTGCGGCGCTGAAAATCAAAATTTCGGCGCCTGCGGCGCCGAAAGAGTGAATTTTTTTGGCCTACGGCCTCTGAAATTTAAAAAATTTTCGCCTGCGGCGCTAAAAAAGGAAGAAATCTGGCTTTTTAAGGTCCAAAATCCAAAAAATTTTCGCCTGCGGCGCTGAAAATCAAAATTTCGGCGCCTGCGGCGCCGAAAGAGTGAATTTTTTTGGCCTACGACCTTCTAAAATTCAAAAAATTTTCGCCTGCGGCGCTGAAAATAAAAATTTTTGGCGCCTTCGGCGCCAAAAATTTGGCGCAAAAAAATTTCCCCCCCCCCCCCCCCCCCCCGAAAAAAAATCCTGGCTACGGGCCTGCCCCATACATTAGGGGTATCACGGGGTTATCCGAAACCCGATACCCCACTCGCGAAATTTTCAAAAATCTGACCCAAAAGACGACTTTTACCCTCTTAATACATATCCTACTGACCGACCCGAAATCCAGACGTTTTTCCGGTCAGAAGAAAAGGTTGAAAACCCGAGAACCAACTTTTTTCTAAACCCATGAACATCCCTGTCCTTGCATCCAAAAGTATCTTCCCTTAGTTTTCAAAAAAATTTAAAAAACCACAAACCCGCTAGAAAGAATACTCCTTTTTTGATGTCCTTTAGATTCATAAAATTTTCTCAAAATAAAAGTACACTTGTCCGCAATAAATTTGTGTTCAATTTTTGAATAAGTGACCAAGAAAGGTCCAAAAATTGATTGACTCAAAGTAGGCAAAAATTGTGGATCAACAGAATTTGTTGGAAAAAGGGAACGTAAAGCTCCTTGTAATTTAAATGTTCTTTAAAATTGTGAAAATATTTTTATAGAAAAATATTTAAAAAAAAAACTTTGAATAAAGTTCATAAAGATTAGTCAAATAAAGTTCCGGATTGCCTTTCGTCTCCTCAAGTGTTGCTACAACCATATCCTAAAAATTAGAAATAAATCATAAAATTTTAAAAAATAAACCTGTAATTTCCCATGAAAGACATTAAGCAAAAGCTTTGAAATAACAAATTGTGTTCGAGGAAAGACTTCTTCAATAATTGGTTTTGCCTTTTCACAAAGTTTAAAAATGTCGGTAAAAACGTTTTCTGAACGTGGAGCAGTGCTTTGAATGCGTTCTACAAAGCCGTCAACACAACGAGAAAATCCTGAAATTTATTTTAAAAAATAAAAAAGCTAGAAACAAACAAAAAAAGACTTGACAAAATTAAGAATCCACCGTCGGGCTCGAACTCCCTACCCCAAACCCCAACAGACAAAAACCCTAACCATTACACCACACCACATCTAAACTAAAATCTATTAAATTAAACCTTTAAATTCAGAAAGAATAACAGCAATTTCTCTCATTCTTTTCCTGTCATGAGAACGAATAAATTCTTCGATTAGTAATTGTTCTATTTCATCGTATTTGTGTGAAATTCTCATTTGAACTGTTTGAAATTTATTTTTGTCCAATTCTTGAGCGATAGACGATAATTTTGTAATAATTTCAGCTGATTCGAGTAACTAAATTTAAAACGATTAAAGTGACATTTAGTCCCACAAACCCTGTCAGGATCAGTAAAAACAGCCGAATGCAAAGGTTGTTCAGCCAAAAATTCATCAAAATGTCTCATCATTTGGAGCGCATCAAAAGCCCGTGCTCTAGGTTCGTGGACCTTTTCTTGAAGATATTTAAAATTTTCTTAAAGACTTACACTTTCCAATTGGTCACCCAGATGGACAACTTTAGCGGAGACTGTCTGCATTATTAAATCTAATTGCTGAAAATCGACAGGAAAAGTCTATAAAGTAAAGAAAATAAACCTTTAATCTTTCCAAACCCTCAGAATTTTTATCATAAAGTCGCTGAAGTGAATCCAAAAAATTTGTTTTGTCTCGTTGTTGTTGTTGCTCTAATGTTGTTAATTTATTCTACAATTATTTATTCAAAATTATTTCCAAAAAAAAAATAAACCTGGAATTGATCACTAAGCAATTGAAGACTTCCAATTTCCTCTTCAAATTTATTTTTAAGAAAGGCAGCGTCGACAGTTTCCATTCCTGTTGTCATTCTCCAAGCTAATCTTTCCACAAAGTCGACAACATCAAAGGGATCCTTAAATTAATAAAATTTAAAAAATATCAAAATTTATCTAGCCTGTTCCAAATCTTGAATATATGTAGAAAAATAAGGTTGTTGATTCATTAATTAATTAATTAAAAATAAAGCAAATCGAGGAAATGTTTACCTAAACGTTTAAAAAAATCACTTTTGAGTTTACGACTTTTACCATTTTAACATTTACCAACTAGACATTTTACAATTTTACTCAAAAATAGACAGTTGAGTATCAAAAAGTTATTTTCCTGTCTAAAACATATTTGACCAAAACGACATTTCACCAATAAGGGTAAAAATTTACGTTTTGTCAATAAGGCTACGATGACAAACGAGGATTTTTACCCTTGCTGGTAAAATATGGTATTGGTCAAATATGGGCATGATTTTTCTATTTCTATTTTCTTTCGTTCCCTAAACTGTCTCTCACTTTTTTGCATATTCTTTCTCCTCCAATTCGAAATTAAAACTTTGAAATCTCATCTCGAAAATTTTGTTTTTCAGAGGTCTGTTCAACCGATTTATAGATAATTGTTTTAAAATTCTATTAAAAATTTGAAGGATTAAACTGTTAAAGTGTAATTTGGACTGAAATGTATTTTAATCCGAACGAACTTGTTGAGCCAGGTAACTTAAAATTAAGAGGACAAATTAATTTATCTAAGAATTTTTTAAGGTATAGGACTCTGTTCAGTCTGTGGAGATAGGGCTGATGGTTATCACTATGGTGTTCTTTCTTGTAGAGGATGTAAAAATAAATTAAAAACCTTAAAAAATATAATTTAAAAGGCAATGCATTTTTCCGTCGGGCAGTAGCTTTTAATCTTCAATTTCATTGTCGACGTGAAGGGCATTGCGAAATTAACAAAAGTTTTATTTTTAAGTATATTTTAAATTTATTTTTATTTTAAAAAAGATGCCCGATGTGCTTGCCGGTATTGTAGGCTACAAAAATGTTGTGATGTTGGAATGGATCGGTCTGCTGTCCAAGTAAATTTTTTTGATTTTTTCTTTTTAAAAAATTTTTTTAAGATTAGAAGAGAAGTAAAAGACTTGTTAGGCCTTACTACAAACTCTGCTAAAAGTAATTCAGGTTTTTTTCCTCTAAATTCTTTTTAAAAATTTTTGTCAAAAATTTTTAGGTCCTCAATCCTCCCTTAGTGCTGATTCTTCAACCATTTCACAACCATCTATCAGCCCTTTTCTCTCTGCTAATGTTTTTGACAGTGCAAAATCTCTTGATTCGGTAAATTTTTTTGTTATTTTTTGTCCGCAAAAATTTCGTCCGCAAATTCGAAAAATCCGCAAAAAATATTTTTCTAGCCTCAACTAAAATCTCGATTTCTCGGTTCAATGAGTTCTTCTTTGGCTAATAGTCCACAAGTTGCCCACCCCCTCGATCGCTTTGTTGAATGGTATTTCTGTCAACGTTATAGACGCTCCTCAATGCTTTGCTCAACTGTAGAACAAATTCTGCTTTGTTCTCAACAAAGGGGGCAACAATCAAAAATGGCAACCGTTGATGATTTATGTCAGGTTTTTGGGGGAACCTGGTTTCTTCTCGAAATAAAAATATATTTTAGGTCAATAAAGTTCAGATGGTTTTACTTTTTGAATGGATTGAACAGTTAGATGAATTTGAGACTTTGGCACATTCACTTGACAAGGTTCTATTGTTAGTTTAATTCTACAGGATTATAGGAGGGGGAGATTGATTTCAGGGTTGGGTTTTGGAGAATCTTCAGACAGATATCCGTAATTTAATCTTCAGATATCAATCTGAAGATTCTCCTAACTGGACCGAAGAATATCCTCAGTCCTTCTGGTCCGATCGACAATCCTACTAGAATTATAAAGGGAGAAACAAAAAATATTTTTTAGTGTGATGATTTATGACCCTAACTTCTAAAAATTATTTTTTCAATTTCTCATTTTATAGATTCGTTTATTAAGAACTTTTGCTCCAAAATATCTTTTATTAGATATTTTAATTTATACATTAGAGCAAGGATTTACTGATTATATTTTATTACCTAATGGAAGTTATATACATCGACAAAGTTTATATTGTGGAAATCAACAATCTAATTATGTTAATTATGAAAATGGAGGGGCGGAAATGAGAAAACTGAAAGCTGCAGAAATGTAAGTGAAGAGTTTCATTAAGGAGTATAGGCCGGGGTTGTCCGCAACCGAAACTTGCGGATTCTGCAAGAAAATCATTTTTGATTGTAGCGGCCCTGTCATTTTTAGATTTAGAGGTTTGGTTGAGAGGGGATGTCCGCAACCGAGACATGCGGATTTTGCAAAAAATTCAACTTTCGGATTTGGATTGCGGACATCCTTATATGACCTCATTTTTAGATTTTAGACTCCTTTTTCCCTCTAATCTTATTTAAAAAATAATTTTTCTAGGATGTTTAATGACCCCTTTTTGTCTATAATTGAAGAATTAATTCAAACAATGGCTGAGTTTGGCCTAACTTTTGGTTTTTTTAAATTTTAATATTCTTTAAAAATTTTTTATTTAGGCGAATTTATTTCTTTAAGACTCCTACTATTTTGGGATATTTACGAAAATAGTAATGTCTCCCCTGGAAATGCTCAAATAATCGAAAATGCCTCAAAACGTGCCTTAAATGATTTACAAAGTTGGTATGAAATACATTCTTTGGATATTAGAGGTGATAGAATGGATAATTTACTTGGGTTTTTGCCTGTTATTAAGGTTTGAAAAAAATTTTTTTTTCTAAACAATTTTTCGAAAAATTTTTTTTTAGAAATTCTCAAAAACACTGTCTTCAATAACTTCATTAATTCCCGAATTCAATACAATGTATGAATGGCAATTTATTGCCGATTTATTATGTCCTAGTAGTACAAGTTGAAAATTTTTATTATTTTATTTTTCTTTTTTTAATTAAAAAAATTTATTTACTAGTAAATATAAGCTGCCGAAATAAAAAAAAATAATTTTTAAAAAAGGCGTGTCTTTGGTATTTTATATATTTGGTAAAATAGTTAGCAATAAATGCTTTTAGATATCACGTGTGGGATATATTTTTAAGTGATATACATAATTTAGGTAATTAAAAAGTAAATAGAGAGCTGATAAAGAGAAAATATAAGGAGGGCTGCTAGAGAATGGATTTTTTGGGGTTTGTGGAACGAGTCATTCATTCCCCTCGCAGGAAGCAGGATAGTGTATTTTCCTCAAAATTTATGAAATTTTTTAAAATTTAAAATTCCATAGCTGCTAAAAATTTGGGTTAGGTAGACAAAAAATTAAATTTTTGTCGGTTAATTGGCGAGAGTCCCTCCCATGACCGAGAACCCTAGTCAAAAGAACGAGTATTTTCCTCCAAATTTATAAAGTTTTTTAAATTTTAATAAACTAAAAAAATTCTATAGCAGCTCTTGCCAAATAAAACATTGAAAGATAGATTTCATTGAAAAATACAAAAAATTAATATATGGCTCATATTTTGAGGTTTTTTGGTGTCTTAGAGGAGGACAGAAAATTAAATTTAAATTTAGAAAAAAATAAAATTAATTATTCGACAACTTCCTTTTCGGTATTTAAATATTTTTTAGAATTGCGGCGGTACTAATTTTGTGAAAATTTAAATTTTTGTTTTAAAAATTAAAAACCTACTAAAAATGAGCAGAGAATTGTTGACGAAAGGCATAAAATTAGAAAGCAAAAAGATATAATTAAATGGCTAGCTAAGGAACGACGAGATCCATTACAATAATCTCCTGCACAAGCACACATTTCCTTTATTAAAAAAATTTTTTCACTAATTTTTAGAAGGTTCTTAAGTTTTGTAGGGGAAAAAATGAAAATACAAAATGGTTGACACACAGAGGGATCGAACCTTCATAGAAGATATAGTGTAGTCGGAAGTGTTACCACTACACTATGAATGTTCTTGTAGGATTTTAATAAAATAGCTATATAACGGGTTAAAAGTCAAATTTTTAATGTAAGCAAACTCGAGCAATAACCTCTCAAAAAAATCAACTTTAGGCCCGATTGTTTCACTAAAAGATTTTAGGATTAAAAATGCCCACGTCTTTCCGTAAATTTGTGATTTCATTAAGAATTTTCAGAGTGAATTAAATTAAAAATTAAAAAAAACCTCGCTTTGCCCAGGCATTTGTCCCTCACTCATTTTTATGCATTCTCCTACAGCTGGATCGCTAGGTTCAGTAAAGTTTTTGCAATAAAGTTTGTCTGCACCAGCTAAGAAAATTATTAATATTTAAATTCAAACAAAGTTAAAAAAACATTGATTATGTGTCACTCGAATACAAACTCTTCCAACACATTCTGTGGTTGTAGACCCGTCAATTCCTTGATAACATTTGTAGAATTTTCTTGCGACTAAAAAAATTTTTTTTAGAAAAATTTTTAGGTTTCCAAAAATTTTCAAGTCCTTACAGAGGAAATAAATTGGAAAAAAAGAACCCTTGACCAAAGAGGAATCGAACTCTACTGGAAAAACAGCGCAGTCTGTATCGATACCACTGCACCACAACTGTTACTACGGATTCTCATTAGAAAAGCAATATAATTAAAAGGATAAATTGGATACCCTTAGAAATAAAACAGAACAGAAAGCCATCAAAAGATCAATTTTTAGGTTAAACCAAAAAAATTTTTTTTAAAAACCTGAAGATCTCGAATCAATTAAATTCCCAACAAGATTATCATCATCATTTTGTGTTGAGCAAAGTTTCAGAACAAGGCAAAATAACAAAAATAAATTAATAAGCATTACTGAATCTTTAATTAAATATTTTCGCCTTAATTTAAGAAAAATTTTTTTTAGACATTTAGAATAAAGAAAAAAAAATTTCCTTGTAAAAATAGACAAGTAAAGAAATTAAAATTTAATAAAAAAATTTTTTTTCAATAATTAAAATAAACACATAATAATAAATTACAATATTTTTGTTGAGATTCTAATTTATTTGTTCAGTTAATTTTTCCAATTATTGTCAAAAATTTAAAAATTCCGTTAGAAAAAAAACCGAACAAAATATTACAAGCAAAAAAGGTTTATTTCTTATATCCTTCAAAAAAGTCCGCAAGTCTTTAATCCGCTTCATTTTCTGTATCATTCCAAAAGTCCGCAAGTTTTGTCCGCAAATTTATTTTTTATTAAAGAATGGACCGAGACGAAATATCAATTAAAAACCCTAGTTATAGAGATCGATACTCTAATTAATATTTAAATTTTTCCAATCAAAAAAGTAACAAAACAACTAGGAATATTCTTGAAGGCATAAAATGCGGATAAAAAATAAACTTTTGCGGACAAACTTTTGCGGACTTTTAGTAAATAAAGAAAAAATAAACCTTTTCATCAAAAAATATTTCTGCTCCTCTCTCATTTTCTTTTATTTAAAAATATTTTTTGTACACAAATATCCAAAAGTACAAAAATTAATTGTCTATTTAATGCTGGCATTTGAAAACATAAAAATAATTGGCGTATAGCTGTTGCTTGATTTGAAGAATAATTTATTTTTGCTGTTGAAGTTGTTGTAATATTTATTTTATCAAATAACCATTTTATTAACTGTGAACAAGGAAATAATTCTTCTTCAACTTTTTTTTCTAAACGGTGAAGTAAAAGTTCTGTGCGCAAAAGACGTTCCTATAAAAAGTGATATAGAATAATTAATCAAAAATCCATAGACAAGGTCACACATTATTTTTGTTTTTGAAAATTATTGGGATTCTTCCCAAAAGACCGCACATTTAATCCGCAAGAAAATTTATACGGATTTTAGGAGATTAGAAAGATAAAAATAACTTGCGGATAAAATTTGCGGATTTTTGGGAGAATTGAGGGGTCTTTGGGATTCCTTTCATTTTGGGCTCCAAAAAGTCCACAAATTTAATCCGTAAATTAAAATTAACGGAATTTTAGAAAAATTAAAAACGGAAGATTTGCGGATTGAATTTGCGGACTTTTTTTAACCGAAAAGGAGAACTTCCTAAACAACAACATTTTTCCCCTAGGGCCACCAAAAAACCGCAAATTTTAATCTGCAAGTTAAACCATGCGAATTTTAAGAGATTAAAGGAATTGTAAGACTTGCGGATTAAATTTGCGGACTTTTGGAAAAATTGAGGAAACTCATTAGAAAAAACAAGTGACTATAAAATCAAATTCCTAATGAAATAAGCACATTTCTATATATAAACATTCCTCCCAAAAATCAATAAAAAAAATAAAATAATTCAAATTCCTTTTTAAAAAAATAACTAACCTGTTCAGAAGCAGAAGTATTTACCCTTTTTCTCCTAATTTCTTCTTGTAATATTTTATTATTATCTAATTGTAATAAATTAGTTAATGCTGCAGCAGAGGAAGCAACAGAAATTTGTGATGGAGTTGGGCATTGACTGAAACAATAAAAAAATTTTTTTTGAAAAATTAAAAGTTTCCAAACGTCCGCAAGTTTTATCCGCAAATCCTACTAAATATTTTATTCTCCAAAATCTGTATTAATTTAATTGCGGATTAAAGTTGTGAACGTTTGAAATCCCAAAGAAAGGACGCATAAAACTGGAAACTTAAAAATTGGAAAAAATTTTTTACCTAGGCATATTCCAAGAATTGACAAGTTCATGAAGTGATTTAACTTTAAAAAATAAAGATTTTTTAATTAATTTTTTTATAAAAACTATAAATTTTAATGAGTCCAATGAAGAGCTGCTACAAGACCAATGAAAAATTTATTCCAAGGGGCTTGTAACTTGCGGATTAAATTTGCGGACTTCTGGAAGCAAAAAAGAAGAGACTTTTTTATATTGAGTCGAGAATCACTAGTGCACCATTGGACTCACAAACTAAACTAGATCAAAAATTAATTTAAATTTACCTAAATTAGTTGCTGTATTAACATTTAATAAATTTTCTTTCAAAATTTTTTCAATTTTTCTACTAAAAAAGAGCGAAAATAAATATCCAATAAATTTATGAAGAGAACATAGAAAAGCTTCAAACCAAATTGGTAAATTAACAAATCCCAATGTTGTAAATAAAAATAGGCAAATTTCATATAAATTTCTTTAAAAGAAAAAAAAATTCATTTATTTTTTAAAATATTTTTAAAATATCTAAATTAAGAGGCATTCAAGCACGGATTTATAACTGAAAATCATTTAAAAACCTTCCGTTAACAACTCAACATTTAGGTAAAAATAAAAAAAAACCGAGAGGGGGGGGGGGGGGTAAATAAAACTAAAAATCGAAAACCAGCCAGACAAAACCAGTTACGAACAAACAGGAATGCCACGGGTTGTTGGTTTGTGTCAAAAAACCTTCAAAACAACTCCCTCTCCCCCCCCCCTTAAGTTTTAAACAAAAAATTAATAAAATAACCTTTTTAGGCTATATTTATTATTCCAAATATTCTCGTCAATTTGTTCATTAGTACTTTCCATTATATTAACAGGTGAATTTCTTGATCCACAATTTTTATTAAAAGGATTTTGGCGTTTTTTCAAGTTGTCACTGTTTGACCTTAAAAACAAATTTTTTTCTGGAAAATTTAAAAAAATTTTCAAAAAAAATAAAAAAACCCCCCGTACTTTTTCTCAGCATTATTCACTTCTTCTTCCAAAACAAATTTTTTCATCATTAAATTAAACGAAGATTTTGTAGATTCCAAGGATGGAGAATTTGAGAAATGTTGTCTTTGTGTTGCTGACAAACGTGAAGAATTGGAAACAAAATTTTTATTTGATGTTGAAGTTGGAGGGGCTAATACATTTGCTAATAAATTTAAAATAAAAGGCTTCAAATTTTGTCCTCTCTCTTTTGCTGCTTTCCTCATTGCTTTAATTGGATTTAAATCTGATAAAATACTGCTAGTAGTTATTGAATCATTAATTTCTGTCAAAGGCGAAAAAAATCCACTAGAATCTTCTTCAGATGTTAAAAATAAATATAAAAGATCAGAACGTTTAAGTAATGGCTTAAAAATGATAAAAAAATTTTTTTTAATAAATTTAGAAAATATTTTACTCATAAAAAGGACGCTTTACTCAATTACCGAAAATTGTGGAATCTGAAGGTTTTATTTGAAAAATCCCCAACCCTCTCTCCCTTGACGATTCCTCCCCAAAAATTCCCCACAAGATTATTGTGTATCAATCAAAGAGAAGATTTCTTGCAGGAATCGTGTTAATATCAAGAAGAGATTGGGTTACCGTAAATGCTCGAATAATTGCCCTCTCTCAAATAATTGCCCCTGCTCAATTACTAATTACCCCATCTGGCAAGAGGTTGAAACAATAATTACCGAGGTAATTATTCAAGCATTTACGGTACCCGAAACCTGAACTCTTTTCGATTTTCTGAACCAAAACGCGACACTAAGAAAATTTTGAAACCCCAATAAGACTTTTTCTAAATCTAATCAACACATGATTCATCTCCTACCTCGACCCGACAAATCCATAATTATCCCCTGGTCGCATGACAAAACCCCTATCCTATTATAAAATAAAAAATATCAGAAAACCTGTTGAACTAATTGTTGTAAAAAACGTTCAAAATAAATTTTATGTGATTCCATTAAAGTTCTATTATTTCTACCAATCCGCAATAATTGTAAAGTTGTTTTTCTATCAGGTAATGACAATATATTTTTTATTGAAGTTCCATAATAATCTTTAATTTTGTCTTCTAAAGCATAAAATTCCAAATATTTATGCCCAACATTCCATGTTTTTAGCAATTTTTCAATAAATTCATCTTCTTCTTCGACATGTTCTTCAGTTAAAGAAATTTGGGAATTTAACATTTGGTCATCAGATAAATCATTTCTTTCAACAAATATATTGAAAACGAAATATGGATTAACTTAAAATAAAACAAATTTTTAAAAATAATTTTTTAAGAAAGTTTAGTCGAAACTAATTTTTAGATACACTTACAAGGGATGGAAAAAACTCCTGTCTACCTTATAATGAGGAGTATAGTAGATTGAGGGCATCGGTTGGACAGCTCCTGACTATCCATAAGAAGCGGGGATAGGTACTCGAAAACCGAGAGCCAATCCAGATCTTTTCTAACAGAAATCTGAAGCCACCTTATAATAAGGAATATAGTAAATCGAGGATATCGGTTGAATTTCTGGTTGAAGAACTCCTGACTAACCAAAAGGGATGGGCTAGGTATCTGAAACAAGAGAAACAAATCCAAATTTCAACCAAAAATCTGAAGCCCGATCCTAAGAAAATTTTGAAAACTCAATTGAAACTCGACCCGACATCTTTCTCAAACCAGTTTATCCAATTCACCCAATGGCTTAACATCGTATCATAAATCAAAGGGAATTGGTTTTGGGAGTATACGTATAAACTAGGCCCAAATTTAAGAAAAAATAGGCGTAAAAGAAAAACTAGCCCAATTTTTTAAATAAAAATATTTAAAAATATACCAATTCCATCACCTCCACGTTGTTCAATTCCAACAATATTAACATTCCATTTATTTAAATTTCTTCCCATATCACTCATTGCAATTGTAGCATTTTCTCCATTTCCTTCATAATATTCTCCACCAACCATATTATTTATAATAATCTCATCTTTATCAAATCCTTCCAAATCAGACGTTGAATATGAGGGATAAAATGGGGAAGAGGAAGAATTTTGGGTTGAAACAACTTGATTTGACGGAGCAATAAAATTAAATAGTTTCTTCCTAAAAAATAAAATTATTTTTAAAAAATCGCCAAAATAATCAAAAGATCACAAAATGGTCAAAAAAGTCAAAAAAATCACAAAATGGTCAATCCAAAAAGTCAGAGACATGTAAAAAATTGATATAATGATAAATTATCATTATATTCGAATATTTATTAATATTATTAAATATTATTAAATATTAATTTTTTATAAATTTATTTTTAATCTTTAGCCTTTAATTTTATTTTTATTTAGAAATTTTAGTTTCTTCTTTATCGGTTTTGTTCTGCACCTGCCAGGCGCGACTTAAAGAACAAAAGAAAAGAAGGAAAAACAAAATTTTATATATTTTTCTTCGTTTTTATGTAATTTTCAATTTATTCTATAACCTTTTAAAAAATATAAAATTTTTGTTTAATTTAAACTTAAAAATAAATATTTTTTATTTATTCTTATTTTTGATAAAGTTTTTTAAACTTTATAAATTTTTGGAGAAAGTCTAAATTGGGTTTAGACTTTTATTAACAACATTTATTTTTCGTTAATTTTTCGCGGCCACCTTTTTTGTTGTTTTCTTTAGACAAATATCACAAAATAGGCCTAAAAGTGTCAAAAGGGCCGAATTCCCCAAGTGCTTTCCCGGAATTTTTTTCAGAAACGAAAATTAAAAAATTTTCAAAAAACCTAAATTGTGAAAGAGAAAAAGACGAATCCAAAACTTTTGGAAATTTCTCCTCATCATCATAAGATTCTTCAATTCCTCTAATTAATTCATCAAATTCTGGAGGGGCACCACAAAGAAATCCCAAATAATTTTCTGATTGATAAAAAGGAATAACATAATTGTATTGAAGAAATTGATAAACCTTTTTTTAAATAAAAAAATCTAAATTAAAAGGTAAGGGTTGAGAAAGGTAAGGGCGAGCTTCCCTTTCAAGTAGCATTCGGCCGTAATGCCAAAAGCCGTGGAAATACCAAACGCCATAATACAAACAACCTTCCCTGCTGTTAAAAAAATTTCCTCAACAGCTTGGTATTTCGGCAGCTTTTTGGAGGTCTGGTATATATCAAATCAGCCTTATGCTGCATCTTCAACAAAAAAAGGAACATTGAAAAAGGGGGTTTTTTTAAAAATGGGGGCTTAGAAATCCTCAACATTTCCCAAAAAAATAAAAAACCTCTTGGTAAACTCCTTCAATTAAATTTTCCAAATTTTTTAAATTTTCATCATTTTGAGTTTTGCCAAAAAAATAATTTTCAAATTTTTCAATTAAACATTTTGTAAAAATTAAATGACTTTTATTTTCTCCAGAATAAATAAAATTATCATAAAGTTGTTTTGTTGCTAATTTGATTTCTTCAAATAACTCTGAAGAAATATTTGAAGATGTACATTTTTGTGATAAATTAAAACATTCATCATTATTTAACTTGAAAATTAAAAAAATTTTTAATTTAAAAAAAGCTTAAAAAATAACAGAAAAGAACATGCGTCCCAGACATCCAAGAATACCACAACTATACCGCTTACTCGTTTCATACATTCCCCCCAAGGTTGGTAGATCCTGTAAAATCCCCAGATAAGCGAATCGAAGTTTTCGAACATCTAACCTTTTTCGGATCAGGGTCCACAAAATAATTCGGCACACTCCTCAATAATCCCATTTAAAACCGAAACCCAATGCTTTCTGAAAACAAGTGATTCCTATACAATTCATTCAAAAACAAAATTTAAAAACAAAGTTGAAACCTTAAAATCTAATTACCCAAAAATGTATTGGTCAACAAACAACTAAAAATTACCATAATTTAATTAAAAAACCTTTTGTATTTTTAAATGTATTTCTCTAGTTTGAATAAAACAATCCAAAAATTTAACTGGTCCATTAAAATCACGAATATAAATTTCAAATAATTTAACCAAATAGGGATCACGTACCAAATCAGAAAGTTTAAGACAAAGTAAAGAATCTGGTGAATGAGCACAAGTTTGTTCACAAAATTTATTTAAAAAATTCTGTAAAAATGAAATTAGAAAATAAAATAATCTCAAAAGGGTCAGAAATCAAAAAATACCAAAAGGGTAAAAAATCAAAAAAAACTTACAGGGGTCACAAATAAAAAATCCAAAAAATTAAGAAGTCTCTTAAAAAGTGACCAAAAGGGTCAGAAAGACAAAAAAACTTCAGAAAAATGAAATGGCAAAAAATTTAAAAAATCTCAAAAGGGTCAAAAATTACCAAAAGGGTAAAAGAAAAATTACCAAAAGGGTAAAAGAAAAATTACCAAAAGGGTAAAAGAAAAATTACCAAAAGGGTAAAAGAAAAATTACCAAAAGGGTAAAAGAAAAATTACCAAAAGGGTAAAAGAAAAATTACCAAAAGGGTAAAAGAAAAATTACCAAAAGGGTAAAAGAAAAATTACCAAAATGGTCAAATTTTCTAGGTATTTCTAACACTCCTAAAACCATTATAAAAAATCAATAAAAATAAATTTACATTAGATTGTGAATTAGAAACATTTTCTGTTGAGCCAACATCCTTAGGTGAGGAATGTAACGAATCATAAAAAGTAGGTTGATTCAAAAATGAAAGAGCAAAATAATTTAAAGAATCTGGATCAGAACAAAAATCAATTATTGGAATTAGAACTGTTGAAAGTAGTAATTCTCTTAAAAAGTGACGAGAACTGTGACATGACCACTAAAAAATAAGTAAAAATTAAAATAAGAAAAATCCGGTGGTTGTAGGTTATCCTAACAAGTTTGTAGACTATTAGATTTGCTTAACAAGAGAACATAGGGAAATATCAACAAAAATTCCTCTCCTTAAATAACTTTGTCGCAAACTGGTTTAGAAGTAAATTAAAAAGGACGGAAATATTCCAAACCCCGTGGTTTCAAAAAATAGGACCAAATTCCGTAGCCTAAGAAAATATGACCAAAAATCGACTATAGAACCAGGCTCCAAACCATTCTAAACTCCAAAAAATTAAAAAAACCTTTGTAGAAAAAGGAATAGCTCCCTCTCTATTTAACATTTTTTGATGCTCTTCATCCACAAAACAACCCCCAATTCTAATATCGTCAACAAATTTGCAAATAAGAGAGTCTGATAATGCTCGGAGATAATCTAGTTGATTTTCTTGAGATAAGGTAGCAAAATGTGAGTCAGGAGGCCATTGTTCCAAAATTTTTAATTCGATTAATGAAACAGACTTTAAAAAATTATTTAAAAAATTAAAAAATAAATAAGCGCAAAAGGGTCAAAATGTCAAAAAATCCTAAAAGGGTCAAAATGTCAAAAATTCCAAGAGGGCCAAAGTGTCAAAAAAACCCCTAAAAGGATCAAAAAATCCAAAACCTGTATTTCAAATGAAAAAAATCGTTCAGAAGAAAATTCATTTAATATTCTCACAACTCTTTCAACATGTGCAATAATAACAGGAATTATTTCATCAGTAAATATTTGCAAAACATCAGCTTCCATAAATGTTGTCAAAATTTTTGCAGAAGAATGTCTTATTAATTGGCGAATTTCTGAAGTAAAAGATTCATCTTCACTTAAATTTTCGTTGTACCTAGAAAAAAATTAAAAAAAAATAAATTGAAACTGTCCGCAAAAATTTTTGCGGACAAAATTTGCGGATTTATTAAAAATAATTGAAAAAGAAAATAAAAAACAAACCAACTATTAACATAATTTATGACCAAAGTTTTAAAAAATTCATCCAATTCATTATTGAAATTTTCATCAAGTTTGAGCCGATCCCAAGGTCTAATTGTTGGTTCCTCGGTCTCTTTACTATCATTTAGGTTTTTAAGTAAGTGCTCGTTGTCAACCTAAAATAAAATTTTTTGAAAATTTTAATATTTTCAAAATCAAAATTATTAAAAATATACCTCTAATTTTTCCTTCATATCCTCCACAAGTTCTTTATCTTCATAAATAATGTTAGCAAAAACATGTTGTAACCAAATGCAATATTGTGGGTTTTGAAGTAGAACACGGCAAATTAAAAATCCAATAGAGAATGCAACCAATGACGAAAACAAAAGCAAAAAACTTAAAAAAAAAGAATTTTTAGTTGGGTTGCAAAAAAGTCCGCAACTTTTTTTTTGCGGATATCCGCAACTTTTTTCTAACAATTTAGCAAAAAAAATTTTCCAAACCTTATCTCAAACAGCCACAAAAACAAAATTAGAAATGAGGATAACACAGTAGCTGGAACATAAACATTGTAATTTAGTAGAACATCCATCCTTAAAATTAAATAAAAATATAATTTAAAAAAATTAAAAAATAGATATATACGCTTAAAAAACGTCTTATAAATCAAAGATTTGGTAAATTTAATAAAAATTTTTATCAAAAAATATTTTTAAAAAATCACAATTAAATTAAACTATATCAAAATTAACAAAACGATATGGTTCATTATAAGAAGAATCAATTTCATAATTTTTCCCAACAATTTTTCCAGGTTTAACACTTCGTTGGGTGTGGGAGAATGTTTCAATTTCTGCCAATTTTTTAGTTTGAAAAGTTGAAGTTCCAAAAATTTTTCTTCCACGATAAGCAGCAGCATAGGGCAAGATTGGAGGTTGTCGAGTTATTAAACCACGGCCGGAATGTGTCCAAGCACGTATCTTTAAAATTCAAAAATTAACAAAAAAAAAAGTCCGCAAAGTTTGTCCGCAAAATTTTTGCGGACAAAAATTTTTGTCCGCAAAATTATTGCGGACAAAAATTTTAAAAAGGGCGTATTTACAATTTTCCCCCAAAAAATATTTGAATAAAATAATTTATAGCATTATATATAAAAAAAATTTAAAAAAAACTTCCTTACATTAACACTGCTCATTTTAGTTGTCACAAGTACCCAACCAAGTGAAGACAAAACTATATCAGCAATTCCACGTTCATCGTCTTCCAAATAAAAAACATTTTCAATTAAAAAATCTTTATATTCCAACTATTTAAATTTAAATTAAATTTTTCAAAAAAATTTTTCAAAAAAAATTTTTTTTAAAAACCTTTGGGAATTTATTTAATCTTTCAGCATTTCCGATAGGCGCACCAAGTGATGGATTTCCTCTATTTCTTTCAAGAAAAGTGTCAACATAATTTGTTCTCATTACATTAACTTTTAAATTTTCACTAGCAAAAACTGTCAACTTAAAAAATAAAAAATTTTTTTGTCCGCAAAAATTTTTTGCGGACGTCCGCAAATTTTTGCGGATTAAGAAATATTAAAAAAACAAACAAAAATAGGCATATTTTTAGCAGTTGAGTCATCACTCAATAAATCAATTCTTCCAACTCCACCCAAAAGTAAACTTTCATTTGGATAAAGAATAAATATACGTGGCAAAATTATTGAACGAGGAATTATATTAATTAATTCTTTCAAAGTAAATAAATCTAATATCTAGAATTAAGAAAAAAATTTATTTTTAATTTATATGACCCAAGAAAATCACCCTAATTACGCCCTTGTAATAGACAATCCAGCGGGTACAGTCCAAAACAACGTGCGGCCATAACGGCGCAAAGCCATAACTAGCCGAAAAATTTCTGGCCCTTATCAATTTGTTACGAAACTCTTTAGCTCGATGAGAGGCAAGTTATGGCTTTGCGTTATGTCCGCGCGTTGTTTTGGGCGTGTCCCAACCCAGCAAATTAATTTAGTTATTATTGTTTTTTTGACGTTTTATTTATTTTACCCTTCCTGACATTTTATAAAATGATGGATCAAAAATTCAACTTCTCGAAAAATCCCAAAAAACCTCAAAAAATCATTAAAATAATCCACAAACCTGTTGTTTATTCACAGTTCCAGGAGTATCGAAACACCAAAATCCTTTCATAAAAACTCTATCATTCAAAGTCATATTAGGCACTTTTTCGGATTCATTAATCAATTCTTCTACCTCATTTGCATCTAATTCATTATTAAATTGTTTTATAATTTTTGAGGTTGAAATTGGTTGTAAATCGTCTTCTTTTTCCTTTAAAAAATTTTTTTGCAAAAAATTTGCGGATAATCCGCAAAAATTTTTTTTCGAAAAATCAATAAAAAATTTTGCGGATAATCCGCAAAAAATTTAAAAAAATTTAAAATAACCTTGAACGTATTTTCAACAATTCCTTGCAAAACAGCATATTTCGTATCACTAGTTTTTTCATAAAAAGATTTACGAACGAATTCTTCCTATAAATTTGGGATAAAATGTCACCCCTTATAAAACCCCCCAACTTACTTTACTTCTCCAAGAATTTAAACTAATTAATCTTTTTCTTCTCATTTCCATTCTTTGAGGTGTTGGATTCATTAAGGGAAATTTAAGTAAAGAAAGTGTTGTACCTGGCCATATTGAAGTTGTCCTAACAAGAGAAAAAAATTTTTTTCAAGAACGTTAAAGAAATTATTTTTCAAAGGTATTATAATTTAAAAATTAATAGTGAATTTAAAATTCAAATAAATTTAAAAAATTTTTTCTTAAGAGATGAAGACAGGCATTTTTTTTCAAAATTGTAAACAAAAAAAAGATCAATCGAAAAAATTTTTTATTCCTAAACACTAGGGGTTAAACCAGAGAAAAAATTTCTTCAAAAAATCTCCCACTTACACTCTTTCAACCAAATCCATTGCTCTAACTTTACACAAATCAGATTGAATTAAAGTGTTAAACAAGGTCCTTTAAAAATTAAAAAAATTAATTTTTTAATAAATTTTTTTTCAAACGATTTTCCAGCATTAGTAGATCCTATCACATAAATATCTCCTCTTAATACTCCTCTTGGTCCAATCCAATTTTGATAAATATTCTTAAAAAAATATTTTTAGTTAAAAAAAAGAGGTCAACCCAGTGTATCCCACCCTATATATCGCACGCTTGTATTAAGCGCGATACAAAAATTTGCGGAAAATCCGCAAATTTTTGCGGATAATCTGCAAAAAGTTTGCGGACAATCTGCAAAAAATTTCAACGATAAGGAAGGTTATGTTGGAACAACCTTCTTATTGTTGGAACAACCTTCCTCGTCATTGAAAAAAACTTTTCCCTCAAGTTCAAACAGTCCTCCGTTTACGATACGCAGAATAATTCAATACAAAAAAGTGTGTCGATACACAAGTATAATCCCAAATAATTTAATTCCTTACAGTTATCATTTCTTCTATTCCAAAACCTGTTTTTGCACTAATTAACATATATTTTAAAATATTAAATTCTTGAGATATTCCCGCTTCAGATATTGCATTTTTAAGACATCTTTGGTAATGACGCAAATATCCTGTTCGAGTGTCAGGGGGTAATAAATCTACCTTATTTCCTTTAAAAAAGAAAAAATTAGTATGAGAAAAAACTAAAAAATTAGTTAAATAAGACATAAAACGAAAAACCATATAAGGGACGGGACAGTAGTTATAGGGATCTGACAGGTGACCCGAAACTAGAGTTAGAACCTAAACTTTTTTCAACCAAAATCAGAAACACTACACGCTTATTCCTTAACACGTCCCATCCCTAATTATCACTAACAGACTTGCTTAAAAAATCAAAAAAAAAATCAAAAAAAAAATTTTTTTAAACTAACCAACAACAATTAAAGGCTTTTTAGGCCCTATAATCCTCGGCAAATCACGATGAATGGAACTGTGTAAATCAGTCAAATCAACAATTAAAAGGATTAGAGCTTCTTGAACTAATTTTAAATGTCCCATCATTGCATTATAATCGAGTTCACAAACATTTACATTTAACTTTAAGAAAAAAAATTTTTTTGAATAGAAGACAAAAATTTGAATAGAGAAACAAGAAAATGACCAAAAAAATTTTTCTGAATTTTTTTATCAAAATTTCAAAAAAAAATTCACAAAATTTTTTCATTTTTTTTGTGAATTTTTAAAATATTTTCGAAAAATTTTTTTCTCGAAAAATTTACATAAAAAAATTTTTTTGAAAATTAAAAATAAAACTAACCAAAAAATTATATTCTTTAAGAAGAAAACAGCGTCTACAAGTATATCCAGTTTTTTGATAAAAAGGAATTTTTTTGGAATTTTTTTTAATTTCATTGAACAACTCCAAAGGGACAAAGCTTTAAAAAAATTTATAAAATAAAAAAAAATTTCTAAAAAAACCCGGGAAGTGAAGAATTATGACAATGAAATTGTGCTCCACAACTTTCACATTTCGAATCAAGAATTTTAATATTTTTGAGTTGTTCCTCTTTAATTTCGGTTGTTCCATAATTACTCAACCATTCACCAGATTCTAAAGCATCTTCTGACGGAATATTCTTTCCCTAAATTTTTTTAATTTTAAAATAGTCGAAAAATCACTTTTCTTACCTTATTAGAAAAATCATACTTTATTAGAGGTGACTTATACATATGAAGAGGGGGGAAAGGGAAAAAATATGAAGAGGGGGGAAAGGGAAAAAAATCGCTTAGGCAACTCTCCCATCCAATGGTCCATAAAATTTGAAAAATATTTTAAATAAAAGTAAGGTCTGAAGCACATAACCAGAGGAAGGGGAAAATCCCTAAAAACCCGACGAAGAATTTAAGTGTCCGAATCCAGCCGTAATTTACACAAATTTTCAAACCTTCGAAATTGGACTTTGCAAAGGTAATTGAAATTCAATGTTTTCTACAGCCTCATTAACATTTCCATAATACGCAATTTCTGGTCTAAAAAACTAATTCAAACATTAATAAAAAATTAAAAACTCTGTCATTTCATCTTCTGGAAGGTCTGCAGTAGTTGCACTCGCATAATCATCACAAAATTTATTGTCAGAAACAAAGAAACCAACATCACTTCTATCCTGTTCTTTAGTCTCTTAAATCAGTAATTATTAAATTTAAACTAAAAATTAAAAAAAAAACCTGAATTAAATTCTTTGGAAGACTTTTCCAATTCACCCCCACTTTTATCAAACAAATCAGGATTTTGTTCAATATTATAAGGCAAAATTTCTTGTTCGTTCTTCTTTTGAGTTTTATTGATAAATTCTTTTTTGTAAACATTTCTAGCCCTTTCATTAATTAATTCAACACGTTCCTTGTCAGAACTAAAAAATTGTTAAAAAAGTGACAATTAATTCCATTAATCAAACAACCTCAGAAAATAATTTTGACTAGAGACCGGCGCGGAACGAGCTGCCGTACAGGATTTTACGGGATCCTGTCACGGAATCTCAGGCTCACGTTACGGAATCTCAAATCCCGTCACGGAATTCCAGGTCTTATTGTTAAGCGACAAAAAGGTATACCAGGACTTACAGGATAAACCCTGCGGAATCTCGTCCTTCTCGACCTTCTAAAATTCAACCCACCAGAGGTAGCCCTTGGGAACGTGACTTATCCAATATCTGATTTTTACCCTAAAAAATATAAAAATAAATTTGTTATACCTCAAAACTCTTTGAGCAGCAATAGACGCAATTCTTGGAAGTAGTTCCCCATCCTTTGACAATTTGTTCGGTTTCTTTTTAAAATTTAGTGAGCGTTCATATCTTCTATTCAATTCCCGTAAAAGCTGATCTTTTTTATATTTAGCTACCATTATCGGTGCTGAAGAGGATTGATGGAGTCGGAATATTAAATTGGTAGATGATCTTGGGAGTAGAATAAAAGTGGGGATTCCGTGAGAACAAAGCAATTTTAAGTAAAGAGGCATTCTTTTCTGAAATAAATTTTGTAGGAAAGTGGAAATCAGGGAAACAATAAGAGTTAAGGATCAGTAAGAGAGAAAGTAGAGTTACCGTCTCTGAAGATCATTAGTCGGTAGATAACCAGAACAGGGGTGGTGGAGCGTCCAGATTCAGGATAACCCCAAAAACAACTGGCTCACATCAGTGTCAGGTCGTTTGATAAGAAGAACGGGGTGGTGGTGAAGCGCCGAGGTCTAGAAGAACACTAAATCACCCAGTCAGGAATCTGGGTGCAGGAAGTCTTACATTAGCCTAGTCCGCACCCAGGCTCAGGAAAACCCCAAAAGACAACAGTGGATTCGGTGTCAGTACGTTGGATAAAAAGAACAGAGTGGTGAAGTGCCGAGGTCCGGGAAAACCCCTAAAGTACCAATCTGGGTGCAGGAAGTCCTAGCCTAATCCAGCCCGGCTCACTCGCAAAATCTAACTAGCCAAATAAAAAAACCAAAAAAAAACAAACCAGTCAATAAAGTCGTTGACCAAAGACAGACTTATTAAATTATGATCAGAAGTAAATAAATAATTTAAATGTAGAGCATTAAACGATAAAGAAATTAAAATATAAACAACTAAAAAATAAAAATTTAAAGCAAAATTAAAAAAAAACATACAAATAAAGAAAATTAAAAATGAAGGAATAGCAACAGCCCAATATTTTGCTGGCAAATAAGTCAAATGAAAATGTTTAAGAAGACAATCTGGAATCTGAAAAAATTAATTTAAATTTATTTAAATAGGGAGAAACCAAAGCCCAGCAGAGATAAATTATTAAAGAAATCCAAGAAGCCAAATAAAATACAAATCCATAAATACCGCGAGCCGGTTGTGGATTTGGTGTTGGATATTGAGCAATTTTTAGTTTTTTTAAAACAAAAAAATTTGAACGAAAAACGAAAATTCGGAAACAAAACTCGAAAAAAAATTTTTGCAAATAAAAAGAGACAACACAAAATAAGGAGAGCGGGCAGACGACATAAAACTTTTTAAAAGTTTTAACACGAAAGAAATTACAAAGTGTAAACTAACTAAAAATAATTTAAAATCTCTAAAAATTTAACTGTTTATTACACTATTTTTATTCTTTTTCTCTAATTTGTACAGTCGAAGAGGTTTAATAAAGTTAGAGAACAATAAAATTTAACAGCAAAAAAGTAGATTTTTATCTAAAAAGCTTTGATTTTTTTACATTTTTTTCTTTCCTTTTTTATTTTTATTTAATTTACAACATTCCTACGATCATTTTGATTAAAAAAGATAACAAAAATATTTTTTTAAATTTATTTTATTTTAAAAAAGGCTTGGAAAATGCCCGAGAATGTCAACAATGCTCAACCAAATTATTCTTCTTTGCCTCCAACAACTTTACCTCAAACGGAAAATAAAAAATTGCTTATTTTTGAGCCTTCCATGGTTTCTTTTTTATCTTTAAACCTCTAAAAATCCTTTTTTCAGCTTCTGTTTATGTTTACTACTTTTGCCAAATTTCCAGTTTTTCAATCCATTCTGTATGAAAAAGCTTGTTTAGGCTCTGGCAGATTTGACCAAATTACCTGTCAAAATGTTTCCGCTACCCATGCCGATTTGGAATTACAGAAAGAGGCAAATCATTTATTGGTAAATTTTTGAAAATTTTTTTAATTTTTTTTCTCCCAGATAGCTTCAAGTTTGTGTTTATTTCTTCCTTCAATTCCTTCTGCCTTGTTTCTCGGAACCAGTAAAATTTTTAGAAATAATTAAAAATTAATTTTAAATATTTTTAGTGTTCGATTCTTGGAGTTCTCGCAGAACCTTATTTATTCCTCTAATAGGTTTATTAATTAAAATTTAAAAAATTTCAAAAAAAAATATTTTTAAGGCCTTTTATTTGCCGATTTTAATTATATTTTACAATCAATTTGTTTGGAATGTTCTCCCTATTTGTTATTATTTAGTGACTTAATTTTTGGTTTTACTGGAGGATTTACTTCGATTATAGGTTTTTTCTCTTTTTTTTTTAATTTCAAATTAAATTTTAAAGGCCTTTTATTTGCCTATTCTGTTCGTGTAACGCCTACGACATTTCGTCCCACAAGGGTATTTTTTTAATTAATTAAAATTTTTTTTTTCAATTTTTAGATGGCTTTGTTAGAAGGCAGTATGGGACTGGGAGGAATGTTTGGATATTTGCTATCAGGCCAGCTTAGACAGTTAAAAATTGAAATTTAAAAAATATTAATTTTTTTATTAAAAAATAATTTTTATTTTTTTTCAAAAAATTTTTAAAAAATTTCAAAAAAATTTTTAAGATTTTCTAAAAAATTTTTTTTTTAAATTTTTAAAATTTAAAAATTTTTTTTTAAATTTTTGTAATTTTTAAAAAATTTTTTTTTAATTTTTTTTTCAAAAAATTTCTAAAAAAATTTTTTTTTAATTTCAGCCTAATTGGTTATGCCTTATTTTTCCTATTTTTGACAATTTTACACTTAATTGTATCAATTCAAATAATATTTTTCTGTAAAGAATTAATTAATAAAAATATTACTACAACACAAGAAACAACAGAAACTACAACAATCAGAAATTCAACTTCTACAGAAAATTTAAATCAGAATTCTGAAAATTGTAAGGAGGAGAAAGTTTTAGTTTATTAAAACTTGTTTGTTGGGGAAAAGGAAAAATTAAAATTAATTCTGAAAATAATTCTGAAAAAGTTTTTAAAGAAAATTCTGAAAAATAGTAAGGGGAAAAAGTTTATTTTTAATTCTGAAATAATTCAAGTTTATTTTTTTAAATAAATTCTGAAAATAATTCTGATAAAGTTTTTAAAAAAATTCTGAAAATTGTAGGGAAGAAAACGTTTAAACTTAATTCTGAAAATAATTCAAGTTTTATTTTATTAAAATAAATTCTGAAAAAGTTTATTTTTTTAAAACTTGATTCTTGAGAGAAATATCAGGTTTAATAGAAAAATTCAAGTTTATTTTTTTTTTATTTTGTCATATAACGCAAAATTTGACATATTGTCACAAAATAGAAACCTGTCCTTTTGGTCGAACTAAAATTTAAAATTTCCCTAATTTTTTAAAAATTATTTTTAGCAACATCAAATTTTTGTATTTTATGTCGTAAACGATTTTTGGATATTTTACAAATTTTTAAAGCTGAGAGGGATGTTGATAAACAAAAATATTTAAATATTGTTTTGGTTGCTCTCTTAGTAAGGCAAAAATAAATTAAAAAAATTTTTCTTTTTAATTTTTCTAGGTAGAATTTATTAGTTTTTCTGGTTTAATGGATATTTTATTTTCGTTCTTCCGTTTTCAACTTAAATGGACAGATAAAGAATATGGCTGGTTTAATGGAATTGCTGTTGGTTCTGATAGTTTTTGTGTAAAAAATTTTTAAAATATAATAAGATGGTCGGACCTCACATGGAACTACCTTAAATTGCAGGTAGTGCTGAGACATCCCTCTCCAATTTTCTTAGACAACCATCTCACCAAAATCCAGTCACCAACCAAATTTAAAAAAACGTACACCGTATAATGAGGTGTACGTTAAATAGGAGGTTGTAGCTTTGTCATTCCTTCTTTCTCCTTACTTAGCAATCCCTTCTTTAAAAAATTTACGAGAAATCGTTTTAAACAGTCTCCCCTCTCCAAAAATCCTTTTGCCACCCAAATTAAAAATGTTCTACCATATAATGAGGGGTCTTTACAAGCGAGGTCCGACTACATTTTCAATTTTATTTTTTAATATCTCCAAATATTTCCAGATAATTTTTATTTATCCTTTACTTCAAAAACGAATTGGAATAAGCAATTTACGTTTAGCCTTGTTTGGGTTAACATTTAAAATTGGTTCAGTTATAATTTTGGCATTTACAAAAACCTCTCTAATTGCCTTTATGTCCATTTTTCTTTCAATTTTTGGCCGGTTTGTGTCAACGGGATTAAGGGCTATAGCTAGTGCTTGTGTTAATGTTGGTGAACAAGGCAAGAAAAAATTTTTTTTTTAAATTTTCAAAAAAAAAATTTTTTCAGGCAAAATTTTTTCTCTAATGTCTTTACTTCAATCTATGGGCTTTTTAATTGCTTCTCCTTTATTTAATGGAATTTACCCTTTTACTTTAAACTTTTTTCCTGGTACAATGCTTTTGGTTGTTGCAGCTCTCTTAACTTTTTCGGCTGGATTGCTTATGTAAATAATTTTTTTTAAATATTTTTAAAATTAAAGAAAATTTTTTTAAAGTTATTTGGATGTGAAAAATAAGAATTAATAAGAATTTAACAATTTTAATAATTTATTTTAACCTTTAAAAAGCTTTATTTTTGCCAAATTTTAAGTATTTTTCACCAAAAACCGTCTTTTTATTTTTAAAAAATTTTTATTTTAACCCTTAAAATATTTTTTGCCAATTTTTTATTTTTTTAAATTCTTCTATTTAAAAATAAAAATTATTTAACATCGGTGGGATTTGAACCTTTGCCTATTAAAGCTCTTGTGTAGCTGAAACCAAATTTTTTCCTAATACACCAACGACACCAATTCTTTACTTTTTTTTTTTAAAAGTTAAAAAATTAATTTTAAATATTTTCGTTATTCGTTTTCTATTACTATTTTCATACATCGACGCGTCTTTCCACATTTCCAATTTTCTGGACAATCCTTGTCTTTAGTACATGCTTTAGTTCGACATTTGCCCATCTTAAAAATTTAAATTTATTTTTATAAATTATTGGTTTACCTGACATGGCCATTCAAACTCGCAATCCTTTTTACTGTGACACTCTGTAGAAATTAAAATATAAATCAGATTCAGAAAAATCAGAATTCAGAAAAAAGTCCGAAAAAAAAAACAAAAAACAGACCCTGTCGTCTACATTTTGTAATATAACAGCTCCACCCTTGGGGGCAATCTCCAGGCTTTTTACATTTCTTAAACAATTTTTCTTTATTTTAAATTAAATTTTAAAAGCCTCAGGGCAGTGTGGGCAACAATTCATGTCAGAAAGTGGACATATATTTTTAACACAGGCATAGGCGTGTTGACAAAGATAGCCGTCAGAGCATTGTCCTTTGTAATAACAACGTTTGGCACACAAACCACGAAGGCACACAAAACCTTTGATTTTTTAAATTTTTTGTTCTATGATTCCAAAAAGCACCTTTTGGACATTTTCCAACCCCAGAAAATGTGCAATTCTGTCCTTGACTTTCCATACTAATTTCTGGACCTTTCCCAGCGGAGGCATTGTATAGAGCCAATAATGTCTTTAAAACATAATTAATTTAAAAAATAAATTTAGAAAAATAAACAAACCAAAAAACTGTATAAAAAACGAAAAATCATTGTTTAGTGAGGCAAAATAAATTTTTTATTGAGAGAATCAGCCCTTTTTATATAAAAATCATTTTCTATGATTATTAGAGGGTTATTCACCTTTTTAACATTTTTAAAAAATTCTTAAAAATGATTTGGCAATTTTTAAATTATTTGAAACAAAAAATAAAATGAAAAAGTACATTGGATTTTAATTTTTAAAAGACCATTTCATGGATTCGAATCGAACCCAACACATGTTATTTAATAAGATAGGTTTGAAGCCCAACAATATACCACTACACCACAACACTTCCTTGCAACTTTTCTTTAAAGTTTGCTAAGTTTAATAAATTAAATTATTCATTTTAATTAAAATTAATTTAAAAAACATTGGAATAACAATTTAAAAAAACTATAAAAAACAAATGCAACAAAAAAATATTAGATTAAAAAATAGAATTTTTAAAATAAATTTAATTAGTTAAATCTAGCCATAAGTTGGTTTTTGGTTTTGACGGATCTACGTCTTTTAGAGGAATTTCTGCCTGAAAAAAAATTAAATTTATATTAAAAAAATTTTTTTTTTCGATAGAAAATAATTTTAATTTTAAAATTATTTAAAAAACAATTCAATTTTTTCAAAAAAAAATTTCAAAAAAAAATTTTTTTTTAATTACCGTTCCAAGTACCGCTCTTTTTTCAAACATTCCATAATTTCTGGCATCTTTAACAGTTAACTAGAAAAAATTATTTTTTTCTAATTTTTAATTAAAAATAAAATTACAATTAATTTGAAATAAGCCAATTCTGAAAAATGAAAACCAAATTCAAATCTTAAAAAATAATTTTAAAAACCCCCCCTCCCCTCCCTTACATTTCATTAAATATTGGATTTAAACAATTCTCCACAATTTTGGTTTGTTTCCTTCCTCCCTTTCCTGGAGATATACTTCCAGCAGATGCCAATCCTCTTTGTCCTTCTATTGGAATTAAACGTAGAGTTATATAGGGATCTGCATAGCCGTCTTTACTTATTGGTAATAGGCCTCTGAAATTAAAAAGGAAAAACTTTTTTGAAAATTAAAAAAAAATTTTAAAAATTTTCTTGAAATTTTTGAAATTTCTCAAATAAATTTTTCAAAAAAAAATTCTGAAAATTTTAAAAAATTTTTAAAAATTTTCTTGAATATTCATAAAAATTAAAAATTACATACGTTGCTTCAACAATATTCACAACCAATTTAAACTGTTCATTATCATAATTTAATTCCAAATTTATTTTGCTTAGCCCAATGGAAGACTCGCGACGATTCTTTCTTTAAAAACAAAATTACATCAAATTTTCTAATATAAGCCCGGCTTTCTATTGAAGCCCCAACCATGGAAGGCCTCCCCCGGGAAGACCCCCGGGGAAGACTCAGACCCACACAGGAAGACCCATGGAAAAATATAAGCCCACTCTCCATTAAAAGTCCATATTCGAATACAAGTCCAACCCGGGGTAACCCATTGATAAATAGACGCTCAGGGCGTTTATTAGATATTTACGGTATCAAAAATTTTTTTAAATAAAATTTTCTAAATAAAAATTTTCTACATTTTTGAATGTTTCTGCCCAATCATTTTCCCCAAAAAATTTCCAGTTTTTGATTTTTTGTAAGAATAGGAAGAGGTTCTGGAACGTTCTGAAGCTGCCGATTCGGGTCTTAAATGATCATCTAATGCTGTAAAATTTGTTGAGTTTTCGGGGGTAAAATTAAGTTCAGTATCCGATTTTTGGTTATTATTTAATTGGTGATGGTTATTATTATTTTCCTTATTTTTTGTTAATTGTTGTTGCTTATCCTGTAAATTTTTAATATGAAAAAATTTTTTTAGAAAAAATTTTTGAATTTTTTTTGGATTTTTTAAAAAATTTTTTGAAAAATTTTTTTAGAAAAAGAAATTTCTAAAAAATTTTTTTTAATTTTTTCGGTTTTTTAATTTTTTTTTTGAAATTTAAAAAATATTAAAAGTTAACTATAAGTGTTTTGTCTGACAAGAAACTTCCATTTCCTCTTTCAATATGAACATCTAAACAGTAAAAATTATTTTTGAAATTAATATAAAAATTTCTAATAAAAATTACCAGTGCCATAAACCACTTCTTTTCTTTCCAAAATATTTTTTGGGGGAGTAAAAAACTGTAAAATAAAATTTTTCGACTAAAAAAATTCAAATATATATCCACCCTCAACCGAACAGTCAAAACAATAGGGGAAGAATGGACTCCATGTTGTAAATAAAATGTTTGTTGAGTTAATTCCATGTTTGGCTCTTTCATAACAACCCTAACTGGAATTAATAATTCCCCAATTTCTCTTTTGGTTCCATCGTCTAAAGCTCGGATTTTAAGCTCTTGTCCCTCCGGTTGTTTAACAAAAAAGTTGAATTTGCACTGATAAATAGAGAGATTAATTAATTAAAGTTTATTTTGAGATGAGAGACTTTATATCTTTAAGAGATAAGGTAGAGAAAGTATAGGAAAATAAAACTTGAAATAAAAAATAAACTTGAGAGTATAAGCATGAACTTAAATAAAATAAAAATAAACTTGGAAATATAAGGATAAACTTGAATAAACCTAGAAATAAAAATAAACTTGAAATTTAAGCTTGAACTTAAAAATATCAGAAAATAAACTTGAAAATAAACTTGACGGTCAGAGAAATAAGAAATAATATAATAAAAGATGAGAGCCTTCTCTACCTGATAAAGAGGATTAGTTGTTCTAGTTTTAACTGGACTTTGTTGTTTTTTTAAACCAAGTGAAAATTCTATAAGTGGAGAAGGTTCTAGACCAGATTTTGGATACTGAAAATTATTAAAATTAAAAATAAAAACAATTTTACAGGCAAATCAGAAACAGAATCCAAAAAAATCATTAGCAAAGCTGGGTGCATTGGTTTATCAGCCCCTAGCCATTCACTCTCCCACTCATCTCGTTGTTTGTCAACAGCATTTGTGCTTAAATCGAGCCAGCAAACTTTAAGGTTTAATTCTCCATTTTTGCAGCCTTCCAATTGGTACCACTAAAAAGAAATTTTAGAAGGAAATTGAAAGAAAATCCGAGTACTTTTTCAATTTCCCCAGCCTGACGAACACTATCTAATGGAAGGGATAGTCTACCCAATTCCTCATCAGCCCCAGCCAAGTCCTTATCAAAAAGTTCAATACGCAAACGCTGCCCAGATGCTTGATCGACAACGGCTTCGAAACATTCATTAAAAATTGGGTTTAAATTGTCGTTGATTACTTTTGTAAGAAAATGTTGAGAGCCAACTGTAATAAAGAATAAAATAGAAATAAAGATAAGTAAACTTGAACAGAAAAATAAACTTAAAGATTAAGCTTGAACTTGAATATCCATAAAAATAAACAGAAAATATAAGAATTAACTTGAAAAGTTAAGTGTGAACTTAACAGAAAGAAAGCTTGAACTTAAATAAACTTGGAAACAAAACTTGAAAATACAAGCATGAACTTGAATAAACTTAAGAACTTAAAAATAAACTTAAAAATACAAGCACGAACTTAAATAAACTTAAGCAACTTAAAAATAAACTTAAAAATACAAGCACAAACTTGACTAATTAAAAATACAGAAAAATACAAAAAACATAAAACACAAACACGAAATACAAAACACAAAATAACTCACGTTGTATTTCACAGTAAGGATCGCTCAAGTTCTTTTTATTAAAAAAGCTTTTGTCTTTATTTTCCAAATTTCTAGCTTGTATAATTTTAAGTCTAACAATTCCCTAAAAATAAATTATAAATTTTTTAAATTTTTAAAATTTACATCAGGTTCAGGAAAATAAAGTTGAGAAACATTAACATTAGGTGCTAACGGGAAAACAATTTTGTTGGGTAAAACGGCCAAATTGGCTAGTTGTAAATTTATTATAGAGCGTATAGCGTCTATTAATCCTGGCAATTGGACAAATTCTCCTATTCCGGTCAATACAAAATCGAATTTTGGCAATTCAATAAATGAGCCTGAAATTCCTCCAACCCTTTAAATTTTAAGTTTTTTTAATTTTAAAAAATATTTTAAACATTGGAGGGTGAGGAAGCAAAGGTTGGAGAGTGCAACGAAGCTTGCCAGATAACTGAAAAATTAAAAAATCTTAGTCAGAATATTTTGAGTCAACTCTCTAACATATACCGCTAAACGAATTCCTCTTACCTCCAAGTTATCCCAGATTTTCAGTCATAACCTCTCATTCCCACCTATCCCAGCCTATTATAAGTTTCAATCATAACCACTTTGATCCTAGCGCACAAATTCCTACTTATCCCAGTCACCTAAGCCACTTACGCCCGCTTTCAGCTATCCCAGTCATTTATTCCATATATGACCCTCGTCAGCTACCTCACACTAGCTCACTTATCCCATCCACTCTATATCATTTCTAAGATAACCAATAGAGTGGAATAAGTTGAGAGAGCCTCAAACAACAATAAACCCTACCACAATTTGTTTCAACCCTCCTCTAAAGCCACAAGCTTGAACTGTAAATTCGGCATCCCCAGCATAAACAAGGTCCATATCCATTATAACCTTGTCTCTTCCAACATTGTTTGTATAAACTTTTAATCCAGACTTGGAAAGAATTTTTTTAAGGAAAAAACTTAAAAAAAGATACCACTCTAAAGGGAATATCCCCCATATCAATCGACACAAATTTAAACGATTTGAAAGGCGAAGGCATTTGTAAACGTATTTGAGGTTCTATAAATTCTTTTAAAAATATATTTGAATATTCTCCAATATAAGGCCATAGTTGTTGAAGTATCTGGAAATTTTATGGAAAATTTTTTTAAAGAATTCTAGTCCGTGTAGGTCAATACCCCTTGGGACTATTTTTATAAAAAAAATTTTTTTACGATCCAAATGAATATTGAACCAAAGGGATATTGAACCTTAATGAGTTTTGAACCAAATAAAAAATTATCGCAAATATCTCAATAGAAGCTCATCTCCAATAGAAGCCTTATAGGCAATAGAAGCGTATATCTATTAGAAGTAGAGTTGCCGGCCCTGTCTGAAAGATCAAGTCGGGCATCGAATTTTGGCACGAAAAAATGACTCGGTCGGGCCGGTCCGAAAAAATGAGGCCCAAGAAAAAGACTCGGTCGGACCGACTCGAAAACGGCAACCCTAATTATGTAGAAACCTGAGACCCATTGAAAAATAAATCCTTCTATTAAAATATTTCCGATATATCCAGTATATTTTCCTATAATTATATTAATTCTACTCACTTACTCGGTTGACCCATTCAATCCTTTCAATATCCGGAAACTGAACCCAAGCTGGCAGATCATTGGTAGTTTGACTAAATTGTGCAATAATAGTTTCCCTCTCTTGAAGTATATAATTTCGAAGACAAAGTCTTTTTTGTTCCTGTTTAATCCATGAACGTGTTTTTAACTTTAAAAGAGATTTTTTGAAAGAAATAAAAAATACAAACAATATAAACAACAATAAATAAAAACACCCAAAGCATTGATAATTGTAAATGCCCAATTAACCAACAGGCAAACATTAAAATTGAACTGCTTATTATTGGAATCTTGAGGGGGAAAATTAATTTTTTTATTAAAAAATATTTTTAGATTAAATTATTTGGAATCTGGTCTAGTTTATGAGTCCAATGAAGCTTTTAGAGTCAAATAAAAATTTAAGAGTCCAATAAAAAGTTTACTCAGTCGAGTCGGATATCTATTATAAAGACACAAACCTTTATTGCACTCATTAAGGCTCATTGACTTCAGCTTCATTGGACTTATACGACCTTCATCGAACGCATAAACTATACCAGCGTCTTATTTTTAAACAAAAAATTTTTTTAAATAAATTTAAATATTTAAACATAAAAGGGGACTAACCAAATAATTAGTCCAACCCATTTTAAAAAATATTTGAAAATATTTAAAAAAATATTAAAATAATTAAATTAAAATAAGTAAACTCCCCAAGTGTTAGCTAAAATTAAAAAAATATTTTTTAATTAAAATATTCTAATAGAAAGGCACTTTTACGTAAAACGCGCTTTGTTCTCCCTTCATTGGTCTTTCTCCTCCTTTTAATTTTATTACCCCGATTATCCCCATATTTCTCTCATTCTTTATCTGTTATCCCCCCACGTTTTACTAGTTTTAGAGAAAAATATTTAAATTAAATCCAATTAATTTCTGCTTTTATTTTGATAAATAAAAACGTCAAAATTTAATCAAAAAATAAAAAAAAGGAAAATTTAACAGACAAAAATATTTATATAAAAATAAAAAAATGAATCATAAAAAAAGAAAAAGGTATTATAATAACAATAACAGTTGGAAAGAAAAAAGAGAAAATTTGTGGAGTGATTTGGCCATGATTTTGGAGCCCAAAAAGCAATCAAATCGATTAAAAAGAAGAAAAACATGAACATTTTTAAAATTAATTTTTAATTGGAAAATAAATTAAAAATAAATTGGGTGAACCATGAAAAATAATTTTTTTATTTTTTTATAAAATTTTTTTTTGGACATTTAACTTAGTTTTTGGTCAGAATAAAAATGAGAAATTTAATTAATAATTAATTCTTTGCTAAATTTAAGTTTTCAAGCTTGTTCTTAATTAAAAAAAAGTTTTAAATAATTCAAGTTTTCAAGTTTGTCTTAAATACTAATAAAAGTTTTTAAGTTCCAAGTTTGATCTTAAAATAAAAAAAGTTTTGAGTAACTCAAGTTTTCAAGTTCGTTTTAAAGTCTTAAAATCTTCAATAAACTAATTTGAGTTTTCAAGTTTGTTTTTAAGTCTAAAAAGTTTTCTTAAGTAATTCAAGTTTTTAAGTTTCAGAATAAAATTTCTGCGCGACTCTTTTTAATTGGTTCTTTTAAATTAAATCAACTTAAACGAAAGAATTTATTTAATGACTGATAATAAATAAAAATATTTTATTTTTATTATATTGATCGTTAAAAAAAGACAGGAATGAAAAGACAAACTGGAAATTATTCAAGAGTAAAAGAAAATAAAGAAAAAATAAAAATAAAAATTCTTGGTAAAAAATATTTAAAAAATTACAAAGTTTTCTTAAGTTTTAAGTTTTTAATTTAAAATAAGAATTAATTCAAGTTTAATTAATTCTCAACTTTTTAAGTTCAAGCTTGAATTGTTTTATTAATAAATTCCGCCTGTTTCTAACTGATATGTTCTGGTTTTCTGTCGAACTTGTTAAACTTATAAAACATATTTTAATTTAAATTTTGAATTTATAATAATATTTATTTTTTTCTTAATTTTTTTCGAAGTTTATTCTTAATTTGATTTTAGCAAGTAATGTAGCAAAATAGGCACAAAAAAGCCTCTTTTTCTGATTTTTACTTCCCTTAAAGTTTTAGCTTTCAATTTTTGTGAATATTTAAGTATACATGCAAAACAAAATAAATATAAAAAAATATTTTTTAGCTACACTTCAATGCATTTTATATTTTTTCTTTTCAATAATTTCTGTTGGCATTTTTCTTTAACATTTGACTTTTAAAGGCAAAATTAAGTTGTTAAGTTTAAAATCAGAATTAATTCAAGTTTAATTTTTTCAAGCTTAATTAATTCGAGTAAAACTTGAAATAAAACCAGAATTTATTTAAGCAGAAACAGGCGGATTATTTAATTAAAATATTTAAGCTTGAACTTGAAAACTTGAAATATTAAACTTGAATTAATTAAACCTGAATTAATTCAAGTTTTCAAGTTCAAACTCAAAATATTTTCTTAATATATTCCGCCTGTTTCTGCCTTAATAAATTCTGGTTTTATTCCAAGTTTTATTTATTTCTAGTGCATAAACAAGTTAAATATTAAAAGTTTGCTAAATTTAAATTTGCATAATTCCACAAAATTATGCAATTTAAAAAAAATTCAAATTTTCCTCCACTTAATTTCCTCTTTCATTTTTCATTCATTTCCTTTATTATTCCAACTAAAATCCCTTAAAAAATTTTTTATTCCCAACTTTGTTGGTGTTCGTCTTTTAAAAAGCAGACTGTCCCTAGAGGTTTTTTAAGAGACGGCATTTTTGGCTTTTCTTTAACACTTTTATATTATTTTTTTATTTTCTACATCATTTTATTTTTTTAAATTTTTTTAGTTCTCAAGTTTAATAAAAATTGCCTCTTAATAATATGCAGAGCACTTAATAATTCCGCCTTGTTTAATAATTCCGCCTGCTTCAAGTTTTAATAATTTTCCAATTGTTTCTTTAATTTAATAATTCCGCCTGTTTTTATTTTTTCTATTTATGTAATTGTTAATCAATTTTTTCCTTATAAAAATTTTTCAAAAAATTTTTAAGAATTTCTTAAAAATGTGAAAATTTTTTTTTATTTTTTAAGAATGGAAAAAATTTTTCTTTGTTTTTTTAGATGGATGGCATTAAATAATAAATATTTTAATTTAATTTTTTTAATTTTTAATTTTATTTTTCCAAAATTTTCTTCTCTTTTTAATTCCCCACCAAGTGATTTATTGCCTTGTCAATTCCCATCTTCAAATCCTTTAGAACTTGCAACTTTTTGTCAATTACCATACCATCAAGTGCCTTTAATTTGTGATCCCGGTGGGATATTGTCTAGAACAGAAGCAGAATTAATTGGTTTTTAATTTTTAAAAATTATTAGTTCTGATTTTATTCTGATTTTTTCTGTTTTTAAATTCTGGTTTAAAGTTAAAATATTGAGTGATTTATCTAATATGTAATTCTGGTTTATAATTCTGATTTGTATTTTTGTTATCTCTGATTTATAAATTCAGAATTATGGTTATCAATTGTGAAATTCTGATAATTAAACCAGAATTACAAAATTTATAACTATAATAATTAATCAGAACTAATATTTTCAGAATTCTGATTTGTATATTTTAAATTCTGGTTTAAAAATTAAAATTCTGGTTTATTCTGATAATTAATTTTGTTTAATTCTGATTTTTTAATTCTGGTTTTTTGTTTATTAATTCTGGTTTAATTCTGGTTTGTATTTTTGTTAATTCTGATTTGCAATTTTTTGTATTTTTAGTATAATTATGATTTTGTATTTCTGTTGTATTTTTTAGTAATTCTGATTTGTTAATTCTGATTTTTTGTTTATTAATTCTGATTTTTTTCTGTTTATTAATTCTGGTTTAATTCTGGTTTGTAATTTAGGTAGTTGTATTTTGGGTAATTCTGATTTGTATTTCTTTTGTATTTCAGTTTGTTTTTAAAAAATACAAAATTAAATTCTGATTTTTAATTAATTCTCTCTCTCATCCAGACCGCCAACTTAAAACACAAGTATTTAATAATTTAACAAGTTGTATTTGCCCTTTACGTCCATGCATACAAAAAGACAAAAAAATGGGGCAATTGCGTGTTTTTGGATTATTAGTGCCTACAGCTAATGGAAATAGGTTTTTAATTAAAAATTCAAAATTAATTTATTTTTAGTTTAATTAATTGTTTAAATAATTCAAAAAATCAAAGAAAAAATAATAAAAATTTAACATCATCGAATGAACTTAATCGTTTAACTGGTCTATTTGCTCGTATTTCACTTGACAGACTTTTAACAGGCTTTGGGGTGGATACGAGGGAAAGATGTGATCCCGATCTTGTAATTTAATTAATTTTTTTAAATTTTATTTTAATATTTTCAAGTTTATTCTCTACATTGACAGTTGGTGGGTTAACCAGAAACATTCTAGAGAACCTTTTATAGCCAGAATATTTAGGTACGTTTTTTTAATTCAGAATTGTATTCCTCCTCTATATGTTCTTCAAACTTATATAAAAATACCCAGAATATAGAGGAATATTGGGAGGGGAGTGTGACCTCCCTAGGAAAAGTCTCAGGCCCATCGAGGGCTCCAGGCCCATCACCAATAAGTGACTCTTTTAACATAATTTTGCATTGAGTTTTCACCCTTACAAAATTTACAAAATTAAATTTAATTTTTTTAAAGAAGAAATTTGGCCAATTTAAGAGACTATTCATTAGTAGAAAGAGTAAATGGAAGAAGCAGTCCTTTTGAAATTATGAATGGTTTCTTTAAATAATTTATTTTAATTATTTTTAAATTTAAAAGACTATTTACTCAAATCCTTATTAATGTCTACAAAACAACAATTATTTAATAAAGAAATACCTACAAAAAATACAGGAAACACAGAAAACACAAAAAATACAAAAATAAAATCAGAAGAAGAATCAGAATTAACCGTTAAAAAAGGACATAGTATTCCTCTCTGGGCTATTTTCTCAGCTTTAATTCTGGTTTTAATGGCTTTATTTGCTCTGTTATTAGCCCATTTAGTTGGAAGACGTGTGGCTTTAGCTCAACAGGTTTTCTTTAATTCTGATTTTTATTTTTTAATAATTCTGATTCGTTCTGATTTTATATTCTGACTATTCTGATTTTTTTATTCTGTTTTTTTATTCTGATATTTCCTCTGCTTCTGACTTCTCTGAATTTCTAATTCTGATTTTTTAAAATTAATTCTGATTTCTGAAATATTTTTTTCAGCAGAAAAAATTTTCTTCTGCTAGCCGAATGAGCATGAGAAGTGCTCGACCAGACGAATCCTTATTAATGAGTGGAGGTGGGGGAGCATCAACAACAACCAAAAATACCCAAAATAATGTTTCTACAGGAGGGGGTAATTCTGCAAGTGGAGGAGGATTGCCATCGTCACATTTAAAAAGTCAAATGATGTTTAGACAGTTTGGGAGAAAGTGTCAATCTACAACAAATTCTGGTGGAGGACAGGCAAATATTGTTAGACAAAAAATTTGAAAATATTTTTTGATTAAAAATATTAAAATTTAAGCATTTTTTATTAATTTAAAAATAAATTTAATTAAAAAAAATAAAAATAAATTGAAAGACAAAAAAATACCGGAAGGGTATGCTGAAAGAGCAATAATAATTAAAATTAAAACAATTATAGGTGTGTATTTAAATAAGGATAAAATAAAATAAATTCTGATTTTTGTATTTTTAAGTTAATTTATTATCAGAATTTCAAGTTGTATTTTCCCAAGTTTTAATTCTGATTTTTGTTTCTTGTAATTTCCCTATCAGAATTTAATTTCAAGTTTGTGTTTTTCCGAGTTGTAATTCTGATTTGTATTTTTTAAAGGGAAAATCAGAATTTGTATAAGTTTATTTTATTGTTGTCTAAAATTCTGATTAGATTAATTCTGATTAAATAAACGTGAAAAATCAGAAAATAAACTTGAAAAACAGAATTTCATAAATACATTAATTAAAGTTTGTATTTTTAAAAGAAATATGAAAGACATACATAAATAATCATTAAGATTCAGGTTCTTCTTTTTGATGCGTAAAAATCAAAAATATTAAGAAATGACTAGAAAATTGGGTAAAACTTTTTTTTTCAATTTTTTGAAGATCATCAAATTATTTAATTAGCTATTGCAATATTGAGAGGATGTAGTAGTAGAAGAGGAAGGTCCAACAAGTATTGCAGCTATTGCTTCACTTAATTTTGCTTCCTCCAACGGCCCAAATTGTTGAAGCAATTGTTGGACTAGAGGTAGACTTTGCTCTATTGGAACCGGGGCTGCTAACAGCTTTTTGAAAAAAAATTAAAAAATAATTTTTAAAAGATAATTTACTTGTTGAATAAGTTGTTGGTGAAGTGATAATGGTTGATTTTGAATTAAATTTGAAGAATTAACCAAAATTTCTTGGTTATTTTGGAAAGGAATTATTGTTGGTGGAGGTGATTGGTGTATTAATACATTATTATTTAATTGTTGGTGGGAAGTTGACGATGAGAGATCTAGCAATGCACGTATAGCTTGCATTTGTTGTTGTTGTTGTTGTTGTTCGAGCAATAAAGCAGCAGCGTTAATTTGTTGTTGGTGAATAATTGGTGTTTCTCCTATAAATATCAGAAAATAAACTTGAAATATAAAAAAATAAACTTGGGCTATAAGAATATAAACTTGGAATACTGAAAATAAACTTGGAGTATAAAATAAACTTAAAATATCAAAAATAAACTTGGGGTATAAAATAAACTTGAATATAATCGCCTACCATTCTGATGAGCTTGAATAAAAGATGAATAAATAGGGTAATTATTTGGATGGCTACAAAAATCAGAATTAGCAGTATTATTTATTGCCAATTGTTCTGGTTTTCCATTTAAATAAGTTGAAGATGTTGAGGTATTGTAATTATTATTAATTGTTTTATTATGTTCTTGATGGCCTCCATTAATTCCGTTATTTTGGAAATTTAACCAAGACTGAAAATTTAAATAACTTTTGTTAGACTATAAAATCAGAATTTAACGGACTTGGCATTGTTCTTGATGTATTTTTAATCCAATATTTTGGGCATAACTCTTTCCACATCCATCACATTTAAACGGCCTCTCGCCAGTATGTACACGAAGATGTACTTGCATATTACCTTGATTAGTAAAAGCCTTGTCACAATAATTACAACTTTAAAGAGGGAGAATAGTATAGTTGTATTTTAATAAAAATAATAAAATTCTGATTTTTGTATTTTTAATGTATTTGAATCAGAATTCCAAGTTTATTTTTTCAAGTTGTATTTCTGATTGAAATTAGTAAACTTGAATATAATAAATTTGAATTACCAAGTTTAATTTATAATATCAGAATTTCAAGTTGTACTTCTGATTTTTGTATTTTTAGAGAAAACCAGAATTAAGTTGTATTTATAACTTTTTCCAGAATTATAAGTTGTATTTATTATAAACTTTTTCTTAAATTCTGATTTTATTACCGAAATGGTCTCTCTCCAGTGTGTAGTCTTGTATGAACATATAACGAACTAGCATAAGCATAATGTTTACCACAAAATTTACAAACAAAATCTCCATTTCCTCCAAAAGATTGTTTTCTAACAGAATTAATATTAATATTGTTATCGTTTGTTGTTGTAGAAATTAAATTAGTAGAAGGTTGTGGGGGTGCTGAAGCACAATGGACAATTTCAGAAAAATTGTTATTAATTATTGGAGGGGATTTAATAAATGTTGAACAAGTAGAGGAGGATGAGGAAGAAAAATTATTATCCGTTGAAGACGATTGAGGAGCTTCTTCGTGTTTTACTCGAAGAGGTTGTAATACGTGCAAAACAACAGGTTCTGCATTTTTCTCTTCTACCCATTCAGTCTAAAATGAAATCTATGTAGGCTTGGAATAAATAAACCTTATAAAAATAAACCTAAGCATACTTAAGAAATTAAATAAACCTGTAAACTTAAGAATACTTAAATAAACTTGAAAACTTGAAAAACACACTTGAAAAAGATTAACTTAAAAACTTGAACTTAAAACTTGATAAATAAAATAAACTTGAAGAAAATAAACTTTTTTCAAGTTTACAACTTAATTTTATTTTATTATTTATTTTATTATGTATTTTATTATTAATAATATTACGTCTTTCTGATCATTCTGTTCTGAATTCCAATCGGCAGAATTTTCTGTTTTTCTGATCTTTCTAGCAATGCTACAACTGCTTCCGCTGCTACTAGATCTTCTACTGGCATGAGTGCTTTCATGAGCAGTAAGTTGTGATTTCTGAAATTAATTGAAGTTTATTTTAAAATTCTGAAAAATTTTAAATTAGAACAAGTCTATTTCAAGTTTATTTAAATACCAGAACGAGTTTATTTTTAAAATTCTGAAGTTTATTTAATAAAATCAGAACAAGTTTATTTAATTCAGGTTTATTTTAAAATTCTGAAAAAAAGTTTATTTTTATTTTTACCTGTATAAAAGAACGTCCACATTCAATACACAAATAAGGCCTTTCTCCTGTATGCGTCCTCTCATGACTTTGTAAATTGCCTTGGCTGGCAAAAGCTTTGGGGCAAAATTTACAACGAAAAGGTCTTTCCCCTGTATGTGTTCTTAAATGGACCTAATTTTTAAAAATAAATTTAATTTTTTTAATTTAATTTTTACTTGTAAACTCCCGGCATAAGCAAAAGATTTGTCACAATATTTACAAGAATGTTTTCTTTCTGTTTGTTCGTGGACTTGTCGAATATGTAATTTTAAATAATTTTTTAATGTAAAGGTTTTGGGGCATCCAGGACACTTAAAAATTAATTAGAAAATTTGAATTTTTGAGAAAAATTCTGAAATTAAAGTTTATTTAAAAATAAAATTCTGAAAAAGTTTATTTAAAGAAATTTGTTTAAAACCTGAATAAGTTTATTTTTAAATAATTCAAGTTTAATTAAATTAAACATGTTCTGATTTTATTAAAAAATAAACTTGAATTTCTTTAAATAAACTTTCTCAGAATTTTATTTTTAAATAAAAATAAACTTCAGAACTTTTCTCAAAAAATTAATTAAACTTGAATTATTTAAAAATAAAGTTTTTAAGCTTAAACTCAGAATTTAAAAATCAGAATTAATTCAAGTTTTAATATTCCAAGTTTTTAAGTTCAAGCTTAAACCTTTTTATTAATAAATTCCGCCTGTTTCTGTTTCAATAAATTCTAATTTTTATTTCAAGTTTATTTTTTTTACCTTAAAAGCTTTTTCTCCATGCGTCTTTTTGTGTGTATACAAAGCAGAAGGGGAAGAAAGGTTTTTATCGCAATAAGGACACAAATAATTTCGAATTCCTAAATGTGCTGATTTTTCATGGACTGTTTTAGTTCCGTATTGGGCAAAAGTTTTTTCACAAAATTTGCATTTGTATGGACGTTCTCCTGTGTGCGTTCTTTCATGGACTTGTAATGTTGCTTTTTGGGCGAAACTTGAGAGGAAAGAAAAAAAATTTTTTCAAAAAATCTTCAAAAATCTTCCAAAATCCCCCTTTACACCCCTTAAATCCCCTCAAATCCAAAAATACCTTTTATCACAAAAATGACAAGGAAACGGTTTCTCTCCTGTATGGCACCGTTTATGCGCCTCCAAAATGGAAAAATAAGGAAATTTTTTTCCACATTGGTCACATTTATGTCTTTTTTCTATTGGTTGTTTTGAATTGTTTAAATTATTTTTTAATAATATTTCGCCTTCCTCTTCTTCTTCCAAATATTCTTCTTCTTCAATTTCTTCTTCTTCTTCCTCCTCAATTTTATTTTCTTCTTTATTTATTTTTTCTTCTTCATTTAAACAATTATTCTCATTATTTTTTAAATTTAAATTTAATTCTGATAAAGAACAATTTGATGATGAGGAGCAACAACCAGAAGAAGAAGCAGCCATTTTTAAATAATTAATTTTTATTTAAATGTTTATTTAAGTAATTCATTTTTGAAGCTATAAAAAACCAGAATTACAACTTGGGAAAAATACAAAAAAATACAATTCTGATTTTCTCTAAAAATATAAATCAGAAACTTAAAACTTTGAACTTAAATTAAACTTAAAACTTGAAATTCTGAAAAAATTAACTAAAAATACAAAAATCAGAATTAAAACTTAGAGAAAATACAAAAAAATACAATTCTGATTTCTCTAAAAATACAAATCAGAAACTTAAAACCTAAAACTTGAAATTCTGATAAAAATTAACTGAAAATACAAAATCAGAATTAATTAAACTTGGAAAAATGCAAACTTAAAGAAGGAAAATACAAAACTGTGTTTTCCCAAAGTTGTAATTCTGATTTTTGTATTTTCAAATAAATATCAGAATTTCAAGTTGTATTTCTGATTTGTATTTCTTTTATTTATTTTCTCTCATTGTGTTTCTCTCATAAAAATAGCAGTAGGTCATTTCTTTGTGTTAGGGGAAGAGAGAAAGTGTGTGAGTCAGTTAGTGACAGCCAGTTTATTTTTATTTATTTTTAATTTTTTTAAATTTAAATAAAATTTAATTTTTAATAGAATTGAGGATAAAAATTCGAAAAAAATAAATATTCACTCCAATAAATATTTTTAATACAAGAGAAAGTAAAAAAATAAAAAAGGGAAGAGGTCAATCAACTTTATGTATTTATTTATTTTTTTTAAAATCTCTTTTTCGGTCAGCTAAAAATAAAAGAAAATAATAAACAAAAAAATACATTTATTTATTCATTCAACCACTAAAAATCACTGCACACAAAAGCCGTTTTTGGGATTTTTTCCATTTTTCGCGGCTTTGCGCATTGAAAAAATAAAAAAATAAAAATAAAGATGAGCACAGCTCTCGATTTACAATCAAATAAAATAAAAATAGAGAAAAGAAAAAATGGAACAAAAATAAATAAAATAAAAAGAAGAGGGAATTGACCAGTCGTTTTAGCGTTGACAACGTTATTTGAGGGTTCATAAAATAGTCAAAAATGGACCTATTGACATGAAATTTTTTGTGAGACTTTTAGATAGTATTCTTTATGATTCTGAAAAATTTCAGAATTTTTGGGTTACTTTAACAAAAGTTATGGTCGAAAAACTAGGAAAAATCGACATTTTTCTTGAAAAATTCAATATTTTTGACCAGAACTCAAAAAATACTTAACCAAAAATTCTGAAATTTTTACATAAGCTAACCAACACAATTATATATTTCTATGCAAAATTTCACGTCTCTAGGAAGCTTTTTCAAGTTTTGTATAAGCACGCGCCTATGCGTCCCTTCAATTTGACAGTCCATCGTCTTACCCTTTTTTAATTTTTTTTCTTTTATTTTATTGTAAATAAAAATATTGAAGGCAGTCGAGTGTCCACTCTCCCTTCTTTTATTTATAAAAGAATAAAAAGGAATATTAAAAAAAAAGAAAATACACTAAAAAATACAAAAAAGGGCTAACTAATAGGTCGAGAACTAAATAAATAAATATATTAAAAGAAGATAAAAATGGAAGAAAAAAAGAAGAAAAAGAAGAGGAAGAGGAAGAAGAAGAAAAATAAATAAAAAAAATAAAGAAGAAAAAAACGAAGGAAAAAAGATGCGCCAGAGCTAATACTATATAACAATGTTCATTCATCGGCTGGCACGAGTAGCCGCCGACGAACACTGAAAAAGAGAGAGAGAATAAAATGTTTTTAAAATAAAAGGGAGAGAGAAAAGAGAGGGGGATTTGTGGGTAAAATGGAATTTAAAAAAATAATGAAAAAAATGTATAAAAAAATTTTTTTTTAATATTTTTATTAAATGGACAGTCCTAATTTTATTTCTACTTATTCATAGTGATATTCAGAGTTAAATTGGACATTTAAAAAATTTTTTTTAAATTAAAAAAAATTTTCCAAAAAAAATTTTCCAAAAAAATATTCTAAAAAAATTTTCTAAAAAAATTTTTTTCACTTAAGAAAGATGTCTCTAATTAATTTAAAATGCCCTATAAAATTATTATTTTAATTTTTAAAATAAATTTAAAAAATTCTGAAAATCCCCTATTTTATTTCTATTTATTCCTAGTAATATTCAGAGTTGAATTGGACACTTAAAAAAATTTTTAAAAGGTAAAAAAAATTTTCCTAGTTAGAAAAGGTGCCTTATTAAGTAAAAATACCCTATAAAAATTTTTTTTTAATTTTTAAAATAAATTCCCAAAAATTTTTAAAAAATATTTAAAGCCATAAAAATTAAAGTAAACTAAAAACTAGGTCAAATAGCTATATAAAAAATAAAAAATAAATATACAAAATAAATAAAATCAAAAAAAATTTTTTTAGAAGGGCAGTCTCTCCGTTATTTTTGTGTGTTTATGTCTCCGTTGTCTCCGCCCTTTCTCTTCTCTTTTATTTTTTTTTTTTGATATTTTTTTGTTTTGGGTTGATATGTTGTTCTTCTCTTCTTCCATTTATTTTTCTTCCCCCTACTTTTTTTTTCTTCCCTACTTTTTTTCTACAAGTTGAGTGACCAACGGTCAGCACCGGCTGGCACAAACTAAAATAACCAAACACAAAAATTTATTTTATATATATTTTTTTCTATCCCGCTCACCGGCCTTTTTCCTTTCCCCTTTTTATTCTTTTTCTCTCCATTTTTCTCACTTTTTACGTATCTACAAGAGAGAAGAAAAAAAGTAGTGTCAGTAAAAATGGCCAAAGCCTGGTGCCAGCCGGACCGAGTGACCGACTTGGGCTGGCACCAAAACGTTGAATAAATGGAAGGGGATGGACGAGAATAAAATATTAAAACAGAACTAAATAAGGGTCCAAAAAATAAATATATAGTGAAAATAAAGAATTAAATAGCTAATCAAAAAAACAGAAAAAATCAGAAAAAATCAGTAAAGAAAAATGACACATTTTTAATAGGGGATTTATGAATTAGGTAAATTCTTAAAAAAGTTGTTAGGTTAAAGGAATTATTTTTATAAAAATACCTAATATAATTAAAGCTTTCCAAAATAACCTTATGGACCCATACCCGATAATTCTCTGAATTGTCCAAATTATTAAAAAATATAAGCAAAACTTAAGTTTAAGGTTGCTTATTTATTTTCAAGTTTATAGACTTAAGTTTATTTAAGTTTAAACTCTTAAGTTTTCAAGTTTATTAAATTCCTAATTTTTTTAGAACAAAAACTTAAGTTTCCGGAAAGAAAGTTTATTTTTATAAAAACATTTCCGGAAATACAAAATCTTCAAGTTTATAAACTTAAGTTTAAAAAGACTTCCGGAAAAACTATTTAATTATAAACTCATCCGGAAAATATTATAATGAATATTTTTTAATATTTATTTTATTTAAAAAAATCAGAAAATTAAATGTACACATTTTAGTGAATTTTCTATTTAATTAAAATTATTTTTAAAAAATTATTATTTATTAAAGTTAATTTTTCTAATTAATTATTAATTCTTTTTTTTTATTACTCATCCTTTTTACTCATAAATGCCCCTTAAAATTAATTTTTATTTTACCAAACATTTCTACAGGTACTGGAAAGACAATTGTTGAATTATGCTCTGCTCTGAAAATTAAAAAATAAAATTATTTTCTTCTAAAAATATAAAAACTAACGCAATACTACTCAATGCTTGTAAATGACGTAATTGTAAAGCTACTGGATTTGCTTGAATTACATCGGCTGCTTCTTTTAATGCTCTTGACGCCTATAAAATAATATTTTTTTTTGTTTTAGATAAATAATATAAAACTTTCCGGAATTAATATAAATATTTTCCGGATGATACCAGAATTAAATAAGTGCTTCCGGAAAAGTTAAATAATTATTTTGTTTTTCCGGAAATGGTCTGAAAATAACTCCGGAATTTCATTTATTGATATTCCCGAAATATTAAATTCTGATTATTTAAAAATATTTTTTCAATTTACTTTCTGTTCTCCCTCAGCAGCAACCACTTTGGCTCTTGCCTCTCTCGCAGCTTCTGCTTCCTTTTTTATTATTTTTAAATTTTAAAAAATAAAAAAAAATATTATAAACTAACCGCAGCCATCGCTCTAGTTAATTGTTGAGGTAAACGAATATCTTTAACCTCAACACGTTCTACCTTTAAAAATATTTTTATTTATTTTTTTAATTATTCAAAAATCTACTTTAACACCCCAATGTTCAGTCCCTTCGTCTAAAATCGTTTCACAAAGTTGTGCAATAGCTTCACGTTCTGTCAACATTTCTGTTAATGTTTTCATACCCAAAGCATTTCTTAAGGTTGTTTGGGCTAGTAATTTTGTTGAATATATTGCATCGTCAACATTGTTTACCTTTAAAAAATAAATATAAATTAAGCTTGAACTTGAAATGTTTTTAGGTTGCAAAAACAAGTTTTAAGAAATTCAAGTTCTGATAAAAGTAAAACATTATTTTAGGAACAAGCTTAAGTTTTAATGAACAAGTTTTAAGAAAAAACAAGTTTTAAGAATAATAAAGTTTATGAACTTAAGTTTGCTAAAGTTTTGAATAAACAAACACAAAATGTTTTTTCTCAAGTTTTAATATTTTTATTAAAACCTACACTAGCAATAGGATCAGAAGTTCTAAAATAAACAACAGCATCAACACTAAATTTAATAAATTACAAAAATCCTGTTAATTTAAGTATTTACCTAACAGTCACAGAATCTTTTGAGAGAATTTCTTGAGGAGGTACAGCATATGATACCACCCTTTAAAAAATATTAAATTTAATTTTAATTATATAGTATATTAAAAATTACCTGAGGTCAATTTTGCGATAAGTGTCAATACAAGGAATCTAATAAAATTATTTATAGTTTATATAATAAAATTATATCTTATTTTAATAGTTATTTAATTTAAGTTTATTTATTTTTAAATTTATAAACTTAAGTTTGTTAAATAAACCTGAATTTAAGTGTAACCTAAAATCAAGTTTAAATTCTAAGTTCCGTTTTAAGTTTATTTATTTTTAAATTTATAAACTTAAGTTTATTGTTTAAATTCTTAGTTTAAAAACTTGTTTCAAGTTTATTTTAATTATCGTTGCTTAATTTAAAGTTTATTTTCCTGTAATTTACCACAAATATCATTCCAGGACCACGAGCTCCACCAAAAATAAGTCTACCAATTCGGAAGATTACTACCCTCTTTAAATTTAAATATAAAATTAAATTTTATTAATTAGTATACCTCATATTCTTTAATAACTTTTAGACACACACACCTTTAAATTCTCATTAATTTTCAAAAATTCGAATAAACCTACATAGAGAAGGGGAAAGTAATGATAATTAAAAACCATGACAAAACTACTAGTGCATAACTTTAAAAAATTTAAAGAATAGCTGGTATTTATTTTTAAAAAATTACCCAAAGAAAGTTCCTAAACTTTCATAATCTGCTGATTGTGGTACATCCTAAGGGACAAAATTTAAAAAAATCCGACAACTTTTAATTAACCTGTTGGGTATTAGGTGCCACCCATTGTTCCCCTCCCCTTTGTTCTTTTGATGAGGCCATAAAACTAAACTATGTTCTTTGATGTTAAAAGAATGGTGCTTATTAAAGTTGGAAGAAGCAGAAAAGTTTTAAAATAAATTCAAATTTATTTAAGTTTAATTACGCCCCCTTCCGGAAGGCTTCCGGAAAATACATTATATATTAATTGTAGTTAAAGAGGATAGATTTTTAATTATTGCTATGATGTTAAAAATATTTTTCTAAGTTAAAAATAATTTAAATTTCAAAATTCTATATTTTTTAATAATTTGCATTCTAGGACATCAATAAATTCAATTTTAAAAAATATTAAAAAAAATTTATTTTTAAGCTCTTGAGAGGAAAAAAAAATAAAAAAATATATTTATTTTTTCTTTCAATAATTATAAGATGTGTAATGACGAGCAAATGGCACGCTAAAACAGCACAAAAAGAGCAATGAGGAGAGTAAATAAAGACAGAGTTTTTAAAAGAAAATAAACAAAAATGCTTATATGTATGTACCCAAGTTTTGGCGCAAATTGCCATGGAATTTTTCTATTTGGGACGATGAAAAAGGGTAAAAAAATATTGGAGAGAGAGCTGACGCCTGTTTAAGTAAGTGTAGTAAAAAAATATATATTTTTAAATATAAGTAAGCTTTTTCTTTTTTTTACTTATAGGCAATTTTTCCCACTGTCTATATTTTTATCTTAAGGCTATATGCTTCTTTGTTAAAATATATTCAAGTTTACAAATCAGAATTCTGATTTGTAAAAGAAAAATTAAATTAAACTTTGTCAGAAAAACAAGTTTTGTTTATTTAAAGAAATTCTGATTTTTAAATTCTGAATTAAAAATTCTGGTTTACAAATTCTGATTAAAAATTCTGATTATAATTCTGACCTAATAATTCTGACTTAAAATTCTGATTACAAAAATTCTGAAATAAAAATTCTGGTTTGAAAATTCTGGTTTGAAAATTCTGACAAAAATTCTGATTTACAAATTCTGATTTAAAATAAAAATATAATAAACTTGAATTACCAAATAAAAATCAGAAGCAAGTTTTATTTGTTTTTAAGACGTTGAAACAAATGAAACAACAAAACAAGCTAAAATATTTCTATAAAATACACATTTAAATTTACATAAAAAGTTAAAGACATGTAAAAACAACAGAAAAATAAATATATTTATTTTGTATATAAAAGCAAGCTTTAACAAATAAGGAAAGAAAAAACAAAAAAATGGGCAAAAATAAGGACACACTAGCTAGCGCCAGTTGCCGCCTCTCCCTTATCCAAAATTATCGACTTGTATATTTCAAGTCTTTGTTATTACATAAAAAATATTTATTTCGTAGAAATAAAATTGAAATAAAAAAAAATTTTTTTTAACGAGACAATTTTTATAAAGTGTTGCCAAGTTTGAAAAATCTTTAGAAAATTTAAGACAAAGCAAAAATAAATTTTATAAAATAAAAATATCTTTTATTTTAAATTAAGAAGGTTTATATTAGCCACCGGCTGTCATGTTTATATTTTTACTTATTTTTTTGCTTCCCAAACATCTTGCAGAAAAGAAAGTGAGCTAAATATTTCTCGTATTTCTTTTTTGTGTGTTTTAAAATTGATTTAAAAACTTTGTATTTTTAAGAAATATCAGAATTTACAGTTAGAATTTACAGATCAGAATTTACAGTTCTCTATTAAATTGAGAAGAAGCAAACTTTCCGGAAACAAATTAATATAGTATTTAAAAATATAAGATTTTCCGGAAACTAATAAACTTAAGTATACACCCTTTCCGGAAAAATAATTAAGTTTTCCGGTAATATTATTAATAAAATTTCCGGAAATATAATACTTTCCGGAAATTATAAATTTTCCGGAAAAGTTTATTAATTAACTAATAAAATCAGAATTTACTATATTTAATCTTCTGCTAATAAATAGGTAGTTATAACGTGTTTATATCAATAGCAATAAATTAATTAATTAAAATAAGCAATGTATAATTTACGTCCCTCAAAAAAGGACATGTCAAGTAAATATAAAATCCTTTTTTCAGGTCATTTTTGTGGATGAATTATTTTCTTCTTCATTTATTTCTTTCTCAACTTCTTCCTCAACCCCTATCACAACAGACTCATTATTTGTCCGTTTACGGCGTTTAATCCAATCAGCGAGCACTCTTTTAAGTACCAATGCCCACCCAGTTAAAGGTAATCTTTGTTCAGTTTGAGAGTTTCTTCCCATTACTCCATCAAAGTTTGCCGAACAAATCGCCGCACGATTTAACACATCAACAGAAAGACGACTACCACGACGCCAGGCGCGAAACTATAAATTAAAAAAGAAACTTAATAAAGCAAGATGGATGCTTGCTTTCCGGAAAGTATAATTCTTTTCAGAAAAATTAAAAGACTATAAATCAGAATTTCCGGAAACAGATTAGTAAACTTAAAAATACAAGATTTCCGTAAACTAATAAACTTAAGAATACAAACTTTCCGGAAGAAATAATAAATTTTCCGGAAATATTAATAGACTTTCCGGAAATATTAATAGACTTTCCGGAAATATTAATAGATTTTCCGGAAGAAAAAAAAATAAATTTTCCGGAAAGCTTATTAATATTTCAGGAAAATGTATTAAAAAGTATATTTTCCGGAAAATTCTGTAATAGTTCCGGAAATATTAATAACTTTTCCGGAAATTAACAAACTTTCCGGAATTATTAATTTTAATTACCATAGCATAGTCCATTCTAATAACAGAATAATAATCATTTTCATCATCATGACATCCTCCAACACTTAAACTTGTTCCAACTCTATTTCGGAAAGAAGTACTAGCATTATTATTTCTATTTGATCTACAACTATTTCTACGTGTCAGAATTGGTTTTACTGATTTTTGTTTTTCTTTTTTATTTAAATTCCAGTTTAATTCTTCTTTTTGATTTGAAGAAGAAGGAGAAGAAAATGAAACACGTTTGTGATTATTAGTACGTCTGGAATTGAAAATACCATCACACTCAACATCCTTTAGTGGATCCATAAATAAAATTTGGTGGTCAGAGAGGGCACGACGAATTCCAATTCTGAGACGGTCATCTAAAAATTTATTCGGAAAAAATGGAAAATAATTTAAATTGTTACATTTTTCGATAACTTTAGCCCTACGGGGATTTGTTTCTCCAAAAGGAAAGTTTGCCCTAGTCAAACTTCGTCTTCTGCTGATACGCCTCTGAAGTTTGTAGTGCGCACGTTGGGTTAAATCATTAATCTATTTTAAAATAAATTTAATAAACTTGTTTCAGAATTAAATAAAAATCAGAATTAAATTTTCAGAATTTTAAAACAACAAGACAAAAATCAGAATATAAAAATACAAACATTCCGGATAATATTAATAGACTTCCGGAAAAATAATAAACTTTCCGGAATCAGAATTAAATATCAGAATTATCTAAAAACATGTGTTTTGTTTAAAAATACCTCTGAATCTGATAGAAACCAACACGACGGTAATAGATCATCATCTCTCAACGAAAGGTTTTTGCGGGATACGGAATGTTCAAGAGGTAGAGGGACAAAGGGGGAACGAACAAAATTTGTCTAAAAAATATTTCTAACATATTTTTAAATTTTTATATACCTGATGCCTTAAAGAAACTAGAGGTCCTACTAAACTATAACGTTGGGGTGTACTATTAGAATAATTATTTAAAGAATTTGTTGAAGCTTTTTGTTGGGAAATCAAAGATGTTTTTGTTGGCTGTTGTTGTTTTCCTATTCTTTTCTGATTTTTAATGTTTTGTTGTTGTTGTTTATCGCTGTTGGAACGGCAGAAAAACATTGATTTTACAAATTTGTTTGGACGCCCTTTAAAAGTGAGAAATGAGAGAAATTTGTGGTGGAATGCAATAATGATTTATTATTTTTAATTTTTTTTATTTTAAAAATTTTTTAAATGGGCGTTTTATTTATTTTAAATTTATTAAAATTAAAAAAAGGAAGGGAAAAATAAAACATCGATCATTTATTTATGATCAATCCATTAGATAAGCGTACAAAAGAGAAAGTTGGAATGTTTGAAATACAAATTAAACAAAATCAGAATTTATTAAAAACATAAAACAATTTACAAAAAACATTAAAATAAACACATATTAATTAACACAAAATCAGAATTTTAAAACAACATGTTTTAAACAAGCTAGAAACTTGTTTAAGTCAAAATCAGAATTTACTAAAAACATAAAACACACTATAAAAACATAAGATATTAAAATCAGAATTTTAGAACAACATGTTGTTTAAATCAGAAAAAGTTTAAAACATTCAAAAACATTCTATAAAACATTACTAAAATCAGAATTAATCTAAAACATCTACAAACACAATAACATTAAAAACATGAGAATATTCTTGTTTCTTTCAAGTTTATTAAATTGTTTTGTTGTTTTTCCTAGTTTCTTTTGGAAACAACAATGTTTGGAAGACTATTTAAACATTGAAAAACTTTAAATATAAACGAATTAAAATGACGAAAATACCAGAGAGTGTGTGTGTGTGATCTGACGAATATTACTAGTGGCGCGTTTTTTCGTCTTTTAACGATAGAGACGGATTATTGGGAAGGATAAATGATTGATTATAGCGGAAAGAAGAGACGACCCTTTTCTTTCTTTATATTCGCGCATTCAAAAAATATGAATGGATGGAAGTACAATAAACAACTAGAAAAAAACACTTTAAAACCCCACAAATATTTTTTTAAATAAATAAAAATAAATCTTCTTTTTTCTTACCCTCTTTTTTGGTGTTTTCCGAGTTCCAAAAATGCATAAATTCGGCATAAGAGGTTCGCAAATCGGGGCTACTCGAACTGTTGTATTTTATATTTTTGGTGTTCATTTTAGAAAATTAATTTTTAAAAATGATTTTTTTAGCTTAAAAATGACTCAAAAAAATAACCACAAAACTTGCACCGATTTTTTAGTTTAAAAATAAATTTATTCTTTAAATAAATTGGATTCCCTTCTTTAAAAATAAGGAGGATATGGTCTTATCTAAAATAGGGCTAGACTGTATCAGTTTTATAAAAATAGAAAAACATTCTAGCCAATTGCAAAGATGATTTTGGCTAATTATTTGAATAAAATTGACTTTAAAAATAAATATATTTACTCCAATCCAAATAAATAAATTTTTGTCAAAAAAAGACACTAAATGGCACTTAAAATAAGTTCAATGAACAAATAACATTTTATAGAGAAAAAGGAGAAAATGCTTACATAGATTATAATTAAACTTGCTAACAAGTTTTGGTGGTGTAGTCGGTAGTGAGTTAAGTTTTATGGGCAATTGGCCTGGGTTCGACCCTTCGACAGGTATTTCATTTTTATAATTTCATTTTTATAATTTTTTCTTTTTGGCTTTATCCTCCATTATTATTCCCGGGTTCAACTCCCAATCGGTCAAATTAATTTTTATAATTTTAATGTTTGCATTTTTTCATAAATTTTCCAGTTTACTTTAATATTCATTCATTTTTATTTAAAGAATAATTTAAAAAAAAATATACCTATATCACACAAAAAAATTAAAAAAAACTTTATTCCAAACGTATTTTCTTTTCTAAAATTTCCTCATCATCCTCAGAATCACTCAAATCCAAATTTACAATTTCATCTTCATTTTTATTTTCTTCTTCATTTACTACTTCTTCCCTCTCTCCTCCCTCCTCTTCATCATCACCAACATAAAATTTTGGTTGGGATAATAATTCTTTTTTACTCGAAGAAATTTCTTCTTCTTCTATTCTATTTAATTGAGAAACATCTTCTTTTGTTTTATTTATTGTTTGCCAATTTTGTGATGAATTACTAGTATCTTCTTCAGTTAATATTGGAAGGACTTTAAAAAAATTTTTAAAAATTAAATTTCAAAAAAACCTCTAAATTTCAAAACTTTTTGTATATTAAATTCTAATTCAGCCAAAGGTTCTCCAGATTTTTCCAAAAGTTGATTACATGTAGCCAATATTTCTTCAGCTTTAAGAGTAAAAACAGATTGTGGACCATTAAATAGGCGGCTATTTTCTACAATCTTTTAAAAAAATTTTTTTAATATAATTTTTTAAAATTTAATAAAGTCAGACTACTTATTCTTAATATTTTTTTGAGTTAAAAAATTTTTTTGAAGCAAAATTTTTTTCTGAAGGGATTAGAAAATTTAGAAATTATTTTCTCTTATTTTCCAAACTTATCTATCCCCCTCTTTTTTCCAAAAAATTCATAAAAAAAATAAAAAAAACCTGTTCAAAATCTTTTCTAAAATTTTCAATAGTTGTGTAACGATGCTCTTTTGCATTTTGTTCCTTTAAATAAAAAAAAATTTTAAATTTAATAAAAACCTCTCAAAAATTCTTACAATTTTTCCCAAATCCATTGGTCGTTGAATTTTATCATTATAAAATGGAAACTTTAAAAAATTTAAAATATTAAAAAGAATATTAAATTAAAAAAACCTTTTTAGAATCTACACGAGAATGAAAAGCAACAGATTTTGGCAAATTTTTACATTCTTGAACTATTTGAAGTAAAATATAAGAAAATCCAACAATATCATCATCATCAAGTAATGGATTTATTTGTTTTTCTAATTCTATAAGACGTGAATCATTTTCTTCTAATTTTTTGGTTGCGTATTGAACCATCTTAATAAAAATAAATTTTTTTTTTGAAATTTTTTTTAATTTTTAAAATTTTTTTTGAAATTTTTAATGATCAAAAACTCGAAAAAAACAAGCAAAATAAAATTAATGACCACCAAAAGGAATCGAACCCAAGACCCCTGAAAGTAACTCAGAAACGTTAACCACTCACCACCGATTTTCACTATCAAAGTTTTATAATTTCCCATCAAATTAATTTTTAAACATTTTTAACCTTTCTAGCTGCTTCAGTAATTGGATGAGTTGGGCCATTATAAGTACTTGAATTGATTATAATTTGTGTTAAATCTAGAAAATATTGCTAAAGATAATTTTTAAAATATTTAAAAAAAATACCGCTCAAAAATTGTTGTCTAAGTTCATATTTATTATTAGCCACATTTTTTCGAATTTGTTGCAAATCCATTGGTTTTGAAATTATTGACAAATAATCTGGGACCTTTAGGAAAAAATTTTTTATTTTAAAAATTAAAGAAAAATATTTAAATGTCAAATAAACATAAGAAAACAAGTAAAATACAAAAAATGGCCACCAACAGGCATCGAACCCTTCTCCCTTTTGGTCAAACACCAGTACACTAAACCACTTAACTACAGACGCTAAATGACTAGCAACAGGAAATTTTTTCGAAAAATTTTTTTTAATTTGCAAAATAGAAAAAAATTAAAAAACGAAACCTTTTTAATATTTACAGGAATAGCAAAATGTTCAGACCCTTCAAATCCTTTCAATTCATTCAATATTTCCATTAATAAACTAGCCATAGAAACACGCGGATCAGCCCTTCTTCTTTGAACAGATTTTTGTGGCCCAACCAAATAATCGGCATCATCTGTTCCTCTTCTTTTTCCTGTTGAAAAGGGGCCTCCCCCTCCTCCAGTTGAAGAAGCTGAAGAAATTGCAGAAAGAGGCCCAATTGAAGTAGACGAATTTGGAGGAATTGAAGGAACGTTAATTGTAAGTGGATGAGGTTTACGGGAAGAAGAAACTTTAAAAAAATTATTTAAATGGAAAAAAGGGAAGAGAAAACATAATAAACCTCATTTAAAGTCTAGATTTTGCAAAAAAAAATTTTTAAGTAACTTGTTCTCATCGGTTATGTTCTCCCCTAAAGTCCGCAAAGAATTTTGTCTGCAAGTCATTTTCCCCAAAAGGTGGGTCCTGTTATATTTTGAAGGGACGAAAAGCAAAAGAAATCCCATCCCAGCTATGGACTCGAAGATCGTTTTTAAATTAAAAAACCTCTATCAACAAACCTAGTTGAATATCTTCATTTAAAGGAACAAAATTCGAAGTTGATGGAATTGAAGCCAATAATTCTTGTTTGGAAATTCCTGGAGGGATAGCTCTAGTAAGTGATGATGAAAATGAAAGTCTTGCAGCTTTCTTTCCAAATTTTTTAGAAACAATTCCCCCTCCTCCACTTTCCAATATTTTACGAGGAATGTGAAGTCTTTTTTAAATTAAAATAATTTTAAAAAAAATTTCAAAAAAAACCTCAAAGCATTTTTCCTTTCCTTTTCTGCATGTTTATACAATTTTTTGGATATTTTTAATCTGGTTCCATCAACTTCTATTAATTCCCCTGATGGAAGACTACAACCTTCTTCATCTAGAATATCGCTTATACGAGAAACTGGAGGCTAAAAAATAAAAGAAAAAATTTTAAATTTCAAATTAGCTCCTAGACCAAACCCAAAAGATGGAGAACCCAATAATAACAGAGGCAACCTTCCAATTAAAAACTAACCTAAAGGTTTTTCTCCCCAAATAAATGGGAGGATTTTCACAAAATCTTCAAAAAACCTGACAAATTTCCCCAACAGTTTTTGAAGCCAATTCTTCCTCCTTTCCATATAAAGGACAATTTCTATTAGTTTTCATGTGCCCAATACCTCCACAAGCACTACAAGTAATTTTTAATTCTTTTGGAGGTTTTGGTGGCGGTGGAGGTTTTTCTTTTTTTTCAACAATTTTTTTAATTTTATTTGGTGATGTCGAAATTAATTGTTGTTGTTGTTCTAATATTAAAGAAGAAGGTCCTCCTCCAATTTCTGCTGTCATCATTTTCATTCTTTCTGTTATGTCCTTTTCTTTTTCAGAAATTAAAGATTTTTGGATTTGTTGTTGTATTTGTTGTTGTAAATCTCCTTTTTTTGATTTTCTAGCATTTTCTTGTTGACGTCTTCTCTCTTTTCTTTTCTCCTGCAAAAATACAATATAACAAACTTTTATAATGAAACTATATTTTTAACTATTTAAAAAAAAATATTCCAAACCTCTTTATATTTTTCGTCCATTTGTGCATATACTTTAATAAAACTTTCATCCCTCGTTGAACGAATTCGAACATAAGCTTCAATTAATTGTGGGTGGATTACAGTTTCAACACGCGTCTGAAAAGAATTTTTTATTTAAAAAAAAACTCCCCATTTCTCTAGATTTTAGAGAAATAAATAAATAAAGACAACGTCTCCCCCCTCAAATCAGTCTCCTAATCCCAGAAATGGTCATCCTAACTCCTCAAATACAGTGGGGTGCAAAAGTAATGACTCAAGGGTCGCGCAAAAGAATTTAGTACTATAACTTTTTACGAAATGGTCCAAATGAAACTGATAATGGATGAAAATATTCCCCAAAGTGTCAGCTTCAAATATGTATAAAATGTAGCTAAAATTAATTTCAAGTATGAAAGTTAAAAATTTTTAAATGAGACCACCTTAATTTTAGCTGGTGCAAAAGTAATGACTCAAAATTTTGTCAGATCATATCTCTGACTAGTTGTAAAAAAATTTTTCACAAAAAATTCCATCAAACATATGTGCATAGTGATACTATAAACAAAAAAATTAGGCTCATATCTCTACTCAAAGTCGAGATACAGACACCTCGAAAAAGTCAAAAATCAACGTAAAACACGGGTAGGTCTCTTAGAAAAATATTTTCGACCCCTTACAGGTAAAATAAAAAATGAAATTTTTATTAAAAAATGAAATTTTTATTTTACCTGTAAGGGGTCGAAAATATTTTTCTAAGAGACCTACCCGTGTTTTACGTTGATTTTTGACTTTTTCGAGGTGTCTGTATCTCGACTTTGAGTAGAGATATGAGCCTAATTTTTTTGTTTATAGTATCACTATGCACATATGTTTGATGGAATTTTTTGTGAAAAATTTTTTTACAACTAGTCAGAGATATGATCTGACAAAATTTTGAGTCATTACTTTTGCACCAGCTAAAATTAAGGTGGTCTCATTTAAAAATTTTTAACTTTCATACTTGAAATTAATTTTAGCTACATTTTATACATATTTGAAGCTGACACTTTGGGGAATATTTTCATCCATTATCAGTTTCATTTGGACCATTTCGTAAAAAGTTATAGTACTAAATTCTTTTGCGCGACCCTTGAGTCATTACTTTTGCACCCCACTGTAATAATTTAAAAAAACCGATTCAGTTCCATCTGTATTCTTTATTGTTCTATAAATTTTTAATTTTCTTTGAGCACTAGATGACAAAAGTGATATTGTCCCTCCTCCTGGACTTTGAGGATTTGGAACAGTAAAAACATCCTGTAAATCCTCCGAATTTTTTTCTTGTTTGTTTTGTTGTTTATCTGCTACAGCTTCTTTTGCTTTAACAAATAAAAAATTTTTCTTTTTTCAAAAAATCCAAAAAAACCTGCATCAGAAACAGAAGCCCCACTTTTTGTTACTTCACCTCGAATCATTTTTTGTAAATTTAAACGTTCACGTTCTTCAAGTTCAAATTCTAATTTACGTTGTTCAGCATCATTTAATGTTGTAGTTGTTGAATATGCACCAACAAAACGTTTGCCAAGTTCTTTAAAAAATAAAAAATTTCTTCTTTAATTTTATTTAATCAGTCCGGAAAACACAATCCGCAAAAAGGGCCCACTAACTGCACAGAAAAAAACACAGTGAATAAAATTGAAACCTTTCCCCTTTAAACCAAAGAGGGAGGGGTTTTTTTCATTAACCAACTCAAAAGAAAAAATTTTTTACGTGTTCCATAAAGTTCATCGCCACTCGATTCCCAATCCAAATCACAAATATCAGGTTCAGTATTTGCCAACCATTTGTTTTGCTTTTCAAAAATACGTTGGCAATGTTCCTTGTGTTTATTTTGCATATCCGCAAAGGTTAAACGAGCATTTCCTCTAGCAAATCTAGACACTTGTGAATCTTTTTGTCCTTGGGCTGCTTGTGTCGACAAAGTACGGATTACATCAATTACATCCCTAAAAATAAAATTAAAAAAATATTAGACAATTTAAAGATTGAGGTTCATGTCTTAGCGAAGTAGACCCTTTTCTCGGTAAGTTTCCCATTCAATGAATCAAAAATGGATTTTACCTGCCAAATAGGGGAAAAGAAAAAAACTCAAAAAGAAATATAATAGGGTAAATCAGCAAAACATTATCCGCAAAAAAGCAAGCACACAAATCTCTGAAGGTTCTGTTCTTGGAAAATATTCGGACATTCGGAACCGATCGAGGGATTGAATCGAACAATCCTCAATTCACAGGTTCGGTTCTAATACAACCATTTTTCCAAGTCCCAATTCAAAAAAAAATAAAAAATCAAACCATCTTTCGAGTTGACTAATTTCTTCTTCCAAAAGTCCAAATTCTCTACACATTTGCCTAGCTTCTTTTAATGGGAGCTTTCTCAAATCAGCATTTGTTCCAGTTACAAGCTTTTTTGGTGCTTCTTTGTCAACTTCTTCTTTTGCAACTTTTTGAGGTTTTGCACTAACTCGCAAGAAAGAAAAGCCTAATCCACAACCTGTAGGGTCTGCAATTCCTGTTTGGTCCAAGAAACTTTTTCCCTTCATAACTGCTATATATGCTCTTGTAGTATTCCACGGGGCACATTTTATCTTTAAAAATAAATTTCAAAAATTCTCCTAAAAATTATTTAAAGAAACCTCTTCTTCCCCAATATTTTGTTGATCATCAGAATCATCAGCATTCTCAGCAACATGTAAATATTTCTCTCCATAACCAGCATCCCTCAATCTTTGTTCAGCAGCCATCATTGAAGCTTGAGCACAATACATTTCTGGTGTTATCATACTTGCAACTTCTTCACGGCTAGGAAGGCGAAAGTCGTCTTTCAATACCTATATTAATTGTTTAATTGAGTAACTAACAGAGGAAATTATCAGGGATGGGCTGGCTTAATCGAAACCAGGTCCTTTTTCAACCAAAAATCCGAAACCCGATCCGAAGAAAATTTTAAAACCCGACTAGAATACGACCCGACCATTTTCTCGACCCGTCCCATCCTTCTTGTTATCTATCCCATGCAAAAAATGGCAAAAATCAAAATCAGAGATAGATCCTGTCGTATTTTAAAATCGACAGAGGGACCAAGGTTAGCGGAAGAATCAAAAAATGAGGAATTCTGCAAAAAGGAAGAACAGCCCAAAATGGAAGTCACCCAATCACATCCCTTTAAATTAAAAAAATACCCAAAATTCCAATCCAACACCAACTCTTTTAAATTCAGCAATTTGTTTCAAATTTTTTCGAATAATAGCATCTTGATTTGGAAATATTCTTCTCAATTCATCCATTCTAACACGTCTAGGTTTTTTGTCATTCTCCCAAAATAACCGATAAATACAAGACATCATAAAATCTCTTCCAAAATCTTTTGCTCTTTTTGAATTTGGACTTGGAACTTCAATTAAAGGCATTTCTTGTCCAACAACAAATAAATTTGGAAAATGTCTCAAAAAGAATCCAAAACGTGTTCGGACAAGTAAAAAGTCAGTTAAAGGTATTTTGTGTTTAAATATTGCTGAACGATACATGTTGTTTTCCAAAACTTGTAATGAGGGATCTGTTGTTGTTGTTGATGTTGTTGTTAACTTACCCAAAAATGGGAAAGTATGGGAAAATGATGTTTCACCAAATTCATATTCTGTTGTTTCTTGTTCTTTTGTTGGTTTCTTTAAATATTGGATTTTTAAACAAAGTCCCATAACAAAATCACCCAGCAGAAGGAATTAAATATCCGTACTAGAAATTAAAAGACCCGTACTAGAAATTAAAAGACCCGTACTAGAAATTAAAAAAATTAGCAGCAACAGAAATAACAGATCCACAGGAACCAGGGAAGGGTAACAAAACGTTCTGAATACCGAAAACAAAGAAATTGGGAAAAAGGAGTGATTCCTTTGAAGTACTTCATTTTCAACCAAAAATTCCTCCTCTTATAAAAATAACAAAAAAAAACAAACCCTTTTATAATAATTTCGAATTTTTGAAGCCATTCCAGGTTGACTAAGCAATGGAGGAAATTGTTCAGAATATTCCATTAACAACAAAGTTCCATCTCTACCACTCAAATCGTGTACTTCACGCATTAAAAATATATCAAATCCTCCACCTTCACCAGATAAATGACGCTCTCTTCTCTTAAAGACAAATTTTTTAAAACAATTTTTGGATAAAATGTCCGCAAAAAATTACCAAATTGCCCGGAAAAATTAAAAAACGTGTCCGCAGCAGGGCTGTCCGCAATTGCGGACTGCGTAAATTGCGTGGTTTTTTGGACTTGCGAAATGCGGATTGCGGCTGTGGAAAATTTTTTTCACTTGCAGACAGCCCTGGTCCGCAAATTTTGTCCGAAAATAAATTTTTCTAATTAAAAATTATAAAAAGAAAACCTGATTAGTCATTCTAATATGTCTTGTCAGAGAAAGTATTGGAGCACCTCCTCCACTTCTACTACTGACTAAACTTTGTAAAAATCTTCCAGGCAATTTAGGCCTATGAAAATTTCTCAATTGTGTATTGCTTGTTAAAAATGGGAAAAAAATTGGATGAATTTGTTGTGCTGGCAAAGAATGTTGAATTCCACTATTTGTTGCTAATGAACGTGAAGTTTTTTCTGCTGTATTTTTTGGCATATAATAATCATCATTTGATAAATTAAAAGGATCTTTATCTGCAATTTGGGCTATTTGTGTTTCTATTTGTTCTTCCTCTTCTTGACGTTGTCGTTTAAATACTTGAGCCAAAATTAATTTGGATTTTTTTATTCCACCTCCCTCAACCTACAAAAGATGCTTGAGTAAAAAATAAAATTAAAAAAGAAAACCTTTGAATATGATTTTGAATCACTTCCCTCATCTTGTACAGCATCTTCTGGCATTCCAAACATCTTTGGATCATCCTCATAATCGAGGGAGAGTACTTTTGGTTCTAAAAAGAAAATTTTTTAAGAGGAAAAATGGAGAGGATCACTATCTTAAAAAATCAAAAAAAAATCCAATAAAAAAATTAAAAATAATACTAGGTATGCTAGGCATATTAGAACTATCCCAAATAATATCATCCTCCCAATTTGAATTGCACAATTCATAATTCTCAAAAGGAAATATTGAGTGTTGTGAGTCAATAAGTAGTCGAGCATCTGATTTTAAATCTGAAGAAGTTCCAGATTGTGATTGGGAAGTTACTTTTGCAGGGTTTTCCAAGTATTCAATGAATGATTTGTTTTTCCCTGAAAATATAGAAAATTAAAAAAAAATCCGCAAATGTTGTCCGCAAAAATAAAAAAAGTCCGCAAATATTAAAAAATTAAAAAAGGATGACATTAGATCCCAAAAACTTAAAAAAAATAAATTTACATGCAGTCATAAAAGCTTTATAAGTCCTTGTATGTGAAGTAGGAATCCAGCCACATCTAGGAAGACGGGCAGAAGAAAGTTCTTTTATTAGCTTAAATTTTTGCTTAAAATTAAGAAGACTAATCAAAATAAACCTTTTCTTTTGCCTGTTCTCCATCAATAATTATATCATCTTCCCAATGAATTAAGTTAACAGGAAGGAAAGTTTTGTCATCTAAAAATGGGGAAAAAGGGTAACTTTAGCAAAGTATGAAAGTAAAATTTTTAAAGCTGAAAGGACGTGAATCTACGTAACTCTCCCAAGAAAAATCAAAATGAAATAATTCTTGCTTGAATGGCACCCTGAACAAAGATGGTTAAACAAGAATTGGCCGGCTTACTCGCACCCCGGACGTTTGACCATAAACCCAAATCTTTAGAAAATTTTGAAAACTCGATCCAGAGCCCGACCCGAGTTTTTACTGAACTCGGCCCATCCTAGATTTTATTCAATAAATTTTACAAAAATTAAAAATTTAGACACCTATAGCTGGAGATTTTGGCTCACTCATTGGAGTAAACATCTTTCCTTTCTTCATTCCATAATCAAAATTTGCTGGATTTGATGGGACACCCAAACGGTCATACCAAATTTGAGCAGGTCCAAACCTCCAAGGCGGAGCAGATTCTTCATCTTCCTCGTTTATTTGTTGTGAATGTTTATTTTTGGTTAATAATTCTTCCAAATTTTCTGCACAAAGTAATTCCTTCAAAAATATAATTTTTTGAAATTAAAAAGAAAAAGTCCGCAAATATGAAAATCCGCAAATTTTGTCCGCAAATATTTAAAAAATTTCCTCAAACAAATACTCTTTTCCTTGTAGAAAATACAGGAAAACACGGTTATTTTTCTAAAAGTCCGCAAATTTTGTCCGCAAATCTTTTTAAAAATTTCCTACAAAAATTATTTAAAAAAAAACAAACATATTCATCAATTAGACAATCCTTCTTTTTAGGCAACCCGCCTAATTTAAAGTCCCAACCAGATTTTAAAGTCTTTTCCTTATCTATTTCTTCTTCAACAACTTCTTCTTTTTCATCCTTCTCTTCAACATTCCCCTCCTTGCTTTCCTTGGATTCTGCTGACTTTTCATTTTTAATTTCGCTAGTCAACTTGAGGTTAGAAATTGCTGCCATTTCTTCTTGTTCAGCTGTTAATTTTGCTGTTTTTTCCCCTTTCTTCTTAAATGTTCTAGAAGTCCACCAAATTTGTTCTTTAAGTGAAGCTTTGGCATTTGCAAAAAGCCGTGAGAAACGCAAAATCCCGTTTTGATCAAAATCGGGGAATAATGAACTAAATTATAATTAAAATAGTTAAAAATTAAAGAAAAAAACCTCGGGTCAATATCATCCAATTCTGGCGGTATTATTGCAGCAAGTGGAGCATCTCCTCTTTGAGATGGAGGAATAAATTCTGAAGGGATTTTAATTGGTTGTTTTTCTGCATTTTTGCTGTTGTTTGTAATTAAGTTTGGAATTGATCCAGGATGAATAAAAGTAGCTTCTTCAGTCATTATTTAAATATAAACTAAAATTTAGAGAAATAAGACAAAAAAAGGATTAAAAGACCCAAAAGGTTCCGTTTAAAAATAAATGTTCTGCTCTAAAAATCGAAATTACTGAGTTACCTTTCAGACTCAAACGGACTCTTTATCTCGGTAGGGTCGGTTGAGCGCGGCTGTTGGGCCCCGCCAGTTGAGTGCGAGCAGGCGAGCGCAAGGACGGTTGATCGCGGGCCCAGTTGGGCGCGGGCGCCCCTTGTTAACTGGCCAGATGAGCGCGAAACGAGTAATGTTATTCCAACAACTAGGGATGTTGCACGTCAGTAGTTAATGCACCCCAAACGTCACACCAATTGTCACACCTGTCAATCAAACTCACACCTATAAGGGGGTTTTGAGCTGATTAAGGGGTAATTTGTGTGCCTATAGGGCACTTTATCTTTTGATTATGCCGCTTAAAAGGTAATTAATCATGATTAATTAGGGTAATTAATCATGAATGATTAATTACCTTTTGACAAATATTTTGCGGGAAACTTTAAGGTTTAAAATTTGTGACATTTGTATTTTTAACATATTTGTGACATTTAATGGTGCGGTAAATACAAAGTTAAATATAAAATTAAAGAAAAGGAAGTGCGGTAAAATAAAAGAGCCAAAAGGATTTTGAGTGAAAGTGCTAAAATAAAAGAAAAGGTTGGGTGGTCTATCTTTTTATCTTTGGAAAAGAGTACTTTATCTCATTTAAAATTGAAATAAATTATTTAGAAAATATAAAACTTGAAGAACATATTATAATTTGTCATAAATAACTGTCAACAAGGACTAATACAATTTTTAATAAAAATCTACAGGTTAAATGTTAAATTTTTTGATCATATTAATAACAATCCCGTCCTTATTGGCTGACGACCGGACAACTATACCAATATGGCGGAGAACACCGTCATCAATATTTCCTAACAGAGATAAAAATACTTCATTGGAAATACCAATATGGCGGAGAACACCACCACCAATGGACGCCAAAACCGAGAAGAGAGAAGAGTATGTGACAACATTATATCGGATGACGCCACTACCAATATGGCGGAGGACACCACCTCCAATATTTCCTAACAGAGGTGTAAATAATTTGGGAGAGCTTCAACGAGGCGGTAAATTAAGAAATAAATCATTGTATAAAATTGATGACGAGAAAAAATTATCAAAGAAATGGATTGTAAAAGATATATATCATCTGAAGAAAAATGATTTAGTAAGACAGGCTGAAATAAAAAATATGGGACGTTGGATTCTACGTTGGGACCTTTGGGACAAAAAGTTCAAATTTGGAAAATATAATAAAACAGATTACTTAATGTATTCAAGATGGCGATTTTTATATGAACCTCCGATTTCAAATATTATAGATTTTTTCAAAAATTTGTAAAATTATTTTAACAAAATTTTCTGTTTTATATTAATGTAATTTTTTAATGTAAATTTATGATTTATTTAATATGTAATAAAATTAAAATTTTCTAATTAATTAATCAACGCTAAATTAATCAACGCTGAATTTTTAAATAATAAATTATTTCATTTTCAAGAAACATGATTAATCAAATTAGTTCTTATCAAACATATTCTAGAAACGATCTCAAGTTAAAATTACCATTTGGGTGTATTATTAGTGGGCCAAGTTCAAGTGGTAAAAGTACATTTGTTAAAAGTTTAATTGAAAATGCAAAAGAAGTGATTGACCCAATTCCAGAATCAATCTTGTACTGTTACGGAGAATACAATTCCTTAGTTTCCGATTTACAAAGAATGGGAGTGACTGTTTATTCGGGAGTTCCGCCAGAAGAGGTTATAAAAAGTCAAGAAAAGCCATCACTCATAATTCTCGATGATCTACTTTATTCAATCGACGAAAAACATCTCTCGGAATTATTTACAAAAAAGTCCCATCACTTAAATTTTGGCATTGTATTTGTCACTCAAAACCTATTTGAAAAGAAACTGCGAGTTGCTCGACAAAATTCAATGTATCTTGTTCTATCAAGAGCCCCAAACAGTGCTTTATCAGTTCGAAATTTGGGAGTACAATTATTTCCTGGTAAATTGGATTATTTTCTTGATTCGTATCGGCAAGCAACCAGAGAAAACTATTCATATTTATTTATTGATCTTCATCCATCTTCTGACTCATCACTAAGACTAAGAACAAATATATTTGAATTTGCTTCGCAGAAAAAAGATACAGATAATTTTGAAACAACAATATTTTTACCAAAAGCAAATAATCTTTAAAATGATAAGTCAAATAGTAAAAAACAATTTCCATTTTCTTAAACAATTGGCAAAGACAAGATCATTACAAAAGAGGAAACGATTATTAAAACAAGCCACAATTGGACAATTAATATCATTGTCTGAAATTTGTCTAAACATCTTAAGAAATAAATTTCAACTGACAAAACGACAAAAAAGTCGATTAGTTCCATTTGCAGATTTTGTACGCCGTATTGGCCGTGTGAGAACTGAACGAGGAGCACGAAAGCTTGTTATTCAAAAGGGAAACGGCCTTCCTCTAGGACTATTCCCAGCATTACTTACACCGATAATAATTGAACTTGCGAAAAATTTAACTACAAACAAAAATGGCCAATAAATTTCTTCTTGTCCCAGAAGATATTTATCGTGGGTTACTGACACAGCCAGTTACAGAAACTGGGAACATAAATTTGGATTATACAAGGAAAAATTTGGACACAATTAAAAGACAACGCGTGAATAATGAATTAAAAAATATAAATTACAACCAAGAACTACGAAGATATTTACACATGCTAAAAGAACAAAATCAAACACCAACAGGTGTGGCAGTTCGTCAACTTGATAATTCAGCACTCGATCAAATCAAGCAGTTGATACCACAAATTGCTTCAAATCAAAATGAAAAACCATTGATAAATGATAAAGAATTGGAAGAAGAAATAAAAGAGGATGTTATGTATACAGCAGATGAGGGTAGTGATGCTGAGACTCCCAGGACTTCAAAGACATTGAAATCGAAATTAAATCAAAGGATTTACAAAATATATCATTTGTTGAAGAATAATATTGATAAATTTAATATAAACAAAGATGGCAAAATTTTAAATGAAGGGGGAACAAGGGAAATTCTCGGAAGTAATGTTCAAAAATCTCTTGATTGCATAATACGGTCAGATTTTACTGGTAAAAATAAATGGAATCAGCTTTCTCCTCCCGGAACTTCAATCCTAGAGAAGCGTTTGAAAAATGACCCAACAATGTGGGAACTAATTGAAAAAGCTAGGGTGCAAATTACACCAAAAAGAATCAATATAGCAAAACAAAAATTATCTCAAATTAAAAAACCGAAGCAATCATTATCTGAAGAATGGAGACTCCCAGCAGAGTGGAAGTGATACTAGATAAAATTTATAATGATCCAGCAAACCCTGCCGGATTTGCCGGTGTTAACCAATTATTGATTGAGGCAAAGAAAAAAGATAAAAAAATTAGAAAGAAGGATGTAATAGAATATCTGGAAGGAAACCGGACATATACAATTCATCGGCCCCGCCGTGTAAGATTCAAAAGATCAAGAACTATGCCCGCGGGTTATTTGACAGATGTTCAATGTGATTTGGCAGATTTTCAAAAACTGTCAAGGCAAAATAATGGTTATAATTATGCACTTGTTTCAATTGATGTTTTGTAACCAGTACGAACCAGTACGAACCAAAAAGTCAAAGGACATGGTCCCAGCATTTGAAAATATTTTACAAAGAATGGAAATGCTACCCCACCGAATATTTAGTGACAAGGGTACAGAGTTTACAAGCAAAGAAATGATGGAGTTTTTTAAACAGAAGGATATTGAGAAGTTCACACCTAATGCCTCAACAGTCAAAGCTTCTTTAGCTGAACGTTGTATTCGTAACATAAAACAAAGGCTTTATAGATACATGAGCGAAAAACATACTTTAAAATGGACAGAAGCTCTACATAAAATTGTGAATGCAATAAATCACTCAAAAAGTCGCGCACTAGGAGGCTTGAGACCTGTGGATATTAGTTTTAAAAATGCTCGAAAGATTAGGAAAAAAATTTATGGAAAAATAGGTGTCAACCCGAATAATAAGAAGACACGTTTCCAAAAAGATGATTACGTACGCATGAGTCGGAACAAGAATATTTTTTCAAAAGGATATCTTCCCAACTACTCTGATGAAATTCTCCAGGTTGATCTTGTAAAGAATAAGGCTAACCCCAACAGATATCGTGTTCGAGATGAAAAAGGAGAAAAATTTGAAGGATACTTTTACCCAGAGGAGCTGACAAAAGTAAGAAAGGATGAATATACGAGTTACAGAATTGAGAAAATCATACGTAAAAGAAATAAAAAAGATGGAAGTAAAGAATATCTTGTAAAATTTTTTGATTATCCCGACCCCGAATGGATCAATGAATCACAATTTGTTTAAATTATTTTCTTTGTTATTTATTGTAAATCATTATTGTAAATCATTTAGTTTAAAATAATAAAATCTAATTAAAAATGGAAAATACTTTCTTTGTTGTATTACCCAGCAACGTCAGTGATTATTCAGACAATAAACCTAATAAATTTCGGTCACATTTGGCAAAACCTATCCAATTCCAAGGCGGGAATTGGGTCTGTGGTCTATATAGCATTCAATATCCTCAGTCTTGGGCTGCAACTATTGGCACCGACGTTAAACAGTGGATCGAAATTAATTACAAAAACAAAAAACCACATAGAATTGGAATTCCCAAAACAACACAGTTAACACCCAATGGACTCAGCTTCTTTTTAAAACTTGTATTATCCAATAAGGAAAAATCCAGGAAAAGACGTGATGTATTAATTGATACTTTAGAGGATGAAATTATTATTGACCCCGAAATTAATTTAGTGGCGGACCCACTTAAGAAACGCAGAAAGAGAGAGGCAGACAAAGTAGATAGTGTGCCATTATGGGTAAAAGAATTTTTTAATCAGTATCCGCACAATTACTGGGAAGCCATACGCGATTATGAACAAGAATTAGAGCATCATAAAGTTAATGTAGAGGAAAAAACAAAACAAGTTCTTAATGAGGAGGATGATATACAGAAGGAAGAATTTCAACAAGAACTTGATCACCTAGAATCCCTTTCAGAAGGTAAAAAGAAGGAAATTCGTCTTTTAACAGAGGAAGCTAATAAAAGAGATAGGCGTGATGATCGGCTTATAGCAAATGAATTTTTTGAACAACACCCAGACGATTATCACGAGGAAGTAATAAAAATGGAAATAAATATAATAGTAAGATACATTGAACTAGAAGATAAAATTAAGGAGAGCAGGGAAGAGGGTGGTAAAAATGTTCGCTCTGGTGAAGAAATTCAAAGGTTTATTACTTCAATAAAGCGTATGCGAAAAAACTTGGAAGCATTGGAATCTGCAATAATTGAAAGAGAGTTGCAAATTAGTAGAGATGAATTTCATCAGCAAAATTCAAATACACATTCAGAATTTGTCCAAAAATTTTTTGACGACCACCCTCAAGATCATTGGGCATCATTAAAGAAAAATTTAGGTGATCTACAAGAATTACACAGACATAATAGAGAAAAAAGAGATTTACATTCACAAGAACAAGATGAAGAAGAAAAGAATAAACTAAATAAGGAGATTGACCAGCTAAGTAAATTAGCTACATACAGAAGAAATAGATTTACAGCGATACATCATGAGGCATACAAGAAATGGAAAAATTTTGAGCTGCCAATTCCACCAACTAGAAATGAAATTAAGGAGATGCAAAAAATTGAAGAGAAAACTCATCCCGAGTATTTGGAAGATGCCCTAAAGATAGATGATCAAGGCAAACCTGTAACAATTCCTGCTCCCGAAATTACAGATGAAATGGTTGAAGTTGTCAAGGAAAGACATGGATATGAGGAGGACAAGGCCAGAGAGTCAGAGGAAAATGAAAGAAAGGATAGAGAGCTTAAAGAAAACAAGGAGAAATTAAAACATGCAAGAAGAATAGATAAATACGGAGAACCTATACCCCTTGAGCAACCAATAGATGAAGAAAAAGGTAGAGTACCTGATGAGAAAAGTTTTGAAGAAGAAGAAGAAAGTTGGGAGGAGAAAAGTAGAGGAACTCCAGCTTTAGATTTAGATTCCTCAGTAGAAATTATACCAACAGAAGAGATATTTCATGAGAAAGAGGATGAACAAAACATTGATGATCTTATTAAAGAGAAGACATTTACGATGATTGAAGAAAAGGAATCTCACTTAAAAGATTTACATTCGGACATTGAATTTGAATATTTGGACAGTATTGATCGCTTTAGGGTAGTTTTTAATGATCCTGAGATTAGTAATATAGTTATATCTTCACAATTATGTTATGTTCTTGGCTTTCCCACGGGACCATTGGTAAATGGACAAATTGGAAAATATGGAATTGATCTTAAAGGAGGATTCACAAGCTTTGCTGTTTATTCAAAAGGTTTAACGAGTACTGTAATAATGGGGAATTCTGTCAGTTCATTACTAAGAATTGTGGCTGTTGAGAATAGGTCTGGCGGAGTTGTTGAACGAGTGTATGATCAACCAATGTTTATACCAGTGTTGCCTAGAGAGATTAATGAGATTGAAATTGAACTAAGATGGATGAATGGAAGTCTTGTGAAATTTGATCATGGAACAGTTATAGTGACATTAAATTTTAATAAAGTATTAAGATTTTAAATTGTAATTTTAATTCAAATACATTTCATAATTATTATTTTTTTATAATTCATAAATCATTGTTAAAAAAATAAATTATTTTATTAATTGATAAACTTATTTAAAAAATGGTACATATTCCATTCGACACAAGAGAAGTAGGGTATGATGATTTCTATAATTCCATACAAATTGGTGAAGGGGGAATTCAAAATGGAGATTCTTATCATTATTTTCGGGGCAATGTGCCATTTCAACGAGAATATGGGAGACAAACAGGAGGGGGTGTCGGCGATGTTCTAAGACATTTTTGGCGATTCCTGTTGCCGTATGCGAAACGAGCTGGAACAGCAGTAGCTAAGGAAGCACTAAATACTGGAGGAAGAATTCTAGAAAGAGTAGAAAATCCTCATACGCAGGAAACTGTAAACAATTTGAAGAATACTGTCATAGATGAAGGAAAACGTGGATTAGACAGACTGTTAGAGAAAGGAGGATTCCCAAAACAATTTGGCACGGGTGCCAGAAAAAACAGTATAAAAAGAGCAAAAACAAAAAGGAAAAATCATTCTCCATTTACAACAGAAAATAATAGTCAAATATTTGTAGGAAAAATCCCCTCAAACCATCAAAAAAAGAAAAGAAAGAAAATTGATACATTTGGATTATATTAAGAAGAAAAAATGTCTACTCATAATAAAATTGATCGGGACTCTGCAAATGCAATTACAAATGCACTTTCATTTTTTGAAACTCCAAACACAAATGTCAGCGTTACTAGCTCTTCAGTAATTGAGCTTCTTACTCTTAACCCAATTAATATTACACCTTATCATTTTAAAATACACGCAAGCACTAATTATGTTGATCTGGCAAAATGTTATGTTTTAACTGAGTTAAGAATTCGGAAAGAAGATGAAAATGGACGTCTAACTAATCTGGAGGCTGCAGACAACAACGTTTCCTGCTGCCAACTTATTGGACATACAATTTGGAAAAATTGTCGTATTAGTATCAATGGAACTCAAATCTTTGAAGGAAATTCACTTATGGCATACAAAAGTATTTTCGACTATGAGCTTACTTATCCACAGACAGTAAAAAATTCTTACCTATCCGCCGCGGGATATTACGATGATGGTGATATGGGACTTAATGGTGTTGGTTTCGAGAATAGAAGACTTTTATTTGCACCATCAGCTGATGGCACACAAAGATCAGCACAATTTATGGCAAAATTAGACGTGGACATTTGCAATCAACCCCGATATCTAGTTAACCAATGTGAAGTGGATATTGAACTTTTGCCCCATGATTCAAATTTCCTCATTGTTGCTCCAGGAGCAACTAATCATAAATATCATTTAGAAGTACTAGCATGCAAATTATATATCAAGAAAATTGAACTTATGGACAGTCTTGCCTTCGATATAGCAAAGAAATTAGAATTGAAACCAGCACGATATCCGATGAGAAAAACTTCACTAAAATCACTATTCATAAGTGAGAGCCGAGCAGAATTTAATGCTAATCTATGGATGGATCAAGTACCGAGGAGGGTGGTCCTTGGAATGGTTAAAAATGCCGATTTTGTTGGATCTCAAAAGACACAGCCTTTTAATTTTCAACATTTTAATTTAAGAGATATATCAATTAATGCCGGAGGGGTTAATTATCCAGCTTCCCCTTATTCTCTTGATTTTCCAAATGGGAAGTATGTGCGAATATATCATGATATGCAAGAGGCTATAGGCTACGCGGGGACTTTAGATAGCAATGGAATTTCAATGCAACGTTTTTCAACTGGTGGATTTTGTCTATTAGTATTTAATCTTACTAATAGTCAGGAAGATAATGGCCCAGAGACTTTTGATTTAATAAAGAATGGAACAACAAGTGTAAAAATGTCTTTTAATGAACCGATTCCACAGGGAGGGGTTGTTTTAATAGCTATGGGTGAAGTTGATTCACTATTGATGTTAGACAGAAACAGAACTATAACCAGTGATATTTCAGTATAAAAAGAAAAACCTTGTTAATTTACAAATCATTTAAATTTTTTTTCAAAATATGTCAAAAATTATTTGTTTGTCTTTTATTTTGCTAATAAATATTTTATTATTATTATTTTTCAATTATTGTGAAACAAAACCCATACCCTGTATGTATGATGCAGATGACTATCCCGAATACAGAGATTATTTACGTTTAAAATTTGGTCCTAACCCTTCTACAGACGAACTTCCAGAGTACAAAGAATATTTGAAAAATCTACAAAAATCAACGCAATCTCCGTGCGAAACAAAACAATATGACCAAAAATTTGATATTTTAGATCACATGAACCGAGAAGTTCATCTACCAATCCCTTGTTCAGATATTAAAGACAATTCTGGAAACTACAATTTTTATTGCATTGCGCTGATACTTTTATGGTTTATGGTTATAGCTTCAGCCATACTTTATCAATTCCGATCGATTATTAACATAAAAAGCAAAATTACAAGAATACCAAGTGGAGAAACGTCAAATCGAGGAGAAACCGATGAATACAATTCAAATTGAAAAAATTTTATATGAGAGCCGAATTACAAGAAGATATTTTATAGGATGTTTTGCAGCAGATAAGATCCCAAAAGAAATACAAAAATTTCCATGTTCGATGGTAGTCAATCTCGATAGAGCAACAAATGAAGGATCACATTGGATTGCAATTTATATAAGGAATCAGACGACAGTTTATATTTTCGATTCACTACTAATCCCAATCTTGCCTGTACCTATCAAAACTTTTTTATCACAATTTCCAAAACAAATTAAAAACAAATTTCCCGTACAAAACCCATTATCTAAAGAATGTGGGCAGCATTGTATTGTATTTTTATATTTCATTTCCCTAGGATATACATATGAAAAATATTTACTAATCCTAAATAATTGTCCAAACCCCGATGAATTTGTAAAATCATTTGTTAATAAACTAATTTAATCAATTTTATTTTGATAAAAATTAATGAAAACAAGACAAATTTTTTTAAAAATTAAGCAATAGAAGATATCATTTTTAGGGGTAAAAGTGCAAAATTAAGGAAAAGAAGATTAAATTTAAGAAAAATTAATGATTGTAAAATGAAATTTTTATTTTACTTTGAAGAATATAGTGTAATTTCGTGTTTTTCCCAAAGTTTCTTGTCATCCGCATAAAGCCAGAGAATTCCCCGACGGGTGTGATCTATCACCTTGTGTGATGTTTCAGCTGATTTTTCAATATTTGAATTTGTTGAACTTATATCAAACGTTCCTGTCGATTCTGAAGACGATGATGCCTTTGTGCGCAAATTTTTCATTATTATTGGAGAATCAGAGTCTGTTTCTGTTTCCTCCATGTCTGAGTTTAATTCAAGAAGTTCCAAAGGATAGTACAAATTTTTATATTGAATGCATTGTTGATAAGGGTATTTTAGTAAAATTCGATGTCTAGCATAGAAATACGCACTAACACAAATATTGAAAGGCGATCGGAGATTTCCAAAAGCCATTAGCTGGTGAGAACAATGAGTAGTAATTCCATCACAATAAATTATTTGCTTTGATCCGTTCCGATCTAGATAATTAGTTTTCAAAGCTTTTCCTCTAATTTCATCGAGGACGCGGTCTCTATCTGATTTATTGTTAAGACGATAACGAACATTTTCAGGAGTACAATCCAGAATTTTTGAAATTTTGTCCAAGAGAGTTGACATTTTTTTTTGCAATAAATATTTATTTTTAAATGAATGAATAATGAATGGAAATACTTTGCCTTTATATACGCCGATAAAAAGTGTAATGATAGCAAAAAAGATAGATAAGCCCCGCCCCTTTTTTTGGGTATAAATACTCGAGTTTCCGAACCTGAAATTCATTCTTTCATTTTTAAAGCAAAATTAAAAAAAAACATGTCCAACCCAGCTTCCCCAAACTTAGTTAAGAATGAAGAGGCAAAGCCTGATGTAATTGAAATTATTGAAGAAAAGAAAGCAAATGTTGAAAATAATGATAATGGGGAAAAGAAAGTAAATGTTGAAAATAATGATAATGGGGAAAAGGACCTTTGGTTAAGCAAGAAAGCTGCAATCAAGAAAGTGATTGCAAAAAGTACTTCGAACAATAAAATGTTATGGAAACTAACAAGAATGAAATACATTCCTCGACTTGAGTTCCGTCTTTGCCGAACTTGCTCAAACATTCTATTCCACAGCACCGGAAGAGTTGTGGAAAGCGAAAATACTGGTGGTGTCAAAATCTCCTTCGATTTGTGCAAACAATGTGTTTATCTAAACATGTACGTGAAGGATGTTCTATGCGATTGGACAATCATGAAAAAACAAGAAGATCAAGAAAAGACCACAAATTCAAATTAAATTTCAAAATTGTACATTTAAAATTTAATTCAAATATTTTTTAATTTTAAATAAATTTTTTCCCTTTCTCTTTTGCTTTATCTAGGATTTGGGTAGATAATAGGGACTTTTAGTTTAACCTTTTGTTTATTTTCACTTTTCCCGTCTAACTTTATATTTATTGAAAAAACTTAAACATTTTCCCTTTTTCTTTTGCTTTTTCTAGGATCTGTTTAAATAAATAGGGACTTTTAGTTTAAATTTTATTTTCCCTTTTCCCCGTCTGACATTAAATTTATTGAGAAAACATCGAGCGGCACTTTTTTGAAAGACAAAGAGTTGTGGTTGTAATAAATTTGTCCAGATAAATGTTTTAGGCGGCATTAGAGAAATCAAAGGGGAATTTAGATAGAAAAAAATGTGATGTAATTTTCTTGTTGTAATTTTCTTCCTCGGTTGGCAATATATTTATTACACTAAAAGACTGAGCGGTATTTCTTTGAAGAAAGAAAGCGTCTTTCGTTGTAATATTCTCATTTAATTCAAATATTTTTATAGAGGCAAATAAAAAAGATAAGTTTAGTCAGGTAAGGCTGATACTACCTGGCACAAGTCTTGTTAAATTAGGCTGATACAACCTGGCACGAGTCAGCCACGCCCCTTTTTATTTTAGTATAAAAGCTCTTATTTCAATATCATTATTCCCCTTTAAATAAAAAATTTCAATTTCTTCAAAAAATTCTCATCCAAAAAATGTCAAGTCCTCCCAAAAGAGCTCGTTTTTCTATTGATGATATCTTGGATCTTAACGAAAGACCAAGACAAAACGAGCAACGAACTCGACCCAGCTTTTTTATTGAAAATTTATTATTAAATGATACTCAAGAGCAGCAAAATCAAATAGGAGCCGGTGGAATCACTCATTGCTTTGAAAAAATCAATTCTCAAAAATCATTTTGCAAAAAATTTAAACTTATGAAATTAGTTTCTAAATTCGTAATCAAATCACTTCCCCAAAATCCCGAAGAGGTTCTTCGACGAGTCCTGGATAATTGTATTAAAGAATCTATTTCCGACGCTAAAGAAAATGGCATTATCGTGGATCAATTGGGAGCCACCATTTCCTCAACATTGTTAGACAGTGATATATGGATCCCCATTCGTACTTTACACGACGACACAATAGAAAATATTTTGCAGCGCTTCCTTCTTGTTTCTCAATCGAAAGCTGAACGCGGTTCTCTCTTTGGAGAACCGTTTTCAGTTACAATCCATTCATTAGATGTTTCCTCATTACCCAAAGAAACATCTATTGGTGGAAAAGGGCCATCAAATCAAACAACACCTATTCCCAGTTGGCTCATCAAAGTCTGGAACAACAATAATTTTTGCTTATTTTATGCACTGGAACTTACTAGAAAACATGTAACAAAAGAATTGGGAACTAAAGAATACTTTAGAAGGTACCATCTTGAACGACTTCAAAGACAACAGTCAGATGTAATTAACTTGATGAGAAATATTGGCATTCCATTAAACGAAGAGAAATATGAGGCTCAGATTTATGTTCCAAAAGTTGTTGATTACTGGAACAACATTTATGAAAAGAATGGTTACAGATTCAAAGTGTTTATATTTGGCGAAAGATGTGAAGAAAAATTAAAATACAAATATGGATCCGAGACTTACAACACACCAATTCCAATATACCATTCTGATGACCATTTTGATGGTATACGCACTGTTGGAGCTCAATTTGGAAGTCATTGGCAGTATTGCTATTCTTGTGAGAAGAAATATAGAAGAGCTAGAGATCATGATAATAAATGCAAATCACGATGCAGACTTTGTGGAAGAGTAGGTGTTGGAAAACCTTGTCCTGTTAGTCAGAATTTTAGAAAGGAATGTATTGACTGTGGAAAAATATTTCTGGATAATGACTGTTTTAAACACCATAAATCAAGTAATCAGTGCAACCGATCACAACAATGTGACAAATGTGGAATAATTTGAGACATTAGATCTTATCGAAAAGAACAAACCAAACAACATATATGCGGACATAAATGGTGTTCAAATTGTTCACAATTTCATAGTAGAGAAAGGGGATGTTTCATCAAACCATTAGAACAAAAGAAGCAAAAACCTTATCGACTTGTGACATTTGATTTTGAAGCAACACAAGATACAATTGATCTGGAAAACCAAAATAATCGACTACACTGCGTAAATTTTATTGCTGCAACAATTACTTGTACAATATGCATGGAAAATAAGCAACTATGGGGAACTTTCCTCAGAAGAAATGGTAAAGTATGTACTATTTGCGGTCCTAATAGATCAATAACATTCTCACACCGGCCTTTTCACAAAACACAAGTAGATGAACAGCGAGTTACAGTAAACCCTCTTCATGATTTCGTCAACTGGTTATTATTCGAATTAGATGGAAGATTCGTTTCAATAGCATTTTCTCATTTTGGTGGAAGATATGATATGATTATGACATTTCGCGAGATATTTACAGCCGGGATTGTACCAACAATGATAAGAAGAGGCAATAAACTCTATGAACTAAAGGTTCCAAAAACACACAAATGTAATGAAGTTATATTTCGCGATTCATACAACATTTGCCCTGTTGCTTTAGGACAACTAGTCGGTGCATTTGATCTCCAGATTCAAGAGAAACAATTCTTTCCACATATGGCAAACAACTACAACAATTATGATATTACTCTTCCTGAACTTCCACAAAAATCAGAATATTTATATGGAGGAATGACACCAGAGAAACAGAAAAAATTTAATCAATGGTATGAACTAGAAAAATGCAACACATTTTGTTTAAATGAAGCACTTGCTGAGTACTGCCTTAATGACGTACAGATACTCACCGAGGCTCTTTTGGCATTTCGAGATAAATTTATGGAAATAAGTCGACCAAAAACAACACAAGGAGCTTTCGGCATTGACATTCTCCGAGATGCAATGACGATTGCATCCGCTTGCATGAAGCATTTCAGACTAAATCATCTTAAACCTGAACACCTCGCAATTGTACCGGAGAAAGGTTATGACACATGCGACACACAAAGTGCATTGGCTATGAAATATATGGATTGGTATTCAGAAAAATACAATGTTGAGATACAAACTGCACACTCGGAAAATGGAGAATATCAAGTTGCAGGTAGATTTAAGGTGGATGGATACATTAAAGAAGAGGATAGAGCAATAGAAGTGCATGGATGCGTGTGGCACGCGTGTCCAAAACATTATGGAGATAGACCAGATTTTGTAATGCCAAATGGGAAAACCGTGGAGGTTATTCAAAAAGAAAATGAAGAAAGATTAAGAATTTTGAAACAACATATAAGACATGTAGATGTAGTTTGGGAGTGTGAAATAAAGAAAATGCTCCAAAGAAATAAACAAATGAGAAAGAGTTTTAAAAATTATTTGGATAAGGGGCCAATAAAATTACGTGATTGCTTCTTTGGAGGTCGGACTGGGCCCTTATGTCTTCATTATAAGGCCGATCAACAACATAAAATTTCTTATTTGGACTTTAATTCGCTTTATCCATCAACAATTGCAACAACATCATTTCCTGTGGGTCACCCAAAAGTAATAATAATACCTAAAAAAGATCAAAATGTCAACTGGTACAGCAGCAGTCAAATTCCTGTTAATGGGATTCTTAAAGTTTTTCTAATTCCGCCAGATCAAACAGATGTTCCAGTTATGCCCGTAAAATTTGATGAGAGGTTGCTATTTCCCCTTTGCCGAAAATGCTCAATGGATTATCCCCGCGGCGCAACATTAAAAGAATACAAATGCATACATGAAGAACAAGAAAGAGGTTGGGTATCAACATGCACGTCAATAGAGCTCGCAGAAGCATTAAACAGCGGATACAAGGTCACAAAATATTTTAGAGCACTTCATTATGAAAAATGGGATAAAGAATTGTTTAAAGGATATGTTGCTGAATTCATGTCAATGAAAATCCATGCAAGTGGATTTCCAAAGGAGATAAATACCGAAGAAAAGGAAGAACAATTCATAAAAGAGTGCGAGGAAAGATTTGGAATTCAATTGGAAAGAGAAAAAATGTTACCTGACAAGGCAATGAGATACATCTCGAAACTAATGCTCAACTCTTTATGGGGAAGATTCAGTCTTCGAAATACACTTTCAAAAACTTTTCTCACCGACTCACCAGCTGAACTGAAGAAATTCATGGAAAATAAATCAATAGAAGTAAATACAATCGACAAATTGACTCAAGACACTATTCTCATCACCTATGATAGGAAGAATGAATTCATAGAGGAACATCAGACATCAAATATTGTAATATCTCTCTGGACTACATCAATGGCAAGAGTACATTTGTTAAAAGCAATGCAAAATATTGTAAGAGCCCCTGGCTGTTCATTATTATATGGAGACACAGATAGTGTCCTTTTCTCCTACCCGAAGGGGCAAGAATGCCCTCTTTCAGCTGGTCCACATCTTGGAGATTTGGCACCAGAATATGACGAATATGAAATCAAAGAATATGTAGGTGCAGCTTGTAAGGCATATGGACTTTCAATGAAAGAAAAAAATAGTGGAAAAGAAGTGACTTCATTAAAAGTACGTGGAATCACCTTGAATAGCGATGTTTGCAAGAAACTTCACTACGAAAGTTTCAAAGAAAGCGTAATGGAATTTGGAAAACGCTTTGAAGATGAAAGAGAAGATGGAAAAGAAGAAAATAATGAAGAAAATGAAGTAATTTTAGTAGAATACTCACATTTCCTTAAACCTAATTTAAAAAAAGGTACAGTTGTTACAACTAATCTTTCTAAAAAATTTCAACCCATAATTTTAAAAGGTATTGTTGTCCCCGAATATAAAATTGTTAACTTTGGCTCCAAATTTTAATCATGTAACCTATCTAATTTTTATTTGTCTTGTTTTTATTAATTTTGCTTTAAATTATAAAAAATTTTTAATTTTTTCTATAAATTATTTTTCTCTCAAATTATATATAGGAATTTTGATATTTTAAATATATTTTGGCTTTAAACTTTAATTATGTAATCAATTTAATTTTTAATTTTATTATTTTTCTCCCACCTTCAAATTATATATAGGATTTAATTATTTTTAATTCACATTATTTCAATATTTAAATAAAATTTTTTAAAATTTTTCTTATTTTTTAAAACTAGATTGGCAAGGCACAATCCCGAGTGGACTAGCACACTCGTTACCTAAAAGTCGCAAAGCAGACTTTCTTAACTATTTGTGGCAAAGCACACAACTCACTTAGATTGGCAAAGCACAATCCCGAGTGGACTAGCACACTCGTCACCTAAAAGTCGCAAAGCTGACTTTATTAACTAACTCAATATTATAAATTAAAATTTTTATTTTAATATTAAATTTTTAATATTTCATGTAGTGGAAAAATTCATTGAATGGGAGATTGAATAGAACTATCATGGAAAAAACCCAATCCAAAACACAACCAACTGTACCACCACCCACCCCCCAATATTGATTATTTTTATCCATTTATATTTTTTCAAAAAGTTTAGTGTAAAAAAAGTTGCTAGTTATATATTTTGCTAGTTATATATTTTGAAACTAGTTATATATTTTGAATTAAAAAATTTAGAGTACTTGTTTTAAATTTTTTAATTTTTTGAATAATATTTTAATTTCTGATCGGGGTTTGAAAATTTCTTTGGATTGGGGTTTTTGATAAAAGAGAAAGTAGAAAAGGCGCAGAAAGGATTGGAAGGCATTAGATTAATATTTGTTTGTTCTCGATTCATTAAAATTGTTTTCAATTCAAAATTTAAATTTTCCGAGATTTTTCAAGATCTCGATTCTCGTACGACACCCCAGGCCCGGTCTCAAACAAAAAACAGACAAAAATTGATTAAAGGGTTAGACAAATTTCACCAATTGAATTTGTTTAAAATTTAAAATTCAGTAGTTTGTTCGAATTTGGGGTTTAAAAAACCAATAAATTAAGAGAAAATATAATCCGAACAAAAAATAAAATTTTTTAATTAGATTTATAAAATTTTACCCATTCAGCATAGAAGTAATTTATTCAAAACAACTCCCATTACTTCATTATTACTACTATTTAAGTTTACAATAAGAGCTAAAATTAGAAAAAAACACAAAAAATATAAAACAAGAAAATAAAATATATTTATGGAAAACAAAAAAATAATAATACATTTAATTTTTTATAGTTAGAAGAGAATTTATATATTAAGATTGACTGGATAGAAAAGGTGGTAATATGTTTTTTGTTTAGATTATATTATTTTTGGTTTGAAAAGGGGAAAACAAAGAAATTTTTGTGTGTATTTTTTTATTAAATTTTTTTAAATTATTAATATAACTAGGAAATTTTTTAAATAAATAATATAAACTAGAAAGGAGCGAGTTTTACTTGTTTTTCTCCTTAATGTTCTCTTAGTTTGACCATTAACAAAAAATGTCGCGTCTAAAATTAGTAGGCTGTCAACAAAAAAAAGAAATATAACAGTGAAGGAAAAGAAAGAGAAAAACAAAGAGGGAATAGTTAACTAAATCGGAAAATTAAAAAAAATCTTTTGGCTTTATTACACTCTTATTTTGGATGAAAGAAATGTGAGGAAAAGAAAAGTGTATATATTTAGATCGAAGATTAAACTGAAAATTTTAAAAATGCAAAAAAGTTGTCAATAATGTGTTTTTCCTTTATTTCAGACACAACCCCTCAATTTAAAATACACCCCATTATAAATTACTCTCTTAATTAAATACAACCCATTATAAGATACTCCCCTAATTAAATACACCCCATTATAAATTACTCTCTTAATTAAATACAACCCATTATAAGATACTCCCATAATTAAATATACCCCATTATAAATTACTCTCTTAATTAAATACACCCCATTATAAGATACCTCAATGTAAGCTACACCTCATAATACACTCACTTAAATGCATAGATCTATTTCTTATATTCCCTTTAATTTTTACAATTTCCCTTTAACTTTTCCGACATTGTCATCAAATTTGTAAGCTGGGGCAGGTTGAAAGTTAAGCTCAACAGTGGGACCTGGAAAAGCCCTACACCTTTAGAATTGCCTTTTAAATTACCGCACTTCCTTTTCTTTAATTTTAAAAATTAGTTTCCCTTTGTTTCAGCATCATCAAATGTCACAAACAACAATATTTCGATACCCATAAAACTCCCGCAAAATATTTGTCAAAAGGTAATTAATCATTCATGATTAATTACCCTAATTTATCATGATTAATTACCTTTTATGCGGCAATATCAAAAGAAAAGTGCCCTTTAGGCACACAAATTACCTCTAAATCACCCTTAAAACCCTTCTTTAGGTGTGAGTTTGATTGACAAGTGTCACTTTTGGTGTCACTTTTGGGTGGGAGTAACTACTCACGTCAACGAGGGGTTTTTGCCAGAAGTTTAGAGAAATAATGTATGTATTAAAAAATGTTTAAATATTTAAAAAAGATTTGGAATCAAATTTCAACAATTTTATTTCAAAATATGTTCAAATGGGTTTTCTAAAATTTTTTTTTTCTCCTTCCTATTAAAGTTGTCTTCCACTTTCATAAGCATGTATTAATCTTTGAAGAATAGCTTGTTGGTCTACCTAAATATTTTTTTAAAAATCAGAATAAATTAAAACAAACAATTAAAACAGAATTAATGCAAACATCAAAATCAGAATAAAGTTAAAACAAAGAAAGAGCATAAACAAACCCCAAACAAAACCAGAATTAAAATAAAACATCAAAATCAGAATAAAATTAAAACAAACATCAATCAAAACCAAAATTAAAACAAAACATCAAGTCAGAATAAAACTAAAACTCTAAATAAAACATCTAAAAACATTAGAATTATATTATTATTTTTTAAATATAAAAATTTATTCAAACCGATTCAAAAACTGTTGGTGCAGAAAATAAAACACCTATAGTTCCACCCAAAGTAACTCCAAAAAAAATGTATAAGAGGAAACGGTCAATTACCATCGCAACAAATCTCCAATCATCTCGATGCTATTAAAATTATCAAAAAAATTTAAAGACCCTAAATTACAATTTTATGGTCCTCTTCTCTTCGTAAATGTTCGGTAATGTATTCAACAGCCTCCACTGCTTTAGCCTTTAAAAATAAAATTTTTTCGAGTAAATATAGGCTTCAACTTCTTACAGCCTCTAAACTCAAAGGAAATCCATTTTTAATTATTGGGTCCCCCGTCTCTTCTGGTTCATGTATAGCTCCTTTAATTCTCCCTTCGGGGCAATGTTGGTGATGTATTTTTTGAGAAATTGTTTCATCAAATTTTCCAATACCGGGAATGGTTGTTATACTTTTGTTGCTTATTCTTTTTGTTAAACTATTAATTGTTGCTTTTGGGCGCTTCATGCACAGTAGACGAGGCATTAGCTTTTTAGAAAGAAAAAAATATTTGAAAAATAAAAATTACTACCACTAAAAATACATGACGAGCCCAGCCAGGCATTCTGTGTGTTGTTGGTCCTCGATGATAAACGTTAATAATTATAACAGTAACCTTAAATATAAACAAAGTTATATTTTATATAAAACAAAACAATGGAAACAAACAATAAAACATTACAAAAGCAACACAACATACGATAAAAACACACGAAAAGGCATCGAAATAAACATAAAAATAAAAATCAGAATTAAATTAAAACAAACAATCAAAACAGAATTAATGCAAACATCAAAACCAGAATAAAATTAAAACAACGAAAGACACTAACATAAACAACGAAATAAAATCAGAATAAAACTAAAACAAACATCAAACAAAACCAGAATAAAAACAAAACATCAAAGTTTTTAAAAAACCAGAATTAAAACAAACATCAAAATCAGAATAAAATAAAAACAGAACATCAAATTCAGAATAAAATTAGAACAAAAACTCTAAATAAAACATCAAAAAACATCAGAAGTTTACTGTTATTGTTGTGATGTTTAATGTAAAAGTCAACAATAAATACTTGGCAACAAGGGGAATGGTAGAGGAAGTTGGAGGCATAATTTTAGAAACCAACAAGAGAAATACAACGATAGATAACAAAACTTAAAAGAGAAGTTTGGAATAAAAATTGTTTTTGTAAAACCAGAAATTGTTAAAGTCATTTTTTCACCAGAATCTGTTGGTAAAAGGAAAACAGCCATTGATAGAAAAGCCATTAAAACTGTTGGAATTATTAAAACAACGGTATAAAACAAAGTTTTTCGACGAATTCTAAGCTGGAATTTAATGCGGGAACTGAGAAAATAATTAAAAATATTTTTTGAAGAATTTTAAATATTTTACCGGCTATTGACTAAGGATGCTGGGGCATCTGTTCCAAACAAAAAATTATTTTCAAATAAAAAACGAAAAACAAACCAATAACATCCCAAATTGAACTAACACTTTTGGCATATTCACTCAAATCCATTAATTCAGCCTGTTCAAATTCCATTTTAATTTCATTCTCGTTATACGTCCACGAACCAAATATTAAATGACAAACTTGAAAAAAACTTGTTGTTTTTTGTTAAGTTTGTTTAAATTAAATTTTATGTTTTGTTTAAAACATTGTTATTTTTAATTGATGTTTTGTTTTAAGTTTGTTCTGATTATGTTTTAAATTTATTCTTAAATGTTTTGTTTATGTTCTGATGTTTTGTTATGAGTTTATTCTGGTATTGTTTGTTTGGGGTTTTTAAAAATATTTTTTATTTGATGTTTGTTTTAAACTTGTTCTGATTTTAATTAAAACTTGTTTTATTTCTAATTGATGTTTTGTTCTGTTTGTTCTGATTTTAATTAAATGTTTGTATGATGTTTTGTTCTGTTTTTACCATTATTCTGATTTTATTGTGTTTTATTTTAATGTTTGTTTTGCATTTTTGTTTATATTACCTTGTTCATCAAAAGGAAAGTATTCAACATCTATAAATTTTTAAAACATTACCATTTAAAACAAAAAACAAACCAATAATGCACGAACTTTTATAAATTGCTGGGGGTACCTAAAAACATTTAAATAAACAAAACATTCAAAACAAACCCAAAGAACATCGCCCCTATAATCTATAACAACATTCGACATAAATGATACTTCATAATTTCCATCAGCACTAGAATATTTAATTTTTAAATAAATTTGGTTAATAAACATCTAAACTTGTTAAAAAGCACCTATTAAAAAAATTTATTTTTAATTTTTATTTAAAAACAATTTTCTAACAATGTCAGGCAACCAAACTTTGTCTGGAGGGACGCGTATATCCTTTATCCCTCCATAATTTACTGGACTCCACTTCATTTGGTAATCCTTCCACTTTAAAGTTAGCCAAACATTTGTATGCATTATCTAAAAATTATTTTTAAAATTTTCTGGCCGATCCTTTTCTTTACCTGATCCTTCTCGTCCACGTTAATTAAAAGAATTAGCTACAAAAAATTTAAAAAATAAACAAAACAATTAATTTACTTGTAATGTCATTTTAACAATTATTGGCTGGCTATCATTACGCATTGGCAAAATTAAGGAATTATATCCGCGAAAAACATCCATCATTAAACGCTCTTCATCATCACTTGCGGAAAGGTGAGAAAATAGTTTGACAAAAATAAGAATAACTATTAAAAACATTACTAAAAACAATTTCAGAATTAAATCTAAACAAATTCAGAATTAAGTTTAAACAAAACATGTTAAACATTAAAAACCAGAATAACAATACAAACAAACAAAACAATTATAAATCAGAACACAAAAATGCAAGAAATAAATACAAACAAAACAAATCAGAAAAACAAGCTTTGCTGTTCAATTCTGTTTTAATTTCAGAATTAAATTCAAACAACACCAGAATCTTGCTGCCATAAACATCGATGCCATAAACATCGTTAAAAACATTACTAAAAACATTGCTAAAAACATTACTAAAAAACAATTTCAGAATTAAATCTAAACAAAATCAGAATAAAATTAAAACTTTCATAAACAATGTTTAGTAACAAAAAAACAATTCCTCAAAAACAATTCCAACAAAACAATTCTTTGAACTTTCATAAATAACCACATCAAAACATATATTTTGATGATCTAGCGGTTCGAGCGTTCCCTTTCTCTTTATAATCTTGTTCATTTTCTGATGGTTATGATTGACAAGTGAAGGATTGGTTGGGGATGATCGAAGATTAGTTGAGAAAATTTAGCAAACTTATTTTACATGCAAAAAATAAAAGAATTGAAGAAAACTTCAAATTTAGACCCTCTTTAAATTCTTTCTATTTTGACTTGTTAATCCTGTCCATCTGTTGACAAATGGCCAAATTTGAAATAGAAGAAGGGTCGTTAAATGCCACCACCTTTATTTAAAAGGAACAACTGTCTTTGCAAAATAAACTTTGTCGGAAGTTTTGTTAAATGTTTTTCTGTTTGGAGGATTGTATTTCCTTTTTTAAAAAACTTTTTTTTCTGCAAAGTTTGTTTAGGAAAATAAATGATTATAAATGTTTAAAATATACAAATCAGAATAAATAATAAACATTAATTCTGATTTTTTATGTTTTAATAGTAATTCTGGTTCAAAATTAATTCTGATACCAGAAAAACTTAAAAACTGTGTCAATTAAAAATCAGAAGTTTTAAACTTGTTCAAAATTAGTTCTGATTTATATTAAAAAATCAGAAGTTTTAAACTTGTTCAAAATTAGTTCTGATTTATATTAAAAAATCAGAATTAATAATCTAATAATAATTCTGATTTAAATACTATAAATCAGAAACTAATATTTTTCTTTAGTAAATTAATTAAATTTTAATAAAAAAAATTAAAACAAAAATTAGTATAATAATGATATTAATTGAACAAAATTAATTTTAATTAATATTTAGCGTATAATTTTTAAAAAAATTTTATTTTTCATTGGGCATTTCACTATAAAGTTGAGCAATTTTTTGTTTGTATTTTGCCCTAAGTTGTGGCCTTTTTGCCTTTAAAATTAATTTATTTTTAGAAAAATATTTTAATAAAATTTTACCTTTAATGTAGGTGTTAATAAATCATTTTCTATACTAAAAGGTTCATGTTCTAAATAAATAGCTTTAACTTGTTCTAAACTATTTAATTTTTGTTCTTTTCCAATTTGTTGCATTTCTGCCAAAACTAAATTAATTATTCTTTTATCCGAACAAATCTCTTCTAATTTTATTTCTTCTTCTTTTCCTCCTCCATCTATTTGGGTAAAGAGGCGTCTGATTTGATTTGCTGCTGGGACAACAATTGCCTTAATTTAATTTAAATTAAATCGAAACAGAGTTTTAAAATGTTTTTAAGTTTGTTTTAGTAAAATCAGAATAATTAAAAAATCAGAAATGTTTTTACCACAAGAAAGCGTTGAAGACTATCACCATCAACAAATATTTGATGTACCGACCTAAAAATGTTTATTTTAAATTCTGATTATAAATAAATATTTATTTTAAATTAGATGTTTATATTAAATTCTGATTCTAATTAAATGTTTATTTCAAATTCTGATTTTAAATAAAATGTTCATTTTATTCAATGTTTATATTAAATTCTGATTCTAATCAGATGTTTATTTTTAATTCTGAAGTTTATTTGAATAAATGTTCATTTTAACTTCTGGTTTTAATCAGAAGTTCATTTCAAATTAATGTTTATTTAAATGTTTATTTTAAATTCTGATTTTAATTTAATTGTTTATTATAAAGTAAATCTTTATTTAGACGGATGTTTATTTTAAATTCTGATTTTAATTAAATGTTAATTCCAAAAAATTATTTACCTGCATTGTATATAAACATTTTCAATTTTTTCAGGCGCCACATATTCCCCCTGAGCCAATTTAAAAATGTGTTTTCTTCTGTCAATAATTTTTATTTGACCATTTGGAAGTATTTGACCAACATCTCCAGTCTTTAAAAACCCATCTTCAGTAAATAATTCTTTCGTACGTTCAGGATCTTTAAAATATCCACTGGTGACTGACGGTCCTTTGATTAAAACTTCTCCTTTTCTGTCCTTCTTAAAAATAAAAAAATAATTTAAAAAATTTTTTTTATTAGACAAACAACAAAATAATTCAAATCGGGAACATCTTCTAATTTTATAAGTGAGCAAGTTGAAGGACCTCCACATTGACCGCCTACAGTCTCTCCAGGCCAGGTAGATATAGCCATTGCCGTGCATTCTAAAAAAATTATTTTTTTAATTAAAAAAAAATTAATAAGTTAATTTACCAGTCTGTCCATATCCCTCAATTATATGACAACCAAAAACTATTCTCAATTCTTCCAATACCTCAGCAGCGATTGGGGCGGAACCAGTAACTTTAACATTAAAAATATTTTTGGGTTGAGGAAAATAAATTTACCAATTAATTTTACATGATTTCCAAGTCTTTGACGTGCTCTGGCAAATACAAGTCGGTCCCAAATTGATTCATTTGTTACTATACCTTTTTGAAGCATTGCCTTCTTCTGAGCTCGTCCAATGGAAAACAACCAACGAGAAAAGGGATTTAGACGGGTAACTTCTGCCTGAAGATTTGTAAAATTATGATTAAACTTTCCGGAAGCAAAATATTAAAATAGAATATATGTATTTGTTAGGAAAATATAAATCAGAATTAATAGACAACAAATCAGAATTAATAAAATTCCGGAATAAATATTAAACTAGAATACGACTTTCCGGAAAATATAAATAAAATTAGCTTTCCGGAAAATTAAGTATATTTAATTAAATCAGAATTAATAAAATTCCGGAAACAAAACTAACAACTTTCCGGAACTAAATATTAAGGTAAAATATAACTTTCCGGAAAATGTAACTCAGAATTAATTATTTCCCGAAAATATTTATTTATAAATCAGAATTAACAATTTTCCGGAAAGTTCAATTAATTTATTTACCTTTATTGCGTCATTAAAACGGTTTAATAATCGAGGTACTACAGGCAGTAGAGTTGGTTCCAAGGCTTGCATATCTGCAGAAAGTGTAGCGATACCATCAGAGACATAACCGATTCGATATCCAAGGCAGAGGGCTATCCAGTGGGCACATTGTTCGAACATATGTGATAAAGGCAAATCTTAAAAAAATATATAAACCAGAATTTAAATCAGAATTTTTTAATTCCGAAAAAATACATGAAATAATGCAATGTTCTGTTGTTGACAGAAACTCTGGTAAAAACTTTTCTAAAACTACAGCCAAAGCGGAAATGTTTGCAACAACATTACGATGACTCAGAATTACACCTTTTAAATGTTAAATTAAAATTAGTAATTTATTGTTTAAAATTTCTTTTACCTTTAGGTGTTCCGGTCGTTCCACTAGTATAACTATAAATATTTAGAATTAATATTTGGTTCCGGAAAATATATAAAATTAACTTTCCGGAAACTAAGTAGTTTACTTTAAACTTAAGTCTAGGGTAAAATTATAAAAACCGGAAACTTAAGCTTACCTTTTCAGGGAAAAGTTTATTCTCCGGAAACTTAAGTTTTTAACCTTTCCGGAAAAGTTTATTTAAAAGAGAAACCTTTCCGGAAACTTAAGTTTACCTTTTCCGGAAAGGTTTATTTAAAAAATAAAACCTTTCCGGAAACTTAAGATTTCCTTTTCCGGAAAAGTTTATTTAAACGAGAAAACTTTCCGGAAACTTATGTTTTCCTTTTCCGGAAAAGTTTATTTAAAAGAGAAAACCTTTCCGGAAACTTTAGATTTCCTTTTCCGGAAGTTTATTTAATTTTAAAATTCACCAAATAATATAATTATCTTCTGGTTTAGGCTCATTATCTTCTTCCTCTTTTTCTATTTTCTCTTCATCTTCTGTTCTATTATTAATTAAATCATTCCAAAAATACAAACAAATATTTAATTCTTTAGCCTTTTTTTGTATTTCCTCAATTTTTTCGTTTTCCAATTCCCCAACATATAAAATATTTTTTAATGAGGGTGTTTTCTCTCTCATATTAAATACATTTTGTAATTTTTTAAAAGAATCTAGCATTACTAATCTTCAAAAAAATTTAAAGTTTAATTAAATTAATTTAAAAATTACTCAGTTTCACAATGGGCTAAAATATAAGAAGCTGCATTCTCTCCTAAAGTATCATATAGAGGGACAACAATCATTGAATGTCGAATTAAAGCTAATGTCTTTAATTAAAAAATATTTTTAATTTTGAAGAAAAAATTTTTTCAAACCAAAATAGTCCATTCTGGAGAATTTTGAGCATAAATAGCAACAAAAGTTTGTTGACCAGGCTTAAGCCCCAATAGGCTTATTAATTTTGTGCCGACATCCTTTGAGAGATTAGCAACTTGTTGATAACTGATAAATTTGTAGGGGCCTTCTTTTGTTCGGATACCGAGACAGGGCCCTTCTGGGGCAAGCTAGAGAGAATTTTTTATTTTTTAATTAAATAAAATTATTTTTTACTTTCAATCCACGCTGAAAAGCTTGCCATAGAGTTGTAACTTCCGGGAAAAAATATTCTAAAACTTCTTCAGGTTTATCCTTCAATAGGCCACTTTTGAATGTTCCGGGGGAATTCTAATTAAAATAATTTCAAAAAAATTTTTCAAAAAAAAAATTTTTTAAAGAAAAATACCGGCAGTTCTATAGCTTGGTGTTGCCTATCCATATTTAAATTGAAATTAATATTTAAAAAATATTTTTTCTTTTTATTATTAAAAAATCTTTAATTTATTTGAATTGTCACGCGTTTCCCTTAAGAGATTATTTTAGAAATAAAATTAAATAAAAAGTAAAGTAATCAACAAATTTAATAAAAAAACCCTCTTTCACCATGTGGTATATTTGAAGAATGTGTTTACTGATAAGAATTTAAAATACAAAATGGAGACCGGACTTGTAGGAAATTGAGTGTGTTGGGGGAATTTCCAGATCTACGGAACTGAGCTAAAGAAATGAGCTGATAAATCATCGGTTATTTGGTTCTGTACAGACAACTGTAAGTTTAAAATCAGAAGATTAGTAAATAAAGATGAGTCAAATAAAGAACTTGTCATCGAGATAAGTCAAAAAACGAAAACAGTATCGAAAAGTATAGGCTAAGGTTTATTACAGACCTGGTCACGGATAATGATTTTGGTATCCGTATCCGGATATTTACGGCGGATACAGGCGGATATCCGCAGGCATCTTGATATTATCTGTATCCGTATCCATGACCAGGTCTGGTTTATTATACTTTTTTAATATTTCTAATTCAAATATATTCAAGTAAATTCAAACATTTCCATTTTTGTTACAAATTTAAAAATAGAAAATTAATTATTAAACTAAAGAAATAATGGACTTTGTGCGGTAAGTTGAAGTAATATAATGGTTGTCGATTGTGTTTGTGTGTAATATGCTTTGGGACAGAAAAATCGGGGAAATAAAAAATTATATAAAAAATTGCATTTAATTTTCTTATCAGATGGGGTTATATTTAATTATATATTGGGGAGGGGAATTATTTTAAAATTAGATAAAAGTGCTTAGAACACTTGCGGATAAATATTAAATATTAAATTCAAAATCAGCCTAGTCAAACAAGTCAAATTTAAGTCCTATTCTGTTAAAAAAGCAAGAGATCCTTGTACGGAAAGCATCTTTTAAGGAAAGGAGGACCCAGCTGGCTAGAGCCTCCGAATCCTTCTTAGGGCAACTAGAATGATGAACGGAATCAGAAGAGCTCAGGCTCGATTCCCCCCAAATTTTCGGGTAGTTAAATATACAAATTAAATTATTATGTATTTTATTTATTAAAAAACTTGTTTTTTAAATTTACTAAAATAAAAGTTTATTTAAATAAATAAATAAATTAATTAATTAAACAACCAAGGAAAAAATAAAAACCAGACATTAAAGAAAGAAAACAAAGGGCAATTTACCCCGTGTCAGGCTAAAACACGGAACGGACAAAACACGGAACGACAGAACACGGAACGACAAAACACGGTTTTACCAAAACACGGAACGACCAAAATACGGACCATACCAAACTGAGGAATAGACAAAACACGGTCTTACCAAAACACGGAACGGCCAAAATACGGAACGACCAAAACACGGTCCAGAGAAATATTTTTTTATGATTTTAAAATATTTTAAATACATATGTATTATCAAAAAAATGATTATTCAAAAATGATAAAAAAATTTGAATCAAAATATTTTTAGAAATCAGAATTTTCAGACTTATGTTCTGATTTTTAGAATATTTCTGATTTTTAAAGAATTTTGATTTAAAAACGGTAATAACTTTATAATTTTAAAATATTTTAAATATTATCAAAAAAAATACTTAAAATAATGGGGTTTCAAATCAGAAATATTCTTAAAATCATAATTTTTTTAAATCAAAATATTTCTTTAAATCAGAATATTTAAATCAGAATATTCAGAATATTTCTTTCAATGGAATTTTTTAAAGATCAGAACTTTTTTTAAATCAGAATATTTTTTAAAATCAAAATTCTTTAAAATAGAACTATTTTAAAAATTTATAAAAAAATTCTGAAAAATTCTGATTTTTAAAAATATTTTGATTTAAAAAATTTTATCATTTTTGAATAATAATTTTTTGATAATATTTAAAATATTCTAAAATTATAAAGAATTATTATTTCCCTGGACCGTATTTTGGTCGTTCCGCCTTTTGGCCGTTCCGTGTTTTGGCAAGTCCGTGTTCTGTCTATTCCTCGTTTTGGTATGGTCGGTATTTTGGTCGTTCCGTGTTTTGGTAGGACCGTGTTTTGTCGTTCCGTGTTCTGTCTGTTCCGTGTTTTGGAATTCCTGGTTTTGCCCCTAACCCAATTTACCCATCTTTATAATTAAAAAATATTTTTTCCTTTCCCTTATCTGACGAAAATTATTTTTGACAATTAATGGAAGAAGGTATATTCCCCCCAAATATCATTCCATAATCACGCCATCAGAAATAAAAAATAACAACAATGATGTTTATATTTGGAAATACTAATTAAAAATAGTATTAAGAGCAACACCAGAATTAAATTTGAACAGGAAAATGTTTAAACATAAGAATCAGAATAACAATACAAAATTTAAAACATTTAAAATCAGAAATTAAAAACGTTACTAAAAACAATTTCAGAATTAAATCTGAACAAAACCAGAATATAATTAAAACTCGAAACACATTGCTCAAAATAAAAAATTCAGAATTAAATTTAACAAAACCAGAATATAATTAGAACTTAAAAACATGTTGATATTCTAAATTAATTCCAGAATTCAATTTAAACAAAACATGTTAAAACATTAAAACCAGAATAACAAAACAACAAACAAACCAAACAAAACAAATCAGCACACAAACATACAAAAAAGATACGAACAAAACAAATCAGAAAAACAAACTTTATTGTTCGTTTCTATTTTTACAAAACATGTTTAAACAAAACATGTTAAAACATTAAAACCAGAATAAAAGACAACAAACAAAACAATTACAAATCAGAACAGAATTAAAACAAAACATTTATTTAGCACTTATTTCTTTAAATTCTGATTTTCCCTTAAAAACAAAACAAACAAATTTAATTCTGATTTATCTCTAATTTGTCAATAACAATAAATACAAACTTTGCTTTAAAATGGATAAACACGAAACTTCAAACAAAAGAAATGTGATATATTTAAGTTTTTTTAAAATAAATGTTTCTTTTAAAATATTTTTTCTCTTTTGTTCTTGTTTTGTTCTCAATTCATTCAAGAGAATTTCTTCGAATATTTGACTGCGCATAATAAATATTCTTTTGTATTGAGGGTTCTAATATAATAAATATTTATTTATTTACTACTAAAAGCTGTCCATCATTTATAATACTTTAAAAGTGTAACAGAGGAAAGAATAAAATATATGTATATCTCAGTTGGAAGACACACTACCTCCAACCACTACACTACCTCCTCTCTTTAAGCCAATTACAAATATAAGAGAGTTCAACAATTTATATCCTCTTAATCTTATTTGTTAGCCACTCTTTTAATTTATAAAATCATCACGGAAGGGAAGAAAATTTTGAAAATAATAATTTAATTGTTTACCTTTCCCGGTCTAAGATTATAAGGGATTATTATAAATAAATATATACTATGTTTGAATTATTTATTAGAACATGTTTTGGAAATGTTTTGTTTTGGAATAAACTTGTTTTTGTTTAAATAATAATTAAATAAACTTGTTTTATTAAAAATAAACTTGTTTTTGTTTTTGTAAAACTTTGTAAACTTGTTTTGATGAATTAAACTTGTTTTTATTTAAATAAACTTGTTCTTATTAAATAAACTTGTTCTGATTATAAACATGTTTTTGTTTAATTAAACTTGTTCTTGTTTAAATAAACTTGTTTTATTACTTGACAAACAAGTTTAAATGTTCGTCAAGTTCATATTCTCCATCATCCAAACATTTTATTAAAGTTTTAAATGTTTTGAAGGGAAAAACATTGCATAATAAATGTTTGTTGAGTCTATATAAAACAGAATATGTTTTGTTTGTTTTAGCCAATTATTATAAAAATATTAAATCAAGTTTTTAAAAACAAATAAAAATATATATTAAGTAAATAAATAGTTTTTGAGTAATTGGCCTTTCCATGACATCTCTTTAGCTTCATTTTTGGCATTATTGCATGGTTTTTATTTTTAATCTGAAAATGAGATTTGGAGGGAAAGGGTTTGGCATTATTATATAATATCGAAATATATCTTTAAATAAATATATTGATGAAGTACCTAAAATTATTTTAAAAAAGATTTTTTTGAAAAAATATTTTTTAAATAGAGAGGGTATCTAATTATCAAATTAAAAAATTTAAAAATTATCTAAATAAATTAAAAAAAATTTTTTATTGCCTGAAAAAATATTTCCTAAAAATCCTACAGTATTTCTTCTATTAAAATACATAGTAAATTTATTTTAGTAATTACTCAAAGTTTTTAAAAAAAGATTTATTTAGTACATTTCGCTGCTTAATGGGTATACTATTTAGCATTATTCGAGAAAATTTCTTTCATGTCCCACTAATTGAAAATAAATTTTATTTAAAAAAAAAGAGAGGTTTCAATTTCACGGACCGTCAAGAATGCTTCTTTTCTATTCACAATTAATTCAATAGAAATATAAATTGTTGATCCTCTCTCCAAACAAATAAATAAATTGGCCGCTTCTCGTTCAGCCCTCAATCTTATTTCTCCTCTCAATCTTATTCCTCCTCAATTTCTTTCAATTCTTCATTTATTTACTCAGCTCCTCATTGGCTCTCCTCGAAAACTTTAAAGAAAATAAAGTAAAAAAAAGAGGTTGGGCCATCTATCCAATTTTAGTTAAAAAAATATATTAGAGGTGGCAATTCTCGCGCATTGCTTTCTAGTTTAATTAAATTTTTTAGTCTTCTATTTTTTGAAAAAATTAGAGCAATCAACGATTTTCCTCAAGTATCGAGCCTCTTCAAGAATCCTACAAATTCCCCTTTAAATCCTTCAAACTTAGAATCCTTCAACCTTAAATTGAAGGAACTTTAAATCCTCCAACCTTAAATGTCCTAAAAGGTGCCCTATCCCAAATAGAGGTCCTGGAAATTTTACCACACCTCGAGAATTTCA